GCAAATTGCGTGTTGTTGATGGAAAGTTCTTTCTTGATGGTGCTCTTCATTGAGGTAAGAAGAAGCAGAGCTTCCTTACTCTGGACAGTCCAGACCGCGAATTTATCGGGATTGTGAGGTCCGCAGCACCTGCTTCGATGAGCATGTCCGGTGGCACACAGGCAAGAGCGCTGACGGAAGGAGCTCCGTCGCTAGTACTTCCTTCTACATTGGGCCAGCTGTTCGACTGGGAAGTTCTTGCCAAGATGGGTATTAAAGCCAGCAGTGACAAGCGCAGCAACTACTGTTCGCCGTTGTAGCTGCTGCTGATTAACGCCAGCCACTCATGACCTTGTGCCCGCAAGCTCTGCTCGCTCATACAGCTGATGAAGGATCATCTGTACCTTCCTACAATCTGCCTGCGCACACTTCTTGCTGATATGATTGATTATGGCCATGACATATTTCGAAAATTCCACATCTGCCCTTATCTGCGCATCGGCTTTGTTCTGCTGTGCATGAGACAATAGCACGATGACGGAGGCGACCAGGTTGTGTACGACATGGTATGCCCAAGCAACATCGCCTTTGGGGAGTACCCGCACGAAGTCGATGAAGCGTCGGCTGTCTTCGAGAGCTGGTTGCTTTTTCTCCTTAGCGACTTGCAGCAGCGTGTCGACATCGAACATCAATCCTGACCGCCTGTTCAGGAGCGCCAGATGTGTATAGATCGAGAATAACGTCAGGTGGTATGAGCCTTCCAGGAACATGAACGCCATCAGATCGGACCGGTGCAGGTTCTGAGCGAGGCTCCGTGGCGCTTGATTGAAGATCCAATGCCTCCGCCATTGATGTAGATCATTGAGTAGCTTGCTAACCGAGTCGTCGTTGTGGTTCTTCAGCAGTCGTTCCGACACACGGGCCTGTATTAGTGAGATTTCTGCTGCTATTCGGAGGTAGTCTATCCTCCAGCCTCCTTCGTCGGACTGTATTTGTCTCTGTTCGTGGGTGGTAGGCAGTGGTATTTGCGCAGCATCTTCATATCGGCGAGCTGGTAAGCGGCCGTAACGAAGGGCTAGATCACAGTCCAGCGCGTACGCAATCCAAAAGACGTTCTCCCATTGATCGATCAGAGGGTTGTCCTTGCAGCAGCCCATCGCCATTGGTCCATCATGCGAAGTGCAATCGTCGTAAAGATGTGAGCACGATTCCCGTCAGGCTCGAAGCATAGAATCATCGCTAGACCGATCAAAGACTGGACTATCTGTAGAGACGGGTCTTTCATTAGCAATGCTGGAATCATCTTGAACAGTCGTTCTTTGTGTCGGTCGCCGTTGGATGGATCCGCGGGTGTGGCAACAGGCTCATGCCTCGAAGCTTATACGCCATAGCAAGGACTACTTCAACAACCGCCCAAGCAGTCGAGTCTGATGACTCTCGACCAGCGTAACAATCCTGGAAGGTCTGCGACACGACTCCGGGATCGAAGAGCGGGACGGCGCGGTTTCTGTCTTCCAAATACTCCTTCAAAAGTAGTCCGGCCTCTTGAGGCGGCGGGAGATCTTGATATTCGAGCCCGGCCATCCAGAAGTGTTCGTGCTGCTGTACGGGCAGATCGAGAGGCTCGAATGATGGGTAGTCCTCTATCGATGCCATGGCCTCAGGGGCGGCCTCTGTTGACGTGTTCTCGGAAGGAGTCACGTCGAGTGAAGGCGCTTCTATACCGGATGCCGTGAGCAACGTCTCCATTTGCCGGACCCTGTCTTCGAGCTCCTGCATATGGCGTTTCCTGGTGCCCTTAGCTCGAGGCTTGTTGATCTGGACAGAGATCTCGCATTGCGCCCCGGCCTTGCGACACAATGAGCATGTTTGATTTTGCTCACTCCAGTCGCATTTCCTGCGTCTTCAATCAGCACGGCGGAGGTATGGTAGATTCTTGAGGAGCAGCAGAGAGCGTACCTCTTTTTCTGTCGACATGCATTGCAGGCCTATATTCGTTAAAGACGCAACTGTAAGGATGACACTTCTGCATACATGTGAGTTATGGCTGTTATGTCGTGCGTTCACTTTGTCTTCTGTCATGTCAACTGCTTGAACTCGGAATCGGCTTTGACAGAAGCACAGCGATATGAAATGACTATGGTACAGTACAAGGGCAAACTCTGCGTCTAGGTTCTTGTTGTCTGTTTGGGCTCGAGTGGCGTATTTGTCAGCAATAGTGAGCTTCGCGTGCACGTATACCGAATCTTTGAGATTATGGACTGAGTGGTCCGAGTCTGCAGAAGATGCTCGACGGAGATAGACAGCACAGCGTTGGCTTATTCTGATGTTGAAGGCCGGCATAGACACCTTGACCTACCGACCCTTTGAGGCTGGGGAGTGCTGCTAAATGATGTTCTGGTCTGTGTCCAAGGGCTTGCGTGAGGGACAATGCACACTATTCAGTCGTCGATGTCCTCAGTGACTACCTGACTCATTGGGATGGTTTATGATTCGGGAATCCTAGAGAGCATGACGGCGTGCAGGATCGGCGAAGAGCTTGACAATGGAGACTTGCAGAGACCTCCTGCATACCTAGGTATCTTATAGTTGAGCTCAAACAGCCGGACAACGAAAGGTTGAGGCCGTTTTAGGGTTAGGGTTAGGGCTCTCTGCCACGCTCAAGGACATCGGTTCATCTTCATCCACTCGTTCGCGTGCACCACCTTTGCAGCCAAAGTCGAGACCATACATACTGATATTCACCACGTTCGAGCCCGCTACAAGATCTCATGACACAAGAACGCTCATGTCGGCCGATCTCTGCGCTGAACGAATTTGCGTGCCCAATGCAACAGTACCGAAAGTCCTAAAACCACTTCCGGGTACTCGGTTCATTGTCCATGAACTCTCCAATCGATGACGACCCATTGCAAAGAAACGATGTTGCCGCCGCCTCCGCTCTCGAAGTGCGCAAGACGCGCTCACCGACACGAACAGAGCACGCCAATGAGTCTACGCAGAGCCTTCCGAACCAGGCGCACTCCCCACCTACGGCGAGATCAACGACCTTCGCGAGTACCCTCTCGCGATCAAACTCTCCAAATGGCAGGCTCTCGATGTCGCTGTCTCGCTTCGGACGGGCCTCGGTGGCTAGTCCTCTGTCGAACCCGACCGAGAGCTATGACGAAGTGAGGACGTTGATTGTGCGAGCATTCTCACCACTAGTAGCCATATGTGCGGCAGAGGAGGCCGACCTGCTCGCTCGGCACAAAGGCCAATATCACGACTTCGCATCGCTTTTGCGACCGTATGGGGAGCGCATATCCGGGAAAGTTGTTATCCGCGATAGCGTGGGCGCAAGTCGCTCATGGGACGATTTTGGCATACATATTGCTGAGCTTAGCCAACTTACGCGTAGTGCGACAACGCAGCCGGCTTCGAACGAATTGGGCCCTCTAGAAGAGCTTTTGGAACAAAGACTGGAGACTCAGGACGACCAATCCGGCGACGGGGACGAGACAGGAGCCACAGCTCTGTATCGATACTACCTCAGCCGTTTGCTGCAAGCCACCACGATTAGTGCTCACGAAGCATTTTTACATCCAACATGTACAGTGATAGTCATCACGTCGGCGACTCCCCAGCCCATAGAAACACTGCGCAACGTATATCAGCAGACGGCACAAGGCTCCCGGACTCTGCCACCTTATGCTAACCCAGAATATCTGAGATACTATTTACTAGTCCACGACGAAGACCGAGATGACTTCGCAAAGACGTCAGCTCTGTTCGACCAGATGAAGAGGCATTTCGGATTGCACTGTCATCTGCTACGCTTGCGCTCTGTCGAAATCAGCACCAAGGATGAAAGCGAGCCAGCTCCTATTTGCGAGTGGCTATCACCGTCCGAGGAACTGGCTCAGAATGCTCAGAATCGCAAATTAATTGATGCAGAGGATGAACCCACGTCAAATGTCTTCTCATCTGACGCCAACGCCATTCGTGCCTTTCTTAGAGAGTTAGTGGCACAATCCGTGGTACCGCACATGGAACAGCGGATTGCCATATGGAACGAACAAGTTGCGTCACGGCGCAAAGGTATATCAGGACGCTTCATGTCAATCTCCAAACGTTGGGGAGGTTTCGGGGGCTCAAGTCGATCGGTCACTACCACAGGTACGCCGGCATCAAGCGCCAGCGGCAATTACGACGGGCTGCAGGGCTATTATAGGTATGATGCGCCCGAAGCCATTCTAGCCAGGCTTTCTGCGTTTGCATTCATGCTACGAGACTACAAGCTTGCTGCGTCAACCATGGAACTCGTGCGGTCTGACTTCGCCAATGATAAGGCGTGGAAGTACTCTGCAGGCGCGAACGAGATTTGCTGTGTGGCGAGTCTTCTAAATCCACTGATGGGCACCAATAGTGCCAAATTTAAGCTGGAGGATTTTGACCAGATGCTCGACATTGCGGTTTCGTCATATCTCAACAGAGGCGCCGAGCCCAGACTGGCCCTGCGAGCCGCGCTGCTGGGACTCGAGCTATTGAAGGTCAGAGGCAAGGCAGCGGCCGAGATTGCAGCAAAATACGGAATCCGTGCCATAGAGCTCGGTCTGGTCAGTCCCGGCAGCATCGGACATGTTCTGCTGAACGAGAGAGTGGCGAGCTGTTTTGGCTTCCAAATTGGAGCAGGCAGTAATACTGGGCTTGGCGTTAGACGGCGGAAAGCAGCACTGTGGAATGTCATGGCCAGCGATGAGTGGATGAAGCTGGGCATGGCTGCCTATGCTAACGAACGGCTAGAAGAAGCTCGTGAGCTCTACGCTGAGACCAAGTATGGTGCTGCTATCCAGCAGTTTAGCGAAATGAATGTGTTCCTGGAGCAGCTGAGCTTCAGCATACGCATCAAATTAGGGCAAGGAAAACGCAATAGGGGTTTTAGTGGTGCCAGTGAGCTCATGCAGCAAGAAGTGGATGACGAGACCGTCGAAGATATGGCTCAGCCCGAGAAGTTGGACGGTCCTGGCCATCGTCGGAACTTGAGCCTTGCTGGCACTGGCTCAATAGCGATGGACGCTGTGGCACAGAGAAGTCCTGTAAGACTGCGGGCAGATCCGCTGGGAGCAACGGAGGATGACGACTTTGAATGATGTGTATGATTATAATAACAGCTAGATTTTGATTCAAGTGGCATCTCAACCATCCACGAGTCCGGGCGAACTCTGGTCTTCAAGTTGAAGATTGTCCAAGTGTTTAGTAGTCCTTGGCACGGAGTCGCGTGCCTGGAAATCGTAAATTTACAAGCGCGGAGCGTGTCACTTTCGCGAATTGACTGCCTCATCGTCATTCACTGACAGCCCAAGCAGTCCGGACTACCTACGTTATCGTCCGCAGCGCGGCAGCGCTTCTCTCTTCTTCAGCAACACCATCATGTCGACCTCGATAGATCCGAACGCCGTCACAGACAGCACAGACTGGCTACAAACACCGCTCCCATGCCTAGCGCCACTAGAATCATCACTCCGCTGCCAGGTCTGCAAAGAGGTCTTCACAACGCCAATGATCACAAGCTGCTCGCACACGTTCTGTTCGTTGTGCATACGGCGGTATCTCAGTCAAGAGGGCAAGTGCCCATCATGTCGGACGCCAGACCAGGAAATGAAGTTGAGGCACAATTGGGCTGTTCAAGAGCTGGTCGAGATCTGGTCGGAGAGCCGAGAGAAGATATTTGCATTTGCCAAAAACGCCGCTGATGATCAGCCACGCGAAGTAGAAGAAGGAGAAAGGCCAAAGAAGAGACGGAAATTAGACGAGAAACCGATCATCGTACAGAAAAGCGGCCTCTCTGAGCGGCGGAGCACACGCAGTCAAAGCCGACGGACAGCCTCACACGCCAGCCAGTCCATCGCGAGCCTACCATCAACGCAAGAAGAGGTCGCCGACAGCGAGGACGGTGGCAGCGTATACGCCGTCTCGCCCAAGGTCGACAGCCGCCACATTCAACAACCCGCCGCCGAACCTAACGACGGGCTAGTCGGATGCCCAAATTGCACAAGAAGGATGAAAGAGGCACTCATCAACACGCACCTCGACAAATGTCTACAAGGCCTCGCCGGCTCCCCTACACCGCCGCCGCGGACCCCATCTGCGCAGCGCAACCACGCCCCCTCACCCTCTCACGGCCTTCAGGCGGGCACCATAGCATACACAACCACCAAACCCACTACGACCTCCACTCTCCAGCGCCTCCCCGCGATGAACTACGGTACACTAAACGAGAACGCCCTCCGCCGCAAACTCAAAGACCTCGGCATTCCAAACCACGGTAATAAGGAGCTCATGCGACGGCGGCACACCGAGTGGATGAACTTGTGGAACGCGAATTGCGATAGCTTGCAGCCAATTCCGAAGATGAAATTGCTGCGTGAGTTGGATGTGTGGGAGCGGAACCACAGTCGGGACGAGCGACAGCGGCAGCAGATGGGCGCGACGGGGAATGGGAATGGTGGTGGGGTGATGGAGAAGGAGTTTGATCGCGAGGGATACATGCGGAAGCAGAAGGATGGCTTCGAGGATTTGGTGAAGAAAGCGAGAGAGTCTCGGATGGCGAAGGCGGCGGCAGCTGCGACTGCCACGCCAGATGAGCCATTCGCGGCGGCAGGCTCGACTCTCGTGAATGGCAGTGGCCCGACGGAGGAAGCAACCACCCTCGAAGACAAGCCCAGTGTAAGCAGCAACGCAGCTGATGCGCCGCCGCTCGCGCCTGCTGCTCCCGTCGAACACCCCGTCGGGCCGATGCTGAACGGTCTCCACCCTTCGCATATGCAGGATCACCACCCATATGAACAGGAATGGCAACTGTCCAGACCACAATCTTCGCAAACATGAGTACCGAGCACGCCTCCTCGAAAGCACGTGAAACAGATAAATCACCCGGCGTTGATCCTCGAAGACAGACGACGCGAAGAACGCGGCCACAAAATTACATAGTAACAACCATCCCGCCGATGATTGATGAAGATGGACGAGGATGTCTCAACCACTCACCATGAATCCTATGGTACTCAATCAGCCGCCCATGACACAGATACCAAACGCTAGAAGATATACTACGCCGCTACTATGGAGGGCGGAGAAGGGTCCGAGCATCGTTGACTTCCCGTGCTGGAAGACAAAGGGCAGCTACCTAGGTACTGTAGCAGCAGGATTACCTTAAGTAGCCATTGTTCCACTTCTCTGGGTAGCGCGAGGTAAGACACGGAACCACAGCAGCGCAAAGATGCCTATGTTGGGTATCGCAGTCATGTCGAACGCCCAGGATGCCTTGCAGCACGACACTAGAATATCCCAAACCGCGTCGCATGGATACACTTGGAATCTGTATATCTAAGGTACAATCGTAATTTCATCCATCCGTCATCATGATTTCGTAATCTCCTCCTGTTCGGTTGCCTGTTGCAAGACCTTCTATCCTGAAACCGACCCCAGATCAGGTCGCCTCTTGTGCCTGTGGTCGCTTCTCATGGTCTGCAGACTTCAGCGTAGTCAATGACAGGGTGTTCATCTTCTCTACACTCTTCGAAAGTTGCGCTTCGAAATCGTTGGTTTCGTTCTCTTTCAGTGCTTGCGCATGCTGCTGAGAATGTTGCTGCGCATGTTGTTGCACATGTTGCTGTTGTGCTTGGTGCTCCTTGCCCACTCCCTCGAGTTCCTTCAGTCGTGCTGCGGTTTCCTTTGCCTGCTTCTCCTCCAGCTTTTCCCACTCCTCCTTCTCCAATGCCTCCAACTCTTCGTCAACCTCAAGCTCATTCGCCTCGGCTTCCTGGCCAGATGCGAGCGGCTCCGCGAGCACGTCTTGCACCTCGCCTGTTTTCTGCATCTCTTCCCGTAGCTCGTCTAATACAGCGTCTACGCTGTCTATGCTGCCGACTTTGGAATTGAGGGACTTCAGTGCTGAGGTGGATTGCTGTAGCGTATTGACGATGTCGGCCTGGCTGGCTGCGTTCTCGATCTGAGTATATACTTCTTCCAGTTGGCGAAGGGTTGCGGTACGTTGCTCGAGTGTGCGCTCGGCTGCTTTCCTGGAGCGAAGGGCTGCGAGGGCTATCGTCTTATTGTTCTGCGTGACGGCGGACTTCGCGCGCAGGTTCTGGGTGGATATGGTGCCTTCCAAGTTCTGAATCTGTACAGTCATAGATGAGATGAGCGACTTGAGGTTGGCAATTGCGTTGTCTTCTTGTGAGACGGGCTCAGGTCGTGAGGGCGAACCGGCAGGCTTGAGTTTGACTGTTGTCGAGTTGTAGCTAAGAAGACCCTGGTCGCGCCAGAGGTACAGCAGTAGCACTTCAAGATCCTTTGCCGACAGAGAGCCAGACGCGTTTGAGGACGACAGCAGCTTGGCCATCTCGGTTGTAAAAGCATCTCGAGTGAATATCCGGTCGACCAGAGAGTTCAAGTTCTGTCGTTGCTGCCAGGCTGTGACTTTCTTGTTAATATCTTCCAGTACTGGTAGCAGTACCAGATTGCCAGGCCTCAGATCCCCACGCTTGTCATACGTGGTGTTCCCAAGCAGCCCTGCCGTGCGCAGACTCCAGCTCAATATCGACCAGGGACTAGGTATCCATGACTTTGCGTATATGCTTTTCTCGGACTTCGTGAATTCTACCAAGTCTATCATCTGCTTCTCGCGAACAGCTTCATCCAGAACGGCACCGAGGCCGACGGGTCTGCCATAGGTCGGCGATGAAAGCGCGTTGAGCAGGTCAGTTGACGTGGAGAGGATGAACCGCTGTTCAGTGGGTAGGTTGCCTGCTACGGCTAGTCGTAGCAGGGCTGATGTCCATGCTTGCGCGTTGGCCGCGAAGCCTTCTGGATTGGTGTTGCGTAGGTTTGTCAGGTCGGAATACAGAGATGGAAGACGCGATTCTCGGAAAAAAGGCTCATTCTGGAGCAGATACTGCACGAGAGACATGCTGTGTAGAGCGCCTTCCGGCTTCCTCGGGTTGAGGAAAGGACTCAGTGCTCTCCTGGGCTGAGTGGCAGGATCACTGCACGCGCCTACGCAAATGCGACAATGCCGTCATTTGATCTGATCTGCTATAAGGCAACTGCCCCCACAGGCAACGTTAGCGCCTTCTTGGCCACGGGAGTGGGAACTAGAACATTTCAAGATCCTTCGACCCGGTGGCCCTTACAAAGCTTGCAGGTCGCGAACCAAGTCGTACTTCTGCAAAGAAGATGCGACTCCCGATGCCTGCTGTGAGACTATTTGGAGCTTGCGGGTCCCGTACCTGTTTGAATGCGGCAGATTATGCTAACACCCGAGGCACGGTATCAGGACCACTCCGGCAGAAGGCGATGACCAAGCCTTCCATCTAGGTAAGAGCCGAAGCGCGTTTCATGTTCGAAAAGATCTATCAAAATGCGAGCGGTCGCTCGGTCCAATTCACGGATAGTCGTACACGCTGAGTCTGGACGCAGCGCTAGATCGCGTTTCATGATTTCATTCCAGCATCTTCGAAGCTGAGAGTTTTGAGACTACCTAATCCTACGGAAGGCAAATGGGTAGCTTCTTATGTCAGCCGCCTAACTTCGTGAAGGCGACCCTGGCCGGACTGCCACCGACTGGTCGCATGCTATACCTGTCTGAGGGAAAGGGCTCTCACAGGATGGCGATAAAGACGAGACCTATGCTGACCTTGAGGCTTGAGACACTGTCATAGAGATCCACAGCACTCTCAAGCTCCATGAAACGCTCTGGAGCAGACCTCAAGCAAGACAACGTATTTTGTGCTAATGCGTAATCGGAAATGTTTTTACACTTTTGGGCATTTTAGCGGACTTGCATAGTCTTTACGAGGCCAACCCTCCCAAGGAAGGCAGGTGGCCAGATCCTTACGACTTACCGACGCAACCTTGTTCATGTAGGACCACTTATTGCACAGAACATCTGACTATGCATGCTTGCGGAAGCACAATATGCCTAGCGCCGTGACGTTCACGTTGGAGCTGACAGCAAGCGAAGTCAAAGGTCTGTCGTATATAAGGATATGCAGTCACTTCCGGTCGACCTCGCAAATACCAGGACTACCAAACGACAGCAAGGGAAAATTTAGTGTCTCGTAGCATATCAAGGAATCGCAGCCGCAACGCAACGTCGAGAGCTCGACCACGAACCTCGCCACCATGGCCACAACAACTGAAACCATTACCAAGACGGCTAACAATGTCGCCACAACCCCAGACCTACCCAGCCCTTTCGCATCCCGCTATGAGATCCGCCGTCTGACCGAGAAAGACATTCCCGTCGCCGCCGCCATCATGCTACACACCAACATCTTCAGCTCTACAGTATGGACTCATGTCTACCCCGAGCATAGCACGCGGCTCAACATCATCTACGACGGAATGCCCGCCGCCGACTACCTCGTCCGCCACCAAGTCCTCTCCGGCCACAGCTTCGGCGTCTTCGACACAGAGTACAGATACCGCACAAGCTCCGCCGAAGCCGCGGCCGGCGAACTCCAATGGGACCTCACCAACCGCCCCGACCTCACCGCAGAAGAACTTGATGCCCAGATCGACAGCCCTATCATGTCCATCGCCCTCTCCTACGACGGTTTCAACCCCCTCGATATGTCCAAACTCGCAGCCCTGATCGGCTTGTTGCCGCTCTACGGCGCCATCTTCCACCGCTTCGACACCACGGACCCGCGCGACCCTGAATCGTACAAGCCAACAGCCGAGAAGCAGATCTTGATGCGCAACAGTACTTCCACCCGCGTTCCCGCGCAAGGCTTAGGCATCATGAGCAAAATGGCAAATTGGCTGATGCTGTATGCGCAGAAGCAAGGCTTTAAGCACATCAACATTGAGGCGTTTAGTGAAGTAGTAGGGCAAGTGTGGCGGAATCCCAAGGGGAAGGGGATGAGTGCCATTGAGCCGACGGCGTTCCGAGTGGAGGATTTTAAGGCCGTCAATGAGAAGGGCGAGATCTATCGGCCTTTTGGAGAGAAGTGTGTGCAGAGAGTTTGTCGAGTGTTCGTGAATTTGTAGAATGGCGAGTTGCAGTATTTCTGTGTCTACAGACAAGGATACAGAAATCGCCCTCGAGCTATATGACACCAAACCGGCCTCTAGATGCTGTCCGGCGGGGTGAACCAGTAAACCTCTCCCCAGATGACCAACCCAGCAACAGTGGTCTGCATCACCAACGGTATAAAGTTCACCATCGCAAACTTCCTCGCACTAACCACAACCCCCTTATCACTCAACAAGCCCCTCCACAGTAAGCCCGCCAAACTCCCGGCGAACGTATAGCTGAATGCCCCCAGATTACTGCCCATCGCGACCGCGTACACGCTGCCCCACAGCACTCTTGGATCCCGCAATACCGCTTCGGATTCCATGAATTGTGGACTTCGTAGGACCTCCACCAAAAGGATGGTGGCACCGATGTTGGTGCCGGCGAGCGGACACAAGAAGGCAGCGGAGATGAAGGCCATGAACATAATGGCGGCCAAGGGAGAAGGAGCGCAGGCGCGGGCGAAGCCGATGGCGAAAACGCGGACCCAGCCGCGCTGGGAGAGGCCACGGACCAGGATGAATTCGCACATGGCGAAGGGGAGGAGCGGGATCGGGAGGCGGTGGAGAGTGAGGGTTGTTGAGGGAAACCGGTACGTCATGGACGAGAGGAGGTGCGTTAGTGTGCCAGGAGTCTTGGGCACGTCGTGCAGAGTTTCTTCGTCTTGGGTTGATGGCTGCTGATTTGCTGTGTCGGCTTTCTCAGTTGCTGGAGCCGTACTGGAGGGTGGTTTTCTTGAGTCGTTGGCGATGGAGTTGTGTGATGAGGCTGTGCGTGACAATTGCCGTCTAGTAGGGTAGTTGCTTGATGTGCGTGAGTCGTGTCGGGCGACTGGCTGCATTTCCGCGGCTGCGTCGTTCTTCTGTGTGTCGCGATATCTCTCGAGAGTCTTTTGGTATAGAGAATCACGCAGAAGATTGAATGTGAATGCCAGGATTCCAGCTGGCGCAGTAACCATCCATACTTCAACAGCATGGCCAGGCACGAAGCTCGTGCCGACCAATACTACAACCGTCACCACCATTAGCACACTCAAGAATATCGCTCCTGTCCGATCGCGCAACTTGACCCAAGGATCTTCCGTCAAAGGCGTCAACTTCTTTGGTATCCTCTTGTGGAACATAGCGTAGACAATTGGATAGTTCAAGACAGCTGGAATGATGGTCGGCAGGATTGTCCACTTGGTAAAGCCAGTCAAGAAGTTCAGATTGAAACTCCCCGCGATCAAAATGTTGGTCGGATTTGAGCTGACCAACACCGCGCTTGCCGTGTTCGCTGCCATGAACTCCGAGAAGATCCACGCTGTGGGTTCTAGACCGGTGCTGCTCGTCAGGTAGGCCAAGAAGGGTGTGCCAGACAGGATGAGTGGATCGTTGCCCACTATGCAGCCAACGAGAAAGAAGAAAGCATACAGATAGAAGAACAGCAGCCGTCCTGAACTTCCACCCTGCTTCGACACCCAGAATGCAATAGCCTCTAGTGCTCCTGTCCCGTCTAACGCTATCGAGATATATGCCAGCGAGATGAACAGCACCAGCACCTCGTAGGGCTTGACGTTCTCATCACCCACGATTCCGAGTCTAATGGTGCTCCCGTTGATAGTTGTGGTTGCCAATAGTAAGAGGACTCCGATCAGTGGCGCAGTAAGAAGCGAGAGCGTGAAGTGTAGTCGTTGTTCGCTGAGAACTTTCCGCTCCGGTTCACCAATGATACGACATCGGACGAGAGCTTTGAGTAGCGGGCGTTGCAAGAAGCCGAGTAGCGGAATTTGTATAGGGAAGATGACGAAGAACGAAACCATACAGAACACCGCAAGTATCAGGCCGCTGTGGCCGTTGAGGTGCTCCTGGTTGATGTCCGCCATACTTCAGTCCAGTGGTGTCCGACGTGTTAATTTGGTGGCTGCAGTGCGGTCTGCCGTAAAGCTGCGCTCTAGGAGCGAGGTGCAGTGAGGCGGCGCATGTCTTGTAGCAGCAGAAGCTGGAAACTGCGATCCTGAAATTTGCCCAAGGCAACATCCATGAACGAAGAAAACAAACCTCAAACTCGCCGTCACGAATCCACGTCCTCCTTCCTACGAAGTCGCCAAGTACGTCACATTAAACATTTTTCAATGTCAACCGCCAAACCTGGCCTCTAACCACTCGTGAGCTAAGCCACCTCGGCGCGAGTACATGTGACGCAGCGAAGGTTTACCATTCGTGGGCGCGCGGGCGGCCAAGGCAGAACGATGAGAAAACGCCACATCCCCGGCATCAGACGCATTAAAGTTGATACGAAAAGTCAGATCAAGCGGCTTAGTACGCGGGCGGGTAGATGAAATTGACGTTGTTGACATGCCTTCAGTCTGCCAGCAATGAGCTGCGCAGCCCACGAGATACTTAGACCTATGCAAATTTGGCAGTGGCTGGCGGCGACAGACTGTCGCTAGACGGGAATATGGCCTCAGAGGCATGCTACTGTCCGTGATCACACTGAAGAATCAATGCTCCTCCTGTATTCGAAGCACATGAGTGGTTGTTTGTCAGTTATCAACGATCGGTCCATGTTCCTTTTATCTAATCAGTGCCAGTTCCTGTCTCTCAAATGCCAGCCGTACTCCTCGCTAGTAAATTCCGTTCTCATGAATCCATTCCAATTCGTTAAGAGTGCCCGGCCAAGCAATAGCGCTGCACCACAACCCATGTTGGAAATCCTACGCCCATCGAAACGTCCAGATGAGCCCCGTGTATCCCTCCTTGGGCGAAAGACGCTCACCCCACCATTTCCGTACATACCGATGTGACTGTGCGAGAGCCTCGCCATGCACCTTATGTTTCTCCTCCGCCCTCATCTCCCCACTGCGAGCAAGCCAGCCGTTCAGATTCTCAACAAGATCTTCGAGCATCTCAACTTTGGGCTTGTTCCCTTTCTCTTTGGCGTCATTGAGAAGGGCTTCGTAAGTCTGATGCAACCGTCGCATGCAAGATTCCGCGTTATCGTAATCGCGCTTTCGTGTGAAGAGGGTAAGTAGCATCTCGTTGATGCGAATGTTCCACTCCGCGATTGGAGTTGCGCAAGGTAGGCGGAAGGCAAGCAGACCGCTCAAGATAGCATTGTCGATTGCTTCCAATCCTTCGAGCCTTGTAGTCCGCGTTCCGGCGGGTGGCAGGATCAGCTCGTGCGCCTGACTCGCCACAACTGCTTCTGCAACGATGGGTGACTCCTGAACCGTGGTTTTCGTGGGAAGATCAAGGTCTTGTCGCTGGACGGAGGTACCGAGATCCACACTAGAGTTTCTCGACTGACTGGCTTCTGTCGAGGGCGTGTGAGATGTTGTTCTCCGCAGTTGCGGAAACTCGAATATCGCACCGCTGCGCAATTCGCACAATCTGAACGCACTGATCGCGATCAGCTTACAAATCCGATTTATTCCATCTGGCATCTTGGTGGAAACATCGACCAGCTTGGCTGTCCTCGTGCGCACGACGCTGCAGGCTTCGTAGCATATGCGTTCGTAGAGTGTTTCGGCTGTACAATATCGATTTTGTAGGACCATCGTGTCCGCATGCGAGTTCAAAGTCTCGAGGCTGGCACATACGACAGCGTAAATGTTGATGTTGGTCACCTCTGGATACAGACGTTCGCTATGGGAGAGAAAGTCGCTCAGACGACGTTGGCTCCCGTCATCAGCTTCTGCAACATTGACGCGTATAGAGTCAATGAATTCATGTAGCCACGGAATGGCACCTCGCTTCACCAGCCGATCAGCAAATGAAGATCTCTGCCGTGACTCGTCACCAGTCACAAGCAGATTGAACCGCATTCCTCGCACCCAAGTGCTCTTTACCATGATCCACAGTGCATGCAAGAGGCTATAGCCGTCGCTACTGCTGCAGACGTAGAATGGCGTCGTGGCTGTCGAGTTCTTGCCTTGGATAATCAGATCCGGATTGAACGATGCAAGACGTGACAAGCTGCTATCGCTATCAGTGGCTTCGCTCGTTCGATGCACGTCAGGCGCTTTTCTAGCTGCAATCACGAGTCTGTCTGGTGTTATCCGACCAAACAGTGGTATGCCGTAATTCCTGAATCGCCCCGAAAGTCCCGGTATGCCGAATTGCATAGCGATGAAGCTGTTCTCGTGGTACAGTACAGACAGCGCCTCGTAATATACGGTCTTGCAGACTCGCAGGACGGCGGCATGTATCCTGCAAGTATGGTATTGTGGAAGCACTCCGTTTATCTCTAACCTGCTCTTGTGACGGAACTGTGGTGCTTCGAGAATGTGGCGTGGATCGAGACCTAGCAGGTGGTCTATACTTCCGGGAGCTAAGCGTCGATTGTGGCTCTGGCGATTGCGTTCGAACAGAAGGAGGAAGCGCAGTATCTTCAGGCGTAACTCGACAGGGAGGTCCAGCAGTCCAGCAGACTTCTTGCTCCTTGTTGAGTCTGGAGCAACAGCGCTCTGACTGTCGAGACCCAGCCTTCATCACAAGCCAGAATCAGCCGTAGAGTCACCACCTCTTTGCTGTGCAACGGCATCGTGAATGATGAAAGTCCTCTGCGGAAGCTCACGTCATCGACGCCGCCGTACGTCTTTAGATCATGTAAGAGAGAACTGCAGGTGCTTCTCTCGCGAAGGCATGCCTGTGGGACGGACTACACTGTTCATTGCAGGTTGCTTAGCTGGACGGCAGAGCATGGATCTGCCTTGGAATGGGTACGGATGCGGCTCAAGAGCCTAAGTGAGACAATAACTTCTCGAGCAAGATATAGATTCCGAAGTTTCAGTATTCAGCGACAGCGTCCCGCAAGAAGGGATTTGAGAAGGTCAGCGATAGTGGAAGCATAGGATAGTATAAAGGCAGCTAGGCACGACTTGAGGTGAAGTGAGAGCATTCCCATAGAGCCCCAAGCCCCAACTTGAGACTCGCCTTGCCCCGCCAAGCTGAGTGACGCTCAGGCTGCCCTGGGTATCTTAGGTAATCACCGGGTCGCAAAGCCGAAGTCCACCTTCCCCCAGATCAACGCCGCTCTCGCTACCAATTTAGAGAAACCTTACATTCAAGATCATCACAGGTCAATGTCACTATAGGTCATGATTCGTGCGCAAGCGCAGTTATATGGACGGAATATAGAGGCCAGCCATCAATCTATGTTTCGTACACACCTGGGCATGTCCCCAAGATATGATCAAGTCTATTTATCGGCGATGAAGAGGCCGCGGAGGAATTGATATTCCGGCCAATTACTCGGTAGCTGCGCTACATCACAGGTTGCTTTCACAGCGTCATACCCGCCCTCCCTCATCCCTGGCTGCAGCAAGTGAGTCAATTCCATATGATGCCGTCGGGAGATACTTTGCAAAGTCTGGGTTGCTGTACGTCTCCTTCACGGCGCTCTCTGTCGTCGCGGGAAACCTGCTGCTCGGATGCATCCGGGCACGCAAATAGCCTAGGCTTGACCTTCGTCCCTGCGTTCGGTGCCCTGGCATCGGTCAAGCTGTGATTTCGGTGGGCACAATAACCAACGATCAACATCGGTGCGGCGACCGCGGCTCATGTTCCGCCCTCAAGGTCTTCGATTTTCTTCGTCAAACGCTCGATCAATTGGGAATTAAGCTCGATCTGCTCGTCCATATGTCGCGCGTTGAGCTCCATTTCGTTGACGTATTTGATCGCGTTGGCAATGATCTCCTGCTTCGAGATTCTGGCTGATGCTTGATCTCCTCTTCTGAGCATGGGCAGTCTTTTGGTTTCGAGAAGAGCATCGTGGAGCTGTAATATCTTGTTGTTCAGGTTCTCGCGATACTTCTTCTCGATGATCGAATGTGGCCGTGTCGACCACGTTTTGTGCTTTTTGTGTGTGGAAGGCATGTCGGGGCTTGCCATTCTAGGCTTCGATTTTGTCTTGGGATGGGATCGTGGTGTAACAGTATGTTCTGGCATTGAGGATGTCGCAGAGTCGTTGGTTGTGATTTGAGACCATTGCGAGTCTCGCGAATCCCGTCTGCGTGACGTCTGTGGAAGACCTCGTCCGATCTCCTCTCTGTCCAAATGCATGCGTGGATCGCCATGCTCCGGCTGTGGAACAGCGTTTTGCTCAAAAGTGTTGGCCGTCCCCGACCATTGCTGTGTGTATGTGCCCGTCGCAGTGCTACCGTAAGCATAAGGCATGCTCGCTGGAGCTATTGAGTAAGGGTTTAGTAGCCCACTTGCGGCCATGTTCGACTGGTTGTTGATGTTGTGATCTAGACGGCCGCTCGACCATCTCATACCATTCGGGAGGCCTGCGGCAGTGTTTGCAGCCAGTGTCCGTTCCTCAGCCTCATACTGAGCTGGGTCGTTGAGGAGCCCAGCACCATAGAAATATGCTTGCTGAGACTGGCCATAGTCGCCCATACTCTGGATCACAACACTCATCTGGCTGGACTCAAGAACGAACTACACGTCGAATGCACACAAAACGATTTCAGAAAGAGCAAAAGGACAACGGGAGGAAGGGTTTCCCAGGTACTGTCGGTACTTAGCTTATAGACGGCGGATTTGTCGAAAGCTCGGACTCAGCCTGGCCATTCCGTGCATGAAAGGCGTCCGCCGATTTCCAGAAGCTTTTCATATTGACAAGGCCGAACTTAGTCGATCGAATGATGTCTGAGCTGCAGCAAGAGCCATGTGGTTGGCAGATGCGTGCGCGACGTCAAAATATGAGGCGTCGCGAGAAATGGAAATAGTGGTCCAGACCAAAGGCTCGATCCCACAGACAGATCTCCGATGTCCCTGCCCACGTGGTTGACAGAGTTGACATCCCTGCCTGAAGACCCACCACATCTGCTTCCGGGAAAGTTTGCATACCAGAGATCCGAATCCGAAGTATTCCGTTTCTGCGAGAGATCTCCGGCGTCCGACCGACTGCCTGGTCATTGAATAGAAGCGGACGCATGCATTTGTAAAAAGCAAAGCAGTCTGTTGAAAGATCACGCGCGCAAAGACAGAAGCAATTTGATATATATCGAGGACATCTTGCGTCCCTTTTTGGTACTGTACAGGCTTCTGCAGTCTAGCTCGTTGCACCAGATCGCGGTGAATTTCATTTCATCTCGAACTCCAAAGAATCTTTTCCATAACTTCGTAAGGTGAGCCCTCAGATGACGGCTTTTTATCGGGATCTTCCTGTTGCCTTTCGGGATTCATGATTGCGTCGGCTGTCATGCTCGGCTCCCAGGTTGTTGTCGATACGCTCCTTGACATTTGACGCTCCAGTATGCCATCATTGAGCCGGGACAAAGCAGTGATAGCACGGGCGATCGGAGCCGACTCCTCAGTTGGATCCTCAGAAGAGTTGACACTGCTCATGACCGAAATGAGTTTGTCCAACAACATGTGTACACGTTGATTGTGACGTGGTTGTTTTAGGATGCCCAGCAGCAACGCAGAACTCAGCCCCCGATGGATTGCGGCCCATGACTGCGTAGCGAATCGCGTCAAGCTCTGGAGACCAAGGAAAGCATCCACAGTGTCCGCAAGGTGGTCCAGACATATGTTTCGCAGGCTCTGGAGCTCGCTGGGTGTGCCTTTACGGCGCATGGTGGCACGGTAGAGCTCGGAGAGAATATACGATCTGTGCATATACAAGTTCCAGTGCTCAAGCTGATCTCGCGGCGACCTACACGCGGTGGAATCCCGAAGGTGATGCACGGCATGCTCCATCATACGTTCGAGCTCATCTCGGTGAGTGTGAATCCGCGCAAGCTCAGCCTTGAAATCAGTGTGATGAGTCCGCTCTCGCACAATTTCGAGGCCGATAGTGCAAAGGATCTTCATACACTCGATGTACGACAAACGCCCTGCGTCCAAAGCTCTCAGAGATTTGTGGTGACTAATGGTCGGCGTGGATGAGGCACGATCATATCTATGAGTCTGGTCAGCCTACACCAGGGCTTGAAACATGGAGAAATTCGCTAGATGCAGAAAGCATGGGGGCTGTCCGGCACGCGACAGTACTTACGTGATCGAAAGAAGACTGTCCTGCCAGACTATACGCCACCTGCAGGAAAGTTAGCTACCCCGAACGACAGGCCATGCGGGATCTTACCAGATCTCCTCGCGCAAGGCGCCATCGGCGTCTACAACCTTGGTCTTCTGGTGTAATCCGAGGCTCTGGCCGAGTCTTATGGTCAACCCTGGACCATGTCAGCACCAACTCGCTTCCAACCCACGGCATCGACACGGCCGGAAAGTGCTTACCGAGAAACGACCATGCCACACCGGCATTCATGTTGTTGGACACAACATTTCCGAGTATCAGCATGTTCTGGATATTGAGCAGAGTAGCGGTGGACAGATAGTTGACAATGCGCAGACACTCGTAAGCACAACAGACTGTGGTCAGGTCAGTGCGCGCTAAACTCCAGATGTAAGACGACAACGTACCATAGACCTGACAGGTAAGTTGTCGTTGCTTTCTTGGAACACTGGAGCACTGATATCCTGACGCCAAAATGGCAAACAGAAGACCGACCCAGTGTAGAGTTTTCCCGTAGACATCCTGTATGGATATACTGCCGGGTTGCGGTTTGCTGTTCGCACCCGCCCTTTTGATTAGGAAACGAGTCAGGTCATTTTCGAACTGATTGATGTCAACCACAGCAGGGAAGATGATGTGGGCGGTGTCTCGATAGGACTTGAAATACTGCAAACAGTCGTCGTCGCTTGGCAATAACTTGCACAGACCTTCGAGTCTGGCATAGGAACCGTGTGGAAGACCCCAGAGATCGACAAACGGATAGGTGGCGCTTTCGTTATCTAGACCAAAGATGGGCAATATACTCTTGCCAAGAAGGCCTTCGATCGCGTCCTCCTGTTGGCTACCACCGCCTAGCGCTACGACCATGGCGGGAACAGAATTTCCACCTAAATGTACAGTTGCGCCTGTCATGGCATTGCTGGTATGGAGGCCAATCGCGTCCTCGTCAAGATCATCACTCTCGGAGTCGTGCTCAGGAGGTTCGTGAGACGACCGTCCCAAACGGCCTTGTCGAGGTGGCACATAATTGCTGACAAACTTGGCAAATTCGTCGCGTAGCTCCTGCAATGATTGTTCTATCGTAGCAAGCCGCTCACTGACAGAAATGCTGACCAGATTTTCGGTGGTCTGATGAACGTAGGACGTGGAGGGGGCCGTTGTGACGCTCGTCGCGGGTTCTCGCGTGCCTACATTGGGCCTTTTCGAAATGGGCTCATACAAGCACAACTCCGGGTGATCGCGATCGACGCATTTCTGACAAGGCTTTGCATAATTGCAGCCAACTTTGCGCTGACGACATGGGTAGCACGCTTTTTGGCCTCTTGATTTTCTCTTCCGTCTCAGGCGTTCATTAATTTCTTCTTGTGTCAAAGCAACAGTCTGCTGTTCAGGTAGCGGTGAGTCGCCAATTTTGATGATCGTTGAGTCGCGGTCGATGGGATCCATTGTGTAAACTTAATACAAAGTAGGGAAGATCCGCGTTCTGGGCTGTGGTCCAAGATCCAAAAGTCTGGAGCGAGAGAGAGGGGATGAGCTCTGAAGTCTGGGCGCCGCCCTAACCTCGAAAGTTGACTCCAACTTGACAGTTTCAGGCCTAGTCCCAGTTGAAGATAGGCCAAGCATGCTTGTTGCCTCGCTACCACTTCGCTCGCTTGCATCGATCATCGGTGCGGAACAACGCTCCCCGTCCATCGAGATACTGTACCAAAATATGCGACGCACGATGCAATCATCTGTGGGAGCTTACCTGCACATAGGAATCCCTGGACTGCGATCACGCAAACGAAACATAAACCAGAACATGCGCGTGTCAAGACATTACTGGTGTCGACCGCGCCAAAAGAGGCCTTCTATTGCATATGGCAACCCAAGCAGACTCAACCCACCACTGTAGAGGTCGAAAGCACATGTCATCGCCTCTAGCCGAACCTTCTCGGGAAGGCTTCGAGAAGTTCACCTGTCCACGTTGGGTCCAGCACGTGGCACGGGAGTACTTCTGGTTTCTTCCAATCCACAAGTGCTGCAACAGCGGCTGCTCACCGTTGAGAGCAATAATGAAGCGGCACTTGATTCCTGTCAATATTCTGTCAGCAAGTCAGCAGCACAAGACAAGCTGATATGCGCGGGATTCAAATCCGTCTAGTGCTTGATGTGGTTCGGTGTGGCTCGAGTCTCTTGAGCGATGCCCCAAGGAAAGACATCCCTCATACATTTCGACGCGTCGAAATGGTACAAGAAGGTATATGCTCTGCGCTACTGACCGTGATGTATAAGGCGTCGTGCTGCTGCTCGACGACTGCTAGGTCCGAGTGGGGCCGAATCGACTCAACGGAACAAACTTGCTCCGCACCGATCGCAAAGACATGATTGGCTGCGAAATGACAACCCATCACTTAGCTACTATTTCTGGCCCTGCTTTAAGCGCCCGCCTTGAGCGGTTCGCATCTGGCGGGGATACCAAGGCCAAATGACAGCGAACCAGATCGTCGACCCTGCGCATCATTTCACCAGAACTTGATTGCTCTTGGTCTGGCGTGTCGCTCACCGCGTTCATTATTGGCTACTATTGACTATGGCTTGCATTTCTGGAAAGAACGTATGCGGTCGGCCAACAACCTTCCAATGAGATGCAAGACCCCGTGAGACAGCAACAAGATACATGTTAAACCCCACCTACCTCGAGGAACATGGTCGTCAGGGCGTCAAGGTATGTTCCACAGCGCATGCGATCTCACCTTCCCTCTAGCAATAGCATGAACTGAACAAAACACGCCACACGACCGCATCGTGGTCCGCTCGCGTCTGCATTGTCAATCTTGCTGTCGCTGCTGGTCACCGTCAGTGTCTGTTCCTTTCGCAAACTAATTGAGCCAGCCGTTGACCGGCTCGGTCGTTGAACTTACCATACTTACAATACTCGCCATCCAGCACACTCGTTTCGTTGACGCCTGTCCCATTGCGCACACTGATACGGCCGGTCCGGATCAGTGAAGCCATGGATCTCCTACCACCCGCCACATACCTCTCCCGGCAGGCCAGGAGAATGTCTCTTAATACCATCAAGGAAGAATCGGAAGGATCTTCGAAGAGTGACAGCGAAGGCTCTGCCAGCGACCGAACTATTGTAGGAAAGCCGGCCGGATGGAATTCGCAGATGTTCGTTGCCGCTCCTCGAAGATCCAGCAAATTGGCAAACTATGTCACGCCCTCTTCTCCCACTTCTCCGATCAGCGAGTCACCATGCAGCAGCGCTGGACCAGGCAAGGAAGCTGGTACTCGAAGCTCGTATGCACAAAGCGATATCGGCACAGTCTTCAGTGATGAGAGCTGTCCTTCTCTCGCTAGTGATCCAACAACGTTCGCAACGGAATCGAGTCGGAACAGCATCGCAAGTAGCAAGACAGGCCGGAACCGATATCCAGCCCTGCTCATCCCGCGGGGCTCATGGTCAACTGAGGGTTCGATCAAGGAGATCGCGCTGGGAATGTCGCCAATCAAGTCCGCGATGGTGCTCTCTCCCGAAGCACTTTCTCAGTTATCCCAACAGTTGGCGCCCGAAACCCAGCCGCCATCACTAGGAGCACAAGCAGTCTTGCCTCCTCTTCGCCCTGCCTGGCGCAGATCAGCGCTCCGGGAACGCCGGATAGTCGACAGCTCGATGTTGTCGAAGGGCAATCTTGGGGCCACCCGGAATCAACATCAGCTCACTTGGAAATCGCGATCGATGAGGACCACAGCATCATCATAAGCCCTGTCGACAACCCTCCCACACCTGTGGGGCTGTTATCACCGGGCATGTACGAGACACTTCCTTCGGCACGGGAGCGGGAGTGGGGAGAAATGGTCACAAAATTTCCCGGCGTCCCTAAAGCGAGTGGCCAGCGAAGCGACAACCTGGTTTCTGGACCGATGGACCGTCGAGTTGAGCTCCTGCGCACAAACTCAGTTGCCAGCGGATCTGGGGTGATGCTCTCGAAAGATGCTCTTCAGGTACTGCAGCGGATCACGGAGCCCGTCAGTCCGGACAGATCATCTAGCTCTTCCCAGACGCCAGGCCGGGCCGGCGAGATGCGCGAGACGAGCGAAGGCGGTAGTCTGAGTCGCAGTCGGAGCCTGGAAGACATGACCCCTGCGACAGAAACAAGTGTAGCCAAGTTGTCGGACTACAGCTTCACACAGCTCAGCATCCCTTCGCCTGGCGGGTTCTTCTCCTCGCTGCAGGCCGGAAGTCGCCAAACGTGGTGCATGAACCGTTCTGTCTCCAACAACAGCATGCCGACGTCCGCAGTCGCAGAGAATTTCTACTTCAATTGGCAACCGATTTCTAAAATCACCGAGACGAAGCTTGAGGTAGTTGATACCTCTGATACAGAGGGTCCGCCAACGGTAGAAGAATACTGCCTGCGGAGGGCACTGCCACTTCTGAAGCCGTCCCACCTGACCAATCATCAACCCGGCGGCCTCGCAGTCCGAGTCTGAGCACTACGGAGGAGGACGCAGATATGTACGGACCAGACCCGAACGAACCTACTTTCGCGGCGCCGGCAGAATCCGAATATGAAGAAGCCTACGAAGAGGAAATTCGGCAGACAGCAGAAGAGAATCTCGATCGCACGAGCAATTGGCTAGCTGCCCAGACTACCTACCTCTCCATCCTCCGAGAAACTAATCCTGCGAATAAGCCAGAGGACTACGCGCCGTCACCCATGCCAGCAGTGGATGATACATCCCCCGAAGGTTTGCGGCGAAGTGCTTCGGTTGCAGCGCACATCCAGAAGACAGTACGCTTTCTCGAGGCCGCCAAAGCGTCGGCTTCGCCTATATCCAGAGCCGACACAACTCCTGGTACTAGCCCAGGTAGTGACTCCAGTGGGAAGAGTCCTCTGTTCTACCAGGCTTTTGAGCATTTTCTCCAGCAAAACGGTACACGTGACGCGTTCTTGCACGCGGCAGCCCGTGTAGAAGCAGTCCGCGCCGCTCGCGTCGCTACTCCAGCGCGACATATCGAGAGCATCGCCGGGCGCATGAACAGCAACTCTGCCGAACGACCGAAGTACTCAGGTCCTTTCAGTGGCAACCCTCGAGCCACAGGTATCTTCGAACGGACCGAGGCTTCACTGGCGTACGAGACTGCGGAGCAGGAGCAACGCGCTATGCAGTCTATCCAGCACTCAGCCTGGCAAGTCGAAGCTCTCCGCACCACCTTTGGTGGCCGATTGTTTGCATCGCGCGTCGCACACGAACGAATCCGTAATAGAGCCACACTGTCCCTCAAAGACCCAGCTTGCGTTGGCGTCAAACGTCACCGTATTCTCGATCTCGGCGGTGACTCGAACGCTTCGTGGGGATGGGCCGCCGGTCACGAATACAGCAACATTAAGGTCTACACAGTAGTCACCAAAGAGCAGGCGTTTCACCAGCGGCCGGCTGGCGAACTCAAGCCATCTGGTCCTGAGAACCACCGCACTGTTTCTGTGCCCTGCCTGTGGGAATTGCCCTTCAAGACGAATCACTTCGATGCCATCTCCGCACGCAGTCTTCACGCCTTGCTCAAAGCCAACCCGGTGCCCACTTCACCAGACATAGATGAATGGACCATGACCCTCAAGGAATGCATGCGCATTCTCAAGCCTGGCGGCTATCTCGACTTCATCATCATGGACAGCTGCATCGCTCGCGCCGGCCCTCGTGGTGAGGCGTTGAGCGTCGAGTTCAGCTTCGACCTCCATCGTCGCGGCTATGAGCGCAACCCGGCACATACATGGCTGCGACGATTAAAGAAAGAAGGCTTTGTCGGCACGAAACGCGCGTGGATGTTCTGGCCTATGGGTCGGAAACCGGCTTGTGGTGGTAGTGATGGCGAACATCAAGGAGCGAGAGCGTTCCTACCGGCGCCGAGGCCTGTCAGTGAGGATTCGACGATCAGCAAGATCGTGAAGCAGTACATGGATGTTGAGGCGGTTCAGGGGCCGGTGGGTAGTACGCAGGATGCCGCGGATATGACGGGCTTGCTTGGCACAAGGATGTTTGAGGAGTGGTTGCTGAAGATCAGGCGGGAGACCGGGAGGGAGAGTATGCGTTTGTTGGAAGGGATCGATGAGGTGCTGGAGGAGGGCAAGGCTAATGGGGGAGGATATAGAGTGCTGGTTGGATGGGCTCGAAAGCCGAGGAATGTGTCGATGGCACCGACTAATGACAGGCCCGTGCGAGATGGATTGATTCAGGACACGGGGTTGAGAGAGCAGGTCTCTCCAGTGGCAGAGCGAGACTCGCCGCTGAAGGAGGAGATCCAGATCGTGCTTGACGAAAGGCTTGGTAGTACAAAAATACCTCTGAGGAGTAGTCAAGTGGGGATGGCGAGGTGATCTGATGAGTGAAGGCCGGGCATTCACTTTCGCTTTTATGCTGAGATAGAACTTCGACGATGGATATACACCTGACCATAGCGCAGGCGTCGGGTTGCCAGTAAGGAAGAACAGCGTCGTATTAAAGCACTCTACAACATTCTACCTGGCTGCGTTTGATGTGAAAACAGTGCTCTTGTATTGACGGGCAGAAACGTTGGTTCGCCTCCCGATCAGGCCTTTGCCAGCTCACAATTTTAAGAGATTCACGACCTCGCTTGACAAGCTCGACCCCAGTACATCAGAAGCATTGTTTCATTCACTGTTTGATGAAGAAACATTGCTATTCGATGACCGGGTCTGTCAATTGTCATCTGGCCGAGACGGTGTGGCCGCTTGTAGGCATTGGCGACCGGCTGTCCTGGCGCATCACACAGGACCGGACTTCTGAATAATACTTGCCATGGTGGACATGTTATGGACTGTGACTGCCGCGTTCGATGTGTGATGCTGGGGTGGCGCCTGCCGTCCGGAACAGTGTCAGCCGCTGGTTTACTAAGTACTTTCCTTTTCTCTTCTCGCGTCATCTCTTTCTGCCTCTCACTTCACATCACCAGCTCGACAGTCTGATCAGTACACGACATACACTCTTTGAACCCAGTCAGCCTTATCATTGCATTCTATACTAGCAGTAGTGTAAGCAGACATGGCTAGAAGACTCGGTCTCAACTTACTTCAACACCTGCACGGGCGCCTGCACGCTGAGACCGCCGTTAGTAGCATGCAGGAACGACTCGCCAGCGAAGCCGCCGTGGAGGACGCTGTGGCCAGGATTCGCGCAAAGCGTCCAGACTATGCAGAGATGCACGAGAGGTTGTATGGCACCCAAGAAGGCATAATCATGTGCGACCAGCCCGACTTCCAAGGCAGTACGTATCTCCTGACCGATGCATCCACGTCCGGCTAAACACAGCAGACTGTGACTTGATCCCACTTGAGCAGCGGAAATGGAGGCCGATACCAACACGAGAGATGTTGACCCTGGGCGAGTATGAGGCGCCTACGATCTTGGACTGTGAAAGTGAAGGCTGCTCGGCACCTTTGTGCCCCAAGAGCGCACCTATTTCACTTTCTCCTGACCGTGGAGTTGAGTGCTACTTGGTAAGCAATGCTGATACCATCAGTATCTGTACCCACTGACAGATAGATAGTTGTTCAACCGCACTGCCTCCGAAGCGAAAGAATATAACCCTCACTATGGTCCCATCTATTTCCCAGGCATCAGCAACCTAGCAGACATGCCTGGTCTTGCGAGTTGGTACCAATGCAAGGAAGGGGTTCCCCGCTGGATGGACTAGAGCTTAGGAGCGGACGGCCTGGGATTGAAGGCGACACGGAGCCCAGGCACGATGCTCACACAGGGATCGCCCTATGGCGGCCTTCAGTAGAGCCGCATGTGGAATCAGTTCGACCTGAGGCATTGGCTGGCCTTGATGATGGTGCGTTATCTTCAATGCCTCCCGAACTCTTTCTTCGTTCGACGCCGCCCTATGTCAGGAACAGGTAGCCTTTGTCACTTCACATGACTGTTTTCTTCAGTAGAGAGGCTGTCAAGAACATCCGTTTGAGCCAATCGCTAAGAGTTGATCGGTCACTGCCATGCTGAAGACCAGTGAGAGGACATTGGTGCTCTCAAGCGACTGAAAGCAGGAACTGCGCCTCACCGCATGGGCAAGTGATGCAGTACTTTGCCAGGCTTCCCCGTTGCGCTGGCAACCGTTGATGTGAGCTGGCCTATTTAATTGCCCACATCTCTCGCACTCAACAGATCGAAATCGCAAAACAATCTCGCACAATAAGCACATACCTACCAGATACCTCCAGGGGTTGCAATCAAGACCATGATGTCGATTCTAGTCCTTCTCTCCTCACTCATCGCAGCCGGCACGGCCACCATCTCTCCTTTCAATGAGACCGGTACAGTGAATGTAGCTGGCGACGGCGCTAAAGGTGTTTACGTCTGTAAGGATGCTAATTTCGAGCGTACCAATGGTAAGTTGACAGAAGTGCCTGCGACGACATCTCTCTCCTTCGGTTGATGACAGCCACTGATTTCGCAAAACTTTTCTAGGTTGTCAGTGGTGGGACATGAGAATGTATGGAGGCAAGTGCATCGCTCTCGGATGCGGCACATCTTCGAGCGGCGCCGCGAGCGGCCAACCTTTCGATCAATGCATGGTTCAGTCCATGGAGGGTATCTGGAAGTCATTTGGTCCTTATCAAGGCGTCAAGTGCAATCTGGTAAGGTCATTCTGAGTTTCTCTTCTCCAGATCTTCTGAACTGACCAGCGTCCGTCTGCAATAGTACTCGAGCTTCACCTGCAGCGAATCAATGAGATACAGAGAGATGACGTTCCCTGGTACTCCAGACCTGGTGGCGTGGTCCAAGGCAAAGGAACAAGGTGGTCCCGATAACGCCTTCCTTACGTACATCTGCACCATTGTGAACTGAGCTATGGCTGGCAATACCTCAGACAACTCTAGTTCATAACAATCTGCATGGGACCGTGGGTCGCGGAAGGCGATTATCACCGCGCCCTGAGTCTTCTGAGACGATCGAGCACCTTTGGGCTAGTCTCTGGGGCGTTACAGGATCAAATAGACACAAGGGAACACACACAGCGCAACGCTGGTCGATAATAGAGAAACTGAACTCACCTGAAATCCAACGTGTGTCCTTGTGCTAAGGCGCTATATTTCTGTTGCAAGTGTTGCCTCGTTCACTGAATGCGACTCGAGCTTAAGTATCGCCCACTGGTAAGATCCCAAGAATACTGCTCCTCCGGTGCTGATCCATCCTACCCTGGGAATGAAGCCCCTGAAGAAACCTCTGGCGCCATCCTGAGCCCAAATCTGCCGAGCGATCGCAACGACGCCTTTTCGGTCTGCCGCATTCTCCTCAGTGGCCCGCCGAGCGATCATGATCCTCGTCTTCAGTACGTCCAGAGGTGTAGTCAAGCCTGCCGCAACCGCTCCTGCCAAACTTCCAAACGCAGCACTCTCTAAGGTTGTACTTACTCCGCTCTCCCGTCCGTGCAGTCGGTTCTGCCGTGCTGAATATGCAGTCTTGAAATACTCCCACAAGCTGAATTGCACGATCGTGAACGGAATTTCGCGAATGATGGTAATGCCTCCTCCTCGATATAGCTCTTTCATCATGGCTACCACTCCGTGTGTCCTTCGCAGTCCAGTGATGTCTCGCAAAGCAAGCAGCGTAGAGCCACCAAACAGACCTGCTTGTGCGCGCTGTTTCACAACTTCGGTCGGTACGCGGATCACGCATGCAGCGATCTCGCCAAGTGAGGACGCAAGCATGTGAATATATGCCTGCTGGCTTCTTGACATGTCCGATCGGAGAGCACTTCTTTTGATGCCATCGTAGACTACGAAGAAAGATGCTGCGGAGGGCATAGACCCCAGGAGGTAGAAGGAAGGCCCGCATAGATGCTTCGGACAGTACCTGTCAGGGTATGCGTAGGAAGGATCGAGTTGGCGGCATGGGCTGGCTTGAGGTTCGATTGTAGACGGGTCTTGATTGTATCGATCGGGAACAGCGACACGTCAACCGTAAGGCCTGCTATGGCACCAGCCTTCAAAATGTCGTCAGCTCAGTGCCTGACAAGCTTCATGGGTAAACTGACCAGAAGCGACTGCGTCCATGGCGACGACACGTACGAGTTGGAGCTCCGCAAGCGGGAGTCACTCGCACTCATAAGGCTTCTCTCCGCGCTCCTCACTCCGAGGTCAGTTCGGGAAAACAGCTATCAGACTGGGAACGCTGGAGATCACGAGATGATGTTGTCGTTGGCGAGGCTTAAAAAAGGCGACGAGGCTGAACCGCCGAAGTCACGCCGGCGCAAATTGATGGAGTTCAGTCGGGCTATTCGTACGGAGTATAACACCTGCAACGAAAAGCTCGCGAACGAGACGCCTCACAGTCCAACGGAACAGCCTGTGCGCAAGATCCGGACGACTTACCCTCTCCCAGCACCAGATCTACGTCAATTATCGACGCGTCGGAGCAAGCTTCCTAGCTTCCCTCCTGGCATGCTTGAACCGCGAGGTTTGACATCCTACATACGGGTTGACGATGCATCTTCGACATTGCGCAGTAGAAAGCAATCTTGAATTTCGAAAGGCCCCGGACGAGGACAAGTTCGGGGCCTTCACAGCTAGCTTCAAGCAAACCCTGCAGACTGTATCGAGCTCATGCTCCCGTCACCTCTTGGCCCAGGCAGTCTCGCGCCCTTCTGGACACGATTCCGGCGTTATGTCATCGACAACAGACCCAGAGATGCTAGCAACCTTGGCCGGGAGCATGTCCCCAGGATTGGACTTTGCGTCAGTGGCGGACCAGATTCCATGGCACTAGCCTATCTCGTAAGCAAATACGTCGCTTTGCTGCGAGGCTGTCCAGCCGAAGAAATGTGTACGGCTTCGTTATTGACCATAACGCTAGGCCTGGAAGCAAGGCCGAGGCGGAAAGGGTTGCGGGTTGGCTAGAGGATATGGGCATTCAAGCAAGTGTTGAAACGATGGATTGGGAGAGGGACGACCCGGCTCGATTGACGAATTTCGAGCTAGAAGCCAGAGTCCGCCGTTATCGTCACTTGGGCATACATGCTAAGGAACGAAAGATTCATCACCTGTTCACTGGCCATCACAAAGACGACCAGATTGAGACATTGCTGATGCGGATGATAAGAGGCAGCAATCCGTCCCTGCTAGGCCTGTGTGGCATGCAGGAGACATCTCCAATCCCAGAATGCGCTTCATATCGCGGCATGCGAAACTTGGAGCCGTCGAGGCCACTGACGACCTTGCTGAGAGAGGCTCCTGCAGCATTTCGGAATGCCAGAGTGCACGCAGACACCCTGGTCGAGACACGTGTCGGCCAAGTCATCAATACAGGCATGGACTGGATCCGAGGACTGGAACACGGTGGCATCAAAATACATCGGCCTTTACTGGTGTTCTCCAAGGAGGAGTTGATTGCAACATGCCTTGCCAACGAGATCCCTTTCATCACTGACAAAACGAACTACGATCCTTCGTTCACGCAACGGAACGCGATCCGATCGATGCGGAAAGAAGAACTTCCACGAGCTCTGCAGCCTTCCTCACTACTCAAACTGGCCGAAACAGCGAGACAGACAAAGATCGAGATGCAAGCGCGCGCCTTAGACTTCTTGCGCCATGTCTCTGTGCTTGCCTTCGACTTTCGTTCAGGCACAGCTGATATCCGTCTGCCCCGCGATTTTGCGCCATTCGCCTTTCTGGACCGCAATGCTGCATCTATAGTCGTCGCTCAGTTGGCAAGCCTTGTCAGCCCAGTCTCTCTCGATGCGCAGCAGACCTTGGCGCCGTCTTCGATAGTTGAGCAGTTTGCTTGGGCTTCACAGAATGCCTATCGGGGCAACCCCTACAACAGGCCCGCCTTCCAAGAACGGCCAATAATCAGCTATGGCGACGTCCGGTTCCAAAGCTTACCCAGGCCTGATATAGCTTCCACCGTTTGGCAACTGTCGCGTGCACCTATGACGACCCAGAAATACGAGGAGTCAAAACGTACCCCAATACAGAGGATCCGTTATCCAGAGTTTCCGCCACGGAGCGACATCTTTGCAGATAATTACGTTACTGACCACAAGTTCGAAGAAGTGCTCGACCTCCACTCCCATGGCTGGAGCAAATGGTTGCTCTGGGATCACCGCTTCTGGATTCGAACTCGACTAGAAGATGTCAGTATGTTCAAACACGTGGAGGTGCGCGCCTACCAAAAATCCGACGTGGAGGTCTTGAGAGATCGAATGTCAGAAAAAGACTTCGGACAGCTCATAGATGTCCTGCAGCAGTGCGCGCCCGGCAAGATTAGATTCACTCTGCCAGTGTTGACGGTATTGGGCGAGGTAGTGGCTTTCCCGACGCTTTTTCGAACCCTGATCAATCAGGCAGGATACGATGCGAAGCTTGCCGAATTGGAGCTTGAACAGGCCCCTCGCCTCTTTTTCGAGGTTGCGTACAAATTGTTGCCAGAGAAGATAGCTGAATGGGGTTCAAAAGCCACCACGGTACATCAACCTCAAGCGCAACATTCGGGAGCCTACGATACGTTGCGGCATGTCACTGATCCTGAGCAACTGCGTCTCCATAAGCTACTGGCACACTATGTGAATAATTATGGTCCACTAGCGGAGGGCGTCAAGGACATGCCCTCCGCAGTGATTCAACCATCTGAGGTCAAACCGTCGCAGATTTCTTCGCAAGTCCAAAAGGAAAGAAAGATAGGGGCACAGAAGAAGAAAGAACGTCGTGGGCGCTTCCGCAGAAAGAACCTCGCGCGTCACGCCGCCGAAGCAACAACCTTCTGACCACCGCCGTACCTCCGACTCATATCCTCCGTCCCTTTTCCCGCATCCTCCGCAAACGCCTTGGTCCCAACGACGCCAGGCCTTCTTCCCAACGCCCTCCTGATGATCCAGTCCTTACTCTTCACCTCCTCCTCAACAGTGCCTGGCTCCAACTCTGGTATCATCTCGCTGTCCAGTCTCTTAAGTATCACATCATCCTCCGGCCGGTTGAAATACACAAGCGAATATCGCGTCACATCAGCCTGCTCGCCTGGCGGAGCGTTTACTCTGTGGATGTTACTCCGCAGACGTCCATTTGTAAATTTGACCATTGCATCGCCAAGATTAATGATTGCGTGGCCAGGCAGTGGCTTCACATAGCACCACTCGGCGTCACGACCGGGTGGGAGAACCTGCAGACCTCCCAGTCGATTGAACAGCACAGTCACGGAGCCAAAATCAGTATGCTCGCCCAGCGCGGTCCGGCGGTCGTCCTTTGGCTGTGGTGGGGCTTTGATGAAGCGCGTCTGATCTCCACTGATCCCCTCCAGACGGTGCATATTCTGCAGCGTACCCTTCGGAAGCTTCAGATGTTCATTCAACAGCTCCAGGACAAGCGAGACAACCTCATGCGCACCCCTTGTGAATCGCGCGAGCAGGTCACGCTGCTCGTCCAGCACCTTCGGCGCGGGCCACCTCGTACCCTGCTCGAGTACATCGTCCTTGGAGACGTTATAGAACTCATTTCGATCGAGGTTGCCCGCTTTGTCAATAACATTGGCGCCGAGGCCTTTGTAGCCGAAATACGAGTTGTGCGACTTCGAGAAGTCGTACTTTGTCTTCTCGGACACGGGAAGATCGAAAAGGGCTTCTCCCACGGAGAAGAGGCTGTCTGCGTCTCGGAGGAGGTTGGTGCCGAGTGGTGGAGAGGAGGAAGAGAGATCTAAATAGAAAAAGCCCAGGTCCTCGCAGGCGGCGGTGAAGCGGGCGATTTCTTTGGGGTCGCGGGAGAGGAGAGATGAGAGGGACAGGCGGAGCAGTGGAGCGGTCGGTACATTGTCTGGGAAGGGTGGTAGGTGTGAGAACTCTTGGACTGGTGCTGTGAGGGCTTCGGTGGCCATGGCGACTAGTATACTGGGTAGTGTCTGAGACAGGCCGAGTAGCCGCACACTTCAAATTGACGGCGAGGTGCAAGCAGGATGCTTAGATAGCGTCGAGCCCTTTGTACAATAATTCAGCAAGATCAAACTTCATTACCTACACTTTATGTTCGTAACGTTTCTCACTCCCCACGATCCCCGCGTCAGCGGCTCAGCGAGTAAGGAACTGTGCCGGGTCTCCTAAAGCCTAATTTTACGTCAACGGACATGCCCAAAGCCTGCCAGGACACCGCAGACATTGGCAAACAGCGAATCATGGGCGGGCAGTTGGAGGTCAAGACCGGTCTACCGAGGCTATACTACAGCAATATCAGTGAGTTGGCAGTGACGATATAGGGTTGATAGCAAGCACGGCTTTGTTGCCGCGTTGACCTTACAAGTGGTGTAAATGTGCAGCTCGAGGCGACAAGCTGTGATCTGATTGATGTGTAGATGCCGAGTCCAAAAGGCTGGTTGACAAGAATATATTTGCTCCTTCCTCCAACCTAAACTCACGTCTGCAAGTCCGCCATAACATGCTGCTCAACCCGACACCTTTCGCACGCGATGGCTCGATCAAAGCAATACAGCACACATGCCCGGGCAAGCCCACAACACGACTCACTCCCCAGCCCTCCCATCCGCCAACATCCATTCCACTGCCCCTCTGGCATGGCCCTCCATCGTATCCCATAGCGGCACATTCACATCCTCCTGCTTGACCACAAACTGCAGCTCCGTACACGCAAAGATGACACCCTCCGCCCCTTCCCGAACCGTTTGCTCAATCGCGCCCTTCAATATTCTCTTCTGCCCATCATGAAAAACATTCGCCCCCAACTCCGTGAAAATCATCTTATGAATCGCCTCTCTCGCCCCTTCATCGGGAACCACAACCTCGATCCCAAACTTCTCCCTCAACCGCTCCTTGAAGAACGCCTCCTCCATGACCGGCCTCGTCGCAATCAGCGCCACCTTCCTCAACCCCCTCTCGCGAATCAACCTGCCTGTGGGATCAACAATATGCAACACCTCCAACCCCCCACACTCCCGCTCCACTTCCGCGGCGACTTTGTGGCCGATATTGCAGCAGATCATCACGCCTTCCGCGCCAGCCGTTTTGAGATTTTGGGCGGCGGTGCTGAACTTCTTGGTGACGGCAGTCCATTGGCCGGCTTCGAAGAGGTCTTGCATCTCGGCGTGGTTGAAGGATTGGAGTAGGAGGGTGGCGGAGTTGGCGCCGCCGAGACGGCGCTGTATCTCTCTGTTAATGAGGTTGTAATATATCGACGTTGCGCCATAAGTCATGCCACCGAGAAGGGCGAGTTGGCGCATGGTAGTGACGTAGATGAGCGTGGGTTGCTGCTTTGATCAGTGGGTTGCTAGCTGTAAGTTTTCTGAATGCTGTAAGTGGACTGCCTGGAATTGGAAAAGAAAGTAGAGAACGTCGAGAGGCACTGAATGTTCAGGTTGTGAGTCAGGGCCTGAGCCTTGGCGTGGTGGAAATCTAAATGTCTGTTTTTGAGAAAGTTGTCATACAAGGGCGTTGACGCTTGCTTTTGTCCGTAGAAGGCCTTCAAGCACCATTTGCCCCATGCCTTGCTTGTGGACCTGTCGACCAGCAGATTGTCCAATCGCAGAAACGTTGTCAGGCTGATCAATAATCATCCAGTACGGGACACGGAAGACGATTGGTCTGCCGCTTCCAGCCGTATGAAGGCAGTAGCGGCTTGCTCTTTCGGTAAGCATTCTCGTTGGTATGCCCCGACATTCATCTGGCAGGAGCCGACGTCCTGAGATCTCCGAGCGAGGCCATGCTTTGGTGAACTGGCGGTTTCTGAGAGTACTTCTAGCTGGACCCGGGGACAGTCCCGCTATTTCCGGACGACAATATTTCCTTCTTATCAGAGCCTCGGAATGTGAAGGTTGCTTGTCTGAGAGCCGTCTCCCCAATGCGAACCTCGCTTCTTCAGTTGATGAAGTTGACACAAAACCCATGCAAAATCAAACTCCCAAACACGAAATCCGCAAACGCTCTCTCACTGCTGATCTGACCTGTACACTTCTCTTCCACACCATCCACCACCTTCGTTTTGCTGCCAGTGTTTGTCTCCGTAGGTGATTGCTCGACGGTCTGCATGCGCAGGGAGACGGTCAGGACGAATTGGCCCACGGCAGCGCCGAAGCCGGACAGGAAGGCATTGAATGGCTAGAGAAGCGTCAGTCTAGGGCTCTTTTAGTGAATCATGGTAAACCTACGTAGTTGCCGCCGATGATGCAGTAGATGAACTGGACTGCGCCATTCAGGGCGATGTAGAGGAGGAAGATGTCGAGGAAGAGTGTTCTTGAGGGCGTTTCCTGGATGTACTTGTTCCACACGTGGATGGCGATCTCTTGTGGTGACGAGCGGGGCGATAATGTGCTGGGAGCGGTCTTTGTTACTGAGGTCGACTGAGATGGTGTCTGTTTCGTGGTGGAAGGAGTCGACGGAGGAGGCTTTGCTGGGGTCGTGGTTGTGCTAGCACTTCTGGGCGCCGACGGTTGAGGTGTAGCCTGCTTCTTCGCCATGGTGTATGCTTCGAGGCCGTGCTCCTGACTATGATAGTCTGCGCATCAACACAGTAGATGGGTAGGACCTTGTCTGATGGAAGTCCACCAAGGTAAACGTGTTCCTGCCAAGGATTGAATCCGCCGGAGATCCCTGTCGATCGCTCCGCAAATGACGACCACCTCCAGATCAGCGACTGCACTTCATCCTCCAACTACATCCGCGGCCACTACACAACTGCAGCAGATCTGTCAATATGGTATGAGTTGTATTCAAAGATCTCCTAAGCGTCACTAACGCAACTCATCTAGGCACCAGTAGCGACTTCCGGCGCAAATGAGATCCCCGCCTAGTAAGTGTTCTTTCTATTGGGTCGGTAACGAAGTACAAACTGAAGGTCTCAGACCTGTCTCTGATGCCTTTGTATCGTACTTCTGTTCCGTGTCTGCCTCCACTCACCACTCACGTCCCGATCCAAGCTAACATAGAACGAAGCGTGCTAGGTGCCCTTACTAGCATTGGAGGCACCATTGGCTTTGCCCGCACCGGCTCAGTACCCAGCATTGCTGCCGGCTTGACTGTCGGCGCTCTGGTATGTGCTCACATGCTCTTGGCTATGTCTCGCTGACAACCTTTACAGTACGGTCTCGGTGGCTACCGCATCGCGAACAGACAAGCCTACGGCATCGAACTCGCACTACTCGCCTCAGTAGTCCTGGCGGGAAGCAGCCTTCCTCGCGCGATCAAGACGGGCAAGCCGCTACCATGGGGCTTGAGTGTGCTTGCTGTGTCCGGCCTTATAGTATATGGACGGGCGTACACACAGCAGATCGGAGGACCCAAATTGTCGTGAGGAAGAGCGGGCAAGGGTCGGTGGATTGAGGAAGCATGCATTCATGGGGTATCTCTGCTTAAAAATTACAAATAATGTGGACGGAGTGGACGGCTGAGGGCTGCTCAGTCGCCGTCAGAGGCACCACCGCCACCACCGCCAGCCATCGCGACTCCCTCCGCATCCTTCTTCTTCTTGCCCCGTATACGCCTGGAGGGCTTCTTTTGGTTCTCAGGCTGATCTGCAGGCGCGGCAGGATTGATCTGAACCTTTTTCTTCTTCTTGACGCTCAACGGATTGGGACCCTTCGGCCTCGCCAGCCCTCGCGCAGTCGGCATCTGTACATTCTCCTCCCGCATCAGCTCCTTCAACATATCGTTCCCTCCGAACTCATCCCCTTCCTCATCGTCCTCCCCTCTCTTCCGCTTCCGGTCATTCGTCACACCCAAACTATCCTTGAATGTCTCCCTCTCGGTCTGCCGCTTCTTTGCCTCACTCGCCGCGCTCAGCTCTTCCAGTATCATTACACTCCTCTTGACGTACACGATCGGTACCCCAGGGATCATCCTCACTCTCTGCCTCAGGTCGATATGTGGTGCTTTTGACTGATAACCTTTCTTCTCACTCAGGTCTGCTTCGTCCGCGGCTGCCAGGACAAAATGCTGCTTATTCCTCACCTCTGCCCCGCCCTTGACCTGCCCGCTTACCAGATCTAACAAACACCGCTCCTCCCCTACCACTCCCAATTCATTCCCGTCCTCGTCCTTATGCTTACAATACCGTAACGGCACCTCCGTCGGCGGCGGCAGATAATCTGGGCGACCACCTAACCTCTTATCCCCGCGCCGCAACTTGTCCTTCTCGTGCTCCTTGCTGATCTTGTCGAGTGTGCATTGCGTGACGAACAGCCGGCAGGGATCGTGGAGGGTGTTCTCGAGGAACTTTTGGAGAGGCATGTGAAAGGCGTGGCATTGCTTGAGGAAGGCCGACGAGAGGAGGACTTGGTAGGGCGGGCGGAAGGAGAAGGCGGACTGGTATTGGGACATGGTTTTGCGGTACTTCTTGGAGCGTTTGGCGCGCATTGTAAGGGCCTAGGGGCAAGAGGGGCCGTAGAGGTGGCAGTGACGTTGCAATGGGTTCCTGACGATGGGCGGACGGCGCGATCGCGTTGTGGACGACTTTCGCTGTAGGACTTTTGTCAATCAACTACAGCCCCACTGATAGTCGTAGTATTGCCTTCCTGAAGGACTCGAGTCTGTCCAAGATCTCGTGGATGCACAGTGGTAAATGGCAGGTCGACTCCCGGACTCCCAGAACTTGGACCAAAATCTTTCGAAAATGTTCGAGTTGGAGAAATGACATTTTAGGCGCATGCGCGGGGAGAGTTCAAGCCTACAAACACCAAGCATATCAACGACAACTGCGGCCGGCAGCAAGAAAGACTCACGGTTCGAGGAGTGGTAGTCGTTTAATGGTCTAGTGGTGAGGCGCTCTATTCAGTTTCCAGTAATTGCTGCGATAACAAGTCATGAATCGTTGCATTAGAGGCTCAAATATATCACAGGGGTATAGGTTTATATCTCCTCGTCCGTCACATCGTCAATTAGTTGCATGCCATCATCCTCTGAATCGCTCGCAGCCTCCTCGCCCGGTACACCTGTCCAGTCCAAATAGTCATCTTGAATCCAGTGCCTACTGATGGGCAGATGGTATGGATCAAATGGGAAATAGCCTTCGATCATACCGTTGTCCCCAATCCATGATTGATCGCGATCTGGTTGGTTGATATTCAGGTCAGAAAGACCTCGCCAGTGCGTGGCAACTCGGACTTGCTTGTTGCTTTCAATCTTAGGAGGAAGAAAGAACAATCCCAACGCTGCTGTAAGTTTGGCGAACTGGTCAACAATAATCGGCGTACACACTCTCAGTGGGTTGAGCTTGGAATCCATGGCCATCGTCAACGTCTCTGTCAGGCGTTCCTCAAATCGATAGTCGGTGTGCTCTGTGCCGTCGACTTCGTCATCCTCTGCGTCGGGGTCCGAGCGCGTCGAGGCAAGATCTCGCCATCGAAAGCAGAAAATGTAGACCAGTGCCTGGAACATCGCATAGAAATCGCCATACTTCCGAATATCAGGTCCGTAGCATGCTTGAAGCTGCCGATCCGCCTCCCGCTCTTTTCGTTTGCGTCTTACGGCAGTCATCGATTCCGGGTCGTACTTCTCTCGGAGCACGTTGACTTGGTCGCACAGAAGCTCTGTGCAGCTCTGGACCAGATCTTTGTGGACATGCGCTCCGCGCCCAACAAAACCTGCGAAGTATGCTGCAGCGGAGTGCCGGATGATCGGATTGTGTCTCTTGGAAGCGACGCGCTCTATGCACGACGCTATGAAATCGTCGATAGTAATCTCATCAGCTTGTGCGAAATGGAACATCAAAAATTGAGGGTGCCTCGAACCATATGTAGGCAAGATGTTTGCGAAGAACTGATTCTTGAGCTGCGCGATCGCGTTGCTTCGCACGTCGGGGCTGCCGGTTGTTATCAGCTTGTCGTAGTACTCGAATAGCATCTCCATGATCTGATCAACCTGCCTGACAATCTCCCTTATCTTCTGTTGTTGGACTTCCTCCGCTGTTTTGTCCGCATTGTCTTCCAGGTCAGACTCTTCGCTGGATGTGATATCGTCTTCATCGTCGCTTGATATCTCTGCTAATGTCTGAGAAGATCTGTAGAGTAATGTTTGAGACGAGGACATGTGTTGCAGCAGCTCCTCTTCCATGTCGTCTTCATCATCCAAGCTATCTTGGACTAAGACATCGAGCTTGATCAATTCTTGCAAGACCACATGTAGGATACTCGACGAGAGCTCTGGTACGTATTCGATGAGTTGCATGAAATTTCGCACATACGTCATTCGCTCTTCCGCCTTCTCGAACTCGAAGTGCAATCTCGCTGAGATCCGGTCCGCCAGAGATCCTGAGGTGCCCGGTATGTTGAGCGTGATGTGCCGTATCGCTTGGAATGTTCGCTTGTGTATCTTGGGTTGTCTGATCGGTTTGTGGTCGAGGATTCTCCGGGTCTTTTGAGGCCCAAGAAGGTTGACTAGCATATGCACGACCTTGTTCTGAAAGCCCTTTTGAGCCGCAATGAGGTTGCTGAGGAAGCGGACCGCCAAAGTATAGTAAGCGTCGTCGCCTGCGATCCAGTCGCTGTGGATGACGGCGTCAACGAGGGAAGTACAATCCTTCGTCAGGTTTGCAACGTTGCTGAGAAGAGCCTGTAGATGTATTCGAAGCGTCTTCATTGAGGGCGCATTTGGTTTGCTGAGGTCTGAGGCGAAAAGAGCGCTATATCGCTCGTAGGGCTCATTGTCGCCCGCTCTATGTCGTTCTATAGCACGTCGGACAAGTTCTTTAAGCACCTGTGGGTCCACATCCTCCTCGTCATCCGCAGACACTATCTCGACATCAGAATCGAAGGTCACGCGAGTCCGCTTGGTCGGGCTGTTAGGGGTGTCCATGAACTTGGTGTCATCGAAGGAGCGTTTGAGAGTTGACCGGCGGTGCAGTGGCCCTGGTCTGACTGATTTGGCTACCGGAAGGATGGACATTGTGATGCTGAAGTTGTGGAGGTAGGGAGATGGTGGAGGAAGGTGAGAATGGGCGTGATAGCGAATGTCTTCCTGTGGCCTACATAGAGATACGGTGCAGTCGTAGTCGTAACCTTTAAGTGACTGCGTCGTAAAAGAAAAGGGCGACGCCGTGCTGGTGATAGTTGTGAAAAGACATATCACGATCTCTTAGGCAGAAAAAGTTCAGCCACTGCACCTGCCCAGGTGGGGACCGATGCCAAGATTTCGCGCCTGCCAAACTTCAAGTTCAACCTCGTCGTAGATGACCTCAGGACCTGGAGCACCGTCTCACTGATATTGACTTTCACTCCAGCACTGACGCCTTCTCAATCCAGTCCCTATGATCGCTACGAACCTCCAGTCGTCTCTCGCTGACTCGGACTAGACCGAAGACCGTCACTGCCTGTACGGCGAGCTCAGGATTTCCGTAGGACAATAACGTATTGATCGTGCTCAACGCAGTTGTCGATCGGTACTCGTGGCCCATGACAAGCACGGCTTGCCTCAGCTGGGAAGCCCTTGCCAACATCGCGCAGCAGCATACTTCGGCGCAAGGACTACGGAAGTCGACCTGGGTCCAGTCGCGCTGGCGGGCCCTGGGTCCTGTGGTATATCAGCATCTACCATGCCATGGTCTGGAAATGAGATCGTGGTGCTAGATTCCTCTTAATCGTCACAGTTCTCTACTTGCTCCAGCACATATGGCTGCAGATCAGGTAGGAACACGCCCAGATCCTTTACAAAGTGAAACAGTGATGCCGTCCCCCAATGGGCTTCTTTGTTGAAATGCACCCTTCAGGGGACACCCGGTCGAGCAGATTGTGGCAGTATTAGACTGCAAAGTACAAGTGAAGCAAGAAAAGGCTGCTTCTAAGACAGCCTAGTCTCTCTCTCTCTATAAAATACCAAAAGATCAATCAGACTTCTCATTACCGGTGCAGATCCACATGCTACTGACAGCTCGTCGAACACCAGACTGGCCTGATCAAAAGGTCCTGCGCTACACTACTCTGCACCTTTGGAGCGATCGTGCTGACCCACGAGAAACGTGTCACAAAATTCTGAAAACACAAACGCGGCAGACCGAATGGATTCTCTTCAATTTCTTCGACGCTTCCTAGCATCATATTGGGTGTCACCCAAAGTCCCGGAATGCACGTTTAGTCGTTTCTTCGACCTCCCAGCGGAGATACGCTATATGATCTACCAGAAGTTGTGGTTCTCAAAAACCCTGAAATACGACAGCAGCCTGTGGATCCTGCGACAAGATGGGACGAACAACTACTCTCGCGATGTTGAAACTCTTGTCGTTTGCAAACAGTGGTACATGGAAGCACTCCCTGTTCTGCTGCACACAACTATTGTGCGGCCAACAGACGCCGTCGTCAAGTACTACGGGGAACGATCCAAGAGCGCAGTGCCTCTGGGCATTCCCAAAGTCATTCATATGCTGCCCGCTGTCAAGCATGCAGCTCTAAGCGTGGGCGAGCTTACGATTGGCAATGTTGAATTGATGCTGGACGCTATGCAAGCGCTGCGCACGTTGGACCTCACATATTCCCGTCGCAAAGATTGGCTCACGCACCATGGCTTGAATATCTGCTGGGTCCACATGAACAGTGCCAGAAGTTCGACCGGACTACCAGACCTTATGGGCATCAACCACATACGAACGCACGCCGATGATCTCGTCCTTCAGAAGAAAGGAAACTATCACAGCAGTCGACTATCCGCTATTGTGAAGGCTTGGTTACGCCGCAGAAAACCGTTCTCACTCAACCTGCTCTGCTGTATTACGTGCTACTTTGCTGGCACTCCATGGGCTGCAGTCCAGCAAGCGGCAGGGCCGCTCGTGCGTCGCTACGCATACTGGGTAAGTTTTGGGATCCTGTCCATAATGGGAGAAATCTACTAACGTGATGCGCAGAAAACTCGTACCAATTACAATAGCAAGGAGATGGACTTCTTGGACGACAACGGCAATATCAAGATGAAGATTCCGCTGTATGGGCTACCTGTCTGAGCAGTCGGTAGTTTGCCTCTCAGAGCACGGTCACAAGCATGCCGAGAAGCGTCGTCGTCAGTAAGGTACCACAGAGGGGCCGCAGGGGCGTCATGTCTGCGAACAACGACAATGAGCACGAGAGGGGGCGTAAGACGCGTGTCACGCAAAGAGGGCTGTTGGGTCAGACGCAGGAGCAGAACGTTCTGAGTCCACGCGAACAGCGCAGCCTCCAACACCAGGCTCTGATAGCTTGTCGTGGGTGTGTCCCATCAGATGTCCGGTTCGGATTCATACCCTCATCAAGTCTCCCCCATTCAAGTTCCCTGCTGCACGCGTTTTTTAGTGTTCAAATTCCGTATGACGTCGCTGGAAAACCACGGTTTTGGGCAGGCACAAGCCAGGCCTGCCAACTCCCCACAACATTTCACGAACTGCCATGATGCTAGATTGATCTCACGTGCCTTCGACTGCATTTCTACGACAGTGTTCCCTTCGCTGTGCCGTCGTGTAAACCTGGCGCCTCCTAAGCCTTACGAGATCCACGTCCGCTGCGAACCCGTCCCTCCGTTCTTCGTTGGCTATTTCCTACACATCAGGCCGCAAGGAGCCCCCGCCTGCAGGCCGTTCGTAGTGACTTGCTCCCACAACTGAGGTATCGGCTGCAGTCCGGACTTTACAGAGCACTTGGGAGGCGGCAACAGAAAAAGAGCGCAAGACGAGCCCTGGGCCGAGGCCTCCTCCCGTTTCTGACACGACGGAAGCATCGGATACTGGAGTACTTGAATGCAGGCAATGCAACTGCATCTAGAAGACCAGGGAGTGGGGAGACGATGAGCTATGACTCGGCAGGTGCGCGGGTTCCTGGAGCGCGAAGAGAGAAATTGAGAGGATACTTGAAAGCCGCCAACGAGTTACGGCAATCATATCAGGAGACGCTGCAACAGAGACTGCAGGATGACGGAGAGGGTACGCAGCGTGACTTTCCAGACACAGAAATAGTACGACGAGGCGACGAGGAGCTCATTCTTTTTCCCAGCTACGCACGCAGACACATAAAACGCAAAGATACCGACGGTCAGCGCAACCAGCCGGGTTCGTATAGTGACGATGCACCGCATAGTAGCGGCGATGCCGACTATTGGAAGCTGGAATGGGAGAAGTTTGAGGACGCCAACGCGGTTGTGGATGTGGATGTCCGAGGCTGGATCTACTCACCTCAAAGAGGCCCTCCATCCAGGCGCAACCGGCTGCTGATCGCCGTTGCTCGACGACTAAGCGGCATACCGGCGCCACCCACATCGAGCCCAAATACGAGCAGATCAAGCAGTCCTCACCCTTACGATGCCGCTAGCAGAAGCGAGGAAGCCGCGGCACAGCGTGAGGCAGAACAGATCGCTCAACGTGGACAGAAAGAAGCAGATGCTGCTTGGCGAGGCAGCTACAGTACCCAACAGCCCGGACAAGGTCTTCGAGGGAGCCCGAAAAGCACTAGATCGAGCTCGCCGGTTGGCCACGCACGTAATAGATCTACAAATATACAAGATCCAGACGTCGAGCTCAACAAGCGTGCTTCGTGGTCCAATCAGTCAATGATGAGCCACGAAGAGCTACTCAAGGCCAACGATCTGCTGATGACCAGGTTGAAGCCGTTCATGACGCAGCCGCTGGCCAACACAACTATCACAGTCTTCTTCTTCAACGAAAGGAAATCGTCTTCCAAGTCGGTTACTACCAACGACTCTGGTCATTTCAATGTGCGAGCTGCTCTAGACTTCATCCCTTCGCAGGTTCGGGTTTTGGCGTCCGAGGATTTGTCGGCAACTGAAGAAGTACATGTGACCGAGGCGCGCGGAGTCAGCCTGATCAGTGATGTGGACGATACCATCAAGCATTCTGCAATCGCAAGCGGAGTCAAGGAGATCTTCAAGAACACGTTTGTGCGTGAGCTGGAGGGACTGACCATAAAGGGGGTCAAAGAATGGTACGGCCGGCTCGCCGATATGGATGTGAAGCTTCACTACGTGTCGAACTCACCGTGGCAGCTATACCCCTTACTGAAAAGCTACTTTCAACTAGCAGGCCTGCCTCCGGGCTCTTTCCACCTGAAGGAGTACTCCGGCATGCTCCAGGGAATTTTCGAACCTGCTGCGGAGAGGAAGAAAGGGTCTCTGGACAGGATCATGAACGACTTTCCCGAGCGGAAGTTCATTCTTGTCGGCGACAGCGGCGAGGCAGATCTTGAAGTCTACACTGACGTCGTTCTTCAGCATCCCGGCAGGGTGCTCGGCGTGTTCATCCGAGACGTGACAACAACGGCGAGCCATGGGTTCTTCGATCAGAGCAATGTTCCGCTCCCCGATTCGGCGAGCGAAAGATCCGTCAGAGCGAGAAACAGTGCTGCCGATCTGTCAGACGCAAAGAAGGACCGACCTGCGCTGCCGTCGAGGCCGCAAGCGCAAGCTCAAACCGTTGAAGACCTGATTGATTTCTCTGACGATACTGACAATGCATCGGTCAAGTCGGCTACATCCACGAGCTCCCACAACGTAGGGTCTGTGGACCGATCTCGGTCAAATGGTGGTCCTCCGACACGTCCAAATAAGCCGTCCAACCTACGCAACTTCTCAAGCCAGTCACCAGGCCCTCCCGCACCAGCAAACGAGCAAACGTCTTCGCCAACAAGCGACAATGCCAAGAAAGCGCCTCCGCCGCCAAAACCTCGGCGCTCATCGAGAACAGTAGCGCAATCCGACGACACGGCAGCAGCTGGCCAAAGGCCAGCAGTTGACAGATTCTATTCGTACAGCACCAGTGGCGAGCTCGAGAACTCTTCGAGACCACCTACAATAGCCAGGACACAGACCTCATCAAGCACAAGATCCAGCTACTCTTCCTACTCAACACGCTCAGACGAAGGCTACGTCGCAGCAGCGCAAAGGCGACTGAACAACGCCTACAACGCTCTGCCCCAAATTCGATCTGTGTCTCCAAAGAGGTCGGATGGGGGACCACCAGTTCCACCCAGGCGAGGCCTGACAGCCGCTCCCGCTGCAGCTGCACGGTGGGTTACTGGGGCCAGCGGCGGAGACCCACAGGCTGGCGGCGATGGCGGTGCTCCTGGCGCCGACTACAACAAAAAGGAGGAAATGTGGAAGCGGCGATGGGCACATGCCCAGGAGATCATGGGGCGTCAGCGTATTGTGCTGCGAACCTGGCGAGTGGGAAGTGATGTCATGGAGGAATGTCTAAGGCTGGTTGAGCGGGAGATGGGGGAACAGAAGGCGGACTGGAGGAGATGAGTCGGCTTGTATCGGTCATGCAGCGTAGGAGCACTGGATACAAGCGGCAGATTCGACTGCATCGGTTACAGCGAGCATGAGTTGTTCTTTGAACGAAATTATTGTTACCCACGCAGAGTCCGCCTGGAGCCAAAGTCCCCTCGCTCGCAACCTAAAGCTCCTCCCTCCCCTTGCCGCCCCCATTTTCCTTCCACTCCCGAATGACGCCCTCCCACTCCTCCTCCGCCGTCCCCAAATCCTCGATAAACCTCTTCATCTTCCCATCCAGCACCTTACTCGCCTTCTCCAACGCCTCTCCCTTCTCCCCTTTCACAGTCCCTGCCCAATTGATCAAGCTACTAGGTAGATCCCACATCACACTCACTCCACCACCATTCTCTATTTCCTGAACCAACATACTCACTGGCGCAAACAGCCCAGCCTTGACGTCCTCCCTAACCATCGTTTTCGCCACAAGTGGATTTCCAAAGATGATGCGACACGCCTTCAAGCCTGGACTGTTCTGGCCGGGGGACGCGAGGAGGGGATGCCAGTCGTATTTTTGGAAGATTATGAAGTCGTGTGGCCCGACTACTGATGCGATGTAGGGCTCTAGGGGAGTCGAGGTTTTGGCGAGAGATTGGAGTGGGGGCAGGAGGGTGGTGTTGCCGAGGGAAGCATGTATGCGGGATAGGATGAGGTCGTAGGGGTGGGTGAGGGTGGTGATGTTGCGGGTTATGGTGTGGGTGTGGGGGGTGGTGGCTGCCATTGTTCGTGGAGTGTTGTGGATTTTCGTGTTCAAGGGTCGCGTACAGGATGTTCAGAGGTCGTGATATGGACGAAATAATATAATCACACAATATAGTTTCACGATGCTTTCCCACTTACTTTCAGGGCACCGGGCAGAGCAATAGGTAGATCACTAATCGTGGTCATAGTCCATTGCTTGCAGCATACCTAGGTAGTCGTCATCTTGAGAGTCGTAATGCAAGACAGAATCATACTCAATGTCTACCTAGGTAAGAGTTGTAAGCATTCTCCGATGACCAAAGAAACGTCTCTCGGACATACCTACAGTACTCAGGTAGGTAGTCATGTTATGCGGTCTCATCTACATAGTGCGTGTCAGCCAGCGATACATGTACGTCACTGCCAGTCGTCCGGTCTTGAGAACCGCGCGTCATCCGGCGTCTGATGGAGATCGATCCCCGCACCTGCCAGTGCGGCCCTGTGACGGGCTGGCTTCATTTCACTCGGAGTGTTTGCAGCTTCACAAAGGTGAGACAAGGCAATCTCTGAAAGCTCAGGCAAACGCGTCACTTGAGGGGATGCTGTGTACAACAACTTGAGACTGTATATTACCTGCGCACCAACCTGTCTCTTCCTTTTATACTGTTGATGCTGTTCGGTATCTTCCACTGATCAAACACTACGTGTCCATCGCATTTCAAACACGAAAGCAAAGAAATCAGGAATTCACGCTCTATTGAGAGCCTTTCTCCGCCACGAAGGCACGCGAGAGGCCCACAAGAGGCGAAACCCAAGCCCGCCCGCGAGAGGACAATCGCTGGTGCACGGCATTCGCAGAGAGACATTAACGAACACTGCAATCTTTCTCACCATTCAGAGCAGAGACCTCTGGCCGGAGGGCAAGAAGCCACAGCTGTTTCTGTACTAGTACTCCAGAGCTCGCAAGAGGGAGACTCGCGCCAATCCACTACTTTCAATGATGGCGGCCGCCAACCTCCTCAACGACACCCTCTCCCTCATCACCTACGTCTACACGACCTTCGTATCCCCTCAACTCCCGCCGACCTTGGACAACACTGTGCGATACACATCTTCCGTCGCTACGTCAACGATCACGACTCTGATCCTCCCCATCCTCGCATCTGGGGACATCGTCTCGATCGCCGCCCTCCTCTTGACCCTCTACTTCTCCCTCAAAACTCTCAACTACCTCCGCCGCAGCCTCTTCGGGTGGATTTTCTTCTTCGTGAAGTTGGGCTTGTTGTTGGTCCTGGTGCAGGCGGTGGTGTATGTCAATGCATATGGCTGGGAGAAGGCGGTGAAAGATGCGGGGTGGTTGGGTGGAATGGCTTGGGGTGCTGCGGAGGGTGTTTGGGATGGCGCTGCAGGACGAGGACATGGCAATAACCGCTACGGAGGAGGCAGTGGGTGGGGGAGCAATAACAGTGGGAGACAGCAATACATGGGCGGTGGTGTGGGTGGTGCGAGGAATCGTTGGCGGTAAGGGATCGCCGTGTGGAAGTGATGGAGGTACGCACCATGAAAATACGATATTTGAGTCTGGAAAAGCATTTGCAAACGAGCTTTGAGGGGATCTAAAAACTCTGGAAATGCTTAGTACTATTGAGCCGGCCTTGCCAGACCGAGAGGAATACAAAAACTCCGCCAGCGCCGTCGCTATAAATCAGAAAGCTTTGAGACTCTGCAACATGTTCCGTCGACATCCCGTGGTCATTCGTCAGGATCGAAATCTCGTTCAAACTCCTTCGGCTCCTTTGGTTCCTGCGCCTCGTGGTACTGGATCGCATCATCGATGTACGACAGTATGCCGCCCACGCTATCCTCATCGTTCACGTCCAGCTGCAGGAAGCTGACCATCGAGAAATCGTCTATCAGCCTCGCTACAGCCCGATTCAGCGCTTTAAAACTTCCTCCGCTCATCACGTTGTCCACCTCAGCTGGATTACGGACGTTGACATCTACTTTCCCACTCAGCGCATTCCGGCCGGTGTCTTCGTCTTCGAGCAACCGTGCGTCTGGGTCCGTGAAGCGCCGCAGCTCTTTCCTGCTGACTTGGCTTTGAACCAGGTCCATCTTGGAGAGGATGTTGATGTGTGGGAGTTCCATATTGACCATGGCGCTCATGCTGATAGTGTCCCGGCAAAGAACTTGGCTTTGTCCACCACGAACGTTGCCTCCAGCAGGTACGCGGCACACAGATTGATATTCAGCGGTCCCATTCGACTCAGGTATCTTATCAGCTCCGGCAAGAGCGGGATATGTGTGTACAGCTCGATCTGGCCCGGCAGATCGAATATGATCAGAAACTCTTCAGTGAGAGACTCGATGGGCGTAGCGAGGAAATCGAGGTTCTGCAGGAGGAACTCGAAGCAGAAGATCAGGCCGCCGTTGGGGCCGAGCGACATCTCGTCCATAACGTCTTCGAGGGAGATCAGATCGCGGATGTCGAGGTCGGGCGTGTAAGCGAATGAGGTTGCGGCGGGGTCGAGGTTGACGTAGAAGCAGGAGCGGTGCGTGTGCTGGAGGTGTTGGATGAGGGCGGTGCAGAAGGTGGTTTTGCCGGCGCCGGCAGGCCCCATTGCTAGGACGCCGAACTTCGACATGGCGGCAGTGGGAGGGACTTTGTTGCGGGCAGAATCTTGTTGCTGAGCGCCTCGATGTCCAACTACGCGCAGGCTCGAGTGCCTGGATCGTTAAAGGGTCTTGCGCAGTTTCAGAGTCCTGTCCACCGCTCTGCGAGGCTCGTCGGAGGCGCCCAGAATCTGCGGTGTCTACGTCTTCGTACAGGCCAACTGCTGGACGAGGGACTGGCCGTCTGTGGTATTTGTGCAGGCATGCATTGAAGTTTGTGAATTTGTCTGGACATTTCACAGACACCCCTCTACGGTGGCCCAAATATAGAGGACAGTCTATCCACAAGTTGTGCCCTTGAGCCGCCGTAGCAACAGATAAGAAGTTCTTCCAAGGTTGAAAGATCTTCTGCACTCCACAGACCATCTCGCATTGTGAACCATGCCTGCAAACCACCCCTTGCCCCCCCTCGGAAGGAGGGGGTCTGAGCGGTGGTGGAAAGGATGATCCCACATTCCTGCCGAGCCCCTTCCGGCACCGCAGCCATGCCGCAATTGCAAAAGCGAAGTTTTGCTCACCGTCAGAATGGCGCAATCGCCCAGCGGAAACTCTCAAGATTTGAAGCCTAAAATCTCGAGCCAACCCACCCATCAACGGCTGAGCCACCTGTTAAGGCCCGAGGCTGTACCCCTGCAGCGAGCCAACCCAGCGCCCGCTGTTGTTCCGAGCACGTTGATCCAAAAAAATTCTCCAAGTCTCCGCAAGTCCAACCCGGTAGTTGCTGCTCTCACCACATTTCCACCATCACGAATCCATATTGCAGTCTTTACAGTTGCTCTCTTCTTACTCCCTGAAGCCACCTACCTGACGAGCCGCTGCAATTTCTGTGACCTCTAAGTCTGTCCTCGGAAGCACGCCATCGCCCGGTTCCCAATCCACCATTGTTTCCTCCGCAACCCCCACCAACACCACACAACATGACGACTGGCGCTGCTCTCAATGGCGTCAATGGCGGCAAGAAGAGCACCTTCCTCTTCACGTCCGAGTCCGTCGGCGAGGTCATCCTGACAAGATTGCGTACGTTGTGCGGCTCATGCAGCAGAGGAAGTCTTCGCTAACACAACCTCAGCGATCAGGTATCCGATGCCGTCCTCGATGCCTGCCTTCAGATTGACCCCAAGTCGCGCGTCGCTTGCGAGACCGCCACCAAGACCGGTTTGCATAGTTCGCCCTTTGTACGGCTTTAGCACTAATCTCGACTCAGGTATGATCATGATCTTCGGCGAAATCACTTGCCCGGGCAAAATCGACTACCAGAAGGTCGTCCGTGACGCTATTAAAGACATCGGCTATGACGATTCCGCGAAAGGCTTCGACTACAAGACCTGCAACTTGCTCGTTGCTATCGAGGAGCAGTCGCCAGATATTGCTCAGGGTCTGCACTACGAGAAGTCTGACGAGGAGCTCGGCGCTGGTGACCAGGGAATAATGTTCGGCTATGCCACAGACGAGACACCAGAGTATCTGCCCTTGACCATTCTCCTCGCTCACAAGCTCAACTCTGCTATGACCGATGCTCGCAAGTCCGGTGAGCTACCATGCTCCGACCCGACACAAAGACCCAGGTCACTATTGAATATGCCCACGAGGGAGGCGCTGTTGTTCCTCTGCGCGTCGACACTGTCGTGGTTTCTGCCCAGCACTCCGACGACATCTCAACCGAGTCTCTACGCAAGGAGATCAAGGAAAAGATCATCAAGAAGGTCATCCCAGAGAAGTACTTGGACGAGAAGACCATCTACCACATCCAGCCTTCCGGCCGCTTCGTCATTGGTGGTCCCCAAGGTGATGCAGGTCTCACTGGCCGCAAGATCATCGTCGACACCTACGGCGGCTGGGGCGCTCACGGTGGTGGTGCATTCTCCGGCAAGGACTACAACAAGGTCGATCGCTCGGCCGCCTACCTCGCTCGGTGGATCGCCAAATCTCTGGTACACGCCAAGCTCGCCCGACGCGCACTCGTCCAGCTGTCCTACGCTATCGGCGTCGCTGAGCCTCTTTCTCTGTTCGTCGAGACCTACGGCACGTCCGATAAGTCGTCCGAGGAGCTCGTCGAGATCATCAAGCAGAACTTCGACATGCGACCTGGTGTCATTGTCCGCGAGCTTGGTCTAGACAAGCCTATCTACCGACAGACGGCCAAGAACGGCCACTTCACCAACCAGTCGTTCAGCTGGGAGCAGCCGAAGCAGCTGAAGGCATAGGCGCGAACGCGGAGCAGAAAACACTCAGGATGGTCTCTAGAGGGCTTTTCAACCAAGGCCTCGCATCAGAGCTGTTCTGTTTGTTGGAAGTGGAGCGTATGCACGTGTACGACGGAAATGCATTGTAAGGGCAGGGTCAAATCAGCGAAATGTTTACGGCGCAAATCAAAAAAATATGGCAGGCATGAGCGCCGCCCGGATGTAAAGTGGGAGCGACATTCATCATGTCCACGGAGTTTTCTTTTGCTGCATGATTTGAGATACCCCCGAAGACCCGGAAATGCATGAATGAAGATCAACTGAATTCTACCTAAAGCTTCCTGTGATGAGTGGTGTTTGTGACGACTTTTGCTGATGGCTGAACATGAGATCAGAACTGGCTTGGATGCCACTCAGCGACAGTGCTTCAATGGTCCAGAGACGACCCAATGCCTTCCCCTCGGGACGTAGGATCAGGATTTCGAGAGGACGACAGCTTTCTCTGTACTCGACCCTTACCTTGCTTCATCTGGACCGTGCTTATTCCTTGACGTTGCTTCTCCATCCCTTACTTGCCCAGCAACTCTCACCCCTCTCGACCACCTGGTGAGGCAGGCGTGATGATCCCGGCAAGTCAGGTGCGACGGCCATCAGCAGATCGCTCCTTCTGCAGAACGCCTTTGACGAGGCAGGTGCGAATGCCATCAACCCATCGCTCCTACTGCAGGAAGTCTTCGGCAAGGTAGGAGCGATGCAGGTCAGTCAGTCGCTCCTGCGGCTGAAAGTGCCTGGTGAAGGGCAGGTGCGAATGCTCACGGATCGCTCCTGCTACAGGACACGCTCAGCAAGGCAGGTGCGACGGCCACCAGCCGATCGCTCCTACTGCAGAAAAGATTTCGGTATGGCAGGTGTCCATTCGCTCCTGCGGTTGGAAGTGCCCATCGACAGGCAGGTGCAATGGTCACCAACCGATCGCTCTTGCTGCAGGGAGTTGCCTGGCGCGGAAGGTGCGAGCGAAGTCAACCGGTCTGCCGAGATTCGCGACATTATCCATGTCAACCGGCTTGACCCGGATGGAGTCTAGAGTAGTGCAGTGGCAAAAAGCCTCAGAAACGTCGGGTGTTGCCCATTTCATCACGCATCGGCACACCAAAGGAGTCCAGGGTGGCAGGATTGCGTGCAGGATGTTACGTGAAAGCTCCCAATTCATCTGACATTCAACATTAAGCAAAGTAGATATACAGACAGACCTGCCTCCATTCCCCCCCTCTTAGGAGTTTATTGAGAATGTTTCATCTTATCTTTTCGTCCAGCTTCATATTTCTCTCTGCCGCCTCCATCTCTCTCTCACAAAAAAAGGACTGACAATTTACGGGTATCATGGTCGTGTGCGTGGGCGTGGGCGTGTGGATAGGTACTGTGTCCCCGGTCCTCCTCTTGCTTGTCCCTCGGTCTCGTACATTACTCATACATGGCGTTGGAAAGTCAAAGCCGAAACATCGAAAACACCTCACTCACCCAGCCACCTCCTCTGAGGTTCAGTGCAGCGCCTTCGACCCCAATAGCCATCGCCGCACCAGGTGTAGACGGTGACCTCCCCAGTTCCACCATCTCCACCTCCGTCCTCGGCTTCTTTGCAGTATTGACCGACAGGGCGCCACTTCGTGCCTGTTTGCTGGCGATGGCACTGGAATTGATGCCCTCGACTTTGGCCTTATATGCGCCTCGCTCACATTGTTGACGTTCGAAGTTATCGTCCTCTGTTCTCGTCCGCTCCAGCTTCGTGGTTATGGTCGTGTCGTCCTCGTTGCTGCTGTTGCTCATGGACGGGTCACTAGCAGCGCTTGCTAGTCTGCTGACATCATCGATACTGACGTCCATTGTTGAGGGTGCCGAGTCGTCTTTCTCCTCCTTAAGGTCGATCTCGACAGTCTTCACAATTCGTGCTTGGTCATCGGTACTGTCTCTGCGGCTGCTGCCGTCTGTTGCGTAAGACCCTTTCCTGCCATCCCGGTGAGAAACCCAGGGAAGAAAGCCGAGAAAACTCCTCCTGGCTGCAGTGGATCTGCGTTGGTGCCGTGAGCCTTTGGGCCAAGGGCTGTTAGGCGTGGATGGAGTCGTTGAATAATGTCCAAATTCTGACCTAACTCGCTGCTCCCATCTTGCCTTTTCCACCGAGTCGCCAGCTTCAATGAGTTGTTGGGCGCCGAAGAAGCCAAGAGGAACGTATCGCATACCGGCAGGAGGCTTGGCATGTATGTCGTTCATGATGCGGACAGTGAGGATGGTGCACCGATCGCTATCTCCTTCGTTGGCGGACTGAGACGGTCTGACGTCGACAGCTTTGACGCTTAGTATCGCGTTCACCATGAACGTCATTTCACCCACATCATCCACAAGTTGCAACAGTGCTGCGTGGAGATTGTAGATGAAGTCTCGCTCTGCGGCACCAGAATGAGACTGACGGTGTAGAGTTCGCAGCACTTCTCCCAGAGGACGCTCATCGTACTTTTCCAGGATCTGGCGATGCCAGGTCGTCAGGAGATAGAGCTTCAGACTAACCATGGGAAGCTGATTCTGCGATTTGGCTGGAACAAGTATGTCAAATGATTGGTGTATGGAAGGGCGAACCATGAAACAGCCGACGTGAACTCCTCGTGGCTGCAGGACGTCTGGCATCACAGCAATCTTCATCCTTTCCAGATGCGCCATCATACGTTCGGGTTTGACGTCCATATTGCGTGCGATCAGGTCAGCGACGTGATCGATGGAGGCAAAGCGATAACCCATAGCTGCATATCTGTCTGCACTATCCTTTGTGAGTTGGCGGTTCAAAAAGAGGTACTTGCCGCGACCAAGGTTGGATGCATCGGATTCGGGGTCTGACTCAGTTCTCCCTCGGAGCTGCTTTGAGACCTTGAATAAATGGAGAGTACCTGTCTCGAGCGGCTCCTCAAAGAGTGCGCCGATGTTCTCGAGCGCCTCGTGAAGCGCTCCTGCGAGCTGAGCTGCTGTGACACAGAACAATTGTTTGAAGATGCCGCTGAAGTTCAATGTAATCTCACTGGCAGAGTCGCTCGCTGGGGACGCTCGACCTGGCCGATATTTGCGTGCGCTTTGGTCGGATTCAAGATAGCGCAACATGCCAGGGATCAAGTCTCGAACAGCAGACCAATGGCGTGATGTCCGGAAGATCCAAAGGAACGTCGTGTGAGACCTGTGCAGCTCGTCATCACCAAAATCTTTCTCGATGTAACGATCAGTGATCTTCTGGCACGGGAAGTTGCCCTCCTGCGTGAGCATAATTCGTCCGGTTTCATCAAAATACCCACAAGCAAGGACCACCTGCTGAGCACGGGTCTTGGCTATACGTGCCCTGGCGCCAGTGAACAGAGCAATAACAAGAAGTAGCACGCAGCATCCAAATGACTGGACATGTTAGTGAGTGTCATTCGGGTCAGATTTGTACTTACCAGGACGGCGCAGACGATTACAGTCTGTACTCTTGTCGTGCCTCCACTAGAGGCATTTGTCGAGCCTGGTATGAACCCAGTTCCGACCGCCGCCGTCCAGTGCATGCCGCAGACAGCGGTGGCCAACACGAACGCGCAGCATGCTCTCTTCCACCAACTGTCTGTCCAGGCCTCTCGTAGACGGAAGAAGATACTTAGAGCTACCAAGCTGGCCACTACTGCGATGACTGCGGCACCAGCCACATTCGCAGGCTTGTAATGGCAATGGTAGTTCCTAATACCAGCATTGCCAACGTAGTGCATGCCACAGACGGCAGTACCGGTGAGGACGCCCGCGAGGACGAGATATATTGGTCGGGCACGAGATCTGTTGGTTCCGAGAAAGTAAAATGCGCCGCCAAGCACGATGACTGGGAGGAACACGGAGAGCGCTGTGAAGCCAGGACTGTACAGGATCTGCCTCTCGCTGTCGCCGTCACCGATGACGATGGCTCTGTTGGCGATGAAATGCATGGACCAGATACCTGAGCCTCCCATGGCCACACAAGCTCCTATGAACAAGAACCTTACCAGACGTTAGTCAATCAAGCGTTGCACCTTGGACGAGGCTTACCAATTGAACAGGCCCTTTGTGGACGTCCTTCGATGAAGCAGTTCCAACGTGGTGATACATCCTGCGAACGACGTAAAGATGGACAGCACTGTGAAGCTGACATCGTAGTGTACGCTCGCCGCGATCTCCTCTGGCTGAGTCGCTGGACGAGCACCTCCGAAGCTCATGACTGCTTAATGATGTTGTCGATGAGAGGACAGCTGTCAGTCGTCACGACGTAGCCATGTGTGCTGTGGTCCACTGGGCTTGAGGTCGTGGGAGATGGACCCGCCCTGAGGTGCACAGACGTGAGTTTTTCTAACAATGGCAGGACCTGGTGGAGGCAGGAATGGCCGAGACGTGGAGCGCGGAGCCTGCAGAGTGATCATGAGCTAAATAAGCTCGATTGCGGCGAACGACCTAGCGGTCGTCAGAGTAATGTTTCGAAGTGCTTGGTACATGTGGGAGTGAACTTGAAATCAAGGAACGAACGTCGTGGGCAGAGCCAGGCTGGAAAGCCAAAGATGGCGTAAAACGCGGCAGCTGCGATGGGTCCCGATATGTCTGGATCAATTTAGCAGGAGATGGAGCTCCTGCATTAGTTGAAGGGACCCGGAAGTGCCAGCGACACCTACCGAACCAGAGCCGCAGTGGCCTACAATACGAATGAGACATTGTTAGTGGATCCGGGAGGCGGTAAAAGGGCCTCGTCCTATTCGGTTTTGCTGGTGACACAACAGCAGTCGAGATGTAGAATGATGCCATGACAGGACAGCGCTTGCCTGGAATGAGGTTGGGATAAGCTGCAAGGAGAAGGACTCGGATATCCCTGGCCAGCGATCGGCTTAAGCGAAGGTAGCGACGATTCGTTTGATGCTCGGCGAATATGCAAGACACTAACGAATCGCTTGCTCGCAAGACGCCACCAGCAAGTGTTGGCGAGACGAGATCATCCAAGAAGTCGGGGCGCTTCGAGCCGGTTCTTCTTCAAGCTCTGCTTTGACTCAAGTCGTGGCTTCCCCGGGCCAGTCCAAGCCCAGAGATTGGCATGAAGGAAGGAGGAGTGCAAGAGCAACTCGTATCGGAGAATCCGGGTTAGAAGAGCAATCCTTGCATGACATCCTGGTCAGCGGGACACGCTAGCACGGACCTCCCCACAAAGGTCGTCGTATTTTCACCACACTGGTGAATGCGTCTTTGACACCTGTCAACCATCCTTCATTCTCAATGCACCTGCCTTCCGACCCTTCGAAATCAGTTGTCGCGCTGTGACACAAAACGACCGCCAGCAGTGACAGCAGATCACCGGATGGGATAAACATCTCAACAGGTAGCTAACATGTGCTTCTACTGCTCGTCCGAGCAATCTCCTCAAATTTTCTCCGGGCACATGTACCGCCTTAGCACACCTCCGGGCCTGCATACACTTCAAGAAAATCAGCTAATGCACGTCACATCAATAGCGAGGATGTGTCAACCAAGGAACGACCTGAGACTGCCAAGAACAGAACATTTTGCTTCATCTAGACCTTTACTTGCTGACCACCACGACCCCAACACGCGCACCAAGCCACACCTTGAGGGCCAAGGCGCGGAGTCGTCGACAGCGACCTCGTATACGCACTCCCTTACTTCACGTCTTTCAGTACAGAGTGCAAAACTGCCAGACTCTGACAGCGCCACACTCGGGTGTTGGTTTGCCAGCGGCTGCGAAACCATTGTTGAATACGTAATCAATCGAGTGCTGGTTCACAGACACCACAGCGACAGAACTTGTGAAAAGTTGCTATAGGTAAGTGTTCTATGCCACTCTGGATCACTGAGTCACTACTATTGTGGCCTCGGCGAGGAAATATGAGCATCGTCTTCTGCTTGCAAATATGGAAATATCCCCGAGGAAAGAGACTCGGCCTCATGCTAGCACAGGGGACACCAAGCATTTGAGCCCCCAGGTCCTGATGGTCGAGAGCATCTGCGGCAGGTCCAGTACTCACCGTGCTTTAAGCACATGACCAAAACCAGAATACCCTTCGCGCAGATCTCCCCTTATTCCAGAATTCGGTTCCAGTCTGCGACAAACTCGTTACACAGGCAAGCCCAATGCGCCACGATCAACACTCCCAAACAGCGTCAGGCAGAATGACATCGATATTGGGACGGGCGCTACCTGAACAGTGTACACCCTTTGCGACCCCTTCCCGTGAGAAACTTCCTTAAGTTCCCCTCAGTGACTCATCTGACAGAGTCAACAGTTCGTCCAAAGAGGCAATAATATCAAACAACTCCCAACGCTTGGCCGGGCTGATACAGGTACAAATCTTGCCTGTCAGTCAGAATGTACTTCGTACCTGAGCTTCAAGGCAGGACCGGCAAGGGCCGTCTGCAGGCACAAACTCAACCGCAACTGCAACTCCGTCTAGACTCCATACCTCTGTCCATTTTCTTCAGGGCAAATCGATGACATGCTCGAACAGCCTCACATCAAGGGTCGTTGGCATATCCATGCAGACTCCAGAGTTTCTGCCGGCAATCTATCGACGTGCTCGAACGACTTGAACATCCGGACTGAATGATTTCCACCATCGGCGTACTCCCGGACATTGCACTCACGACAGGCAACTTGAGCCGCTACATTATCGCAGCAGACAGGGCCCAGGCCAGAGGTCGTAGAGCATTTTCCCCGCAATCCACACCCACGGGTACCACGGAGACAAAACATCGACTTGCGGCTGAAGAAGCCAGCAGTACTACTACAGACTACAGTAGTGCATTTTCGTAGTCTCCCAGGGCTTGTGCTAATATACGCGCTAGTGTTAAGGGGTACACCAGTAGTCTCTTTTGTCTTTCGCAAAATATGGCTCTAGCCTGGTCCCGGGGGGTGCCCGGATTCTTGGTAAGGTTTTTGCTTCTTCTTGTCTATGGTCTACGGCTTGGGACTCCGAACAAATGAGTATCTCGTGGGAGCCTTCCCCAGTGTATCATGTTTCAAGTTTTGGAATCTATCGTCTCGAGTACGAAAATAAGGCCGTGGCAACAACGACCACCACCACCACCACCACAACTAGCAGATGATCACGATCCCTGCTTCCTGCTTGCTCTGCCCTTGTTTCCAACATCGGCCTCCTCCTCTTCATCGTCAGAATCACTGCCAATGTCATAGCGATCCCTGCCCAGGTCGCCCTGATCAGCCATGTCTCTCCTGCTCACACCGTCTCGACTGCTAGTGAGATCATCCAGCTCGTTCTCATCAAAATCGCCCGCCTCCAAATCTCTAGTCCCGTGACTTTTCCCGTTTGCGTGCGTTGAGCCATTTGCGTCTCGATACCCACCGACAAGTGGTACGGCAGCGTAGCCTTTGTTCGCTGCTCTCCTGCGACCGCGCCACACCCACCATCCAAATACTGCAGCCGCAATGAGCACCACGACCAGAGCGGCTTCGCCGCTTCGATAGTAAGCCTTATACCTCTCCTCCTCCAGCTTCGCCTCCTGCTCCTCCAACGCCGCCGTGCTATTCGTGTGCCCGCCCACACTCGTCTCGCTGCCGGCCTTCTCCCCGTCGATCTTGCTGTCGACGGGCGTCCCGCCTATGCTCGCGATATCCACACCCACGAACCGGTCGAGCATGTCGCGACTGCGCCGTGGGAGATCGAAAGGGACCATGTGGCTCGAGTCGTAAAACAACACGTAGGTGAGGTTGCGGGCTTCTTGGTAGATCCCCGCGGCTTTACCCTCAAAGTCCCATTTCCGTTTCGGTGCGAGAACGCCAGGGCTCAACTCCATGCCGGTGCCGCCGGACCAGGCCATGTTGGCGAGGAATGCTTCCGTACCGAGGTGATTGCAGATGAGGTCTTCTGCGCCGGAAAAGAGCAGTGTGGGGATGCCGGCTTCGAGAAGGCCGGGCAGGAGGTCGATACTGGGCGTGCTGTGGCTGGCGCGGAATGCAGAAGAGACCGCGCCTGTACACTCTGTCCATCCCGTACGCTTGTCTGGGTTGACGTGCAGGGCGGTGACAACGTCCTGGCGGCGTAGGTAGGGGGTGACGTCGGTCAGGTCGGGGGGCCAGTTCATGCCGCAGGAGGGGTAGCTGTCCGTGAGGCGGACGTCGTACATGTTGACGCATTTGTTGTCTTTGACTGACTCTTTCAGGATGTCCTGCAGGACTTGCTCGCAGGTGAAGATGTCGACTTTTTCCTTGCCTGCGGGCTTGCTCAGTTCGGCAAGACATTTGTTATGTTGGTGCTCGATGCGTTTGGCGGCTTCAGAATCGGGGGTGATGATGGTTTTGTTGTAGGCGAAGGGCAGGTAGGATTGGTATTGCTCGTTAGGGGCGATCCAGCCGTTGCCGATGAGCATGCCTTTGAGATTCCAAGGCTTTTGAGAGTTGCCGACGGCGGCTTTGTTGTGGTCGAGGATTGCTTGAGAGATGTAGGGGATGTGTTGGCCTGCGTAGGATTCGCCGGCGAAGTAGAGATCGTCGTCTGCGTATTCGGGGAAGAGGGCGAAGAATTTCTCAAGGAAGATCATGAATTGGGCGGACATTTCGGAGAGTTCGTGGAGGTAGCTGTCGGTGTTGACGTAGCTGAAGCCGGTACCGACGGGATTGTCGACGAAGAGGAGATTTGTGAACTCGTCCCACGAGCCTTCGTTATGTTCTAACTTGTCGCCCTTGACTCGGTATGGCCCGACCTCCATGAGGGCGCCGTCCATCGAACTGCAGCCGGGGCCGCCATTGAGCCATATCACTGTTCGTTGTCGGTCGCCGATATGTCGGTTGTGAAACAGCCAGAAGAAGAGATGGCCGTTGTGCTCGGGGCTGACTTCGATGTGCCTGCACGGGAATGTTAGATGGGTTGTGGCCATGGCCAGTCTTATGTGCTCACCCCGCGTGCATCTTCAGTAATGGCCCATCGGGCTGTCCTGGCAATGATTTTACAAAGTAATCCGCCTGTGTTTTCGATTCCGCTGCGCTACTGAAGGTGGTCATCATTATCGCCGCAGCCATGGCCCATCTTGTCCATCTCGTCAACCAGCCGCCTTTCCTCCGGTCGAGGCTGATCGGCGAGGCAGCCATGGCAGCAACAACGGCAAACAGTCTACGTTGTTATCGACTCCGTCGACCGACCATGAGTGGCTAGAAGGACGGTAGGAGCACAAAGAATACAGAATTCTGCGGACTCGATGTCCCTTCGCTGCGGACGGACGATAATTAGTGATGATGTGGCCAGCTGTCAAGCGCAATATGTCCGTCGCACAGCGTTTCGGACTTCGACACGGTGAAGCACTCGGTATCGTACAATGGTCGTTAACGATAAAAGATATTCACTCGAATGAGATGAAAGAAGGAGTCGCTGCAGCGATCGTCGGTCGAAGCGCGTTGAATTCCTTTGGTCGGAGAAGCCAGGCCGACTTGAATTCCAAGACCCCTTGGGTGCGCTGCGCCACGTCCTTCTCGTCCACAAGAGCGACGAGACCCATTGTAAGATGCTTGCTCGGTAGCTGCGTTTCCGGAAGCTTTGCGGCTCAGTAAACAGCAGACAAGATATGCTTGTCCAGAGCTGAAGCGTTGTGAGTTGGAGGCCGTTGTGTTTCGGTCTATGCACGGGTGCACGCGAGCGACATGCAACACCGTGCTCACTGCGTCGTGTTTCAGCCTTGGCTCAACTTGGGCTTCAAGATCTCATCAGGCGGCAATGCCGTCATGCGTGGTCGTGATCGTCTGGATGCTAAATCTAAAGTGTGTATAGCTACGTTCAGCATGAACCCAATAGTTGTCCATTCAACAAATCTCAACCATGGGTCTCGACGAGAAGCATCTGGAAGTCCCCCCGCGCTTTCGCGCATGTCACTCTCCAAGCACGGCAACAGGATCTGCTGCCTCACTGCGATTTATCAGCTCTGTCCCGAAGAGTGGGTATTTGCTCGAAGGCAAGATTTCAGGGGCAACAAGAGCATTTCGTTATCAGCCCAAGATATATGCTCAGGTGGGCTTCGAAGGAGCGCTCGCTTCTAGGTACAGGTTTGACCATGGCAGGGCGACTAACACATCATCGGCGTATGTTGAGACCAACTTCACGCTTCCTGCGCCAGCCTCGTCTTCGATCTCATCGGCTGTGAGGATTATGATAATCTTGTTTATGTCTGACTGGGCTCGCTTGACCGTGTCGGTGTGGTCACTGGCGCCATTGCTGTACACCTCGCGCGGTTCATCAGGTGTGATAGCGGCTGTACCTGAATGGTGGTTTCGGAGGCGAGCCGCAAGTGCCCAGAGCGAGCCGCCCATCAAGGCAATCAGAAGAGGTGTTTTCATGGTGAAAATCTGGCTGGTCTGGTCGCGGATGTTTGGTTGCTGAATGAGTGACGAGCATGGGAGGGACATTGCTGACTTTATAGATCTCTTCCACTCAATGGGCACAAGCTATATTTTCGGACCACTCTCGACGTCTCGCTACTGTGCCCGCCTGGCTCTGACTGTCGAGGGCCGAGGCTTTGCAACAACGGCAGAGCAATGAAAGTCAGATCTCGATCACGGTGTGTAGCCAGCGAGTAAAAGGCCTCCAGAAGCGACGAACCGACCTCAAGTCTGCATCGACTTGCATTTCCGACTGCCGCTTCCGACTGCCGCACACGTAAGTCCAGAAGATAAAGGCAACTCTCCTGCATACAGACATCACGTTGGTAAATACCATCGCAGAGCGCTCTCTTGAGCTCGACGTCGCAGGGCACCTGACGCTCTCAGCTACAACCATAAAATCTGGGGAAATGAGCTTCCACATGATCAAGCAACTGGCAGATACGAGCCACCTTTCAGAAAGCCACCTTTGAGACGGTTGCATTGCAATATTTTCGCGACAGAGCCGCCAATATCATGGTCTGATCTGCCCGAGTTGGAACGCACAAGCGTCGCATCTATGACCAGAGTGATCCCCATGACAGCTGCATTCTCCACCATGGCCAGCATCTTGCCCTGGGGACGAAAACGGCACGAATACAGCGTGTTGCTAGAAAAACTACACGCAAAGCACAAGGGTGATCCATATTGGCACAAGAACACCGTCTGGGAGAACGTCGAGTTCATCGCACTGCTAATGGTCTCAGTTCTGACCATATCAGCTTTGGCCATTCTTGTCGCTATGTTGGTATTGTTCGTCGTGAGAACCTCTCTTTCCGATCAACAATGCAGCAAGCGACTCAGCATCTGGTGTAAGACTCCCCTGCCATATCAGCAACAAAGCTCTCATCCCACCACACAGCACCTCTACAAGAACAAGTCTCATACATCGAGTATGACTTTGACAATGCTTTTGCCCACCAGACGATCTACCGCGGCCCGCCCACGGCTGAGAGAGATGCTGCATGGGGCGCGCTCTGGAGGTACAATGGCGTGTCCATCCCAGCAAGCAAGCTCGACAAGGTCAACAGGACTGAAGATCTCGGCAACGGACAACACCTCATGCGATCAGATGTGAATCACACCACAACGAAAGACCGCTCCTACAGGGCACTTATAGAAGTCTTCCATCAACTGCATTGCCTGGTATCTTATCCCACGCTTCTAAATCTGTCTCCTCCTTTGCTGACGCATCCAGGATCTTGTCCGCCAATACACGTGGCGGGAGTACTACTTCTCTCACAAAGACAAAGTGTCGACACCGGCTGATCTACTCGTCTCAGAGGTCGAGCAACGTATGCACGTCGATCATTGTCTCGAGACTTTGCGGTTGACCCTCATGTGCCACAGCGACATCACGCCGCTTATGATCATCGACGACCCTTCTTCGCCTTTGGGGAGTAGTGCTGACTTCAACGTGCACCACAAGTGTCGAGACTTTGAGAAGATACGAGAGTGGATGGAAGAAAACGCTGGCCGCGCCGAATGACGAGGTAGTCTCACTGAGACGTGCTCGTTACCTTTGGTCCGTACCGTACTGTCTCGTCGAGGCAATGACACGAGAGGTTCCAGACCCGGTTGCCACGGCCGGTTAGAATTGAGCGGGTGTCTAATTCTCATCCATGGACTCCCACCCATCTAGACCGCCAGCCTCATCTCCTTCAACAGCCATGCCTCCTTGACCCGCATCCTCCTCGTCGCTCTCACTTTCACTGTCGCTCTCGGCCACAGCGACCATTCTTTCACCATTGCCTGAGTCCGCCGGCATCTTTACTCGACCGCCAAAGACGTTTCGAACATTGGGATTGGTGCTTGTGTCCCACACCTGCAACTGCCCTCTGCTACCAGCTACTGATAATCGGAAAGCGACTTCCAGGTCTGGAGCAAACTGTGCTGAGAAGATGCGTCCTACATCAACATTCCGCGAGACCACCATACTGGGCTTGCCATCTTGAACATTCCAAAGCTTGACTCTCTTATCTTCCGACCCAGTCACCAGGAAGCCAGGCACTGCAGGATTGATGTCGAAAGCGCTGACCGGGCTATCGTGAGCCTGAAGTGTCCAGACCGCCTTGCTTGGCTGGTCGTGCTTCTGAGGAGGCGATCTCGCATCAAAGCACTGCACTGTGCCGGCCTCTGTAGTGACGTAGAAGAAGTTCGGATCGTGGGAGTCCCAGCGTACTCGCTCCACATCTGCAGACACAACCCATCGTGGCGCTTCAGCGTCTGGTGCTCGCATATCCGTTGCCACGACGGTCCTGTCGTAGCTTCCACTGAGCAAGATCGTCGACTCTGTGGGGTGCCAGTCTAGAGCACACACTTTGTCGGTGTGCATTCTGTATGACTTGGCGCACTTGCCTGTGGTGAGGTCCCAGAGCTTCACGGTCTTGTCTGCTGATGCTGATGCCAGGAGGTTTCTGTGTTGTCGATTGGCGGCTAATGCTAGTACGGCATCGACGTGATATTCGTCGTTGAGTTTGGGTTTGGGCTTCTTCTGCTTTTTACTCTTTTTCGACCCTTGACTGGTGACAGTAGAATCGTTCTCAGGCGCTTGCCCTAGTATCGCGTTGGGGTACATGCTATCGACTGTGTCTAAGTCCCAGACTTCGATCTCGGGGCTCATTGTGCCGACAGCAACGAAGTTGCCAGTGTCTCTCTTGCCTGAGTCGGGACCAACGGGAAAATCCACCCACTCGACTGCTAATGGTACAGCCGGCAGCATGATATCATGATGCACATACAGATTGTCATTGTCGTCCTCGTAGACGTAGACCTCCAGGTGAGCGACCTCATCCTCCACTTTTGCCGCGAGGATCAGATTATCTGATGCTAAAATCTGTAGGTCTTCTCGCTCGTCGTCTGAGTCCCGGTCGCCCTCTGGGAGAACAAGATATGGGTCGTCTTCTCCGGGTGCATGGTATGCTAGGGACTTCACGTTGCCAGACATTGCGAATTTTTCGCCTGTGACAGGCTCTTCGTCATTGTCGTAGTCATCGAGGTTGTATTCCGCAAGGTCGTCGTCGTCGTCTTGACGATTGCTTGGATTGCCATTTGGTCTCTGCTTATTGCCAGTCTCCTCTGCATCGCTTCCTGTGTCGTCGTCGTGACCGTCCTCCGAAGGACGTCGCGCCTCCTCGAGATCCTGTTTAGCATCTTCTAGTTGTAGCCGTGCCAGTCTCGAAATGCGCCCGAGTTCTTCCTCGTCTACATCGTATTTTGTCGGGAATTGCGCGGCGACGCCTCTACGCACCCATGTGGTCGCCAATGTCATAGACATGCTGTCGATGTGTCGTTGTGGTGAGTCGCTGTGAGTCGTTTGTCGTGCAAACGTCGTTAAGCAAACGTGCGCCCAACTTTTTTTCTGGAAGCGCCCGCAATGACATCGGTCAGGGCCCCACTGATCCACGCTGCAGGGCTAGACTGGGCTAACAAGGCCCAAGGGTGCAGGTTGGAGAAACTCGAGCTCCGGTTGACGTTCTTCAATTCATCTAGACTTCAACGTGCAGAATCGACTCGCAGACGACCTAGAGTTCACCGATGTGGGCGTGGTTGGAACCGCACGATCTCTACTGGAGACGAGTTTCAACCAGAATGCATTCACATTTACATACCAAGGACAATGTCGGTACGTGTGCGCGGTGGTCGCTCCCTGAAGGCCATCAATGTCGCGACGACTTCTTCCGCACCCACTTAGCAGACACATATACTGACTTGAAGCGCGGGCAGGGTGCGAGGAGATCATGAACGCCCTCGATGAGTGCCACGCACGAGGCTTCCTCTACAAAGCCATTGGTGGCTGCAACGACATTAAGACACAAGTCACCAAATGCCTCTCCGGAGAACGATCGAAGAAAAGCAGCAAGAACAGAGAGACGGGCTTACAGAGACGGCATAGGATAGAGGCGGTTTGGGCAAAGATGGACGAGGGCGATTATTCGGCGCTCGAAGAATTCACGAAACGGAAATGAGAGCATGCATTGATGTACAAAATGTGTAAGAACAACCAAGTTTCACATGAACCCCGAGCATGAGACCCGGGTTACATTGGACATGTTTTTTTCTCAGAAGTGCGATGTTTTCAGTGTGCTCTATTGAGCTCTCATGACTCTGTAGGACTTGAAAACATGAGCGCACGTAAAGATATCCGCACTGGCAATGTTCCAAGGTTGAGCCGACTATATGGCTGGACCCCACTCAGCTTTGACAGCATCACCGCTGGCAGTTGCACTCGTGCAGCTGTGCTGCTCTAGAGAGTTCTACTTCTCGCAAGCTGACAATCCAGATTCAATCGCCGCCTCATGCATATAATTGTAGACTTCTGGACTCGCCCTTCAGCATTCCATCAGTCGCGTATCCGGTGTTCCTGCCAAGGCATACTTTAGGTAGTTCGGAAGGCCAACGCCGTTGTCCATTGTCGAACCCCAGACAAAGAAGCATTACTCGAGATCCTCTACATCTGCCTCCCAGTCTTAAGCCTATTCCGACTTGAGCGACTTGCAGCGTTTCTTATGCGGGTGCAGTCATATTTGCGATAGACGATACGCGGGGTGCCTCGTTCCGATGCTGCCTGTTAACGATCATGACGGACGGTCGCGGTAGTGCGCAAGCCACAGAAAACCTGTCTGGAATTTCCGTGAAAGAAGCCACGCTCGATCAAAGTAACGCCTCTACGGAATTGGACGACTTTGGTCTGCCCAGCAGGCCGTCAAGTAAAGTGCGGCCGTCACACGCGGACAGCAGTGACGATGACGAGGACGATGCAGCCTTTCATGATGCCAACGACACCGCGGAGGCGAAAGATCCGGCGGACTCAAATGCTCGAGACCACTCGAAGACCATTGCGCCTCCGGTGAATGCTCTAGATCAGGTGGATGGATCAGCAGACTCGAAGCCGACCACCCAAAGTCCAGCAAGTGCACCTACAGAAGACCGGCTCGAAGTCTCCCAAAAGCAACACAGGCAAGAGGAGGATGACAGATCGGGTCACAGCAGCCTCGATGGAAGAAATGGAAAATTAGATGGGCACGACGATGCTACAGAGAAAGGCGCGGCGGAAACGTCCATGAATGGCAGACCTAGAACACCAGTTCCTGAGGAGCAGTCTGCGAGTCCGCGGACCCCGGATCGAAGCACTCCCTCGCCAATCGCGTCGCGGGCGTTCCCTAGCATCAAGAAGGAAAAGCGCAAGAGTGCTGCAGCTGTGTCAGAATGGTCCCACCAGCGGCTAGCAGCCCGAAAGGATGAGTCCGACGAGGAAGAGGAAGTCGAGTGGCAAGCTATGCCTGCACTGGGCGAGATGGACTACTACGACGATCGCGGACGACTCGTGGCAAAAGGTACCCGAGACGAGATGCCGGACAAGCCAGGCTACCAAGCCACTGGCTTTTCTTCGAAGGGCTATACCAAGGTGCTGCTAGATGAAGACGCTCAATCAGCAACCAGCATGGACGACGATACAAATTATCTTTTCAAGAAGGACGAGAAATACACGAACATTCCAGACCCATACGGCGACGAGGACGATGACGACGAAGACCTGGCCAGGGATTCCAAAGCTCAACTGCAGAATACGAAGGACCTCCTCAGCGAGGGTCAGCGAATCGCATACGTTAGTGTGGCTCGACTCACGATAATCAAGATGATCAAGGCGCTAGAGGAGGTAGAGAAGACCAAAGGTGTACGAAAGGACTTGATCCGGGCTCTCGAAAACATGGAATTTTGGGGACAGCAAATGATGGTCAGGCTTTACAGCCACATGGATATTGATTCGGCTGAGCAGATCATGATCGAGCAGCTGGCTGAGCATGGTGTCAGCCCTGCTGATCTCGTGCCGACTCTCATGCAAAACGCTCGAATCAAGAATCCGAACGCCGACTCAAAGCCGGAGAGCGATCCGTCAACGGAGACAACAGCGGGAGCCACAGACTCCGGTGGATTTCCCAAGGGCAGTCTGGATGTAGAAACGGATCTCAAGGAAGTCAAGGAGGGTGAGGAAGTCCCAGAGGTGCAAGACAGCCTTCCACGAACCGAGAGCATAGAGCTGGATCTGCGGTGGACGGTACTCTGTGATTTATTCCTTGTACTCATATCCGATGGCAACTATGACTCGAGATCGAGACGCCTGCTCGAAAGAGTGGCAACCTCGATGCAAGTGACCTGGCAGCAGATCTGCCGGTTCGAGAAAAGAATTGTTGAAGCCCTCGAAATGCAGGAAGCCGAGCTTCAGGAAGACCACGATGAGAGCGACAACCTCGAGGCTCGACGCAAAGCCGCCTTGAAGCGTAAGTACATCACGATGGGTCTGGTCACTGTGGGCGGAGCAGCAGTGATCGGCCTTTCAGCTGGTCTTCTAGCACCGCTGATTGGTGCCGGTCTCGCTGCCGGATTTACGACTATTGGAGTCGGTGGAACGAGCGCGTTCTTGACAGGTGTTGGAGGTGCTGCCATTGTAACATCCATTGGTGTCACCACAGGTGGCACTATCGCCTTACGAGCTTCGGACCGCAGGATGGGTCACGTCAAGACCTTCGAGTATCGGCCCTTGCACAACAACAAACGACTCAACTTGATCTTGACAGTCTCAGGTTGGATGACGGGCAAAGTCGATGATGTTCGACTGCCCTTCAGTACTGTCGACCCCGTGATGGGTGACATCTATTCCCTGCTCTGGGAGCCGGACATGCTGCGGTCTACTGGTGACACTATCAACATTTTGGCTACAGAAGCTCTGACGCAAACGATCCAGCAAGTTTTGGGAATGACATTGCTTGTTGGTTTAATGTCTGCCATTCAGTTGCCAATTGTCTTGACTAAGTTGGCATATCTGATAGACAATCCTTGGAGTGTGTCTTTGGATAGAGCTACAGCAGCTGGCCTCATTCTTGCCGACTCACTCATTCAGCGCCACCTTGGCACTCGGCCCATCACGCTTGTCGGATTCTCTCTTGGCGCAAGGGTGATATTCTCTTGCTTGAAAGAGCTGTGTGAACGTGGCGCATACGGCATTGTTCAGAATGTGTATTTGTTTGGTGCTCCGATCACAGCTAAGCGGGACGAGTATCTGAAAGCTCGGTCAGTAATCGCTGGCAGATTCGTCAACGGATACGCCAGCAATGACTGGATTCTTGGCTACCTCTTCAGAGCCACTGCCGGAGGGCTTAGCAGAGTCGCCGGTCTGGCCACTGTAGATGACATTCCAGGACTGGAGAACAAAGATGTCAGCGCTTTTGTAAATGGCCATATGGCCTACCGCGCTGCGATGCCAAGACTGCTTCGCGAGGTAGGCTGGGAAATTGAGAGTGACGAATTCATCGAGATAGAAGATCCCGACCCGGAAAACCATGAAGCTCGTCAGAGAGAACTAATCAAAGAAATCGACGATGCCAGGAAGAAAGCCGAGGCCGAGGAATCCGCTGGAAAGAAACGCTTCGGCTTCTTCAGCAGAAAGGCAAAACCACAGAAGGCTTGGGAAAATTACGACGCATCCGACTCTAAACGATCTAGTACTGACGGCAAGAAGGAAGGAGACGAATTGAATGTGCTGTTCGACATCGATGCCATCCGTAAAGAGCTGGCGAGTGAGTATGTGGAAGTGCGTGAGCTCGACAGCACAATGCCTACAATGCAGATTGTCACCACAGGCAAGGACGGCGAGAAGCAGACCGAGTACTTGCGCCTTCCGTCCGACATCACGCTCTCGCCGGAGGAAATGGCTCGCATTAAGCTTCCTCCCAAGCCCGAGGATGACGGTCACGGCGCTATTCCTACTCCACGCCTACCGCAGCTCACAAGGTCGTTGCAGCCATCACCTCGGCAGTCGCCTGGCCAGTCACCACATCCTTCCCCACGAGCGTCATTTCAAACCGGCCCAACACGAGGCATGTCGCCGAAGCCTGATGATGACTCTTGGATACAGCCACGGGAGCTCGTCAGCACACTTCCGCCACTCAATCTGACACCTTCAATTTCTCAGCGACCGTCATTTGAGCCGGTTCCGGCCTACCGGCCCGCTCTGAAATCCCATGCTACTGAGCCGGCCCCATCGTCGAAGCCTTCCAGTGGTCCCGGGAGCGCTCTTGCTTCTCCGGTGGATGGATACAACCTCGAGCACAATGCTTGGGCTGACGACAGTGTAAAGATGACTTTCGAATGATCCAGCACGTGGATCCGTGTACAGATGTATAGCCATTGGTATGAATACCTACATCACCATTCGTCCTCGCAGAGGATGCCCGCTGTACCAGCGTGGCCATACTCTTGGTGTCGCCAGCCCCAAACCATTCCTACGCTTTTGTTGAGCTTTGTCCGGACTTTCATCGTTCCTTGGTGTGCCAACATAAAGGTAGTGAAAGAAATATCACACCAGTGCACAAAGCCACCAAGGATGCTCTTACAATGCTTCGATGCATAAAAACTAATGTCTGCCTCGAAGCAGCCATTCGTGACAGTAACAGCATAACTCATCATGTCCAGATCACTTCCAACACCAAAACTCACGCGCACAGAAAGCCACAAGATCATGTCTTCCCCGTGTTGCGGTCAGCTGGACGCCTTTCCAGGCCGCCTTGCTGAGCTCGAAACATCTAAGAGATGGGAGGAGATCGCTGCGCTCAAAGAACGCGCACAAACCCTCATCGACGGCTGGAAAGCTTACGAAACCAAGATCTCTACTAAACTTGATAAGATGTCCCCTACTAACCACGAGGACTTCTTGGCTGGTCAACACGAGGAGGTGAAGTCAAATATTGCTGAACTCACCGAGGAAATGCATGCTATCAGTGCGGTACAGCTCGAGCTTCGCATGGATCCCAGCTTTGCCCCTGAGGATGTTAGCTATACTTGGATGAAGCAGCTAGAGAAGAAGTTCAATGCGCAGAGCAAGACTCTGGGCCACAGCTCGATTTGGTGGAAGCTGAACTTTACGCTGACGAAGAAGCACTAATGATTTGCGAAGGAGGGTAGAGGTAAGTAAGGTAAGTATTACGCGAATGTGAACGGCTGTTTGCTTGTTGAACTCTTTAGACACATAGCCTTCTCAGTCGGGAAGTTGCTCGTTCTGTTTGAAACTACAGGTTGGTACCCCTCTGACCCGATTCTATTCTCAGTCAGACGCTGACTTTCGCAGAATTACACGAAATATTATCTCCTCTCCGCCTAGCATGACCGTGGTCTTCACCCAGCCTTCCTTACGTTAGCATGCAAATCTGAGCCGACACCGATACAGCGGCGGAGGTGGCCTTGTTGGAGGTCTTCCTTGTGTTCTCTTTGTCTGGTCTTTGTGCTAATACTGTACTCAACATGATGTTAGTTACAGCTATATCGTTGTTCGATGCAGGAAACAATGATCTCTTTGGCGGCATTGTTCGTTCTTTGTCCCTCGGGCTATTTTCGAAGTTCGCTGCTGCCCCGAGCTCAGCTACAAGATGCTCGAGCGCTCGACCGTCAATGCTGAAGCTCTTCGTGCTCCTGCCTCATACTCACACATACATGCAACAGGTAACACAGGCAAGTACATTCCACGAAACGACTCCACTCAACGAATCCCAAAACCAGACCATGATCTGCATCACGATGTGGTCCCCGATGACACTCCTCACCTGGTTCTTCCAGGCGATGGCTCTGCTTGGTACCACAGCATTTGATATGCTGAAGGGCCTCGCGTCCACTGACCCTCTCACGGTCCTTAGCACACTGACTGCGTCGAAGGTGAACATGTTCTTCGTGTTCATCTTCATCTTTCGGTACCTGCGACTCGTGGTGCATATGATCTCGTACTACTTCATCTACAGCCCGACGCCGGTCCCAGCAAATCCGACTCTGAAGCCGTCCGACGTGACAGTCATCGTCCCCACAATTGACCCCGAGAACGACGGCTTTCAAGAGTGCCTGCGAACAGTCCTCCAGAACCAGCCCGGTGCTATTCTGATCGTCACCGTCGGCAATGCCAAAGTCAAGCTTGTCAACAAGGTCATCAAGCCCTTCCGCAAGAGCTGGCCTTCGACGACGATCTCGGTCACACAGACTAACCAAGCTAACAAGCGTCGACAGGTGTGTCATGCCATCCCTCAGGTTCGTACAGCCATCACCGTTCTCCTTGACGACCACGTCTACTGGCCAAGCCTGAACTTCCTGCCCACCATTCTTGCACCCTTCGAGGATCCTCAGGTAGGTGGTCTAGGAACGAACAAGGTCGTTCGACGTACCGGCTCCGGCTATAGCATCAACTCCGTCTTCAACTTCCTGGGTTGTGTCTACCTCGAGCGTCATAACTTCGAGATTACCGCCACGAACGCCATTGACGGCGGCGTCTTCGTGCTCTCTGGCCGTACTGCCGCATACAGAACGTGCATTCTCAACGATCAGACCTTCTTGAACGGCTTTGCCAATGAGATGTTCTTCTTCGGTAAGCTCGGTCCCATCAATCCGGACGATGACAACTTCATCACCCGTTATATCGTCAAGAACGGCTGGAAGATCAAGATCCAGAACTGTCCCGATGCAACCATCGAGACTGACCTTGGCAACCCCGGTAAGTACCTCTCACAGTGTCTGCGATGGGTTCGAACCACCTGGCGTTCCAACAGCTGCTCACTCTTCACGGACCGCACAGTCTGGAGGGCACAGCCATGGTGTGTGTATGCCGTGTACTGGACAAGCTTCTTCAACTTTGCACTCTTCTATGATGCTGCCATGTTGATTTCGCTCTACAACACTACCTTTGGCAGTGTTGGCGCTGTTCAGATGCTGGCGTGCTGGATCTTTGCCAGTAAGATGGTGAAGCTTCTTCCGCATTTCAGACGCAATCCTAAGGATCTCCTGCTAATTCCAGCCTACCTGATGTTCGCCTACTACCACAGTCTGATGAAGCTCTGGGCTCTGTTCACCTTCTATGACTGCCACTGGGGTGGTCGCAATCTGGCTGCCGTTGACGCGTCAGCTAACAACGATGATGACGATGACGATGACAGCAGCGACGACGACGATGACCAGTCCAAGAAATCGTATGGTGGCTTCAGCACAGGGACTTCCTATCATTCAGTAGGATCTCACTTCCCCTCAAGTGGCTCCTCAGACGGTAAGCAGACAGTCTTCAACCGTTTCTTCGAGTCAGACACCCGCGCTCCCTATGATAATGCTGACCTACCTCCCGCATCCACTGCTGGATCATCCGGTCAGTCTGCCTCATACGGCATCAGCAAGTGGGCTGCCTCGGAGAAAGCCGGACACTCACAGTCTCAATACGGCTCAGCTCCCAAAGCTCACCCAATCCCCATGCCCCGATCAACCACAGCATCATCGACCACGGACCGCTCTTCCTGCGCGAGACAGATACACGCCGAGAACGTCCTCAAACCCCACGATGGCAGCATCCCTACCACATCACGATACGGTCGTGCAAACGATTCACGGAGGCTACCGGCGCATATGTACCGCTCGCCGATCTGGACGCGCTTCTCTCCTTCTGATTCTGCGGATGCGTCATCAGTAGTTTCGGGAACAAAGGCTAGTGAGGCAAGCACCTTCAATCTCGGCAGCCTCAGAACCGGACTCGAGATCAACAATTATTTGCTTTCCACTACCTCCTGCCCTACTAGCAGCAGCAACAGCAGCCGAATAGTCTCTGCCAAGTCAGCAACTTCCAGCAACGTCTACCCTGACCCATGCTTCGAGCAGCTACATGGGGAAACCGACTCTGAGCTGCGACAGTGTTGTGGAGCTGGCCCAGTCGAGATCATCGACGTCAAAGCAGTGAGACCAGAGTACAGACGGGCGTGGGAGAGAGGTAGTGACTGCAAGCGGCAGCATGATGAAGGGATGGGGCTGAATTGGGGGCAGTGTGCTTTTGGTGATGTACGAGAGCTGGGCTTGTAGTGGGCTCGTAGTCGTAATAGTCAGTTAAGAAGTTGGCTGATGGATAGGTAAGTTGGCTCGTAATTTTGGAAATAGAAGAAAGCATGTATGATCAAAGTTTTACACATTCTCATTCTTGGTATCTCAGTACGTGTGGTCTCGTTGGTTTTGTGTCTCGTCCGTACTCGTGTTCGAGCATCATCGTACTGTACCGTAGTAAGCCTGCTGTGGTTGGTACTAACGCGTTTTCCGTCCCTATTCCAACATGTTCGAAGACAATGAGAATATCGCGCAGGCTCGACCCATCCCTGCCAACACATATCCCCACCAGGCTTGCCAAAGGGAGGATCTTCCCAAGCTCGGTCTTTGCCTAGTACTAGTACAGGTACTCCGAGCACTTGCGCCCACTAGTCGCTCGACGGCATCCGTTGCATATCCAGGGCCCTTAGATATGATCGTTCTCGTCACCCTCACCGTCAACGTTGTCGTACTCATCCCCGTCTTCATTCTCCTTGTCGCTGTGGGTTCCGCTGTAGTCCTTTTCCCTGTTGGAGTTCGTCGAAGTCACCGAATTCTGAAATCTTTGCCGCCAGGGGAGCCGTGATCATCGCCGATGGCGGTCGCCTCATCATCCTCGACCTCCCGGCCCCCAATCTTCCTCAGAGTCGCGCCCTTTGACGAAGATGTTGTCAGGTCGGGTGGAGTAAATTGTGTTGTAGAGGCGTCGTGGTGGTGGAGTGGCAGGTGGGAGGCTGTAATTCCAGTCGACGGTGGTTGGGTCGCGCTCTTCGGCAGTGGCGTCGGTGATGGGTGCATTAGTAGTAGTGGTGGCAGCATCAACAATAGCAGTAATTGTATCAGCGGCAGCATCGGTGGTAGCATCATCGACAGCAGTGGTAGTCTGAGAAGCAGTCTCGGTGGTGGTGGCAGCAGCAGTGTCGGTGACAGCATCGCCAGTAGCAGTGACAGTAGTATCGCCAGCAGCAGCCATAGCTTCAGCAGCAGCGATCGTGGTATCAGCGGCAGCTTTGGTAGCTTCAGCAATAGGAATGCTAGTAGCATCAGCAGCAGTCTCGATAGTACCATCAGCATTAGTGGTAGCAGCGGCAATAGCAGCGGAAGCAGCAGCAGCATCGCTGGCTGCCGTTCCGATACTGGGAACAGACTGTTCGACACTGATCTGTGGGGTGCTGATGTGGCAGCCATCCTCGCCGGAGTCGGGGTCGTCGGCAAAGGGATCGTAGTCGTCGGCGGAAGTGGACTGGACAGGACAACGTGGAAAAGGAGGTGGAGAGAGGCTGCCGGCGTGGTAGTCATAGTCATCGAGAATTTCGTTACGGTCTTCGAGGAGGGGTAAGGCGGTGGCATTAGCAGCATCAGCTGTAGTAGACGTAGCAGTCTTTGGACTGGTCCCTTCAGCGCTGACCGGCGGGTTGCTGAGACCTGGTAGGGCGGTAGAGGCTTCTTTGACGTCTTCTGCGGTCTTCTTCGCCTTCTTGACGCTCTCATCTGTGCCTCTTTCGGTGGACTGACTACGCTTGCGCTTGTTGGACTCGATCTGGCCAATGTTGACGCCAGCGATGATAGCAGGTATATCCTCGCTGTCGATCCATCCTCATTTGTGACGATCGGCTCCTTTTTGGCTGGAACGGCTGCGGTAGATTGGGAAGTTGTGCTGTACTCGGATATGACAGGCTTTGCGAGACTCATCATTTTTTCGAATTCGGCACTTAGCTTTTCGATATCATCTGAGCTAGAGACCGAGAGTGTGTGAGTGTACTGAGCCACATTGTTGAAACCAGAGACTGTGGCGTAGTTCTCGATGCTACTGGTCATGTTCTGGTAGGCATCACGCTGCGATTTCAAACTCGAGATGTTCTTCTTGATGGATGCTTCAAGCATGATCATCGTGTCTAGGGAAGCCGAGCGACTACCAGGTCGACAGGTTGCGGTCTGCGTAAGGGCCTTGATATGTGACAATTCCCGGCCAACAAGGGCGATAGTCGTCGTAGTCTGATCATTGTGCACCTCCCAAAAGCCTTCGATACTATTCCGCAGCATAGCTTGCATCTTCCGAGCGTCTGGATCATTGGCAGCCATGATGTTAGTGGAGGGTAACGTGATCGTGCGCAGCAATGAAGATCGGCGAGTGCTGTAAACACGAAGGGAGGTTGCAAAGAGCAATGAACAAAAGTAGCAGGGATTGCGGGGCAAGAAGTGACCATCGGCTGTTTGAAACGTAATGTCAGGCTTGGGTGAAGCAGAACAGCGTGACTCGCGAGATCGCTTGGCATCAGTCGCAGCTCGAAGGCGCTTGCATGTGAGGCGGGTGGATCTGTCACTCAGGAGGAGAGCAACTTGAACTGAGCTTCATCATAGCCTCGAACTGAGCTTCATCATAGCCTCGAAGCAGTGTCAGCAGTAGATCCATTCCCACATCAGGCGGTCCTAGCCTGAGAGTCCGCATTTTGGGCGAAGTTGGATTTTACTGTTGGGCCATTGCATGTCAGATGCAAAGGTTTCCCACGGGATGTTTGAGAACATGCAGCCGTTAGTCCTTAGAGTTACTATACGTCACAGTATGATTTAGCAGTAATGTAGCGGGTTCGACCGCGTTGATACATTTCGCTCTATCCCATGCAGATACTCGGTAGGTACAGGCAACTCGAAGATAACATATCGCGTAGGCAACTTTCGTTTGGCTTCGCAGCGTGTCGTCATCTATCTGCAGTAGCCTAAGACCTCAGAAAGACAAGCTAAACTTGATTTAATCAACGCATCTGTGATAAGGACGCGGTGTACAGTTCACTTGGACTGGCGAACCTTGGTGACATGGGTCGTGGTCGTTTGCACTTCAAGGCCACAAGGCAAACTGCCCCACTTTTTGGCAGCGTTTCTTGGCGCCATCGACCCCACTCAAATTCGTGGTTTATCTTGCGTTTGTAAAATCGACATCGACTTGCCAACAATATGTTTCTCCTTTATTGCGCGCACCCACTCAAAGCCCAGCCCATGAGTCAGTGTCCTCGTTACTGTCTATACCCTTCCATCGTTGCGGCTCGTCAACCCCGGAAAGCCCATCGCGCCGACGCTACCGAACGCCCACCCTCCTCCGACGACCCTGCGATTCAGGTATAATGGACTACTGGTGCGGCGATCATAGAGCATCGGACTGCAACATCCATCGTTCTGCGGTATTAGCCTCAGGCCAAGTGGCCTTGATGGCTCGAATCCTCCTCGATTGACCGTACAGTCTCGCTGCGCTTTGTCCCATCGTCATCCAGTTGACACTTTAACCTCAAGTCGTGTGGGTCGTTGGCCATCAGTCCTTGCACTGTACCTTTCACTTTCGGCATTCCTTGCGTGCGACGAGATTATCTTTGTTCACCGGTTCCCTGTGCTATTCTTCTGTGACACCAGTGGCAAGACTATCCTGAAAGGTACACCGGGGGATCAAAACCAAGTGGCTTGTGCTTGAGGACCGTTCGGTTCTGAACATCAGATCATCTCGATCTGGTGCTCTCAACCCGGGAAACCTGGGTCCCCCGCACCTCGTTGAGCGATGACTTGCACCCGGCCGATGCTGAAACTTGACGGTCTTGCTGCTTCGCATTCTCTACAATTTCTTCGATTATCTTCCTATCCTCCTCTTTTGTGACAACTGCAGCACGACCATTCCTGGAAAGCCGACCGGGGGATCAAAACCAAGTGGCTTGTGCCAGAGGACTGAGGAACTGGGCATGCGATCGTCAAGGTCTCATTGTGCAGCACCCTCAGTCCCTCGCACCTCATTGCGCGATGACTTACACCCGGCTCCGCTGAAACTTGAAGGTCTTCCTGCCTCGCTTTCTTCTTTCCTACTGTGATACTCTCTGCCTCACTCTCCCTCTCTCTCCTATTGTGACGCTCGCGACAGAACCATCTTGAAAGAGTGAGAAGGAGTGCAAACTGGCGGCTGGGTGCTCGGAGACCTTTAGGTGCGAGGCCTGTTGATCATCGAGTCCAGGCTAAAGACCACTCTCGATCCCCATGAACTCGTGGGTCGGGGGTATATTTCATGATAACGGCCGGCCTGGCCTGACTCACTTGAATCTTGATGGCTCTGCTGTGTGGCAATGTCCCCATCCGTATTTCTTCCTGTCCGTTGCCAACGGTAAGTAATGTCGCCCCACTTTCCTTACCTCTGCCCAAGTCTTATTCCCTGTTGGCCCCAATTCGCAGCTCGACCCAGACGCACCGCTGTCGATCCCGGAAGCCGACATCCCCATCGGCCCACAGCAACCTGTCATTGCCCAACGCACCACGAACCATTGACCCATATCCGATCGCCCCAGCCAACCCCATCGTGCTCGATGCCAGCACTCATCCTCTGCCCACACACTGCCCCTTCCCCATCACAACGCGTACCCCAAGGGCAGAAACATAAGAAAAATCCCTCACGGGACAGACACCCTCTCTTTCTTTGCTTCTCCTCGTGGAGAACGCAAGGCCAGGGTCTCCGACAGACCACTTAGCCCTCCCTGTTGTTCGCGGCAGCTGCTCCTTTGAGCCAGCAGCCCGTTCGATCAGTGTTGGACTGCAGACGGTCGTCGGAGCGCGGGTCTGAACATTTGCTCACCGGGTCCTTCATGCAGCTCACGCGTCGAATAGGCTTGGACTCGCTTTACTGTTTCATCACTGCTTCCCGTCGTTGTGATGGAGCTTTGGGGAAGAAACACGGAATGCGCTCCATGGCCTCATTATGCAAGGAGTTAGCGCAAGTAATTGGGATGGGCGCGACCAAATGGTTGGATGTGGGAGGGAAAGGAAGTCGTAATGGAGGGCTCGATCGAGACTGGTTGACCAACGAGGAAAGTCGCACAGCAGGCCTTTGACGAAACCGGATGACAAGTGCTGGACAAAGCCGGATGACAAGACGTCCCGATGCCAGCCGGTTGACTTGAGCTTCAACGGAGGCATCATTGAATTGTACGGACTACAACCGTACAGCTTGCAAACGACAAAACATCATCGCCATCTTCAGGGCAAGCCTTGCCGCCACAAAGAAGTTACCGCAAGCCTCACAGCATGGTGCTAGTACACGTGCCCGTACTACGAGCGGGTCGCTGTAGTTACCTTCGGTAAGGTTAGAAATATAAGTGTGTACCGTAGCCTCGAACATGATAGTTACGTGCATGATCGCTGAAGCAGCCATTCCGTGGACACATCTACATTGATCGGTGTGCCCAGACGTGATGGTAGAGAAGAGTGATTACATCACACCAAGCATAATGGGATGGAAAGTGTACTCTATCTTAGTCATACAGCGAAATTGCCATCTGCCTGGCAAAGAAAGGCTGGACGTCTTATCCAAGGATGACACAGAATCTGGCTCGAATGCAAGCGGCAAAGGTGCCATGGGCAGAGGACCCCGAATTTAGGCCAATCTACTTTGCCGTTATGGCAGACATCCATCTTTGCTCGTCTTTGCTATTGTACTGTCAGTATGTAACAACAAGAGCCGTGAGATAGTGGATGAACTTACCGATCAAAGTGCAGCAGCATGCCCAACACAGGAATGAGCTGCCGCTGATGCGCCTTATCCTTCTGTTCCAAGAATTGCAAGAGCACATTCTTCAGATAGACATAGTCGACGGTGCCTTGACTCAACCCCTGCGGAGCGCTACCTTGTTTCTCACGAGCACTCGGCGCAGGCGATCTCGCCGATGTTGAATCCGTCGAAGCTCTTGAGCTCTGAAGACCGGATTCTAGGCCTGGTCTGACTGCTTGCTGCTTCTTCGCACCTGCTTGAAGCGCTTTGACCTCATCTGAAAGAGTCTTGTTGGATTTCGTAAGCTTGTCGATATTTTCCTTAGCTTCAGCACTTGCTTTGCGCAGCTCAATCCTCTGAGTCTCGAGGTCTTGTACCTGCCGCTCGCTTTCGTTGAGTGCTTCTCGCAACCCGGCCATAGCGGCGCGAACATCTTCCACTTCTTTCGAGGCACGCTCTGAAGCTTGCTCTAAATCGTTCAACCTGCGCTTGGAGTCTCGCTGCTTGATGTTGAGCTCGTCCTTTTCGTCTTCAAGAATCTTGAGCGCTCGCTGGGCTTCTCGCGCTTTCGATTTGGCTTCATCCAGCTCGCGGATCATTCGTCGGCTGCTGACGCTTGCCTCGTCTTCAACACGATCGCGTTCTTCGATAGCTGCGTCCATGCGCTCTTTCATTTCGCGGACACGAGATTCAGTGCCAGTTTCGGACTGGTTCAGCAGCATGCGCATGGTCTGCCCTTCTCGAGTCCGTTCAGTGAGCATACGTTGGGCTTCTGCGAGCTCTTCCTCGAGATTTTCGGCGCGTGTCGAGGCTTCGCGTGCTTGAGTGTTGAGCTCATGCGTCTGATCTCGCAGAGACTGCACGAGTGATTGAGCGGAGGAATGAAGGGCGGCCTTGAGGGTCACTTCTTCTCGGAGCTCTGTGACCTGACGATCGTGGGTTGTCACGCGGGCCTCAAGATCAGACAGTTGAGTTTTCAGCTTCGTGATCTCCTCGCGACTCTTCCTTAAGCTTTCGTTGGAATCTTTGGAAGCAGTAGTGGCTTCTTGTCTGCGAGCTTCCGAAGTTCGCAGCTGAGACTCTGTCGTTCGCAAGTCCTCCTCGGCCCGTGTTCGTGTGGATGTTTCTTGTTCGATCTTCTGCTGCAATTCCTTGACCTCGGCATCTTTGTCGCTCAAACGCTTGCCAAATCCTTTCATCTCTGCTTTGAGGTCTTCATGACGCGCCTCCATACGCTTGAGCTCACCTTCCTGATTCTTGAGATCCTCCTTAGCCTTCTTTAGCTCCGCGATTTCTGCTCGCAAGCTCTTCAGTTCAGGTTGGGCCTTTGAGAGTAGCTCCCGCAGGTCACTCAGATCTTTGAACCTGGTCGCGGCCAATTGTTCTGCTGCAGTCAGATCGGATTGCAGAGATGTCGATTTGAGCTTCAGCTCAACGAGTTCCTTCGCAACATTCTTCTGGTCTTCGTCGGCCGCAGACCTAGTGGACATCGCCTTCTGGAGCTCGAGAAGCTCGGCCTCGAGTTGCTCTGTCTTCTCGACCAAAGCTTTTCGTTCGCTTTCGACCACCTTGAGCCGGTCTCGAGCTTCGACGTGCTCTTCGCCCTGGTGCAGAAGGTCATCACGAAGAGTTTCAATTTCTTCTTTTAGAGCTTCTTGATCCTTGATTTGTTTCGAAAGTCGTTCAATTGACAAATCTCGATGTCCGATGGCTTCCTTGAGCTCGACGATCTCTTTCTCGAGCTTTGCTATGACCTCGGGCGATGGAGAAGGCGCAACGTTTCCAACATCGTCCGCTCCCGCAACAGGCTCGTCGGCCTCGATGTCGTCGGTGACCGTTGCAGCACCCTTGCCCTTGCCCTTCTTTTTCTTCTTATTGCTTTTCTTCGATCCCTGGCCTGACGTGGGCGCAGAAGGTTTGGCAGCAGAACCTTCGGACGCCCCTTGGGAGCCAGAGGTCTCTTTCTGTGCGCCAAAATTCTTGCTGATGTATGCTACAACGTCGTCTCGGCTTTTGAAGTCGCTGGGGTCTAGGCTGGAGTCATCGTCAAAGAAACCGAAAACTTTGGTCGATGGCCGCGAGTTGAAATGTTCCTCGTTCTTCGCCATCTCTGTCCGCACCTCATTGATCGTGGCTTCTGCAGACTTCAGCTGAGAACGCAGTGTGTCCATCACTGCCTGCATTGTGCCAATCTTCTTTTCGCTGACAGTCTCGTCGCTACGCCGCTGCTCGTGATCTCGAGCTGCCTGCTTTGCTGCGGCGAGACTGCTCTCGAGCTCCTTGAGTTCGGAATCCTTCTGTGCCAGTTTCTCGGCGGAGGTCGCCAAGTCTGCACGGGCAGCTTCTAGATCAGACTCCATTCGAGTCTTCGCCGCCTCAGTGGTGTGCAGGTTCTGCTTGACTTGCTCCAGCTCTGCTGTGAGAGACGAAATCTGACCGCGGATCTCGATCATCTCGTCCTGTGATCGCGACGATTGTTGCGACGTACTCAGCTCAGAGGCAACGAGCTCGTCGATCCTGCGCTGTAGACGGGCCTTCTCTGAGTCGAACTTGTCCTTGGACTCTCGAAGCTCTTGGAGCTCCCTGGTGGCTGACTCTAAACTCACCGCCATACCTCCAGTCGACTCGCGGGCAACTGTCAAATCGCCCTTGACCTTTCCCAATTGCTGTTTCAAGTCTTCGATTTGCTCCTGGCTGGAATGCAGTTCCTTTTCAAGCCGTGGCACTTCTGAATCATACGAGAAGAGGTCTTCAGTTGTGTCCTTTGAAGGCGGCGATGTCGGCTTCGAGCGGGGAGAGAATAGTGAAAGACTTGGTATCCGTGCTGAGATCGAGGAGGGAGACTTCACTGACGTTGTAGGTGACATGGTGTGCTGCGAATCATCCTTAGTATCCTCGCCACCTGTAGTCTCAGGGACCAATCCGACTTGTTCTTCACTGGCCTTGGGCTCTCGGGCAGTTGCAAGTTTGAGATCCGAGACCTCTGTGCGCAGTTGCTCGATCGTCTTGTCCGCCTGCTGGTTCTTCTGCTTCAATTCGTCTCTTTCCGAAGACACGCGTTTCAGCTCATCTAAGACCATATCGCCTTTTGTAGTGATCTGACCAAGATACTCTATCAGTGAAGCCGGATCTCCAATGCTTGTAAGTGGTGTGTATTCGCGCAGCGTGGCCTCGAATGGCTCAATCGCTTGAGCTCGACTATGCACTATACGGTATGCCTTTAACAATTCGCCATATTTGGACTCAATCCGCTCGAGCTTTCGCAGCTTTGTTCGCACATCGACTGGCAGTTCTACAGGTTGCGCAGGTTCAGCGTTGCCGTTGGTGTCTCGTGCGTCCGTGGCGGCATCTTCTTGGACGGGGTGGCCATCTGCCACCTTGTCATCCGCTTCGTTGCCCTTAGCTTGGCTGGGTGCATTATCTGGCAAGGGCGTCGAGACTCTACTGGGCGGCAGGCTATCGTCGCCACCTATAGAGAACGCAGGCTCGAAGTCGGAAGGGTTAGGAGTCTTGATAGCATTTCCTGTCGTTGGCTCTCTTTGGCGCGACGAGACGCGCGGAGTCCGGCCATCTTGCTGACCTGGACCTCTACGGCGAGTCTGCCCTCTTTGCGGCGACCCCGAGGCCGCAGCTTGTCGTTGGCGGGCTTGCTCCTCGGCGATGCGGGCGTCAATTGCGCCTTTGAAGCGCTGTTCGATCAGTACCCAAGCGTTCTGGCGTGGGGCAGGCAGCACACACCGAGAAATAATCCACCTTGACGGTAGGACTCACGCTGCCTTGAAGGCCGCTCAACGAATCGACTCACTTTGCAGGATACCTGGGTAGACGGTGTTCTTTGATCTGAATGCATTCACCCCGGATTAGATCCCACGAGTCAGTCGGAGCATCTCGCTGAGGCTCACCGAGTCATGACGAAAATGAAAATGATCAACTTGCAATAAATAAAGTATCACGACGATCACACGTTCTTCCATTCTTTACAGTCCTTCCTATCTGATTTTGGTCTTTTCCCGAAGAGGGGCATTGCGTGCTGGCAATCACGGACTATGCAAAGGCGTGCGCAATGGGGCATGACCTGAGTCCGCGTCTGCGGCTTTGTGCCGCCTCTCTTGACTTCGATCCTGAAACTCCTGTATTTGTGCAGAAGTAGTCGATACGCCACGGCCACAGTCACTCTGATGATCTGTAACTGATATCGCTCCCTCTGTGAGATCTCGGTATGGAGCCGTCCTGGCGAAGACGATACATGACCACAATTAAGCCGGAGCACATCCTTGAGCCTGTAGCCGAAAGGCTTTGTGGCGGGTGGGATGAGCTTGACTTAGCTGGCCAGACATTCTGCAGGCTTTCCCGCATGTCGAACCTCCTCGTCCCAAATCGGTTTTCCTCGTGACATCGTCAATCGTTGTGCCATTACTTCAGTACCACATTCGCTCCTCTGGCTGCGAGGTATGAGTCTGGTCCACCGGGTCCCAACGTTCTCACAACGCCAAATATCTCCTTGTCGTAGTACCGTAGCTTGGTCTTCGGATCTGTGTACCTCGACGGAATGCCTGTTATATCGCAGTACTGTTTCTGATGTGCTGGATGTAGACTCGGCGCGCTTTCGATGTTCGTGTAGGTTACGGCCGGCCCCAGATTGGGTGCGTTTCCATTTGTCGCCTTGAGAAGATTCCTCTCCAGAACCAGTGTCGACAGGCTCTGGGCCGCTTGTGCCATGTTCACAGGCTTGCCAGCGCCTGGGCCTTGCACCGGCGTCATGGCACCATCTGATGTTACGCCGGTCGCTGGTAGTGGTGTCGAAGCGCCACTATTATTTTGCGTGGCCATCACTGAAGCCTCCCGCCGTTGGGTCTCGCCAATGATTTGCTTTGTGTTCTTGTTGCGACGCCCTGAAGGCTTCCATGTCTGGTTGCGAAATGGTTTGACTGTGTAAAAGATGTCCATCTGATCCAACAACTGCTGGTGCGAGTCGTCTTGTGGTTGAGGCGTGGGAGGCATCTTGGAATTCGCTCATAGGCGGGTCTCAGGCGCACAGATGCTCTTATCGTTGTGCACGATGCACGTCGGGGCACTTCAGACTATTCAGGTATCTCGAGGTTGATGTCGACTGAATATGTCGGAAATAGGAAGTCTATATCCGCAACGCGTTGAAAGCCAAGGATTGGAGACGCGTTTGGAGAGCAACGGCGACGTTGTATTTCTGATGAACTCCTGGATCAACTAGCAATTCTCGCAGAAGGGTCCTGCGCGCTTTCTGCGTGGTGAGATGGTGTGTGCCTGGAAAACCCCTGGCCGTAGAATTAAGAGCTGACAGTACTCCACAGGAGAGTCCACACGAGCAGCAGCAGACGTTGCTGTTGTCTCGAATCATCACCAACATAGTATGGGTCCAGCAAGGCTATGGCGAGCGGTTGCTGACCGCCAACTACAGGAGAAGCTCAATGAGGCAGTCATGGTCATGAATCGAAGTCTGCAGGAGGTCAACGTTCAGAACATGAATGTCGAGCTAGTTGCTCAGATGTTTAAGAACTACCAGTCGAACGTTTTGTTTCACCTTGAGGGTGAGCATATTCACACTTACAGAGGCAATGTAGCTAATGTCGTGCAGCTACGGACAACCTGAAGGATCCGTTATGAGGCGAGCAAGAAGGACAGAGGTTGCTTTCAGACGATACCCACGAGCTATGACCAGATTGAGAGATTGAGACATAGTCGAATCTCTGGCGGGCCTCAGGGCCTTCGACAACCACTTCCTCGGAGCAGAGAAGTATGAGCGAAGGAACGCTGCGAGAAGGAACGCTGCAGGAAGGAGTCCTGCTGCTTTACCATCCTCATGTGGGAAGTCAAGGAACTGATGAGGGGGCAGGAGGATTTTGGAAGGTGCTGTATTGGCAACACTCTGTGCAGTACCGTTGCAACCGTCTGTGCCATGACGATCAACGACAAGTACATATGCCAGACAAGACTTATGTCCGCATCCCATGTCAACTGGTCTCCTGCAACCCCACGTAAGATATCTGGTCATCCGGCGCAGGATAAAATGTCAATGCTGTCGGCCGGTGCTCTATATGCATTGTTGCGCTTGTCGCGTGAATGTGCGCAATCTTATGTCGACAATGACGCTCACTCAATAGACCGGCGGTAGCCCTGAACCCTCCTATCTGATCTTCAGCGACTTTACCGTATATCGACTCCGTTGTATTCCAATTGCACATGCTCGGAAAGGCTGCATCGCAGCCTTGTCGCGAGGTCGCCCAAAACGATCAACGAACCTCAAATATTTGACCCATCATAGTGTGCATGCAGGCATGGTAGGAGAGGTGCGGGAACGCGGCAAACTACTGAAGTGACTGGTGTTGTGCGTCGAGGGTGGTGTAGGTTGGCAAGATGGCGATCACCTCCGTTCAACGCATAGTGCAAGAGCGCACCCTTCCATCAGACCATCCTCTCCCACCACCACGAATTTATCCTGCCCCGGACTTTCCCTTCAAAGGATGGCAGCCTGCTCAGCCGGAAGGCTACAGGCAGAGTGCCGCAAATCCCTCCGAAAACGCCATAGTCATCGATAATGGTGCCAGCACAGTCAAGGCAGGGTTCTCCTTCGACAAGAAGCCTCGATTTCTCGTCCCGCCGATCATGGCCAAATACAAGGACCGAAAGTTCAACAAGTACTGCGCTTTCGTCGGCTGGGATGCGTATGCGGACGCGACGACCCGAGGTCAGATTCGGCAGGCATTCGAAACACATACTAGCATTCCCACAAATTGGGACATCATGGAGGGTGTGTTTGACTACATCTTCCTCAAGCTCGGAGTGGACGAGCAGGGTAGTGTTGGGAGACCCATAGTCATCACTGAGCCGGTCGCCAACTTTGGCCATAGTCGGAGGATGCTCAACGAGATGATGTTCGAATGCTACCAAGCGCCGAGTGTGACTATGGGCATAGACAGTCTTTTCTCCTACCGGTATAACAAAGGCAATTCCGGCATAATAGTGTCTTCGTCGCACACATCGACTCACATCATTCCTGTCCTGGACAAGAAACCCATTCTGCAGTCCTGCGCACGATTGAACTGGGGCGGCTCACAATCGCACGAATTTCTCCACAAACTGATCAGACTGAAGTATCCGAATTTCACAGGCAAAATGACATACGAGCAGACGGAGCAGTACGTCAAACAATTTTGCTATCTTTCCAAGGACTTTGATCGAGAAATGTCAACTTTCTTGGACTGGTCGGGACTCGAGGAGGAGCGCAACGTCATTATTCAGTACCCTTACACTGAGCAAGTCGTCATCGAGAAGTCACCTGAAGAGCTTGCACGGATCGCAGAGAGGAAGAAGGAATCCGGTCGGCGTCTTCAGGCACAAGCTGCAAAGATGCGCTTGGAGAAGCTTGTGAAGAAGGAGAAGGATCTAGCGGACTATCAGAAGCTATACGCGGCCTACACCGATGCGCCCACGAAGAAGGAGCAGAGGCGGCTGTTGGACACCGAAGACCTCAAAGACGAAGCTGCCCTGGAAAGACGCATTCGCGACCTGGACAAATCGATAAAGAAATCCAGAAACAAAGACCTGGGCGAACCCGAGGAAGAGGAGAAGCTGGAGGACCAGCTCAACAAGTTCCCACTCCTCGACACGCCCGACGACCAGCTTGATGACATCGGCTTGAAGGAGAAACGCCATCAGAGACTCATGAAATCAGGCGTTGAAGCGAGAATTCGTGCAAAAGAAGAGAAGGAGCGCGAGCGAGCCCGCATCGCCGAAGAGGAGCGTCTCGATCAAGAGCATCGTCAAAATAATCCTGAGGATTGGATCAAAGGCAGAAGAACCCAACGGGAGAATCTACTGCTCAAAATCAAGGAGCAGGCTCGACTCAAGGCTGACTCGGGGAACCGCAAGGGCGTCGCCTCTCAGGCGCGAATGAAGGCATTGGCGAATTTAGCATCAGATGGGCCAAAGCGCAAGCGGCGTGGAGGCGGCGACAATGATGACGATTTCGGCGCGGATGACCAGGATTGGGATGCATATCGAGATGTCGCGAAAGAAGACGCCAGCGACGATGAGGAGCCTGAGGAGGATCCTTTAGCTCAGCTCAAGGCTGTAGAGAGCGAGCTTCTCCAATATGACGATTCGTTCTCTGAAAAGGATACAATTGAGGCTCAGAACGATTGGACCAAGAGCTTGATGCACGCCTTCCTTAGAGGCGCTCGTCCCTTTGATGGAGAAAGTCAACGCGAGTTCAACCAGGTCCATCTCAACGTCGAGCGAATCCGAGTCCCCGAAGTCACATTCCAACCGAGCATTGCGGGAGTCGACCAGGCGGGCATAGTAGAGATCATCGAGGGAATCGCCATGAGCCGTTTCTCGGACCCGGCACAGCAGCGTGCTCTGCTGCAAGACATTTTCCTTACGGGCGGCAATACTTCCTTCCTTACCTTCGAGGAAAGACTAGCCCGAGAAATGAGGGCTGTAATTCCATCGGCATACGACATCAATGTCCGCAAGGCCGCAGACCCCATTCTTGATGCATGGAGAGGGGCGGCGGGCTGGTGGAGCTCAACTCCGGCGTCTGATCGACACATCGCGACGGTGACCAAGGAGGAGTATGCAGAGAGAGGCAGTGATTACATCAAGGTGAGAAAAGTCTATCGGGACAGGTGGACAATACTGACGTTGTTACAGGAACACGACCTGGGGAATTCACTGGCTCCGTCGACGCTCACTTTCGGTGGATGAACTTGACCGTCGGAACACCAAGCAGTCATGCAAGATGATCGTCGATCTCTTCTTAGCATGGCACACTTGTTCAGACGACGACGATCTATGGAGGGATGAAACCAACGAACTGGCCGCTAAGACCTCATACCCACTCTGGTCACGTACCGCATGGTAGGACTGTCATAGCGTCGCGCAAATGGCTCGCCCAGCTTACAAAGATCGCAAGAAAAGATTCGAATGCGGCTCTGCCCAAACAGGGTAATTGCGAAGTCAGCAACGCGAACAGATTCTTGTCTTCACAAGACCAGAGGCTGTCGGTCGCATCATTCGCCACATCCATACTCCGTCTCGATCATGCAGATTTTGGTCTTCACCTTGACATCGGCATGTCCGTTACTTAGGTGTATCCTGTACGGTGATGAGGTGCGGTATTGCAGTGACGCCCGAGGCGGCTCCACGTTCGAATACGCCAAGATGTTTTGGGGGTTTCCAATTCACCGCGTAGGGACGCGGCGTGCACGCAGATGACGCCACACTTGCCAATACCTCCGCGGCATTCTTGCTCGTTTTGGCCGCTGCTCGATTTCAGCATGTGGCGACCTGGTCGACTCTGTGGCTCAGAAAGTTCTGCAATCTGGGATGGCCTATTTCTTGTCCTCCATGACGGGCACTTTGTTAATCAGCAGAACGAGTATCGCTATCCAGGGTCCCAGCGAGTGGGCAGAATGCGCCGAACATCGTCGTTCAGATCCGAGTGGCTGCCGTCGCAACAAGATGATAGTCGTCAGTACCAAGACTCATGATAATTTGGGCTGACTAATATATTTCTGGACCGGACTCCGAGTCGACACTGCAATGATACCGTCGTACGTACCTTACCTTACTTGGGACTTCCACATGGGGTTTGATGTTACAGAGTACCGGCGACGTCTCGGCTCCCCACACTACCTCACAGTTGGCCTGGCTCTGCTATAGGCGGACAAACAAACGACTCTTGGTACTCGCTGCCATGGCCCGTGATATGTAATCTCTGACCTATCCATCGAGATTACTACTACGTACCCGTCGACTCGTATCCACTTCCAGTAATCGAAGTCATGGCACCCGACGGAAGCTGTAATCGCATTGTGCACGATACACTGCCAAGCACCTGCTGGCGCGGCTTCCTTCGGTCTCACAATTCAGCAGATGGCTGACGAGTTACATAGGTATTCGTAAAGTACTACCAGTGCAAGGCGGAGCATTTACTCCATGTCTCTTCGTGTTGGGCAGATAATGTTGTGACGATGACAATGGTGTCTGTGTTCGCCTGCGAAGTGGCCCTGACACTGGTATTTCGGCAATGTATCGACCTGCATCTGGCAAGCGACTAGAACGAAAAGCCCTTCTGTGGCAATATTCCAAATTCATTCGGCATCCTGCCTGTTCAATTACGCGACCCGTACAGGATTACAAGCCTGTATCAAGTTTTGTCAAGGCGTGAGTTCCGACTCGCGAGGCATCGGTAAGGCCTCCTGTACATGGGAAACCGTGTTCAAGGTCTCTCTGCAGCCTAAGCGAAACGCACGCCCGCGGACCGAACCCCTTCGCGGCTCCATCTCAGCATCACGAGATATTCGACTGCCCAAGGTAGATCGCTGGAGCATTCGTACAGGACCGTACTGCGGTTTTATATTCCCCGAGCAAGATTATTCATATGTCAACAATAGCAGAGCGGCCGCCACGGCCGTTCGCCGCAAGGACTGGAGTCACTACTATGCTGCCCTCGGTCATACGCTCTGTCAAGTAAGTGGTTGGAACCGTGCTGAATCGCGTCCGCGTCGACCATGTGCCTCCACCAGTTGCCCAATACGGTGAGCGTTCGACAAGCCTCGCAACATGATCTTCAAGCCTTTTGACAGCCGGGAGACGATGCTTAAGCGGGCCTCGCTTCGCTAGGGCGTGTGCTACTCAGCAAGATCGTTCGCCCGCGCTTCATATACCCGCGCTCGACACTATCTCCGGTCTTCGCTGTACTCATGATTCCGTTGGCTCAAAGGACACGATCCAAGGGCATGTGTGAGTGCACAGGCTCTCGATCAGGTGGCCGCCAATTCACCTGACTAATACACACTCTTTCGCAGTTCTGCAGCCCCAGGCAAGCGAGATATTCTTTGAACATCAATTCGTACCCGTACCAGGCCACACATTGCCTATGGCTTACCGCTAAGCAATCAGGATTACTCAAAGCAGTCGGTGTTACCGCCCTGTACCGGCAAACGTTTCTTACGCCTCTTACTCGCACGAGAAACGCGGACCAAGGTCGTCGACCTGGTCAACGCTAAGGCTTCACGATTGGTCTGAAGTATCTTCCCAGATTCGTACCTCCACTAGTCAACATAGAGACCTACCGATTAGCTTTCGCTGAACAATTATTGATTGCCAAATCTGGGGGCGCGAGCTGTCAAATTCGTTGGCTTCCCCACGAGGGCGCCCAGTCGGCTCATATCTACGAGCTAGAGCATCTGGTTGGATGTTGGCAACGTCAGACAGATTGTTCATATCGCAAAATGCGAGAACCCGACTCAGCTCATGCGACCGTCACTGTTTTTCCACGGCCGCAGAGTCAATCTGGATTCAGGTCATACTGACTCTCGAAGACATGTCGCGATCCAACGACAAGCGTAGGGCGCGGTTGGTCGAAGATCGCTAGGATGCCGCGGATCCGTCTTCAGCCACAACCCACTTCGGGATAATCCTAGGAGAACGACTGCTGCTTCCACGCCTGCTTTCAGCAACATCGCGACCAGAGCAATTGCGGGCGTGGTACATCTGATCAGCAAGCTGTGCTGCGGCCCAATGGCAAGATGTGATTTGTGTATATGATGCGAATTCCCTGCCGGTCGGATCGCGCATGGTGGCTGCTGGTTTGTCGTCACAATGCAGGATACAAGCTGCATCGCTGTACGCTTCTCTGTCATTCGAGAGCACTCGATGACACTTCTTCCACATGGCAGAGTCATGGGATTGTGTAGCCCTGCTCGATCACTTGCGCGATCGCGGACATTCCTTTCCGGCATTTCCTTGTGTGGCCGAGAGTCTGGACCATGATTGGAAGCTATCAGACTCGACCTGCATCTTACCTCAGGAATTAGTCTGGGTAGGCAACAAGGCAATCACAACATGTGTATGTCATCCTTATGTTGCGGAGTGCATATCATGGACAGCAAACCCTTATGAACAGTCGTCCAAGCTAGACAGCTCTCGTACGGAAGGATGCTGGAGAGAAGCTGGCAATGCGTGGTTGACCACAATTTGACTCAACCAGTGTCGCCATGTGAGCATTTGAGGGCTTGATCACGTTGGCAGCATCCCCACAGCTAGGTCTGCAGCAGTTAAATGCGACGTCGCACTTGTTGGGCGTTGCTGGGTAGAATGATGGTGTTGAGCACAGGCTAGCTTTTGTCGGCATAGACTCTACTGCTGGGCTGTCCAGAACCACCGTCTTAATGCTTAGTTCGGGTTTCGTGTACCTTTACGTTCGGGGTCTGATGTCGACATCATAACATCATATCTCTTACGCTCAAGGGCTCTGTGAGTGGCCGCGGCTCGCCTGAAGTTGAGGTCACTGGCTGGAATTGTTCTCAGTACTCAGTGTATGGGGTGTTTGAGATACCACTCACTGCCTGGGTACTGTTGCGGCCGTGGCAACGTTTGAGCCCACGTCATTCAAGAACATGCTTCGTGCCTGCTGCTAAAGCAACACGCACTCCCAGGAAAGAGCCATGCTACCGAACCGAGAAGTTGCACCTGCCTAGGGTCTCCGACTCTCAAACTAGGCCGCTATTTGCATTGCCTTGCATCGACGCGAAATACCTGATCAGGTATGAGTCGGTCGAATTGGCGTGCAAGTACGTCACAGGTGCTGTTTCGTTGCCCGTATACTGGTACCCTGTGTTCTGCGACGAAGCGAAAACGTCCTCGACGTCCTTCAGATCCGTCTAGAGCCTGGTCATTGCTACCATCCTGCTGCGCTCTAATGGTGTAGCTTCACCTGCTGGCACTGGTTGCCAATGGGGTGCGTCAAGCAAGGCGCTGATTTGCTCGTAGGCACAGCTGCGCATCAGTTTCCGACGGCGATAGCAAGGAACTCGTATGCAAGCCCGCACAGGATCTAGATGCTGCCTAGTGTGGTACCGTACGTCGTCCTGATACAGAGTCTCATCCATGTGACGATCGTGGACTCGTGGGGCTCGAGCTTTATTGAAACGGACCTCAGGACTTACTCATCTCTAAGTCAGCTTGAACGGGAATGCCCAAGTATTGGTCGGAGCTAGAAGAAGCACGCGAGCCCGCTTGTGTGTCCACCTGCATGAGGTAACTTGTTGGTAATTACTCCGTAAACAGGAATCGGGGCCAGGGCGCAGTGGCGGGCGCGAGATTCGAGCTGATAGCTGCTTCGGCACTGGCGGATGCCGCCGTAATGAATAAGCACGTCCAATGATTGTTCTTCCTATACCTCACAAATGGGGAAAGCGGAGGTGGGTACTGCACAATTCTACGGAGTAGTCGTCTTGTCGAGACCTGCCAGGAACTTGCGATCGAGCAGTACTGTACCTGTATGGCATGTGCGATGAGCTTGACTACCCGCTCTCTTGCGCAGAATGCTTTCCTTCGAATGTGGCGAAAGCGACCTCATGTACTATGTGTAGACCGAGAGATCAACTGCATGATCACAAAATAAAGTCTCCAATGCCTTCTCAGCAGGTGCAAGACTGGACACAAACTTCCAAGACAAGGCCTTCCAAACCAGGCAGTAACTACATATACTTTGGTCGTCACAGTGGCAAGGGCAGGCACCAGAGAGCGAGCATTGCGGCAAATGTATCCGGAGGAGATCGGTCTTCGCGCCTGGTGTAGAACCTGGTACTTAAAAGTTGTTCTTTATGGCTAGACCAATTAGTACCTTGGTACGAATCATCATGCATGCTGACATCGATTCGAATCTCCCGATGTGTGGTGCAGTAACAGGTAATGCTTGGACGGGCTCTCATACGCTCACCACTTTGCAAATCTACCAGACTCGGCGATGGGTACGGGACGCAGGGCTGCGGCATGAGCTGGTACCTTGCAGATTTCAGCAGCGACTGTGCCACTGAGGCTCGAGGCTCATTCTCCGAGGTCGATTACATGAGTTCCCTGGCATGCCATCACGCAAAACAAAAGCGAGGTACTTTTGGAGTGGGACGAAATCACGCGTGAGGCATGACGGAAGCACTGCTGGGATATACCGTCGTATGCAAGGCGTCGAGCCTGTAGACAGATGCCTTTCGATACGGATCGGGCCCTGGCCAATGGAAGTGGGACGTAGACTTACCCTACCAACCAATTCCTGATGGGGTCAATGGCTTCTGCAGAATGATGATGCTGCCTCTCACAGCGGGATCAATGGCGACAGATGATCTTCCTTCGCAGTTGAGAATATGGTGAACCTTATGCTCACCTAGATTCGTTGCTTTCATGGGACAGTGGAGTGAGGCATGGAGATGATGAGTAAAAGTTTACTCGAGGTGACGTTTCCTCAGCTGCCATAACCCCGGGCCATAGTCCAGACCTCGTTCACAAATTTGCAGGATTGTTCCGAAGGTGTTACTGCCAGTTTACGATACCACGCGTGCGCGAACGAAATAGTAGCAAACCTGGAAGAAAGGCACAAACGAGAAAGACGATGACACAAGCCCAGGATGGGTACTTACCAGGTATCTCAGGCCGAGCAACGAGGCCAGGTCAGAGGGTGTGCCGCGAGGTACTGTATCAATTACGTGACCAACTGCTGAACGTCCCCAATGCTTCTTCGGATCTAGCACGTTTCAGATCGTGACCGTGACCGTATTGCAGGTAATTGGCCTTCGCATCTTCCCGTCGTTTTGCGATAGTTCCTTCCTTCCTCTCCACCCTCATCTTGATGCTCAGTGTTCCTTGCAGTAGCTTTGTCAGCAGCCCATACGCTCGCGATTTCGGCCGTTACAATTCATGCCGATTCCATCGGTCGCGTCCACCACAGATTCCAATGGTACGGCGCTCCATCGAAAGAATCGCCCGTTCTGGTCAAGTCTGGCCCGGCAGGAATCTCTGAGGAACCTTGGAAGCTCGCTAGCTTCGCCAGGCGGCTGACGGCGCGGGCAACATCTGTCAATCCCTGACACAACCCCATCAAGCACTGTATAGTGCATCTCTGACTGACGAATTATTCAGCGAGGGGCGATCAAGCTCGCAATCAGCACTCGCGTTGACAGACCATCGATATGGCTGGCCTTGAGCGCAAGCTTGCGAGACTCCAGCTAAGTCTCTGTGCTGGTAATCTTATGAGGCAGGCCGTACCATGACGATCTCACCAAACGGATAGATCTTGCACCGGCGCGATGTGCGCCTATGCAAGGCAGAGTTCTGGAGTCTCCTGGGGAAGCGGCGATATACAACGCGTACTAGGCCAGTATGTCTGGATCAGTATTCAGTACCAAATCTACGTTATAGATGCTCTCGGCCCAGGTACAGTCAGTACCTCACACCATGAGAGGTTGTTCCCGAGCGGTATTACTGGTTGGTGGCGTCAAGCGTCATTATCCGAAGCACACGATTTCTCAATATTTCTTTGCTGAAGCCTTCGACTATGCTTGCCGCATTCGAGCTTATCAGGCCGCTGTGATTGCTCATCTTGACAGCAATTTGCGATCCTGACAGTATCTCGTGACATCAACATAACTTCATCACAATGTGTGAGATGGCGTAATATGTTGTTTGAGCCTCAATGCATTCACACCGACCGTGGCCGTACGAGGCTCGCAACTAGGCCGCAATCGAGAGCCTCCAGCGGAGCACTTACATGTCATTGTGTTGCTATCGCAGTTATGTGTCCGGAACTCGGACTCTATCGTTAGGCACCATAACGTGTATGAATACTCGGACTGTAACGAGGTTGCGAAACGACAATACGTAGAGAACCTGGACACAGATCATCGAATGATTTTACGAGACTCTACATTTCCCCCTTCTGGAACACGCAGGAGTCGGTAGCAAGCCACGGATACGTAACCCCTAACACCGCGGAATCCGCACCAATCCACAGGTCCAAAGACCTCAGAGACGGGACTTGTGAGCTCCGCCATGTTACCTGGAGTGAATGAGGCTCCAGTCTCGACAATGATCACAATGCGGAGGACACAATAATCAACAACGAATCTCGCCTGCTGAACATTGTGAACTTGAGGCTCGATTGCGGTCAGCTGGCCATAGAGGCCTGGTGTACAGCTAGACACCGACGTCCATACCTTGCACCGCTCCCAACGGAACGATTGATGAAGCTTTCAGCAGTCTGAATCCAGTGAAGCGGAAGCAGAACCATTCTGTACTTCCAGGATCTGAGGATCTGACACCCCGTGTCAAAGGTAATGAGGACCCACTGGTATCTATCGCGTCCAAGTCAACTCCGCTCGTGCATTTTAATCGGGTTTCTATGATCGCCGAGTGATCGACGTACGGGTGAACATGACCTCACCAGGGCCAGCAGACCTCGATTGCGATTCTGCTACTGTCCCTAGGCAGCAACTTGTCGTTGCAGCAGTGTAAGTCGTGGCCACGTAGAAAGACGACGGAGAGGGCAATCCGCATTCTACCGAATTCGCCGGTATGAGAGCAGTTGCCAAGTCACAAGAATTATTGGAGTTGCGATGGCGGTTGATGACCAAACAGTTATCAAAAAGCTTTTGATCAATAATACAGGTAAGGCCAGCAGCGCGACCACCCCTCTCCTCATAAGGTTCCTTACCAGGTACAATAATAACGATGTTACCTAATACAGCAATCCCTCCGAAGGGATCCTAAGATCAGGCTGTCACGCCTACTAGCAGAAACTCGGCCGTCATCACGATGATCTACCGTCGCACCGTCATCAGCCTCGCACCTTTCGCTGATTGTGAGTACAGAGTGGAGTGTGAGAGAACGACCTTCTAGAAGCCCGCAAGAATCGAGCGTTGGCCGTGGCGCCTTGATAGTGATCGTCAGGCCAGCACCTCAGAAAGGCTCGACAGACAGCCGTCGGGCAAGCGACTCTATACGCACCGGAGAAACTCTCGAGCATCCAGACATCGCACAGATGCAGCGGCAGGTCATACGCACTTTTGGCACCTGTCTAACCCACACAATTGTCGGGCATCTAAGTACGTACTACGATATGAGAGGGTCACCATCATGGTCGCCTTACCTAATGCAGAGAAATCGAGCCATACGGACTAAAGCGGATGAGGTGATCTGCATCTTCTCTTGCTGTCTGCGAAAGCTTCTTTCCGTGAAGTGCAGGATGCGACTCGTTCAATGGACGCGGTCGAGCACTCTGCAGGCTCATGGGAGAGATTGACAAGACAGTCCGCTGTGTGAAGCTCGTGATCTGAATATCTTCACTCGAACAACTCGAGATGCATGATCGGCGAGGTTCATCAGGAGTCTATTGCAAGAACTTGGCGGCATCGTTTATGGACGCCTCATTCGGCCGACTGAGCACTCGCAAGGCGGTCTAGGGACTTGCATATCAGTCCCAGATTCTGTTGTGGCCGCTCGCGTGCGACTACAATTTGGGCTCATTGCGAACGAGGCTGGCGATAATCATGAGAGAGGGCCTGTGCCCTCCTGCTCGGTCTGCTACGTGGATGCTCGGATGTCAGGCGAGGTGAGGTTGAGAGAGTAATGCAAGGATGATATTCTTGGGTCAGGCCGCATAAGAAGAGGCAGAAGGCGGAAGGGTCTGGCCCGTCTCGCTTCCCAATGTAGACGTCCTCGCAAAAGAAGCGCAAGTGGAAGAGTGCGGAGCTGTTTCTCAGGGTGCTACTGAGCTCTCGGCGTGGCAGTGCACCCTGAGTGTTCCTACGAAGTGCACGCAAGGCCGTGTACACGGTACACAGGAAGTGACCGGCAAGGAGGCTTTCGCAACAGTGGAAACACAGGTATGGTAAGCAAGTGTGTACAATAACGAAGGTATGACTCATGAATTACTGAGGAAAGTCATGTGTGTTCTCGAGCGTCTTTCGTCCGTTCTTATCTGCTCTCTTGTGAGCCGTATACCTGCCTCGGAACGTACTTGTATCTGGGTATCATAATGTATCTTGCCGAAACGATGCACACCATAAGCTTCGTGCATCTTGAAGTATTGCAGCCAGTCTCAGTGACCCGCAATCCCACCCACCTCACCGGCTTACCCGTGCACGACTTCGCTCACCGCCCACACTCATTTGATGCGTGGTCGAACTTGCACAATTGCTTGAGCACTTCTGCCGCTTTGCCTTCCACCGCGAAACCAGTTATCGCGAGCTCCAAACCCTTCTCCGAACAAGCAGTAGGTGGGTCAGGCGCTCCATGAAAGCGAGCCAAACAGATCGCTGAGCCACCATAAGTGACGATTGCGTAGACAACGTTCCCCGAAAACATTGCCGAGTCAACGTTATGATTCTCGCAAGACAGGTCATGGCGGTTTCAGACGTCTGACAAGTTTTACGGCCATCTTGGCGATTAAGGATGCTTTCGAGCATGAGTTCCACATGCCATTAGAAGTGATTCAAATACATGCGGGACCTGCTTCAGCTCCGCGTAGACGAAGGTGAGTTTGCCAGAACAGATGGCCCTTGGAGCGCGGCTTGTGAAGGAGTGAGTTCAGCAGAAGAAGTCCTCATCCTGTCGGCGAAGGATGGGTCCGGATAAGCACTTCGTGTCAACGCTGGGTCGGCGTACTGTGTCGTTCCATTATCGTTCGACGCGTTGCCAACAGAGCCTAGTTCTGATAATCGCGGTAATGTACCAGGGTGTGAAGGGGCGGCCTTGCCCGGCTGCAGCCCATCGACATTGCTGGGTGGTGGAGGAACCTCGCCTTGAGACTCGAGGAGCCGTGATTGCAGGTTGATGATGTAGTCGCGTAATTGATAGTTCTCGGATTGCACTTGCTTGAAATTCTCGCTTAAGATCTGGTAGTCGCGGACCTGCTCCTCGAGCTTCTTGATATATCCTTCCTTCCGCTGCCGGAAAGCTCTCTGCTCGTAGGTGAGTACTTGTGCATCAAATCATAAGGCATTGGCATACTTGTGCGGCTCTGTTCTGGGCAGCTCGCTTGCTGGTGCTCAACTCTCGTTTGCCGTAGCCTTTCCGCCCGTCGCTGCCGTTCTCACCACCGTCGCTATCTGGATTGCCTGACAAGTTATCGGCTTGATCTGGAGGTGACGATGGGTCATTTGATTGACGTGTTGGCGAGTCTTGTTGCATAGTGGCTGAGTAGTCCTTGTACTCCTGGATTGGTGGTGCTGGCGGCATGTACTGCTCTCTTAGCACTATCGAATGCTTAGTGACTGTTGGCCATGGCGAAAGTAGCTGTGTAATTGATGTCATGGCGAATAAGTGCTTAGCAGGAACGTGTGTAGTAATGAACGGTCAACGCTAATAATATGATGTACAAAAGGGAGCCCTGGGAAAGTGTACGGTATATGTATGCTCGGACGTGAGGGCCAGAGGCGAGAGGCACACCTCGACAGGGAAGCTAAACGAACAGGGAAGTTGTGTGAAGTGAATCAGTCCGTGCTGTATCGTAACAGCAATACGTGACCGGCGGCCATCGGCGATGAGCTCCACTACCGTGACCTTGGCAATGTGGGGATAGGGATTACATTTGACTGACCTTCGGAGGATCGATCCTGTTGCTGAAGATGGTTAGCTGGACTGCGTGCAGGGTGAGTGCCATTCGCGGCTAGTGAAAATGAATGCGAGATCTGAATCGGGGGAGAAACGTGTGAAGAGAGGATGGAGCACAAGGGGAAGGCGCAGGATGACTCTGCAAGGATATGATGGTTTATCCGCTTGAGCGACGGATCTGAGTAATGACGGCTTACCTGAGGGAGTGACATGCTGTACGAGGGCGACAATCTAGGAGCTAGCGCGGGTTGCATGGCTTGAAATTAAGTGTCGATGGTTGCAGCTCCCCTGAGCCTGTTGTTGTATGGTAGCCACACGCCGTGGAATAAGGAATGCCGAATTCGGTGATGCGAGATGGGTATTTCGAAGCACCGGTTTCCAGTGAGGAACTGATGAAGTGAAATGATGTGAGGGATCTTTGTTGATTTTGGTAAAACGTCGAGCATTCACAGCACCTGCAGTGGGAAAACTCGAAATTCGGCGGTGCTCCAGGCAGGCGCGTAGCACTCACTATGGAAGGAGAGCAGGAAGCTGGGAGGGAGAGAGGCGCGATTATACAATTTCTTAGTAATGAAAGACCTGTCTTTGCCCACGAAGAGAAGGTGTCGGTCCCTAGCCGGGTGGAGGCAAAAGCGTGATCAAATCGACGCGAATCATGAGGTTGGCGAACGGTGGAGTGCTCGGCCGACACGCAAACCAATTGTGACAGTGCGCGGTCCGCTATCATCCATGAGGACTAGCGTCGGGATCTTGGGCGCCTCCGCCCGAAGCGATGCGACTACCGCAAACCTGGGCAGATGCTAATCCCATACGAGGCTTACTTATCAACCTCAAACACTGTACCATACTCTCGCGAGCATTTTGTTCGCAAGGCGTTCTCGAGACCTACTATATTCGACGTTATGTCTCCTCTTTTGTGATTCAGGCGCACAACTTGAGAGTTCGCGTACCTGAATGTAGTGCATCAGGCGTGCAAGGAGATCTCAAGATCTCGACGTCGGAGTACTTACATCTGCGAACAGTCGGTCATCGCGAATACTCATCTGCATTCGATTCCAGCGTCTGCAGCTACAGCAGGGGAAATGACAACCATATGCAAAATACCAGGAGCTACACCATTCACGGCACGTGTGTATTCTCGCTTCGTATCTCGGAAAGCTGACTACACTCACTCGATCCCGAGTCTCTGTATCGGGGACTGTGTCACGGAGTGCTTTGCCCACGCAAAAGGACACTTGACTAACAGTGGTGGTCTCTCTCAAAGATCTGTCTGATGCCTTCTGATCTCCGGCGACCTGAGCTTATGCGTTGCCAGCTGCATACTAATTTCAGGTACAGTACACTCTATATGGTGATTACATATTCGTCGGCATTGACGACTCTGCGCGCATTTTGGCTGGAGTCATGCAACCCCATTTGCCTGTTTCGGCTTGAATCAATCGGTGACCGCAGAGACTCAGAAGTGGCCGATGATGTCCACGATCGCACGAGACATCCAAAGCACGAGCTTTGCAGTGCTTCGATCTACGCTGGTGTTACGATACAGCATCATCGACAGCTCTACGGCCAAGTTGAAGCACTCTGAGGGCACGACGCCTCCCTCAGACGTCTTAGTCTGTCGCTGAATCAATTGCTGCCTAGCTCGGGCTGTGGAGCTCCCATCAGCAGCAACAAGCACTTAGACTCCATCTCCCCATCGATCTCCTCCATCATGATGCATTATGAGCTCTGGTCCGCCCAGCAGATCACCTCCCAACATATCTTACGTACTAGTCAGAAGAGACTGACGCATACAACAGGCGTACGTAGCAACTGCCATGCTCGCTAGTCGACGCATGTCGGCAAAGCCAGCTTCATTTCGGCTTGTACCTTCTCTGCAGGAGATAGCGCGCTAGCGTTCGTATCTACTACGCAGTGATGCAATGTTAGCGCAGAGAAATTTCCCGGGTCTGGAGATCGTGAGCACTGCATTCGTCCCACGAACGCGTGATCCCCAATAGCGTCACACGAGAGGCAAGCTTGCTATCAGTAATGCACAGTGCCACGAAGATCTGTCAGAGAGCCGCTGCTGCTATAGTAACATAAACCTGGCTGTGCGACGACGTCAGTAATCACAAACTTGCGCAATTCCGCCGGAACACAATCATATAGTATACAACAATTACCATGCGCTACCTTTGGGTATTAACTCTATTGCAAATCCTAAAACCACTGAACACCAGTCGGGCGAGGTATTAGGGCCCTTCAGTGCTTACCAGCAACGAACCAGCTCGTAAGCTCGTCCCATTTCGCCTTGCCACCCGTCTCGATAACATCGCCGTGACATGGAATGATGCGGTCAAAGTCCCACGCCTTGACTCTGTTGACGCTCTGTGAGAACGCCGGTCTGTCTTTGCTACCATACCATAGTGCCCGTTTCTGCCAGATCATGGGCCCGCGCGTGTGCATGATGCCTCCGAATAGCTTGGTCAATATGCCAGCAGTTGGGCTCAAGCCACTCTTGCTGAACTGCTCCGTGGCAGGCAGATTGAATAGCAGATCCGCCTCGATCATGGTCCGTGATGGCTTATGGAGGAAAGCCAATTCCTTGTTGGGATGGCTGTGGAAGTATTCGACATCGAAATCGCGAGAGAACTCATCACTGATCTTCAGATCGAGCTTGTTAGAGCCACTGAAGACATGATGGAACTTCACACCCTTGGTATCGGCATCCTGCTCGCGCTTCTCTGGGAGGCCTTCAACACCAATGACTTCGGCGTTGGGGTAAGCTTTCGCCCACGGCCCGATGAAGATGTGGTGCTCAAAGTCGAGCGCGACGATATATTTGACATTGCCGCCTTTCGCGGTGACCGTCGAGCGGACATCATCTGTAAGTGCGACAGGGGAGAAGACGGCGAGCGCTCCCGACGACAGACGTACGAGAGTGCCACGACCTCCGACCTTGATCCGCCCGAACCGGAGGAAGGGCGTTGAGAACGTGGTGATTTCAGGAGTGACTTCGCGGGTGACCATGACCTTGGAAGGGTCCTTCGGCACGAGCGAGCTCGCTGACTTCGATATTCCTGTAGACATCGCGGCGGCTATTCGTGGTCTACTGTTACTGGTGCCGGTTCCTATGAAACGACGCTTGGTTGGTGAATTGATTACTTGATTTCGTGCGACGATAGAGTTCTGGTGTGACGGAGGCAAAATGCAGACTGCCAGTGTCTTGCAGCTTATATGTTGTTGCCGGATGAGGTGGCTCATGCGTCCGAGTCCGTGAAACGGTCAAGGAGCTCTATCAATTTTGTCATCACCATACATGCAGCTGTGCTTTTTTGCCCAAAGGGAACCAATTTGAGTATTGTTGACGAACGTCATAAAATCTAAATCTAAAATGGTGCGTGGATGGCCAGGGCCGGGGCGGGCTTTGGGTCCCTGTCGCCGATTCCATCATCTCCTATGACCTAGGTATTTGGCATGCCGAGGTCTTCCGGCCGGTAGATAATACGCAGTAAATGAGCATGAGCCTGAGCCTGAGCAATTTCGTCCATCGATTTGAGATAATGCTGTGCCATTCCCCGTTGCTCTGTCCACATGCTACAACGCCCATGTGGTTGGCAGTCCCTTTCACCATGCTCTCATGAAGTCCTCTCTGCTGGACCTCGGCCGTATTCCTACCAGAAAGGATCGCTAGTTAACGAGCCGACCTCGTGTCTTTGTCAGCGGACCGCAATCGGTTGTGCATACTGGCCAGGCGTCTGGTCGTGGTAGCGAAGCGGATACGGATTTCGGCTGAGCTAATAGGGGTCACTGAACCGCGATTTGCTGCGCGCTCCTTCCAGGATGGCATCGCTGTGATCGTCGCAACTGGGCTGGTGAAGTTGTGTAGAACAACAATCGAGCGTTTTACTGCTCTCACGTTTGGAGTAGGCCCAACATGTCCGACGAGCCGTGTTGGCGACGGCAGCGACGAGGCGCATGTCCATGTGGACTTGAAGAACCAAGACCTGGGAGACCTGTGTCAAATTGATCTGCCATCTTTTTTAGATCTCTACGCTCGGGCAGTTCTTGGTGAGTAGGGTCCATTGCTTGAACCTTGCAGTGATGCTTGAATAGTTGCAATCCAGGGATCATCAGCTTCGACGTCGATGGAGCTCCAGATCGTCTATAACCGCGGATCCTGTTGCCGGTGCTTGCGACTGCAGGCGAGACCAGGCTGCGCCTAGATTCGTGAGACCTTGTCACCGACCTATCTTACATCCAGCACAACTTCGGCTGGGCCGGACCAATGATCCCGTCAGCCAATTTTGGTACAGTCTACAGCCTATCCTCAGGACGGGATGTGAAGCCTTCACCTTGCGCCGAGTTTTGTGCATTTTCATCTGAGCCTCGTTGGGCGGCCGTTGATTTGAGCCTGCAGTCCGTGCCTTCCTCCTGAGCACAAACGAAAGGGAAGTCAAGTGGGGAGCAGTCGCGACTACCGCGGCAAGTTATTGAGCCAAAGGAAAGTGGAAGGAGCAGGTCATTAGAACGAAGAATCTGCTGCACGCCCGATGTCGATCGCAATGGCATCTCTTATTGTCACTTCTTCCGGCACAGCATACGCAAACTACCCAATCGTTCTCTAAATATCTCAAGCTTACCTTACCCAGTCCCAGAAATGTTCTACTAGACGCGCCTCTCGAGACTTGACTTGCTGCTGCATGAGGCACGAGGACCATTCTTAGTCGTCAATAATTCATAGGTTCGGCCATAAGAACGGCATGTATAGCTTTCATGAACAGTGTCATTGACGCGTTTGAATTCTACGAGCTCACACTTAGCCGAGCGGCCCTCATGAGCGTCTAAGCTCTACTCGATCATCCTGATCCAGCAACAGCCCTCGTCCAGCGCAAACAGAATTCAGTCCAATCTCGAACTGTGAGTGCAGATCGCCTTCTTCGCCCTTTTCGCCATGCCCAAACACCACGTATGGCTTCTGGTACGACCCGTTCACGGGCGCGGCCTTCTCGTCCTCTTCTTGAACGGTCATCGCAGAATGCTCTGATGGCAAAGTCCCCTCACTGCCATGGCGACCCACGAGTCCTCTCATTTCGCCCCTTGGCATCAACAAGCCCCTTCTCTTCTCCCACATCAGTACCTCTGGGTCCTCCCCCACCGCGCTTGTCATTGGCGTCCACATCTTCTTGGCACTACTTGTCCTCAAAGCCTCTGTTACTGCATCCGCGTCCATGATCATCCCTGGCGTCTTCAGATACAACATCCGACTGAAGTCCCACGGCGTCCGCTGTAGTTCGCCCAACAGGTGTGCGTGAGTTGTGGCAGTCTCCCAACCCTTGACGAACTCGACCGGGTGAAAGATGATGGGGTGTGTGTCGTGGAGGTCGCGCATGAATGTCAGCGCAGACATATGTAGGTCGGTGACTGAGCTCTCCCAGGTTGATGGATACAGGAGGACGAGCCGATCAGACGAGTCGGGCGTGAGTGACAGAGATCGTGCGAAGAGAGCGGCAGAACAGAGGTCTGAAGGTCGCGTGAGAGCGAGGATGTAGGCTAGTGTATCCTGCGACGCCGATTTCCCGTCTCCTATGTCCACCGTGACGGTATTCACTGGGTCGGACGATGCATCCTGCCCTAAGAATTGAGCGATCTGCTCGTTGATTTCTGTTTCATTTCCGTCTGCAAGCGCTGCTAGCTGTTCATCATGGTCTCGTTCTCTGAACTTGTCCGGGAGCACTGGTTTCGGTGGCTTTGGTGGCGGCTGCCGGATCGCTTCACGAAGGGAGTTGACTGACTGCTGCTGTAGAACATAGCCAGCCAGGAAGAGCAGGAAGGTGAAAGCTACGATGATGCCCGCTGAGAGCACCGCAGACACTGTCGAGGCGGTGATAAGAACCATCAGCTACGTAGTTGTAGTTGCTGAAGGTTTCAAAATAGTATACTTGTTAGGAATGTGGTCGAGGTAAATGCATCATGCATGATACTTCTTCAATTGCGGTTCCGCCCTCCACCCGACTAGGAAATTTAGTAAACATCTGAATAGGCGGCCCGGGCAACGGGTGGGATGAGCAGCCTTGCTCCGCATTTCTCGAAGTCGCAGCTTGTCATCCGGTCTGCTACAAGGCCAACCTGGAAATTCAACTCCGATCTTCCACATAATTCACCAACTTAGCAGGCAGCAAGAGCCACCGTCGTGACTACCGACATGTCGCACCGAGCCGACGGCTCTAACACGCTCGATAATCGTGGCTACACGGGCCCCCTCATCCGCGGCCAAAACCCTGCTCTCCTCATCGAAACCGCAACGCGCGACCGCATCACTGACTCGCTGTATTGGAAAGAGCAGTGCTTCGGCTTGAACGCCGCCACTCTTCTTGACCGCGCTGTCGAGCTCACATACATTGGCGGCACCTATGGCGTCGGGATGAAGCCGACTCCTTTCCTGTGCCTCGCCTTCAAACTTCTGACCATCGTGCCCGATCGCGACATCGTGCTGGAATACCTCAACAGAGGAGGGGACGAGTGGAAGTACCTGAGGGCACTGGCGGCGTTCTACGTGCGGCTGACGTTCGCGCCTACGGAAGTGTACAAAACGCTTGAACCATTCCTGGAGGATTCGAGGAAGCTGAGGCGCAGGCGCAAAGAGGCTTATGTGCTCACATACATGGATGAATTTGTGGATGAGCTGCTGACGAAGAAGAGAAGCATGGGCACGGCGCTCTGGGAGTTGCCTTCACGGCAAGCGCTGGAGGATCTGGATCAGCTTGAGCCCAGGGAGAGCCCTTTGCAAGAGGAGCTGGATAAGATGGACGACGAGGATGAAGATGCAGTCATGGGAGAAGCAAATGGTGGTGACAGTAGCGCCAGCGAAGACGGCCGAAGCGTCAACGGCAGGAGCGCAAACAGTGATCGATCAATGAGCGACTGAGTGGTCACGACTATCTGGCAGACCCGGACACCGAAACCTCTGGTACGTCTGCTGTCTGCCAAGCTCATGAGCCAACATCGGAAGATCTGGCGAGAACTCAGATCCAACTCCATCAACGTTCAAGTCAATGGCAATGGACGATGATTTCTGGAGCGGAGTCAAGAAGCTGAACGACGAAAGCAGCGAGGCTCGTCCTAGAGGAAGGTGAAGCCTTCGCTAGAGGTAGACTCTGTGCGTCTCTTCTTCTCGGCTGCCTTGTCCATGCTGCCCTCCAGACTTTTGGAGCTATCGCCTGCTTTGGCGCCTGGGCCATCATTCGAAGCTTGGTTACTGATCATATCGATCAGTGACTCGGACTTGGTTGAATGTTCCCAGGTAGGGTGATGGACAGAACCACGGTCCTTGTGCGGATCGTCGTAAGAATAATTTGGCTCGTCAGTCACAGCCTCTGCTTGGTCTTCGTCCTCAGCGACGTCGTCGGTAGCGACTGACTCGACGTCCGGCTCCGCAATGTCCTCCTCGGCAATGCCGGTCCCCTGAAACTGCTCCGCCAGATCCGAGGTGCTTTTCTCGGATTCCTCAGGCTTCTCGACCTTCTCAAAGCGCTCAAGTAGATCGCGACCATTCCAAACTTCACGACGCATGCAGCCATTCCATCCGAGAGTGTTGCATGGATGGTCAAGCAGCTGAATCATGGACGGACCTCCGATATCCGGGTTCTGAACGTTGAGCAAAGTCACACAGAACTCCGGTCCATCTGCAGCGTCACCCTCAATGAAGCTGCCGGCGTAAACGCGGACGGGCCAGGTATTGTACTTCTGCTGAAGTTGCTCGAGAACCTCAGTCACGATACTTCCAAGCTTCACGCCACCACATCTGCCGAAGTCATTGATGAGCAGCACCGGCTCGTTGGAGTTAAAATGGACGGTCCGAACACGCTTCTCATCAGGCTTGAACAATGCAGTAAGCATGTTCTCGACCTCCGCCTTGATGGCAGAAAACGCCAACGGCTTGTCGGAGGCAGGTGCATCGACAGTCATCATGTTGTTCCGTACAATCCGACCCACCTTGTGTACACTCCCAGAGTCGTAGCCCATAGCAGCAAGCGCGCCACAGATCTTCATCGGCAGGACAACGCTAACCTCTGCGCCGTTCTCCCTCCCATGAAGCCCATCATCGACCTCAAGCATCGAGGCCACCCCGTGATAGCGAGGAATTTGAGCAGAGCGATCAATATCGACCTTCGTAGGCCCAATCCACGCCATCTCCGTATCCTTGTTGCCGAGCCCCAGCGCATCTGACAATTTAGTAAGTTGGGAGCCTAACGACGTGCCCGGCGCTTGATTCTTGTCGTGTTCGATGGCTCTAGGCGCGACCATCAGCGCCGAGAGCATTCCAGGGCCAACGAATTGTGCGTATTTGGATGCCATGGCACGACTCATGCCCGCACCGGCCACGAGCGCTGTCGCTTTCCCTGCCAAGGAGGCATCGTAGAGCACGCCCGAGTCGCTGTTGTACTCAAGCGAATTGTTCAGCTCGGGCTGGGCAGCGAGATAGCGGCTGATGTGGCCGTCGCCGTCGATGACGTGTGGCATCGTTGCTGTGACTTCGCGTCTTCCTGTAAGAACGTAAAGTAGGCTGTGAGCAACCGAACGACGTTGAGTGATGTTCTCAACTAAATGGTATGAGCACGCGATAAGCGTCATCAAAAACGAGATAAGGCTGTACCTGAGCCAGCATATGCATCAATAATGATGGGTGGATTTCTTCGCCGTGTCCAATCAAGCAATTCATGACCATGTCTCAATGTCTGCCGAACTGCAGGGAGTTCGTGTCGAATCACTATGGAGCATGTGATGCATGATTTCGTGTTGCATTCTCGTCATCGTGTGATGGCAACCTCTCCTGTAGGTTTTAGGCCTCTAAATATGAGTCTACTACACGGCAGAGATGGTCGTGTGATGGCCATGATTCCTGAGCCCCAAGAATCTCAATGCCAATGATTTGTGCCCAGGTATGTGCCCCTATGGCCGTGGCGGGCCAAGCCCACTAGCTAGAAGGCAACCATCGACCCTTCCCCATGTCCTGGCCAATTCCCATCAATCTATCCAGTCTGCTCAGTCTATCCAGTCTGCTCAGTCTATCCAGAACTCCTGCATCAAATGGTCACAGACGATTCCGTTTGCAGCGATTGCAAGCTCGTAGATGACACTGACGACACTCAAAGATGTACTGCGGCTGAAGGTCTCGTTAGTCTTGATATGAATTAAGGCTTGGTGGTAGCAGAGGTATGAGAAAAGGGACATGTGGCACGACTTGTAGCGTGCCCGAGGACCATGTCCCGACAAGTCGCGAAGCAGGGCGTTGGCCACTAGAAAATCTCGTGAAGGGCAGGACAACTTACTAGGGTGTCATGACATTCTTCACACTGGTGCCTCCCTCTGACAAACCTCCAAGCATTGTGCTCGCAATTGTGGTCGTGCCTCAGTGCATCTGCCATTGCGCGAACCCGTGCCGCGTAGTCGACAGCATCCCTGTGGGCGACTCTTTGCTGCTCTCGGAGGACGACCACCTCAGCTCTGCGCTCTAGGCGGTCCTCATCCCATTGCGGACAACCGCACGTCTTCCAACGCTGTCCACAGAGGTAGCAGAACTCTGCGCGACAGACACATCTGTTGTTCTGTTAGCGGAAATGCTGAAGTGATGCTGAATCTTACGTACGTCATGTGATAGCAGCCAGTATCGAGCTCAACCATTCGATGACAAGAATAGCAAGCACGCCATCCTTCTTGTCGTGCCAAGTCCAGGACTGCCTGATGGTTGGGATCATCAGGGCAATCTTGACCAACGTGAGCGACGCCTTTGCATAGCGTACATGTCTGAGTCGAGCACTTGGGGCAGTGAGCTGTCTGGCCGTGAATGTTTTCGGGCGTGATGAATGCAGAGCAAGCGGATTGGCTGCAATAAGTTCGGTTTGGTGTACTGAATTCGACTTGTTTCTCAGCATAGGTCGCTTTCATCTCATCCGATAGAAATTGAGATGCATCCGCGACCGGGATCGTCTGACGACAGCAGCGTGGTGGGAACAGGCTTTCGTCGGTGAAAGAGCCAGTGAATAGATCAACGATACAGCCCTCGCAGTACTCATGACGACAGGGCGCTGCCATCAGATCAAATGACATTTTGTTTTCCAAGCATGATGCGCAGTGATGAGCTGGCTTATGCTTCGTGTTCGACCGTGTCGCTGCCCAAGTAGAGCTTTCTGGCTGATCCCCCTCCTCGTCGTCCTCGTTCACTTCAGCGGCGACTGATGTGGCAGTGAATTGTGATGGTTCGCCCGGAGCGGCATTCATATTGAGTTTCGCCAGCCTCGCAAGCAGCTGGTCGTCCAGTTGTTCCGCTGACTCTGTGTTCGTTTCCGTAGCGCTGGTACGTCTCTGTTCGGCCAGGGACATCGCCATGTTGCGATCGGCCTGCGCGACCGCTTCGTCTTGCCTCAATTGTGTCACAACTGGTCCATCAGCCTGAACTGCCCGAGCCATGCTTTGTGCCAAGCTTGAATCTGCCACCCATATCCTTGCATTCTGGAATTCCTCCTGTTGTAGTTGCCGTGCTACTTGGGCATCAGTGACATTGCCCTGCTTTTGTTTGCCTTTCGATTGTGATTCAAGCTCTTCAAGATCCTCCAGCTGGAGCTGAAGCACTAGCTCGGCGGTCATCGCATCCATCTCTTGCAGAGTCGATCCGAGATGGACGGGCGCTGCCTCCTGGCTCATTGCGTCAGTTCGAAGCTCTTGAACTACGCCTGTTGCCGGCACAGTCTGAGGTCAGAGATGGCTGCATGATCAGACCTCCAAGCTACCTGACCAGTAGATCGCGTAAATACATGTACCTGACCAGTTTGCTACTGTGGGGAACGATGATGAGCTTGCTGTCTGCGGCTCATTCAGTTGAAACCAAGAAACCGGCTGTCTGCATACATGACAGGTCAGATCTTCGCCAGCCCTCCATGATAAGCCCTGCTGCTAACAAAGCTTGATGGCGCCGGGAAGTTGCTTGATATCCGCACAAGCAGCATCCGTGCTGGCTGGTGCTATTCTGAAAGTACAAATCTCAGGATGAACGTGAGGCGGCGACAAGAGTTGTGCATGAGCTAGGTAGCCCATAACATTGCAAGACGTCGACGGCGACCCAGGACCACAAGCGCTCGAAAGAATGAGCAAACACATCAAAAGAGGTTCGCTTGCTGGAAGACCTCGGGCGTCTTCCGCTGCCTGGACAAGGATACAAATCTCATCGTCGACAGGTAGATCCACGACTGCCTTCGCTGTCAGTAACCAACAAAATTCATAGCTCACTTGTCAATCAGCATCGATAATCCATACCGTAGAGCCACTTACATGCTGAAATTGACGTCTGATCCCACGAAAGGAACGCCGACGATAGTCATTAAGCCTTGGAAGGAAGAATGAGCCACGATCGGCTGGCTGCGTCAGCTGCGTGAACGTGGCTCTCACTGTTGCTGTGAACTGCCCAGCGCTTGCCTTGAAAAGAACCAGGGATAACAGCAGAGCCAGTCCATTCTGTAGCTGCGGATCGAAGCGCCCAAGGCCCGAAGATGACTTATGGGACCTGCGATTGAGTCGACTTCGTGGATAGCGACCACATGTGAAGCGATAGGTAACGAGCAAGGCTGCTACGGAGTCCGAGCATGTGTAGTTCGTGATTGCCATCCGAGTCATCGCGGGCGATGAATAGAAGAATGAATTGAAAGACAGGTGCATGGGAATTACAAGATGAACATTGGGTTAGGACAGGGATGATTGGCCACCCTGATTGTCAACTTTGCTGGTGGATTTAGCTCTCAAGCAGCTACCACTACCCGGCATCACGAGTCACTTACAACAGCATGATAGACAAGAATCAATCTCGGCCTTGAGCACATCAGTCATGGTGCTTAGCTAGAAGTAAACCAACAGGCTAAAGTGGTCCTACAGTGATTGGCAGCGTAGAATGAATACTCTCGAAAAGCGTCGCGAAGCAACTGTGCTAGACGCTACTGTACCTAGGTATTTGGGCCAGGCCACCGGCATGAAAATACCTGGTAGATTCTGCGAATCTCTGGTTCAACGTTTTGCTACCCTGCATTGCCCCGCGCTTCTACAGACCGCTTTGGCCTTGCACGCGCAATCGCTTGACCGCTGTGCATTGCATGCCTCGGAATGCCCTTCGGCAGCGTCTTCTGCCACACAGGAGCGCCCAGGATTCCTGATGGCGTTGTTCGGAGGCGATCTTTCTGACCCATGCTTGAGCCATGTCTTGTCGCTGTCGAGGTCGATCTTCCACATCGTTAAGCTCTTGGCTCAGAGAACTCGACTTCGACTACACCGGCCGCAGGCACGAAGCATACAGTCCGGGCACTCTAGCAGAAATTCTCTCATCGACGTACCACAGTGTTCGCAAAGCTGCCAGTTTCCAACAGTCGGTATTCTCCGCCAAGGACGAGTATGTTGGCATGCGTGACGCTCGCGGACCATGTCGGCCATTCGTTGTATCTCCACCTGACGTTGCGCTTCCGTTCGTGCACGCGCACCATCACGATCCACCAGGACCTCGGCTCGCTCAAGGAGACGGTCCTCATCGAATTGATCGCATCCACAACCCTTCCACTTTTCACCACACACGTAACAGAACGCAGCACCACAGATGCAGCTGTTAGAGTGTCAGAAGTTGTATGCTGCGACTAAAATCACTGTAGACTTACTTCATGTGATTGCAGCCCGTAGAGATCGAAACCATGCTAAGGCACTTGTAGCACCGCTGCCATTCTTGATCCACCGCCATCTCCAGCACAAGCTGCGTGTCTTGATCGATGGGACAAGCACCGTGATGGAAAGCTCCCTTGCACTTTGGACAAGTTCGCTCACCACACGCGGCACAAACAGCTAGGGAAGCCCCCACTGTGTTGGGAAGGATGAATGTCTGACATTCGTGGCAGTAAGTTCTATCAGTGGTTGACAACTCAACCTCACGATTGGCGTAGGGAGTCAACAAGGCCGGACCGATGAGAAGACGGAGATGTTTGTTGATTGGTATGACTTGCCGACAGCACTTTGGTGGAAAGAGTGATTCGTCCTTGTACGAGCCGGTGAAGAGTTCTTGTAGACAAGCGACACATTGTTCATCGCCGCAAGGCATGAGCAGTGTCTCGTACCAGTACTTGCTATCGCCGCAGATAACGCATTCGTGAATGGCTGCTAGAGATGAACTGTTGCCAGCTTGTTGCTCTGTGGTCAGAATGTCGGATGGTAGGAGAATCTCGCATGCCGCCGGAGAAATATATCGACCAGCAAGTCGCGCGAGGAAGATCATCTGATCGCGATCGGGCTCGGTCTCGCCGGGTGGAGGAAGATGTCGATCTGTGAGCGTCATCGGACGTCTCGCATTCTCAGCGCTTTGCATTTGTAGAGCCAGGCCATGATCGTGTGTCGCGATTTGCTCAAAACGAATGTGAGAGGCGATCAGAGGACCGTCTGTGATCACAGCTGCTGCCATACTCAGAGCCATTCTGCGATCGGTATCATCGTGGGAGTCTCGAAAGTTTCGAATAACTCGTCTGGTGTCTAGGAGCATTCGCATACGTGAGTCGAGGATGGAGAGCGCCTGGTCGATATCGGCGTTCTCGTACGGATTCTCTCCGACTTCGCTACCGCCGTGGCGTGTTGGGACTGACATGACGAGGAAGAGCTAGTGGGCTTGAACCATGAAGGACGACGCCTGGTGCGAAGAGAAGTCGAGGCTGTCTCGTGGAGAAGATGCGAAATTCGAAATCCGAAATTCGAAAGAAGTGGAGGATTTTGACAAACGCACAAATGATCTCAGAAACGCGGCCTCCTTTTCATGTATCCATGGCAACCTTACCTGCCCTTTGGGCAACGATCACGAGCTCGTTAACGGAAGGTGACCTAGCTCTCACTCGTCCTCGAGACTGCTGCTTGTACGCGTCGTGAGTAGATATCATCTTCACTTACGCAACCACGGCTACAGAGAATCATGATCTTGCGCGACACTCTGTTCCACCACTTGAGCGGATTCCATGTGGAAAGCCAATTCGGGTTGAATCTTTGCCTCGTTGAACAAGCTTCTCCCGTAAGCTGGCAATGTCCAAGTATATCGGCACGAAACGGGCTGGGGAACTCTTTGTCTAATGTACTGACTAAAATGACGGTTCACGGCGAATAAACATTTAGGTTGCGTCTGCGTATGTACTTTGCGATTGAGGTGGGAGCCTCGAGGACGGAGGAGGTGAAGTGAAGACATCGGACGGCGACCAACTTGAGACTCCACTGCATGCTTGGCGATCATTCTGGAGTATGACGCGCGAAAAGTGACGTCGAGAGAAAGCTTCAGGCACACAAAACGCACTCGTGAGGTCTTGTGAGCGATTCCAGACTCACGATCACTATTGCTTCCGGACAACTCTCACACTACCATTCACACTCTCAGATCTTTTTATCATTCGCTATGTCGGGCACAAGCAACGTCGGTACCTCCGCAGTCTACGAGGCTGGTGACCAGCGCAATGCACCAGAGTCAGAGCAAGAGAAGCCCACCAAGTTTGAGGAGGGCAAGGAGAATGCTCATGACCAGAACGATCCCAGTAAGCCTACCTCACTCGGCTCATTACCTCGAGATTTGACTGACACCCACCGCAGAGGATGAGCGCTCCATCGCCAACCGCCTAGCCGCCGCAAAACCTCAGAACGACAGCACGAGCGGGAAGGATCTCTCTGCTGAAGACAAGGCTGCTCAGGAAGATCCCACTGCTCCAGCGAAGATGCACGGAAACGAGCCGTCGAAGGGCGCGAAGATCGACAAGAGTATCGCTGACGAGGAGGCTGAGCTCATCGCGAAGAAGGACGCCGCCAAAGCGCAGTCGAAGAAGGACAAGAAGTGAGGAGCTCCCTAGCTTCAGGCGTGATTTATAGGCTCGCATGCATGCGGCCTCGGATGAGCAATGAATCCATAGAGCGTTCCCAAGGTATCTGGAAACAGCAAAGACATTCCTATGGACAGCGTCCAGAAATCGATGCTTGTCATCACTCATCTTTGCTTGGTTGTCTGAAGTCCTGAAATCGTGATGTCTCATATCCTAGACCTCCCAAGCTCCAGAACGTCGTCTCTCGCAGCACCAACCTTGCCGGCGACTTCGTACATGCCTCGATCGACCTCCCCAAAGACGTACTTGAGCAGCTGTAATTGATGCTCTGTCTCGCCCACATTCTGACCATTCTCAACACCCAGATTCATCCTGTCGTTCAATTGTCTCTCCTTACTCCGGATCTTGTCTTCCAGTCCACCCACGAAGTCTTCGATCTCCGCCAACAGCTCGCGATTGCTACTCATTAGCCCCGCCATCTCGCCCGCCCGGTTATTGAACATTTCCACCAGATTTTTCGGCCCACTGTCATCAACATCCTCGCCCGGTAACTGCATCGTCTCTCCTTTCGTGTCTGCCTTCGTGCTCGACTTCAGTGTCTGCGGATTGTTCCACCACCCGCTGAGTCCGCTCCCGCCATACACTCCTCCATTGATGCTCTCATTCTGCTTGTGACCCACTTGATACTGCCGCGGTACTTTCAGTCTGTCCACTGCGCGGAACACGCATTTTGCTTCGCCTTCTCCCTTCTTCAGCGTGCCGTCTCTAACAGCCACGACCGCTTCGGCATCGTTCTCGAGACCGTTTGTCAGGTGCTCGAGCTGGGCGGACACCAGATCCAATCCGGCAGGCAGATTCTGCCCGAGCTCTTCCAGCTTCCGTATTATGTCTGGTATCTGGCCTGCGAGTTGTATCTGGTTGAGGATCGCAGTATCTAAGCCTTCAATCACTCGCTGAATATCTGGATGTGCTGCGTCGTATTTCGTGGTGGGTCGGAGGTGTTCGAGGTCGATCGCCGTGGAAGAGATGTTCCTGAGATTGTCAGAGATGCAAGACCTGTTCGTGCGAGGGCTTACGTAGATGTTTGCTGCTGTGGCTGCTGTGAAGCGGCAGGCTGTTGTACTTGAGAGAAAGTAAAGGCTGGTTGGGTGGTCGATTTGTTTTGTGATGGCGCGAAATTGAATTGGAAAGGCGCTGCCATACCGGCGACTGCGCAGAGGGCGAAAGGGTCCGCAGTCTTGTAGTCGCTATGCTATAGTCTCGCAGATGTTCTGGCCAGTATTATGGGAAACACGACTTTTGGAAACAAGAAGCAACACGTCCCCGCGCACCGCCGTATTTTGAGATCCATGAGAAGCCGTTGCCTTGTTGCCTGACGATCCCATTCATTGTTTCTTTTGTACTGAAGGTGCACATGGTAGGTTGTCCCGAATCCAGTGACCCTCATGACCGTCACGAGTCGCAGCACCGACCGGCCAACTCGAAGGTGATTTCATGGACAAGAGCTTTGAGGCGAAGTGTCTCGCACAATTGCCAATCACCGCGAGCATACAAGAAAGTGATTCAACGCGCGCCAGTCTGAACGATGAATATCGCAGTCTGCAATGGACAGCGGACGGAACCTGCTTGCTCGCAGCTGACTATAATAACAACATCAAGACTATCGTGGTGCCCGTCGACCTCCTCGAGAGTCGTGATGACCCTCTTGTGCTAGAGATCTACTCAAGTCTATCCTCTCCTGAGCCAGTGAGAGCCCTTGCAGGCGCACCGTTCTTCGATTTGCAGTCGCCAAGCACCGCTCTGATCTTGTCCTCCGTCCGAGACCATCCTCTTCACCTGAGCTCTGCACTGAACGGCGAGAGGATCGCAGTCTATCCACTGATCAATCCTATGACAGAAGAGTATATTTGTCCAAATTCACTTACCTTCAGTCTTGACGGGACCCACATCATCGCAGGATCAGAGTCACGGCTCTCAACCTTTGACATCTCTCGACCCGGATCCGGCCCGTTGCATTACACTCAGACCGGGCCTAAAAACATCAAAGATGATCGCTGGAATCCGAGCACGAGACTACGTGGCATCATATCTGCTCTGGACATTGAATCAGCATCGAATGTTCTGGCAGCGGGCACCTTCAGCCGGAGCGTCGGTCTGTACGAAGCAGGAGGCTCTGGAACTTGCGTTGGGGCTTTCTCGGTCGACGGTAACGCAGCTGATGCAGAGATTGGAGGCAGCGGCATAACCCAGGTCAAATGGAGCAAATGTGGTCGGTATCTCCACATTGCAGAGCGCAACAGCGACGGAATTTTGATCTACGATATTCGAAGCACGGGGCAGCTCCTTTCTTGGTGTACGGGGCGGTCTGCTGTGACCAACCAAAGGCTATCCTTCGACTTGGGCTCAACGGTCGATGAGGGGTATCATATTTCGGCCGGTGGCGTGGACGGGTTGGTCCGGACCTGGAAGGACGCTCACAAGCAAGAAGGGGCAATAGCTCCCATTGAGAGCATGCGAAGTCATACAGGCAAGTCAGGTTCTTGCCAGGGTTTCTCCCCTGCTGACTGATAAATTTAGATGCTGTCTCTGGGACTGCTGCGCACCACGCCGGAGGCGTTCTTGCCACAGCTTCTGGGCGCGACTACTTCAAGCAGCATGAATCGGACACAGCTGCTCGAGATGCGCGCATCAAAATATGGCTCGTCGACCACTGAGCAGCACTCAGCAATTGTACCGACTGTTCTCCTGAAAATCTTGGCGTAGGGCGGACATCAGCGACTGCAAGGCGTCCATTATCGATCTCCAAATCACGAGCAGAACCTTCCAGTGCATCGAATGTGACTCAAGGAAGGGCGCATCGGGAGGATAAGTATATGCTAGCCATCTTCCTTGGAAAGCCAAGGCTTCTTCTGCGTCAGCAGGTACTACGGAAAATGGTGAGTGATCCAATCTAGCCATTATTGAATCGTGGCAACTAACCTAAAAAGTCCACCGCCATGCCTTGTACCAAACTACTCTACCAGGAGCAAGGCAGTCTCCACCAACATGATGCCAGCATTGTCGGCATCGAGGCGCTCCCAACACCAGAAGACGCCACCAAGTCTGAGCAGCCAGCAAACTCGCATGTACTATATTTGGACGAGACAATATTCCACGTCCAGGGCGGCGGTCAGCCCTTCGATGTTGGCACCATTCGTCCTTCTCCGGATTCCGTGAACGGCAATGACGCAACCTCCCATACCAAAAATCAGTCAGAATTCCATGTAACGTCAGTACGCAACGGTGAAGCCAACACTGTGCGCCACGCAGGCTACTTTGTCCCCGCAACTACAGACCAACCCTTCCAACCCAAAACCAAAGTCCACCTCTCCATAGATGTTCCCCGTCGCCAACTTCACTCCCGCATCCACTCTGCCGGCCATATTCTCGGGGTCGCCATAATGCGCCTCTCCCGCGCCGGCACCCTTCCGCCACTCACTGAGACCAAGGCCAAGCACTACCCGGGCGACGCATCCGTCGAGTTCCAGGGACTCATCGATGGCAAGTTCAAGGATGCGATCCAGCAGGCGACAGACGAGTTGGTCGCGGAAGGGAGACCGCTGCACATCCGGTTTTGGAGTCGCGAAGAGTGCGAGAAGAATGGCGTGGCACTTCCCGAGAAGATAGATGGGGATATGTTCCGGGCGGTGGAAATCGAGGGTTGTGGAGCTTATGCATGCGGCGGGACTCACGTCAGTAAGACCGACGAAGTAGGCAGAGTCGTAGTGAGAAGCATTCGACGGCAGAAGGGAGGTACGAGGGTTGGTTACTTCGTTGAAGAGAAGTAGTCAGCCTTTGCGGGACTGGCAGCGAGCATGCACTATAGACGAAATTAGAGGTTCCAGCGCAGCCGCACGAGTTGGATGCATGAGGATCTACAAATGCCTCACTCAGCTGGCCGAGCTCGCCTTGACTTCCTTATGCCCATGATGACCACCGCTGTCCTTCAGCAGTACTCTGACGCCCTGACTCTCCTTCCTCGCGAATGGCGCGAAGAAATCATGCTCCATGTTCACGTCTTCTGGACCTGTCTCCCACAGCTTCGCCGCCTGCCCATACCTCCAGACAAAGTTCGCCGTGGTGAGGTACAGTGTCATCAGTGCTAGCTCCTTCCCAATACAGCTGCGAGCACCTCTGCCGAAAGGCACAAAGTATCTCTCCATCTGCTTCTTTTGTTCTGGCGTGGCTGTGACCCAACGGTCGGGGTCGAAGTTCATGGGCTGCGGAAAGACAGCAGAATTCGTTAGTGGATCGGAGCTGTTGACGCTAATTACTGTTCCTGGTGGGAGGACGTGCTCGTTATATGTCAGTGGACTTCGTTGGCTGATACGTGGGAGGCGCCCGGAGACGCTGTTCGACAACCGCAAAGCTTCGTTAATTGTGGCCGTCAGATAGACGAGATCTTGCAAAGACTTGTAGTCTAGCAGAATGTCGGCGTCGGGACCGTGACCCTCAACGAAATGCCTAAGCTCGGCAAGCAATTTTCCGCGAATCGAGCTGTTCGAGAGGATGTGATAGGTGATGCGATCCAGAATCGAGCCAGTCGTTTCAGTGCCCGCCCCAGCCAGAGTACGCGCTTCCTGAGCAATTCTGTCGACTGTCTTCTCGCTCTCGGGAAGCGATTCAGAATTGACGATGCCGTCGAGGACGCTTTTGTCGCTGCGTTTGGCCGCGTTGACGACTTCAGCGGCTTGTTTGGCAAAGGAATCGAAATAGTCTATCTGAGAGGACTTTCAGTAGGTGCAGAGGAACAGAGGTCCTGGACTTACAGCACTGAAGCCGTGCATTTCATTCTCGGGCGGTCGTGGAAATAGATGGAGGTACCAGTCCGAGAATCTGAGCAGCAAAGGAAAAAGGAACCGCAGGTGTCGGTTCCAGATCGCTAATTGAGCAATGGACCGAGCTTGCGTGTCATATGGTTTCGACAGATCAGTGTGGTCAAGCATCTTGAAGCCTCGAGGCAGGCTGTACGCTGTCACATTCTCGAATGTCAAGCATCGATACGCATTGGACATATTCACGGGATGGCCTGCCTTCATGAAAACATCCAGCTTGCTGCAAAGGTTGAGGACTTTCTCTCGAGATGTCTCTTCGAGTTTCGCGATTGCAGAGGTGGAAAAGAACCGGCTCATGGCTTGCCTTCGCAAACGATGGATTGCGGCATCAGCGGTGCCAAAGCCTGCATCTGCCGAGCCGATGAAGGCATAGTACCATGGGTCCTTGTCGAGCTTGCCGGTCACATTCTGTACTTGCTCGTAGAAGTCGGGATCAGATATGTGGACTTCATTAGGTCCTATTCGAACGAGCGGGCCTTTCTCGTCGTCAGTGCTGTAATAAAAGAGGTTCGGAGGGCGTTGCTACCATGAACGTCATGCAGACGTCTGATCTCGAATATAAACTTTCCCTCGAGTAAGCAATCGAAGTAGAATTCGTAGAGGCCGGACAAAGCAGCAAGCTTTGGACCGGGGACTGAGGATAAGGGATGGAACAATATTCGGTAAACTGCTGTCGCAAGAGTTGTGATTGCTGCTAAGCAGAAGGCCCATGGAATAATGCCCATGTTGATGCTGAGCGGCTGTCACCTATATGAGAGTATGAGAAATTCGCTAAGGAGATCCGAATGCCCGTCTATGGCAACCAATACTGACATGTCGAAGAGCATGACTGCACGAATAGTCACGAATTTGAGGCCGCCTCGTCCTCGTTTAGCATGCCTACCTCTCTGCGACAGATCCAGAAATCCCACTGCACACTGCATAGGCGCCATTGGTATCGATGATGCCATTGTAGAATGGCTGCCGAAAGTGTAATGTCATTCACCAATGAAAGGAGAGATGTTCCTGCAATAGGTATTTTCAGTACACTTCGTTCATGCCTTCTGGTTGTGGACCGGCACCAATATGTACGGGTTTCCAATATCAACCTCGCCCCTGTCCTGCATGAAATCGTCAGTGTTCGATGAAGGGCTGCATGATACAATACATCTGGCAGCAGATGGGAGCCGACCGCGGCACCGAGCCGCTGTGGCGTCGACTGTTGCAAAGATCGACCTTCGCCTACGCTGCCTGCAGGGCTCCCCAGCGTGTCTGACCCAGACGTGGCATCTCGCCTGCCATTGTTAAATTACCGCCACCAACGACCGGCTGGTGGGTAGGCGCAAAAGTAAACTCTGGTACTGCTGCTTCGTCTAGGCGTGTCAACCTCCGTGCTCATGCTTTTCGTGGATATGAGTTAGCAAGAGCCGGAGCTGATTGCTGCTTGAGGAAGGAGCCCTGGGTACAAGCGCACTTGGATTTAGGCAGTCCTTGTCGCATCACGGCAACAGCAGCCTTGAGCGCTACGGCTGTTCGTGCTGTCGTATCATAGAGTTTCTGATGGTGAAGTCGGGAATGGCCGGTCACCAGTACAGTAGGTAGGTACTATCCTTGTTGCCACATCAAGTGCCATGCGAGCAGAGTCTGTCAGGGGACGATGTCGTGACTTCAAAGGTTGAAGGGGCGATCCTCAACACTACTTCGCGGCGGTGTCGATGTTCTGTGCAAGTGACGAGCAGTGAGCGTTGAACAATCCGGTCAAGGCCACGGGCGGTTTGTTCATGATGGTCATCGCTACAAGAGACTTGCGAAAGTCGCCGTCAACAACAGAGACGTTGCGTCGTCGATCAGGTCTATACGCAGATTCCTTCCACGAATCGTGTATGGTGTTTGCCCATGCTGCGCGCGGACGATCTACTTCACTTTGCGTGAGTCATGAACGACTTCACTTATCTCGACTTCACTTGTTATTGCCTCGCGTGAAGTTCCTTCACTATGCGAAACAGCCTTGCGCCAACGGTCTACAAATATCTCGCAGTCAATTACTCTGCTTCGCCACTATCAACCACGACTTGTTGACCTGGCAACCTCCGATCTTCGCAACCGTCTTCGACACTGCAAACGACTTCTTTCGAATAAGCGACCATTTCAATAACCTGGTCGCACTCCAGAAGCGCGTTGCCATCGACCCAAGCTAGTACGGGTTGTCGACCTCTCTTGCATCGCCAGTCGCATAGTCGCAGCTGGGTCGTACACAAGTTCCGCCTTGCTCCCGGCCAGACCTCCCACTGCAACCAAAACCAGTATTTGGTAAAGAGACGTTGTATGCGCCATCGTCACTCAATCCACGACAAGTTGGTGGCGCGTCACTGGTTCTGAGACCTGCACATTGACTCACGACCTCTCACCAGTATTGCGATAGAAAGGTTGTCTTCAAGTACGCACTTGCCTCGATCGCCACGCCCGCGCAGAGGTCACTGTGTCATCTTTCACGAAAAGACACAAGCCGACTTGACAACATTACATTGACTGCCGACGGCTCGCATGCGACAGGCCTTGTCCATATCAATATGTCGGCCCCACCCTCCAACCACGACCAATCTGATGAGGACCGCAAGGATCACATGCAAGTCCCGCATCGGCCTATGCTATTTCAAAACCAGCCTATGACGACTGGTCCGTCTTATGGTCCGTACTCGATGAGCGCCTTCCCACCTATGATGCAGAACATGCAAATGGGCTTCCCGACCCACCCGATCAACCCGAACCACATGACCGCTTATGGCACTGCTATGGACGAGCGTCTGCCCGACCGCAACGCTCTCCTCCAGGCGAAGACCCAGGCTCAGCATATCTATCGCTCATACCACCCCGGCGGCGGCAAAGTGACCAATGACTCCATCCGTGCCGGCCTCTTGAATACCGAAACCTTCAAGCTTGACAATCTTCCAAAGTCCGCGGATCTCTTCAAGGCGCCGGACTACGACGAGAGCATCTCCACTCACTTTCCTGATGCATTGACAGCCGAATTCTACCGAGTCGCAGCACGGCCAGAGAAGCCAGCAGCAGCTCGCGACCCGACCATCCCGGAGACTGCTGGCGCTTTAAAAGCTCACGTCGTGGCGCTCATTCATGCGTTCAACTCATGGGAAGACGCTGATGACAACGAAGGAATGCTGAAACCCTTCAAGAACCAGACTCGCGACCAGAAGCTTGTCGAATGTATGTGCTGGGGACTTCTCAAGGCCTGCATCGATCGCAGCCGTGCAGATGCACCACTCATGCAGGCTTGGGACGAGTCGAAAGCCAAGAACGCCGGCAACATTGGTACCTTTGCGGAACGCTTCGATGAGATCGTCTACGCCATGACCAAATCCAAGACCATCTGCAAGCACTTGTTCGATGCTCCATACAGTGCGGTCTTCATTGATGATCCATCCAGGGCTGTCAGCCGTGTCAAAGCCAATCGCGACCTCAACAAGATGAAGGCCGAGCAGATGAGTGTCGGTAAGCGCATTCGTGACGAAGAAGCCCAGAAGAATGGCGACTACACCCCATCGAAGCGCTCAAAGACTCCTGGTCGACTCAACCGCAGCACACCTCGTGAGCCAAGAACACCCACTGGTCCGACCACACCTACCTCCAGTCGATACGATACACCTGGTTCATATCTCCGCGACGGTACTCCGATCAATGGCTCCTCTCACAGTCCGTCCGACATCATGCAGTCCCCCTCAACTCGACGTTCTCTTCGTCAGACTCGTCGGCCAGAAAGCTACGCTCCAGCGATCCCAGATGAGCCCAGTCCGACACCAGACGGCGAGCTCCATCCAGACGAGAACGGCCAAGTCGAGATCTCAGGCGAGCAACATCTTCTCAACAACGCACACAGTGATCGCATGTCAGACACCGACGTCAAAAGCGAAGCTCACTCCATGACGCCACAAATGGGCTTCAACCAAGCAATGATGACGCCTGACCAGCATGCATACATGCAGCAGATGATGTTCGGGGGCCACATGGGCAACATGGGCAATATTGGCAACAACATGATGCCTTCAGGAATGAATCAGAATATGCACAATGCCTTTTATGGGATTCGTCACTATGATGGTCCGTCGCGCACCCCCTACAACTCGTTCAACCGCGGCCCTTACCGTGGCAGCACTCCTCGTCACGGACTGATGCGTCCTCAAGGCATGGGTCATGGTGCTTCGCAGCACAACAATATGATGCCCAACACTTCCCACGCTCAGCAGTGGGCTGCTGGAGGCTACAACCAGAACTACAACCCAAGCTTCGATTTCGGCGGACACCCCGAGGAGCTGCAGGGCCCGGGTGTGTTCACCGGCGTCAATGGTGTCAACGGTGATGAGAGCCATGCTCAGCAGGATCATGGCAGTGATGCTGATCATGACGGCCCTGCTGGCAATGTTGGTGGAGCTGATGCTGGTGGCGGCCACTCGAGCTAGAAGATCAGTCCGCCATGCCAGATCTGAGCGACTGTGCATACAAGAGCGTGCCGCATGTACGAAATATTGCGCCAGATGTCGGATCTTTCGACAACCGATATCCAGTCTCCTTTCATTATCAATCAGTGTCCACGTATCGACCCGATTCTGGAGGAACGGCACTAAACACGGGTGCCCACATAGATATGAGCGATCTCAGCGATACGAACGGTGCACTACAGCAAAAAGGGTTCCAACGAGCTATGGCGTTCACGATATTCAGACAGGAAAAGACCATGAGCTCTTGCTTTGGCGCACAGAAACGGTGTCTCGAAGTCGGATAGGCTGGATCAGCGAGCTCATTGACACAAAGCTGGCTGTCGAAGAAACAGCTTGTACAGGATGTGATAGATAGCTTGAATACTGCACATACGTAGCCAATACCATACGTGAAAACCCCGATGCCTGTCAAGTATACTCGTGGACTTTGCTCAGATCTTCTGTGCCTCAGTGATGGTATAATCTTGACTGCTGCTACCTGCTAGGACTTCAAGCCGACGATGCGAGGCGTTCAGAGCTGGACGCGAAGATAACGCCGGCATTGTCACTGGCGAGTACATTCCGCCCACGGAGTCCTTTACATATGGGTGCACCGCGCAGTGGGACGATGCGCCTCCTGCCGTCGCTATCAGCCAGTGACAGACGTCTGTCCGGTCAATGAGTGACTGCATCACAACCAATCAACAGCCTGGTCACGCAACCAAACCAACGAGGCGCAGTATGGCAGCATTCACAGCTTCAACAACAAACGGCGTGCACTCGTAGTGCATGCCCATGCCGGGTCAATGCGCGCTAAAAGTGGTCATCGATGGTGCCCACCCCAGGGCGCCAGTGCTGCACAGCCCTGTCTCGACATTGGAAACCGACAATGCAGGGACGATGATGCTGAAGAATGCGGCGGAGAAGGTGCGAATGAATGTTGTAGCTTGACGGTGCGGCAACAACTTGAATGGTCGAAAAGCCCTTCGTGCCTGCCTTGCAACCATCGTGATCACGTGCACTGAATTCACCTGCAACACACACAATCTTCCAACTCCCTGCCCTCGTCTGCCCAACGCGCCCCCAGCACTCCCCTGCGTCAAAAGCGGGGCCCAAGCATACTGTACAACTTCCATGTACAATTGAGCTCGGGGCGGCGCAAATGCATGGTTGATAGCAAAATTTGTACCTGAGGATGCGTGAATGGACCGATAGAAGCTGGGAATTGCCGAATTAGGAAAGGCGCTTTCCCAATTTGGTCGATGATTTTGACGACGTAGACCAGCGACGACGATGTTGCGCAAACTTGCGCGTTGCTTGCGCAGGGTGCGGATTGTGTGTCTGATACCGTCTGCAGAGTTTGGCTGTGATTGGGAGGGATTTGCTATCAATACCTGAGTATTTTGTTTTGGTGTGATTTCAGGGCGAAGTTTCTTTTTCTTGCGCATTTGAGGAACAAGCATGCGCAGACTTGCGCAGTAGTTGCGCAGAATGCGCATTACAAGGCTCCCCAGTGCACGACCAAGTTCTGCTTTCAGACTCGAAGCATGCAAAACTTCTAGCACTGTCGTCTTACTGACTCAGCCATCATCACCAGCAACACCACTCGAATGCCGGAAATACTTCATCCCAACCCACGCGACAACAACCCACACCCACGCCATCACTGCCGTCAACACCATAAGGGCGGGATAGTAGCCCACGATAGGCAAGCTCGCATCATCCTCCAGCTCCGGCGGAGCGTACGGCGTCTCCCCTACGTCCCACGCCCACGACCAAACACCGAAGCAGGAGCCCATGCCAACGACGAAGACGACGTAGGTGACGATGAGGATGATGTAGCCCCAGAAGGCGGTAAGGTCGTACGAATGGACGAGCTCGTCGTCGTCTTCGTCTTCAGCATCGGATAGATCTGGCGAGCCGGCGACAGATTGTGGCTCAGAGGCCAGGGGGGAGCGCGCTAGAGCGGCGTGCTGCTGTTGAGCGGCGACATGTGCGGCGGTATGAGAAGATGCGAAGTACCCAAAATGGTTGGTCGAGCGCCGGATGGTATCGCTGAGCAGCGACGGGGCTGTAGAGATTGATGCGGCGATCGAGGATGGGCCGACTGATGGATAGATCCAGGATGAGGAGATAGATGCTGCCGAGTCAATGCTGGACCGTGTAGGAATCTTTCTCAGGGTGGGAAAGCGGGAAGATGACTGGGTAGAGTCGGCTCGGGCAGTGGTGAAAGCATCGGCGGCGCCGTCGTTGCTGCCGATTTGTACGTTATCGTCTGATGATGTCGAAGCAGTGTGCTGGTGGTGAGGAACCGCTGGGTCTGCTGACGGTGCAGTAGCACGAAGTGAGGGGATTGAGACACGAGAGAGGCTTCGGAATGGTGCTTGCCAGCGCGGCGGCGCTGCCGGAGGATGCTCGGGCGACGAGGATGGCGAATCAGCGGACGTAGAATCGAGTGAGGGACGAGGCGTGGGCGATTGTGTCGGACTAGTAATCTCTTCCAGTGACGATGGTTCTGCTACCGGACTGGACACAATCGGACTGGAAAGCGGTGACTTCCCTTTACGATCTTTTTCTTTCTCCTTGCCTTTCCCAAGCACAGTCTTGCGCAGTGAACTCTTCCGCTTGCGCCTCTGTGAGTCCGCGACTGCCCCAGTCATAGCACTGCTGCTGCGATTCTTCTCTCCCGTTGGAGTGCCATCTTGACTACCGCGGTCGCTACTGCTGGTGCGAAGCAGCTTCATGAAGTTCCCACTCAGCGATCGTCTGTGGGGAGGCAGCTTCTTCTTTGATGCCGCATCTTTCGCCCCGTCTTTGCCATGTTCATCTAGACTTGAGACGGACGGATCGTCCGCCGTAGGGCCCGCATTGTCATCGATCGCAGGGAATGGAGTTGTCTCTGTAGGCGTTTCGCCTTCGGAGGGCGCATCCATGGCAGACCACAGCGTCGAACCTCAACATATTGCGCGCGGCTGCAAGGCACGAGAACCTAGCACATGCGTGCGTCGATAACGACTACAGTCGCGGAATGGAGGTGGCTCCTAGGACTATGTATATTGCAGGTTTCTCCAAATATCGCTGCTCAGAATTCGCCGAGACGCATTTGTCAACCGGCTTCAAGTAACTACCTTTGTACTCCCTTTGGCTCGTCCCAAGTTCATCACGGCGCACTCTGTGGGGCATTTCCTTCTGGGAGCTGCCATGGTCATTCTCAATATTGTACAGCCCTGACGGGAAACCTTTATTGCGCTACTTCGCGGAATACTTTCTTTCACACAGCAAACATATGGAATAGCTTGACGATCTACCACGAGAAGAAGCAAGCTCACTTGAATATTTGAGACATACGTTGATTAGGTTACAGAGTACACAATAGTGGTAGTCCTCTCGCAGGCTTTTTAAGCCTGACCGTAATGCTATGCATAAGGTAAACGTCACAGGTCAAAACACCTTCGCTTCGAGCAGAAAACGATGTGGCTCAAGAAGCTCCCCAAACAGTCGAATTGACCTCGAATAAACAAAGCCATACCCACGCCATTGATGCACAACTCTCTGATACATTTCCCGATTCATGATCGGCCCTGCGCATCACCGCAACGGCACCTTGACATCCTGCACACCCTTCTTCAACACCTCGTCCAACGACCACCTTGGGCTGACCACTAAGCTCTTGCTAACTTTGTCATGCTTCTCAAGTCGCTTCCTGCTTTGCTCCATCTCCCAGCTCACGCCCTCAGGTAAAGGCGGGGCGCCACCAGCGATGCCACTGGCGAACTTCAACTGCAGGACGTTGCCAATCTCATCACAAGCAGCGAGTACGCGGTCCATGTCTTCTTTGTTGTGTGCGGCTGAGATGCAGAACCTTGCACGGGAACTGATCAGTGGTGTTGCAGGATAGCCGACAACGACACAGGAGATCTTGCGTTTGAGCATTTCGTGCGAGAAGGCTGGCATCTTGGCAGGATGGTACAGCAGCAGCGGAATGATCGGGCTGTCGTCGTTGCCGTAGACGATGAAGCCCAGACGCTTGAGGCCGAGACGCAGGTATCTGGAGTTGAACGCAATGCGCTGCAGACGCTCCTCGCCCTGGCCAGGAACCAGCTCGCCATTGATCAGACGCAGAGCTGCCATGATCTGTGCAAGCACTGGAGGCTGGGTGTTTCACCATAGGCAGTGCCGGCGTTGGTGACGCGGAGCTTATCGATGCAAGCTTTGTCGCCTGCAATATAACCACCGTTGGCGCCGAACGATTTGGTCAGCGTGCCCATCAAGATATCGACCTCGGAAGGGTTAATGCCGAAGTAGTCACATACACCGCGGCCGCGAGGGCCCAGAGCACCGATGGAATGCGCTTCATCGACAAAGAGGTTGAATTTGTAGCGCTTCTTCAAACGGACGAGCCCAGGCAGATTGCACATTGTGCCTTCCATGGAATAAAGGCCCTCGACGACAACGAGAATCTTCTTCCACGGTCGGTGAGTGCGCGGCTGGCCTTGCGAGATAGCCTCGCGAAGCTTCTCCTCTAGACTGTGCATGTCGTTGTGTTTGAAGGCTTCGATCATTGCGCCCGAGAGACGAGAGCCGAAGCGGATTGAGGCGTGATTGAGTTCGTCCGAGATAATGAGATCGCCCTTGCCAACCAGGGCAGGGAAGATGGCGGCATTTGTGCCGAAGCCCATGGAGAAGACCATTGAATCTGGCTTGCCAACAAAGTCTGCAATAAGCTGCTCGCATTCAAGCGCCATGTCGGTAGTTCCGACGTCAGCACGCGTGCTGCAAGAGGACAATCCGGCTTTTCGGACAGCTTCTTCTGCAGCGTCGGCACAGGGACCGTCTGATTGAGCAAAACCAAGATAGTTATATGAGCTGATGTTCAGCGTCTCGGTTGTTGTGCCAGTCATTTTGAAGTGAAAGTTGCCGTCATCGGACGTCCGGTCGAGTAGATTGATGTACCGCCCGGGCACCCCTGTTGTAGGTCGATTGAAGCAATCATTGATGCGCATCTTGAGGCGACGCACATAGAAGTTGTCGAAGTCGCTGTTGAGTGCTGCATACCCATTGCGAGCTTTCAGGTTTCGGTACTTGTCTTCCTTGAATCGCATGCCGAAAAAGTCGCGAACATGCCCGAATATTATTAGGATGAGGTAGGAAATGTAGGTAGTGAGTAGGTAGAAGTAGGGCGGCTCATCAAGGACTGGCTCGGGAAATTCACCGCCTTGGTGCCGTGACGTGTATCGATGCGCGTTCGAGTTAAGAGGGCCGAATTGTGCATGTTGCCGTTGTAGTCTTCTGGCCTCTGCTGGCGAAGGTGGTTGGAAAAGAGTGGTCGCTGGCATGTCCATGTTCTGAGCGTCGGCCTGAGCGGTCGACAAGGAAATGGTAGGTAATGATAACGAGGGATTGGTGATCATGGGCGTGCCAGCCGAGTTAAGAAAGGCTTGCTCTTGAGCTCTACTCGCAGCTAACAGAGCCGCTGCAGCGGTCTGAGCCTCTTGCTTGTTTCTAGGCGAAGTCGAGAAGAATTGTGCTATCTTCGATGCCTTTGCAGAAGTCGATTTGACAAAGGTATTGCCGCCCTTTTCTGCTGGCGAAAAGGACGGCCAAGGAGTGGGAGGTGAACTGCTTAAAGCTTGCGAGAATCGACGCGGCATGGCCAGATGTTGTTGCAGCTGATCAGAGTGTGTCATTCAGTCCCTTCGTAGACCGACCACCGTGGTTTCTGGTTCGTGGTCGAGTCGGAGGCGTATGCGACAATCGGTGTGGAGAGTTGCGACGAGAGCGTGGCGGTGTAGGACTCGTGGGGCTCGGACCTGCTCCTCTCGAAACTGAGGGAGAATGCGGTCACGATCAAGGGGCGTTGGAATGATCGATACTGTAAAATCTGGGGTGCAGCAACAATAAGAAGAGTTGCGGATTCGAGTAGTGAGGAATCGTATTAAAAACGGAGCACTCGGATGACTGATGATGTTCTGCGCTGCGATGATGATGATGATGGGCGCAGTGAGAGTTTTCCAAGATTCGCTGACGGTGCAGCACTACCCGCAAAATGCCGCTGCCCACGCGATTGGGCGAGCTTTTCTTCGTACCTGCAGATGGCCGCAGAGTCGGCTCTACCCTTCCTAGGGAAGGTCGCGGCTCAGTCAGCGCTGCATCGAACGCAGCTCGACTCTCAGGATCCTAACAATGACGAAAGGTGGTGAAGAGGACGGTGAGAGCTTCGAAGTAAGTGAAGAAGCTCTGTAGGTAAGCTTCAGGAGGCACGCGATCGCGTCGAGGGGTGGATCATCAATCTTATGAAGGGGACTCGACGCCGACAAGATGGCAATAGCGATGGAGCCGATGACCAGCGAAATTGTTCTTGCACTTAGATTAGCCAGCAGGGGGCCTTTCGCTCAGCTAATGAGCTATTCTTTGACCAGCCCTACCTGTTCAGGCGCCCTTGCACACGATTTTCGGCGCCGCTGGCCTCGAAAAAAATCGAGCAGCGGCCTCCCGCTGAGTGGCTGGGACCGTTGGAAGCACGGCGTTGAACACGAGCAGGGACTTTTAAGCGATGCTCTTACAAGGTTTAGCGTGGTCAATTACTGGCCCAAGCTCTTCCACTTCGCGAATTTGCTTCCCGCGCTATGTTTCAAGACCTACGGCATAGATCCGTCAACAATACATATCCTTTCAGCATTCGGATCTCGCTGCAAGCGCACTTGACGACAGTTGCGCGTGCATGTATCACGATGTCTAACGGCGGTGTGCAAAGCGCCTGTACTGCAGGAGTCCTCGCTTGGGAAGGAACAGCCAGCCCTACGTCTCAGCTCATGCACGAAGGACTTCTATTACGATCCGAGCGAGAGAGCATCAGAGAAAGGGCCCTCAACAAGCGCCAGCCGTCGAGGGTCTTGATCGAGCTTCTGCTGCACAAAGTTCTTATTTGCGACGTCTTGTCGATGAGCTGTGAATGACGGGTGATGGCTGGACTGCACGAACGACTCGCATTGAAAGCATGAGAGATAGGATCATCGGTGCGAAGCTCGTGATCCCTGCTCGTAAAGATCCGTCAGCAAAATTCCGAGATTGCAGCCCTGACCTCGACAGTGAGTTGTGGCTGGTCTCTTGTACAGGAGTTTTCGACGTCGAGGTTGCATCCGTTATGATATGTCGTAGTTACAAAGCACCATTAACGACCGTGTCCGCCTGTCGCACCGCAACAACATTGTCACCTCCTTTGGCAACAGCATCCGTTACGCCATTTCCAGTCGCGCCATGCACTTCCATCGCCAATTCGTGAGCTCTTTGCTCTGAGTTCTGCACCTCAGCCGACGCTTCCAGCATGAATCCCGCAAAGAACTTCTGCAAACTTTCGAAGTCATCCATGGCGCCCACCCAGCTGACATACTGATCCGGCCTCAAAATGACTGCGGCACCAACACTGGGATCGACGCCGTACTTCTCGTACGCGTGGGCTGTACCTTCGTGATAGGACTATCGAGTATCAATCAGTAAGTCATACTCTTCATACGGACAAGCAGCGCGAGCACACGGGTAGTGAACGGAAAAGCCATACCTCATCGTCCACATATATCTTGTTGTAGTCATGCCCATTGTTCGAGTCAAAATGACGGAACACCTCAGGGAAATCGAAGATGGTCACCTCGTGCCGCGGTGCAGCGTGAACGGCCAACAGCTCAATAACACTGTCGAAGCCCTCCTGGGCCGGCGTATAGCGGTGCAGGAACGACTTGCTTTCCGCTAGCTTCTGACCTAACCCGTTGAGTTTCTGCTTGAGCTCCGGCCGACGAATGTCTCCAGGAAAGACGATCACACGCCACGTCCCGTTCGATTTGAGCAGCTCCTGGAGATGCCAGGGCCGCGCATCGGCCTGGTTGAGGACTTTGAATGAAGGCATGCGCATACCGACCTTGATCTCTGTGGCGAATTCCTGCTTACTTACCACACGGCTCGCCTGGTCTGCGAGCATGACCTTCGTCCCATCACCTTGTTCCGCCGAGTCACCTGACTTAGCAACGATAAGGCTGGCACCGTAATCAACGGCGATTCCGGACGCGAACATGTTGCCTTTCACAAAGGCTTCTTTGAACACTGCCGGACTGATGCCTTCCTCATCCATAACATCCTTGGCCGGACGACCACTGAACAGCCGACTGAAGCGATGGTCAAAGTCAATTAAGTCTTGTGCTATTCGTCGCCGCTCAGACTGGTACGTCTTGAGCACATCACGGCTCCAGCGCTTCTTCACACAGCCGGCAATCTTCCAGCCAAGATTGTATGCGTCCTGCATCGAGACATTCATGCCCTGGCCAGCCTTAGGGGAGTGTGTATGCACAGCGTCGCCAGCAAGGAAGACACGTTCTCGTAGTGAGAAGGAATTGCCGACCCTCTGCCAATCTGATATGCCGTCCACCAGTCGAGGTACTTGTATGTGATAGTATAAGGTCGCATGATCCTCTGTGCAGAGGCAATGATCGTCTCTGGCGTGATCTGGCTGCGGTCTAGTTTGGCGCCTCCTTCCGAGTTGGTGGTAGTCAGCTGGATGTACAGTCTCACCAGCTTGTTCTCGCGTGGAATCACCATGACGCTGCCGCTACTGGCGCTGTGGATGGCGCAGCGCATGCGGATGTCAGGGAAGTCGGTGATGGGAATTATGTCGAGGACACCCCAGATGTAATCCGTGGAGTCACCTTGGAGGCTGAAGCCGAGTTGCTGGCGCACCCAGGAATGTGCGCCGTCGGCACCCAGCATGTACTTGGCCCTGATGGTTTCTTCCCGCCCGGCTTTCGCGTCGAGAGCGCCGGAGCGCTTGATGAGTTCCGCTGTGTCGTCGGCGGCAAGGTTCGACCGGAAGATGCCGTCCTGCACGGCCGTGCCGTTGGCGCTTGTGGCTTTCTGTGCTGGCTTGGACTCTTCGTCCGTGAGGTGCCGGACTCGGACCTCGATCGGGTATGCGTCTGCGTCTTCTGCTTTGGTCTCGTCGAACGCGAATGAGGTGGGTAGCACTCCATGCTCCACGTGAATCTCGCCCTCGGCGCCCTTCCCATTGCAGGACGTGCGGATGGAGTTCTCCTTGATACTGTCCAGGAAGAACCGCTCTATCCGGCCTTGATGAAGTACGACCTGCTGAAAGCGACTGATATCTGGTATCGTGTCTGGAATACGGTCGGAACGCACGACAGATGGCTTCTCGGGGTCCATATCAGATGGCGGATTCCAGAGGCAGATCTCAAGCATATGATTGCTTTCTCGCCACACCCGGTGCGCGAAGTCAAAGCTGTCGAAGATCTCTAGGGTCCGGCATTGCAGGCCGTCCGCTTGACCGTTGAAGATCTTCGTGCCGCGCTTGTCGACGATTCTGGTTCGGATGCTGAGACGGCTCAGCCAGTTCGCCATCATGAGGCCGGCCGGGCCGGCGCCAATGATGAGCACGTCGACTTCATCGACACTGGCGTTTTGTGTACCGATTGAACCCATGGTGCTGAGTGCGACGATGGTCGATCTCAGGTTAGTCTGGTCAGTGGCAGCTAGTGGGAAGCTCGATCACCGTGGCCTTCAATTACCATCTTATAGCATCACTTGAAATACAACGACGACTTCTCGCCACTCGTGTCGACTCCACAAAGGTAGCCATCGATCCGGGGTGAACTCTGCTATCTCCTCAACCAATCCAAGACGGCAGCAGCTCTCGTCTCGCATGCTGATAGGCTTGGCCAGTTAGCAGTCCATTTTCAAGGTCATAGAAGTTGTGCACGATTTCGTGGAGCATGATTGGCCAACCCCGCTTTCAGAAAGACGTGTACGATCCGAAGCACGTCGTGATAGGTCCAAAAACGACAAATCGTCCAATGAGCTCGGAGACAGCGTCCGCCGATGAATTGCGGAATTCTACCATTCAGCGGGCGGACGACGGAATGGTGGCGTCCGATGTTCAGTTGGCTAGATCTCATTTAGTCCCTTCGTGCAGGAGGCCACGTGACATTTTCCCCGCTATGCCAGGTCTTTCGCGGCTCAAACGCAATAGAGACCTCGTTGAACTCCTTCAACGATGTGAGTTGCAGCTCCCCTCAAGGATGATAGGCGGACATGCACGGTCGGTGGATATCGGATGACGACGAAAGCTATGTCTTCGACTATGGTAACAGCTCTCCTGGTACTCCTATTCCGGATATACTCAGCTCGGCTGTGAGTGAGGAGGCGTGGCAACAAACATTTTGGAAGTCCAGCTTTGACTTGGAGTCTGAAGGGCTGCTTGATGGAATAATCGACAACACAGTACGAACCGTCTCAGAATCACCAGGCTACAATTTGTGGGATTTTCTTGGCCCAGCGCGATATGAGGCAACGGCCATACAAGCTAAGGCTGTGGAGTGCGAGGATGTGGCAGTAGCTTCTGTCTCAAGTCACAGTGACCGAAAGCGCAAGCTTCCCTTACTAGCACCAAAGCCCATCGCCACTCTGAGACCGGCACCTCATGCCTCCTCAGGTACATTGCCACGTGGTCTCCGACCGCTGGCGCCAAAGTCCACGTCAAGCGTAGCAGTCAACCCGACAACGAGCAAGCAGATCCCCGAAACAGCTGCCGACACAAGTCCAACAGCACCTGTACGCGCCAAACGTACCAGATTGTCGCAACAAGCCTCCGCCTCCTCCACGGCAGCCTCGTTGTACTCCTCAGAGATCTTCAACGTCCTCGGACTGGGTACCTTTCATCCGGTCTCAACAACAGTCCTCCCAATTCCCGTTTGGACACCTACATCACCGCCATGCAGCGCATCATTCAGAATCGCTTCTCCAAAAGCACGACACAGAGCGGCGCCTTGAAGCGTACCGTCAGCGCGTGTGGCGTCCTGTGGGCAGTCCGTGAAGCTTGGCCTGCGGCCGAAGGCTACTGGAACCTCACATCGACCTTTCGCGGCTTCCTAGCTACAGAACTCTATCGCAACTTCCCGTGCGAGCGCACTTATCGCCAGCTGCCGCCAGCTTACCGACCCACGCGCTTGCAACTCCTTATTCCGCACGCACGACAGATCGACTGGCTGCCGTGGCCGGACGTCCGAGACCTTGCGATCCGCTACCAGGACGAGCTGGATATCGACGCAGTATTCCGTATGGCGATTCTAAACGTGGTGGCGCATCGCAAGGATATCACTTCGTCAAGACCTATGCAGCTGGCTGACGAGACCTCATCGGGTGGGCTCCAGACGAGTTCAGCTGCACAAAACAGCATCTCCTTCCGCGTCTGGGATCTGATCTGTCTGGAGAAAGCGAACGGGACGGAGCCACTGGCGGACTCGCGGCTGGAACGTCGCGCCGTGGTGCGTTCACCCAGCGTCAAAGCGGTCTTGAGTGCGTATGAGCTTGAGTGCGATCGCTTTGAGACACAAAAGTTGGATGATGCGTTTTTCGAAGCGTTTCCTTGCTTGTTTTGTGAGTCGGCGGCGTCGATGTGGAAGATACAGGCGCCGAAGGACTTGCGGTTTGAGGACGTTGGGAGGCCTGCGGTGTTGACTGCGGACGCTGTGGAGAGACTGTCCGCGCGCGTGGGCAGATTGCTTGGACATGGTTGCTGACACCATTTCCTCACACAGTTGGGTGTGGGTATCCAAAGTACTTGGTTCCAGTTGGGAGAGTGCTTGTCATCCGGTCTCACGTACAACTCCCAGAGACCGGATGACAAGGTATGGACCGCAACGCGCCTTCCGTCCGCAGTGTGAAGTCGAAGAGTGGTTTGCGGCAGGAGCATTTTGCGGAAGGTGCGACCTTTGTATGCTCTTGCTGCCGTTTTTGGTTGGCATATCGGGAAGGCGCAGGTGTGACGAGGTCAATTAATCCCGGTCTCAGTGCACTCTCTCGCGGGACCGGTTGACCAAAAAAGGGAGAAAATGGACGAACTGTCTCACTGTCAATCCTGGTAGGCGTCAGAGACTGTTGATACGAGAGAGCTGCCTCATTGCGCTTCTGTTGTCGCTGCCTAATTAAGCAACGGGACAGGCAGTCTATGGTGCTGGACAGGCCTTGCTGGTATCTAACCCCGTGGAGTTCCGGAGTCATCGCATATCAAAAGAACTCAGTGTGCAGTCTCGACCTCTTCTTGCTCCCGCGCCCTCCTCTCTTCCTTTCCCTGTCTATACTCGCCCCAGATCCACAGCCCAGTCGGGATGCCCGCCATAGCCACACCAACTACGGCTAAACCAAGGAACGCCCGGGCCCAGCCATATCGCTGTACCATAGGACCGACAGCCAGTGGAAGGAAAGTCCCAAATAAGCACCTCACCACGATGACAGAGGTCATCGCGCTTGCCGCATACAGTGGGGCTAGTTCGGTAATGTATGGGAGAACAGGCAAGTAGCTGAATAGCAGGAAGAACCCCATGACCGCGACGTTGCCGAGCTCGAGAGGAAGCGGAGCGGGCCCGTGGCCTGGCTTGAAAGAGAGACCGGCGGGGAGCAAGCCGTAGAAGCAGATGAATACTGGCATGAAGAGCGCGCCGAGTATGATGGGCGGAAGGCGGTGATGCGGGTAATTCTTGATCTTAGGAGGTTTTGAGGCAGACTGTGCGCCTTGCGGCCGTGCCCGTTGGTCTTGCTCGTACTTTCTCAGCGGCCGATCGCGAAGATAGATGTAAATGCGATCGAGTGTGAGTTGACAGAGGATGACAGCTGTCAGAGAGCCAACTGAGAAGGTGATGAATGAGCTGCCGATCTGGGCTGGAGTCAGATGGTAGAGGTGCTCCAGGATTTCGGGTAGGGTAGTCGACATGATATAGAACCATGTGAATGTGGCACCCGCAAAGAATGAGATGAGGATGATATATGGCGAATGGAAGTAGACAACAAATGGTCTGAGCACGCTCGTGGTCAAGCTCTCGAGGCCAGCGTCGTACGGAGTCCGCAGTGATGTGTTACCCGTGACTTCCCGAAGATGTGCAGCTCGTCGTCGTAGAATTACAACCTTGTAAGTCTCTCGGTAGACTAAGAACACACATATGGTGCAGACGGTCATGGCTAGTGCTGAAAGCCAGACAACGCTGCGCCATCCCCACGTCTCACTCATTGCCCCTGCAACAGCCGGTCCCAGAGCGCCACCTGTCAGCGGTGCTAACATGATCAAAGACATAGCTCCACCTCGCTGCTCAGGAATGAATATATCTGCCACGATAGCCGGGCCAAGTACATTTGCGACCACAGAAACTCCAGTCAGAGCCCTCGCAGCAATGAATAGCGTTGTCGTTTGACTGAGAGCCGCCATCAGCGTAGTCGCAACGAAAAGCACGTTGCAGACGTTCAGTACTTTGAATCGACCATGGATCTCTGACAGAGGACCTATGAGCAACGGTCCAGCAGCCTCACCAAGCTCCCAGATGGTGACCAAAAGGACTGCAGCCGATTTGTCAGAAGTGTGGTCAGGGGTAAGATCTCGGACAATGCGATCGGCGACAGGTACAACGCCTATACAGGTGAAGGTCGTGCTGAAGGCCATGAAAGCCAGCAATGCTGTGACGGTCCATTTGTATTTGGGGGACCAATCTTGAGGATTGTCCGGGTCGTGCTCGATGTTGAAATCGACAATGTTTGCGTCGACATCTTTGCTTTGGGTACGATAAATCCGTTCCTCGGAGGCAGCATCGCTTGTTAGGAGTGGTGTCTCCTCGTTTTCGACGGCCATGCTCTGTGCGACGGTCGTGGCAATTCAGTGACTGTGAAGAGCTAGGGAAGAGTCTATAGTACTCCAGGCCCGTTAAGTCATGTTGATTTTTTTGGAGCTGGCACTGCGACTCGAGTATGATGGTGAGCGCAAGTGTTTACTGATACGCTCATACGAATCGCCAGTCAGCTTCGCAACTTGGCCCTTGCTAAGAACGAGGAGAAATTTGTCCAAAATCAGCTTTCTTTACGAAGGGCGCAAATGTTACGATTGGGCGTGGTGTTCCCCGCTGAGTCGCTGACTCATTCAATAAATGATTATCTTTCGGCTAAGGTCTATCGTTCCTTCAGATGCTACCTCAGACGGTCATCGATGAGCGTTTCAGAGGCAACCTGAATGCTCTATATTGCCAGCCATCATCTATGGCTCGGTTCACTAGACGTCTCCCTCGGACGAGAACCGTGGCTGAAGTCCCTCTGCTGGAGGGGCCGAATCTCCATTTAGCTGAGCAACATGAGTATGCTCGTTGCACTGTATCAGGGCTGCAGGTCAGACTGGACATGCGAGATGATCACGACAGCGCGCGCTATATGGGCAGCTGAGCGCGTCTACAACGGGCATGGTGTCGGTGTAGTACCTAGGTAAGGAAGACTCTCTTATCGGCTCCTGCAACTCGCACGAATGGACTGGCTACGATTGTTACGGCTCCATGCTGCCCAGTGCTGGCAATGCACCAATTGACGATGCACGACACCAACGACACAAGGGTGAAATAAGTAGACTGATCGATGGCTCTTTTATCAAATGTGCGGTGGGCCTCAGACTCGATGAATTCGCGTTCTGGACAGTCCAGAGTAAATCTTCCAAAAGCAAGAAGAAGCAGAGCTTCCTTACTCTGGACTGACCAGAACGCGAATTTATCGAGTCTGAGGCCCACCGCACCTTCCAGTGGTCTTCGACAAGGTAGACTTAGTGAGGATGGACAGGAACGTTGTGGGAAGGAGCGCTGTCATTGATGATGCCTTCCACATGGGCCGAGTAATGATTCTGGGCAGTCGCGTGAAGATGAGTCTGTGATCCAGCGGCCACGCTCTGACGTACTTAAGTATGGCATGCTGTAGCTGCAAGGCTACGAAGTGGCAGCCATTCTGCTGTTGCAACATATCTCGAGCCTTCACGAACATACATCGAGGAGGGCTTGAGGATCTATCCTGTAATGGGCGATGAACGACCGCTAACAACCTCAGGAATCTTACAAGGTTCTGATGCTGTCCCATCGATATCCAAGGTCCTAGTATGCAAGCAGGTAATAACTGCGGGCTGCCAAAAGACGTGACGAGGTGTGACAACTTGTGTGCGTGCAGATATACTGAACTCGTGATCTGCTGGACGAGTCTAGCGAATTCTCTGTTGCACTCTTGCCTCAATACTTGTCACCTGCCATCCATTGCTTTGCCCCAGGCCAGTCAGAACGACCGTCCATGCTGGCCATCTGAGATGATCTTCGTGAAGAGGACGCAATCTCAGCGACTCAGTGACTAGCCTTGTAAAGAAGTTCCATAGAAGCTATGACTGCAATATGTATATGCGCGTCAATGCCGATGTGAGCACAGCTCTGAGGAGCATATCGAGGCGCAAGGGATGAGCCACCAACGCCGAACCAATTTGAGTACCGTCTTTAGAGTCTCAAACATGAACAATACCTCTAAGCACGATGAGCCTCTGCGCCTTGTCATGCTGACTGAATAGACTACGAAAGTCATCCTCTACCTCCCCTTGAGCTTGTTGGCGAACCCTCTCAGGCCAGAGCTCGGAGTATAGCTGCCTCCACGTTCGCCATCACATTTCTCGTGCGTACCATCGTCTAGCGTTCCGGGCGAGACACTGCGCTCGAATCGATCATTGTTTGCAGGAGGGGCGAGCGTGCGGCCACGCGAGGTCTCCTCTGCTTTGGAAGGCTCTGATTGCCCTTTCGGAGGTGTAGGTAGTGGTGTGCCTGCGCCGTTTGTCGTGCTCGTCGTAGCTGACGAATTCAGAGGCTGCGAATCTGTCGCTTTCTCTGGTTTCGAATGTCAGCATGTCGGACTATCCGAGGAAAATCGTGACATGGTTTCGGCTGTTGTCCGCAGGACTCGTGAGGACTGTAAAATTGGATCTTACTCACCACCAGCATTTCCTTGATCGTAAGGCTCGTTCACTGTACCCTTCCCCTTCACGCCAGAGAGTGGCTCCTCACCCACATTGCCGTTGGTGGCAGTCGTGATACTCTTAGAACCAATCTGTTCAGGCGCATTGCCTTGATCGTACGGTTCTTCGACAGTTCCTTTGCCTTGCACTCCGGACGGTGGCTCTTGACGGGTGCCGCTGCCGCTGGCGACCGTTTCAGAACTGTCCTCGGTAGCACCACCTTTGTTGTACTTATGGTCAGGCCCGAAGATCGCAGCCATAGCGCTTTTGCTGGCGGAGTAGGACTCGGTCTTCTTCAATGGCGCGCCATTGGCGCTTGCAGAGGCAGATGCCATCGTCATGTGGAGCGGTGGCCCAACCCGATTTGAGAGTGAGCCTGGGACGCAGTGGGTGTCTCCGTGGACTACTGCTACTGCGCAGATGGATGCACCAGAGGTTTTTACTCAGCAGTCTTCGTAGGAGAGGTCACCGTAGGCGAGTGCGCCGGTCAAGAAACAGATGCGTCCTCGATCGTTATCGTGGGTAGAGGTGAGATTGCTCTTGCTCCGGAGATGTAATGTACGAGTCCTGCAGGCAGCTGTGCCACAGCTTTCTACCCAAGGACGTTAAGTAGGAAGATCAGAACCAATTTGTCATCTAGTAACTCGAGGCCTCGCGATGCGCGCAGTAGAGGTAAGCCTTATCTGGATCACTCCAAGGAAACGTTCAGGCAGGTTCAAGGCGATGCGGGACTGCGCCTAAATCATATACTTTTGGTTCGGATAGCATGTCCTTATTAGCCAAGGTTGCTCCTGCTTGCATTGCGATGCGACATCATGTCCAGTCCCCTGGCAAAGCTAGGAAGGGAAACGTGGTCATCAACGTGGGATTCTGACCACGGTATGCTCCGATGTCGTCATCCATGAGGGGTCACGAGCAGCAGGACGGAGATCAAGCGTGAGGGACACTGCACTCAACCCGCGGTTCTACTGAGCGCGATACGTCACACAGGCAGCATTGTTTAACTCAGATTCCTGGCCGACAGCCTTGCTGTACTAAGGAGTGCTCTGGAGGAAATGCAGAGTGTCTGAAGTACATAGGTACGTACCCATGTCGCGCTTGTCAGGCAGTGAAATTAGCGTACGAGCGCTGCACACACGGTGTGATCTTGAAGTCGAGTATCCGGTGAAGGAGCATGCTGGCTATTATTTCTGGCATATAAGATGCGCTCTATCACGAACCATACCTCAGTGGCATGGATAGTGTCTCCAGGACAACTATGCATGGCTTTCGAGACTGGCATCCATCGCTGAGTGCAATTCGCTAAGTGCAATGCAATGTCAGCAACCACGTCTCTTCCCACCACCTCCTTCTCTTTTATGCCAGGGATCGTTAGGCCAAACCCAACCACGAACTGTCTTAGCCTCGCGCTTCTCACCCATCTGTGGCTCAGGAATCCACTTGTCTTTGCCGTCCTTGCCGCGTTCTTCCTCGTCGAGATCCCATCCGCTCCAGACGCGTTGTCGTGATAATGCTCCTGAAGCACCGACATCCATGAAGCTGCTGGGTTGATTGGGCAAAGGATGCTGTTTGGCCAACATGAGCAAGAAGTACAGCGCCAATGTGGCCGTCATGGGAAGCTCGGCACCAGCAAGCATATCTTCGACCGACACATTGAATGCAGTCTTGGTCGGAATGGCCTCGGCGAGCTCGAGGTAGCCAAAATATGGCATCCCTCGATCGTCACAGCCAGCACGGACGCACAGCAGTTCGATCTCGGTGATGATGAAACCGTAACGGCAGCTGTGGTCGCGCATACACTTCTGCAAATGAGCCAACCCCTTGAGGTATTCGACTTTCCGAGCCGGCCCTTCACGGCGCATGCCAGTGTTCCACTTGTCGAACGACTTGCTGATACCGACCACACGGCCGCGAGGTATGCCTGAGAGCGTCCGGTCGCCGTCGGAAGGATAGTTCGCAAGAAAGTTGGGACTGGATCCTTGGGCCGTTGCTGTCTGGGGAGCCGCGTACAGTGCTATCGAACTGGGTCCTCCGAGAGAATTGAGAGCGGCCGCATTGGCGCGTGGGAAGTAGATCTTGGTGATGAGAGATGTCAGATCAGTCTCGCTGGCTGGAGTGGCCGTCTGAATGTTGCAGCCCTCGGGTGTGAAGGCTGGAAGGATGCTGGTGTCATGCTGGAAGTTGAGCAGAGTCACGAGGTCTGGGATCGTAGAAAACGTCGATAGCTTAAAGGAGTCCCAGGTACGCAGATTCCGAACATCCCACCAGAAGTGATTGACCATACCACGTCCAAGTCCCGGATTCAGGTGACGAACCAGGTTAATCGGCTGAGTTGGCTGAGTGAGGTAATCGAGCAGGCTGGATGTCTCCAAGCCGGCGTGAGAAGTGAGTGTAGGAGGTGGAGGCGACACCGATGCTGGTCGCGACAGAGACTCGATGTCGATGGGGAAATCCAGAGTGCCTTCCAAGGTCAAGATAGGAGGATCCATCAGACTGCTGCCTCCGTCATATGACAGGTACTCCTGAGGCAGGAATGCGGGTGACGGCGTTGGCTGCTGATGTGGCGTCGAGTAGACTGGCATATTTCTGTACGTAGGATAACCAAACTTCGAAAGCATGGTGCTGTCGAGGCTTGAGGTAGAGCCTGAGCGAGCATGGACTTTCTTCGTTCGGTCAAGGGTGGCGTTGGTAAAGGCTGGCGACGGAGCGAGAGAAGCTGCACGAGACCTTGGGGCATTAGATATGGGCGACATCATTGTGGCGCCCTCGACTGGCTCAGTCGAGCTCCTGTACATGAAAGGACGCTGAGCTCCTGTGGTATGCGAGAAGTTGCTGACAGAGGAGCCTCTGCGGTGAGCTGGCCTGACAGTGGTCGCCGATGGAGCGTGGTCAGAGTCCTGCGTGCGTATCTTGGGCAGAAGAGTTGGTCCATACTGGCGAAGAACCGGAGAGCGATTGGGTGTAGTGTTGTTGGTGGGGACTGATTCTGGCGACGTGTCTGTGGCACAATTACGGTAGTTGGAGGAAACGCTTGAAATGGCAGATGTGTTGCGACGGTGACCGCGCTGACCAGCAGCAGCCTCTGGAGGCGTTAAAGGTCTATAGTAGTATGGCGCTAGAGCCATTCTGCATCTGGTCAACTCTGGGCCAAGTCTCGGGAACGGGGCTGAGGTCAACTCACATGTTGCTATATTTTGGGGGAGAAGACCTGCTTCTCTGTAGACAGACTGGCTAGGAGAGATAGACAGAAGAAATGAAAAGAGCAAGGAAAGACCAATGAAATATAGGAAAATGGTGGCCGGGCAGAGGTGGGCGATTGAACGAGAGGCTAGGAGAGCACGAGAGAGCGAACCATGAATTAGTCGTGGTGAGAATGCTGACCGAGGTAGACCTGCATGGATAGCGTGTGGTCGATGCAGGAAACAAAAATCGAAATAGGAAAGATGAGGTTGTGTATAAACACGTTCACGGTGAGGAAGAAGGTGAAGACGTGTGCAAATCGACGACCGCGGCGCGGGAGTGAGATATAGGCGCGACAATCGAATAGTGCACACTGTCAAGCGGTCATCTAACGCGATTACCCGTCTGAAGGCGTGTAGGAGACGACCAGAGACACATAGCAATCTCAGTAGGCGCCTGTACACGCCATCAGTGAAGTGTAGGAGCGCGATGTCGTCGATGAACTCAGTTGGTAATGCTCAGAATAGCTCAGATCTGGCACAAGCGCCACGCGAGACGAACGATGAGGCTGAAGATAGCATGCGGTGCGGAAACTTGCGGGCAGCATCAGAATTGATGGCCGAGAATGAATCGGTTGGCGCGTAGAAGAGATTGAAAGAAGAAGGCAAACCCCTCATCGCTGGTAGCGCGAAGGTGGGGAAAAGCAGCCAGGCATCGAACCAGGCTGACGGTGTGTGTTTCAGGTGGACTTGTGCGCAGTGATTGGTCCAGCCCTCGAGGCGGTGCAGACGGCTAAATGGAGTTACAGAGTCCCGGGCACCATCCGCTGCCCCTCCTTCTGCCTCTGCAAACGCGTGGCTGTCGCGATCTGTCCACGCTATCTGCAACCCAACACGAGACTGTCGCGCAGATCACATGTTCGGTGCATATCGAGCTGCAGAAATATGCAGCTACCAGTAGTCGTGTGTAGCACGGTACTACACCGTGCTTGGACCGAAATCGACTCACATGAATATGCAGACCAGACTGTTGAGACTGGGCACACTGTTGGTCAGTTGGTCTGAAAGCTCTTGAATGAGGTCAGCTTCTGTCCAATTGATGAGAAGCAGCGAAAACAATGTCAAACGTTTCGAATTGTCGACGCATTTATTTGGTCGATCTTCTTGGAGGGTCCAAGAAATGTGCGGCAGCCTCCGCACATGGCTGAGCAGATCTGCATGCCGGTCACGATGTGTTCTAGTATTTTCTTTGCGTCCATGTTACGAAGTTGGAGCTGTTTGTTTCGTCCGCTTTCTCGACCACCATGTTTGGGGATAGATTTCGGCTTGCCCTGCTGAACGTTCGAGACTGTTTCACTGCATCACGCAAGGTGCGCAGGAGACTTTTACTTCGAAGCCCGACACACGCGATTGCCTTCTGGACGCTGCTGCTGGACAGCGACATCCTTTGCCAGGATATGTCAGGTCCTAGCTCAACCCAACTTGCCTACCTTGTATAAGACAAGCTGGAGTCCGCGATCTGAAGGAACAATCCACAACATCGATCGAGCGTCCTGGTGTATATGCGGAACTTCAATTCCTTACAATAGAGCCCTCGGTTCTTGATCCATTATAGGTAGGCCGTGCCTTGTATTTGCTGCCTCATCGATCCAGTGTAGACGAAGAGGAGTCTTGCGCGGGAGATGTGCAATGAAACGAAAGGTCGGGCTGGCAGTCGTGGCCACAAAAAGACTTGTGGTGGTGCGTTTTGCTTACCTGCAGAACCACGGACTCAAGGAATGATGATGTCGATTGCTGGGGCGGCCTCCCGCCGCTGCAGTGCATGACAGGGTTCATGCAGCCATGAAACGCACCATCTCCCAGCTCGCCACAGTGATTAAAGTCAACACATTTGCTGGCTCTCTGTCACAATCGATAGCCCATAAGGTACTCAACCATTGCAGCGACATGCATCTTCGTATACGAGCTCCATGGTCTTGCTAGAGTTAGGACCAGACTTCTTCCAAAGTCGATGCACTCCGCAGCCGATCCAAAAGCACTGCACTAAGTAAGCTCCTGGTTCCTGCCAAGATTCTTTCGAAGCAGGGATCTTTTATCTGAAATCCACGTTCAGGTGCTATGTGCGGGTTCGACATCATTGTAGGTATTGTGCAGCGTGCATAGCTAGATAGGCAAAGTCGCAGTACACTCTGTTCTTTTCGCTAAGTCGATCATGTCATCGAGTGAAAGCGTTCACGAAGCTTTCGGCACAGAGGTGCAAAGGAGGAGCTTCCTACCCCTGAAGGAAGTACGATAGAAGTGCCCACCCACATGGTCTTTCCGCTTCAGCAGTGCCACTTCCGCACAGGTCCTGGTCTGGATCACGATGCTCACAGTTTCGTCTCCGTTGCAGCACTCTCGCTTAGCACCATAGTGCCGCTACAGTGTCGTTGGAGGTCAAGCTACAATTTTCTCCTCGGACTCATCATATGAGAACATGATCTTGTCCGAGCTTCACCGAGCCAGCTTCGCGCAAAAAGTGTTGCCACTGTCAGCCATCGAAACCATTGACTCTTGAGCTTCTCGGATTGGGTTTCGACAGAGATCAACTCACGTCAAAAGATCGATCAATATGGGCCCTCTACCACGTTGGCCGTTACACGGATCGCTGGGATTAGCTGAGATGTGCTCTGTCGCAAATTGTTTTCAGAGTCTGCTCAAGGACCTTGTCTCGTTTGAGTTAGGTGTCCTAACTCAATCTCAGGGACCATCATAGCTAAAATCAGCCCATACCGTGGCCCAGAGGCACCGGCGACGGTCTATGGCCTATCTAGCTGCTGCTTATTTCCATGCGAAATAACCCGATTGAGTACCGTGCTCTGCGCATCCCGGTCCCTGTCTGGCAGATGTCGTCGCACTGTCGCAGTTGTTCCATGGGTTCTCCACCCTCCACTAATCTATCCCGGTTCATCGACGCTCCAAATCACTCCCGAACTCACACTATCGGGCGTCGGTCGCTCTGCTCCCCTGCTAAATGGCTCCCATTTCAAGTATGGTCTGTCTAGCCCCTGCTTCTCTCCCTGGAGCTTTGCCTTATTCTACTAGAATCCTGTTCATCTTCTGCTTCGCTTCCACCCCTCTCTGACCTGAAATCTTCCTCTCTATCAACGGAAGCGAGTCACTGCAAGCTTCCTCGTCTCTACTAACCTGTGAGCTCTCACTCATGAGTAGCCACTTGTGTATTTCATTCGCATCACATTTATCGCGTGTATCGATCAGCAGCAAAGAGTGAGCAGGTCTTCTCCAAGGACCTGACGCTCAGACTCTGAGCCTTAGGACCACTTGCAGTGAATTACTATCCGGTCTTCACTACACCGCCATGGGTCAATCACTCAGAGGACACACTTCAATGACCTCGGTCGCCAGGCCAGGTACTCGCGACACCAATCGACCAGCGACCAGGGAGCAAACTGTCGATAATGCTATAGTTCCAAGCAGGACGTCATCGCTACATTCTCGTATTACACAACCGATGCCTTCCACGCTGGCAAAGTCTAACAATCGCCCAACACCTAAGACTCTCACCCATGCCTACATGGTATGCGGCGTTGGTCGCGAACCCTCACAATGGGTCAAGGCTCCTCCACCGGCACATGGCAAGATCCAGCACATGAAAGGTGCTGTAGGCCAATTTTGGTTACCGGAAATCCTGGGTAGCAGCCCGCGCCTGGAGTCTGATAACGAGATCGCTAGAGCGCTTCATGGTGCTATGAGAGTAAGGCGCCAGCTCTTATGCAACGTGGGCGTTGTGCTAATCGATCTTAGGCTTGCTTTCCCCACGACGTAGAAATCTGCACTGGTCGAAGCCAGCCTCACTGTGTACACCATGCATTCGTCCTTCAGCAAGACTCACAGCACACCCTGTATGGCATCGCCCTTCGCGTCTGGTCACGCGCCGACGAAAAGCGCGCCGAAACCATCCGCGAGTTGCGCAGAAAGACTGAGCCAGACTTCAGAGATGGGGGCGAGGAAGTCACGTATTGGATACCCTATTGTCTGTCTTTCTTGTCCCGATACCCTCTCTACAACCTTCTCGGAGACTATCTTCGTGGAATGTGGATCCACTGGAACAAAGCGACAAACCTATTCCATGCTGAGGAGGTCTCTCGTATTCTGAGTTTCCCAGCACCAAGACTGAACGATCTGGTTCGGATTGACATGAAGGACTATGCGCTCTGCTACCAGTTCCCGTCGTCACCAACAGGCTTTCAGAACTTCGCCATGTGGCCGTTGTTCAGCTGTCTGACCATGCCCAACATCGTCGGTGTCATCGAAGCAGCTGTGTCGCCAACAAGGCGCATCATTCTTACTAGTCACCACCCTGCAATGCTGACCATTGCTGCCGAGACCATCCGCTTTTGTGTTCGTGTGTACGAATGGAGTGGTCTGTATGTTCCTGTGGTTCATGCACGCAACGTATCGGAGATGGTGCAGGAGCCCGGCCCGTATATCCTGGGTATCACCACTGAGTGTCGATCGCTGTTCCAACCACCCAAAGATGCTCTCTTGGTCGACCTCGATCGCAATTTGGTCATTACCGATCACCCACCAAACATACTCACGCACAAACAACGCCAAAAGATGATTAATCGCCTGACGCAGGCTCTAAACCACGATGTCGAGATCACTGGCGTCCCGCAGCATCTCAAATCGGCCTATGGCGGTGGTAAGCTCATTCCCGCTGGCCAGATCATCGTGCTGCGTGGCGAAGTTGAATCCGTCCAAGACCCATCGTGGTGGAACCAGGACTCTATGATGGCAGTGATGGATCATGTCTGCGAGAAGCTGGGCCGCAATACCGGCATCAAAGCTGTCTTTGGCGGTGCCACGAAGAAGCCACTGATGACCAAGATCTCAATGCGCCACATGAATGAGATTGTGCGCGAACGCAACCAGTACTCACGTGACGCGCTTGAAGCATGGCAGGACTTCATCAATCTCAAGGGCCGCATGGACACTGAACTACAGAAGGTCTCCAAGCGCAACCAGTATCTCGAAGGCGAGGTCGAAACCTGGAAGTTGCAATTTCAGAAATTCCAAAACTTCGTCGAGTCCCTCAACAAGGAATTGTCTGAGCTTCGCGTCAAGATCGAGCAGCACAAGCGCGAGCAACGCCGCCTCACAGGTCTCATCGATCAGCAGAAAGACGACAGCGCTCGCCTCACCCTTCGACTCTCTGGCACAGAGCGCCAGCGTGACAACGCGCTCGAGGCGTTGGTTCTGCAGCAAGGTATCGCAGAAGACCTGGAGAAGGAGCGCTCGCGCAATCGCAAGGAAATTGGTGCTCTCCAACATACCAACGCTGGCCTTCAGCGCCAGCGCGACGAAGCTCAGCGTGTGGTCCTTCATCTGCGAAGCTTGATCACAGGCCAGTCACATCATATGGAGCACATTGTGCGCTCGATCGGCACATCCAACGAGCTACAAGACTATGTGCGCGAGGGCTACGAAGACATTGACGAGGACGACATGGAGGATGTTGCCGAGGAAGGCGTGCCAGACTCGCGTGCCGCCTCTGCCTCAATCGATGGCCAAGACGTCACTTCACATATGGAGTCTCAGCTGCTCACAACACCATCTCGCCGTAGCAAGCGTTACAGTACCCTCTCCATGACTGATGTTGCTGATCGTCACCTACGGGAGAAGACAGATGCCATTGCAGACATCATCCGCAACATTAGCGAGCAGTGCGCGGCCGCTGTCGAGGGCTTGCAGCTTGCCAGCGCTGCTGCTGACATCGAGTCCGAGGGCGTTGATCTCGAGGATTCTTCCCTGCACGCTCATCGTGGCCATCACCGTGAGGATTCAACCTCGACCACCAACAGCACAACAGCGCAAAATCTGTCGCCATCCGACGCAAGTGCTGACCGCAGCCGCAACAATACCTCTGGTGGCCACATCACGCCTGGCAGCGAAGCGGATTCCCAGTCGTCGATACCGCCGACGCCGGATCTCGTACATCAGCGTAGCAGTACTGCCTTGAGCATGGCCAGCACTGCTCCAACGAATTATACGGCGAGAGAGTCTCTGAATCAGGGTACATCGGGTCAGCGTACAAAGATCGCTGGCGACGAGGAGGTTGAGCGCGTGCATGGTGGCAGTGAGCACGGAGATGGCATGGCATCTGGCAGTGCCGAGAAGAAAGTATACCCTGCGCAGTCGAGCCCAAGTCGAGGACCAAGAGTGTTGAGTCGTGTTGTTGAAAGTTCTTGAATGTACAAGAGAGATGACGTCTGCATCATTGACTGTATCGGAAGCGGATGACGGACGCGGAGAGAAGATGTCGCACAGCAAAGCATCGGATTTGTGCTTGAGGAGTTTGGATCGGTCGGATTCTGCTGATCTGTTCGCGTATGTCGCTTCAGAAATTTGGGTGCAAGTCTATCCTCAGATGCCACAACAGACCAGATCGGAGGAGGCCTTGAGAAGGACCATATCAGTATTGAGGGGCGCACAGAGTTTAAGAGCAGTCCAGTCTACACAGCTTGGTAGTCTGGAGTTACGAGCACATGGCATGCACACAGTTTGTTTGGAAATACCAGGAAGCGCGAGGCGAAGCAGAGAGTGTCAGATAATATGATTTCATTGCGAGTTCAGCCGCTTTCTCATCCGCATTCCTCTGGTCTACTTCGTGGTTGTATTTAAGTAGGCAGGCAGCGAACGACGCAGCGAACGGCTACGGTGGCCTGCAAGAACTCTAAAATTACCCCAAATCCCAAAAGTTCAGAAAGTCGAGTGCTCCGGTTGCTGGCTAGACATCCACTGCGGTTCACGATCACATTCGGACGGTCACGACGCGCAAGTGTTCACTAGCAGAGTCATGACTGCCGCAGCCGAGGCGAACGCCGCTGCCACGCGACTGCTCTTTGGGGCAGAGTACGGCGACGCCAACGCAGATGCCGGCCTCGCAAACCTCATCACATCGTACAAGCGGAAGGCTGAGTACTCGAACGTCGCTCAATTACCAAAATCACTCGAAGCAGCCGCAAACCCTACGAAAAGAACTAAGACGTCGAAACCGAAGCAGACAAACGGCACCTCGAATGCGCTCGTCATATCGCAACGAAAAGATGGCACAGCCAACGGTACACAAGGAGCGTCGTCGACATCATTAATCAGAAGGCCGAACATGATACAGCAAAGGCCTGAGTGGCACCCTCCTTGGAAGTTGGCACGCGTAATATCAGGACACATCGGCTGGGTCAGGGCACTCGCAGTCGAGCCAGATAATCAGTGGTTCGCATCCGGCGCAGGCGACAGGACGATCAAGATCTGGGATTTAGCAACCGGAAATCTACGTCTAACACTGACCGGCCACATCTCATCAGTACGGGGTCTTGCAGTTTCACCACGACATCCATATCTTTTCTCTTGCGGCGAAGACAAGATGGTGAAATGCTGGGATCTGGAAACCAACAAAGTCATCCGGCACTACCACGGCCATCTATCTGGTGTATATACCCTTGCACTACATCCGAGGCTCGATCTTCTTGTCACCGGCGGCAGAGACGGCGTAGCGCGAGTGTGGGATATGAGGACTCGTTCCAACATACATGTCCTCTCAGGGCACAAGCAAACCGTGACAGATGTAAAATGCCAGGAAGCGGATCCTCAAGTGATCACTTCATCACTGGATAGCACTGTTCGAATGTGGGACCTCGCAGCTGGCAAGTCGATGGGAGTGCTTACACACCACAAGAAGGGCGTACGCGCACTTGCTGTCCACGAGAAGGAATTTACCTTCGCATCTGCGTCCGCAGGCAGCATCAAGCAGTGGCGTTGTCCCAAGGGCGAGTTCATGCAGAATTTTGAGGGTCACAACAGCATCATCAATACCATCTCCGTCAACAACGACAACGTGATGTTCAGCGGCGGCGACAACGGAAGTGTGCACTTCTGGGATTGGAAGACTGGCCATTGCTTCCAGAAGACGGAGAGTGTGGCGCAGCCAGGCTCGCTAGACGCAGAAGCTGGAATCATGTGCAGCACATTTGACAAGACCGGTTCAAGACTCATCGTGGGAGAAGCGGACAAGACGATCAAGGTCTGGAAACCAGACGACAACGCCACTCAGGAGAGTCATCCTTTGGATTGGCGCCCAACTATGGGTCGCACAAAGTATTGAGCTTCAAAACCCAGCGAGCACAGCCTCAGCCGACGCGAGAAGAGTTTTCTGTGTCGACTAGGAGGGCAGTCTTCATATAACCTCTGAAAAACCAACATCTCTGGCGGGAGAGCAATCTCGCTCAATCCTGGCCCTTCCGCTTGCTCAGATAGACCTTCAAGCCCCACTGCACCACGAAGAAACTTGAGTGGTGTCCCAGTACCTTGCCTGGGTTGACGAGCCTGAGCTCGTATCTCCGGAGCAACTGCGGCAATACCTTGTTCATCTCCAGCAGTGCGAGATGTCTACCGATACAGACATGGGAACCACCGCCGAACTGCAGGTGCGTTAGCGGACGAAAAGTTGCGATGTACAGAGGCTTACCTGGAACATGCAGCGGTCCATATTCCTCAGCTTCTCCTTATCCTCCACGAGCCACCTGCTAGGATTATAAATTTCGGCATCCACACCAAACACTTCTTGGTCACGATGCAGCACCCATCCATTGACGGCGACATTTACACCACCGGGCAGCTTCGTGCCATGTATCTCCGCCCCCTGAGCAGGTACTTTACGAGTAATGTTCAACCCCACGGCTGGCTGTAGGCGCATCGCTTCCTTTAAGCACGCCTGAAAGTATGGCAGGTTCTGCGCCTCGTTGTACTGGACCATTTCGGACATATCTGCCGCCAGGATCTCGTCCATCAACGTCCTGTAGACGTCGGGATTGTTGAGCACATTCCAGCAGAAAGACTGCATTGTGGATGCAGTCGAGTCGGATCCAGCAAAAATCGCGCCATGCGCAATAGCAAAAACGTCGCCCTCGCCAAGCTTATCAGGATTCTGGGTTTGTGCTTCGATCAAGCTGTTGAGGAGGTCCTTGTAGGTCTCCTTGTTCTCAGGATCCTGTCGTTTTGCGAGCTGGCCAAGTGCGGTTTTTGTTACAAGGCGTTCTTCGTCGCCAGGAAGGGAATGTAGTTCCAAAGAGGGTTGCGGCGAAAGAGATGGTCAAGAAAAGGAACTTGTCCCACGATGCCATTGTACCATTGCGAGTCATCGATCGTTTTTATGGCTCCATCAACATCTTTGCCGGCCTCGAGAAAGCCAAATTTCTTCGAGAATGCAACCTCGCCGAGCACATCAAAGGCAAACCAGTGCAGCCAGTCGCCAAGGTCGCAAACTTGGAAGCCGTCTGCAAAGTCATCCATCTTGCGAATCAACAAGCGTTCGGTCTCTTCGATACGGCTGGTTGACTGCTGCATGGTGGCCATCGAATATGGTGTGGCGGCGTAACGCTTCTTTACACCGTGAACGGATTCACGGGTTTCGGTAAAGATGTCCGGGTTCTCAGGAGGCGGGAACACGCCATAAAAGTCCGTCTTGTGAAAGCCTTTGCCGACTTGAAAGATCGCGAGTGCTGCATGTGGATTGGCGAAGGACAGTTCATTGGGCGCAATTCGAACGACTGGGCCATATCTCTTATGGAGCGCGATGTGGTGCTGCTCCGTTTTGCCTGTCCACGTACTCCAGACCTTCCACAGACGAGTGCAAGAAGCGATGAATGGGCCAGGATACTGTCGCAACGGTGAAGCATATCGTTTGAACAGTGGTCTGAAGACCAGTAAAGAAAGAAGGATGAGGTATGGATGCGCAGTTATGAAAGCCAGAACGCCAACGATGGCAGCCTGAGTGACGGGTGCGTCCTCTGCGGGTTTTGGAGCCATGCTGGAATGATCAAGCCCAACGGCAGGTAACGAGCCAGCAATGTATAAAGACTGGGTGAATTGAAGATGCCCTGGAATGGGAAGTCGCTCTTATTGCTGCACAGCATTGCAAGTATCCTCCGCAACTAATCTTACCCCATGAATTAGCCCACCCTCCACTTACCGTTGCGGCCACCCTGTTGATTGGCATGTCCTCGCTGCGCTGCTTAGGGCGTCGGGTGGTGAGGCTACGTGTGCGCGCACGGTCCTGCCACATTTTCAGTAGCAGGGGTGGGGCAGTGGGGCCATGTGGAAGGAACCACGCCAGGTCTTTTTCCCAGAAGCGCTGGTCCTTTGTGTTCTGCCGAGCTGGGGTAATTCGAGTGCCATAAGAGCATCAAATAATGGAAGTCCCAGAGCAATATGGCTTGATCTCAAGACTTGGTCCATCGACTGGAGTTGCTCGAGGCATGTTTTGGCAGCTCCATCGCTGGAAGTATTCATTTTCCCACCCCTGGATAGGTGGGTCTAACGAAGCTGCAAGCACTGCGGTGTCAGTGTCGAGTCTTGCACACGTCTGATGATGCATGCAAGGCTTGGTTGATATCTGAGACAATACGCAGGATGCTGTGCTTTTCACCACCGCGTCTATGTGCACTCGTGTACTGCACCGGTGCATGAATAGCCTCCTAGGAATCAACACGACCACAGCAGGAGACTTTTTGCATGACAAGCCGCCGTGATGCGTACTGCAGGACCTTCTCCCAACATCGCAGATAGCTGACCAAGTCTGTGGCTTGAAGGATAGGGAGTCGTGTCGAGATCTGGACTTTCTAAGGACACCTCTTGGCAGATCATTTCCCCTACGCCCGAGATCATTGTTGGTTTCAGGTTTCCTCGAGGGTTCACATCCCCGCGTGCGGAATCGTCGCCTCTTTCGATGAACTCTATTCTGAGCTAACCACGTGCCTTCAAGCGTACTGCGGGGAAGCATAACATCATGGAGTGCTTCCTCGGGTGCTATAGTGAACTAGGCGTTCACGTGTGTTCGAATGAGGTTCATCTTGATCCCTGTGGATGATTGACAATCTAGGATCCCTCGACCGCAACACCACATCCAAGATCGAGCTCAGTGCCAACAAGCAACGTCAATATGCCTGAGAGCGAGACATGCGATGCCCTCGTAGTTGGGGCTGGTTTTGGAGGACTCTATCAGCTCTATCGCCTTCGTGAGGCGGGCTTGAATGTCATTGTCATTGACGCAGCCGGCGATGTTGGAGGCACTTGGTACTGGAACCGCTACCCAGGCGCTATGAGTGATACCGAGGCAAGTGGAATCTGATGAACAGTGATGGTATGAGATGATAACATATCGCCAACTAGTCATATATATACAGGTATAGTTGGGACAAAGAGGACCTTTTGCAGTATCATTGGAAAGATCACTACGTAAAGCAACCCGAGGTCCTTGCGTATCTCAACCATGTCGCAGACCGATACGACATGAGGAAACATATCAAGTTCAGGACCGAGCTCGTAGATGCCAAGTGGGACGACTCTATTCACAGATGGCGCATACAGACGTCCGGCGGCAAAGAAATCCAGTCTCGGTACATGGTCACAGCGCTTGGACTTCTGTCAAAGCAGAACTATCCGGCATATCCTGGCATTGATCTCTTCAAAGGCGAATTGTACCATACTGGTAATTGGCCTCAGCAGCACGACTTTAAGAACAAGAGGGTAGGAGTCATTGGAAATGGCAGCACAGGTGGAATCATCATGCATTGCACTTGACTATCGATGCTAATGCTGTTCAGGTGTCCAGGTAATCACAGCAATTGCGAAGGAAGTCAAGTCGTTGCTTTGCTTCCAGAGGACGCCTCAATATTCCGTTCCGTCTGGAGACGGGCCGGTCTCCAAAGAGTACAGGGAGAAGATCAATCAGAACTATGACGCTATATGGCATCAGGTAAAGAACTCAGCTGTCGCATTTGGGTTCGAAGAATCGACCGTTCCCGCCTCCTCAGTCACCGAAGAGGAGAGGGAAGCTAAGTTTGAGGAAGCCTGGCAAAAGGGTGAGCATCGTTTGCACGAAATTGCCTCAACAAGATATTGACTGGCTTCAGGAAATGGTTTCAGATTCATGTTTTGGACTTTCAATGATCTCACGACCAACGAGGAATCCAACGAGGCTGCATGCGAGTTCATCCGAAAAAAGATTCGGCAGACTGTGAAAGATCCCAAGAAGGCGGAGAAGCTTTGCCCGACCGACTTCTACGCTCGTCGGCCGCTTTGTGACGCTGGGTACGTAGGGGATATGGGCCTCGTGCTGTATGGACCCTCATGCTAATTTGTTCAGCTACTACGAGCAATTTAATCGCCCCAACGTCGACATCGTCGACCTCAAGCAGACCAAGATCACCGAATTTACGGAAAAAGGCATTCGTACATCTGACGGTACTGATCACGAACTCGACGTGATCATCTTTGCCACAGGATTCGATGCTGTCGATGGTAACGTGAGTAACCCTTCCATTTGTCCTTCCTTGCCTGCATTCGTACGGCTTTGACGTGCCACCATACTTACTTCGTTAAACAGTACACTCGAGTTGCGATCAAGGGCCGCCACGGCGAATCACTGAAGGAGCACTGGTCCGAGATCGGGCCAACAACCTACTTGGGCGTCAGCGTCCCAGACTTCCCCAACCTCTTCATGATCACAGGCCCGAACGGTCCCTTCACAAACATTCCTCCTACGCTCGAAACACACGTCGAATGGATCACGGAGCTCATCAAACGCGCCGAAGCCCACCGAAAAGACTCATCCGATCCGGAGAGTGTCGTTGTCGAAGCGAAGCCTGAGGCCGAACAGCGATGGACGCAACTCTGCAAGGAATTGTCTGACAACAGCCTTTTCAAGAAGACTGATTCGTGGATCTTTGGGGCGAATGTGCCCGGCAAGAAGAATGCGGTTATGTTCTATTTTGGCGGCTTGAAAGGCTTTAGAGACGAATTGGAGAAGGAGAGGCAGAGCGCTTATGCTGGCTATGTTCCGCTCTGAGCGAGCATGCGATCATGCAGTTGGAAACTAGGTATCTGAGGACTCGCGCCATCATCCTTGAAACCCCATACCGTTGCTCTCCTCGTCCCGTGCCAAGGCCGACCTGATCTCCTCCTCCGCGATTCGCAGCCTCACCTTGGCTGCTCGCTCGCCACCTGATTTCTTGCCGATACCCATGCCTCCAATGCCCCCTTCAACGGCGAGACGCCGGCCTCGACGAGTCCTGCCACTGCCGCATCCATTCCTAGCACGCGCTGCGCATCCATTCTCTTTCCTAAGTCCCACCCTCCGCCACCGTCTGTTTGCGGCACCACGTCCCGCCAGCCCATCAACACGTTGATGGCCTCGTCCTCGGCAACACGTGCGATGCGCTTCGCTTCAATGAGTATGTCTCCGAGCGCGCTTTCTGCAACTCCGGTCCGGCGGATGCGGGCTAGTACAGCTGCGAGCAGCACTTTGGAGGCGAGTGGCAGACACCGCAGTGCCTGAGCGATAGGTGATGAGGTCGCCTCGTTGATGGCAGTCTTGATGGTGCGGATTGTGACTCTGCCAAGATCTGACTTTGTGGATGGATCCGTGTCTGGAGAAGGATCTTGGTTCTCCTTCTCCGTTTCCGTGCCTGTGGCGAGCTGAGCCATGCGTTTGCCACGATTGGTCTTGCTTGGCGTGCTTGTCGTCAGACCGGTTTGTGCTGTCTCCGCTGCAGCCTTCTCTTCTTCTGCGAGCTCGACTGCCCGTCGGCATATGTCCAGTGCTCGTCTCGCGTCACCTGATACTGCAGCCACTTTCTGCGACGCAAACTGTATGGCGTCTCTGTTCACGATGTCGCCGGGCACGCCGGCGAGGCGCGAGGTGATAATCTCCATTAGTTGTTTATGTGTGTAACCAGGAAAAGTGATCCGGGTGAGGCCCAGGCGCGAAGAGATCTTGTTCGATAATGTCCGCTCGGGCAGATCCATCGTGTTCGCAACAGCCAGAACGATAAGTCGGGAGTGTCTTAGCGCTGGCCAGTTGAAGAAATTATACATGACGGATTGGTTGCGCGTCACAAGCTGATCGAGTTCGTCCATCAGCACGACGCAAGGGATTCGGCGTGGTGAAGGATGCGAGAATTCGTGTTCTAGCAGTGACAGGGCGTGCGCAGGCGAGACGCGGTCGCCCTTGAGCGCTTCCCAGAGGAGGGAATAGGACTGATGCGGCTCGGTGACTTTCATGCCGTTGATTTCAACGAAATTGAAATCATCGAGCTCGTCTGCATATACGGCTTGCGTGAGGGACGCGACAACCTCTCGGACGGTCGCGGTCTTGCCGGTCCCAGGCGTGCCTGAGATGTAGATGCAAGCGCCACTGCCGTCTATGATGGCGCTGTGGAGATGCGAGTAGACCGTAGAGAATTCGTGTAATCGACAGGGAAGCGAGTCTGGGACAGCGGATACATGCAAGGTGGTGCGGGCGTGTGCATAGGGCGAGGACATATAGGCTGAGGGTGAAAGAATGCGTGTGCCGAGTGGAGTGATCTCGAGGGGCTTCTTGATCATAATGCGCTTGTGGGTTGGCGTTGAATAGGACGCGGGCTGATGCTTCGGACGTGAGTAGCTGCCTTGGTAGTTTTGCGCTTCTTTCGTGGTGTTTCTGGGTCGACCTCGTTAGTCTCTGGCTGCATGTCATAGTCGTCGTCGTATGCTTTGGGCGCGTGCCGTTGATGGCCTCTCGTATTGTTCCGGATCCAGTCGACCAAGCGACTCAGATCGTGCTCGCTGCTGTAGATCTGATCCCATACAAACTCCTCCGAGAATGCGATGGTACGCTGTTTGACAGCTCTTCGGCAGAAAATGGTTTTTGCATGTTCGATGGCGGCATGCTTCCCTCGTCCTGGCTTGCCCTCAGGATACCTCGCGAAGTATGCATCCTTTGACAACACTGTCGCCTTGCCGTTGATGGCTGACAAGGAGTTCAGGTTGAAATCACTTGTGATGAATTGCTCGTTCGGCAGAATATCCGGCTTCGCTCTACCTCGCCTCCCAAAGTCCAATTCCTCTGGCGAGCAAAACCACTGGATGTGAGCACACATTTCTGCATCGCCGTCTTCATCAGTGTCAGAGAAGCCGCAAATCAGTCCGACCCAATCTTTGCCTTGCTCGGGTGATTTCAGGAGTACCGTCTCTCCTATCCTGACGGAGAAATTGCCCATGCGTGCTCCAGCGATGCGCTGATCGCGCAGAGCATGGCTTGCCTTTCGTTTTCTCCGCCGGGTCGAGTCTTCGTCACTCGAGACTTCCGCATCAGATCCCGGTTCACTGTCGCCATCGTAGACCCAGTGCCAGGGGAGGTCCTCGTAGCCCAGCTCATCATCGGAGTCTTCCCTTGTTAGCGCTCCCCGGGTCGAATATTCCTTTGTCTTAGCCATTGTGTCAAGGTCTTTCGTGGTCACGGTACCTTGCGAGAATGTCGGATGATGGCTTCGTGCCTTTTTGACGCGTCAAGTCAAGTCAAGTCGCGCCGCGCGTGGAGAAACGAGGCAGCTAATCAATTTGTCCTGAATTGGGTTTAGCGTCCACGGGTGTTTGCCTTGCTAAATCTCATAGAACGATCGATCGGAACTCACAAGCCTCATGGAAGTCATCATCTCATTGCATTAAAATCAGTCGCACCACTTACCCGTGTCGATCTATCGTCCATCGGACTCTTCACTCGTAGGCAGGGCGGGCTCCATGGCAGACACTGCGGGTGGATCATCATTGAAGTTCTTGACCTTAAATTCAATGAACATTTGAGTCAGTCTACATGATGCCTTTGAGGCCTATATCTACCTGTGCTCCTTTGCATTAGTCCCGGACCACCTTTCCTTTCCTCTCACTACGTCCAAGTTGCCGTGAAAATTGCGCTCATCGATGCAAGAATCTGCCTCCTGAACCACAATGTCGGAGTAAGTTCTGCCTGTTCCAATAATCTCATTCCCAACTTACCTGCTGCAGCCACGAAGGCGATCGGGATGACGATTGGGACAATGATCACAACTGGGCTGAAGTAGATTCCAGGGGAGGATTTGCTGAATCACTCGTATCGAGAATAGGTCAGGAGCCACTCAACAACCCCGTTCCATCGCATGGTCTGAACGCTCCTCGTGGTCCCCGAAACCCGAACACAGCGCAGCGCCGCGGCCTGGATCCCAAATACCGCCAAGGCATTCAACAAGCAACAGGAATAACTGGAAGATCTGGCGGTGTTCGCGACAGAAGGACGAAGATCGCACCGCCCATACAAGAGCTTGTCATTAATAATGATGCACGACGCGACTTCGAGCACGGTAAACCACACCAAGAAGTGTATAGTCTTCCTGTCCCTTGGGGGAAGTTCCTCACCAATCTTCCGATACCGAACTTCAACAGAAGACAAATTCCAGCGCAGATTGCACGAAATCGGCTCGATGAAATCTGCCATCGAACGAATACATTCATTCGAACCCCTGAGGCTGCTTCAGTTGAGATCATGATCTGGGGATCTGAAGGAGACGCGGTACGTGCAGCAGAAGAGCTTGACACGTTCGTGCACGATGTTCGCAGGCGCGGAGAAAGACCGAGCCGTGATCAGTGGACCAAGGAACCCGCATATGACGGCCGAGTCGAGGACCGAGCGATGCGCAAGCTAAGAGAGGAGACCCTGCAAGCAGCCACGTACCAGTTGAACCAGCAAGGCGACCTTCAATTCGAAGTACTTCTTCTGTGGCCTGAAAAGCTCGACTTGAAAGCCTTCAGAGCAAGATACGAAGACACGGTACTTCGGGACATTCAGTCCAAGATGGAGTGTCGAATTGAGTTCTGCCCCAAGCGTAGTCCTCGCTACGTCAAGATTTCCAGCAACGAGGAAAGACACGTTCACTCGACTCACAGGAGAGTATTGAACCTGATAGAGACGACTGCTCAGCATGGCATGTTTTCGCGCGTCAATCGAATTCGGCTTCCCAACGCCTCAATGTATCGCGACAGGGTCTCTCTCCGTCTCCATCCTGCCAAGCGGCTGTACATGCCCACGCTATATGGCAATCCTTTGGCGGAGGCTGAGCTGGATAATTGGTCACGACTTCAGAGTAACAGCGAGCTGTCCAACAATGTCCAAATGAAGCGAGAATTGGAAGCCGTCATCAAAACAATTCAGGCACCTGCTCAACATGTCCGGATGCGTGTCGCTCTCACAGAGCTTGGGTTCAGTCGTTATGAGGCTCCCCCTGTTACAGAGGAGCATCGCCACGAGGCTCCTGCTGATTCAGAGAAGCATTACGTGTTCGACGACTTCCCAGAGATGATGGTGAAGCCCTTGGTGAAGATCGATATGGTCGGATTGCATAGCCATGGCAATCTTAGCGGCCTTGTCGACATCATTTCGGCCATGCCGGAGTTCTCGAACCTCGAGAACCGATTTAGATTGCAATTCGACTTTCACGGCGACTCGAAGTCGACACTCCGATATGAGCGTGAGATGCGCATGGGTTTCGAGGACGAGCTCGAGGACGAAGCCAATCGATGGCTGCGATTCAGTGGCTCTGCCGACGACAAGAAAGTCCTTGAGTTCAACGTCCTTGACTTCGAGCACCTTCGTGCCAACTACGTTCTTCTCCTTGAAAAGACTGACTTTCACGAGCCTCAAGACCAGCATCGCAAGTTTGCGAGTGGAATCCAGTACCAGCACGACCCGATCGGGGTGAAAGGCCGATCCTTGCGAAGGGCCATATTTCCGCCAGGCTATGACGGTCTTACAGAACACTGTGAGCTCTCAATCGCACGATGGAACTTCAAGGGCCCGGATGCTCGTTTCGAGCTCATTCGGAGAGACACCTTCAGGGGCATACAGAGTGGCAAGACACCTACTGAGAGCGAGTGGCTGGCTCACTATTACTATCCAGAGTGGGATACGTTACTAGGCGAATTCGGCAACCTCGAGGCTGGCGATCAGGTGTCGTGGAAGAAGAGTCTGGAGACATTCTTTCCTCCGGAGAACCGTTCGATTGACATCCAGAAGCCCCTGCCGAGTTTCAAGAAGTTCGTGCAAGAAATCAGCGACGCACAGAAGTGTCTGCAAAAAGCCATTGGAATCTTGGAGCTCGGTGCCGAGGAGGGAGAAATGGTAGAGGGCTTTGGTGCAGTCAACGGGCGTCAACTGAGTCACGAACGGCATTAATGGGATGACTGTCGGATGAGACCGCCTCACAGGGAACATCGCTCTGAGGCATAACATTCGATCGACGCCCGACTCCTCGGACGAGGGCTTCACGCTCAAGCATCGACTCCGACGTGCCTGGATTCCTGTACCAGGTACTGCGGAAAAGCTTTGAGATACGTGGACAGGCGCAACAAGATGTCAGAGGCGGCTGCCAAACATCGAGCCTGTGAGGCTACAAGACCAGACGGGTAGTATTCTGGCAGGGAGTGCTCTGCTGCGGTAAGCGGTACGGTCGAGAGATAGATAGACCATAGACAGGACGAGCTACTGCGAAAGCATTCGCCAAAGACAGCTGCTGTTAAGCTACGCAGGCCATCTGCAACAGTGACGGCCTTGACAGCCTGTATGGAGAGCACATCAATTTTTTGGCGCCCGTTGACGTAAATATGTTTGCTGAGGAGCTCTGCCAGTAAGTTTGCGCAGGTGAAGTGGCTTCATCTTGAGCCGGATGACAAGAATTACGTAGTGTTGATGAGATTTAATATGTCGACCTCTCACTTCGTCAAATCCGAATGTGCAAAGCTTTCATTTCTCTAGGCCATAGGAGGACTCTGTGGCCCAGCTCCACTAGTAGTTCTGTGTCATCAATTTCATCTCAATTCTGTATCCAGAACAGAACAATCCGCAAGGCCAGCCCCAGGACTGCCTCGATGCTCACCCACCATGCTCATGACCCGTACCATTGACGGGTAGCCCAAGCTCCTGCCCCAGCCACGCCCAAAATCACCTTCCGGCATCTCGTTATCCAGCGCGGCCTCCAGCAGTCCCGCTCTCAGCACGGCATCACCCTTGATCAAGTCTGCCGCCTTTTCCGCCACCGCATACACCACACTCTGCAGGTGCGCACCAGGAATAATTGGGAAAATCGAGCTGTCCACCACCCGCAGGTTCTGCGTGCCATAGACAACCAGATTGGGGTCAACAACACCACCGAGATGCCGAGGGAGCATGGCCGTCGTACCGGAGAAGTGGTATTCTGTCCCAATGCCACTGTTCAGCAAAGCCGAAAGTTCAGCCTCGCTTGCGCCTCGCGGTACTTGCAGAAACGATGGCTCGAGAGTGGATAGCTGTGGCGTGGAAAGTAGGCGTTCGTTAAACTCCATGGCACGTAGCATGATGATGCGATCGACTGGGTGGGCAAGCCAGTTCGGGTTGATGACTGGGTGCTCGAAGGGTGAGGCGGAAGGGGCGTGTGAAGTGCCGCGAGACAGAGGTCGCATGAGACCTAGGTCAAGCCCACCTGCGTTGTCGTTGAGAATCTCGTGTGAGGGGACGAGAGAGGAGTTCAGAGCGCGGAGAAGGTGCGTGAGTTGGGCTTGATAGCCGGCGAGAACGGTAGGATCGATAGTGGCGTTGTTGGGCTCAGGTGGGAAAGGTAAGGAGGAGGAGCCACCATCCAGAGCTGCCAAAGACATGACATCGGCGACGTAGCTTGCGTTGGTGATGTGCTGAAGCGAGGGAAACGCTACTGCGGTCGAAGGTTTTGCAGTCCACGGTCCAGTGCGGTGTGATAGGTATTCAGTCTGCGCCTCATCGTTGAAGGTCGCGTTTGCGAGCAGCGTCAGGCTAGACTCAAGACCGGGTTTCTGGTAGTGATAGTTCAGGTGTATCATGGCGTGATCTTGCAGGTTGTTGCCAACACCCGGCAGATCGATGACAGGACTTATGCCGATTGAGGATAGGTGGCTAGCTAAGCCGACACCCGAGTGCTCGAGGATGTGAGGCGTATGTAAGCCACCGGCCGCCACAATGACCTCTCGTCGTGCGTAGATGGTCTGCAAGGGCGAGGTAGAGTTGTAGACTATCTCAACGCCTGTCGCGCGAAGAGTGCCGTTGGTAGAAGACTGCCGTGGAGTCCTCCAGCCATGTCGGACAGTACGTGTAGGCTCGAAGTATGGTGTTTCGAATAGTACGCGTGTAATCTGAGCATGAACAGCGATATCGAGATTCGACCGGTCATGAACAGGATCCCAATAGACCCGCCGGGCGTCCGATCGTGTCTGAAGTGTCGGATGGACGTTGAGAGGAATGAAGTAACCGCCGGACATCGAACCGTCATTCGGATCATTGCACTTGGGCACACCTAGTTCCTCCAGGGCTTCAAACCATGCCCACGACTGCGGCCAGAGGTATTTAGGGTATGAGATCTGGACTGGTCCTTGGGAACCATGAAATTTGGGACTGAAGGAGTCGATTTGGTCGGCATCTGAAAGGCTCTGACCAGCGTACCGCTGAGGAGTGAATGTCTCTGACTAGCCAAGTGTGTCAGTGACTAATCGATTCAAAGCGTCCATGAAACGTACCTTCCTGAAGTATGGTAGGAGGTCATTCCATCCCCAACCATCGTTGCCGAGTTCTTGCCAGGCATCGAAGTCGGCTGAGAACCTCTATTCCAAAGCATACCGTTGATAAGCGAGCCACCTCCAACGCCGCGTCCGCAAGGAGCAGGTCTAGGTTTTCCATCGAGCTGATATTGTGGGATTGTTGTCATGCCCCATTCGTAGAACAGTGGTGGCTGCAGTCCGATGTAGTATGGAATTGTGATCATTGTCTCATTCTGGTCACTGCTGATATTAGCTACGCCACGGGTCGGTAGAGTGAAACACTCACAAAGGACCTGCCTCCAAACAGATGACGCTTGAGTTGACATCTTCACTGAGACGGTTGGCCACTACCAGACCCGCTGGCCCACAACCAACAATAACATAGTCAAAAGTTTTGTTGGAGAGCGACTGGTCTGTACCGTCCACAACATACACCGTAGCGGTAACAAGTCCCGAGCAGATCGCAACAACCGCCAGCCAACAGCGAAGAACGTGGAGCAACATGTTGTCAAGCTTCTTACAGAGCGAGTGCGCGTACCAGACACTGCTATCAATACTGTATCCGCTGTTGATACATTGCCAGCAGCACACCGGAGTTCTGTACGCTGGAGATGAGGTCGAATGTCAAGCGTGCTTAAATCTTCAGGTGCCGAAGTCGTGAAAGTGGGTGCAATAAATTTCCATAGCAACCAGGCGCAGTATCTCGGACTGCACCAACCGCGGTCAGACAGCCCTTTCCGTGAAACCGAATCACCTGCGTTGGAACGCGGCACTCTGTTGGTGGCGAGGATAGTGTTGCGGTAACATCTACCCAGACTGGTCGAAAAACATGACCTTCGATCGCTCATCCGCAGCTTCCCTCTCCAGCTTCAAAGCAGCGCTTCCATCCAGCAGACTCAACCTACGTACGGCAGTGTTGACGATCGGCGGGCACTCATGAACCGTTTCGAGCATGCTGGAGGCCCTTTGACGACCGAGCTCACTGTGTTTCGCCAACCCCCAGTCCTGTATTAGTGGTGAGATGCTCGGCAATGTCATGCTCACAGCGGACACGGGCGAAGAGTCGCTCGTCGTGTTCACCAGTGTGTCCTCGTAGCCGGACCAGGCTGACAATTCTTGCGAAAGCGACGGATAAGTCAACGGCATTTGTATCTGCGCGGGAAATGGCTCCCCGTAGGCCGGATATGCTAAGTCTATCGGCGCGAACGGTTGGTTGAAGCTGCCAATGTAGGGGTCGAGCGAGGCTCGGTTCCCAAAGACGGGACCGCTCGATGGCGCCAGGGTCAAGTACTGCATCTCAGCAGCAAGATCGACATTTGCGGGACTTCTCAACGCAAAAGCTGGACGTGACGGCGACATCATGAGCACATTCTGCGCATGCTGCTGAGCCTGCTGGAGCTGGATTGCATATCGCGCCTGCGCGTTCTGCCAGTTGTATCGCTTCACGCCTTCCATTCGGGCAGTAACGCTGGCTAAGTTGGCGGCCAGGGCACGCTCGCGATTCTGACAAGAACCGAGTTTCTGACGGACTGTCTTGACCTGTTGGCGAAGCTTTCTGGTGTTCACTGGCGGATCGCTGGTTTCGTTATGGTGGAGCTGTGCTTGGAGAGCCATGAGCGTATGCGTGAGGCTCTCGCCTTGGCTCTCTTCTTGTGCGAGAGCATTGACCAGGTATAGTCTTCCTTGATGGAGAACGGAGTACTGTGTGGTCAGCGCTTCAGGTAGGATGTGCTGCGAGTAAAATGCCGCCATGTCTCCGACACTGCTGGTACTGGTCATGGAGCCGAGAGCGGTGCTTGCGAATGAATCTACTGCAGATCGAGCAACAGCTTCCCGCAAGCTGTTGCTTGCTCGAGTATTGAGGACAAAGACTCACCAGCATTGTCCTGGAGTCGCGCCGCAAGGCTCGTGCACAAAAGCGCATGGACTGTACACAGTCGCAAGCGGCACGCTTGGATGCCTTCGCATGTCACGGTGAAACGAACACCCTGGTCTTCTGTACCCGTGAACATGGTCTCGAGGTTGTTCCTTGCGTTTCTTGCATGGGAAGCCTCTCAGTATCCATTGATAACATGGACCTCCAAGATCATCTCTCATCAAAGTCCCGAGGAAGCCTGCACACAGTGCGCCGGGTCCTAGCGGACGACCGAGCAGATTAGAACGTCATTTAGAACTTCCGATGATAAAATATATTGATCAACTCAGTTGACATGCGTATCTTAGATGGCGTATGAAGAGGACTCGAAGGCAAGACCATCGACTCTTACATAAGCCGATTTCCAAGGTTTCGAAACCGGTTACTGGACGTCAGCTCATCGTAGTCACCTTCTTTGTTACACAACAGCGACAACACCGAACGGGAACCGCAACGCCCACACTGATACATGCTCTAGGTGACTGCGGCTGGTGCAAGGCGCATACAGAATGTTTGGTTGGCCCCAGTACTCTGGGACGGCATGGTGCATGCTCCAGGTAAGTTCGCTGAGGTCACGGTAGGTCCCGAGTACCTTAGTAGCTGGAAGGACAGATGTACCTGCAGATATGTCATACGTACAAGGCAGGCCAGTATGCACCTCGTCCAAACACTTGCCGAGTCGCATCTCGATCTTTGGAACTGGAAACGCAATCTCCTTCTCGCTGCGTGTTGACATGGTTCGCACCGTACCCTCAAATCTGCTTCTGCTTCAGGAGGTCCTCAGCCCTCACACTTGCTTAAGAGCCGTACGAGATCCGGTGATAGTATCATTGGATCTCGAGTACATAGACAAGCCGCCACAGATCACCCAGCTTGGTTTGAGTATCCTAGACACTGCCCAATTAGCAGATGTTGACGTCGAGGATGCTCGATCCATTGCTCCTTCGGTCTCTAATCACCTATTCGTGATCGGGAAGAAGCGAACCATACGCTACTGCTACGGCCGTCCACAACAAGCTGGAAGCACCCCGCTTGACGAGATTTTGCGCCCATTCTTGGTGATTGAGGACAAGAGAGGTCGACCTCGCAACATCGTACTTGTCGGTCACACACTTTACAAGGATCTCTTGATGCTTACAGGATGCGGAATGAACTTGTCAGGCTTCACAACAATTCGCGCGTGCTTCGACATCGCCCCAGCTTGCTCGCGGGTCTTTGGTGACAGCCATCGCCTCGAAAGCCTATCGCGAATCTGTTGGCGCCTAGGGATTCGCACCTACGGCTGTCACAAGGCCGCTCACGATGCGCTGTACACTCTACAGGCGCTTTTGCTGCTGTTCTGCTGGTATAAGGTAGAGAGCTAGACGCGCCATACAATCAGCTAGACTCGCCGTACGACCAGGAACTGCTCAGCGGTGAGCAAGATGAGAAGCAGAGGATTATGTGGGAACACCGGCTCGAGATCCTTCGATTTGTGGGCAGGGAGATGGGAAATGTACTTTGGACTGGTACTGCACGAGCTCGCCGGCGCGAAGAACAGAGACAGCAATATCTACGTTCCCTGCAAGATGCAAGACCTACAGACGTTAGAAGAGGCACAAAGCAAGACATTGGAGACGACACAGGAACAGACGCAGAGTACTCCTTAGATCATCTTTTCAGGCATTCATGACAACGCGAGGATGGGCGCGGTCGTCCTGAGGCCACATCTCAACCAAGCACTCAAATATTGAAGCCTCCATGGTGAGCCGCCTCGCAAAGCGCCACAGACCTGCAGTTCTTGCCGCCGCCGTCACAATACCAAGCTCTTCATCGGAGATAGACCGGTTGATATCGTCATATCTCTTTCCATGATCCTTCTTTCCCCTCGACTCCTTGCCAACATGCGCATCAGGCCTATACTGCTCCATGATGTTCACGAACACATCTTTGCCAACCGAATCCGCGAGCCAATTCACGATCTGCACGCCTTCTTGCTCCTTACCAGGCATGACAAGATGTCTGACCAGAACGCCCTTCTGCGCGATGCCATCTGCTGTGAAGCATAAATCGCCCACCTGCCTGTACATCTCCAAAATACTGTCCTTAGCCACATCTCTGTAACCTGTTGCCTTAAGCAGTCTTGTGCCTGTAGCTTCTTTCCAAACCTTGAAGTCGGGCAGGTAGATATCGACCAGACCATCCATCAGCTTCAGGCTCTCCAGCGAATCGTAGCTGCTCGTGTTGTACACGACCGGGACCTTCAAACCAAGGTCCCTTGCGGCCATGATCGCAAGCGCAACTTGAGGCACGACGTGCTCAGGCGTGACGAAATTGATATTGTGCACACCGCCTACCTCTTGCAATTTGATCATCCACTCCGCCAGCACTTCTGGTGTAACGTCAAACCCATTCCTCTGATGCGCGATGTCATGGTTCTGACAAAATACACAGCGCAGATTGCAGCCAGAGAAGAACACGGACCCAGATCCGCGGTGACCTTGCAAGCAGGGCTCCTCGCCGAAGTGTGGGGCGATCGTGCTGATCTTGACGGTGGAGGCCCCTATGAGACAGTGACCAGTGGTTTCATACCTGTTCACATTGCACGACCTCGGGCACAGATTGCATCGCCGGAGGTGGTCGTATGCAAGCGAACGCTTCTCTGCAACTTCGCTGGAGGAGAGAAGTTGATAGCGGGGCGTGTAGTCGTCCAGCAGGAATGGAGGGGCGAGGTGAAGGGCTCGGTATGGTAGATGAGGCCACGGCCTGCGGAGGATGTGGTTGCGCAGGCTCGGCCGAATGTATCTAGGTAGGATCGACATCGTGGTAGTAACAGCTCAGCGGCGCCGCCATCGTGTGGGCGTATGAACGTCTCGTCGATGTCGAACCTGTTACTGTTCTATAGGTGCTTGATCACGGGCGAGTGAGTGAGTTGAGAGACGTTCACATGCCGACCGTGACACGGCTAAAGTTCGGGCACCAGCGTCTTCAATCGCCCAGATTGCCTAGAAGGTGACACATCAAGAAATCTTTATACAGTCAGCGAAGGCACTCCATTGCGATGCTGATCTGCCGGAAAGACGCGAAGTGAGCCCAGAAACCAGAGTTTATATCGCAAGGTCTCGGCCAGACTGACGCTTGTGGCCGTTTAGCCTCTGAACCTGCTGAAGGCTGCGTTTCAGGCATTGTCACAAACCACCAGAGGGACTACCACAGTTGCTATAGCCCAGGACTCGCATATCGCTCACCAAATCGAAGATGAAGGCCATCATATGGGTGCCGGTCACCATTGCCATACTCGCTCGTGCACATCGTCGCAAGTCCCTCACACCGCTTGGCCTACTCGCAGCGGCCATCACAGCGGCAGTGCACGCCCTGCCTCATAGCCCTTTGCCATTTACGTTACTGGGTACATTCTTCATCATAGGCACGAGTGCCACGAAGGTCAAGCACGCCGAGAAAGCCAAGCTCACCCTGTCCGCGTCCGGCGGCTCCGGAGGCGAAGGTGCTCGGACACACGTCCAAGTTCTGGCCAATTCGGCGTGTGCAAGTGTTCTATGCTTGGTAGAATTCCTGATGCGTAAGGATCGAACCATTGGGCTGGGAGAGGAATGCCTCGCATTGCGTTCAAGCAACAGCCAGAATCCGTATCTGGACATCTGTCTCATGGGCGTTGTCGCAAACTATGCGGCTGTCGCGGCGGATACCTTTTCGTCTGAACTCGGCATACTGTCACGATCGAAGCCATTTCTGATCACCGACCTCCGACGGAAGGTGCCAAAAGGCACGAACGGTGGCATTACTCCCGCGGGTGTGGCGTACGGGCACCTGGGCGCGCTGGCGATTGCCGTGACCAGTGTTATGCTTCTGCCGTTTTGTGCTGAGTGGAGCTTCAATAGTCGAGCGCTGTTTGTAGCATGCGTGAGCGCTTGGGGTACTATTGGATCCCTGCTGGACTCGCTGCTAGGTGCTCGGCTGCAAGCGAGTGTCATCGATAGGCGGACTGGGAAGATAGTGGAGGGAGCCGGTGGCGCGAAGGTCAAGACGAGATCTGGTTCGGTGGCCATTGCAGATGGCAATCACGCCACAGGATCGCATGACACCGCCGCAAGGCAAAGGAAGGTGGGTGCAGGCACTGAAACGAAGTCGGCAGAAGCAAATGGTCACGACAGTAGGCTCATCAACAGCGGCAAAGATGTCTTGGACAACAACGGGATCAACATCTTGATGGCGGCGATCATGACCACTGGAGGCATAGTGCTGGGACAAATGGCGCGCGCTGTGGTGTGACACAGACACCTCTCAGCACATAGGAATCAACAAGACAATATGGGCCGAGACGATGCTGAAAATCTTGTCATTACTGCTCAGATTGCTGAGCTTACGAATGGCTACGTGTCCAATGTCGAAACCGTGCCTCCGGAGGATCGGGCCTTGCTGCCTCAGGTCTATATGTCTAGCTCCTTGTCCAAAAGGTCAAGCACATTACTTCGGTCGTCAAATTACCAATTTTTCGTTCGCTGTGCGCAAACCACACCAGCCCGACTCCCCAACGCCGCGCTAAGCAAAATTCATTTTGTCGTGTACGTTGTATGCGAATTGATACGCAAGATCATCGTCAAGCCAAGAGAGCCGCGATCAATGCTCCACAGATCAAGAGCAGCGGAGCTAATGAGAGGCAGGCAGACGAAGCGCTGCCAGTTGAATCGGCGCCTACGGCGTTTGAGGCGGTCCCGGTAGCGATGCTGTCACTGCTGGTACCGGTGGCCGCGGGATGTAGTGTCGTCGAAGCGAAGCCGATGCCATCAGGCCCTATGCTCACGCGCTCTCCGCCGATCGTTGTTATGACACTAGGCGAGTCTGTCGCAATACCATATCTGGTCCCGCTTATGTACACATCGCTGCCAGAAACCGTAAACGTGACTTGACCCACGCTCGAGATCACCGCTCCACTGGTAGCGATAGCTGGAAGGATTGTGGTGGTCGGGAGGGCTACACCAGACGGCCCAATCGAAATCCGCTGTCCGCTGATCGTCAGGACTGTCGAGAAATCGTCATCGATTCGGTAAGTCGTGCCAGCAACAACAGCTGTGGAGCCTGCCACTTCGACCACGACACCGGGTGCTACCGTGACGCGAGTAGGTGGGACACTTATGACATTTGCCTGCTGCGGCCGAAGAGGTTGGAAGCCGACGGTGGTCTCTGGTGCCGCAATCTCGGACTCGCGAACAACGAACTCGATACCACTTTGGGTGACAACTGCTTGTGATCCTGCAGCAGGAATGGGGACGGCCGAGGTACCGATTATTATTGAGGATGGGCGTACAGCGATGGGCACATTTGAGATCGAAGTCTGCGGCACAGGAACAGGGACGATGTTCGGACCTGGTCGGAGCTGCGTTGTTTCAGCTTCGGGAGGGTTGGGACCGCCGGCAGGCCTATTTGGATTTTCAGGACTGCTTGGGTTCGATGCCGGACTTCCCGGAGGATCTGCTGTTGGTTCCGCAGGAGCTGGAGCCTGGAATACAGGCGGTGACTCGATTGCCGAATTAGGTAGAACGGGCACAGGAGTCTTCTTGGTGACAATGACCGTGCTGGTATACGGCACATTCGAATAAGCTGTCGACTGAACAGGCGTGGGGACGACGCGTGTGCTACTGCCGTCAGCATCAGCGTGGGAGGGACCATCTCCTTCCGGTTGAGCGCCGGGGTGGGGCTTTCCAGGCTGGCCAGGCAAGATGCCATTGTCGTCCGTTTGCGCAGGAGCCTTGACGGTGGTGCCAGACGCTGAATTGCTTGCATCGGTGCCGTTTGCAAATGGTGCTGGGGAGAATGTGGGAAACGTGCTCGAGTCACTGCTCCGTGCAGCGTCCGTTATAGTTGTCAACATGGTTCCTTCTATGGTGAATCCGTCGGGGCCGATAGGAACAATGGTTGAACTGCATGCTTGTGGCGGCGTGATGAGTGTCTCGGTCTCTGTCATCGATGCGTTCGGCGCTGTGAGGGTCACACCGAACGTTTCCGTAAGAGTCACGTATACGGTGGGATATACAGAGCCATGATATGTGACAATATCGGCGCAAGACCCATTGGCAGATTCTCCATCACCAGGTGACGGCAACGTAGTCGCTATGGTTGATGTATCAGTCCTGCTGGTCGAAGTGATAGGCGCTTTCGAAGAGTCTGTACTGGAGGTCGACCGAGTGCTTGGGGTTGTCGCCGTGATAGCCTCAGGTGATTGCGTAGTTGTTGTGCTGACTAACGGGCTCGTCACGTTGCCGAAAGAGGTGTCGTTGTAGCCAGATGCCCTCCGTGCTAACCGCCACGGCATATTCTGAGCAGAGACCTGGGTCGCAAGCGCCAGCGTGATAATCAAGAATGGCTTCATCGAGGTGAATGCCATCGCGACTGATTCGGTCGTCAAGGTTGACCAAACAACATGATAACCTCCAGACGAGCGACAGACGCACTGAGAGTATACTCTGGATTCGTTGGATACGTTTTATGGCGGCTTCCGAGGACAGCTCTACCTTCGTGCGCGCTGGGAAATATTATTGAGTACTGTCGACGCCGATTAACAACGAGTGTCTGTATTTAGCGAATGTAGGGCGAAGACGTGCCGACGTGACACAGAACGCAGGCACCGAAATCTTGAGTTCAACGAGAGGATGGTAGCCAGTGCACCACAGAGAGATGTAGGCTTCGAAATGAAGAGACAAAGTGACACCGACAGCCAGGTAGGACGTTCAGACTTCAGCTCGTCTAGGCAAGCACATGCTGGAAGCCTGGAAGAGCCAGCAGAAGCGGGTTCCTCAAGGCATAATTTGCAGCGATGATGAGCCACTATCGGCCAGCAGGGACATGGGGAGCCCTCCAAACGGGCATCCGAATCCTCCAATTTGTCCTGGAGAACGAATCAAGGACTCGCATAGTGCCTGACCCAAGCCCGGGCCAACCATGCTATCAAGCAGATTAGACAGGGGTATGAAGATTTTAGCGAAAGCGATTTGTTTCCTGGATGCTCTATCCGGCGGGATAGTATCGGCATTGTCGTCGTTCAACGACTCGTGAATACACTGCTGGAACAACGACAAGCACTGAGAGCCCCGATATTCTGACGACAGCAATATTATTGAATACAGGCGACGAAAAACGGCTATCGCGGCCAGCCCCCAGGAAGTGAACTGCCGAGCAACATCAAAGTCCTTGGCCCCAATCCAATCGCTTCTGTCGATGTGCTCAGTATCGAAGACTTCAGGCACGTACGTGTTCAATTGGCTGGTACGTATACAACCTGGGCCTCGATCTGTTTCATCGCATCCTGCGCCAGTGTGTGTCTGTCGCTGCAATGCACCAAGGGTTCAGGCCACAGTACGGTAATCAGGCTCGATGTCCCTGATCATTATCGTACCAAACCTACCGTCGGTCGAGGCACGGAGAGACCGACGTATAGACGACGCGGATCGTCATTCGACGGCCTCGTTCGAATGCTCACTACCGCGGTTGAGCCTGCGTGCCACAACGATTTCAATATTGGCGTCAGAGGTTCTCAGAATCCCAGGTCGCTTGGATACCTGCAGATAAGTTCCGGCCACTCGGGTTGTTTCGTCCTGTGCGAATCGATACATTGAGTCTGCCAGCAGGAATCCCGTCACTGTCACTGAATGGCATGTGCCGCCGTCGGCCTTCACGAATAACAGTCCTCATGAAGCTGTGAGTCTGCTACTGTTTAGCTTTCAGGCATTCAATGCCACGAGCTTATGTTGTTAGTGTCGGATGGCGAGATTGTCCTTCAGTAGTTGCGGCAGATCTTCAATAAATTTGAAGGCCAACGGCCTCGCCTATTGGCTAGCCTCCATCGATCCCTAAAAGTTAGACATTGCCCCTCGCCGTGGCTGTAACAACTTGCTCCACGATATCGCTCGCACGGGGTGTTGCTGACAGGTACCGGTTACGGGCGAGACGGGCAAGGACCGCCCTATCCGCAGCCTTTCGAGGAGTCGAGGTTCCGAGAGATCGGCTGAACTGCCTCGCAGCAAGCTAGACTCGAAGCAGCGTCATGTCAGAGACCGCCAGCACACTGCATCTTGCTTGCTTGAGAATTTGCGCGAACCTCCCAGCATTCGTTTGTGCCTTCACACGCTGCTTCGATCCAGTGTCGAAAGCCCCAGTACACACGACGCTCGCTACAACATCTTCCTCGTATACGCTCGTTCAAGAACCGCGCGAATCGCACTTACGGCCACCGAGTCTTCGTTTTAGATGCGTTAGTAGTCGATACTGCGGTAATATAGAATGTCATAGCCTCTGCTGAGCAAGCCGAAGGGCATCCATCGGCACTAGACTCAGCGGATGCGAACCACCACAATGCGCTTGGATCTATTCGTTTGGACCGCGACAGTATACATTGGGCTCGCCAGTGCGGAGCCCGCGCCAATTGTATGCACGTCCTCCACAGAATACGTTGGGTACGATGGGCAATGGTCGCCGATCACTATCCGAGTCGGCGCTCCTGAGCAATGGCTCTCTGTTCTACCGAGTACGTTGTCGCAGGAGACCTGGGTCATGGGACTGTCGGCATGCGATGGTACCAGCGCATGTCAAGCTGCTAGAGGTGGTCTGTTCTCGTCGAACGGTTCCAGCACATTTCAGAGCCTGGGCCTGTATGAGCTAGGCGACAGTGCAGTTCTGGGCGATTCACAGGTCGGATACTATGGCTTAGACACTATCAGTCTGAACGATATGGCATTTGAGACAAACCAGATCATTGCCATCCTCAACACATCTTCTGTATGGGTTGGCGAAATCGGACTTGGCGTGCAACAAACACGCATCAATGGTTCGGAAACGAGGCTTCCACTCTTGTCGTCATTGGTGCAGAATAACAGCATGATTCCTAGTCATAGCTTCGGCTACACAGCTGGAGCGGCCTATCTGCTGAAAGGCGTTCCGGCGTCTTTGACACTGGGTGGCGTCGACCAAAACCGCTTCGACTCGAACAATCTAAATCTGACGCTGAGTTCTGATTATGCCCCAGTTCTGGCTGTCAATGCTATCAGCGTCGCGACTTCCTCAGAGGAGCTGCCTTCCACGTGGAACGCGAACCCCACAGCCCTGCTGGAGAAATCGGAAGCAGCGACGTTCACTGTCGATTCTTCCACCCCATTCCTATGGATGCCGCCAACCGTCTGCGAAAGAATTGCTGATGCACTCGGACTCTACTACAACGAGACACTGGAGCTATACTTCTACAATGACACCATTTCAACACCAGACGCGCTGGCGCAGCTGAACTTGACATTCACATTCGAAATCGGTAATCTACCAGGATCTACAGAGAATGTTGAGCTAGCTCTGTCGTATGGCGCATTTAACTTAGAACTTTCATATGGCTTTCCGGGCTTCGATGGCAACTTTACTTCCCCTAACGTGCCGTACTTCCCTTTACGCCGCGCATCCTCGGCGACGGAATACACTCTTGGGAGGGCATTTCTGCAAGAGACATACTTGGCTGTTGACTACGAGAGAAATACCTTCAGCCTTAGCCAGGCAGTGATCACAGAACAATCAGTGAACAATGTCGATCTTGCAGCAATCACACGCCCTAATAACAGCATTTTCCCAGGCCCAACGACATCCGAGAACTCCGGTTTATCAAGTGGAGCGAAGGCTGGTATTGGTGTCGGCGTCGCGATTGCCATCGTTGCGAGTCTTGTCCTGGTCTGGTGTCTTCTGAGGCGGAAAAGGCGTGCTTCCAGCAGCAATTCCCCGATTTTCGAGAAATCGAAAACAAGGAGGATTTTCTCCCGATCGCCGAAGTCACCAGGATCCAACACTACTGTCTCAGAACTCATTGGCGATAAACGCCAACCCACTGAACTGAATGCCGACAATACGACAACACGTTTTGAACTCCCTGCCAGCGCGGCAGTGGAAATGCCAGCAGCAGAAGTCTCTCCTGCTTTCTTCCAGAATCCAGACGGCCGCAATAACGTGGGGTCGCGTGGTGACCTTGGCCCACCAGCTGCAGGTAGAACTCAGGGCCAGCGACGCCACAGCAAGGAGGAAGAGGCTGAAGCTGCAAGGAGCGAGCGATCAGCTTCGCCGGTCCCTCCATACTCACCTGAACATGCCCAGCGGCTCAGTGACAGTGTCAGTCCCTACAGTGCACGTCACAGTCGAGGCTTTGGCACAGTCTCGTCAGGCGAGCCAGGTATCAGTCCAGTCGGCAACAGTTCTGGGAACCCGTCAGAACGCAACAGCAACTCAGCACCTAGTCCAGTGTCGCCCGACGTAACGTTTCATCGAGCTTTCTCACGCTTCACGCAAGGTAGCGAGCCGAGTTCTAATGAGAGCAGCTACGGCCAACACCTCACACCACATGCTCCGGACAGAGCTCCGTCAAGGTCGCCGAGTCGAGGTTCGAGGTTCGTTGAAGAAGGACTCGAGGACGCATCGGAAGCTCCTCCTTCGAGTTCTCGAAGCGCTCGGTTCAGTTGGGAGGAATAACATCCTGTCAACGGCCTATAACGATCTGACGAATGGTAATGACTGTAATCGACTGACAAGAGACATCTGTAGCAATGTAGCTGAATGATATCACGCACAAGCTTACTAGTATGTCTGTGAATTATCTTCACGATATCATATTCTACGTCTTGCTCGTATTTATGTCTGCAGTTCATAGAAAACATGGTTCTGGGGATGCTCTCGAGGTGAAAGCAAAAAGAGACGAGATTCGGAGCCCTGGAGTGTCTGTACTCCAAATGCCGTAACCGCCAAGGATTGACGACAGTACCTACCTAGAGGTGTCAGGTGGATTAATGCGCTCGTCTCGTTCCCTCTCAGTGCTGTTTGTAGTAGACTCTGCACGCACTTATGACGGCAAGAGGATGACATGTCGAAGATTGCCCTCGCAGAAGTGAGATTGCACTTATGGCCTTGACGAGCTGGAAATCATTTCCATTCTTCAGCACTTCGAAGGTTCCGGTCCCTGCTGATGAGGACGGCACGTATATCTTCGATGTGAGTACAGACGTGACTGCGTAACAAGACTGTTACTTACAATCTTAACAGAATGATGTTCGTTGCGTAGCATCGAGCACAGACAGCCTCGTTCTGGGAACAAACGATGGCTACGTGCGTGTTCTATCCAAAGCCTTCCGCATTTCGCAGACATTCAAGGCATCCGACCTTCCTATACCAGTCATTTACCTGCGAGCGATTCCAGACACCGCATTTCTCGTCACAATTTCCGAAGATCTGTCCAGTGACCCGTCATTGAAGGTTTGGGCACTCGACAGATTAGACAAGAAGACTGGACACCCGAAATGCCTATCTACAGTTGCGGTCCAGAATGGGAAGAGACTGTTTCCGGTGACAGCCTGTGTTGTGCTCGACGACCTCAGTCAAGTCGCTGTTGGCTTCGCAAATGGGTCAGTCACAGTCATACGCGGCGATCTGATCCACGACCGAGGAACCAAGCAGAGGACCGTGTTCGAATCTGAGGATCCCATCACAGCTCTTGCCGTACGCCAGGGCACGTTGAAAGTGCTTTACATCGCAAATACGGGAAGACTCTCAAGTATTGTCATCTCTGGCAAAGGGCAGGGCCAGGCAGTCCGTACGATCGATAATCGCGGCTGTGACGTTGGATGCATGACTCAGGATCCTGAGACGGAAGACATCGTTGTGGCGAGGAATGACGCCATCTACTACTACGGTCCGAATGGTAGAGGGCCATCGTATGCCTTCGAAGGACCCAAGACGAAAGTACTAATCTACAAAGATTACGTTGCTGTGATTTGTCCGCCACGCGTTGCACAACTGTCCAAGTCGAAGCAATTTCGACAGTTAGGTGGCGAGGAAGTGGACGACCTATTCACGACGAGTTCACTTACGCTATTGGACACTGACCTGAAATTTGTGGCTCACAACGAGTCTCTGTCTGCTCAAATTAAAGACGTGTTCGTTGTTTGGAACGAGCTATTTCTGCTTACAGCAGACGGCAAAGTTCTGCGGTACCAGGAGAAGACTCTGCAGCAAAAGTTAGAGATCCTATATCAGCGGAACCTTTACATCTATGCCATCAACCTCGCTCAGAAGAGCGGAGCGGACAAGATGCAGCAGAACATCATTTTCCGAAAGTATGGCGACTTCCTCTACCAGAAGGGAGACTACGATACAGCAATGCAGCAATATCTGAGAGCCATCGACAATACGGAGCCTTCGCAGGTCATTCGTAAGTTCCTCGATACTCAGCGGATACACAACCTTGTCGACTACCTGGAAGAACTACACGAGCACGACAAAGCCACAGCGGATCACACAACGCTACTCCTCAACTGCTATGCGAAGCTCAAGGACACCGAAAAATTGGACGCCTTCATCCGCACGCCTGGCGAACTCAAGTTCGATCTGGACACCGCCATAGCGATGTGTCGGCAAGGTGGCTACTCAGATCAAGCAGCTTATCTGGCAACCAAACATGGCGAGAATGAGCTCGTCATTGATATTCTGATCGAAGATTCCAAGAAGTACGCAGAGGCTCTGCAATACATTTGGCGACTGCCTGCAGACGCTGCTTTTCCGATGCTCATGAAGTACGCTCGTAGTCTGCTACATCATTGCCCGGACGAGACCTCGAGGCTGTTCATTGACTACTACACAGGCCGCTACGAACCCAAACAGGACGTACCTGCTGTGGAAGACGTGCAAGCTCAGAGTGGTGGAGGAGCTTCTCAATACCTGTCGGCCCTGTGGCAGGTGCCGTTTATGAGCCGGCAAGGGACTTCAGATTCCACGAAAGTGCAGTCGCCGCCGGACGCCAATGGTGCTGATGTCGCGGAGGAAGCCACGCCTGAGCCAACATATACCCCACCGAGACCAAGAACGGCCTTTTCTGCCTTCATCGACAGCCCGACTAAGTTTATCATTTTCCTCGAAGCATTGATGGAGCAGCCAAATCTGTCTTCCGCAGATCGATCCGATCTCGCGACTACTCTGTTCGAGATGTACCTCGATGCTTCACGAGACACACGAAATGCAGCTCAGAAATCCGCTTTGGAAGCGAAGGCCACGAAACTTATCGTTGGAGATGTTGGTAGCAGAAGCTCTACCAAATCGAGCATTGACACCTCCAATGTGTTACTACTCTCCTCACTTTCCAAGTTCCCAGCAGGAACTACTTTGGTGCGGGAACGAGCGAGCATGTATGCAGACATCTTTCGCTCCTACACATCCACGAAAGACACCCAAGGTGCGATATCGGCCCTTCGGAAATATGGGCCTGAGGATCTCAATTTGTATCCGCTAGCGTTGATCTACCTGTCCTCGTCGCCTGGTATACTAGCGGAGTCAGGGGTACGTGAAGAGCTTCAGACTGTCCTTCGAAGAATCGACCAGGAAAATCTTCTGGCGCCGCTACAGGTTGTTAAGATACTATCGCAGGGCGGAGCTGTCAATATTGGGATGGTCAAAGACTACTTGTCTGACAATCTCGCCCGGGAGCGGAAAGAGATACAGACAAATCGGCGTCTTGTTGAGTCATATCGAAAAGAAACGGATTCGAAGCGGGCAGAAATTGAAGACTTGGGTACCAAGCCGATGGTCTTCCAAGCCAGACGATGCTCTGCTTGCACGCGCAACCTGACGTTGCCCACTGTGCACTTCCTCTGTAAGCATTCGTTCCATCAGGAGTGCCTCAACAAGAACGCTGTGGGACAAGATGAGGACGACAAGGCTGAATGTCCCTTGTGCAAACCGGGTAACGACACGATTAAAGCAATTCGTCGACAGCAGGTCGAAAGCACAGAACAGCACGACTTGTTCAAAGCTGCACTCGGCCGGAGCACGAACCGCTTCGGCACAGTGAGCGAGTTTTTTGGCCGTGGAGTGATGGCTGTTCCAGTCAGTGAGTGATACTGACGCTCATGATGGAGGACTCGTTCCTAGAGGAAGCATAGCAGAAAGTTTGTCGAAAGGCTGCTCATCTGAAGTTGATCGAGCCCCAATACTATATTTACAGCATCCGAGCTACCCGGAAGGCCTTCGGACCTTTGGACTTGAGAAGGCACATCATATCTCGGCGCTCACGGCCTGTTGAGGTGCACCACAACGTCGCCCGAGTAGAAGTATGGTACACGCGCCGACGCGATGTATGTGCGATGACTACAGAGCACTAGCACGTGCCTGAATCAGGAACCCGAACATCCAGGTTACCGAGCATACGGGTCGTGACCCGAGCAACAAGGCACGGAGCTGAGGAAAATGTATGCAGACTGAGGACGACAAAGCATGTCTCTTCATGCACAGCTATGAGTCGTATGAACTGCGCCCTGATGCTGCGCAATTTGTGTTGCAATGGGCGTGGTTTTGGTGACAGCGGCAAATAGATCCGTAGGCAAGGATTTATCCGCCGCGTGCGGGAGTTGCGATTCCTCGCACAACACTGACTTTACTTTCGCTCTTGCGACCTCCCTTGGGCTGTACCCATTCAAGGCACGGTCATGATATGGCGAGACGGTGAAAAGGCTTGAATTACAGTCCATCGTATCGATCGAAACATCCGCGTAAGCAGTAGAAACTGCAAGAGAGCGTACCTAATCACCTGCATTTGCCTTGGAAATACTTTGCCCCATGCCGATGGCGTGGGGAGGGCACTAGTGGCAAGTGCGCCTCAATGGCCCGCCATCAACAAACTCCATATCGAAGAGCCTCTCTTTTCTCACATAACTACATACCTAACATTCTTACTCTTTTGACACATCGAATGACCTCTGCCTGTGATGACACAGCTGAGATGGTATGATATTTCTTTTACGTCTACCTAAAGTCAAGCAATACGCCTACCGCTGTCTGTGTCAGTCTAGCTGCCAATGCACAATAGTGCTTTACCCCACCAACTCTCTCTTGTCACACGGGCTCACATACATTTGGGCTTTCCAACATCGGTGAACGATCCATCTCGTGCTCGGAAGCGCCGAGGATAAACTCTGGTTGGCCTCATACATCGCCGCGAACATGAACGACACCGATCGCGCTATCGATGAGGTCTATCGCAAGATAGAGCGCGAGAAGGCTCTCATTAATGCCGCGAGTCACATGCGCACGTCCACTAATAATGCCACTGTCCAAGCTCGTGTCGACAGCAATATCCGGGACTCCCGTCGAAACATTGGATATCTGGAGGAAAAGCTACAAGAACTACAGCTGCGGAAGATCGGCAGGTCTGACGATGGTGGTCCGCCTCCACCTGCACATGGCGGACCAGGATATGGCGCTCAAGGTGGCAGAGGGGGTCCTCAGTCAGGCATGTACGGTCCAACACCGCCTCCGAAAGACGGTCAGCGGTATGGCAACGACAGAGGAGACTACGGCGATCCCGGACCTGGTGGCTACAGTCAAGGAGGAACCGGCATGATGCCTCCTCGAGCACCGTACGGTGACCCGCGGCAGTACAACACTCCTATTCCCAAGGCTCGTCCAAACTTCTCGAAACTCGGTATGTCAAGAACCTCTCTTTGTGCTCCATTTGCTGACCGTACCTTCAGATCTTATCAAATACGATACGCCGTACCTCGGGCCCAAGATTCAGCTTATGCTGTCGCAGTTAGAGTTCAAGCTCTCGGTCGAGAAGCAATACAAGGCTGGTATTGAGAAGATGGTCCGGCTGTATCAAGATGAGGGCGACCGAAAAAGCAGATCCGACGCCGAAGGCCGCCGGATCGAAAGTAACCAAAAGGTGCAACTGCTCAAGCAGGCTCTAAAAAAGTACACCGATCTTCATGTCGACATCGACACAGCTGAAGGCGACGATGATAGTCTAAACGCTCCAAACATGCGCAAGCCCTTGACAGGCCATCTCGAAATGAAAATCCACGCCATCAAAGATGTTGATCACGCATCAACATCACGATTTTCGCGAGGTCCAGAAACATTCATCATCGTCAAGGTAGAAGACAACGTCAAAGCAAAGACAAGAGCGAGCAGGAATGACCGTTGGATGGAGGAACACTTCAATATCGACATCGACAAAGCTAACGAGATCGAATTGACCGTGTACGATAAGGCAGGCGAACGACCAATTCCGATCGGGTTCCTCTGGGTCAGAATATCTGATATCGCCGAGGAAATGCGACGAAAGAAGATCGAATCGGAATTCCAGCAGCAGGGATGGGTCTCCGCCGATAAAATGGCCAATGGCGGTGGCAGCATGGGCTCTGGCGGCAAGCCAATGTCGGACTTCCAAGCACCACCGACAGCACCCTTCATGGCACCGGGAGACGCAGCTGGTGCCGGCACAATGTCTGGTATACCTCAACAAACGAACAGTCAAGTCCAGATCGAGACCTGGTTCTCACTGGAGCCGGCGGGTCGCATCCATCTTACCATGGCCTTCCAGAAGCAGACTGGAGCGCGACGACCGATGGATCTTGGCCTGAACCGTCAAGGTGCCGTCCGTCAAAAGAAAGAAGACGTCATCGAGAAGCAAGGTCACAAGTTCGTCAAGCAGCAATTCTACAACGTTATGCGCTGCGCGCTGTGTGGAGATTACCTCAAGTATTCGGCTGGCATGCAGTGTATGGATTGCAAGTACACTTGTCACACCAAATGCTATCCCAAGGTCGTCACGAAGTGCATTAGTAAGGCTTTATCCGAAGTCGATCCGGACGAAGAGAAGATCAACCACCGCATTCCCCATCGCTTCGAGAACTTTTCCAACATCGGTGCCAATTGGTGCTGTCATTGTGGCTATTTGCTACCATTAGGCGCAATAAAGCCAAGAAGTGTACTGAATGCGGTCTGACTTGTCATACACAATGTCAGCATCTGGTACCGGATTTTTGCGGTATGTCCATGATCGTGGCAAATGAGATCCTTGAGACTATCACACGAAACAAGGCCCACAACAAGAGCGCGTCGGTGAGCTCTGGCCTGAGCGCCAAGACGTTGCGACCACAGTCCGGTGCTCGACCTGGGCCACAGTCCCCGAATCAAAGCTTCATCTCGGATGGCTCGACGCTTACCCCTCAGCGAACACAGACATATGACGAGCCTCCCTCAGCGGCTGCTGTCTCTGCAGCTCAGAATATGTACGGCCAGACACAAACAGCGCCACAGTCACCTCGACATCAGAATCGGCCTCCTCAGGAGCGAACAACTTCTTCTGCTGCTATATCAGCAGCGGCAGCGGCAGCCGCTGGACGACCGACTTCGCAGCCATATGACCGAGCGACCTCGGATTATGGTCCCACGAAGCCTCAAGATCGATATGCCAACGCTCGTCCGCCGGCAGCAGAGATGAACCCTCCTGCACATGCTTCCTACGATCCCCGAGCCTACGACCAATACAACAGACAGCAGCAGCATGTTCAGCAACAACAAATGCAGCAACAGCCAACGCCCATTTCGCCGGCACCACAACAGCGACCTCAGCCTCCGCCACAGCAGCCATCATATACGCCCTCGCCAGCTCTGGCACAGCAAGCACCTCCCCAACAGCAACAGCCTCGAACACAGCCTCAGCAACAGCAGCAAGTTGCCAAGAAGGATCAGGGTCTTCCTCAGGGACGGGGACCAGGTCCTCGGATTGGACTCGACCATTTCAACTTTCTCGCTGTTCTTGGCAAAGGTAATTTCGGAAAAGTCATGTTGGCTGAGGCCAAGAATTCGAAGAAATTATACGCCATCAAAGTACTCAAGAAGGAATTCATTATTGAGAACGATGAGGTGGAGTCGACCAAATCGGAAAAGCGGGTCTTCCAGATCGCAAACAAGGAACGCCATCCTTTCCTACTCAACCTGCACGCCTGCTTCCAAACCGAAACCCGTGTCTACTTCGTTATGGAGTACATCTCCGGCGGTGATCTCATGTTACACATCCAACGCGGCCAATTCGGACTGAAGCGTGCTCAATTCTATGCTGCCGAAGTCTGCCTTGCGCTAAAGTACTTCCACGAGAATGGTGTTATCTACAGAGATCTGAAGCTCGACAACATTCTCCTTACGCTTGATGGTCACATCAAGATTGGTGATTATGGTCTGTGCAAGGAAAACATGTGGTTTGGCTCCACTACTTCAACATTCTGCGGCACGCCGGAGTTTATGGCCCCCGAGATCTTGCTAGACAAGAAGTACGGCCGCGCTGTCGACTGGTGGGCATTTGGTGTTTTGATCTACCAGATGCTGCTCCAGCAGTCGCCCTTCCGTGGCGAGGACGAGGATGAGATCTACGATGCGATCCTGGCAGACGAACCACTGTATCCGATTCACATGCCTAGGGACTCGGTGTCGATACTACAGAAGCTGCTGACTCGTGAACCTGATTTACGGCTAGGGAGCGGTCCGGGCGATGCGCAGGAGATAATGAGCCATGCATTTTTCAAAGGAGTCAACTGGGACGATGTATACAACAAGCGATTACCAACCCCTTTCAAGCCAGCCATCAAGGACGCAAAAGATACCAGCAACTTCGATCAGGAGTTTACCAGCGTCACGCCGGTGCTGACCCCGGTGCAGAGTGGTAAGTCTTTTCCCTGAGCAGGCTTTATGAAAGTTGAACATGCTAACACTTTACTGTAGTGCTCTCGCCCGCCCACCAAGAAGAATTCAGAGGCTTCTCGTACTCGGCCGAGGATATTTGAGTGGAATTCTCCCGGAAGAAAACGAAAGCATGCCATGACAGATCAAATCCTCCGATTTCGCCAAAGGCAAAAACCGATGGGACTTCGCCGCCGTGGACAGAGTGTACAGAGGGATAGGCATGAGGTGTCACGACCTGAAGGAAGGATGTTGTAACAAGGGATGTACAAGACTTTGGAATCGCGATCATCACCTAGGATAGTATTTGAGCTGCGAAGCACATCCAAACCGAGGTCGCCACCATGATGGACTGGCGGAGTACACCGAGCGAAGCCGGCGGAACGCGTTTGGTACCCCTAAACGACGAATTATTATCCCTAAGGCCCTCCTTGGACGCTGTCTCTCGATCTTGCATTCTTTCAGTTCCTGGCGTGGGAGCAAGACGAAGACCTGCCGCTACTGAGCACACTGAGTTGTGAGTGGAGCAAGCCCGATACACAGGGACAGCACGTCGTTCCTTCCAGTTCAATCGAGCCGCTTAGGAAAGCGTTACCAACTCGCTTCTGCTCTTCCCAACTCGAAGGATATGTTTCGTCGCAGACGAGGCAGGAGCGAAGCCTATCTCCTTCACCTTCCGCTGGAAATTCGGAGCTGTTGGAGGAAGGTGCGCGAAATCCGTGTATGCCGGTAGCAGGATCTATGGGCTAATGTGAGGAAGGCGCGACGGCGTCAAAAGTTGGATAGATGGCACAGGTTTCCTGTGCGGTCAGAGGAGGCGGCAGCGTTCAGGAGGCCTGTGTATGGGTCAAGCGTGGGGTATACGCGTGTCCTGGTAAAATACACATGCTCAACGGGCTGAGTCGATGAGAATGGGTAGGGGAGCCGCACGGCAGTGGATCAAGAAAGCGACGATCGATGGCTGGGTAAGTAGTGAGGAGTGTGGGTTGGTGTGAGGATATGAGGCGCGCAGGATATACGATAGAGATTTCATAGTGAGAGAACCGCTGCCAAAGAGCACTTGCAGGCTGATCTTCATCTCTGATCCTGGTTCGCCTGAATCTTCGCATGGCCAAATCGTTGCAGCCATATCCTGAGATATCTAAAAGTCACTTGCGTATGGGTATCCGTTTTCTCCGATCTCCTCGTTGTGGTAGCCAGTTGCGTGGTCTCCGACATGTCACAGATGTCTTGCCTAAGGGAAGACTTTCCTGCCCAGATCCTATTCCTTTCCAACTGCATGACCCAATCAGTACAAGCCCATCAACCGCTTCGAGTCTCATAGACAACATAACTGATGCTCACTGCGGGCGCCACTTTCAAGAGATTCGGCGTCACGCCTTTGAACAAGCCCTTGAAACCCTCGTTGCGAAGCGTCTTCTGCGTGACATCGACTATTCCGGTGTACGTCGCTTGATGCAACACCGTGCCCTGAGCCTGTAACCGTGTTCGTAACAGGTTGATCGGGTAGACAACAGTAGCGGAGATCGCTCCTGAAGTGGCGCCGATAGCGGCTGTCCATACGTTGCTCATAGTGACGTCTGACTCGTGGCAGCGCAGGTCCTTGGCACGGCGTGAGAGGTAGAATGCCTTGGACTTTTCGAAGATGAGCAGATCGATGGCCGAGTAGGGAAACATGCCGGCGAGACCCATACCGAGACCTCGGTAGAAAGGCCCAAGTTTGCCTTGCCGCCACATCTTCTTAGCTGTTTCTGTTATCAGCGCATTGCCTCGCAGGCCTCCTTGGACTGTTTCGCATTGCATTCGAAACTTCAGTGTGTCGAGCGGATAGACCATGCACTGTGCTACGGCACCACCGAAGCCGCCAGCTAGGAATTGGGCCGTCGGATGAAGATGCTTGGGATCTGAGCCGTCGATGTTGGCGAAGAATCTCTTCGCTGCCTCGTATGCACCGAACTTGACCGCTGATTCGGGCATGACCTTAACGACGTTGAGGCCGTTCCCAGCAAATAGACTTCGTATGCCGCCTGCTCGCCACAGTTCCTTACATGCGTCGCGCAGGGGTTGCGCGAAATGCCTGATAGCTGCTACTGGAGCGCCTTTCTTGGCGGCATCAACGGCAGCTTCTTTCGGAGAGGTCTGAGCAATAAGATACACTTTCAAACGGTCCAAGGGAGCCGTGGTTGTCCGTGAGATCATACCTGCCATGCCTCCAGCTATGAAGTAGCCTAACTCGGCAGGAAGAAGGTCTGTTAGTATCGTTATTAACCCTCTGTAAGCTTAAGAAATGTGAGAATCCCACTCTCAGGAAACGTCGATGTGAGCAACTACATCAAAACGCCAAGCACGAGCTGCGTTTAGCCCTGACGGGACATGCACCAGAGGTAGAGCCACATATCACAAGACGGGGTTGGGCAGAAAAGACTTCAATTGACTTACCGAAGCCCTGGAGAGTATCGTTGATGTGCACGTCTCCTTCCTGGTTGACATTCGCCGTGGCCGAATAGTAAGTGAGGACTGCACGCAGACTTGGCACGCCGGCTGGTATGAAAAGTAGAAAGTCTCTGTGAACTGGAGTTAGCACGCCAACATATCGCCAGACTGTTCTCTGTATCACACTTACCTCCACTCCTCGAAGCTGATTTCTCCATCGTGATTCGTATCGACCTCGTCAAAGAACTGATCCAGTTTGTTCGAAGAAATAGTAAGCCCTGCCCTCTTGAACGCCATGCGAAGTTCATCCTTGTCCAAAGCACCGCTGTGGTCGCGATCTATACTCTGAAACAGTTGGTACAGCTCTTTCTCAGCATGCTCAACAAACACCATGAACTCGTGGAACTGGATTCGACCATCGCCGGAAGTGTCTACTGCTTTCAGAACGTCGTGGAGGAGGTCGTCGGCATTCTTCAACGGGTGATCGATCTTCTTCAGTCCCTTCTTGAGTCCTGTCAAGTCTATCTGCCCCGCTGCCGAGGTGTCGAGCTTTCGCCATAACTCGTGTATCCGCTTTTCGCGGTGTTCCTCCGTCTCTCCGTTCATACTCCAAAAGGCCGAGTCAAGTGTTGCGGATCGTGAGAGGGCTCATGTTTGTGGCCGAGCGGTCGGCTCTGCCCCTCGAGGCGACGGTTCGCGAGCGCTGTTCGCTCCGCCACTTCGGTCGTGCCGTGGCGGCCCCGGCCTGAAGTTGAGCTAGCAGATGGCTTCGGTGTGCTGAGTGAGAGTTCTCGATTGACATGCAGCCCGCAAATTGGCAATTGACTACGGCAGTGTCTTCAAGTGAACTTGGGTGTGATTGCAGTGAAGCTCGGTTCGGGTTACCTGATAGGTAGTGCGTCATGGGCCCGCCGGAATAAAGCGCCGTATCTCCATCTACCAGGCAAACAAGGCTACCTCCCTCTATGACACAAGGCATCTGTGCAAACTTACTGCGACTGTCAGATGCTGCATGTGCTGCGCAGAAAGAACCTGAGACACAACGCAAACGCAAACGACAAGAATATCCACAAGAAATGAGGGATGTCGGCTCAGCGGCGAGTTGAGGAAAGGACGATGAGGCAGACCGATCGCGTCCGGAATCGTTGGGCCCAGGAAGGAGTGATTAGGGCAGCTACGACCATTGCGACCTCGACTAGCTGAAGCTGAGGAGCTGGACGATCCGACCTCGAAATGGCAGCAAACTACTGGGAATCCTCCCAGCACCAGAACTGGCTGTTCACCCGCGCCTCGCTAGCCGACATTCGGGATGACCTGGACAATTCCTACAAGACCCTCGTCACTCAACATCCCTACCCAGACCGCCGCTTGATGTTCATCTTCCTGCGCGACCGAATACTCCAGATGGTCAAACGTCTGCCCTTCCGCCAGCAATGCGTAGCGACCGCACTCGTCTACATGCACCGCTTCCTGCTGTCAACGCCAATGCAGAACGTCAATATCTACCTCCTGGTCGCAACTGCCTTCTATCTGGCCTCCAAGACAGAGGAGTCGCCGCACCACATCCGCGTGGTGGCGGCAGAGGCACGAAACTCATGGCCGGATTTCATCCCAGGAGACGTGAGCCGTTTGGGCGAGATGGAGTTCTGTCTGATCTCAGAGATGCGAAGCCAGTTGATCGTCTGGCATCCCTATCGCACACTGATCGATCTGAAGGATAACCAGAACCTCAAGCTGACAAGCGACGAGTTGGGATTGGCGTGGTGCATCATTAACGACAGCTACATGACGGACCTGCCGCTGACGTGTCCGCCGTTCTTGATAGCGGTGATCGCCATGTTTTTGGCAGTGGTATTCTATCCGTACTCGAAGAATTCGGGGAACAGGCAGGCAGATCTACATTCGGCGGTCAACCTCGACGGGCCTTTCGCGACAATGGGCTCAAGACCAGGCATGGCAGGTCTCATGAGCAGCGCCATGCATGCATTGCCAATGAATCCACCCATATCGGCAGCATCAGCATCTGCCAACGGCGCAAATGGTCGCGCTAGTGCAGCGGGTAAAGACCCTTTGCCGATGATCACACCCGATCGTCAGCAGACTCTTGCCACGATCGCATCGTCAGAGAAGCTGACCAACACGATCAAATTCCTGGTAGAATCCGAGATTGACTTGAAGCAGATGATCAACGGCACGCAGGAAATCATAAGTTTGTACTCAGTGTGGGAAGAATACCATGAGAAGAGCATTAAGGAGGCAATAGCTCGCTGCTTCAAGAGCAATTACTTCGATAGCTAGGCGCTTGAGAACGGGGTTTTTGAAATCGAGTTGGACAAATTTATTGCGCAGAATCCGATAGCACAGTACACGTAAGAGTGGCTCGCGCAGGCAACGACGGCTGGGCGATCGAAGATGCTGGCAATCTGCCCCTCAGGCAGCTTCCTGCACAGCAACACCGACTCTTAGCCGCCGCCTCAATTCCAGTACTTGCGGCTTATTCGAAGCAGCCGCACCATTCCAATCACGCTCAAGCAGCACTTCCTCACTGGTGTTGACGTACAACACGTCGGCTGCCGCATTTCGAATCTTTGGATAGCGATGGAGCAAGAGACGTGTAAGCTTGTCCAGTACTTTGTTCCGCAGATCAGGATACACGAGGAATGCGCTGTATAACCTGATTAGCGCATCCAATCGTTCTATAGATGCCGTCGTGGTGTGGACTTTCTGGAACGTGTTCCATGCTCGTGCGGGAAAGCTGTCGGTATCGGAAGCGAAGATACCTTGCTCGACCATGAAGGTGCAGAAGTCTAAGAGAGGGATGACCTGGCTGTCTTCTGCTGATCCGGACTCGGCGACACAGCTCAACATGGCTGACATCATCCGCTGCTTTATTTCAGCGTTCAGCCGCACGTCAAGAGCATATGTTGTGAGCGCGCGACAGCAGGCACGTCCAATCTCCTCCGTGGTCCCCGCAGCTGACGAGGCGAGACCTTTGATCAGCTGAACATTGACTTGCTCGTTGCGTACAAGCGGGAGCAGATGGCTGAAGTAGCTTTCAGAGGAAACATCAGCCAGGTGTTCGTATGACTCTGGTAGTGCTGGCTGCCAGCCCAAATAGAACCAGCATACTTTCAAGCAGGACGATGCACGATGTCTGACTTTATTAAGCCTTTCTGCTGCGAGCCGGACAACGTTTGGTGTCACTGCCGCTATCAGTACCTCAGCTTCTTGCATCGGGAATCTGGTGATAATCTCGGCCACGTCTAAGCTTTCAAGGCGAAGCAGCGAGCCAATGTCGCCTCTCTGATCATTAGTATAGTCGTTCAGACCGTGCAGCAGCGCTCTGGTAACAGCGGCCTCGTCGAATCGGCCAGTTGATCTCTCTGCCATTGCTCGAAGCGACCGACCAAGGCAACTCATGGCTACAACTCTCGTCTCGATCGCGTCCGGTCCACATACGATGTCCGCAAAGAATGGCAAGATGCGCTGTCTGTCGGCCCCACCTGAGTCGGCAAGTTCGAATAACTTTGAGAGTGAGTGTAGGCGACCTTTGCAGACCAAGTCAGAACGCTTTTGAGTTGACAGATCCATCCAAGACCTTAACAACAACGCTTGCTGTTGCGCGTCCAGAGTCCTGGAGAGCGACATCATGGCCGTCGCACAAGCGTCGACCGTTCGAGGCTTCGAGCTGATCAAGATGCAATGATCTATGATCGACAACATTTCGTCTGGTGGAGACTGGTATCGAACGAGCGCCTGAAAAAGCGGTGCAACGGATTCGATGACCATTTCGGTGTCATTCGTCGCTTTTCCGCTGAGACTGCCTGATAGGTCCTCGAGCTTGAAACACTCCAGGAGCCTTCTCCATGTCCCCGGGTTCGACTGCGAGTCGTCCGATTCTATGATCGCAGTGGCTAGTAACAACAGGCCATGTCGACTTCCTGCTGTGGTTCCAAGATTTCGCGGCTTCAGCTTTGACGCAGTCTGAAGCACTTGTCGTGCTAGATCGGTCCTGCGGTCCGTCGAAGTGCGCCTGCACAGACGCCGCATAGCATCGGCCGCCCATCTTCTAGAGTCTGGATCTGCAGCTCGGGCTCCGCGCCAATCTGCCAGGGCATCGAGAAGTGCATCATGGTAAAGCTTGTCGAGCTCAGAGGCTGCCACAGCGACCTCTATCATTGCTCGTGATCTTCGTGCCACGGCTTGATAGTCGACGACCTGAACTATCGGAATGCCTTGTACGATGATGTCTGGGTGTCGTCCGATGAGCTCTTGCAGAGCTGCTGAAGACCCTCGCCGGATGTTTCCTGAGGGATCGAGACATGCTGCCAGCGTCAGCCGGGTGGCGATCAGCTGTAGGGCAGAGCTTTCGTTGCCATCGCTGTTGCTAGTCACATTCCCACCAGCCACTTCTGCAGCCTTGATGGCGTCCAATTCTAATGTACTGTACTTGCGTGACAACGCCCAAATTCCGAAGCATGCGGCATCACGTACACCATTACCAACGGACGTGCCAACGCTGGAGCGCTGCTCGAATTCCAGACCAACCAGTAATGCTTCTATTATGTCTACCAACTGGTGAGGAGGAGGTGAGCGTCGAAACAGAAGGTGACCAAGCGTCAGCATGAGACCCTGCCACTTCTGGGGATCAACGAGACTGATGTTTCGTTTCATCTGCAAAGTATTGTCCGTGGGAAGGTCCGTCTTCGCCATTGATCGACCCGTGTTCGGATCTTCAACAAGGATGTTCTCTGCCAAGCTACCCAGGACAGCCTCCACGATCTCGGCTGCCATACTTTCGTCCAGGTTTAGGGTAATGACGCTTAGCGCTTTGCTTGCAGCCATACGTACGGGACTGTCTTGATCACCAAGGGCATCGAGGTAGGTTTGGATGCCCTCCTCGAGCATCTCGTTGACCATGTCACCGTCGAGCGGGGTTGGCGTTCTGGCTAGGGCAAGCGCATGGGTCAAGCAAACCCGTTGAACCTTTATCAGCAGCTTCCTAGCAGGAGCAGATCCACGGATTGTCGCGTGATGCTCGTCTGAAGAGGAGAACAGTGTAGCACTTGCTCGATACACCTTGGTCAGAAACGGCGCAACCTCTGACATAGTACCGAGATTCATGAGCGCATACAAAAGTGACAAATAACCAATTGCGTGGTAGACGGACGTGTTCTTCTTCGACGGAGGATCCAGAAGCTTCCCAACAGCGTAGTCGACCAATTGTTCGGACAAGTTTGCAGACTGCATGTCTTTGCGCAGAGCAAGGCGCACTAGCAAAATCACCGCCGATTCTCGTTCTTTGCTTGGGCTTGTTATATGCTCAAAGCCGAGGGACAGGACATCAACAGCGACCTCGGGGAGTCCCTCGGTAAGCCTCGAAAGACCAGAATCAATGTTCACTTTGTTGTGTGTGGACAATGTCGAGAGCTCAAACGGAGCAAGCATCAGATGGGAAAGCCATAGCAGCATGATGTACTTTTCTTCCCAGACGGATGGACTAGTGAGGCTTCGGGATCTCAGGGTCTGCCAATGTCGCATGCAGAAGAGCATAGGTTCCACATAGCGTGGCTCATTGTTCAAGAGACGAACGATCACCTTGTAGCCACGTACTTTGCACAGTGTGTACAGAATCTGGCTGAGGCCAAGTGGCAAGGGAATCGCCTGGCTATCAGACCTCGTCTCGTAGCCGTAGTAGTCCGCATACTGGGTGATATACTGCTGGAAGCCGTCGACCACACTCTGGACCAGCGACGCCAGTACTGGATCAAGTAGCTGCGGCCATTCCTGAAACCGGTCAATCTGAGCAACAGAATTAGAGGTGCTGTTTCTCAACCCAGGTTCTGTGACCTACCAAGTTTCTCAACTCCGCACATTTCGTGTACAGAACGTGTGTGCGTAGTCTGCTCTTATTTCCATCATGCCATATAAGCAGCGGCAATTTTACCTGTAGTTCTGGGATGATGTCCCCAGAAGCCTTGTAGAGCTTGGCATCATAATCGACCTCTGCCGCGTCCATGCCGGGATGATTGGGCACCTGACGCGTACATTGAAGGCTCAGTGGTAAGGGCACCGCAGTGTTATTTATTCGTTAGCCCCGTCACAGCACTGTAGTAGTCGACAAGCGACTGGGACTGAAGTCGTGCCTGCCTCATGGCGCTAGATCATTTAGGGCTAATTGTAATTGCCAAGACCATGACGATGGAAGGCGCGATCCGGACCTCGAGTGACCGCGTTCGCGTCCTCAGGCAGCGGCGGCTGGCCCTCATTCACTTGTCGGTATTCCCTGTTCGTGCTCGCTCTGGTCGCAGTGAATACTTTGTCGTTCTTACACTTCCTTCGTCTGTCGTCCTTCGAGCAGGTCTCTTCTTTTCTACAATGTCTTTCTGTCGCATGCCCAACTCGTGTCCTTTCTGCGAACAACGTCCCCGCCACAAGTTCAATCCTCCCACGCCTTGCAAGGCTTCTTTCGGGCGATAGGCTGACCGCACCAAGCTGCTGGCAGACCTTGGTGTCGGTCCGGCTTGCCCTTGCGTACCAGAGCATCTATCCACAGCGCCGCATCGGTCGGTCAAAATGCTCGATTGGGCGAGATCGGCCCTCATATGGGTCGTCGGTGACTCGCACAACCCGCTGACCGAGGCGAAAACGATAGGTCGGCCCCAACAAGTCAATAAGGCGCAACACCCTGGCGATGCGCAGGTTGCAAGTGGCAGAGAAGGCTCGCAGATCTGGACTCGCTCCAGCAGGGGTGTGAGAGGTACTTCGGGGCATGAAGCAGGTGAGGACTACCTCTCAGGACTTGGTGATGCGGACACGCCTATGGTAAAAGAAGAGACCATGTCGCCGCCTTTTGATGGCAGGAGAAAGGCTCTTATCGATCGTGAACGAATGCCGCCGCCACCACTGAGCAAGCCACCGCGTGATAGATCTCCACTTTCGGCAGACGCAACTGCCGCACCCTCAACATACAATGGTTCAGTCATGGCAGAAACCATGCCAAGCACTGCTGGTCGATTAATGACTGCTGGCATCGAAGACCACGAACTTGCTGAACGCGCTAGGCGATACCAAGAAGCTTTCAAGATCCCAGCGAATTCGGGTCTATGGTATCAGAGCGAAGCAGGTCTTTACTATCATCTTGGTCTTCGGAGTTTCGAACCCCTCCTTCCGGCCTCCTGGATGGTCGACTTCAAGACTTTCCCTGTTGTACTCTTCGAGAGAGATCTCGAGGCAGACTGCTTGATCCGCAATATCTTCGGTCCACAGTTCCACGCTATTCGCTCCCTTCGTGAGCTGATAGAGACTGGCAACCGTGTGAGGGATCTCATCTCAGCGAGGCACAAGACGTCAAGGGTGCAACAGTCCATTCAGCATTCACTTAAGGAATATCTCCAATGGGCGCTGCACGATGGCGACCTCTACGAAACCTCCAGCAGCAAGCCAGTTCATGTAATCGCCAAACGCCGCTCCAAACAGTCTACCGTCGATGCAATTGCTCACCTAGCTGACGAGATGACCATCGTTCTGCAACAGCATGCTCGTCGCTACGTCGAAGAACACGATTACGTCCTCAACCCACCCCCAATTGCTGGCAAAGAGCCTGAAGCCGAAATACATGACGATTCACCAGGCAAAAATCCACCCGTCATCATCGGGTTCCTGATCGTCCAGACTACCGTGTCCGTCTTTACTCTCAACGCACTCAATGCTCAAGCCGCTGAGCTGAGCGACCACGAAGGTCGTGGTATTCACATGCTCGGGCGCTTCAATTTCCTGGAAGACGGTATGGATGTATGGAACGCTTTAGCTCTAGCCATCTGCTGCTGCCATCTTCGCAATGGTCTGCTTGCTACTGCAATTGCCACGCCCGAGCTGCAGGAGCGCATAGGTCTGGACGGCGACGATAAGAAGCTCGATCACGGCAGAATTGCCGGGTATGTCAGTCGTGCGGAGTACGAGGCTGCGAAGAAGCGAAAACATGAGGACGAGCATGAGGCTAGCTCAGACATCATTGATGTGAGTACTAGGAGTCGTGGAAGCTCGGCATATGATGCAGAGTGCAATGGTGCTACATCCCGCGAGCTAAGCGGGAAGCCCAAGAGGAAAGCAATGCAGCAGAAAGGACATGGTAGAAAGCGGGTCAAGAAGACTCCTGACAGCGATCCGGACCTTTAATCCATTCTCAGGACAGGTGGAACAGCGGAGGTCTGAGGCGGAGTCTTCGGAGGCATTTGCTGCGGCGGACGTTTATTTGTCTTTGTTGTGGGAGTTTGAGAATTCATGGAAGCGAAATGATACCCCTTTTGCGTCGAGCCCGGGAAGGTCTCCCGGATGAATATGAAGCACGGAAATTTGAAGAGATACGAGGCGTTCGAGATACCCACGCAAGAGAAGTGAAGAGATTCATAGCAATGGTAGATAGCTGAGAATGTGGTTTATACGTTGAATCACGTATCACAGGGAGCCAGTCGTGATGGATGCCCCCGAGATTCTGTCCAAAAGCACTTGCAACATGCGCCCAGCAAGTTCAGCAGTCCATTGCCACAGATCTTGTCAACCGGCGCCGGGAGACATCCACAAGGCGCAGAATGCATGACCAGCGAATAAACTCAACGAATATATTTCTCGAAGCCCTGGTCTCAGTGGTGCCTGTAAATTTACGCCAGTGAGCTCGCGGAACTCTCTGTCTCACCAATGCTATCATCACACAAATGGTGGAATCGATTTTTCCTCGTTCATCCGCCATGCTATGCTATGCGGCCTATGCCCGGTTCTCAACTATGCTAAAACGTGCCAAAACTAGCACCAACAGCCTCAATCGACACTCTACCCTCGCATCACCACAGCGCGCCAACATCACTATCAAACCTGCCCAACTCCCTTCCCGCCTCCTCGACCTCCTTCCTTGCCTTCATCCGCATATAGAAGATCGGACAATCCCTACTACTGCACAACACCTCCGAGTGCATACTCCCCTGACAGCGCTGGCACTGCGTCCACAATCTCCCAAACCTCACCTCCAGCTCGCCCACCTTCTTCACTTGCTTCGTGTAGAGCTCGCCGATTCGCGGTCGACAATTCTCGCATACTGCCCCATCGGCTTCCTCCTTACCTACCAGCGGCTTCTTGCAACCCATGCACGTCTGCGTCTTCTTCGCGAACTTCATCAGCCCACCGAGCGTCGGTGCAGCGACGGAGATGGAGCGCGTGTGCTCGCCGGCAAGGAGCGAGTTTGCTTTCTTCTCTCCAAGAATGGGCTCGAAGATACGGCCGAGCGGGTTGGCCAGTTGGTTGTCGAGGTAGTATTTCGTATCGATCGGCACATTGTTCTCAAGCACGTAGATGGGGTCTTCGGACTTCTCGTAGTTCTTGCTGTCGCCACGGCCTTTGACGATGACATAGGCGACACGATCTCCCAGAGTAGGTGCTGAGCCGGCGTCTCGTTTCTTCATGCGTTGGGCGAGCTCGACGTGGGCTGCTTCGCGCTGTAGTCGTCCTTTGTGAGGGCCTTGGTAATCACCAGCATGCTGAGATCGACCTTGTTCTGCAGCAGAGCGGAGATGGTGTCCTTGACATAGTCTTGAGCAGCTTCCAGGTCGCGCTCAATAAGGATCTTCTTAAGAACCGTCTCGATCACGTTCTGCACCAATCGACAATTGTCTCGGCGGACAGTTTCGATGCCTTTGGTGTCCATTTTGTCATATTTCTCGGGCTTTGTCCAGTACAGTCCAGCATATCGCTTCTTGTTGATAAGCAGATATGGGAAGTAGACTTTCTCGAATTCGAGCTTGATGGGCTTGATGAATTTAGACGAGACGAAGTTAGCAGCCTCTTCGCCCATCTCCATGACCTTTTTCAAATCTTTCTCGCCGAACTTGACCATCACGGAATCAGTATCACCGTAGATGACCTGAGCGTCGTGAGAGTAGCCATTGGCTATGGTGTACTTCGATTCGACCTCTGACTTGGTCTTCTCAATCATTTGGCGACCATAAGACGTCGTGCTAGAAGCGATGGCCAAGCAAGGCAGCTTCCCGACTGTAGCACCGGTCAGACCGTACACAGAATTGGCCGAGATCTTCAGAGCGAGCTGACGACCGTTGAGCACAGCCTTCTTGAAGGCATCCGTTTCAGAGGCCAGCTCCTTCTTTGCACGTTTTCGAGCAGCCAGGAGTTCCTCCAAGATTTCAGTCAACAACCCTTTCCGGACCTTGGATGTGCAGAACATGTCACCGTTGGGAGTAACAATATAATCCTCGTCCTTCTTCATGTTGAGCTTGTCCACACTGGTCTTGTTGAGCAGAGTGGTGTAGCAAAGGTTGTGTGCCTGCATGATCGACGGATACAGGGAAGCAAAATCCAGGGTTGCCACGGGCACATCATAGTAGCCTCGGGTGGGCTCGATGACGGTAGCACCCTCGTATTGTTCGTCTGATTGATCGCTGGACAAGTTCGGAATCACTAGCTGATGGGCCAAGGCCTTGCGGAACATTTGGCTGATGAACTTCACTTGCTGCCCTCTCGAAAGCAGGTAGTTGAACGGAACGCCCGTTACTCTCGCCATTTCGGTATAATTCACGAGTGACATCAGCTTGTCCATCAGCCGTTGTGGCAGATATGCATCTTTGAGACAGTACACTGCTAGACGTCGACGGGAGTCTGGAGTACCATTGAAGAGCTCCGTGATCATGCTGTGGTGTACGTCTTCTTTCTGTTCTCCCAGGAATTGAGCGCACACCGAATTCAAAGTGTAGCTTCGTAGCTGATGATCTCGTTGAACGAGCTGCAGTAGATCCAGTTGAATGCGACCATTGGTGTTCGTTGCTTTCGTGTCTCGGTTGCCCATCTGCTTACTCGAGAAATTGGTGTCTTTGGCCACAGATTGCATAGTCTTGATTCTCGACCAGTATGGGAACTTTGTCAGCTTGAGGTGCTTCGCCCGGTCTAGCAGGTAGGGAAAGTCGAAATTCGATATGTTGTAGCCGATGATGACATCTGGATCTGCTTTCTCGAAAAAGTCTCGCCATGCCATCAACATTTTCTTCTCTGCTTCTAACAAATCCCCCCGTGTTCGAATATTTGTGTGTTGACGATCGGACTGCAATCGCCGAGTACAAAGACATTTCGAATGAAGGCCTGCGAATCGCCAGTCCTGGTGACATAGTTGGCGATCTGTATGATAGGATCTTGGTTGGCCTCGGGAAAGACGCCTTTCCGGCCAGCACATTCGATATCAAAGGACAAGACTCGTAGAGGCGCCATCTTGGCCCACTCTCCGTCATGCCCGAGCGCCACCAGGTCATGATAGTTACAGTATGCTTCGATTTGGCAGTTTGACTGTCTCTCATAGGATGGAATCGTGTGATAATTTCCAGGTTTGACTTCGACCCACGACATTCCGGTGACGCCAGTGTCGATCATAAATCGGAGCACATATTGGATATTGTCGAATGTCAGGATTTTGCCTTCCACTCCTTTCCACAAATTCTTGTAGTTGGCAGAACCTCCCTCAATGGTCGTGCGCAGCTTGTTGATGAACTTTGGATCTGTCACCGTGATCTTGAGGTATGGACTTTTCTGATTGCCTTGGAAGCCGTACAGATTCTCGCGGAGGACCATCTGTACGGATTGAATGGCAGTTGAATGCTGTGCCACTTGTGTCTCGAGAAAAGCCTTGTAGCCCTGCAAGTCCGAGCGCTGGAAGTTCACCGGAGCAGCGACGTAGATGTAGTGTAGGAAGTCGGTAACGTGGAGCATGATCGAGTGGCCAGTCTGTGGGCATTAGTTGAATCGTTCCTTTGAGTGGGCTCTGCTCACCTCCGAAACGCCAAACATCTTCAACGTGACCTTGCCGCCGTGCAGCGTGCCTTCCTCAATCTCTATCTGCTGAAATCGCAGGATGTCGGTCTTTTCGTTGAAATCATCGAGCGGTGGTCGTTCCCATTGCTGATCTGTTTCCGCGTTCTTTTCTCTCAAGCCGGCGATGTCCTGGGTCATCTTCTCAAGCACCTCGGTCTCGAACTGACTCTTAGGCTGACTCGAGCCGAGCTTCGACCTGAACCCATTCTGCGAGTACGGGGCATGGCCATTGGGACCATATCCGTTCAATTTCCGCTTCTTTGCTGATGGAGGGGACTTCACGCCGGTGTGTGTGTTGGTTGTGTCTATGAGTACCCGCTTCTGCGGCGCCACAGTCGACGCCTGCTTCACGACTCCAGGCATATTGACTGATCAAGCTGAGTATTTATGGTGTGGAATATGCAGAGGCGCGAAGGCCACCCGATCATATGTAAAGTGAATTTGGAGTCAACGCGTAAAGAAAGCGCGACCGCGATTATCTCCGTCATTTCCTGGCGCTACGAAGGCCGCCCCACACTTTCAAGTTACTGGCACTGAGGGGCATCAAGTGAGACGTACTAGCACGCCAACAAAGTACCAACTACCAGAAAATTCTCCGTGATACACACAATCGTAGTTGACTCAGCGACTAGTTGGAAGGTACAGAGCCAAAGATCCTCCTGTAGTATGCGCAATGGCGGACGATCTCAAAGTTGAGGGAACGCCAGGGTTCAAGGTTGGTGAGAAGAAGACAATCGATGAGTACCAGAAACTAGGTAAGTGCCACGGTCGGACAGCGATTGCGGTCATGCTGGCAGCTTCCACTTGTCTGTTGTCACTTGTGTCCGGCTGCTAAGATCTCCCAGATCAGGAAGATGAGGCTCTCAATCGATGGAAGGCATCTCTTGGTCTCGGTCAAGGTCAAACCGTCGCCGATCCCAATGATCCCCGATTATGCGTGATCAAGTCACTGGCTCTTGTGAGTAGGCGACTACACCTCAGTGATAAGACCGCTGATCACCCTACAACAGGAGGTGGCGGGACGACCAGACATCACCATTGACCTCTCCGCCCCTGGCGCCGTTGAGTCTCTCAGATCGAAACCTTTCACCATCAAGGAAGGATGCACGTACGAAATGAAGGCGTCCTTCGTGGTACAGCACCAAGTCCTCTCAGGCCTGAAGTACGTCCAGCAGCTCAAGCGCAAGGGCATTCCTCTAGGCAAGGATCAGGAGATGATCGGCAGCTACTCTCCCAACACGACAGATCGTCCGACCTACACCAAGAAATTCGCTCCGGAAGAGGCTCCTAAAGGCATGATGGCTCGAGGTCACTACGAGGCGGTCTCAAAGTTCATTGACGACGACAACACCGAGCATCTCAAGTTCGAGTGGAGTTTTGACATTGCAAAGGACTGGAAATGAAGAACCTGATGAGATTCATTTGATGCAGCACTGTTTCGAATCACGCAAGCGAGCATAACTTGACTGCAAAAGTCGGGTATCATTTCTTTGTTTCTCGTCACAACACAACGAGATGCGTCCTGGGTATCAATGTTTGGTTAAGCACCACCAATGCAGTACGGTCAGAACAGCTGCGCACCATAATGATCCAACCAATCACAAAAAGTACTCAATGGTCGTGCCAGGTCCATCCTTTCCGTTCGCTTGCGCTTGTTGCTGTTGCTGCTGTTGTTCATTTCTGTGTGCATCGTTTTCCGGCGCAGCATCGAAAATGTTGAAATTCCTTTCGCCCTGGTCACTGACTTCCAACACGCTGGCAAGATTTCCACACCGGTAGCAGTAGTTCGGCGCGCTCCAGACCGTGCTCAAGCGGTCGTCATACAGTATCTGGTAGCCTCCTGACATAGTTGGTGTGCTCTCAGAATATGGCTCATGCTATTCACTTGCAGGAACTTCTTGACCACGTCGCCACCAAATGTGTATCCTGCTCCTCTCGGCGACAGCGAGAACTCGTCTCTTTCCGGGTCCGGGTCCGACCAGACCAGATCTGCCATTGGTCCCTCGTGTGGTATTTCTCGGTAGCGATCAATAATCTTGATCTGGTCGATCGAGTGTATGCTCGGGCTCAAGCCCCCGTGCACGCAGAAGATCTGATTGTTGATGACGACCGACAGTGTGAGGAAATCGAACATGTCCGTGAAATAGTGCCACACATTTGCATTGCCATACTTCCGCGCGCATTCGGTGTAGAAGCCATAACTTTGCGTAACGCCCCGACTCTCGTGATTTCCTCTTATGAGATGCACTCGCTGCGGGTATCGTAGTTTTAGGCACACCAGCAGGCTGATGGTCTCGACACTAAAGAGACCTCGGTCCACGTAGTCACCGAGGAAGAGGTAGTTCGTGTCCGGGCAGAAACCGCCAATTTTGAAGATCTCGAGCATGTCGAAGAATTGGCCGTGTATGTCTCCGACTACTGTGACAGGGGCGGATATGTGGACGACATTTGACTCTTTCATGAGCATTTCTTTCGCTTTGGCGCATATTGCTCGATCAGGGACTCGGCGAGCAGCTGTTTCTTATACAGCTGAGAAATGCATTCGTCAAGGTCGATGCTCGCTATGTCTCGTCAGTGAGTGAACCAATGCTTGCGTTGGTGAAACTGACAGGGAAGGCCAGGCATTTTGGCCAGCTATGCTCTGCCAAAGTGTTTTGTGAGCAGGTGAACGTGAAGAGAGATGTCACGTCACTCCGTGGCAAGAATCGAATTGCGATGACTGATATTCGCCTGGCTCTCGCATGGTGTGGGCTATCTGTATTCGCTCATGCGGTACACTCACACCATCCCAATCTGTCGGAGGCTTCGCCCCAACATGGTCGTCAGTTGAAGTGGTAGCATGCATTCATTGTAAGAGGTCTCAATCTCGAAGTCGGCGTTGCGGTTCAATTCTCAGCCTTGGGCGTCTGGTGAAAGGCTGGCACTCCTGAGTGATTCAGATCACGTGGCTGATCTGCCCCTGAAAGACGCTTGAAGAGTCAGTCTGCTTGATAAGGTCTATCCTCGTCGTAGTTATAGGCATCGTGCAATACCGAATGTCGGATACATAGACGTCCCAGATTAGCTGAGCGTGCAGATTTGAGACCAGGTTGTCAAAAGATTTGCGTTGTCCTACATAAGTTCGAACCCACAGAGTTCAGAGTCAGAAACTGCAAGTTCGAACGAGCAGCGTCACTGACAAAGAGGAACTTGCTCTATGGTCTGTACATACTCTTGTCTCGTCATAAGTCTATAACCGATCTCAACTCTTCCTGTGCATCACCATCGCAGTAGCCTGGTGATTCGGGAAAATCAACGTATCCGCCAGCACTACATTCTCCCTTCGGCCCGCCGCAAACACTACCACCTCCGCAATGTCCTCACCTGTCAACGGCTCCACGCCCTTGTATTCGTTGTCGGCTTTGCTCTTGTCCCCATAAAATCGGACCACGCTGAACTCGGTCTCAACCTGCCCAGGATCGATCTCCATTACCCTTATTCTTGTCGCGATCAGCTCCTTGATCAGAGACTGTGTAAATGTGCGGACAGCGGCCTTGGTAGCGCAGTAGATGGAGCCGCCTGGATAGCCCTCACGGCCTGCGATTGAGCCGATATTGATGATGTCCCCAGAGCCTCCATCTGAACCGCGTGCCTGGTAGATCGGCAGCACCGCTTGTGTCATATTGATCAGACCTGTGACGTTCGTATCGAACATGACCTTCATATCCTCCCCACTGATGTCCCCAACCTTGTCCTTTCCCTTGACCAGCCCCGCATTGTTCACCAGCACATCAATATCCTGGAACTCCTTCGGCAACGAGGGGATCAGGTTCTTAACGGCCTCCGGATCTGAAATGTCCAAGGTGGCAGGGTGGATCTTAACACCCTCGCCAACTTCAGACGTGATAGCGGCCGCGACTTTCTTGAGGTTCTCGGTACGTCGACCAGTGAGGATTAGCTTGAGGGACGAGGGTGAGGTGCGTGCGAACTCTTTGGCTGTCGCTTCGCCGATCCCGGAGGAGGCGCCGGTGATTAGAATGGTCTTGCCGGACAGGCGCTTACCCATGGCCGAGACAGACATGCTTCGTGCGCGTTGGGGCGAGGGGAAGTGGGAGGTGAGGTTTTGGAGCCGAGAAGTTGACGCAGCCAGTATGACGATTGGACTGTGTCGCGGGGTCCTTGGAGAAGAGCGAACTACGCTGTGCAGAGTTCTACAGGAGGTGTCAAGTGTGCGCGACAGATGAGGCATATGAGATGAAGTCGGGCAGGGTGGTCATTCATAAAGCGACGTGGTTTTGGGACCTTGCACGGCGGGGCAGGTCTCCGAGCGCAGCAAAACGTGATGGCATGCTTGAACATGATGGGGAGAAATCGGAGAAAACTTGCCGACGGTGCGGAACATTCCCTCGAGCCGTCGGCACCAAGTCCGGGCGTGATTGTTGGCATACTGCACCGGCGCAGAGACATCAGTTGGGTGTGCAAATGTTGCTGAGAAGCCGCCTATCTATGTCTGCTAGCCCGCACCGATGGGCAGCGTCCGCTGCACCCAACGCAATCCCGATCATACCAATTCCTCGTTCCCAAGCGCCGCGCGGACACCCTCCGAAAAGTATGGATATAGAAGACACCCTAAATATCCTAGCTCCCGCCTCACCTTCTTGCAGATGCTAATTCTATCCCTTCTCTTCTCCGACTGCTGCTGATGGCATGTATCTTGCGATGGCATAGATGGGCGTAATATGATATCGTGGTATGGCGTGAATTCATGGCATCTTATCTCGTGTGGTCCGCAGTGGTATATGATGTTGATATTGAGTTCCCCGAAATCTGGGTGATAGCAGCTGCCCGAATGAAACGAACGCCAGTGTCTCAGTCACACGATCAAAGATGTGGCCTGGTTCAGACTCTTGCCAAAGTATGAATCGAGTGTTGTTCCAAGGCGGATGTAGAGAGTCTCGGACGACCAGGCGTGCTCAAAACGAGGCATCATCGACCTCACAAGAAGCCGGACTCGCTGAGCAATCTCGCAATCTTCTCTTCTTCGCGCTCTCGAGGTTCAACCTCCAGGCTTCGATCGTACATATCCGCAACGTCCCGTGCGGTGTCCTTCTGTTGCAGAATCCACGTCTGTAATTCATGCACTTCTTTGAGTGCATAAGGCACATTCTGGTATTGCTGAATCTCACGAATGACATCGGCAGTCTTACTGCGTTTAGCAAAGTTGATGAGTTCAGTGTTCTTGATGACCGAAGGAATACCGTCTTCGATGAAGACCAGATCGGTAAGATAGACACCCATGAAAGGAATGCATGGTGGATTGGCAATATGTAGTGCCTCACGATACTGGGCGAAGTTCTTGGTCGATGTGATCAGATCGCGGAGTGATTCGAGGACTGTCATTGTCTTGGCATGGACCTGAGCCCAAGTGCGGGCTAGTCGAAGGATCGGGGATGTGCCAAGGGCGGATATGATGGCAGTCATCGAAGAGAAGTTGTTGAGGGAGCGGCATTTCTGTGATGATTAGTTTCCATCCTTGTTAGCACGAGAACTGACGCGCGAACTTACATCGGCAACGCCCACAAAGTGTTTGATGACCATGACCCGCTTTCGCACATCGCCGTGCTGCAAGATCATCTCAGCCACCCAGTTCGTCAGTTGATTGGAATGCAAGATGAGCGCCTTGACATTTGGCGAAGGATTGGGCCCGTTCTCAGTTCGCGTTTTTGTCCATGTCTTGTCAAGGCATTCCACCGGCTTTATTTTACCATATAACTTCGATTCAATCATAGTGAGCTGTCGGGCAAACTCAAGTGGATCAACGTCCAAAAGCTTTAGCTTCTTCATATTCTTCGGCAGGATCGACGGAGGTGCATTTCCAGTGATTGTGAGAACCATTCTCTTGGCTGATGTGATTTCCTGGCCCTTTTCACGTTGATCAATGATGGTTGAGATTTGAGTCGCACCAGGTATCTTGGCCCCGCCACCAATTGATGAGGTAGTAAAAGCTGCCATACGCGCAAGCAGCGCCTTCGAATCATCGTCGTGACTTTCCACCCAGTACTGTTCCAGCCACGTCTTCAGCGTGTTAACGACTCGGAATCGTGTCGGCTTCTGCTTTTGATCCTCCCAGACAGTGTACTCCTCGCGGGTCAGACCTGGCGGCGGCTGGATGTTGAAGCGCTGGACCAGTAGCTCGAACAACTCGGCTGCTGTAGTGAACGAGCGGTATGTAAGCAGGAATGTCGTATTGAATGTGGTATCTGGCCGATCGTGCCTTGTCAGCTGTTCTACTAGGCCGACAAGCGTTCCAGCTTTGACTTGAGTGGTTTCTGCTTTCTGATCATATGTAATCTCTCCCAAGTGCTCAAGCTCCAGAAACCATGGAGCGGGTGGTTCCTCTTGAGGTGATTGAAGTTCTGGTCGTGCAGGCTGGGTCATTAGGGGAGTCGGAACCTGACCAAAGAACCGAGCAGCCTTGTCTTTGCTTGCTGGACGTCGAACCTTGGGCGGCTCGGGTTGGCCAGGGCTAAATGAGTGAGACTGGCCCATGTCGCCAAGTGCAGGCCGCATATTCGCAGCATGGCTCGGTTCCGCGCGCAGATTATGATTCTGGAAAGTCTCGCCACCGTCCGTCAGGCGATGATCTTTCTTGACACCAGCCATGGGGTTGGCATTGGAGGGAAGGAGCAACTGCAGTGCATAGCCCACATTCGAGACATGTGTCTCGATCTGTTTACAGACAGTCTTGACATCCTTCAGACGGGTTTCCAGTGTGTCACCTCGAATATCTGACCATTCATCGGGCAGGGGTGCTGTCACAGTCTGGCATGCTACTATAAGCTCACCGATTGAGTCGTACACCTTTTGCTTCTGCGTTCCGAAGTCGGCCAGTGACGGATTCTTGAAGGCGGATCCCAAAGGCGACATATCGATCGATTCCACCAGGCCCACCCACTGCTGGAAATTGTGTAGGACATTGCCAGCTGCTAGACAGATCTTATCTCCGATCATGGCTTGACGTGATGGGGTCACTGTCTTATCGACAGGCTGCAGATGTTCTTCCAGACGGCGCACCGATGCTGCCACATGTCGACGATTGTCGTCAAGTTGCCTGAGGAGTCTGACGTCCAGTACATTGGAGGGTCGCGGATACAGATCAGTACTTTCATCGATGAACGAGGTCCCTTCGACGCTGTCTTGGTGATCGATGTTGTTGTCCCGCCAATTGCCACCAATCTTACTCCCGGCAACAAACCCTGGTTGGAGCCGGGGCAGTTCCTCTCCGCGCTGCTGCCTCGCAACTTCGACATAGCCGTAGACACCATGTAAGACTCCCTCGGCCTCTTGTAAGCATTTCGCGAAGTTATCCTGACCAAACCAGTCGGCAGCCGCCATGTGCGAGGACAGAACCAATTTGGAGAACTTCGACATCATCTCCCGAAAATGAGGATACAGGGCTTTGTTGGTCGAAATGATCGATGGATTGCCCGAGTGATTGTCGGTGGTGCCGGAACCTGCAGCAAGCAGTAGGCGCAGATGATCAGAGATATCTTCGGCCCGCCTCACAAATTCTGCACGCTCGCGTTCATGAATAGCTTGCCGGTAGGCTTCAACAGATGACTGCATATTTTCCACGAGCACGTCCCAAGTGATGGTCGGTCCAAATCCATCGTCAGAGAAGTACCTCGGGGTGGCGAACTTGGCCCCCGCAGTGTCACGATGACCAGACATTGGATTTGAAAACGATCTCATAGAGTTCTTGTCATGCGCAACTCGGTTATGCAACCTTCTTCCTGCAACAGAATCGACTTTCGTTGATGCCATCGATGTCGTAGTTGAGATTGAGTTAGCAGCCTTGCGGCTTTGTCCGCGAAAAGAATGCTCCCCGTCAGCATCAGAGGCAGATGCATCGTAGTCGTCTTCTCGCCTCTCATAGCCACCAGCCATCATCTCAGCAGGAGGCCTCGTTTGGTCTGGAATGTAGAAGTTGTTCCGATCGCGAGGTCCCGTTTCGTTCGGTCCAGTTGGTGTCTCGAGAGGCAGTTCCATTGTACTGACACCGGTCAAGGTGTTAAAGTAGAACAGCCTACCATCAGGGGTGGCCTGTGGGACCCAGAAAGCCGCCTCTTCCTGGTTGTAGTCGCCCGTCCCCTCGATAGGCAAGTCCGAGTCGTCGGTAGTGTCATGCTCGGAATCCTCGCCTTCTTCATACTCTTCCTCTGTTCCCGACTCGGCACTTTGCTCACTATCTTCAAACCGGGTGAAGCCAGCGTCAAGATCTTCGGGGGACAATTCGGTACAATAATTCGAAGGGAACCATCCGCGAACATCGTTTATCACACCGTCCCACCATCCACTCTCTGTAAAAGAATCATTAGCAAGTTTTGGTGGGGGATTGGCTGACGAAGCCTAGTGTTGGTGCCTGGACGACTGAAGCTGTCTCACAGACCAACGAAAAACACTCATTATGACATGTGTCTTGGAGGGAGCATACCCAGTTGCGTCAGGACTTGAATTATCTCGCCCTGACGAAAGGAAAGACTTGTTTGATCATCCGCATCGTAGTCGTACAAGGCGCGAACGTAAAGAGGCGGGGGAAGGTCCGGGCTGGCATTATACCCGTTCATGCCAGTGAGTTGAGCGGCCCGCCGACGAGGAGAGACTTGGTCGAAAAGCTGCGGGACGGAGGACTGAGACGCAGTCCGATGATGAGGACCGTGGGAGGAGGCATGCTGAGAGTTGCGACTAGGTTCGGTGTATTGGAAAGCGGCAGAGAAACCCTGCTTGAACGACTGACGCTGTCCAGAAGCTGGCGGTGCGACTCTCCGGGATGCTGTAGCCATCTTGTGCGATCCTTCACCTTCACCGCACTAGGTATCGGCAATCGGCACAGCCGTCAAGCGAGAAGTGTTCGGTGTGCGGTTTCGGCAGGCCCTCATGATCGACTGGGCTTCAGGAGGCAGTCGAGAACGCCGCACGAAGATGTTAGCGACTCATGCTGACCGTGATCCGAATGGGAATGTAGTGAGCAGAGACTTCGAACTGCGCCGTTGAGTGGGTTGCGGTCTGAGTGGGTTCTAGGGCTTTTGGATTCAGGAGACGGCGTCCCAGTGTGGGACAAGGTTGAGCGGGGAAACGAGTCGCTACTAACAAAACGCGACAATGCTAGCACAGCTTTGATGCAAGCGGTGATTCGTCGACTAGATTGCGTGTACGAGCTGCTGTGAAAGGTGGTATTCGAATATAGTAATAAAGGTAGGATAACAATCAGTGTTATCAGAGCAGGCACGACCATCAACGTGGGCAACGGCGCCGTTCTTTGTCTTTACCCCCACTCTGATCTGATACAGCCTGTCCTCACCTGATTGAAGCTGTACAATTCGATCCTGCTTGTTTCGTCACCTTGAATGTTTAATAAAGCCTTGCATGCCCTGGAACGCGTTTGACGGGACTATAGCTGACACCGGAGCCGCTACGGGGCAATTCAGCCAAGGGCGTTTACAGAGCAGGACGTGCTGCTTATATCACCTATTAGCCAGCCGAGACAGGTCGATCTTGAACTCCTGGTAGCTAACTCATGCAGGCACATCTCCAGACTTCAACTGCTGAGCCTGTCAGAGGCTTCGGCGTCATGTATCCTGCAGTTCTGTGCTTGAGCATAATGCTGAGTGAACCATATCTGCCGATGATGGACAAATTGGCTCTTGGTCCACGCATACGAGGGTCTCGGGAAACGGCTTGCGCACTTCATGTACGAAGGAAATGGTGTCTGCCTCTCGATATCTAGGTACTGATCAATACTCGAACTCTCTCAGGCAATGCTCCTCGAATTGCCTTGCTGCAACCTCCAGCCTGTGTCGCCGAATATATTTATTAACGATCACGAAACTGTAACGCCATCGACTCCAAGGCCATTCCTTGAGCTGTGCCGTGGGCACCGTCGACGCTTCGAATATCACGTTCTCCGAAAACCACCAGCAGTGCTCTCGGAGCGGATTATACTCCTTGCGTCTACTGCTGACCTCTGAGAGAAGATGCGCCATCCTCCTCAGATTCGGAGCCTCCAGGAGCGACTTGAACACCACCGACACAAGAGGAAGCGGCAGCATGTGTCGATCGGTGTAGGGTGTCCTTTGACCTTGAGAAGCAGGCGTACCCGATGCCAGGCCTGTGAACATGTCACTCATTTCGATCGGCCCGTTGGGATTGGACATGATTCTAATCCAGTCTCCAGTCTCTTGTCGATCCGCGATCATTCTGCATCTCTCCCCAGTCTCAACGTTATGAACCACAAATTGCACAAATTCGTGGCTCATGTGCGATGCTAAAGCTTTGACCCACGTGACTGATGTCACCTTCCATCTCGAATAGTCTGGCCCATTCTCACGGCTCACTTCGTGCTGGAAAGCAGCTATTGGCACTCTCCAGTCCAGGTGTGCGAAGGCTTTTGACTCATCACTGTTCTTTGAATTGGCCATCCTGCTTTCCTTGCTCAGCCTACGCGGTCGCAAATACGATGAGCTGAGTCGTGCACCCATGGCAGGGGAATCGTCCATAAGAATTTTTCCTACCGCCACATGTCGATGAGACTGAACGCAAGGCAGAAGCAGTGATGAAGCCGGCATCATTAGGCGGAGGATGATGATCAGAGGCGTGGGCAGTTTGCTGGTGCCAAATTGCTGGAGTGGAATGAAGCGGCACAGTGAAAAGTACGAGAGCAGTCCTGGCTTGCGGCAATTGCAGGAGGAGGAGTGCTGGTGTTGTGGCATGGCTCGAGGTTGTGACCCCTTTCCTACGGGCGAAGCGGTAAGCCTATGCGCCGTTGAGTCGGCCATTGCAATGCCTGAAGAGTAATGCTTCTCAATCAGCCCAGTTTCAGCAGGACTGCACGGCTTGCCTGTCCGTCCCAGGTACTGGCGGCACCTCACACGGTGAAGAGGCTTGGGAAGCATTGTGGTCTGAACCTTGCCCCCAAGCCCATGCAGATGGTTCAGCTAGTAGTGGCGACGGCGACAGCGACCGTGACACTGGCCCATAGATGTTCGGTCGGTGAGAACACATCTCTGTCGCAATCTGTTCATGTAGGTATAATTTACACATGGCCTCGTTGCCAGCGCGCCAAAGGACTCCTGCCATATACATGTACCACGCGTGGGCGAACCTGACCGTGATTGGTTCAAGGTGCTTCTATATGAATCGATGAAGCCCTACCACGTGCCTGCAGGCTTGGCCTCGACCCTCGTACATGCAGTCCGTTGAAGCTGCTACAGGCACGATGATCAAGTTTCCATACTTAGTGGGCAGCGAGGCAACTTTGGCAGCGTATGGCTCGGGCGAAGCCTTGTAGGTACCCATAGCTGAAGATCGGTGCAGATAGTAAGTGCAGGTGCTTCGCAAAGAACCCCTCCATGCACGCTGACGCCATGCATCAGATCACTATAAGAGTACGTGGCTGTTCCTCTCACTCATCCTGATCAGTGAAGAGGAGAAGCAACTGCAACGTATAGAGAAGAACACCCAAACGACCGTATCTCGTACTGCACCACCTCGTGGTTGCTCCCTAAACCATCCCGCAAGACTGCTTCGGGAGCACTTCGCGAGGCACATCTGCACAACCGCTGCCGAGACAGTTTAGTGATTGGTGGCCTTGATCTCCATGCACAGAGGCGTTATGCAGCGTTGATGACTCGGGATAAATGAGCTCGCTTGCGAGGTTCGTATACCTTAGGTAACTGCGACTGACATTCAGGAATCCTCCAGCGAACTAGGCGGTTTGACATTGAGTGATGTGCATGGCGTAAACCGTACCGCAGCATTTCTATACACGACGTGTATAATTGCGCTGACGTATAGTCCACGACTCACCCCGACTGCATCCATAGGACTGTTCTGTACAAGGAGAGCGTAACGCTGGACAACACAAACACCTCGAGCAGGAAGTCGTTGCGCGCCACAAGATGCTGCTCAATCGTGTCGACTTCGACGTCTTGACACTGGGTCAGGTTGGAGTGCTAGTCCTACTTGCTGGAGTAAGTGGCCCCTCCTGTCCCAAGAGCAGTCAAGCACTGCCTCGTCCGGGCTCGCTGGCAGTAGACGGCGTGCCTTGAGATCAGCTTGACCCCAAGGCATCACGATATCGATTGAATGTCCACACCTCTGAGGGCCAGCTTGTGCACATATACCGCCTCATCAGCCATACTTACAAGTTCGTATACAGATCCCACTGGTCGGCCTTTACAAAATCCTGCACAATCTCTTCCTCCACCCACTTCGCTCATATCCAGGTCCTCTCCTCGCCCGCGCGACGCTCTTCCCATCCGCCTATCACGCCATCAAAGGCGACTTCTACCTCTGGCTTTCGAGTGCACACCACGAGTATGGCCCCACTGTGCGCCTGGCGCCCAATGGCCTCAGCTTCACCGACCCGGCTGGCTGGAACGACATCTACAATGCGAAGCCTCAGCTACCTAAAGCGCAATTCAGCTTCCCGCCACGGCAGGAGGGGACCGGCGAAGGGATCCTGATGGCCACCGATGAGATGCATGCCAGGTTGAGAAGGCTTATAGGACCAGGGTTTAGCGGACGTGCTATTGAAGAGATGGTGAGTTGCCGCCTCCTCTTCCGCGCGGGACGTTGCTCCCGATGTTGAGAGTACTAATGTGAGTACAGGAGCCGGTACTGCAGCAGAAGACGAGCTTGCTAGTCGAGGGACTGAGGGATGCGGGCAACCAGGGAGAGGTCCCGCTGAATATGCAAGACTGGGCTCAATTTGTTGTCACAGACATCATCGGCGTGCTGGCCATGGGTGTCGAGTTCGAATGCTTGGAGAAGAGAGACATCATAAGTGGCCCAGCTTACTTAATTCCTCCCTCAAAACGATGATGTGGGTCAATGTTCTGCTGAGATTTGGCATGGGTAAGGTCGTGTCGACCATGATGGCATCAAAGAAGGCGAAGCAGGTGGCGGTCGACTTACTTGGGCAGTCCCAGAAATATGTGCAGGAAAGATTGGAGAGGGAGAAGACAGAAGAGGGGAGGAAGGAAAGGGACATCATTGGCTTGATCTTGAGGGACGATCAACATGAGAAGGACCCGTTGGCGGAAGAGGAGATCTATACTATGTCAGTCACGCTGGTCGGCGCCGGCAGTGAGACAACCTCGGCGGCGCTTACTGGGTTGATGTACTATCTTGTGCAGGATCCGGGCACGCTGAAGAAGTTGACTGCTGAGGTGAGGGACGCTTTCAAGACCTCCGAGGACGTCACTGTGAAAGGGGTCGCAAAATTACCGTATCTGAATGGTGCGGTAGAAGAGGGTCTGCGGCTCTTCATCCCAGCACCATCGTTACCGCCAAGGGTGAGCCCTCCTGGCGGACATACAGGTGAGTTCAGCCAATACTGCAGAATTGCTTCGATCGTTGAAGGAGTAAACCGTGCCACACGGATCAATCTTCCGACTTTATGCCCGCAGCGCATCACTACTGACTCCTTCTGTCAGTGAACGGTGAATGGATTCCAGGCGGCGTCAACATGGTTATGGCCAATTACCACAATTCGCACTCGGATCAATACTTCTCTGAAGCCGAGAGATTCAGGCCAGAGCGATGGTTGCCTCGAGATGCTGGCGGGACCGACGGCCTTCATGTTAAGAATGCGTATCAAGCCTTCAGCTATGGGCCCAGAAACTGTGTCGGGCGATTGTGAGTGTCCTTCGCTCGCTACACCAAAACGAATGTAGCTGACTTGAACAGACTGGCTCACACGGAGCTGCGGCTTATACTAGCAAAGATGGTCTATGATTTCGACATCGAGCTTGCTAACGAGGTGACAGAATGGCTTGAGTCGGCCAAATTCTTTGTGAGCAGCTGTGTCCTTGATGCTGATGATTCCGCTGACTGATGTGTCCTACAGATCGCGTGGGAGATGAAGCCATTGTTGCTCAAATTCAAGCCGAGAGTTTGATGGTAGAAATGGTTCGCGCTCAACACTGCTTTAGCAGATACGTCCAGCGCCCAACGTCTTCTTATAGGGTCTTCAGCATGGCTGCGATAGTATTCAACACATTTTGCACCTCCATTGGCAGCACAACTGTGATGATTGTGAAGTCTGTTACAGATACCGGGATATGTTGCCACCCCAAGGCATGTGTGTCTCCGCCCATGACAGTCTCGCGAAAACCGAGCCCTCGAACCTAGTAGTCCCCACAGCTTCCCTCAGTCCCGGTGACGATGATACAGCTTCGGCAGCCTCCGGCCGGCGTGTTGCTCGAGCAGTCGCTGTTGCTCGTGCATGGCGCTCCACAGCCTACTTGACGGATTTCTAGGCCCTCACTTCCTGGCATTGCGGCGCCGAGGACCTACATGTGGAATCGTTAGTGCGATGGCGCTCGTGGCAGGCGAGTATCCGCGAAAGAGAAAACACAAGGAAGCGCCACAACAATTTTCAGTAATGATGACAAGAACACATACATTCGAGGCTTCAGCGAGGACGACCAGCAGCCGGACGATCTTGACGATAGACAACATCTTGTCTGGTGGCTGGGCGTGATTGTGCTGAGATGAGCGGGATCTGTGATTTTGTGTCTCGGACTGATGTTCTACGAGGCAGGACTGACAGGCACTAACATCAAGGCATTCTTATATACCCTCAGATGCCGAAGCCCGCCTCACGTTGCTCAACCAATCGATCTCGAGGACACAGTCTCATGGTCTCCGAGGGTTCTAGGGTCAATCAATACACGAATTCACTGCGGCGACATCACGGCCACTTGTTCGTGCGCTCAGTAGCCTTGAAGCTTCGAGGGCACGATGTTACCGTGCTATATACTCGTGGGCGTACATTGACATAGCATTGGCTGTCTGCTCGGTGTCGGTGCTGCTAGCCTCTGTCCACGTTGTCAATCAGTACCTCAAACAGTGGGACGTACCAGCAGCTCCGTCACCGTAATGGGGAGGCTCGAGAGGACAAATCGCAACGTAAGCTACCACACGTACGAGCTTGGAGCCGCTGCCGAATGCCAAGCGCGGAGTCGCCCAGTGCTCGCAACCATATTGATCATAACCTGCAGTATCGGGGTCCGTGGATGGAACTCCGACCTGTCTGGACATCAACAGCCCGCACGTGCTGATGGCCTTAGTCTGCACATCTTCTGGCGCTCAAGGGAAAAGTCCATTTGAGGCATCTTTGTGGAACCGATGTCTCCAAGACCATATCTCCGCTGTTTGCAACGGCTTTCAATTGAAGGACTAGCTATGCATGGAAAGATGTGCTATGAATCCACAGTCGTGGTGCAGTGGTGGACCCGATATGCTGATAGTACTATTGTACACAGTTGAGACCCTTGGCTAGGACCTAACAACAAAGTAGAAACGTCAATCATTCGTTGGGAAAGCATCCTGGGACACCTTATGTCCATAGTGCCATCCAACGCATGCGGTCAACTAACATGGCCAGCGTGCCATGCAAAGCCACCGCTCGTCTAGATTCCAGCAGAGAATACCAGCTCTCGGATAAACGGACAAGGTATCATATTAGGTGAAATTATGATGTCGAGGTTTTGTGAACGGCGATAAGAATTGACGCGGGCCAGACCGAAGGGCCTACTTAATAGAGAGAAAAGCTGTGTCTAGAACGAAGAGAAGAGTCGAGGCGCGGCCCCATCGGGTGCTACAGCGTCGTTCCAGATTCTGGCGGAAAGGAAGTGTCGTGTATGGATATAACGCCGTTATGCAAGTGCAAACATGCCGGACACATAAAAGAGTTGAGAGGAGTGGTTGCGCTGATATTAGTATGTTGTCTCCATCGCCATCATCGATTGATCGTGCATCTGAGGCAGACCAGAAACGGCGGACAGGTCAATCTCGTCGACATAGCCTATCAACGCTTGGGCGTGGTGCTTGAAGGATTCGCCCATAGTTTTGGAGATTCTAGACAGGGTTAGCGTGAATGATGAGAAGCAGGCGGAAATATCACTTACCCCCAGACGACAACACCATCGAGCATAGTGCCCCATACTCGAGCTACGGTCGAGCTGAGTCGAGAACCATTGGCATCGACTGCCTCGTCGTCGAACAAGGAGCGCACTTTCATGTACATAGCCAGCTCTTCTTCCGAAGCTTCCTGGTCGTCGTGCTCAATCCTGTAGAGCCAGAGACTGAGGATGGTGACAAGGTCAAGGCCGCAGAGATACTGCTCCACGGACCAATTTGTAGATGAGGTCTTTGTGATCCAGTTGATGCCCTGTATAGCAACTATTTCGATGCAGTCGTAGCATTGCTCGATGACCTTGATCATCTCCTTCGACCTTTTCACATTCTCCCGAGATAGTGTCATAGCGGCAGCGATCTCGTAAGGGTTGTGATAACGAAGAGCCTCTTGGACTGACTTGAGATCCACCTCCAGGAATGCGCGTATGTTGCGATATACAGCCATTGAATTGAAAATCAATGGATGGCTCTTATGCGGTGTGCTCAGAGGAACGACAACTGTCTCAGGCTCGCATTGATCTAGGGATCTCTGCCATGTCTCAAGGGCAATGCGGATCTTCCATTCAAGAACGACGTCTTGCAGCGATTCGAAGCTTCGTCGAAGATTCCACACCTCGAGGTACAGGGCGTTAATCATGACGCGAGTGGCGAAGGCACTGTAACGAGTGGGATCTCCTTGAAACAGGCTGTCGTGAGCTTCTCGGACAGTGATTGTGGTAGACAAGCCGTAGATTTCGTTCCAGGCCTCTTCATCCGCAGGCTCGCTGTTCCACAAAGACTCCGATGACGGCAACGGGAGCGAGTCGTACTCCTGGAAGTTGATGGCTGGTGTATGGTTGTAAGTCATGGTCAACATGCCGAAGAATATGTATACTGCATAGTAGGTACGGCGACAGCTTCGTCAACAACCCACTCAGCGTGCGTAGGTGGGGCGTCGCGACGAGCATCAGTTCGCAATTTCAGTTCGTATCTGTTGCCAGCCACCACCTGCAACGATTAGCGACAGTAACAAACGGGTATGATTCGACTTACGTTCGCCAGCAAACTCTTCATAGAGCAGGCCCATTCGAGGCCCTGTGATCCTCCACTCCAGCTCTCGAACAACATGTTGAGGAGGGTGCTCTGCATGCACCACAGAGGGCATTTTCGAGAATCGAAATCGTGTCGTTTCGAGAGGAAAACGCCGACAAGCTTCTTGGAAGCGTGGTGCAAATTGAATGCTTGGTCTTGTTCGAAGTTGTATAGAGCGCCGATGGACAGGACGGCAAGTAATAGAGCGGGCTCGGCGGTCTCAGGCTGGAATGAAACAGGGTGTAGGAACGGCATGTGGTGATGGAAGAGATTGAAGTACGTTGACAGGTAAAGATTGATCGAGGCGGTAGCAGGCAGGGTCATACCTTCTTCCAGCTTACCGGCAATGGTTGCCCGCTGTTGATCACCAGGTAGTTGCGGAGCTTTGGGGAGTGTTAGTGCTTGGCTGGGTCCAGGCGACCGACGATAGTTGACAGGAGACACAGGTCCGGTCATGGAAGGGAACGGCGAGAGGGCGTGAGCTGTCGGACTTCCTGCGGCGAATGTATCGGTGAGAGTTGGAAAGGCGGTCGGCATGGAGACTCCCAGAGAATCCTGTCGCTCCATAATGTTGCCGAGTTGCGACTGTGCTGGCTGAATGGATCCCATGTGCACGAACGGTTGCTGCGAACTGTTATCTTCTGAAGACGCGCTAGAGGTTACAGAATGTGCCTTTTCGTCGCCAGTGGTGGGCATGAAGTCCCAGGGCATCTGCGGTATACCAGTAGGCCCAGTCAGGTAGTCTCCCGGGTCGAGGACGGAACTGCGATCGGGCGAGTATTCTGGTATCGAACCTTCGTCGTTATGGAGAGCACCGTTCGCAACTGCAAACCCTTTTTTTAGGTCGGTCATCAAAAGGGCAGCTGTTTCGAGGTCGATCATACCCTCACTGCTTGCTTCAATCTGCTCTATTGTACCCGGCTCGATGGAGATGGCTGGCTTGGACGGCGTCGTCGTTGAGGACGATGTCTTTGGACCGGACTTCTTGCGTGTCTCTGGTTGCAATGCGCGAGCACTATCCTTATCCACAGAGTGAACCGTTCGGTCGTGCCGAAGCAGGAGATCGCGTCGGACGAAAGTCGACTTGCATTTCTGGCACTTGAAAGGACGTTCCTTGGTGTCTGTGGGCAGCGATGTCAGAATCGGCGGTGACGAAGGTCGATAGTCCCATCACTGGGCTCGAGCACGAGACAAGGGCGGGCGAAGTCATTGCATTGAGGGGATCCGTGCTTTTGGTCCTTGATGGAGGGGCGATGAGGGGAGGGGAGGGCTATTGATGGAGGGGTGATGCCCACGCTCGGGAGAAAAAGTTGTGGATGGGACTTACGCGATCGTTCATGGCGACTTCGATGCTCACTTCGACTGAAAGCGCGGTTACAGTATTGACATTTATACTTCTTTTCGGCCGGCAGCGTCTTCTTACCGCCGTTGGTGGCGGGGGCAGGGTCGGAAGCGGTCGCATGTCGAGTCTCAGCCTGCGCGCAGGTAGAATATCTTGACCGGACGGACGCTTCGTCGCAAACAAAGATATTCAATGCCCTTCAATGCCTTATTACTCGAGATTGAGACGATATGAGGAGGTCGTTGGGCGTTGGAACATGCCGTTGATGGTGGTGAGCTCAGAGCGTAGTCGGTTCGATTTCGGTTATGGAGCTAAGTGAAGACGCAAATTGCCGATGCGAATCACGTGAGTTGGTGGCGCACGTGTATTAGGTGTAGTATAGTGGTGATCGTACACAGGTGGTTTTACAGAAGTCGGGCGCAATTGTATGATGATGGTGGTGTAGTTACAACAGTCGATGAATGCAACAATCAAGAAGATGGGTGAATTGAAATTCGACAAGTTTTCGAGGGGGAGGGGAGGGGCGCGCTCTTGCTCGCCGCCAGAACCTCCCATGCTAGGGAGGGGTCGCGTTCCGAGTCAAACCAAGCAAGCAAAAAGGGGGGATGAGCCACCCACTCGAGCCACTTCTCTCTCGGAACATTCTTCCTGCTGTAACCTGTTCCGTTGTGCAGAGTAGGTACCGTACTGTCGCTCTTGTCGTAACCGTCATGCAGCACAACGTTCATTCCTCTGTATACATATTATATCGTCCGTGATGCAGTAATGCTCATATCGAGTCTGCGACCGTTGCCGACGTGCTCCTTGGAATCAATGATGATATTGCCATCATCGAAATGAGGCAAGACCACTGGCAGAATAAGGCGTATATCCGGCTTACCAGCCCCTCTATTTTCCTTCCACGCGGATTATTCTGGAACCCTGAGGGGCTCTCAGAGAGTCCATCGTCTAATTCGGACCGTGCCATTTCCATGCTGCGACGCCCGACCTGACCTGCCAGTTATCCATGATGATGCAGCTGCGCAGTCGAGATCTCTACTACGTCGCTGTAGCATGTACAGCTTCAGCGCGACACTGCTAAGTGAGATTCATAGCATGTTGTCGGAATTGTAAGAACTCTGAACCGGGCAAACGTGTTTGTTCCTGCATTTTGCAGCGATCAACGATCTTGCTGGATACTGGTGGGTCTCATGCGTGGGCGCTAGCAATCCAAATGGGTACCGCTACCTACTTCCGACCGCCCGAAGCACCAGTGGGTTGGAACAGGCCAGGGTGAAGTCTGTGGAATAACCGTCATCGACCACCATCTTTCAGCGATTGAAGAACTTGAAAGGATCATAGCAACGACTGTAAGTAGTAAATACTTCGCGCAGCGTCTCGCCGTCCTCGGGAATTAGTTGCGACATCAATTCATTCACCGCGGCTGGCACTGGATACGACTCTTGGGCGATCGGCGCGGGCTGAAGCGCGCTCGTCACTATCATCACTGGGCGGTCGTGTCGATTCGCGACAAGCAAACGGCGACGACCGCCAGCCAATTGTTCTTCGATTGAGATGTGCTCGGAAAGTTGAGACTTCGAACTTGTCTTGCTGGTTGGAGACCATACTTCGTAGTGGATGACAACCTCACAACGTGTCAGCGGCCCGAAATCCCCGGGTGTCCACCCTGCTTCAGGTTGGAAATTGGCCGTTCAAATTGCGAGCGGCCAAGCATTAACGGCAGCTCAATTGAGCTGGCTCTTGATCGCAACGCACGGGACTACAGTGCGGGAATCTGTGTACTTGCGGCGTAGATATCTACGTGTGATGTTTGAGAAGAGAAGAGTTCCTGTTGCAGTATGAGGAGGCTTAGATACTTAAGTAGCCGTTGGAGCTGTGAAGATAGTAGACATCCCATGCCGTGGCAAATAAATCTACCTGTGTCTTGCAGCCGTAGTCTTGACGCAAAACGCAAGAAGCTTACTGCCTTAGCACAACTTGGATCAGTATTTGGTAGAGATGAAATCTGTGTCGTGGGTGTGAGATCATCTGTATCCGCCTTGACAGCAACGTCTTACCGTGGACTGAAAGATTCCAAGGTCATTGTTGTGAGAATTTCTGGGCGATGCCTAGAAATGCCGCCGCGGGTCAGACAAAAGCTTCAACCTCCTGATTGGGCAGGAGACCTTCCTTCTCAGTTGCATGACTGCTGAGCTATAGAACCCTCCTCGTCAGGTACACAGTTGTTTGATATCGTTCTTCCGGCGTCAGGAGGGCCTCCGCGTTCTTTATAGACGCGCGTTTCTGGTGACCACAGTCAGCCCACTGTTATGCACCAGAGGTCAATCTAGGGCCGAAGCATCTGAAGCTGCAGCACGATTCGTAATCAGTAGGTCTCAAGGTGACTAAGTGTGATCAAGGTGTTGGTGGTGCCTCTTTTCGGACTACTGAATGTCCTTGAGGTGTTCGTTGATATGTGCTTTGTGATTTCCAGCTTCTCCGATTTAATACACTGATCCCTTTGTGGTTCTTATGGGTGAGGTTAGAATCGCTCATGTTCACACGTCTCGTCATTGTTAGGATCTGCCTGCGAATAGAGATCATATACAACCGACCTCCAGACTTCAGGAGCGTCTCCAACAGCGCCAGGAAGGTCACAATGGCGGCAGCAGAGGGTGGTGACCACTATGAGGCAATCATCGTGGGGTCTGGTCAGGGCGGCACTCCCCTAGCAGCAGCCTTTGCGAAAGCTGGCAAGCGGACGTTACTTGTTGAGGAGAAGCATATCGGTGGCAGTGAGTCTTCTAAAGCGGCACATGGGGCAGCCCACCGACGTGGTGGTCATGTCAGACTTCGGTGGCTACAAGAATTCGCTAATGTACTTCGCATCTAGCCTGCGTCAACGAAGGCTGCACACCCACAAAGACAATGGTCGCCTCTGCCCGGGTCGCCAACCTCACAGTCCGAGGTCCCGAATATGGCGTAAGGTACAAACGCAGTTCGCTGATGCTGGAGCTCGACACAGTAAGGAAGCGAAAGCGAGACATCGTGGAGAGCTTTCGTGGCGGCAGCGAGAAGCGACTTGCGTCAGAGGCGAACCTCGAAGTGCTTCACGGTCGTGGCAAATTTGTGGGCAAGCGGAAGCTGGAGATAACTTCGACAGGCACATCGAGCCCTGGATTCGTCGGCAGTACTCGCACAGTCACCGGATCGAAGATCTTCTTGAACGTCGGGTGTCACCCTGCTCCATTGAATGTCAAGAACGCAGACAAGATACCCCACTTGAACAGCACGACCATCATGGAGTTGGCGGAGGTGCCGAAGCACCTTATCATCATCGGTGGGGGACCCATCGGCTTAGAATTCGGACAGATGTTTCGACGATTTGGAGCGAAGGTGTCGATAGTCCAACATGGGCCAAGACTGCTTCCCAGGGAAGACGAGGATGTTTCAGCGGCTGTCAAACATATCCTTGAGGAGGACAATATCGATGTTTACGTGAACGCAACAGTCCGCGAGATCAGCCGGGTGCCTACTGGGCTGACTGTGGTCAGTGTGGCATTGCCGAAGAAGGCGTCGGCGGATGAGGAAGAGATCAGTGTCAAGACTTTGACGTGCAGTCACATTCTCGCCGCTGCAGGTCGAGCGCCGAACACGGCTGAGCTGGGTCTCGAAAGTGCGGGTGTGGACGTCGACGGCAGAGGCTTCGTAAAGGTAGACGAGAACCTCGAGACTTCTGCCAGCGGCATCTACAGTCTTGGAGATGTCAACTCAGGGAGCCCGCAGTTCACACACATATCGTACGACGACTTCCGGATCCTGAAGCACAACATATTAGACAATCCTAATGCGAAGCCGAAGAGCACAACAGGAAGAATTGTTGCAAACGTGACATTCATGGATCCCCAGATTGGACGAGTGGGGGAGACCGTGGCGAGCGCCAAAAAGAGGTGGCCAGGTAGGAAGTTGGCGATCGCCTCTATGCCGATGACTTGGGTTGCGAGGGCACTCGAGGTCAATGAGACGAGAGGGTTGATGAAAGGCATGGTTGACAAGGAAACTGGGGAGATTCTGGGGTTTGTTTGTGTGGGAATTGAAGGTGGTGAACTCATGGTATTTGCCCCGACTGTGCATTCTGATTAAGACTCTGCTGACCGAGCTGTTTAGAGTGTCGTACAGATGGCCATGCTTGGTGGTCTACGATATACGGACTTAGAGAACGCTGTATTCGCTCATCCGACTTTGGCAGAAAGCTTGAACAACCTATGGGGCAATCTAGAAGATTTGCCATGAGGCAGTAGCAAGGAGTACTCGACGCAGCATCCGATCGTTGCAGATATCAGTAAAGCACCGTGTCCCGATAGTATGCTTTCCGAGGACAGCAGGGGCAACCCTGAAGGGGCTCGGAATCTGGAAAGACGGAATAAACGATCCATTCAGGAAAGAAGACGCTAGCAACTGTGAGCAGTAGGGGAATCTTGGATCGCAACTTGGGCAAGTGTCATTCCCAATCTCTGTCCCAACTACCTTGCCTTTGTAAGTCATCATTATCTCTGCTTGTATCTCCACCCTGTCTTTGCTTCTGTCGGCCATCTTGAAGGCTGCCATTCCGACCACTCCCATGCCGATCGCCTTGGTCGACAGCATCATCCTCATCTGCACTGACCTCGAATTCCTCTACCTCTCCGTCTTCGCCACTACGATCGAAGTCTCTCTTGTAACGACCGCCCCAGACCCTTTCTTTGGGTGGGCGATCTCGTTCAGAAATTCGGCCTGAGGGAGTTAGCGTCGATAGGCTGGTCGCGCTGTGGCTATACGGGGTCTGGTCGTTTCTATCCAGATTCTGCGACTGGAAGAAGTGATCCTCACGGGGCACGTGGCGATCCGTATACTGTTCGTAGTGCTGTCGTTGATCGTACGCGCCGTCGAGACCTTGATCATACCGATGGGACCCATGGCTTGTTTGCGACTGCTGCTGCTGCTGCTGCTGCGACAGTCGAGCAGCTCTGACGCGCTCTCCTTCTTCTTTTCTGGCTTGCCACGTATCACTGACTTCCCAGCGCCATCCGTCGCCGGGCGAGTTACATATTGGAAGCATCCACGCCCACCACTGGGGTCCGAACACAGCGATGAGATTCCGCCGCCAACCGAGATCGAACGCATTGGGCAGGTTCTCGTCTTCCTTGTCTTCCATGTACTCGTTGTAGCGTTGTTGCTCGCGCGAAGTCTCGTACTCGTGAACGCCTAAGCGGTAGTTGAATCGTCCTGGCGGCGGCGGCCCGGCCTGAGAGTGTTGGTACGACGCACGAAGTGCACGAACGGCCGGCGTTTCGGCAGAGCCGTTCGGGTTCGGAGGATGGTCATGGTAGAGTTCGCCGCCTCCAGTCTCCTCGTCAACTGCCATAGTTGAAGGTCTAGCAAAGTTCGGCGTTGGGCTGACGCGCTCTTCGCCTTCCTCGAAGCGACTTGCTCCTGGCACAGCATTGGCGTGAAATTCAAGAATCTGATCGCCGGCTCGTCGGACCCGGTCCATAAGCTCGCCGTTCTGGTTTTGACCATTTGACCCACCGCGTCGATGCTGCTCCAGCCTGTTCCGCTCAACCCGACCGCGCACGCCACTCAAGTAGCGTGTCTTCTCGAGGCATTCAATGGTGGTCATTCCTCTGTAGCACAGCCACAGATGCCAGCCGGTGAACCCAGTCAGAACCACACCTATCAGTCCGCTGACTACGGCCAGCATGATGACATTGACGCTGGCAAATTCTTCGCCCAGATATCGGCTGTCGCCGAAGAACTGCCAGACCCATTGACCACTACTGGCGAAGCATGCATAGCAGAACATTGTGGTGTATATCAAGAATAGCACAAAACATTTGTAGTTCCTGTGGCCCAGACAGGTAGCCAGCCACGGGCAGTGGTGGTCCATCTTCAGCACGCATCGCTTGCATGTCGAGCAATGGTGTGTACGGTCTGGCTTTTGCGTCTGGCACTTCTTGCAGAACCGGGCCTGCCCGGACGAAGAAACGGTCACTGTCTGAATCTCCTGGTCGAAATCATCGTTCGCCGGCTCCGAGGTCGGCAGCACCGTGTACTTGCTGCCGGCATGTCCGCGGCTGCGAGAAGGCGTGCCATTGAGTGGCGAGCCCGGGTCTGTGAAGACTGCGATCGTGTAGGATGTGTTGAGAAGGAGATAGAAGATGACTCCTATCACGGATGTGATCTTGACGGATCTACCGGTCGAGACATTTTCGGGATTCGGAGTCCCCAAGCCGATGCTTGCCTCGACCCAGACTGCCCAGGTTGTGAGACTGTAGACAAAGGCAAGGGGGAAGTAGGTCGCTAGAGCGCAACAGAGGCGCTCAATTCTGTGTGCGCAATTGCGCAGTCTGCGGCGGGACACTGTCGGAGGGGGCGATGTGGACGGAGATGAGTACGCTGGCATCGATATAGTCGAGCTCAAGGAAAACAGTGCTGGACAGGAGTCGGTGTCATCGAGCGACTCGCTTGGGGCTGTAGTGCGGCGTATAGTCTTTAAGTCGGCGCTCTGAATAAACTTGAGAGAATGCAGAAATGAATGGAGGGCGCTGTCGGCCAATCAAAGATGCTGCAGATACTCTTCGAACAGCGGTACGTTTGTAATTCTACGTGATCACTGGATGAAGCAACTTGACAATGTGCCGACATGCGCGCCGCGGTCACTGCAAACGTCACCCGGCGAGGCGTAGGAGGAGTGGGGGCCAGAATGGATTCAGATCTATAAAATAACGCACTTAGCTGATGTCTTCACGGTGCCTGGGTTCATATATGATTTCGTTGATCATTCTACGTGGTGTGGAATGACTATAATTCAGCTTGGGTGTGAGTCGCAAGTTTCGCATTGAGAATATAGCTACTGCCGCCACGACCGAGAACTCAGAACCTTCATCCGAACATGATAGTGTGCTTCCTTGCGTGTTGGTGTTCTCGACTTCTCGCCCCAGCTATGCCCTCCGATTGGTGGTCAGATTGCTTTCTCGGGAGTCTTGACATTTTGAGGGTACCTGACCATGATGTCCATGTGGAGGAGCTCTGGCTCGCGCTGAAGGTAGATCTTCTTCTTGAACTCGAACCCCATCTTACCGTATATTATGACGTTGACATCGTGTGAGCTCTCGAGATAGCACACAGCACCTGCCTTGTCGGCCTGTCATCTGATCAGCATACTCTGATGTAGGGGTCGAGATCAGTCCACTGTACCTCGTTGATGACATAGTTCATCAGCTTCTTGGCATATCCTTTCCCACGAGCTTCGGCACGAGTACCGATGTAGTTCAGATACCATGAGTTCGGGTCCAGTTCGCCGAGAACCTCGAGCTTGGAGCGATTGAGTAATGGAAGAAATTCGCCGAACAACCGCTCACGACCCTCTCGCGACAGGAGCCACGCCATCCTCCACAAGCCCGACCTAAGAATGGTCCACCAGTCATCAATGTTCTTGCCTGGGGGCAACCACAGAGCAACGCAATCGTAGTTGTCACCAATGGTCAACACCAGACCGTTGAGACAGTGTGCATAGACGACGTACTCCATACTGGTCTTGTGCAGTTCGTACTTCTCCGCCTCGGACAAGTGTATTCGGTCAGGTGTGTCGACTAGTATCCGTCAGCTTTGGCCATCGTGATCTCTTTCCAACTTACCTGGGTATCTGACCACAGCATCGTCCCGAAAGGCTTCAGCGAGACATGCAGCGGCCTCCTTGTACTCATGTGGCCTGACGATGCGTACCTGATCCTTGCCGTGACCGGAATCGATCTTGGCCTTCAAGGTTGCCAAGTCGAGTTTAGCCTTAGGGGGAGGGACGTGAGTGAGCGCCGCATCAAGGACGGCTGGCGCAGCGGTAGTTGTGAGAGCCATGATTATATGGTTAATTCAATCTGTTCATGTCAGTTGTCCAGCGGACAATGTTTCCGGCCGCGGAGGGCACCTACCTGTATTCGTGTACGTTGATCAACCTCGATCACTCAATTGATCAACCATAGATCGCCCGTATGGGGACTTGACAACTGGGATCTCGAGACTGTACTGAGTCTCGAAGGGAAACGCAGGCAGATGGAATTGCGGATATCAACCGACATCGACTTTGAGAAGGAAGCCGTAGCTTGGGAAACGAGGCTGGTTGGGGTTTGACAGGTTGTAAGTGAGGCGGTAGCACAGCAGCGACAAGAAACTCGAGCAGGACTTATGAGGTGGTAGTACTGGTGTGAGTGAAGATAAGATGCAGTGAATGGGATGTTCGCTGTCCTGATATCGTTCGAAATGAGACTGAGGTGAGGCAGGAAGGAGCAAGGTCACCGGATCACGACCGGCAAGGGCGTGGGGTATTTCAACCGTCAATTATGCAGTATTCTCTGCGGGCTCTTTTTCGAACACTGTTTCATGCACTGCACGCCAATCGCGTTCTTACGAAGTATTATGGATCTTCAGCAGTACTCGTTGATATAGTGAAGAGGCAACGATGCTTCAACGAAGGTCAGCGCTCATCCTTGGCTCCACCTACAGAGCTCGGATGTACCTACTTCGTCAAGTTAGACACAGTGTGTCACTGGACGGAACTCTGACCCCAAAAACCTCCGTCTCTCGCTTCTGTTCTGTACAAATAGTATAAGTATCGACGGCACTCATGGGGTTGAGTCTTGTGAATGAAGGCTTCCACAGCATTTCCGACTGGGAAGCATGCAATGATCGCCAGCAGAGCACCACATACTGCCGACAGCTGCACGTCACAGCCTCACCTTTCCCGGAGCTGCTTCCACGCAATCTGTCAATCAGATCGTGACCTGACATGCGAGGGCGACGACTAGTCGATACGCGCCTGGGTCAAGCTCCTCCGCTTTCCAGGTATTGAGCTTGCCGTGAGATTGTTGCTAAGACGAATCTTGTTGCTGCTGACCTTGACAGAAGAGCGAGGCTTCTTCAATTTCCGGCGGGCAACCATGACTGGTACGCTCGATTTGGTCACAAGGTAATTAGAGAACGATCCCAGTAGAACGCCTTTGATCGAACTGCGACCTCTGGTGCCGACGATCGCCAAAGTGGGTTCCAGCTCATCAATCTGCGTGAGTTTGTGGTTAGTCATGGCTTTGAGATGTACAGGAGGAGACTCACCGCGCCAAGGACCAAATGCTTCGGACTCTTGCAATGTATTACCTCGATCATGCAACGAACCTGCAATGATGTCTTTCGGACAAGGCGGAGGAACGTCTGCGTGATGTCGTCAATCGCCTTGAGTCTTTCCATCTCCTTCTTGCCAACCCGCCTGCCATCGACGCTTCCGGACGCGCTTTTGGCCTCTGTTGCTGGAATGAACTTCGACATTGGTCGGTTCTCGCCATTCGTGGTTTGTCGTGTCAGTCCTTCCATGGCATTCATGGCATCCTTTCCGGCCTGCGCACCTTCGCCCAGCAGTTTCTCCTTCTCCGCCTCGCTAACACTGCCAGTGCTGTGGCCGCTGCCACCTGCAGATTCATCCACGATTGAATACACGCACAGCAATGTATCGCCGTCCCGCAGTATAGTTCCAACAGTCCATTCCAGAGCATACGTTGCCTCCACACTCAGGTCTGTACATGCAAGATATGTCCGTACGCTTCTCTCGCCCGCTTCGGCCTCTTTGTGAAATCTGGTCCAGTCCCCACGGAGGACCATACGGACGTGCCGATCTGCTACCTTGTCATCCAGAGGTGAAATACTGACTCCGAGCGTCTTGGCCTTTGCAATGTCATCGTCGTCGCCATCGACCGAACCGATTGTAGAAACAGATCCGCGACGTAGATCCTGGGCAGAAGTGGGATTCGGGAGCGTGACTTGGGGCGGCGTCTCGTTCAATGGTGTGACCGGTGCTTTCGCTTCCGATGACTCGCCATCTGGACTTGTTATGGATATTGATGGCTCTGGTGATGTGGGAGGCTCGGGATGCGATGTAGGACTGCTCTTGTCTTTCTCTGTCTGTTTGTGCTTCGGATCTCGGTGACGGCCTCTAGCGTCGTCCTCCGAGTCGGTCGAGTGATGCTCATCACTGCTATCGTCGACAGCATCTTCATCTCTCGCATCACCCAGTCGAGCTCGTTCTCCGTCGGATGAAGTCACTGTCGAGAAGCTGCCGGACGGATGATGATCGTGCTTCGGATGCAAGTGTGCCGGGCTGTCAGGCGATGGAGCTTCAACAACTCGACCACTTGGACTTCTAGAATGTCCGGCCGCTTTCTGTAGATTTTTCTTCTCTTGTTCCTCTTTACGACTTATGTTCATCTTGTCGATCTCTCCAGACAGCGCTGCTGCTAGCGCACCACTTCGAGGTGCATCTCGTGGGCGTGCAGGACCCGAGTCCGACATGGCTCGATGTGTCGTATCAGCTCGTGGAACCCCAACATAGCCTTGTGTCTCATCTGCATCTGAGTCTCCACGAGGTCGTGTGCTCGCAGGCGTAGCCCTCGATAGGACCGGACTGTTTGGCTTGCTTCCGTGCGACCTCGTCCATGTTGATGGATCACTTGGATCTAGCCTGGATGGGGCTTCTTTCTTCTGGCGAGGACTGGTTACACCAACTCCAATTCCAGCTATCGATCCATGTCTTGGGGTGGGCATGCCGGTATTGATTTTGCGCAACGGAAACGGCTGGCCACTGTTGTAACGACGAGCAGGACTAGACGCTCGATCTTTGGGTAGTGCAGCTATTGTCTCTCTGTTCTCTTCATCGATTGTGTCTGCCAGGCTCGTCAGCAGACCACTCGCGGATGCGTTGGACATGGTTGACGGCAGGCTGGCTATAGGCTCCTCAATTGGTGGGGCAGCAACTCTGTCACGGTTCCGCGTGCCGTCCGCAAGGTTCGAGTCTAGGCGAATTCGAGGCACACGACTCGAATCACGATCTCAATTCGCAGTGGACTGCCCGTAAGTCTTGAGGGTTTGGGATACCGGTACTCGATCAGTTGATGGGACAGAACACATGAGAAATGAGGAGAGCCTCATGCCACAATTTAGAGCACACGTGCATCTCTCACCGGGGCTGAGCAACTCAAGTACAAGCAATTCAGAAAGCTCGGCACTGCTTGGCTTTGCGAACAATACGATTGAGGATATGTCGACATCCTGAGCGAGTCAATCTTCAATCTGAGTGGCAGCACCAAGCAATTCATGCATCAGATAGTGAGGAGAAAGCTGCAAGATGATCTGCTGCAAGCGCATCCTAGTCAGAATCAGTGGCAGCTGCCAGTGTTTGGCAAGAACCACTACATGCAGCGGGGTGACTTTGGCGGGGAATTTGTCGTACTGGCAGCCCCTCGTTGACCCTATCCAAGGCACCTTGTGAATGATCTCATCAAGCCAGTCTGTGCATTTGGCCGGACTCGCGGGCCTGAATCACAGATCCTCAGTGCATCATTCGCCGAAGCAAGCTCGCGAAAATGCTGACCATCGTCCGCACCTGAAGCTCAGGCTCGGTCCAAGCATGTCTCAAGCTCTTCCAAGGTCTATCTCGTTCCACTGCCTGATGCCGGACTCGTAGATACCTATTGCGCATTCTCTCAAAATGTAGTCGCTCCCAGCCTCCTTGATTTCCACTCTACGTTCATTCCTGTCGTTTCTCTAGCTCACCATGCGGTCGCAAAGCTTTACAGCAGTCGCTGTGCTCGTGCTGAGCTCTAGAGTCTATGCGCAATGCAATACCGATCAGAATCCATACTGCGCAGGCAACAACCAGTTTGAGCAGCTCTGCTGTCCATATCCGAATGTCTGCTACTGTACGGGTCACTCCCAGTCCTTCGTACGGCAGTCATGCTAACGTTAGCGCACAGGGGCCGACCGGCAAGGCACGCCGGCGTGCTGTCCAGCAGGCACGGTCTGCCACGACTACGAAGGCATCACAGTGAAACCCCAGCCGATCTACACAACGATCAAGCCTACGACTGTCGTACCGGTGCAGCCAACGACGGTCTATTCTACCGTGGTCCCGGTCCCACCACCAACGACGGTCATCGTCACTTCCATCCAACCCTCGCCCTGCTGTCACACGGTTACCGAGGTGCAACCTCAGCCAACCCAAGGCGCTCTACCAACAATCACGATCACTACTCAAGGAGTGGTCGAGGGCATTGGGAGCACAATTGTGGCAGCAGGTTCCTCTGTGATCAATGTGTTTCAGGGCGCGGCTCCAACAGCGAGACCGTCGCAATGTGCCGTCCCAGTAGTCGGCGCTGTGGCTATTGCGGCAGCATGGCACTTCGGCTGAAATGAGCAGACAGAGTGTCGCGTCAACCAACATCAAAGGAGGAGAAACCTGCTAAGCCATTCGCGGAGTCAAGATGGCCATCAGCTGTGCCGACGCAGCTCATGCAGCGATCCTCGGACCTCTGGGGGCTATCGTCGATCTGCAGATGGACATATGCCACCGAGTTTCATGCGTCGGCGACATAGCAGCGAAGGATATGCTATTGCGTCCCAGCAGCAAGCTCCGCGCACGCTGCCAAATATGGCACTTCTGCGAGTCGTACGTACTTGGCGTTGGGCGGATACACTACTGCTTCAGCTCTTCTCTCACGCTGGTTCTGGCGTTTCAAGAGTGGCTATAGCCGCGGCTCCCAAGAACCTTCGGCCAGCGGACTGAAAAGCGAAGAGATTGTCCTCTATCGAGTACTTCATCGGCGGCTGGCGGTGCAGATTGACTGCGAAAGGCGCAGGAAGATCTGGCGCCAATGAGGAGGCCTTCGCTCGCGTTGCAAAGCAGTCTGGCTGCGAGCGCAACGAGATCGCTGTCCCATGCCAGCTATGTCCATTGATTCACAATTGGAAGTACTTTGATATCGATAAATGATTGGGACCCACGTGGCTGTCGATCGGGACAAACCTTGCATCTCGTATCGATTCACGAAGATCGGCCCCGGACTCGATCTCCGGCCCTGGAGTTCCGGCGCAGTCGTCATTCGCAACGCTATGATTTCACCACTTTTTTATTGTAGCCGCTCAAAGTATGCAGTCCCCTAGAATCGGATGTACATTATTGAACGGAAGGATAGAGCCTTCCGTGCCATGAGATGACACTGACCGCATCACAACTCGCCTAGAATTCGAACTTGGGCTTGAAATACCTCTACACGTCCACTAGAGTCTGCAACTTCCCCAGATATTTATCCCTAACTCCCTTCAAACCAACACATGCGGCGCTCGATTCCCACAACTGTACCACCTACAATCTTCGAAACATTCCCACGCCCTGCTCGCCGTGTCAGCCCATTACTATTCGCCCTGACCACGACCACAAGCACAAGACCAGCGAACCCTTCCACGAGACTTCCCACCAATCGACGTACATTCACCACCACACCACCCAGAATGACGACCCCATCATCCTTCTCCCAATACTCCATCCTCACCCCACCAACCACCCTCTCCGCCTCGGCCGCCGGCAGCAAGCTGACCGAGCCGCAACAACTGCTCGTCGCCTCCGTCCTGGACCTCTTCGCTGGCCACCCCTCCAAGCGCAAGCTCACGCTGTGGACCGACACCGCCTCCTTCCACGACCCCTTGACCAATGCTACCGGCCGGAAGCAATTCGAGGCGCAGTGGTACGGCCTGAAGACCGCCTTCAGCGAGATCGAGCGGTTGGGATGTGAGGTCAAGAGCGGTGGAAATCCGATTGAGCTGGGATTGAAGACGAGGTATAAGTAAGTCGTGTCCCCATCTACCAGTTCTACATTCTTGGAGGCGTGTGAAGATTTGCAGCTGACACGATATCTACAGGGTGAAGGGTATCGGCTCCGAGCAGACAATCGAGTCGCAGATCTTGATCCACACGACGGGCAGTGACAGCGATATGCGGATCACGAAGGTCGAGGATAAGTGGGACGGCGAGATCAAAGACGGGCCCATCAAGAACGCGCTGCGAGAATTGAACTCCAAGACCGTGCCAGTCATGGTCAAGGTTCCTGCCAGCGTCGAGGAGGAGGAGCGTGGGTCGAAGTAGATGCTCGGTCATGGGGCCTGTGCGGTATTGAGAGCATTGGCTGACGAACCACTTGTCTACCTGGAGCTATCAGAGCGCGCCCAGACTGAATGCATTATTTAGCCATACCATGAACGATGGTCATTGGGGGCAGCGCAGCCTCGTCCAGCATGTACTATATTAAAACACTTCGGACCTGAGTCGATCCGATTCTTCAAGAACGTAATAATGCAGCGTTTTCCTAGGAGTTTTCCCGCGAGTGGTCCTTCCACGGACCGGTGCGAGCAATACCGGCTCAAGCACATTCCGTCGTAAGCATCCCGTTTGATACTGTGGAGGCCTCATCAGCAAAGTCGCGATGCTGCTGTATCCCTCAAGTCCCATGTCATTGCTGACTCATGTCTTCATGCTCTCGTGCTCTTGTTTTATCTTCGGCGAACGCTGAGCCAGGTTTGTTCGTTCAAGTAAGACAGCGAGATCGCCCATTTCACTCTCCGTAGGCTGTCCCAGAGGTTGGCCCTTCGGCCTTCGCAAGGTACCATTCAATGACTTTGTCTGTCGTGGGCCGGCTTTCCTTTCCCTGACAAGCTTCGCCACTTCTTCGAGTTCGACTTCCAGATCATCAAGATCCACTTCATCTTTGCTGGACGCCAGCTTCTTTCTGAAAGCTTTAAGCATTCTCGTGGCCTGCTCAGCAGCCATCCCGATGCCCCCGAATTCATTGGCTTGGCTCATACTACGTCGCCTTTGAGTCAAAGCTCGCTCGCGAAGATCGTTGGGTATTGAAGGTGGTCTTCTTAAGCGAGCGTTATTAGCCTGGGCCTGGCCTCGGTGCGGCGTGGTTGGAGTGGAGACGGCCCCGGTCCTTTGCGGCGAAGGTGATCTGGCGCGTCGTTGCTTTGATTCTTCCGCATTTCTCGTGCCTCCCAGAGCAGACCTCGTCTTTTGGGGTGTCGATGAGGACATCGGGGAGTCTGGCGAACCTGGGCATGTCATCGCATCAGCAGCGTTGCGAGCATTATCACGGTCCGAAGTGTTGTCGAGCGCGTTGTTGATCGGTTCTTCTGTAATGCAAGTAACATTGAGGTGCGAATGTTTTCGTGCTAGTCGTGGAGGTGACAGTGATCGGGGTGAGCTGGGGGACGACTGTCCACTCGCTTGCGCAAACTCGAGTACTTCCACCTTGCTCAGTATCTTCCTCAGGGGTGCCATCATTGACGGACGTGCTTTGGACGGAGTACCATCTCCATCACATGGTTCGACAATTTGTGTCTGCATTCGATCAGACGCTGAACTCGGCAACAATGACGAGTTTCTCGCAACGTTCCAGATCATGATTGTTCCGTCAAGTCCAGTGGATACTAGTCTTCTCGTAATCGTACCAGAGTCTGGGTCGGAATCTTCAATTAGACACAGGTCACTAACGCCCTCGGTATGACCAGACTCCTTGGTGATCAACTCATATCTCTTCCCGTCATATATCCTGATGGACTTGTCGGTTGGCGAGCAGGCTAGAACGATGTCCATGGTTTCATCCACCGCCTCGCCTCTTGCACTAAAATGTATAGTGCCGAGCGAGACAGTATCATCATTTTCTGGGTCTGTAAGCTTCGTGGTCTCCACGATCATTCCAGAGACCAGATCGACGGTCGCGAGATGCCGATCGTTCGTGGAGATAAGCAACGAGTCTCGCCCTGTGAAGGCCATCGATAGCGGCGCGCTCTTCAGCGTCACCACACGCATCGAGAGATACGCCGATGCTTCGCCATCGTGCGCAGATTTCTTAGCGCATTCCCTCACAATGATCGTGCGATCAACGGAACACGACAGTAGCCTTGCGCCGTCTTTCGAAAAAGCCACACGGCTGACGGCGCCAATGTGGTCGTCCATAGTTTGCATCAACTGTAAGCCATGTGGTGTCAGAGAGAACAGCTGGACAGTGCGGTCGCGGCTGCAACTTGCTACGAGCGATGTGCCTTCATGGATGTCGAGATCATTAACCTCGGCACTGTGTGCACGACCGACCCATCTGGTCATTCCCGTAGTGAAGTCGTAAAGCTGGAGCACTCCTATCCGGTCTCCGAGAATGAACTGATCGCTAGAGGGGACTAATCTGGCGATTCGGAGCTCGTTGAGATCGTGTTCCATAGCATCATCGACTTGGTCAGGATCAGCACGTATGCTGTGAGTCATATCGCCACCAGTATTCCAGAACTTAATATCGCCTCGTCTTGACCATGTATAGAATGATCCCAATCGGTGTCCACCTGGCAGTCTTCGTACTCCCAGAATCAGGTCATTGTGACTAGCAAAGGTGACCGTTGGGCGGCTGGATTCTTCATCAGTAGTTTCGGTCTGCAGGTTGCCGTCGGTATCCAGACAGACTGTGTGTTTGGGCAAGCACGTCACAGCTGCTATCCCTATCGAGTTTCCATAATGCAGGCTGAGTGACATTCGGACAGCTGAAGATCGGACTTTCTTTTTTGTGGCTCGCGTGTTCATTATAGTGCCGTCATTTGCGCGAAGGGCGGCCAGCAGGGGCTCGATATCTTCATACATGAGACCATACCTGCCTCCCAGAACGATCCTATGTGTTGACGGCTGCCACGCAATGGTTGAGATGCCACAGTCGTACACCTTGAGGACCTGTACATCACTTGATCTGTCCGGTTCGAACAAGCAGAGATGGCCAGCATCCGTAGCCAGTAGTACTGTTCGGGTATCGACTGTGGCGATCGCCGTGAAAGTGCAGTCCACAAGTGAGACCAACAGTGCATTGTGCCCAATCAGAGTCTGAACACCCGGCTGCAGAGCATCCTTCCCAATAGATGCTCGAAGATGAGGCCTCTTAGTTGGCGTGGAAACCGAGCTTTCGCTGACATTCCAGGCTTTGACATGACGCGTCCCAGCAGTGATTAGTGCTTGCCCGCACCAGGTCATATCGCAGATATTCGTCGTGCATTTGTTCGCGGCATGTAGACTCAATTGACCCGTCCGCTGGTTGATTGTCCAAATGAACAAGAAGCCGTCATTCAAATTGCCCAGAGTTGCCAGATAGCGGCCATCTGGACTGAATGCAATGCACCTAACGCCGATTGTGTGGTCAGACACAATGGAAGTGGGTATGTCCCTAGAGGCATCCACTTCCCGCGAGTAGAGTAGCACTCGTGGCGAGTATCCAGATTCACCAACAGCGAGCCATCGACCGTCATTGCTCAACGCGACGCAGCTTATGGTTTTGATCCGCTCCCTTGCGGTCCAGGTCTGCAGGCTACCATCACCCTGGTCTCTAATCGAACCAATGCTTTTGTCTACCTCTCTAGGTTGGTTCGAGGAGTACAACGAAGTCCGTCGCCGCGTAGAAGTAGATGTCAGGCCGTTGTAGTGTGATACACCAGGGTTTATGGATGTCGTCGTAGGTCTCGCACGGTAATACCTTTTCGTCGTTTCACCATCCGCCTGGATTTCGGCGAGCACGGCTACAGAGCCAGCGCAATATGCGTATGTATTGTTCAGGGCGCATGAAGCGAGCCCTGGTGGGCTTGTCGTTGTCGCTCCTATCACATGTTGCAGTTGCAATGAAATCGGTGGCTGAGTCTTTCGAGGAGAGCGCGTTCCGGACCGCAGGTTAGATGGTGAAGCCGTTGGGGTCGAGCGAAGAGTAGGGGTGTTTCCATTCAGTCTCCTTCGAAGGTTATATGGTGTGGTTGCCATGTTTCAACTGCGCGCATGAACACATTGGTTGTCGGTTGACCTGCATCTCACTAGGGGGACTAGTATTGTGCAGCTGAAACACGCTCTGCAGTCAGGATCTCAGTGGATAGAGTCCTACAATGATCGATGTGTTGTTGCAGGTCGTTCTTGACGACCTTGGACCTGCATTCCTAGCATGCGGTCCCGCAATTCATGACTCCGGCGTACCTACCTTCTCAAAACATCTTACCACATTCGGCTGAAAAATCCTTGGCAGCTCTTTTTCGCCGGTAAACATTCCGCTAGCAACGTTCCGAGTCGGGGATCTTATCTTATCAGGCCGCTGTTCGCCCTGACTCCCAAAGATGAACATCGTTCGGGGATTTTTGCCACCGACCATGCTGCTCGTTCATGGTCGAGTCGCTCAGAATGGAGAGCGAAGGGCGCTGTTCCACCCGTCGGGAATGCAGCGCCTCTCACTGGGCAACATATCACCCAAGGCAAAAGTACTTCAGCCGAGAAGATAAACTTTTGGCTATGATTGTCAACGGACAACGGCGGTAGGAATGAAGACGCACCTGGCAGACCAGGCCAGCATATGAAGATTCTAATGGCGGTTCCGCGAAAGATCTCCGCTCGTGTCCGAGCGTTTCGAAAGATGATTGATAGATTTCTGGAAACCTGACTTATTAGACAGGGAGGTTCATGCCACGAGGTGCGGGACTGCGAGTGATGGCGCTTGAACCTATTACTTGAGCAGGGCAAAGGGACGAGAAGCTAGACCTTATTCAGCAAACGACTAGTCCTATGCGAGCAGCAGGTATGACAAAGCGAGCTCCTACCAGATACGGACAGATGTGTCACAGCTCTGCTGCGAGGCTCGCTTCTTCCGACTGTGGTGGGGTGCCTGCAAAAACTTCCAATCCAGGCCAAAACCTACTTCGCGATGAACACGAAAGGACGACAGCCACAAAACGTGCTGAAGCACCTTCGACGTGTCTTTGAGCCAAGCACGGATGCTCTCATCCGAGCCCTCGCTGTGATCATCCTGACTTGAAAGCGTCTAGAAGCAATCACTAACCGCCGAAAACTTAACCTTCTATCTGTAGAACTTCGGATCGTTTCCGCATTCTGGTCGCTTCGCAGGAGATATACCTGAAGAGGGCAGAGCCGTCCACCTCCGCCCGTCCCAGTGTGCCACGTTGGCATTTCCCACTTTACCAGCATCACTTGCAAGGCGATCAGTGCATAACGCAGCCGTTCATACAGTGTGGTGTTGGGGTCCAAGAATCCATAATTGGTTGCTGCTTTGGGCAAGTGGACTAGTTGACCCAGAGGGCTGGTATCCCACCGCCTTGCAGACGGCACGACCGCTTGGAGGTTTGCGCTTCCGTAGTGCGCCTCAGCAGCGCCATCGCTTGGACGAGTCTCAGTCAATTGACCTACGTAAGGGGTACAACAAAAGCACAACTGCAAAAGTAAAAGTGGTAAGTACCGCCAGTGCAACGATTTCGGCGGAACAGAAAGGCAATCGACACATGCCAGTGGTAGCCCACCAGAACTAGCGGATTTGGAATCCGTTGTGCGCATAGGAGCAAAGTTTACCATAGTTCGCCGGTACGCCAACCAACATTCATTCAACACCGGCCGGTAAACGGGACATCCGGTAGATGACGATGACGATAGTGTCTGGTGCCTGGTCATGCTAGAATCCCAAGGGTTTCGGTCGTACAAGTCATCTCCAACACCACGACGGCCAGTTCTAGAGCTCTCATACTTGCTTGCCCGGGCATCTCGAGCACAGTGTTGACCTTTGGGACGATCCTAGAGCACGAGAAATGGGTCGTTTGCGGAAGACATGCCAAGATGAGTCGCAGAAGGAGGAGGGGTTGGCATTCCTTGGGTGGGGGCCTTCATCCAATAGTCCTTTGAGCCCATCAAACTCATGCACGCCATGTCACCAACATACCCTGTCGAAACTTCCCATGCAGCTCAACCCACCTACCCTTTCCGGCAGTGGATGTCCTTCGCATGATTCGCTGTATCGTCGACCGTTGGCACTGAAGAATGGATCCTCCGTATTCGCCAAAATGGCTGACATGATTGTCGATGCGCATGTAGCGTGTGTCTGCTTACAGCCTGCGATCCTGGTCGGAAATCCATAGGGAACATGGGTTTGCCGAACCGAACGCAGCCAAGTTGTGCAAATCACCACACGTACTGACAGGCACGCGTTCCGCTTAGAGTCGTTGCTTCCGATGAACGAAATAATCTCCAGAGTGGCTCCGATGCGGATTAGACTCGGAACGAGCAATTGTCTGCTTTCGTGTTGGACGATGGCCTTGCAAGGCACACACCGCAACACGTTTGGTGGCGCTGGGGAGTTTTGGTATGGGCGAGGGGCTGCGACCGCGGTGAAGTTCTGACACGTGCACAGAGGAGCGAGGCTCGTGAAAAATTTCATGGGCGCAATCTTTTGTACACTATCCGCAGGATGGATTCCAATGGAATGCGTTCTACGATACTACCTCCTGGTCATCGCCGAATGTTCACCAAGCCGTCGTCCTCAACTCGTATTAGCCGTATAACAAAACTTTCGTGCCTCCGATCGCTGCAGCTTAATCCAGCATCACGACATGGCCGCCTATCAGTGTTCGACCCCCTCAACTATTCCTCAAGTTCGCTCACAAAGCCTGACCCAAATGTCGTAACAAGTCGTACCTGCGAAGGTTTGATGGTATCTTTCCGTGTTGCCCCCAAACGCCAATGCATGTAAACAAGCAATCTGTAAGCCGTAGCAGAAGGCCGTTCACAATGAGTCTTCGAATGAATGCAGCGCAAACTCCGCATTCAGGTCTGCTGCTGACTTGTCGAAGTAGCTTTCGGGACCTGTATATAGCATGTCGTGCGCAGCAAAGGCGTCGAATTTATCGAACTTCTCGGGCATGAGCATCTCAGAGAATGATTGGTCCTGACATGAGCGTAGGGCATTGAGCTCTGCATTGAGTTCCGATATTCTCGAGTTGAGTCGTGATACTTCGCCGGCTTGGCGGCTGAAAGATTGAAGGAGGTCTTGGTGCTTTTCGTGGAGGTCTTCCAGTTGATTCTCGAGTCCCTTCACGTGCTTTTCTTTGCGCTCCCGGAATGCCCTCTGTGAAGCTCTGTTCTGTGCTCGGCGGCGCTGAGAGCACGTTAGGACACTATCCGTAGTCAAGCTGAGGAGGACTCACCAGGTGCATATTTGTGAGGGTGTCCTTTTCCTTCGTGCTCGAGCCGGACGTGCTTCCAGATCGACGCCGTCTGCGATCGCGCTCATCGAGTGTGCTTGATCCGGTGTACTCGATAGCGATCTTGCGTTGCCGGACGGGTAGTACGACGATGGAGTTGTGCCGTAGTTGAACATATCGTAGCTGCCGTTGAAGAGCATCTGATTTACGTTCTGGCAAATTTGTCAGTGTACTTCCTAACTCTGAAGTATGACTGAGCTTACTTGAGGCGAATCTGGGCTGGAGCTCTCTGAAGTGGAATCGAAATATCTTCCGGAAGGGTAGACTGTATTTTGTCTCGGGGACTGTGAGGGACTAAATGTGAAGTCCATGGCGTCTGGGATGGCGATTGGGAATTCGATGTGCGGTGGCGAGGGTCACTGTCCTTAAGATCGTAGAACGTAGTTGTGAATCTCGACCGACGGTTGATGTTGGACGTTCAATGAATTCTTGCAGAATCAAGAAAGGATAATGGTGATCATCAAGGGTCCGAGGACAACACGTTGACTTAATAAGATATGACTTTGAATGAAGGCGTGCGTTTTGCTTTGATCCATTCAAGCGCGTCGCTTGCCAGGGCGGGTGTTCTGCAAGCAACTGTGACCTGGCCTTTACACCCCTGCACGAGATCTATGGCTTTCGCGACGTGCTTAACCTTTTACCTTCGAAAGCCGGCATCCACGCCAGCGACCACCCATGCTGATAGCTCGATTACCCAACTAAGCCTTAGTTTCAAGCCGCCCAGCCAGGGTGACAGCTGTGGACAGTAAGCAGCCTAACGACCCTGAATCCCGTGAGTCCCAGACTTGCGGAACTGCGAGCGGTTTCAGCGCCCGGTGCGCATTTAAGGCGCCTACTGAATTAGTCCTAGCCTCAGCCTTTGCCGAGTCAGTCTGCAGGACCACCCATGCCATGCCTCGCTATAGTAATGCTCGAAAGTCTTTGTAATATTGCCATGACGTCGACTCAACTTCGGCCTCGTTCGTCGTGCGACTCGAGAACTCCCTACGACAGCCTTGTCCAAGCCTTCATTGTTGTATGAGCACTGGGAAAGTCCGCTGGATGCACAATCCCAGTGCCTAAAACGTTTTGCCGGCTGGCTACATCTTTTTGGCTCATCGTGTCTCACGGCGTCCCACACTAGTTGAGCCAAAGTCCATGTAACTTCCAGTCTTGCCTGGCGGTGTGGTATGGTGTTCTCCTCCGTCATAGTAGAAGGCATCATCAGATACTAGTGTCAATAATTTGTGTTGGGCCATGATCTGATACCGCTCTGACTCAGGAAGCCCTGACTTGTGCAGCCTCAGGCGACGCACTTTTGAGAGCCGCACCCGCCATCTTCTGCAAGGCTGATCAAGATCCAATGATCACTGCCCCGCCTCGTGCCCGTCGGTCTATGCAAACTCAGCTAAACCACATTTTGCAGCCCATAACCGCATTGCAATTGGCTCGTTTGCAGAAACTTGGCAAATCAACTTGGCGACCAGTCACCCTCCTAATTGAGACGAATTCCAGACTTTCTAATATACACGCAATGCTCTGACTCGGGTAATATTCTCATTGGATAGGGCAAGCAACCAAATGCTCGCAAAGAACTTCCGCATACGCAGTTGATGTCTTTGACAGTGATATATATACTTGTACCAGGTCTGTGTTCATCTGGACTCTGGAATCGCGACCAAAGACCTGCCGTCACTTCTGGAAGCCTCGGTAGCGTAGTTGGACCTGCGCAGATTCGCATTGTTCATGCGCAGGTCCCTGCTCTGCTCTGCTCAGACAATTCGTAGTCTTAGCAAGCCAAGATCGATCTGGAATGCTGTGTTCGTCACAGGTCAAGGACAGCGAGCTTGGCTGCAGCTCATGCCAAGGATTTTTGCATGTCAAGAGGTGCTTGGCCTTGGACAGACATGCGAGTTGCTCCGGTACAAGCTTCGCAGAGTAGCCTTAGTGATCACAGTAGGTTGAGAATCATTATGCATCGGACAAGAGTGCTGTATCAGCTTCGTGCTCAGAGAGAGTGATCTTGGCCCAGGTACAACACGATTAGGTGACGTGAACTTCTCTTCTCCGACCGGTGTCCTGCGGCCTTGACTCGGATGACCATCAACATCAGTTGGATCATGGTGTTGTTATGAAACGAGCTTACGTTGAATGACTAACGTCCGTAATGCCGTGGAGAATCTGGGGTTTGGATGACTCATGTATTGATCGAAACCGGGCCTATGCACAACGTTGCTTCCATGCTCCTTCCATTGGTTTGAGAGGACCTAGAGTCTGATGGTGACATCCTGTGTACGCAACGTGCTGTACTTCAATTAGCAGATGGATTTTTGCCCAAGCCTCGCCAAGCTCGAAAGCAAGAATTGCCTGATTTTCGTCGAATCCAGACGGCAGAAACCCTTTCCCAGGGAATGTCTAGACTCATTTGACTCTTGCCAGAAGGACGCGCGCCATGTTAGACTAAATTTGAGAGGTCCAAATTGTCCAGTGCAATTAGAAGCGAAAGGAATTGGCTAAGTAGATCAGATCATCCAAAAGATCGATCGTGAGCATTGCAAGGCCAGAGTTGAGCCTTGGATCATAGACAGCGCCCCCAGCGTCGTTCTGTCGCATGCGGGATGAGACGCGGCTTAGACATCTCGTACGAGCGGATTCCCAAGAACCTTCCATGATAACAAGCTGCATTCGACAAGACTTATTGCCTGCCAGAGGGTCGCTGTGTATGCACATCTGGGACAAAGGTCATCCACGTTGTAGTCGCCATGACACAAAGGTCCTGGGTGCGATTTTTAGCAACAATGTCTCCCGCTGCAGCAGACGTGCCAGAGAATTTCTGCAGCGCTCGGCCTAGGAAGGCGCCCCACGATGCATCGTTCCTACGACCTGACGCTGATGTGAGGCTCCTCTCAAGCCCATCTCGATCAGCAGCTCAATTGCGACCTTCAGCGCCTGCCTCGACGTAGAATCCCCCTACGCTTGTGGCTCTTGCCTGGTTGACCTTAGCGTTGACAAGCCCCATGGACTTTCATTTAGTTGGAGCATGCACGAGCTCATGTCGATCGATCAGTGGATCTGTGACAATGGCTGAGACCTGTTCGTGGGTATGTGCAGGCTTCCGAACAGAGATGAGGCTGGGTATTTGTGTAACGTCCATGGATGTCAAGTACTAATTATTCGTATTCGATGTTCCCGCGTGGTGCCCCGATTGGCAATTTCTTGCAGATCAAAGAACGGAAGATCGCTCGCGTGGCCTGAATACAGGTCCCAGCCAATAATGCGGAACCTGTAGAGGAACGCAAAGAAAAAGGGGTTCGGACTCGGGCGCCCAGCCGGGCGTAACACGTGCGTTGGGAGTGAACGGCCCCTGATCATCCGAACGCTGAATTCCGCGACCCAAAATTGTCAGTACGAGCCATGCTTCGAGGTGAATGATTTGCTGTCGTTTTCGCATAAGTAGTTCTCTGCTTCTGCTGATATGTCTGCCCAGGTGGGCTCTGGCTTCATGGTATACAGTAACTAAGAGGAGAGGTTGTGTTAGACGTTGTGGGGAGCACTCCCGCCACCGAAGTTAGGGATCTGTCGGTGCTTAATTATTGACTTCTGGTTTGACAGGCGATGCGGCCGTGAGTTCAATCAAGAGGAACCACGATATCCGATCCACCTGGCTAGCCGCACCCGGTATGATGGATCAGCAGAGAGTCTCGTACGCCAAAGCAGAGGCATCTTTTGAGACTCGTCGATCATGAAGATGAGGTCTCTAAGGAGCAGAGACGCCGGCAGCATGAGTTGTTGTTCGCAATATCGATGTTCGTGAGGAAAGAGAACTGCGGCTACGAAGGTAGTGCCCGTAGAAAGCTTGATTCTCTAGTAGTGTACTAGTGCTCCATCCTACGCTAGCCTGCGATTTCGAGTACCACGGCCGAAGAGCTCCTATCGTCCTTCTGACCCCAGATCATCTTCTTTCCAACTTGCGTGGCCGTGCTCTTGACGTCGGGGAGGTCTTCTCGTAGGTTTGAGTCTGTGTGAATTGGGTCAGCGCGTTTGTTCGATCGCCTTCCTACTTGCCTAAAATCCTGTCGGCCATAGCAACCCCCGAACGCTACGTTACCAACAAGAACGAAGACACCGACCACAACTGCAACTCGTCCGAGCGACTCGGTCAGCTGAGTATCGCGTTCAGTCACTCGGCCATGATCGCATAGCGTGTGTATCGTCCCGACAGTCCAAGCGGGTGCACTTTACTAGAAAGACTGCGCCAGAAAATTGTGAGGCACAATGGGTTGTGGATCATCCAAGCCCGATGAGGGCGATCGCGATGCCGCTCAGCGCAGTGCAAAAATCGATCGTCAGCTGCGACATGATCGGAAATTGGAGAACAAGACCGTCAAGATCCTCCTACTAGGTACGCGGCTTTGGTTCATGTCCACCCCAAGTCTGCTGACATATCATACCAGGTGCTGGCGAGTCGGGTAAATCAACGATCATTAAGCAGATGAGAATCCTCTACAGTGGTGGATTCCAAGAAGACGAAAGGATCCAAATCAAGGCTGTCATCTACTCGAACGTGGTTATCGCCTTCAGGGTGTTGCTCGAGATCATGCAGGAGGAGCGGATTGAATACGCCGACGAGAAAACACGGGTGCACGCCGAAGTCCTCGAAGAAGCCGAAGCTGATGTGGACGCTTTGCACGCATTCAGAGATATGCGCATAAGAGACGCCATGACTGGTTTGTGGAGAGATGCTGGCATTCAGAAAGCTGTTTCTAAGAGTCACGAATACGCCTTGAACGACAATCTTCCATTCTACTTCGCCAATATCGACCGCATGTTCGACCCAGATTGGATTCCAGGCAACCAAGATATGGTAAGTACCATGCAGGTCATTGCTCGTAGTGATGGTACTGATTAGAGATCTTCAGCTCCACGCCAGACTCCGAACCACTGGCATCACCGAAACAGTCTTCGAGTTGAAAGAGCTGACTTTCCGGATGATGGACGTTGGCGGTCAGCGGTCTGAGCGAAAGAAATGGATCCACTGCTTCGAGGGCGTCCAGTGTTTGCTGTTCATGGCTGCTCTGTCCGGATACGACCAATGCCTAGTCGAAGATGTGAACGCCAATCAGATGCACGAGGCATTCATGTTGTTCGAGTCACTGGTCAATGGTGAGTGGTTTAAGGACAAGCCGATCATACTTTTCCTCAACAAAATCGATCTCTTCAGGGAGAAGATTAAGAAGTCACCCATATCAGCACATTTTCCGGACTACACAGGAGGCAACGCGGATGAGGAAGCCGCAAAGACTTACTTTGCCAATCGATTTAAGGCAATCAATCGCAACAGCAGCCGCGAGATCTACATCAATTTCACCAATGCCACCGACACGAATCTTCTCAAAGTTACCATGGCCGACGTGCAGGACATGTTGATTCAGAAAAATCTACAGAGACTGGTGCTGTGAAGTGTACAACTCTTTGCAAGCATTCATCCGAGTCTCAGGCGCGTTTCATACGGCGTCTTTCTGCCAGTCGACACTGCGGACACCGTGGTTCTGTTTGCATTTGTGTCATTTTGGATTTGACACGACCTGCACACCCCAGCAACAAACTCGCAAACCAGCTGATCACGCTGCGCCTACCCAGATTGAGGCATCGCGAGACACTATGCGCACTCGACGACCCGAAACCTTGAGAGCCATTTCGATCAGTCCGCACATTGAGCTCGATTTGATGCGATTGATCTACATACAAAGCCAGCTCGGATGCTGACGACTTTCCATCTTTTTCTTGTGGTAACTCCGAGTTGACAAAATACGCCGGCATCGATGCAAGCACTCCTACCTTTCCACGACACTGCACATAACTGAGCGGAAGCATTGACGACATACTGTGGAGAGATCCGGAATACTGTGTTCATCCACGAGACCAGCCACAAATGGCAACGAAAAGCAGCATTGACGAACATGACAGGCGTAACGCTGCCTATGCATCAGATAGAACATCTGGGTAGAGCGAAGGAGTACGGATGATGCCCTTTGTGATTGTCGGGGTGGCGGAGAGCATGTGTCTGCAATGTTGTGAAGTGGATCACTGCGGCATAAGATCACTGAGCCATGCAAGGCATGCGTCAGATGACGAAGGAATGGTCCGAGAAGTCAGTGCTGCTCCAGAAAGCACGCGACTCATGCCCGGGGTTCGTACTCGTCATTGCATTCGATGTATTAGTAGGTAGTAATGAATGACTCCCCATGTTCGCCCATCGCCCAACTAAACCAGTTGCTCAGCTGACTCGCTAACCATGGGCAAGATTTTCGTGGCTTGTGTTTCAGGCTTGGGCCCAATCGTCGCATTCTTTCCGACTTCCAATCACTCCCATGAAAGCCTTCCCTGAATCGTTCCTAGCAGAGCTCGCGCACGCTCAACTCCAACCCACAATGCCTTCAAATTGGCCTCACTTGTTGCCCTTGAACTTGTGCAGCAAGTCACTGGCCAGACTGGTACTAGGCCGGCGACCCTCATCCATCCTGACACCAGCCGTGGCTTCCATGCCGAATACACTGTCCTTCCTGTCACTATCACTGGCAACAGCCACGCTTCCTTTGCGCTGATTAGCAACGGCAGCGCCGCCACCAGCAGACTGGATACTGCCTCGACGCTGGTTCTCGGCGGCGACGTTAGCGGTAGCTTGCGCAGCATCGGCGGCAGCCTGATCTTGGGCCTGCGAAGCGCGACGATCGGCGTCTTGTGCGGCGGAGGCGGCGCTGTGGCGGCGGTAGAATGATGAGTGTTCGCGCAGGAAGTTGTCGTAGGTTGGGTTGGCCTTGTAGCCGGCACCTGGAGTCTGTAAGCACGTCGCAAGCGGGGTCTCAGGAGCCACGGCAACGAAATGCCAGACTTCGCCACGAGATGAAGCACCTACCTCCCGTTAGGGCATGGGGCATGGTGAAAGCACCCGACATTTCTGCGGATGCTGATGGCCTGGCTGGATAGATCGGTAAGCCGACCAACAATTTCCTTACTTCAGAAGATGGCAGAGGATCCGATGAGGAAATACGAATATATGGCTCAGAGCCCAAAAATTGCAACGCCCAGTATGCGGCTCCTGCACGGTCCTCACCTACTTATATAAAGGGCGCACTCATCACTGTCGCCAACAGATGCCCTGGATCGCTCGGATATGTATCGCATGATCCGTATAGGAAGCCTCGCGAAAGCCAAACTTACCCCGCGCACAGGACATATTGGATGTGAGTGCTCGAGAGCGTCGGCCAAAGTTACTGGTCGGAGCTCATCGAACGAATCGGCCTTTGAGCAAAAAGACGAAAGCCTGTGTTCGTGAAGCTCAAGACATGCTGGCTCAAAGACATCGTCAGCAGACGCGCATCTTCACTTGTTGTCAAGAGGTCGCTCGGAGTAATAAGAAGAGCCGTGAGTCGCTGCTGGTCCAGTGTTGAGGTCACGGGTTGGTTCACGCTGAGGGTGGATCCACACCGGCGCTAGGGTATAGTTTCTCCGATGCGACCAGACAGGCCACCAGGCTTCCAGGACTGCACGTGCGGCTACGACTGATGCGCACGCGAAGTCCAAATGTTGTAACTCACCGTCGACAAGTCAAGGCGGGGAGACTTACAGCCTCTCCCGTGCCATCCCGGGCGTCTTGTAGGTATAGATGTGTGGATCAATTGATTCGCGTAAAGAGAGAATTGCATAATCGCTGCCGAGGCACATGCAATTCATAGAAATAGTGTCGATCATTTTGCGAGTCGTGCACAGTGGCGCCCAAAGTGTAGAGTGCGTCATTTGCTCACGACTCGCAATATTCGTTATCTTCTGCAACGTTCTTCGCCATCAATGGCCAGCCGAAAAATTGTGCCTCGGTGCTCTGACCACTCACATCCGTCGGAACTCTACGTCGCCGGCCCGTGGAAATATCTTCCAACCTCATAATCACTGGTATGCAAGTATCGCGATCCATCTTCCGAACAGCAATCAAAGTCGACAAACTCTCCGCAAGCGCATTCAACGGCACGAAGCACAGTCGCGCATTTCGCAATCCTCATCCCAGCACTCGTCCGCCTTCCATCGTACAAGCCTCCCGAAGTTTCACCAACACATCCGCCTCTTTCGCGACGATGGCCTCCGCCACCACTTTCTTCGACTTCACGCCTAAGGACAAGAAGGGGCAAGAGTACCCACTGGCGCAACATAAAGGCAAGGTCGTACTTGTCGTCAACACTGCCTCCAAATGCGGCTTCACACCTCAATTCAAGGGCTTAGAGTCAGTATGGAAGAGCGTCTCACAGAAATATCCCAATGACTTTGTCGTCCTCGGCTTTCCCTGCAATCAATTCGGCGGCCAAGATCCGGGCAGCGACGATCAAATCCAGGAGTTTTGCCAGGTCAACTATGGCGTGACGTTCCCGGTGCTCGGCAAGACGGACGTCAACGGTGACAAAGCTGAGCCGGTGTATGCCTGGATGAAGAACGAAAAGCCAGGTCTTCTCGGCCTTCAGCGCATTAAGTGGAACTTCGAGAAGTTCCTCATCGACCGCGACGGGAAGGTCGTCAATCGGTGGGCAAGCACGGGCAAGCCAGAAGCCATTGAGAAGGACGTCGTTGCCCTGATCGAGAAGACGAAGAAGCAGTAAGCTCAAATGCTGCTACAGCACACTATTGACGACGAAGATTCTGAAGTCTTGCCAGGAGCCAGCCTAGTCTCTGACGCGAGTGAGCGACTGCATATTTATGCTATAGACACCATAATGGGATATCGTTCTTCCCTAGTTCCTGCTACGACGATCCAATACTTTCTCGCGAGGACCGAGTCTGGGCCAAAATGCCTAATCAGGCGGTCAGGGCGGGACCCGTTCCTAGGTAATGTTGCGAGAAGCTGAGGTATGCTTCGGGACGCAATGGCACCATACTCTCGGGCTGTCAATATTTGGAAACTATCTAATTCTGTATCGACTCCCAGTCTTTGCGCTGACTGCAACTGCCTGCTCGCTCAAGTCGATCTTAGTGCCTGTTTACTAGTACTTATGTGCAGCAGACAGTGAATCGCTCTTTCTCACCCCCAAGATCTCAAGATTGACGTCATACCCAATGCCTATTGGCGGGGCAGCATACACGTGAAGTGCAGGTACGAATGATATGCCCCGCTAAATTGTTGCTTCTGCTTCAAGAGATGAAACTGCGTTGCTAAATTATTCTTGTGTTCACAACTTTTTCTTTCCAAACTGCTCAATTCTTCAAGCCTCCTCTACGCTACATTCAGACACTCCTACAAGTGCTCCAGAACAAATCACACCTACAGACTTCTTCTAAGACTACCGTCAACATGCCTAAGGTTTGTTTTCCTCAACAGAATCATGACATACTTCACCGCCTCCTCGACTGACATGAAGCAGGTCAAGTACGTTCTTCTTGACTGCGATAATACTCTCTGCCTCTCCGAGCGTCTTGCCTTCGAGGCTTGCGCTGATCTCACCAACGAGCTCTTGGAGCAGTATGGCAAGCCAGAACGCTACACTGTCGACAAGCTCCTCGAGGAGTTCGTTGGTCAGAACTTCCGTGGCATGATGGTCAACCTCCAGAAGATCCACAACTTCCAGATGCCACCCGAGCAACTCGAGGAGTACGTCAACAAGGAGGTCGGCTACGTCACCAAGAAGCTGTCCGAGAAGTGTACGGAGTGCCCCGGTGCCACTGCTGAGCTCGAGAAGCTTGAGAAGCAGGGCTACCCCATGGCCGTCGTCTCTACCTCAGCCAAGCCTCGCGTCGTTGCATCTCTCAAGAAGGTCGGCATGGATAAGTTCTTCCCCGATGCCAAAGTCTACTCGGCTGCTACATCCCTCAACCCTCCTTCCTCCAAGCCTGATCCTAAGATCTACCTCTTCGCCTGCGAGCAACTCGGTGTCAAGCCTGAGGAGTGCGTCACTGTCGAGGACTCTCGTTCAGGTGCTACTGCGGCCATGCGTGCTGGTATTCCCTTCATCGGCTATGTTGGTGTTTACGGTATCGAGGACGGCAAGGAGAGAATGGAGCAGATGGCCAAGACCCTCAAGAACGACTGCAAGGCCGACCAGATCATGTACGACTGGAAGGAGTTCCCTGAGCTTCTGGCTAAGAGTAAGCTCTGGAGTATCCAGCGTCTGTCGAGCCTACTGACATTGTACTAGTCGAGGCCAAGTAGAGCTCAGCTCAACTTCGTCCAAGCATCAAAGACTGGCCATCCAGTCCGTCGAAGGTGCTCTCCTTTGTCGGTTCCGGAACGACGTATCACACAACATCGATTCACTAAAACTTTCCGATGAGCTTACCAATGAACGAATGATGAAGCATTACTTAGCATGAGTGAATGCTGCAAGATAGTGCAAAGTCCTCCTGGACAAATGCTGGGCAACGACGACTAGACTATCATGGGCGATTCTTCCCAACATTAGATGATGCTACTGCGGATAAATTCTACTTCGAGCTCTAATTATGGTCATATTCTGGTCCTGAACTTGGTCTTTCAAGCGAACAATGCTTGCTTTTAAGGCAAAGAATGACGGTGGTATTCCCGCTCGTCTGATCTATTGATGTCGTGGTCTCGTGTGCCAATACCTGCGCCTAGCTGTTTCTACGATGCCAAAGCTCTCCAACGCTCAGTTGTTCGTCACTCCAATTGTCCCAAATCTCAAGCGCCTGCTGTTCGTTTTCTCACATGCGAACCCCAAATCGGGTCAGTCCCCTTCACGCTTGCGGGACTTGAATATCGTTTACCCATCTTCCGCAAGGCTCTCCCTCACACGAAAATCACAACTCGCGCTCAAAACCCCCTGCACCACCACCAGCTGCGCCTCCCCCAACCCCGTCCCATCCCGCCGGCACCATGCCTGATGGTAGAAGATCTTTTTCAATACCATCAGCACCAGCATCAAGAACACCCCGGCGATCGCTCGATCGATAGTCACAGTCGTTGGCGGCTCTTGCTGTTGCTGCATGACTTCCCGCCGATGATCAGCGACAGTCTGCAAAGCCGCAGCTTCGGCAAGCGCGGCGCTAGCAGCAGCCAGTGGTGGGCGATGCAGATTAAGCATCGGTCGTTGTTGTGCCCGTTGCTGCTGTTGTTGGTGCTCGGCTTCGGTGGAAGGATAGTCGGACGGGGTTAGGCGTGCTTCGGCGGCGCGCTGAGTTTGCTCGGGTGTTGGAGTGGTGGAGAAGTAGGCGGGTTGGGTGTTTGGTGGTGATGAGGATGCTGGTAACGACGTTGGTGGCGGTAGCGGTTGCTGTTGTGGTTGGCCTTGTATTGACAATTGTGGTTGCGGATGTGGCTGCGCTATTGGTGCTACGGTTCCCTGCTGAGTCGGTGGTTGTGGTGCGCCCGGGATGGGTGTTTGGCTGCTGGCATCCAATTGCGGCCCCTCCTTCCCTTTTCCCTTGTCCATACTCCGCGCCTCAACATTCATGCCCTCCGGCAACACCTCCAAACCCACATCCTCGCCCTCCTCGTCAACCTTCACTCCCTTCTCCCTACACCTCTCCCACCACTCCTTCATAATATCCTCATTCGTCTTTCCCTCACTACACCCTCCACACCTCCACCTCCTCGACTCGGCCGCCAACCTCTTCCGCACGTGCTCTGGCGCTCCAACCCGCCCACCTGCCCCGCCGTGCCCGGCTCCGCCATGAACGTCCGCAGCGCCGTCAACGCAGTCCGCACGCCCCACGCCGGCATCCACGTCTCTTCATGAAACCCGGATATGCTCAGGCAGATCTCTCGGTTCACTTCGAAGCGGCCGGAAGGTGTGAGGAAGCGGAAGTTGGGTGGCTTGAGTGGGTATTGTGGCGGAAGCGTGATGCGACCGTGGTAGAGACCGCCTGCGTAGGGCGAGGGCGCGGGAGGGCCGAGTAGGGTGAAATGCCATTCGTGGAGATCTTCGTCGGATACGGGTGCGGCGTGGAATGGACGGGTGTTGGGTTCGGGGATGAATCGGAGAGCTCGATAGTCTCGCGGAGGAGGCGGCGAATTGTGGTTGAGGGTGCCATGGCCGGACAGCGGCGGGGGAGGCAGCGCGCGTGTGCTAATGATCGTGCTCCGGTGCGGCGGCCGCTGGTTGCGGTGAGTTGGGAATCTCCAATACGCGATGAGGCTCTGATATTCTGCTGACACAAAGAATGGATAGACGAGCGAATGAATTTCAGATTAGACGGCTTGCTGGGATGGTTTCAATACTGTATATAGGCTCGGCATCTGTGCGAAGTTCAATGAGTAGATTGAGTGGTGACACGGTGTACTCCTCGATCGTTCAATACACACAGTCGGTCGGGATGACAGCTTCCGTGACATTACGCCATTCCTCGAGTTCGGCTTGAATCGGACCGGTTGACCTAGCACGTGAGGCTTGACTGAGACCGGATGACACAGACCTCTGGTCAGCAGTGCCCGGATCGCCAACCTCTACCCATGTCTCCTTCCTCAATGTATATGCTGTACATCGCAACAAACACATCAGCCGTAGCGCCACATATCGCGCTGTGTAGTGTAGGTGTGCACGAAAACGCACGGACACTTGCAGCAGCGATGCTGTGAAGCAGAGATGAGCATGCGCGGCCCGAATATATTCGTATCCTTGATGACCGATCTAAAATCGTCGTGAATGCAGCCACGTTTCAGGAACCCGAGAGGAGGACAGAAAATATGTTGTTATGTACACCGAGAGTGATTTCAATACTAATTAAAATTATCCATCGCTTGCTTATGCTCGAATGCAAGTTCCATGCACGACAGTACTCAAGCATCGCTGGGCAGGGTGCTGCCATTAACGACACCATTGCTGCCAAACCCGTTGGCAGCCATGTCGCTCATTTCAATATCACTTTTCATGCCCGGCACTCCCGTGTCAGCACTCAGGAATTCGGACTGGCTTTCGAAGAAACCAGAATGATGCACTTTCAGCGCTAGGCAATTGGTCAGCATGATGAGGATGGATTCAAAGCTTGTCAGGACTTACTTGTTGGGAACGGCCACCAATCACTCCAGTCTTCTTTCATGAACGCCTCGATGCGACCAGGGTTATCGTGCGGATCGCTGCTGACGGGATTTGGTGGAGGTACTGTGCTCTTGATCTTGCCTGCCGGACCAGGTGCGCGCCTGAGGTCCTTGAGCTTGGCGAACACCTTCAGCTGAGCAGCATGGCGACCTCAACGACAGGTCGGCCGAGACATTCGTGAGCCCCGTAGCCGTGGTGAACGTACAGACTGTGGTCACGCGTGATGTCGATCTCGAGCGGATTGGGGAACACTTCCGGGTCCATGCCAGCAGAGACGAAATCAGTGTACAGAGTATCACCCGTCTGAATCTTGACGGGCTTGCCACCGTCGCTGATGGTCATGTCAACGCGCGACTTGCGCAGGAGGCCGAAAGCTGCAGGGCGGAGACGATTCGCTTCCAGAGCGTACTTCTTCAGCTTCTCGAAGTCTTCCTCGGAGTCAGACCAGGCACATGCTCGGATATCCGCCCAGTGATGGTAGTACTCGTCAGACAAATACAGATCGATCATCTGGCCAAAGTGCTGGGCTTGTGTGGCGATAGAAGCGGCCGCAGTGGGAATGATTGTCCATACCACCTCGTCCACAGATCTTCCGTCTGCGAACAGACGTCGAACCAAGCGCGTGCCGAATTCGCTTAGCATCTTTCCGGCATGACCCATCCGGAAGAGGTCACTGACATGCAGATAGCTGTCGGCTTGAATAGCTGTGCAAACGATTTTGAGTAGCTTCGCGATCTGGTCGCCGGACTGCTTCGCGCCAAGTCGCAGCTTGAAAGAACGAGCAGTGTCGAGATCCAGAAAGACGTATGCGAACATGACAGAAAATGCCAGATACATCTGATCAACAGTAACGCCCAGCGGATTAGTGTCATCTGGGCCACGGAGTGGAATGTGCCACATCTTTGCGTTGAAGATGGCGTGTGCTGCATTGCCAACGTCACGCACGGCATCCAGTTGGTACCAGTCCTTCAAGAGGACCTCCGAGCGGACAGTGACGAGTTGCGTGGTCAGGTCCTCGTAGAACTTTTGCACCTCCTTAAGACGTTCCTTCATAGTGTCGCTGAGGACGGGATACTCCGAGCCATACACATTCTTGCCGATCTGCTTCTTCTCCTCGAAGTTAAACTTCTTGTCACCGCTGAGCATATAGTCGTGCCCGGTGAGATCGAAAGTATGTGGTCCCCATGGAACAGCAAAGCGACTGGTGTCCTGCAAAATCGAGGTGACAGCTTTCCATGACTTGATGGATGTTGGAATGCCGATCAAGCTCGGGCGATCGAAGTTGTAATTCTCCTCCTGACCAAGCTTCGATAGGATCTTCCTGTTCTCCTCTGGCACGGTGAACGGGAACATGGCGTACACGGAGCTGCCACGAAACCAATTTGGTAAAGCTCTCATGACGAGATTGTAGAAGCAACAGCCCTGAGCAACATCAGGGTCCGACTTGACCTGATTGAAGCCCCAGTTCGTGAGTGTCGCTGGAGTGTAGTCAATTGTGTAGAACCGATCTCCACGTGACAGGGCGACGGCATCAGCGAGTATAGCGCGGGAGATAGTGTAGCCAGGGCAGAGACCTGAGCCAGGCTCCATCGGCTCCTTCGCATCCTCAGCTACTAAACCAGGGTACATCTCGACGTAGTCCGGATGGCCGTACAGAGTCTTTAGCGTCTGGGCTGTATCCTCGTCGCGCGTGATGTCGCTGAATGTTTTGTGAGGCTCTAGTTTGAAGAATGATCGCAGCTCATTGAGCGTAGCGACGTGCCACTTCCGAGCCTGCTTCATGCCCATAGTTTCGATCAGCTTCATGACCACGGGCACGTTTCGGGGACCAAAAGCACCGGCCACATCCTCTGTAGCATCTGCCAAGATATTGACGAGATCCTCGTCATCGAAGCACCCGCGTTCATTTCGAGCATACTTGCCATTGTCCAATAGCCACGCAGAAGGATCTTCACCTTGCTTGGCGACCCAAGCGTGCAATCTGTGGCCCAGATCTTTCTCCGTGATCGAGTCGAAGTCACTTGTGCCCATGATTTCCTCGTAGATGTCTTTTGTCCACTGCTCGTCCTTTTTGCTGATAGCCGAATGCCAGCGGTATAGCAGGTTGAATTCCACGCTGACTTGATTGCCAATACCGCGCGGCGTACCATCAATGTCGTAGACCTCCTCGGTCCTGCGTGGGTCCAGAGTCCAAGTCGAGTTCGAGCGGTTCAGATTGAGTATAGTCCGGACATAATCAATCAGGATGATGTTGATGTATAGACCACACGTCACTAGACGAGCTGTCTGGAACAGTTCCTCGTCTAGCGCAAGCACGGCCTTGGTATCGTTGTCATCGGCCGGATCATTGAAGCGGCCACCTTCGTTAATAGTCTTCAACTGTAGGGCGACGTAATTATGGTACCTGTTGAAGCAGACCAGTATGGCGGCAACACCAGGAGGGAACCCGAGAACCCTATTCTCTGCGAAAGTGTCTGGTTTCAGCAGCCCATTCCTGAGAGTCCTGATTCCCTTCTGCTGTTCCAGGCTGCTACCATACAACGGTGCCAAGTCCAGGTAAGACGAAGTCAGCACTCTGTTAGGATCTCGCTCATCGGTGTGAAAGCAATCATGGATAATGATCGTTGCCAGATAGAACAGCATGCTAGAAATCTTGTTGGGATGCTCCCGTGCGCCTTCTTCGCGACGAGCAAATACGGTATCGAAGATCAGGCCCGGGTCAGGAAGTACGCCGGGCTGCAGAGTCTGTGGTGTCACAGTCCTAGCATAGAAAGAGCCCGCCTGACCTAGGTGAGGGTACATAATGTTGTTGTTCGAGCCATCCGCTTTGCGATATTTGAACTCGTTGCCTTCGAAGGACAACGCAGGGTGCTCCAAATTATTCCATAGAAGCTTGATGAATTTTGTCGTCAGATCATCCAGCTGCTGTGAGCCCACTGGCAAGGAAGCTGCCAGACGTAGGATTTGCTCCATCTAGAGTGTGGTCAGCTTCTACCTTCTGGAGGTCGAGTGAGCTCACCTGATACTTCCTGTCGTCCGCATAGCCTCCACTGAACAGCTCCGTATCAATGAAGGAAGAGATCAGCCCAACATTCTCACCCAGGCGACCAGACTGACTGGCAATGCCTCTGAAGAAGTCTCCTAGTGCTGGCTTGGGTTTGGTAGCTATGCTGGCTCCGTTAAGAACCGGATTCGTTGGGTCTGGCGTGTTGCTTGCAAACAGTCCGCTGACGGCGTTCTTGAGGGTAGCGAAGCCCGACGACGGTCGAGGGCTTGCTGAGCGACCTCGTTTTGGCTCTGTGGGCACTTGTAACGTGGATGAAGCATTCGATGCTTTCCGCTTCCTGCCACGAGGGGGAGTCATATTGATAGTTTGTAGCACACGGGAAATGTAGCAATATCCCGATGGTGAGCGGTGCCTGTGTGTCTTCTGAAGAGTAGAAGCGACGAATGCTGCAGGCGTGGGCTATATGGTATGATAAAAGTACCGACCCAGCCCGCTCCTTGAGGACATCGACATGGATCAGTGTTGCATAGCGCGAAGCTGAGGCCTACAAGCAACGAGCTGAGCAACGTTCGTGAGCATTAGTGGAGAGTGGTGTGAAGCACTGCCAGGGGTAGCAACGATTTCCTAGCATAATGCCGAACTATGGCGTTATGATTGGACTCGATGAGCTCCAAGCCACTGCCGAAAGCACCGCAAGAGGAGGAGGATCCACAGACATGCTTACCCGGCCCATAGGGCTTAGGCGTCCCTGGGCTTGGATAAGCATGCAGTGGTTCATTCCTCTCGTATTTTGTCTTGTTGATGGCTTGGAGCTGACCGGATGGAATGAGGGGCAGACGTCGGACTATGTTGCAGGATCTTTGCGCTCTTAATCGGCCATAGACAAAGATGTCTTGACCAAGAAGAATGCCATTGTTGAAGGCAGGTAACATTGAGTTTCGCCGGCAGGGAGCACTTCCGCCTCGTACCCGAAGTTCTTTTGGAGTCTTGGAACCGTCAAATTTTAGCCCGCAGCGACGGGAATACCGAAGCGCCCAGAAAAGGAAGGGTCTGAGAGATTGGGGGCCTTTTCGATAGAAAAAGACGTGAGCCTCCCAGGCACACGCTTACCTCTCCACAGCGTTGCGACACATCATGGAAGGCACAGTGCGCTCATGATTTGTTTCGGACCTTGATGGGGTGTACGTGGTGCGATGCGTTCAACCAGCGATGCAATAATCGCAACAGCTCGCCTCGGGGCGTTCTCAGACAAATTTAGCAATGGTGCTGTTGTCCTCCACGAGCCGAAGCGAGTGCATGAACAGACAGGGATTGTAGGTGTCACGATCGGTTCCTGGCTGTGCAAGCAAGTTGGCCAATGGTTGTCTCTGCCTTGTCACTGCTCCAGAAGTATCTTGCTGTGATGCGCGAACACGACTTTCGATCGCGCAAAAGAGAGACATTCTTTGGGGTTTGACGGAAGGCCGAGGCAGGAGCACTTTACCAAAACGTGGTCTGCAGCGCTGAAGGAAGTTCCCCATATCTGCGGAAAAGTGACAGAATACCCTCGGAGACCATTCTACTCACCACTTCAAAACTCATGCCTACTGCAAACTACTCATTATTCGCCATACCGGCATACATGGTGTTAGCAATGGTGCCACACTCGTATAGCGTGTGGTTAGTCACTCAACACAACAACAAAAAGTTCGACTTGCCCTCGCCCCGATCTACTGATAACAGGGCGAGGATCGAGAAGTCTGTGCCTCAGCATATTTATCGCAAGTATGAGAGATGCCGCGCCGCTCACGACAACATGCTCGAGAACATGGCTTTTGTTACAGGTGGTATCCTTGCTGGCGTAGTGGGCAAGCTCGATGCCTCGTTCATGAACACAGCTTGCGCGGTATATCTTCTTAGCAGAGTTTTGCACATGATCAGCTATGTACAAATCTCAAGTCACAAGTTTGCTACCTTGAGGACGCTATGGTATCTGTAAGTGTCTCGCGACGATGGATTTGAAGTAGATCCGGAGCTCACAGTCACCTAGGGTGGGCAATGCTGCGATCCTGCCCATGTACTGGAAGGTAGGAATGCAGCTGGTCCGACATGGGGCTCTCCAGTAACCTGTGCGGATATTTCATCTCAGGAGATGATTACAGTCCGACTGTGCAGTCCATAAGTCAACATAGAGACGAGCTGTGCAATACTTAGCGGCACGACATCCAGAGATTCATCCAATTGGGGAAGCGCTTGAGGAAGACATCGGCGAACGCGCTATAGACCTGCTACGCATAGGTTGTTTTGACGACGAAGCCGAAGGGATCGCAATTGGTCCGCGGGAGTCTTGCGTACGTAGATGTACCTGGTACACAATTGCACAGGTACACGCACTTCGTCGAGATGCAACTTGGTGACCACTGATCGCAGGTCTTGGCATGTCTGTACTGCCCCACATTTTTCTTGCCAAGAATAGTTTTCGCACCCACCGCTTTCGACCGCATCTGCAACTTTTCGCAGTCGAGGATTCGTGCACGCTCGAACGACAACCTACATCACACAATCGCAATGGCTTCAAAGAGAGGGTGAGTGTTCAGTGCGGCTGCTGGTCGTGCGATTGCTGTAGAACTCAACTGACAATGATTGCAGTCGTGGTGCCTCTGGCAACAAGCTCAAGATGACTCTCGGTCTACCAGTGTATGTGCCCTCCTACGAGACTAGCGACTCCCCAACGGCTCTGTCATATCCACCACTCGTAGACCTACTCGGACCAGCCGAATTACATCTGGAGACAAACTAATCAGACACAGCGGAGCCGTGATGTCCTGCGCTGACAATTCGGGTGCCCGAAATCTCTACATTATCTCAGTCAAAGGCATCGGTGCCCGTCTCAACAGACTCCCCGCGGCTGGTGTAGGCGATATGGTCATGGCCACAGTCAAGAAAGGAAAGCCGGAGTTGAGGAAGAAAGGTATGTTTCAGAAGACTTCACCAGGATCGAGCCGTGCTGATACCGTGATCATAGTCATGCCTGCGGTCATCGTCAGACAATCAAAGCCTTGGAGGCGGCTGGACGGTGTCTATCTCTACTTCGAAGACAACGCTGGAGTGATTGTGAATCCCAAGGGTGAAATGAAAGGCTCTGCGATAACGGGTCCGGTCGGAAAGGAGGCTGCAGAGCTCTGGCCCAGAATAGCCAGCAACAGCGGCGTGGTGATGTGAGTGGAATTGACCGGCGACGGGACGGGGACATGAGACGGCAGACTCCATTCGATCACGAAATGCGCATGGGATACAGCTCACGTGTGTGCTGCAACAACATGGTCGCGAACTACCGCAAGAAATGGCATAAGCATCTGTGGATGGATCGAGAGCGAGCAGGCGTTCTGCTGGTCTCCGAGTATTCGAGTAAGAGCGGCTTCGTCATGAATACGAACAACTTTAAGTATCCCATACCGGCGTGCTCATCAAGACTTTGGAGACTCAATCCTGCCAGGCATGTAGATGGCCGCGCCGGAGGTGTGTCAGGCGCTCGATGCGGCTCATGAACTGGCAGCCAGATACCCAACACGTCGGTCTGATGTTCAGAGGCGGCCGGTGTTTTGCAACGTCACAGTGAGATATGGTTTCATTGTCTATCCAACTGCTTGATCCCGTGGTCCCACGACCATAGTCTGCCCCAGCGCTGACCAAGGTGTGAAACTTATTGGTCAACTCGTATGTCCTACACTTGTTAGTGGACACAACGCTATGACTGACTTGAGTTCTAGGCAGCTGAACGTGAGGAGATGCAAAGCTCTGGATGGCAACCAGAATGCATCCATTGCGGGACATGCAGTATTTGAGGAGCAGCTCGCGCGTCTCAGGCAAAGCCAGAGCACATGTGCATGATAGACTGCACGAGGCAGACTCCATGCCTAGATAGTATCATGTCAATCGAAGGCTGCTCAGCCTTGTGTCGTAACACACACGCAGAACCTATCTAGGTGTACGGCAACTTCTGGAGCAAGCGGCGCAAAAGCCATGGCCTTGGCGAGGCGATCCGGCCCCTGCCATCATCATGCAGGCGAAAGTTTGACCTCGTATACTTCATTGGAAAGAGTTAGGCGCCGGAAGCATCTTGCGTGAAGCCCAATCCTGAGCCCTGAGAACCGCTCTTGTCTATCAGCGAGCACAGAGGCAGTGACAGCTGTCAAGATCACCTGCGAAAGATGACAACGATATTGCTAACTAGATCGGTCCGACAGCGCCCCAGCAGCGATATGGTCTTGGCACAAGCGGACGTTCTGTGTAAACGAGAAGGCGCACAACGTGGCTTGAAACTCAGATCGGGGACCGTCCACCCATCAATGGTCTCTTAGCTGCAATTGCAGCCTTGCAGGTTGATGTCGTGGCCGTTTGACACCCAGCAGTAGTGCTCAGACACCACGGGAGCCTCAAGCACAAGTAGTCAGAGCGCGGGATCCTCTGTCGAATATCGGGGCAGTGCTTGACCGCAGAACTGTTTGTCGAGCACCTATTTTGCAGCCCGCAGCTAGGGTACGAAGAAGCACCCACCGTCCGTCTTGCTGGCGGAATGGAACCAACGACCACATCGCAGCCTTGTGGCCCTCGAGATTGCGGCATGCTGTGGATATGTGGACCACGACCAGCAGGACCGTCACGGATACATGATGGTTTGAGCCCATCGTCACCAGTAAAAAGTGCGGATGGGTCCTCTTGTTCTAGGCCGAAGCCTCAAGTTTTTGAAGTAGGGTTTGTCACCACTGGCGTCAATCGGTTTGCTCTTGCCCCGCGAGGTCCGTGCTTCTCTTCACACAATACTCTGACCGCCTCTCAAGCATGACGCTCAATAAGGCATTTTCATGTACCGGTGATCGACATGACGCTCGTCTTCACGCGGCTCTCAAGCGTGTGTCTCTGATGCTTGTTCACGCTTAAGTTAGCGAGGTGCAAGTAGTCCACCTCTAGTTCGACGCGATGCCTAGACTGCCTCCAGCCAAGATGCCGCCCAGCTAACGCACGTAGTTATCTGGCGCGATCTTGCGCCCAGTCGAAGACATTTCAATGTCACAGTCTGACGTATCAGAAATTGCGCTGAGCTAATGATTACAGCTCTACCTGCTACAAGTCGTGGTGCGGCGGTGACCATGTGCGTCCGCCATGGGCCATGCAGGGACTTTTCAGCTTGACGTCGTGCCCATGAACAAACAAGATTCGGCCATAAGGAGTATGGCTTGCCTACACTGCGACTGTCAACCATCGGCAGCTGCATGACACTACAGCCTAGCTCGCTAAAGTAGCTTTCGCATTCCCGGTCGAAAATGTTTCCAGCGCACAGCACTGGGCAGCGTGTGCATATACTACTCCAGGTGCAAACTGCTTCCCCACTATGTTCATCCTCTTCATATCCACTTGTACTTGCTGTTCCAAGGTTCTTCAGAGAAACTCGTGGCGAGCCAGTAGTGGCGAGGCTGCAGCTTACCTTTTCGGACGGCCTGGTATCCTGTAGCCTCAGGAACACCAAGTTTCGTTGCTTGTCAGGCTTACATTTGGCTAGGCCTTGGGATTAGGTAGTATTGCTTGCTATGAGGTCATATTATTTACGTGAGGAATTCCTGACGTGTCAGCGGATCAGGCAAAAAGAGGTAAGCTGGGGGCTCCTCGGGTTCTGTGAGGTTTCTGCCACGCGTGAAAATAATGGGCCTCATGCTTTCTAGCAGATCACCACTCCCCATGCGGGCTGTTACGTGTGACAGGGGTTGACGTTAGTCGCGAAACAGACCGAAGTACTGAACCAAGTTGTAGGCACCATGGAGTCCATCCACCGATGGCCCGCACCTGCTATGCTGTTATGCAGCTAGCCCTCTTCAAGCTGCCATCCTCTATCCATTTCGGGATCTCTTTGACAGTCTCTGTTCATCGATCCAATGAGCAATTCAATCTTCCGGTTCACGCACCGACAGACCATGCATGCGTAGCCGACTTCAGACCTATTATCGCCCCGGATTGTGCGCAATCTCGAGCCACCAGACCCGAGGCTGAGAGAGGGATCGCTTGCCAAACCTCTCGTACCCGGATCTGAAAGTCCCAGAAATAAACCACTGTGGCTGCAAAATTTCGCTGAAGGCGCCAGCTCGCACTCCATGGGTGTTAGACCTATTTCAAAGACCACTCAACCACATTACCGGGATTTTCCTGCCTGCGCACGGCGAGCCAGATGCCCGCCGGTATGTCACGCCTGTATGGATAGACTGCTGACGAGAGTCTGCATATGTTCAACCGATCACAGTGCAGGCGTCCCGGAGCTTCTCAAAGGCCACCCAGGGGTCTGCGTCAAAAGAGCCCCGTCGCCCGCTACCGCTAACCTTCAATCTTGTTGCGGCTTTGACCATTGCTCCAGCCTTGCAATTAATACGAGCGATCGTCTGTTGATCGACAGTGCCTCTTTCAACCTCTGCTTTTGAGCTCTGCCGCCCCCTTTAGGGGACTGTGATCCTCCACGTCGACATACTCGGGACGTTGGTACTGGTCTCGATACAGTAACTCCACGAAGGGTCAAATCATTGTCTGTGCCGTCCATTAGCTGGATCAGAAGCGCAACATCCAACGTGTCCGTATCCTTTGAAGCCTTAGGTTCACGGGACATTGATCGAACTTAAGTCATGGCTGGCCCTGGAGGAGGCCCTCCGAGGAAAAGCCACACGAAAAGCCGCAAAGGATGCCGCACATGCAAACGACGACATATCAGATGCGACGAGCAGTTTCCTCAGTGTCGTAACTGTACGAAACACAATTGCAGATGTGACTACATGGACATGCCAGCGGCAGGCGAGGAGCCGATGAAGGGATCGCGGCCACCCGATCTAATGATGTCGCCAGACCTACAGAAGAGGCTGGACAATTGGCGACTGTCTGGCGAGCCCATATTACCTGAGCTGAGGACATCCGATCAGATGTATTGGATGCGATTCTCGACCATCGACCTGCGGCTGATACACCATGTCGTCACCGTATCCTCCGACTTGCACACTCGCGGCTACAGCACGTGCACTGCCTGGGCTGCACGCATGCCAACGTATGATAGTCCCTCCCTTATGGCAATCTCACCACTGATTCAAGCAGACTCATCACTGTGGCGCTTTCCCACGATTTCGTCATGAATGCTGTGCTTGCCTTCTCTGCATCCCACCTGGCGTGGCAAACCAAGAATAGCGATACCGAGAATCTTGCCTATCATCATCGAGGCGTGGCGCTCAAAGGCCTCCACGAGGGTATCGGACACTTCTCTAGAGAAGTTTCCGACGCCATTCTTGCCGCTTCCATGCTCTTGTCCTGGCAAGCACCGGAATGGTAAGCCTCTCCACAACAATGAAGAACACTCCTAACACTGGCGCAGGAAGAGCTGGGCCTCATTACAACAGGGTGTATCGACAGTGAGTATATTGCTCCTTCTGGAAGTCTTGCTAATGCATCATAGGTCATGGCGGCAATGAGACCTTGGGCTCACGAATCGGAATTGGCAAGATTCCTGGATACACAGAAGACGATCGCCCGAGCACGAACGCCCAGCACCCCCTCTTTTCCACAGTCCGCCATGGTTGCGCCGGATGAGGACGTACGATCAGTTGATGAGATGATCACAGCTCTCCATAGTCTCAAACTACGGCTTGCCACGAATCAGGAAATGGCAGAATATGCTGGCCGAGTTCTCGACTACTTGACAGAACTGCGCAGCGACTTTCCGATACCGTCACCTGACAGGGCATTCATCAGGCTACAGCCGCTACGTGATCTCATATTTTGGTTGCCACCATCGGTCCTTCGAGCCGGCGAGTCGGATTTGGCCGCGCTGACGTTGTTGTCTCACCTATACGCCACAGCGCTCGTTGTCGAGGCGCTATTCCCTGAGATCGGGGGTGCTTACCTTGGGAGCATGTGTTTGCCTCCTCTAGAACGGATACACGAGATTTTGCAGTCCAGACGTGCCGCACAACCCCAAGACAGCGGTTGCACCGTGGCTTTACAGATTGTCGAGTTTCCTGTTCGCCTGGTCGCAAATTACAAGTCTCGACAACGCGCAATGAGCACAGGAATGGATCCCTACAGACACTCTCCACACGCAAGCCCTTATTTGAGCAGTCATCCGCCGCTTGCGTCGCCGCCAGAGACGAATGCAACGCTCTACTCGAATTCACCCCTCCAGACGCCCCATAATGTCCCGAGTGGTGGGCAGTTCTATTCGGGGCCACAGTCATTACCGCAACGCCGTGACTCTCCTGGCATGCGGCCCCAGAGCATAGCTGAGAGAACTTCCTCGACTGGCAATGCCATGTCCATGTCCATGGTTTATGGCCAGCAGGTCCCTCCTCAGTCGAGGAGCAGCCACGACTCAAATCCTAGTCGGATGGAGTATTTTGGCCAGCCACAGCAGCAGTACCAGTATTACGGAGTGAATACCCACAACCGGTTCGTCTCTCCTACCGAACTTTGGACATGACGACTGAGTACCACGACAGGGATCCCAATGATGGACGCTACTACGTACCATCAGTGCAAGATGACCGGAGCCAGCACCACCATCAGTAATAAGAAGGAGCGTAAACACTATCTCCTGGAGCATGTCTGATGGCTGATAACGTTATGGAGTGATTTATTACGTGAGACAGCTTTGTGGCTGTCCGGGGTTTGATACGGCTAGCAGGGGTTTTGAGAGCAATTAGCGAAGGCGTTTATTCCTCCCGACGGTTGGGAAGCCGGATACCCCAGCACACCGATCGATGAGAATGCATTGAACGACCTATACCCAATCACAGAAGCGAAATCGTTTGTCTAAAACATGGCCGGCAACCATGATGGTGCTCAATTCTTATGTCCGCGACTCAGCGGACATCCATTCCACGCGGCGCAAGAGAAGGGCTGAGTTGCCGACCGATGAAATCGATAATACGGTCCAACAGGCCTGAGAATACCAGCGCAAGCGATGGTTCCGAACGACATGATAATGGAAGCAATGGAGGCGTGAGTCTGCAGGACGTATTACGTGCCAACCGCGGCATAAATTATTACCAGATGCAGTTGAATGACGGTCTAAAATCATCAATACTGTCACTACCGATATAGTTTACCTATTCCACAATTTTCCGAATCCCCATGCGGTGACATTGTCTTCGCTAAGGCGTTGCCACTAGCCTAAGGCATGATCGCTGGGCCAGCATTCAGCGATGCCATGCCAGGATCAATTCTGCGAGATCGCGAGCAGGTGACTGATCAAAAAGCGGACGAAGGCTTCATCTTTTGTGAACACTCCAACGAATCTATTATAATTGCATGGAACGCCTTTGCATGGGAAGCCTCGTAAATGTGCGCAATTCAACACACACTGTACCGGCCAAGCAGCAGAATGTAGTTTGGTTTCCACTCGTGACCGGGAGGTCTTCGGCTGTCTTCGCCACCACTGCGTCGTTTTGTCTGGAATGTCAGAACAACTACTGAATGGCCGACGCACACAGAGGTGAGGTAAAACGTGAGTTAGGAGAGGCGGACACGATGTGACGACAGCATGAACACAAAAGAACGTTAAGCGATATAACCCAAGACATTGGGATGAGAGCGAGATCCTCGACTAAGGCACTGTACCTTACCTATCAGATCTCACCTGTACCCAACCAGGTTCGCCCCCCCGAGCCCTCCGTTCTGGAATAATTTTCTCTGACTGTTCTTTCTTTAGATCGACTCCCAATGTGCACTTGCCTTCACCGGCTTCCTGCCTCTTCAGGTCAAAAGCTGCTTCAGCGAGATTCAGGCTTCTGCAGATTACTCAACCTGGCACCATGCCGTTTCGATCGCGGACAGGAGGAAACGGGAAGCCAACAAGAATTGCTGAGCATGGGCGAGTCGTTCATTCCTTCGCCCCCAAATTCGCCTGCTCATGGTTGCTACCGTGACACTATCCTCCTGCTACATCAGCTTCCGCTAATGCTGCACTCGCCGCGCCCGCATTCACAAGATTCTACGAAGTGCCTCGATGGGGCATCTGTTCCCACTATCGTATTACGAGAACTGAAAATGACGTTATACCATAGCGTCGAGAGTAAGTAAGTGCGAAGATGGGATTTCTGTTTGTCCTGTCTCATCCAACGTTGGAGACAACTTTTGAGGCTGCAAGCGTGTTGTGCACTCGAGTTGCAGTGCCGTGGTGGGACTCCAGACGAGTCTCGCTCAGCAATCTAGGGATTAAAGAAGCAGAAGGTCATTCAACTTCTCGATCGTGAGAGGAGCATGTAACCTGGTCTACTACAGATACTACAGCGGCTGTCGACACCTGGCACGATTGGCAACAAGGATGCAGCTCTGACTGTGCTTGCAACCATTCCTCATGAGCAGTGCCAAAGAACAGCTACTGTCTTGACTGCTTGCAGGTTGCTGGCAAGCTGCAGACCCGCATGCATTCGGAACCAAAGACATACCTAGTATCTCTGCCCTCGACGAGGCACACCAACTATCAAGGCTGTACCGGCAGACCTTCACAGCGGCCTGGACGGCCCTTCGGCATAGGTACAGTCTCGTTGGCATCTGGCCGAATGTTCTCTGAAAAATCCCTATGGCCATCGCGCTACTCTCCTGATCAACGACATGAAATGGAAGGCCGTCAAGTCGCCGATGTACTACAGCGATCTGTGACAATGAACACAACTTCAAGGGCTAGATGCAATCCGACGAGCGTGTATATGTTGCGAAGTGCCTTGCCGAGTGTATCCTATGAGTGTATGCCCAGATCTTACCTGGAGCAGAAAATTTCTAGTGAAGGCAACTATGTGACGTAGCCTGCCAGTCAACCGGTCTGTCAACACACTGCTGTCTCCCGAGCGTCGTTTGATGACCATCTCGCATCGATATGTTTCTGAACATCCCTACGATACCGGTGATCAGAAAGTCAAGAAGCTGGAGACTAAATTTGGCCATCGTTGAAATAAAGCCCGCCTGACTGCACGTTGTCGATCCCTCAAGCTTCAAGGTACCAGACGCTCGGAACACTAGGCTAGACCTGGCAAGTGGCCTAAGTCCCTGACGCAAAGCCTAAAGAAACTAAACGTCCGCTTGCCGCTTGCGCACGGTCTGCAGCATTTTGACACCAGTGACGTGCCGCCATAGCAAGACACCAGATCATTGCTGACGTTGTCGTCTGGTGCTGGTGATGGCAGAAGAGGCTGCAGCGGGGGGCTGGAGCACTATTGAGTCTGATGAGGTGCGTGTCACAGCCGCAACCCTCCATCATGGGGGCACTCCTGGCGCGTAACCATGAACCGCCGTCTGCGCGCGCATACATGATCGTAAGCTGACTGTGGACCATCCAGGGTGTCTTCACATCGCTCATCGAGCAACTCGGCGTCAAAGGCGTACAATTCGAAGAGATCATATCACTGGATGCCGATTCGATTAAGGCTCTGAGGTAATGGCTGCGCAACGTGCGTGGTACCCGCGCATTCAGATGACCGAGCACCCCAGGCTGACATCGCTGCGCAGTCCGGTATACGGCGTGATATTCCTCTTCAAATGGATCGGATCTAGTTCGACGGACGGGCGAAGTCCGCAAGACGGGAGCTACGATGCTTCAGCTGTGGAGGATCACGGATTATTCTTTGCGAATCAGACAATACAAAATGCATGCGGGACCCAGGCAATCCTGTCAGTCATACTCAACAACGACGAGAAGAGCGCCAGCGGACATCACGAGCGGATCGAAATCGGGCCGTCTTTGAGCGAGTTCAAGGACTTCACGAATGGCTTTCCCTCAGACTTACGAGGCGAAGCCTTGTCGAATTCAGATCTGATCAGAGATACACACAATACTTTTGCACGCTCTAGCCCTTTCGCCGATGAAACACAGCGGGATGCAGGGGCGCCGACTGAGGATGTCTTCCATTTCATCGGCTACACCTCACACCATGGGAAACTTTATGAGCTTGACGGTCTGCAACCGCAACCTATCAGCCACGGAGATTGTACCTCGGACGAACTACCAGAGAAAATCATCCCAGTACTGCAGAGGCGGATTGAGCGCTATCCACCAGGGGAAGTGCGGTTCAATCTTATGGCCGTGTGTGGAGATCTGCGAGAACGCGCGAAGGAATATCAGGACTACGATGGGCTGGCTAAGGAGCAGCTGAAACGTGCGAAGTGGGACTGGGAGAATGCTTTGCGAAGACACAACTTCGTGGGCTTCACGGGGGAGGTGCTGAAGGGTGTCGTCGGCACGAAGTTGAAGGCTGGCACGTATGACGACTGGGTCAAGGAGGCCGAGGCGGCGACTGCGAGAAAGCTGCGCGAGCGTAGGGCGCGCGGCCAGGAAGAAACAGCTTGAATCGTCTCGTGTGGCTGCGCATATCACACGCGCTCCAGCTTGGGAAGCGAACAGGAGCGAAGGAGCAAGCAGCCGTTGGCTCCCAACTCGTCGGTCCGGTATGACCTGATCTAGACCCGCTACATAAGGCTTGACTCCAGACATCTCATGAGTGCTTTGCAGCACAGCATTTGATTATTTACCTTTCCGTCACTGTTCCGTCCTGTTGTGTGGACACGCGACGGCGAAAGCTGAGTAGCATAGAATTGCCAATCCAGATAGGCATCTCGGAGGTACACTAGAGACTTGAGGATCTCGAAATGGAAGGCACGCGTGATGATCTCGGAAAGAGCCGAAAACGGTTTAGGGCCTTGGCGTGGCTTCCGACCATGCTTGTGCTGATCTATACCGGCCTTCAAACGACGGCCTGCTGGCCTCAGCTATTCATCACCTTATTCAAGTCCTATTGTCCCCTGACCATCCATCACGAGCCTTGCGACTATGGTGAAGGTCGTTCAAAAGAAAAAACCTTTCTAGATTCTTCCCCATTTTCCAGCTCTTCCACCAACTCCTTACCACCATTTCCAACTTTGCACCTCAGGTGACCCTCTCGATCATCTTATGGTTCTCATCACAGTAGATCAACTTGAAATCAACGCACAGATCATCTAGCCTCCTGGTAATCACACCAGAAACTCGCGGCCATGGCTGTTGCTCTGCAGGCAGAGCAGGCCTGGAAGGAAGCATTTCCCAGCAACAAAATACGACCTAAAATCTATTCCGGCAACATTCGAGACGATCATGGCTTCAGGCCCCTCACTGATCCAACAATATTCGGCGAGGACATCTCCAAGCTCAGTTCTGCCCAGATGTACGCCGTGGCAAGCAATAATGCTCTTGCCTTGCAGATCGCCCAACGAGAGTATCTGGAAATTAGCCGGGAATTGAACGAAATTAGAGATATTGACAAGGATGTTCGCGACCCTCAGGCGCCTCTGGATAAGTTCACATTCGAAGAGACTAAGGAAGCTGAGTTGTACGGCCAGCCGTACGAGAAGGGAGCCCCAGCGCGCCTTGAACATGGAAGACCAAACGAAAACTTTGGCAAACTTCCCAAGGGAGTCGATCTTCTGTCTGACCAGGAGAGGACGGACGTACGGTTTGCCTTTGATCCGTTTCAGATATTCTATCCCAAGTCAAAGGCTTCCGACAAGCCAAGAAGGAAGGGCAGGGATGGTTTGAATGACCCTACCAATCCTGACGGTTTTGATACCTACAAAATCGACAAAAAAGCATACGTCCCAGTACAGTATCAGGACGAAGCCGAGTACACTCACAAGTACAACAAGCGACTTTTGGATGCAAATGGTGTTCCAATACGTCCAGTCTCCCCGGATCCAGAGGAAATGGATCCCTCACGCCATACACAAGACAACAACTCATCTCAGGCGACGGCAACTTCGATCGAGCCAGGCATGCAGAATAGGAGAGCGACTCGCTATAATGGTACCAAGGTTCCAAATACGCGCGATGTATCAGAAGCTCCTTCCGGCACCTCAACGCCTAAAAGAAAGCGTAATGGTACGCCACTAGGTGCAGCAACTCGAGAAGACACACCGAACAAGCGTCCAAAGATTGAGCAATCTCCACTAGCCCCAGGCAGCATTCATCGTCCCGATTCTCTTTCAGGCGCTGCAAGAAGAAAGCCTCATCCAAATCAGTACACAAAAGCCAGAGAGGCCCGAGAACGTGAAGCGGCTCTCACCGAGTCGGCGAGTGTAGAAGTCGCGCCCGCAGTCGTCGCTCCAAAGCTGGACTTGAGCAATATGACTGATGACGACAAGTGGAAGCGCAAATGGACAGACGCTGAGTTGCTTGCAGCCATCAAAGAAGATCACACCTGGCTTGGTGTCAAGGCAGACCTGTGGCGACCGAGACTGCTCAACAGTGCAAACCCAGTCCGCAGCCTTTCCATGTTGAAGAAGTGGAGATTCTGGCAGGATAGTGGTCAAGACAAGAGGCCAAGGAACAGAGAGAAGAGCGAAAACGGAGGCAAGAGCAAGGAGGGGAGTGTGAGTCGCGGCAGAACGCCGACTACGCCAGCTACTGCGGTAGACTCTGAAGCTTTTATCGAACCGGTCACAAATGGTACTCATATCGAGGTGAATGGTATAGTCGACAGCGAGCAAAGGCAAGAAGTTGTGGTGGAAGGGGACTACTTCGAGCAAAGTGATGGTATCAATGGAAGTTCACGACCAGCACTGTCTCGACGATCGACCAGAAGAGGTGCCTACTAGAAAGAGTCGTCACAGGTCGCCCAGCAAGGAAATCTGTATAGCGGCTCAATGGTCCCCACGCTGAAGCAGAGCTGAGGTGAGGCTCGTTCGACGGAATAATTCTTGTGACACTGAATGAAGCTACCTAATGATAGAATAATCATAATATCTACTGCTCAATCTTCCTACAACAAATGAATCGTCACATAGTACAAGCAAAGCCTGAAGCGAGACCGGTTGACCAAGCTCAGCCTTGCCACTTTCAGCCTCGTGGGTCATCTTGGCTCTTCCCTCGTCAGCGCTCCCCTTCCAGCTTCATCTAGGTACACCTCATCATCGCCCAACTTAGTTCGTTGTTGTCTCCTTCCTTGCGTCTCTCCAGCCCACAAGGCCCAAGAAGTGACTTTTCTCGCCACGTAACTAAGCCAAGGCCGATCCTACCACGACCATCAAGATGACGAAAAAGAAGCGCAATCATCCCGACCTCGACGAGATCCTTGCGCGTCCTTGGTGCTACTACTGTGAGCGCGACTTCGACGATCTCAAGATTCTCATCAATCACCAGAAAGCAAAGCACTTCAAATGCGAGCGATGCGGACGTAGACTCAGTACTGCAGGAGGTAAGTGACGAACCCTTTTGACCTATTCTGATGCTGACACGCTACAGGCCTGAGCGTACACATGAGCCAAGTGCACAAGGAAACTCTCACTGCCGTCGATAATGCCCTGCCCAATCGTGTCGGCCTCGACATCGAGATATTCGGCATGGAAGGCATTCCTGAGGAGATCGTCCAGCAGCACAATCAGCGGGTTCTGCAGACCTACCACCAACAGCAAGCCGACCGTGCTCACAATCAAGGCGGCGGAGGCGCAGGCGGTAACGCTAGCAAGAAACCCAAAGTCGAAGACAAGATGTCCCTGAAGGAGCGGCTAGCAATGCACAAAGCTGCAAAAGCTGCTGCGCAAGAGGGCGATGTCTCCAACAGCGGTGGCAACACGCCTGTTGCAAGCACTGTGACTCCAGCTCCTGGCACATTTGTACGTCTTTCGACGTTCTTGGTGCATTCCCCATGTGCTAATTTGCAGCAGACCGGTCCTTCGTATCAGCAGCCTTACACAGCTCCCCCAGTCAACGGCTCGTATAGCCAACCTCCTACATACAATCCCGTTCAGCCAGTCGGGACACCAGGGTATGCAGTCGCGCAGCCATCAGCAACGTATGGTCACAACCCTGGTCAGCCTGTGTCCTACGCTCAACCGCAGCCCTATGCTCAACCGCTAGCAGCAAACTTCCAACAGCCCCCTTCTTCGTATTCGGCACAACCTGCCTTTTCACCAGCAGCCTATCAGCAGCCAGCCCCATTCCCTGGTCAATACCCTCCAAACAGCACGAGCCCGTATCCAGGACAAGCTGGTCCACGTCCTTATGGTGCCGGTTCACCGCCATTCAATTCACACGTCTCACCGCCGCCTCAACCCAACAGCTTTCCTAAGCCAGTTCATACCGGGACTGTAAGTCTGCCTACTGCTCCAGGTCTGCCCCAGCGGCCTATGATTGGTGCACCGCCTGTTAGCGGTTTTCAATTCCAGCAGATGCATCAAGGTGCGATCCCTGCTCCTCACAGTCACAGTCCGCAGCCGTACCCTCAACAAGAAGCGCCGCCTTCTGTTGTTGCTCCTGCAGCAAACTCGGCTGAGATGCCAACTGCATCTTCTATTGATGACTTGATCTCCAGCGCTGCTAAGCAGGCAGATCCTACGCCTGCAGCCCAACCGTCTGCGGCTGACCCGCCTGCGACCAACGGCACTGGTAGTGCGGCTCCGGCACCGGTGTCTATCAAGGAGAAGCCTGCGCCGACCGAAGAGAAGAAGGAAAAGTCCGACAAATCCAAGAGAACTAGGTTGGTCTACTCAGATGAGCACCTCAGTCCTGAAGAAAAGATGGCTATGCTACCTAGGTTCGCTTTCACTCCTCGACAGGCTGCAGCCGCCACGTAGGCGTTGACTCCGTCGCCAGCTGGTCGGAGTCTAGCACCCAGAACACCACGCACCCATTCAACCTCTAGCGTATGAGAGGCCAGCAACCAAAATTACACGGACTCAGCTAAGTTTCCTGGTATCGGAATTGCAGCTGACCCAAAAACCTGTCCGAAACACAACAAAGATATTGCAATGCGATTGGGAACTTCTGGTAAGCTTTCTTCGACATTCCTTGTTGGTCTGCATACCGCGATTGGGACTGCTTAGTCAAGCATTCATGCATTGGTGAGTTCGAGCATTTAGCAGATCTTGATGGCTTCGACTCAACACAAGCGTTTTGGAAAAATATCTTCAAAATGCGCATCATTTTGAGGGGTCAACGCGAGGGAGTCATGATCAAATCCGTGGGCAATATCAGGAGTTGGTGGTCAACATCAGGGCGACGCTCGCTTGTAAGTCTAACTTGCAGGACGGTTGGTCTTTCTTTCCTTCGTCGACTTTGTGTATGTCGTTATCACAATAGTACAAGGGACTGTAATGGAATAAGTCAAGATTGCCCCCTGCTGGAGCTCATATGTTGTGGATGATTCGAATCAATCTTCCTCTGCATCTTGCTGTTAACGTCAAGTTTGCCATCGCTGGGAGTATAGGTAAGATCACGACCATGATACTGGTAAGTGTCGACATGGCGTGATCATCTCTGAGTGGCCTGAAGGGCGTCTCTATCCATTTCTGGGGCATTCATGTTGATGCTGCTGATGCTGGTGCTTGTGCTTGTGCTCTCGCTGCTGTTTTCTGTTGCCCACCTTTCCTACCGACTCGGCCTCCTGATGACTGGATTCCGCCATGGCACCTGTCTCCTTCGCCCCACGGCACCTACACCGCACCTTCTGCCCGCTTCTCGGCCGCGCCTTCCCTCTTTCCTCGACCGCGCCTGCCCTCCTTCCCTTCGATCGCACCTGCTCTACGTTCCCTCGATGGCGCCTGCCCTTCCTTTCCTCGATCGCGCCTTCCTCTCATTGCCGCCCCCCTCTATCGCACCTGCTATCCTGTTCTCGACCGCACCTCCCCTCCTGTGCTCGATGACACCTTCCCTACTCTTCATCGCAACTTCCCTCTATCTAACGCGACTTCCTTGACCACACCTTCCTTGATCGCGCCTTCCTCGATCGCGCCTTCCTTGATGGCGCCTTCCTTGATCGCGCCTTCCTTGATCGCGCCTTCCTTGATCGCGCCCGATTAGGCCGCAGCTTGCCTGCATGCCCTCCCTCCGATGGTTGAGGAGCAGGCGCGATTGTGTGTCTTCCTTCGGAAAACGTCAGCCCAGACGTCCGTTCCTGAACCCGAAGCTGGATCGCTATTTGGACAGTCGCACCACGTCCTGCTACGGAAAACATGGCTAAATCGCCAATTTTCCGTCATTATCTGTGCTTCATGCCCGATGCACTGCCCTGGCGTTAGGAGACCGGTCTTGGTTCGATGGACTGCGTGCTGACCTTCCATGGAAAGTACCTGCGTACTGCGGGTTGAGGTTGGAATGGCAGTCAAAGCGGCGATTGCGATTCACTCATGGTGCTTTTCGTGGATGCCTGTCAATGCGGAAGCCGTGGTGTCCTTCAGAGTGCCTTCCGCCAGAGAGAGCTCAAGTGCAGGTGCGGTCTCTCCCGCGGTGCCTTCCGGCGACGAAAATTCATGTGGAAGGCGCTATGGTTCCATGGTGCCTTCCGCCGATGGGAGTCTAGGATGAAAGGCGCGAGGAGAGGCTCACGCCTTCCTGCAAGTTCTTGGCATTAGAGGAAGGTGGGAAGAGGTAGGTTGAGGAAGGCAGGCGAGCACGGCACGTGGAGGTGGGGGGTGCAGGCAGATATCAGACCGGCGCGCCGAAAATGATTTCGTGAGAGCGTCAGAGCATCAGATCGATGCATTCCGCTGCTATCTAGAATTCGCTCAAAGATTGGCATCTACCTACTTGCCCACGCCGTGCCGCTGGCTGGGTTTTGCTGCTGTTGGTGTCGCTTTTTCGCGCTCGTCCAAAACAAAGAGGCTATCTACATCTACATGACATGCGTCGCTTGCAAACATTCCAATTCAAAGATGGTCGTGTGGTATGATGTCGCCGCGAGTTCAGACCCCTTGCGATGGTTCCAAGCCCTCGTTCTCGGGTCCGGGTCATCTCGTTGGGTGATATCTGCCACCCAATGATCCCGCCACCTGTTGTGCGGGCTTGACGTGGAGCATCTGTAGTCAACTTATGGTGAAAACATGCCGGTCGTGATTCAGGTTTCCCTTCGTGGAGTCAGAGGCATCAGGACACATAATCCCTCAACTTCGTCTGGCTCGGCTGACTCAACCGCCCCAATACTTCCCCCTGGAACCTCTCAGGCCCGATCATCTGCCTGAAGCCCTGGACCACTTGTGCAAAGCTCGCTCTTGTACTAGCATAGACCTCGGCGTCCTCACTCTCCGGCACATTGCGTGGAAAAGCAGCAACGGCGGTCAGATACTCGGTCAGCGAGCTTTCCATAGCAGCCGGATTGCGCTGGATGACGTTATTGAAGCCCAAGAACGCGGAGGCCTTCTCGGTCGAGGAACTGACTTGAGACATGTACTCAAGGAAGGGGCCGGCATACGTGCCAAGATTGGCGGCGAGAAGATCGGGACATTGGATGCCCAACCGCCCAATAGTTAGCGCGGCGTTCTCGGCAGCCGACTCCGGGACACGTTCCTCATAAGTGAGGACGGTGATGAGGTTGCGATAAAGGTCCGGAATGAACGGGGCGAGCTTGTCGCGTGGTGCTCGGCTGCCGATCTCGCCGGCTGACCAGCAGACGTTGATGAGGACGTTGAATGCGGGATCTGCTTCGACTTCATCGGCAGGTATCCGGTCAAGATCTATTTGACGGATCAAGATGGGGAAGAGCTTGTCGAGATACGGCTCGAGGGATGAATAGATGGCGATCGCACAATCGCCGAGAAGGGCATAGGCAGACTGTCGGACGTCGGGCGTCGGGTCGTCCATGGTGAAGGATAGGAGGTCGAAGAACTGAGGATTTGATGATTGAACCAGATTGGCTGAGTCGGCGTTGGGTATGGCTTGAATGATTGCTGAGAGAAGATCCAGAGCAGACACGATGAAGTCTTTGTCTGGCTGGTCTATTGATTGTCCAGTCTGAAATGCCATATGCTGCTGAAGATTGGAGTATATGAGCGAGATGCACCTCGAGAAGATGGGCTCCGCAAATTGTGTGAAGAGACTACCGTATGAGATCGCAATATAGCCCAAGCAGCCCAGTAAAGGAAACATTTCTCTGGATTCGTCGCTGATCTTGTGCCACCGTTGAATGAGTACCGGCATGAGCATCTGAACGAGTTCCGGCTTCGCCATCTCTGCTCCAACCGAGTCGGCAAGTGTTTGGAGACAGTCGTACAAAATGTACATGTTCTTGTCCTTGTACAACTGGAAACACTGCGTGAATTGCCGCAGAATTGGCTCGGTGTATGGCTTCAGCTTATCGCCCGCCTTTTCTTCCAGGCTGGCGAAGGATGACGCGCCAGCTTCTTGCACTTTCTTGTTCTTGTCGAGCATCCGCTTCAACAGACCGTCCATCATGGGCTCGAAGTACTTCTGCTTTTCTTGGGGCGAGTTCAGTTGCGCCGCCCATTCTGAGTAGCGTGCCAAACACCAGCAGGTAATTTGCCGCACGACTGGTTCGTTATCGTTGAGCAAGTTGATGAGGAATGGCACGAGTTCTGGCAGATGAGGCGAGACCACATTCATGCATCCTTCGGCAATCGCTCCGAGCGCGAGAACGGCAGCCTCCCGTTTGGGCCACATCTGATGTGATAAGTTCTCCATGAGGTATGGGAGAATGATGGCGAAGACCGAATCGTGGTAGTTGACGGCGAACACATCAAGTGCAGCCGCCGAGCACTTTCTCAGACTCCAAATGTTCTCCGGATCTTCGTCGTCCAAGCTATCGTCGTCGTCCTCGCTTTCTTCGATTTCACCATCACTTAGATCCTTCTTCGAGTCTGACGAGGCTGGCGCTCCGTTTGAGCTCTCGTCTCCGGACTTTTCATGAATGGCACCCCTGCCTTTCTTCTGTTCGGCAAACTGCGGCTTGAGGTCTTCCACTCGGTCGTCTTGGTCCGCATCGTCAGTGTCTCCACCTAACCGAAAGACGTCCTCTTCACCATAGACCATACCGGCAAGTAAGACTGGGACTATCCGAGGGAGATAAGGCCGCATAGTGTCTTTCAACAGCTCCTGCTCTCCCACGCTCAGCCAGAATTCGGCAGCGTCCATGGCGAGATCTGGATCTTGTGATTGTGTCTGTTGCGTGAGAATGTAATTGACAAGTCCGTCCATGTTTGGCGCCAGAGCTTCCGGCTTAGACTCGACCAGCTGCACAAGAGATTGACATACAATTCTCCTGACTTCTGTTGCAGGATCTGAGGCTCTCTCGAAGACTCTTGCCAGGTATTCGTTCAACGAGTCCATCAATACCTGCGACTTCTGCGGTATGAACGTTTTAAGAGTGCCCAAAGCGAAGACTCGGACTTGCGGCAGATCATGGTTTGCGAAGAGCAGCATTTTCTCTACAATGACAGTCATCGGTTTCTGTCCCTGATACTCCTTGTCGAGCAGTTTTCGGTTGTCCTCGCAGACTTTTGCCAACGCGGACATAGCACCCTGCTGTGCATCCGCAGGTATGTTTCCAGACTTATTTTCCACCAGCGTGATCAACTCGATCAATATTTCTGGCCATTGTAGCAGACCTCCCTGCTGTACAATTTCGGTGATAATGGTCCCGGCAAAACTGCGTAATTGGGCGTTCTGGTCCTGTAGCATGCCCAAAGTACTAGACTTGATCTGCGTAAGCTTCTCGGCGGGTATTTCTTTGTAGTGCGTTTTGATGTGGTTCTTGAGCTGGATCGCCGCTGCATATCGTACAAGGAAAGTCGTACCCGGATTCAGGTTGAGGTTGTCTCCCAGCTGCGGTGAACTAAAGATGTACTGCAGGTAGTCCACGAACGTTGACTGCGTGGATGCAGCTTTGATGAGCATCTGTGCACAAAGCAATGTTAGCACGAGCTGATCTGTAGAAATAGATCGAGGTCGACATGATTACATACCTGCTCAGCGTTCTTCTGCTTGTTTCTGTCATGTCCGCTAAGCGAGTTCTTCAGATACTCGACCAGCTCGCGAAGCTCGCTCTCATCCATCTGCGCCGCCATGGCGGCTACGTGTCTGGAGTGTCCGCAGCGCAGTGTCCTCCAACGTTGACAAGTAACGAGTCGCTATCTCCACTTCAACCGAAGCCTGCACACGGACCCCGCAGGTTCGAGGGCGCCCGGCGTGCTCCAGATCGTATGAGTTGCTCTGCCTGCGGAGACGACGTCGTCTGCTGTGCTGTATAGGTGTGGATGCCGTCGGGTGGTAGTCGCAATACGCGTGGGGTAGCCGAGCGGCGCTCAAGTCAAGGCCTAAGAAAAGAGACTACTCAGTCGATACTCGAGCGCTTCGAGGCTTCAATCAATAAGAGATGTAGGTGATGGTGGGAGTGAATGTGGATTGTTTGTTGGCCAGAGAAAGTTTATGAAGTGCCGTCGAGGACAATTGGACTGACGGCAGGAACCAAAGATTTCTGCAGTGGCTCAGTTGATGCTTGTGGCGTATGAGGTTACAGCATTGTGGGGAAAGCGTCTTCTTTTCTTTGTCATCCGGTCTGTCCTTCGCTACTTGGGCACTAATAGGATGTTCAATCTGAGCGGTCTCGATTAGAGAAGTTCTACATAGGGCAGGCACGTTACAGATATTCTTCTACGCCCAAACCAACCTCTTCAATGAATGCCCAATTTGCTCCAGATAGCCTGTCCGCTTCTTCGCCTCGTCCAAGCTGATCACATCTCCCTTCTCAATCTCAACCTTGCCCTGCTCTTCTTTACTATCGCCAACGATGGCCCTGCGTACCTCCTCAACAATCTGCTCTGCTAGTTCGGCCGTACCTGGCTTGTGCTCGGATATGGAGCCGGTGGTGCCTCGCTTCCGGTCTGCAGTCGGTGGAATCACCTTTACCGCAAGCGCCCTCGACGTAGCCGACTGCTTCGGTGCCAGCCAAGAGAGCACTCCCGTGCCTCCATCGATGCGGTCGTGCGAGGGATCGACAGAGTTCTGGAGAGAACGCGTATTGGTCCTGATCATGCTGCCGTGGCTCGGCTTGTAAATTATCACAATGCCAACGTTCATCTCTTCATCTCTTTGACGTTCAGTAAAGGTCGAAGTGATGTATGCGCCATAGCGGACTTTGATGATTGATCTTAAGTCAATCTTCTCGAACGAGGCAACCTTCTCAGTTGTCCAGTCAAATTTGCAGCAGTAGATGGCGGCGTCGGTCAGCAGCACGACCGCTTCTCGAAATGGTAGAGTTCGTAGGGTGTTTTCGATCGCTGGTGCAAGCATCGTCCAACCATGGATCATGTCCTCGCTCTCGTCCTGGACCACAAGACGTCGACAGGTTTCGATTGCACTTTCGCGGATTCGGTTGATCGAGATGCCGGGATCCTGGCTCATCAGAGTGCTTTCAAAGTCCTCGAATGCTGTCCAGGACAAGTTGCCGAGCATCACATCGATCACCGCCTGGGAGAAGTAGTCGTTGACCATGTTATTGTAGTATCGAGTCAGGGTCAGGCTGAAGTCGTTGAGCGCACCTTGGTAGTTTCGCTTGCGTGCTATTAAATCGTTAGTCAAGAGAAGTCTGACGGAGGTGGCAGCATACTTCTTGTAAAGTCACCCTTCAGAGCAGCCGTGCCAGCATATTGTCTCGATATAGCGTCTCCATTGTCAGCCCACAGAGTATTGAACCACGTCTCGTCTCATCCCGAACTAGGTCGATGGCGAAGCCCTCCTGGGACAATGCCTTCTGCAGTATATGCTGTCCAAACGCGCTCTCGGCTACGTTCGTCCTGTCGAGGCAATCCATACAATTTGTCCGGATAATGCCTTTCTGCTGAGATACGATCTGACCATCATGTACGACAGATTCGCCAAATTTCTCGATATTGTCTTCAAGTTTGTCTACCAGACGCTGAACATTCTCAAATCGCATCCCGCGACATTCGGCGTGGAAATCAAACCACTCCCAATCCACACTCTGCAAGTCCTTGGATTCCATAAGAGCCTTAAGATTCTTCTCGTATGCCTCGCCTATTGCCACTTCTGTGCCGTGCTTGTCAACGAGGACAGCTGTCTGGACTTTGCCGTACCGCTTGACCAGAGCTTCGAAGTGCTTCTTCATCGCGTCTCGGTTCGCAGCCTCCGACTGTTGCAGCGTCGGCATTGGCTTGAACGAGTATGGAGACTGTGAAAAGTACAGTGGTATTGATGCTCGGACTTGGGTGAATGACCGTATTGCACGGTTGCTGTCCCAGGTAGGAGTTGACAAGATCTGCTCTGTCTCGACATTGTTGGCACAGTTGCCCTCATCGTCAATCCCGCGCCTCAGATACCTGAGACCAGCACGCTTGATCGATCGCCGAGATATCAGTGTCAGTAAGAAGGTCTCGATATCGCCTTTCAGGCTTGCGAGCCCAGCTTTAGCGTGAGCAATAGCATGACTAGCTTCATCCGGCTGTGAAGCCGCCTCATCAACGGAAATGACATTCGCCGCCTCAGGACTCCCAGCCTCGGACTTCTTCACCACAAAGGTGCGTTGCCCGACAAAACCCATAATGATAGGCATCAGGAACGAATCATGTCCACCTTCCAGCAGCGGGCGGGAGATATTCTGGTTCCAGAAGAACAGCGAGTCCATGGTTGATCTCGATGGAGGGACTGCTCTCCCCTGGAGCAACTGCATCCTTCTCGTCAAGTCATATTCGTAGCTGAAGAAGCAGCTTCTTGAGGTCAGAATCAGTTTGGTCACACGTAGAATTTTTGGAATCATGGCCGCGACTTCTTCTCGAGCCGCGGTAGCCCCCTGATTCGTTCCAGCGCTTGGGCTTGTCGTCGGGGCATCCACGGCTGCTGCTTTCGCCGCCTCTTGAGCATCCCCGTGAGCGACCCTGTCTCCCTTCGCAGACGCGGCCGATGAGTTGTTCTCAGAAGCCTGGTCAGCACCTCCACTGGAACTCCAGCCCTGTCTCGAGAACCACTGCGTTGCGAAACGTCCAAAGTTGCCTTTCTTAGTGAGCACATCTTGAGCGATACTAGTGGCGGATGCTGATCGTGGCAGATCTTGTTCGTCATCGGTTGGTGGACCTCGAGCGTCGTCTGCATGCTGTGCCGTAGGAGAATCTGAGTCAGAGTCACTCGCATCAGATTCTGAGCCCTGCTTGTGGTCCGACTTGGTGGCCGAAGCCCTGCTCAATGACTTTGAAGCAGCTTCTTGCGAAGACAAAGGCAGGAACTCGACATCCGTGACTACGAATATTGGCTTCCCAAATATCTGCGCAACCTGCTCTCGGCCAGTGATGGCTATGAGAAACGAAGAAGAAGCAATCGTGAAAATGCCAAGCAAGCCGTGAGCTTCCAGCGATGGTGCTTTCCTGTACTGAGCAGCCTCATCGTGTGGACATTCTGTCACTCGAGATGATCTAAACTCGAAGTGTATTGCCTTGTGATGCTCAACCGGACCATGCGCCTGGACAATGAGACCTTTCGCAGATGCGAAGATCAACAACTTCCGTATAATGGCCATATTTGCAGTCAGATGCTTATGCAGTTTCGCGGAGGCCTTTATGGTTGGCCATGGCAGGCTGAGTACGCGCGACTAGCGGCAATCATCGCTGGCTATAAATAAGAGCCTTTTGTTGATTAAGGACCGGTGCATAGGTAAGAATAGATAGACATGTACAATGAGGAGTGTGAGCCGTAGTGATCTTCGCCTGGCGTAGATGCCGGTGACATCATCGCTGGGTGACTGCAGTGTCGGAAAGCATACAGGTCGATCACACGGAAAGCGCATCAGAAGAACAACGAGCACAAGATGGAAAGTTCCCGCATTTATCCTCATGGGCTGCGAGTGCTTGATGCTGCTACATATACCGACACTTACAGCAAGACCTCCATCTACTTGCTGTCTTCTTTTCCAGGACTTAGATTTGCGAAATCCACAGGCTCAATCTTAGCTGAGATCAACTCTGGGCTGTTGACTCTCACACCAGGATTGGGCTTGATTTCCTCTGTCTCCGCCGTCGCTGCAACTCCTTCACTAGCGTCTACTGTCGCAGGAGCCTCATCCTTGCTCATTAAAGGACTCCCCGGGACCGCGTCCAGGGGAGCCTCGTGAAGGGCTGGCTTCTTCGCAAATGTGAGCTGCCCTTTCGTCTTCTTCTCGATTGCTGCCTTAACCCAATCTGCAACCTCCTTGTCTGCAGTCGTGATGCTTGACTCGATCTGCGGGCCAGCGTCCATACTGTCTCCTGCTTCTGCTGCCTTCTCGGCTTCTTCGTCTTCGGAGATTGTTGGTGGTTTGATCAGCGGTGCGAGCCAAGCATGCCGTAGTAAGGCAGCGTATGTGGGCCGAAGCTTTGGTATCTTGTTCAAGCATCCTCGCACGAAGTCGACAGCTTCGTCCGAGTATTTGTCAGCTGGTAGATCTGGTGGATCTCCATCCACGATAGCCTGTATTACTCAGCATACTGCCTCAGCTTGAATAGGGGAAGACGACTTACACTCAATTGACTGAAGATATTGTCGTATGTTTCCGGCGGATAAGGATACCGACCCAACGCGCACTCAATGATGGTCAGGGCTAATGACCAGATGTCCGATTGCACGCTATAAGTCCCACCACCAGCACCAGCGGCAGACATGCCGCCTCCAGATATTCGTTCTGGCGCCATGTAGCTTTGACAGCCGATATTTGTCTTCGCGATAGACGCAACCAAGTTTCCGCTGACACCGAAATCGCAGATCTTGACTTGTCCACGAGTGTTGACGAGAATGTTCGTCGGTTTGACGTCGCGATGTATAATGTTGTGGTCGTCCTTCAAACTCTTCAGACCCATGACCGTAGAAAGAGTAATCTTTCGGAGAACGCCCTCCGGAACGCCATCTGCATACAGTTTGTCGATCGATCCGCCATCCATGTACTCTATACAAATGTAAACCGAACCCTCCTGAAAGAAAGCACCGTAGAAGTCGATGATGAAGGGAGATACACATCGATGTAAGATGTCGAGCTCCATAATGATCTGAGCGAATTTGATATCCTCCAGCTCCAGTCTGATCTCCTTCATCGCCATGATCAGACCACTGGTGCCCGCTGTAGCATTTGCGTCATTGTCTTCACGCTGCTGCTCGGACAATTGTCGGCTCATGTTACCTCGGAGCCCAAGACCGCTCTGCCGCATCTTCGGACGAGCGTGTCTGACCTTGAACACTGTGCCGTAGTTGCCTTTGCCGAGTTCGTCGACGGGATCGACCTCGTCGAGGGAGATTTGAAATGTGCTGCCACCTTCGAAATCGATGCCACTGCCGTGTATGATTGCTTTGTTCTTGAAATTAAGCGTGCCTTTCTGCGTATCGACAATGCTTGAGAATTGTTTGAACTGCGACCCACTCTCACTCTGTTGTGGCTTCTCATCTGGGGCAGCCGGCTTGTGTGCTTCTGACAGCTTCATCCCGCCTGGTTTGAGACCCCGTTTTGCAGCGAGACCACCCATGCCCGGCTTTGTACCCGGCATTTTGGGACTGTTCGGGCTGTTTCCAGGAGCCGGCGATGCCGAATCCCATTGCTGTGCATTCGGTCTTTGCAAATTAGGCGGCAGACGCATGCCGGGTGCACCTGACGAGCCGACGACTGGGCCGCCAGTGAACCCGCCAGCAGCCGGGGCCTGTCTGTTCTGAGCTCCTGGTGCACCTTGCCTTGATAGCGAGAATGCTTTCATCTTAGCCTGTATGTCGGATGTCAAGCCGGAGGCTCGAGAAGTGGGAGGGCCGGGTCGTCGGGCAGCATTGACATGTCCGAGCGGAGAGGATGAAGATGTCATTGAAACGGTGTTTGTGTTGCCTAGCGAGGGTGCTCGTTGCTGAGGGCTGGAAGGGGCGGCATCGCGTGTAGCAGAATGTGAGGGTTCGGCGTTGGGCTTCGTGCCCGGGACGTCGGAGTCAACCGGCGCGGTCGACATCTCGAACGGAACGCAAGAGGAGGTGCGCAGGCGCGCAGTTGCTACCTGTCAGTGATCATGCGCTGTGCGACTCTCTTGGTCTCAACAGTACCAGTGTCGTGGTCAGTCTTTCGTCGATCACAAATTGGTGGCTCGAATCGATCTGCAAGTGGGGGCCCCGCCAGACAGATATACTTCGCAAATCGATGCCGGTTCCTTAGACCACACGAATGGAAACGTAAGGCGGCCTCTGTAGCCCAACTTGGTCGACCGTAGAAGAAATTAGAATGGAGATGAAGAATCGTGGTCAGAAAGTCGCTGTGCAGTGGCAACGGAAGCTCTTCGAGATGAGGATAGAATTGTGAAATCGGCTAGTTACAGTGCCTAGCAGTAAGTCTTAGTGGACTAATGCATCGGTGGGGGCGTCGCCGATTGGCCTAGGCTCGAGACGCTCAACGCAATGGAAGTGGTTACACGTCTATTATCAATGGAAGACGAAGGGTCGGGAGGCCCTTACCATTGTCAACAAGATTGGTACTCGTGAAGATAGATCGGTCACGGTGACTCCTGCGGAGCGAAGTAGAAGTCGCCCTGCCGATCAGAGCCATTACTGTGCATGACTCTCGAACTACTTGATATCCGGCTGAGGTCGGCCGATTTGCTGGAAAAGTCCTCCCGAGCCTTGAACGCGCGGACCGTTTGTGGGGGCAGCCCGATTACTCAGATATTGATTGCTTACACCACTCAGTACATGGCCAAATATGTTTAACACAGCAGTACATGTATGTGGCCTGATTTCATTCAAGGTCGTGTATATGTCTCAAGCCATTTCACATCATTGTGAAGTCCGCCCAGGCTCAACTTCTATACAATTATACACCTGGTGCACTATTGGTACATATAGTAGTAACACTCATCGTTCTGGTGTCCCCCATCGTCAGTATTGTGCTCGCAAGCTATGAGAAGAAATACTGCGAATCTCTGAGTCGCCGCACATCAAAAGTTCCCTTCTCGGGAACAGGTCGAAAAGTCAATGGTAGCCACGCCCATGTCTGATTGTTACTGTGGGCAGACTTCTTCTTCTGTCGCTGCTTCGAACCTGGCGATGGCGCGCTTTCACTTCCATCCAGGCTCGTGGTTCCAGTAGGCATCTCTGTCAAATCATCATCCACCTCTTGATCTGCCGGTGTCGGACCGTTAGGAGCTTGGTTCGATGCAGCCATTGTTTCTGTAGCATGCTGCTCAAGCGCAGCTTCTGCTGCCCCTTCTGTGACGCCCTTGGGTACAGCAGCCATTGCCGTTTGTCCCAGGCTGTCCTTGCTTATAATATGTCGATCACCCCGGAAGTCCTTGAAGATAGTGGCTGCTGTTACCATTTCCGCACCCTTCTTCCGTTCTGTCGGATCTTCGCTAGCCATCAGACGTCTCTTCTCAATTTCGCGAAGTAGCTCATAGTTTTTCTGTTGCGTGACGCTCCTCCGTCCCGAGTTCTTGCGATATTCCGAGATCGCCTTGGCCACTGGCGAAGTCTTGCTGATTTCGGCCATGTAGACATGATTCTCATACCGTTTGTTGAACTCTGCGGCTAGTCGTCCGATGATGTCTTCCGAATGCATACGAATGAATGCTTCGCGCAGAAGCCTATTCATAACATCCACGTCTGCTGCGTGCGTCCAGAAAGAGTCATGTACAGCGGCGAAAGACAACCCGAGCTCGTCTAACTTCAACGCCGAGAGCAACATGTGTGATGCATCCAGCGAATGAATGAAATTGGGTGGGAATGCCTGTAGTTGCTTGCGCTTGTCGACCGCATCCGCAACTGTAGGTTCGTACAAGGTGATCGCTTGCAGATTAGTCTGAATGGACGCACCCTTCGCCTGACGGTAGGGCTGGACTACAGGTAGCTTGAGTGGTGTCGTCCAGATCACGCTTGATCGAAACTCTGAGCCCTTCAGTTGAGTGGTCCTGGATTTGACTTTGGACGGCGCCGACGGCTTGCGTCGACCAGCGTGGGTTGTTTCACCGCCACCCGGCGTAGAGCTGGCTTCAGTAATCTTGTCCATTTGTGCAGGAGACACGGAGCTCGAGATTCTGTTGGCACAATCTCCCAGCCAATACTGGATGGTTTGGGCACCATTGAAAAGTTGGCCAAGTGCTCTGAAAATCTTCTCGGCAATGTACAGCGAAGCTCGTCCGGACAGGCGCTTCTCCCCGATATCCGGCAGTAGAGCATCAATCTGCTTGCGTACTTGAGCAGTCGCGCCCATGAATGTGACCCCATAGACGTTAGTCATCACAGTCTGCTTCACGATCTTGCGCTTTAAGCGGCCGTTGAGCAGCGCAGCAATCTCGTGACCTTTTGCAGCATCAGCAGCTACTTCAGCCGAGACAAGGTCGCAAACGCCCGAGTAGACGTCCGCTGGCTTATCACCCGGCTCAAGATTGACCTGGCGCGCGCCCTCCACGTCGCCGCCCAGGGCCGCATAATGCTGCAGTCCGTTGCATGAACCGTCCTGGTGGACAGGCAGATGGGAAATGAATTCCTCGGGGTTGGGCGCCTTCAGCGCCTCTACGAGCTCATGACAAGCCGCAAGACACTGCCAAGGGTCTTCCGCGGTAAGCCACCAGCGTTTCCCATCGAACGGGTGCTCCACTGAGTCTCGGATCTCTTCAAGGTGGTCCATAGGAAACTTGGCCCGGTCAGAGAGGCTTGCCTTGTCGAATCCGTACACATTTGATAGTTGTATCTTTAGCCACCATAGTCCCCGTTTCCCTAGCGGGCGACCGTTGGCAAACCTCAATAGTCCTCTACAATGATCGGCGCCCATTTGGTTGAGGTAGGGTGGTATAGGGTATGCGCGGCCACGGAAATCCATATTGTGTGGCAGATAGAACGTTTCGTTCAAGTAGGCTCGCGCGATTTCTAGCTGTAAATTCTGAGAGCACCTTTCGGAATGATCGCCGTTTTTTTGGTTGTCGATTTCTCGCATTCGCTCAAACCACTCATGTTTTGCTCGCCTTGGTGCATCTGAGGCCGGCCTTTCTGGTGCGTCAACTTGCCGTCCGAGCGGAGCCAAACCAGCGATGGCTTCACCGGAGTTCCAAGCTTGGATCATTACGTCGTAGACCTTCTTGTTGATCTTCCAGGAAGCTTCCCAAGCACGTCCAGGCCTGCAAAGATTTGGTCCATATCTCCATTGGCGGCGGCTGCATTGACATAATCCTTTTGCAGCACCTCTTTGAACTTCACCCGCAGGGCGGGGACTTGGGTTTGCAGGTAGCCACCTTCTGTGAAGTTCTTCCATGGTAGTGGTTCACATACCATAGGCAGCTGCTTCGCAATTACATCGGTGTTTGGTCGTCGTACCAAGTGTGGTATGAACGATTCGTGCAGCGAGACCACCCCTATGCCCTTGCCCGCCGAGAAGATTTTCGATCGAATGAAGACGGCCTGTGCGATTTTTGTCGTCTTTCCGGTCTTGTGATCTGTATGGCTGACGTGAATTCTAGCAGAGTCCATGAAGAGTTCAGCAAGGATTGCCCCTAACTTGACATGGATTGCGGATGTCCATTCCGAGGTCCGTAGGTACTTTTGTGAAGCTGGATGATTGCCACGAGATGTCACGCCCCAATTGTCAGGGCGCTCTGGATTCAAGTTCTTCACAACGTCAGCAAGTGATTTGCCATTTCGTTTGGCTTTTGAACGCTCCTGCGACCATTTCTTCATCGTCTTCTGCAAAACCTCAGCATGTCGTTCGGATTCCACGATTTTGCCGAGCTCGGTGACCAGTCGGATCAGCTTCACTGGTCTTGCCGCTCCGACTTTGTTCATGATTTGCATCATGCCAATGCCTACCACAGCAGCCAATTTTTCCGGCTTGAGCTGTTGCAAGAAGGGACCGTATTCAATCCTCAACCTGTCTTGTGCCGTCTTTTTGACTTTGTTCTCAGCCTCTTCGACCTTCTTGATCTCTGCGACGATCTTGTCCCGCATGATCTCATGCCATTGCCACATCAACACGCCCGTGTTACCTTGGTTCAGACCAGCAGTGATGCCTTGTTTTGCTAGTTTTTGGTGCTCTTTTCGCCATCGTTCTACAGCTGAAGTGACAGCATCATGCTCTAGGCGAGCCTGTCGTGAGCGTGCGACCTTTTGTTGTTCTTCTGTGCTATGTTGCGAATTTATTCGGACCTTTTCTTCGTCGTCGTTGAATAAAGATAGAGTATTTCTCAAAGCATCCATGCCCCCACCCTTTTGTTCTGTCTGCAATATTTCCAGGTCTGGTCGCTGGGACAGAACGTCTTTCGACACTAGTATTTCGGGCTCATCTTCAGGTGGCTCTTCTGACATGATTTCGGGAAAGTCTGCTGCCTCTAGAGGACAAATCTGTGAGATCAATCCAAGGTCTCTTTCCGTCAAGATGTTGCGAAGGCCGACAATTTCGCCCTGCAGATTGTACCGCTCAGCCATATCCCAGTAGCGGCGAACCGTCCTGTCGCGCTTCGAGCGATTTGGAACGAATAAGGCAGCCTTTATCACAAGAGCTATTGTTTGAGCATGAGCTTCTAGCCCAGCTTGCTTCATGTCACGATCGATCCATTGCGTGATGCGGTCCTCGACCTCGGAGCTCGTACACTCCATGAAGTCGTCCACCATGGCTGCCAGAACATGATCATATTGCAGACGCAGTCTGCCCGTGTCGCTATGATACAGGATTTTGAGCTGCGCAAGATTTTTGAGAGCCCTTGGCCAATTCTTGAGCGCCAGGCATGCTTCCAAATGGTCTTCGATCTCGCTTGAGTTTCCGCGAAGATCCGCATGGCCGGTATTGATTCTCTCGATATATGGTAGGGCGGTCGTTGCCTCGATACGCAATAGATTGTTCACGTCCCAATCAGCTAGCTTGGTGCTGACTCGTGGGAGGCGTGGCCTTGAGTTGGACTCCTGGCCGTAGAGGTATGAGGCGTAGTCATCGTTCCATACATGCGATTCCGGTAAAGGCGCTGCTGATGCCAATCGCCTGGCCTGTAACGGCAAAGGTGTTGGAAGACGGCTCTTCGACGATGGTCTGGTCTTAATTGGCCTCCGCTGAACAGTAGTGTTATGCGGGAGGCTGATCGCTGGCCCAAGAAAGGGTCGATCGATTCGTTGACTGGCATCTTGAGCAAGTCGAAGGGCTTGTCTTCGACGAGCTACTCGCGTGAGCATGTCTTCGCTGGTTGACGAAGCTGTACCAAAGCAAGATGCATCGCAGTGAGAATGCGAATGCCGATTGCGTCGAACAGTAAACAGTCAGATCAATGCGCAATAAAATACATGGACAGCAAGAAGCGAAAATCAAATGAGCATCATAGTTAACGGTTGACCAGGAGGGAGGCAAGTCGAGTTCAAAAAACTGAGATCCACAAGGGCCAACTTCGGATCTCAAGGTGGTCACGTGCATCAAGGGCGTTAGTACGCAGAACGATGTATAACCACCTGGGCACAAGTTCAACCCCAGCAGTGTCAGCGCTGCCATCGTTACCAAAGCAACGCGTGACGTCGTCCTGGCACTGCTCCATTAAGTTGGCCTACAACCACGTCGCACAAAGGACGGGCTGTTATATCATAATTGGAAAAGGATTAGTAAATTCATCGCAGATTTTCTGGGCCAGGGAGGGCGCCGAAGGTCTGACATCGTTGGCTACTTGAGTCAGGGTCCCTGAGATGAACTTCACTTGAGCGTTCAATGATAGAATAATTCACTGCAGACGGACCTAATGTCGTAGCCGATGCGACCCCTTTTGGCGCTGGGACCTGGTCTTCACGGGATCCTCGGGTTTTTGCAAGGCGATCATGTTCCCCTCTCTGTTCAGCATGTTGCGCTGTGCTAACTTCTTAGCCCGCCATGAAGCTGGCATAGACGACGCCCAACGCTTTTCGTCCACATCGAAGTTCATCCCTCACGCACTATGTTCGGCGCCCAGTTGGATGCGCCTGGCATCAAGGGTTCCCCGATCATCATGCACATTTCTGTGAGATGTGAACCGCGCGTGCCGCGAGACGCACGTCCGAAGAACAGAGGAGGCCTCTCAGATCTGCAGATGGGTATGGCCACAAATGGCTCCTTCCCGAAACCTCCGACATACACGCCGGGAAGACTCCAAGGTCTTTCAGATGATCGTGAAAGCTACAGTCGGCTCTGGGCAAGGGGCCGAGTAGCAACGGACATTGCGCTAGCCCTTCCTCGGTCTGCCACGTCGCCTTGATGGGGCTGGCTCGGCTTCTGGCTCGGCTTTGATCTCGACTAGCGCGTCTGCGTTGATTTGCACGTCCATACCCTGATCGTCGGCGTCCTGCTCCAGGTCGGAAACGTCTGGACTGCTCAGTTCGCTGTCGGAGCTCTGCTCAAGCAGCGGACCCTTGGATGGACCGGGTGGCTGTGCGCTTTCCTTCAGTTTCTTCTTTTCCTCCTCTGCCTTCTTCCGGCGAGCTCTCTCCCGTTCTCTGCCTCTCAGCTTTGCCAGAAGGCCCTTCTTACCATCCTCACGCGGCGCTGACATTCGATCGAGCCAGTCACTATTGGACAAGGCACTCTTCAGAGTTGCGGGCGCATCGACTTCTCCGTTTCGCCAGAGAAAAGCATCGCCTTGACTTTTGGCTAATGCATCGTCCTGGTCAACCCAATCGTGCCTCTGCCACGGCTCAGTCTGGATGTCACGCAGCAGCTTGGTGTTCGCGTTGAGACTGCGATCACGTGGGTCTTCCTTGCTGTCTTTTAGCTTAATTTCGATCGCCTTAGACTCGATTTTGGGCGTGATCTCGACGCCGGGCTTTTTCGCGTTCGCAGAACCTCCCGATAGGTGTAAGCGGCGCTGATTGTTCTCTTCTTCTGCGTCTATGTGATGTAGTTGGGGCCTCAGTTGGACCAGAGCATCGAGGTGAGAAAGGTGGATCTCACCGTCGCGAACGGCTGCGAGGAAGTAGATAGGGTCTTTCTCTGAAGGCTTTGCGATCTTGCCACCCAATGTCTGTGTTGCGAGCGGCGGAGGTGCTTCTCCATTCTGGTGAGCAGGGACGTCATGCAGAGAACCTACCTGCGTGGGTCCAGCATTGAAACCGCCGACAAGACCATGGGATCCTCCAATGCTGACGGTCCTGCTGTCAGTCATGGCCGCTCCGTACCGATTGCCTGCTTCATGGTTGTAGTTGTCTGTTGTGAGCATCGGGACATCGACCTCGACAATGCCTGTCGCTTTCTTGTATCTTAGCGTGCTCGGTTTCTGTCGAAGAGCAGCGCAGTACGGTCGGGCAGCCGGACGGTGCGCGGGATATTGCAAGACAAGTACACCTGGTTTGTCAGACGGCGCAGCATCGTGGACAACCGCGTCTGATCCTGGTGGGCTCGACAGGATCAAGTCATAGCTTGCAATCACAGGGTCGTCCGCCATTTCGACTGACCAGCGGTGCTTTCATGGAGTGGATATTCTGCACGAAGTGACCAAGATCACCTTGACCAGCGACTGGCGGCTGAGCCAGCTCGAATCATACGCAGGATGTCGAGTTCCCACGATTGACGAGCCTTTTCGTTCTTCTAGAGACTAGAGGTGAACATGTATGGAGGGTGCCCAGGCGATCTAAATACTCAATTATTTGTTGGTTTGATGTCCAACTCCGGTGAACGGCAAGGCACAAAAGCGCGGAAAGTACGGTGACTTGCTCCTGCCACCAACCTTGGAAGCCCTGACGCGAGACGCGCCTGACACCACTGGGCACTTTATCTCTTCCAACCTCCGTTTCCAGCTACTCAACCCACAACATATCGCTGAATCAGCAACAGCAGATCTCACACTTCAACAAGTCTGTTTCTACACCGCGATCTGCGCTACTGCTACAAAGAAATTCGTTTGGCTGCGTAGACCAAATAGGGCTGATCCACCTACCTACCTACACTGATCACAACCACAAGGCAGCATGTCATGGCGCGCTCAGACGCTATAGCCATAGCCACGAACCGCGCAGTCTCTCGCCTGACTGAGTCACCGGCACCGTCGTCAAGGAGTGATTCACTTGGCCCGGGCGAATCGGATAAGGAGAACCACTCGAGTAGCAGATCGATTCAGAAGCGGCGAAGCAATCACCAACAAATGGATTCTCCAGATGTACAGAATACGGCCAAAAGGAGAAGGACAGAGCAGCGGACTCAGCAAAGTCAGAAAACGGGCGACAAAATTGACACCACCTACTACGATCCAAAGCAAGACCCGGAGGAACGACGACATACTAAGCGGAAAATCCGAGAGCTTCATACAGATCTCAACGACCATCGACAGGAGTACCTGCAGGCCAATTCTTCAGGACTGGTGGACACTGTCAACAAGGCCAATGAGTACTTCAAGAATGTCAAGCAAACAGCAGACGCCGCTGTTGACGCACGTTTACTTGTTGCTGCGGCTGATCTATCATACAAGAAGATCAACACCCTGACGCTAGGCGATTCATCGGTCGGCATCGATGTTGATGACTTCGTCACAAAATGCATCGCGTTTATGAAGCGGCCAGAAACCGGAGAGGACGAGGAGGAGCAAGCGCGTCCTGCAAGCACTCAGACTCAGCGAAATAGACGGAGACGAACACAAGCAGAAGACGACGACGAAGATGGGGATGGCCCTATGAACTGGGAATATCTCGGTCGGCGTGCGTGCAATGTGTACAATTCACGTCCTGCCCTCTCTGGCTTCCTGCTCGGACCCTTGTCTGTCGAGAAAAAAGTCCGGCAAATCACGCAACGACGGGCGCGAGAAGCCCGTGGAGAGCCAACACAAACGAGTCGAACTCTGCAATTGACCGAAGAAGAGCTCGACAACCAAGAGAAGCAAAACTTGACTGTCATCTGCGGTCAGATCCTAAGCATATTGAACGATTACCAAGATGCTGCCTCCAGGAGCGTTACAGCAGAGTACGAAGAACGCCACACAGCAGACATGGACGACGAGGAGACGCAAAAGTTGGTAGAATCGCTGATGGACAAGTATCACATCATGTCGAACGGCGCAGTGCCACTGTTCCAATTTTGTGTCAATCCAAAATCATTCGGCCAAACAGTGGAGAATTTGTTCTATGTCAGTTTTCTGGTCAAGGAAAGCAAAGCATGGCTAGGGTATGATGCACACGGCATGCCGACGATAGGCGTGGCGGAAGAACGGCCTCTCGCTGAGCGACAATTAGCACAGCGGAATCAGGCTGTGTTCACAATATCATTCGATGTTTGGGAGACTGTGTCGGAAAGTTTTGGTATTGACAAGTGTATTATACCTCATCGAAGCGATCAGGTGTATGACGATGGAGTCCTCGCAGAGCCGGCCCCGAATGGTGATGGAGGCGAAGATCCTGACATGTACGATTAATGATGTACTTGTTTTCTGATGCATCAGTATCACTCAGAGCTTAGATATGGTAGCTTGTCGAGATACGTGTATAAAATTAGCATAGCTTCGTTGTCACGAGCTTCTTCGTATGATGAGCTGTGCCATGTACACTTCACAATGTTGGTCGTTCGATTGACGATACTTAGTACTGGGTCATGATTCTTTCCACCGACTGGCGTAGTGTTATGTGGAGGAGAGAATCAAGTCAAAATCTTGCTGTCATCCGGTCTTGAGAATCCTTGCCGACATGATAGCTTCCCTTCGTCATGTTGCATGACGATTCACCATATCAAGAATACCGTTCATGCGTTCAATACTGTGATCAGTAGCCTTACCTATAGACAACTGCCAGGCAAGACCACCGCCTCGAGCACCTTCGTGGTTGCCTTGTCACAAGGATCATGACGACACTGGGGCGCATTGACAGCGCCGAGCTAGTCGCGTCTGAGGCCACTATTGCATTCAGAGGCGACTGACTAGTGTAGATCAACTTCATGCGTCAGCACATCCGTGCGGCTTTGGTAGTCTATGCATGCGTGTTACTAAAACCCTTGTGACTATTTGGGCTCAGACGAGGCGACCAACGAGGTGTCTGCAAAAGTCACCATTCCAGCTTGAGAGTAGCCGGAATCTTCCAAGGACTAACATGCCTGCCACTACGCGTCACGCAAAGATCGCAAAGATCAAGGAAGAGCCAGACACTCACGAAGCCTCCAAGTTCCTGGAAACAAAGCCATCAGCAACCCCTTCTCCCAGCTCACCACCATCCAAATCCACAGCAGAACCCACAACAACAAAACGCAAATCCAGAGACACCCTCATCCAACCTCCATCAACGGCCCTCCCAACACCATCCCTCACCTCACCCTCCATAAACTACACCTACGCCATCGCCCGCGGCGAACAGGGCGTCCTAACTTACGAGCCCTACAAATCGCTCATCCTCCCCTTCTGGGCCTTCCGCACCGTGCCTATCGCCCAAGCAAGTGCCTCCGCTCTCATGTCCATCTTCCACTCCTACGTCGCTCGAGGCGACCTCGTCGGTGCAGACATGACGCGCAAGTTCATCCAGATGGGCATGACGCGGGCGCGGCGGTATGCGAATCACAAGGGAGGGCGGAAGTATGATGCTAAGACGGGCGAGGTGTTGGAGAAGTGGTCCGGGGAGGGCGTTGGAGGGGAGGAGGGGAGGAAGAGGAGGGAGAAGGAGGAGGCGAGTGAGTTGTTTAAGGGGTATTGGCGGAGGTGTATTGAGGATGAGGGCTATCTGGCGTTGAAAGCGAGGTGGCAGAGGGAGAAGCAGGAGTGGAGAAGCGAAGGAAAGTTGGCGGCGAAGGAAATGATAGCGAGGAGACGGTTGTGAAGAAGGAAGAGCCGGCTGATGATGGTGACTGATGCTCCAGGTCTTCTCAAACCCTCAGGTCGTTTTTGCCCGATGAAGCGCCAAAAAGGAATCCCATACACGGGAGCTCAGTCGCAATGGATAGAATTTCAGAAAGGCAGGTAGGCTGCTATTCTAACCCATATCAGGGACTCTTACCAGCGGCAGATCGAGGCCCAGAATGGAAGGCGGGCTGCTGTTCCAGGCCTCAGAGCTACATCCACAGCTGGCCCAAAATAAAGCCGACTGGCGACAAGCAGCTGGAACGGGAGCCTCAGCTACAATCGTCATCGGTGTAAAGCGGTATCACCATGGGTGGGGCTACGTTACTCGTCAGCTCCAGCATCACCGGCGACCAACAGAAAGCAGTGAAAGAAAAGAAGGAAAGCGCAAGGGCACTTACCCGCCCATCCCAACACCAAAACGTCCCACTATCCCGTGGCCCCTTGGACCTCGATCACCTTCAACATCTCCCGCACACTCTCATCCGGCTGTATGATTCCCTCCACCTCCCAATCCAGCTCTACGTCCGCCATGTCTGTCGCGACCTCTCCGGGATGCAAGGCCAGTACACAACATGCGTCATTGTCCTGTTTGGTATCAGCGCCGCCGACAACGCCTTCCTTGCCCTTGGCCCGCTCTGCCTCCTCCTTCCGGCGTATTTCAGCAGCCATATGCCGCAACATCTGGTTGAGCGCCGCTTTGGATGCCGCGTACGCGCCGAATCCATCTTCGTGGTCTCGGAATAAGGTAGCGGAGCCACTGTCGCTGGAGATGAAGATGATCTTCTTTGGTGGAGGAGTCACTGAAGGAGAGGAGAACGACGCGATCGTCTTGAGGATTTCTTGCGCGCATATTATGGGGCCGATGGTGTTGGTGTAGAGGTGGTGTGCGAAGTCGGCGTAGCTTCTGATTGCAGCGGTCCCTCGTCAGCGGCTGCATAGGAGTGGAGGAGCATCAAGTGGAAAAGTACATGGGTGTGGATTCACAAGCAGACTTACATCTCAGTGGCCCGGTTCGGGTACTTGAGCACCCCTGCGTTCAGGATGACGTTTTCTATTCGTACGCCCTTGGCCAGAAGTGTCTTCAGCCGTGTTGCGAATGCCTGTTATGCCGATGCAATTGTGTCAGCTGTCATGTCCCCAAGGCGTAGTCATCCTCTACTTCTTGCTAGCATGGGCCAATTGAGAGTACACTCCATCTCGTAGCCTCCAGCTACACCAGGCAACAGCGCCCTCCTCTCATTTCAGTGCTGCTCAGTACCCTTCTCCACTGCGAGACTGACTCACCAGAATATCGCCCTCCTTAGTAACATCGCACTGCTCAATAACCCCGGCGCCCGGCGTCTTCGCTTCCCCCAGAACCTGCCACAGCTGGGCAGCCTTCATCGGATCTCGCACAACGGCAATGACCTGGTCACCGCGAGCGAGGAGCTGGCGCGAAAACTCTAGCCCAATGCCGCGAGAGGCGCCGATTATGATCCATGTCTGTGGGGCATGGGTAGTGGCCGAGGGCAGTGGTAGAGAATCGGAAGGTGTCGTGGACTGAGCCATGTTGGGAGGCCTCCTGAGGCGTTCCAGTCAGGCAAGTCAGGACTTGGTGGGTGAAGGCTGGTCCGAGAAGTGTTGTTGTAGCCGATTGAGTAGTGTCAAGTACTGGGGACGAATGGCAGCATCCTACTTCGCAGCTACCGGCAAGTATATCAGACTCGGAAAGTCTCAGGTTCAAAGTTGAACCATTCAACCTTAGCTCACCGGTCACCACAGGCGTTGATATTGTCAATGTCCCATCGCCAGCCAATCCGAAGATCAGCTCGAGAACACATCGTGACGAGGCACTCCTACCCGAAGCCACCGCACGTGGAGATAACAGCAGGTGGAACCGTGAGTAAAAGCTGAAAGATCAAAACCGTTGGGCATTTGCTCCGAAGTGAACAAGACGTCAGGTACCGGGATGATCAGATCGTGCAGAATACGAAACCGCCGGCAGGAACTGCCCGCCGAAAACAAAATCAGCTCGCTACAATTGCTCATGGCTTGTTCTCATGATTCTATGATGTCCTTTTCCGAAGTAGTCTCGCATTTTGTCGTCCATACAACTTCGTCTGCCATTATCTGTTTCTAGAGATTAACGAGAGACCAAGCCGTCTTCGCATGAACGCATTGCTATCACTGTCTCGAGCGAGTATCGCCTACTGAAGTTGCTGGAAAGCGCGGTTAACCGGGCTCCGTGGGTTGACGCCCTTGTAGAACTCAATGGTCTGCTTCGCGCGCTTCGCGATACCCTCAGGAGTGAACTCGAATTTCTGTGCTTTTGTTAGCATTTGTGTATTCCGAATTGCAATAAGATGCAGCTTACCTTGTAGACGTCCTTATATGGACCAGATGCGCCGAATCTGTTGAGACCGAACTGCTCGTGAGAATACTTCTCCCAGCCGTGAGTCGACATGACTTCGACAGACATGATAGGCTTGCCGTCAGGCAGGACCTTGAGCTGGTATTCCTTGGGCTGGGCATCGAAGACCTCTGTGCAAGGCATCGAGACGACACGAGCCTTAATGCCCTCATCGCCGAGAGTCTTGACAGCCTCAACGCAGATGCCGACTTCTGAGCCCGTAGACACGAGTGTGATGTCGGCGTCGGCGGTGTCGATAGCAACATAGCCGCCCTTGATGCCGTTCTGCAGAGTCGAGTTCTCAAGTTGAGGAAGATTCTGACGAGTGAGAGCCAAAATCGAAGGAGTGTGTACCGAAGTCAGAGCCATGTAGTACGCAGCTGAGGTCTCGTTGCCATCGGCCGGGCGCCAGACCATCATGTTTGGCAGCGCACGGAAATGGACAAGGGTCTCAATAGGCTGATGTGTTGGGCCATCCTCACCTAGACCGATCGAATCGTGTGTCGCGACGTAGATGACGCGCTGATGCGAGAGTGAGGACAGACGGACTGCACCGGCAGCATATGAAACGAAGTTGAGGAAAGTGCCACCTGCCGGGATGAGGGTACCATAGGCTGATATGCCGTTCATCGCCGCAGCCATGGCGTGCTCGCGGACACCGTAGCGCAGATATCTGCCAGACCACTCACCAATGCCTGTGCTGGGTGGCTGGAAGTCGACAGCATCCTTCCACCGAGTGTTGTTGCTGCCGGTCAGATCAGCAGAGCCAGATAATAGTTCTGGCACGGCCTTGTGAATTGATTCAAGAACCTTCTCAGATGTCTTGCGGGTAGCGTCGGCGGCATCGGTCGGCTTCCACTGCGGCAGCGATTTTTCCCAACCGTCCGGGAGCTTCCTGGAGATACGTCGAGCAAGATCTGCACCTGCTTCTTTGTGCTCGCTCTGGTATTTCTTGAACAGATCATTCCAGGCCTCCTCGGCAGCTGCGCCCTCCGCCGCGTGCTTGTGATATTGATCATAAACTTCTTGGGGAACGACGAAGGACTCCTCGGGGTTGAAGCCGAACTTCTGCTTGACGTGCTTCGCATCATCGGCCTTCAGGGCGTTGCCGTGGACGCCACCGGTACCTTGGAGCTTCGAGCCGAAGCCAATGGTGGTGGTGAGCTTGATAACGGAAGGCTTGTCAGTGACCTCCTTGGCCTTTTTGATAGCAGCCTCAATGCCTTCAAGATCGTCATCGCCCTTCTCGACGTGCTGAGTGTGCCAGCCGTAGGCCTCGAACCGCTTCAGGACATCTTCGGTGAAGGCGCACTTTGTGTCACCATCGATCGAGATGTGGTTGTCGTCGTAGATAGCAATCAGGTTGCCGAGCTGAAGATGACCAGCCAAGGAGGCAGCCTCGCATGCCACGCCTTCTTGAGCACAGCCATCACCGAAGAACATGTAAGTGTGATTGTTGATCAGGTCAAATCCGGGCTTGTTGAAGACAGCCCCAGTGTGAGCCTGAGCAATAGCAAGACCGACAGCGTTGGCAAAACCTTGACCAAGCGGTCCAGTTGTGACTTCAATGCCTGGTGTATCGTGCGATTCCGGATGGCCTGGGGTGATGCTGTCAACTTGCTAGTGCTTGTCAGTGCTTGCCGCTGTGTAGCCCATGCCATTTACTCACTCGGAATGCCTTGAGGTCGTCTATCGAGACCTTGTAGCCGAACAGGTGAATCAAAGCATACTGGAGCATGCAGCCGTGGCCGTTGCTGGGAGATTGTCAGTCAGTCCGCTTTCTCCTCATAGTGGCCTATCGGGACGAGCTGCCTTTCACATCTGATTTGGCGAGCTCTCCTGCTCAGTATGCGGCTCTTTCCAGACTTACGAGAGGACGAAGCGATCTCTGTTGATCCAGCTGGGGTTCTTGGGGTTGAAGGTCATGAACTTGTTGAAGAGGACGTGGGCGGCCGGCGCCAGGCCCATAGGGGCGCCAGGATGGCCAGAGTTGGCTTTTGAGGTGGCATCGACCTGTAGACAGTATGGACTTGTCAGTGCGAGGCTCAACAAATTCAATGGCGTGTATGGTGTAGCACGGCAAAAAAATGTTTGGAATGGCGGGGTAATTTGAGACGTACAGCGAGGATGCGGATGGTGTTGATAGCCTTCCAGTCGGCGTCGGTGTAACCCATGATGGCGATATTCGTCAATGGGACCTTTGAAGAGAGAGTAGGGGGTGTGACAATGGGAGAATGAAGCTATCAACGCTCGACGAAATTTCGAAGTTGATATCCGGAGATACTCAGACTGCTGGGCGCCGGCGGGCAATGCGATGATGCAGCGAGTGGGCGGTTTTCCTTCTTTGGTGGGTCAAACTCACGGGTTGTCACTCAGCCTGAAATCCTGAGTACTCGCCGCGTGCAATGAGAGCTGCCCCACGTTGTCGATCAATAGGCTGCTTCTGTGACTGTCGGCGTTTGAAACTGCGTCTCGAAGTTGTGGGTGAGATTAAGATGAGAAGGCCGGTCAAAGACGAGCCTACAATCAGTCGCTCCTGTCTTCGCTCTTATATACCTGTCACGGCAGCCGCGACTATCATTGAAGACAGCACATCTCTTCCGATGTTGCCGTGGTCAATCACAGCAAATCGTACTCTTCATTGATCAAGTCAGGTACTCGTCCATGCATGCTAGAAAAGGAGTAGTCAGCCATTTCAGGGTTGCTGAATAAGATCAGTATTTCTATGCAACCACGGGCCCCGCCCATTTCCCATTTCTGGCCTCGAAATAATCACACCGTCCGCAGAGATGAGCGTTCCCTGCCGCAGAGAAGCTGCTGGATGCACCGGTCGCTGGCCAAAGTTGTATCGTATCGCGCTCTCGACCGTTCTCTTCGGCCACACAACGTGACGACCAGCACTTTTGTCCCAAACCATTACTCCTCGCTATGCCCAAGATATTCAATTATGCCTTAGATCAATGCCCTGCGCCCCCATATCCATAACCGCCGCCATTCATTGCAGGTGCACCATAATCACCGTTTCCCCCGTAGCCACCGTACCCATTGCCGTAATCGCCAGCGCCAAAGTCGGCTGGAGGGTTGTAGTCGCCATCCTCGTCGCCATTGACAGCAGTGCCTTGGGGGTCGAGTGCGGTTCTCAGCTGACTGAGCTTCAGCTGCAAAGCGTACACCCCTTCCGCGACGATGTCGTCTGGTTCGAGCATGCCGACACTCTCAACGTCGAAGAAGAAGGCGCTGGGCTTCGCGTCGGGGTTCACGGAGGCGTCTGCTTGCTCCTCTGGGTCTTCCCACTGCGCATTGCGCTCATCGACTGGCCACTCTTCCTCAGCGTTCTCCTCGAACCAGTACGTCGTGTGCTTGAGCTTGTTCAGGGGATCGTATTCGAAGCCAACGGCCGCCGTGGGACCCCATTTCGCATGCTCTTTGGCATTGCCCTTCTTCGCTATGCACGTGAAGTCTACCTCTTGGCCGTGCCGCAATTTGAGTATGATCGGACCTTCGCCGTTTGGATCTTTAATGACCGGCTGACCAATTGCATCGTCACGGTGATCCATCCTTGTAAGATGGGAAGCAAAAACCTTCATGACTTGTCCCTCACTTTCGCATTTCGCTCGGAGTCGCAACGTCACCGAGCAGTTTGAACAGTGGTCTTCGCAACGATCGCAGTCTCTAGTGTACTCCATATTTTGATTGACGCCTTGGCTGTGCAGAGGTATGAGACCAAGCCTGTGTGCAAGGAACTCATCGGGCAGGACTGAGGAATTGGTGCTGATGTCGACCAGATCGATCGCAATGGTAGGAATCTCGGCAATGATAGCGCGCCGGAGTGAGTTGGCGAAGCCAGACTGCATGTTTGAAGGACAAAGTCGACCCGATCTGCCTCTACCCGACGGACAGTTACTCGAGGTCCTTCTTCCGTGTCATTGTCGAAGTACCCTCTGTCACCACCATAGCGTCCCTGATCGTAAAGCGCCATTGCGCCAGATCACTTCTGACTCAGCGGGCACACAATAAAGTGAGGACAGTGAGATAGTAGAGGAAAGAGGAATGATAGATGTGGGCAACATTTAAGATGCGGCGCAGGCAAAGATCGATCAGGTCGCGAAATATCCAAAACGGACTAGTGCAATTGCCTTCTTGCCTTGCCTCTGGCTTGATGAAGCAGACTCACTCAAGGTTGTGGCATGTGCACATTTGCATACAGTGACAGTCATGGACATGTCTGACTTATCCAATACTGTGACATAGAGCTGTCACGGCAAGAACACACATCACTGTCAACCCAATGTCTGTTGCTCGGACCCTCTCGCGACGGTCACGGCCTGGAGAAGACTCGTAGTGTCAACACCGAGGAAGTTGTGAGGTACTTGAGGCATGCCGTTGCAGACATGGTGGATGACTGCAGCACTATCATGGTATATTGGCACTCAAGCTGTGGCACAATTTCCACCGCTACCTGAGTATGGTAACGTCAACTCCATCTCCTCACCTAGCGATGAAAATGTCACCATCAGCTACAAGACGCCTGCCAGAGGCACGTGTACAACTGTCTTCGAGACTCAACGGCAGATCAGTGGCTATGTCACCCTCCCACCAAGCACGGACAGACCTGAGCAAGGCAACTATACCATCAATACTTTCTTTTGGTTCATCGAATCTCGACAGCTACCCGAAACGGCACCCTTGACGGTCTTCATGAATGGTGGACCAGGTAGTAGCTCGATGGTCGGATTGTTCCAGGAGGTCGGTCCCTGCGAAGTTGTTGAGCTAGCTCGAGACCGCCTGGGTACCGTGGCTCGTGAATGGGGCTGGGATCGCAGCTCCAATCTAATTTTTATAGACGAGCCCGTCCAGACTGGATTCAGCTACGATCTGCTTTCGAACGGTTCTTTGAACTTACTGGATCAGAGCATCATCTACCCACCTACAGTTACACCAGGTACACAGCCATCTTACACTTTCCTCAATGGCACGTTCTCCTCAAATGACCAGACTTCCACCGCCAACACATCACAGCTAGCTGCACACTCAGTATGGCACTTCCTCCAAGCTTTCATCCAAAGCTTCCCAGAGTATTCTCGGTCTCCGCCCGAAACGAATTCTTCGTCCTCGTCCGCCAGCATCAATCTCTTCACCGAGTCATATGGTGGTCGCTACGGTCCGGCCATCGGCTCCTTCTTTCAGACCCAAAATGCTCTTCGGGCCTCGTCACCGGACTTTGCTAATTCTACCATCGATCTTGTACTAAGCTCCCTCGGCATCATGAACGGCTGGATTGACTCACTGGTTCAAACGCCTTCTTTGCCAAACTTCGCTTACGACAAGAACACCTACAACATCCGAGCCATAAACCAAGTCCAGCAGCTCAATGCCCTCAGCGCCTTCCGTGGCGCTGGTGGCTGTCAGGAGCTGACCACACTCTGCCGTTCTCAAGAGCTCGCTTACGACTCCAACGACATCGGCAATGCCGCCAACGTCAACGAAGCATGCGCCACCGCCACTACCAATTGCCAGAACAACCTCCTCACGCCCTACTTCGCCTCCAACCGCTCAGTCTACGACATCACACAGTCTTACCTAGACCCATTCCCCAGCTCCCTCTACCTCGAATACCTCAACACCGCCGCCGTTCAACAATCCATCGGCACACCTCTGAACTACACTACTCCCTCCCTAGCCGTCTACAGCGCCTTCAACAGCACAGGCGATTGGTCCCGCTCCTCCGGCATCGCTGACCTTGCCGACCTGCTTAACTCTGGCACCCGCGTCGCCTCATCTACGGTGACAGAGACTACATCTGCAATTGGGTTGGCGGCGAAGCCGCTTCTTTCGCAATTGCAGCTGCTGCAGGTCCAGCATACACTCCATGGTACAGCGCCGGCTACGCACCTATCGTCGCCAACTCGAGCTACATCGGCGGTGTGGTCCGCGAGTTCGGCAATCTTTCCTTCGCTCGCATCTATGATGCAGGGCACCTTGTGCCCGCATACCAGCCGGAGACGGCGTTCACAGTGTTCTCAAGGATCATCAACGGCGATGGTATCAGCTTGGGCAACCCTGCTGACCTCTCTTCTTTCAAGTCAAAAGGGGAAGCGAATTCGACCCACCAAAACATCGCTCCGCCTATGTCGAATGCGGTATGTAACATCAGAGCCGTGAACACCACGTGCAACGTGGATCACAAGAACATGCTCGCCAATGGTGCGGGCGTCATCATCAATGGCGTGCTATACAATCAGGAGTCGGAATGGACGCCACCGGATCCGTCTCTGGCGGCGCAGGCAGGTGTGCCAGGCAGCCTGCCATCTACGACTCGCCTCACCACAGGAGTAGAAACCTCAACAGCGGCTGGCTCAGGACTGACCACAACCACCACAAACAGAGGCTTCCCAACCGGCGTCTTCACAGCAACGGCAATCCCAAGCGTCACGTCGACCAGCTCCGGTGGCGCCGGCGTGCCGACTGCTGCCCCTTTTCTCCAGGTACCGATGATGATAGGCTGCTCTTCCGTAGGGCACGCTGCGGCGGCCGTATTGGCTGCTGGGTGTATTGCGGCGATGGCCTGACGACGACTTAGCAAATCTCGATGAGAAGAGCCAATACCTCTAGCTACTTGGGTTGACAGAGACACGACACCAGCCAAGAAACAGTTTTGACGAATTCATGTATAGACAGAAATCTAGGGGTCAGACTTCAGAGGTATACAGCACTTAGACGGACGACAGCACAAAAATTTGCACGATGCCAAGAAAAGCATGCAAAAGAAATGAGTAGATGAGTAAATGAATGCATGCATCATCACCAGAGAGGTGTCTGATGACGCCAACTTCAGGTTCGCTCCAGTGATCGACTTGCTCGCGCTATCACATGCTCTGCTTTTCCACTGTCCTCAAATCGTCTCGTCAATCGTCAATGCTTCCTTGGGGGTATCATGCCAATGCCAATGCTCAAATCATGCCGTGTATCCAATTCCGTGCCCATGCAATCACAAACAGCCAACTAACGACACTTCGAATCTCCTTTTGTCAAAATTCGGAAACCGCTTCGAACGTCTTGTGAGTCTCCGCAATCTCATGTCGTCTTATGCACCGCTTCTTTCTGCCTGCCGACTTTCTCAGAAAGTTTCGAAACTATCGCTCGCCTCCGCCGCCATTCGCATACATACGCGCTTGGAAGGCCTGCAGCTCGCTCGAGTCTTTGGTATGCAGGTACCACTTCCCGGGATCGCTACTCCAGCTGACGTTATTACTGAAACGCTCCTTTTCCACCACTTTCAGCACGTTGATCGGATCATTGATCGTCGTGTCCTTGATGCGGTATTTAGGGTCGCGGTAGTACTTAAGACTCACGATCTTGGCCCCCTCTTTCACGTCCAAGAACTTGAATTTCAATTTGTCGTTCAATTCCGCGGTAAAAGCCTGATTGTTAAGCAAAATCACGTCGGCCTTTTTGAGCACCTCCCCAATCTGCTGATTCTGAAGGAAGTCGTCGTGAATGAGATGGACCGGTCCAGCTTTGAAGCCCCAGAGTTTGCAGCGGACGCGAAACTCCTTCGCTTGTATAGCGGCCAGGCGCGCTGGACTGTCCATCATCTCGCAGCCCCAGGCTGTGCATCCGGTCTCGAGCGCAGCTTGGATGACACAGTTACCGACACCAGATCCCAAGTCGACGAAGACTTGATCAGAGCGAAGACCAGTTTCCTTGAATATCCGGCTCAGGAATGGTGGAAGGAGCTCGCCGTACACATTATCACTAAAAGCAGTGTACTTACTAAGCGACTCCACACTGGGAGAGACAGTGCGTGAGCAGGTCTCGCTGAGGATGCGTGTCATAAGGTGGAACGGGATGTTCTGCATTCTGTCGATTGCGGCCGAAAAGGTGCCATCAGCACGCTTGGCGCGGATGAGCTCGTTGTATTGTGAGAGAATAGAGATGTAGTCGGTACGGGCACCAACAAATCGATCTGTGCCTTTCCTTCTGACGACTCTGTTCAGTGCTTGGAGTAAGCCAGAGCCATTGATGTTGTCGACTATCTTCTTGCTTTCTTCGTCCAAGTAATAGTCTCGCATAACCTCCATGTTCTTAGTGATTTGCTCGTGAGGGTGGAAATCAGACTTGTTGACTACTGGAACGACGATGTGCCATTCCTCTGGCTCCGACGCTGCGGCCGGGTATTCTGTTGTGATGACTGCCTCTTCGGGGTCTTCATTCGTAGTGAATGCAGTGAAGAATGGCTCGTATGAATTGCGGCCGTTGTGCGCAATTATATCACTGTTGGCGATCTCTCTGGCATGTATTCTTGAGGCCCGGATAGCCTCGTTGCCAGCGAAAGCGTCCACATCTTTGATCTGCCTGTTCGGATCAACCATTTCTGAAGTTTTCGCACGCTTCTTGGGCTGCGCCTCGGCTTCCTCGTCATCGTCATCTGAGAACTGCGGAGTGGTGATGGTTGGAGAGGCTCTTTTGTTTGCTCGCGCTCGCGACCTTTCAGTCTTTAGCCGCTCAACGGGCTCCTTGCTACTTGGACGAGATGGTGTGGGTGTACGAGAGGGCTTGGGCAATGTTGCGTTGTGCGCCGATCCATTGAGATGCGTTTTGACATGCGTCTTTGCGCTGTGAGACACCGTGCTCACGGACGAGAGCACTGTTTGCTTGACGGGATGCTTGACGATGTATGCCTTGGGAGGAGGAGCTTTCTTCTTGGGAGGAAGCGGCATTTCGGCCTGGACGGAGACGATATGGTAGTTATAGAAGTAAGATGCTAGCCCAGAATTATGTATAGAACAGTAAGAGAATGAACGCTGCTAAGTGCTACAGTCAAGGAGCGTTTGCAAGGAAAATGAACAACAGGAAAGACGCTCTGATCACACGACAATAATGGAAGGCGTTGCGCAAAGGCCGTCTGAGCAGTCACGATCTTGATGGAGCAAGATCGGCGTCAATTCACTGCCTAAAGCGCGATTACATAAGGTAACTTCAATGGGGAGACCAGGGGTACAAAGTTCCAGCGATCCTTCCAGATCAACTCAATCTGATCGGTACCTGCGTTCCAAACATTCGACGTGCTGAACTAGACTTGAGACTGTGCTCAGGCTGTGTAGAACGTCGAGACGATGCTTTTGGACGACTCGCAGCCGAAGTGGTTATATTTCTGGGGAAGAACTATTTCTTCGCTGCCTTTTCGAACCAGAATCGGCTCGGTGCCTGCTTCCTGCATTGCCATATGTCTCGCGCCTTCTGTGATCTCTTTGGTTGTTATTGTGCCGCCTGCCGTTGTACTGTCTGTCGCGATCATCCACTCTGGCGGATGATTCTTCGACTGGATGCTCCTGCATCCATTTTTCCAGAACTTTTGACAATTTCGGGCCCCATACTTCCTCGCCATTTTCGAGATCCTCGTACGTTAGGCATAGTACCTGCCCATCAGGAGGAGGGTCATTAACGGTATAACCTGATTGACGAACGCGGATCAGCTCTGCCATAGTCGCATATGAATCGCAGGCGATGCCCAGATCGTGAGCAAAGGACCGAACATAAAAGCCGCTACTCGAGGTCAGACGAATTCGTGCTGCAGGTGCATCTGCTGGCTGCTCACTCAACACCGGGACATCGTGGGTATGAAGAGCAGCCTTTTCCTGCGCCGTCATGGCATTTCGCTTCTCTGTGGTGTCTGATGCGGGCTTGCCGCTTTGGTGCTGGTCCGTTGCTGCGCCGTTGTGTCTTGATCCATCGTTCGACGTTGTTGCCGGTGGGTCTGACGCGCTGTCCGCAGACGCCGAAGGTATCGCTGTCGCTTCCTCGATCTTGAGAAGTTTTCTAGCCACTGCCTGGTCTTCGGCAGACGCAGCTGCAGCAGGCCACCGAAAGTCGTGCTGCCCGCCTCCGTACCAATCTGTGATCTCGCACTCGTCCACAACCATGTCTCGACTTTCTAGTTCACGAGGTAGCGGTTTTCCTGACCTGGCATAATCGTATGCTTTCATGCCGTTGATCTTGAGAGCACTGTATATAGGCGGTACCTGTTTAATGTGACCGCGAAAGGCCTTGATCTTGTCTTCCACTAGGCCGCGAGTGATATGGCCATGCGGCTTCTCTGTGACTATCCTTCCGGCAACATCGTATGTGTCCGTTGCTTTGCCGAATAGGACTACAGTCTCGTACGTCTTGGTGCCCCCGAGAAAGTCAGGCAGCGCTTTCGTACCTCTACCGAGACCTATGATAAGGACGCCAGTTGCGAGAGGATCCAGAGTCCCTCCGTGGCCCATCTTGAAGACCATGTCTCGCGATACCCTCCTCCGTTTGCTTTTGTGCTCGTTCTGGGCCTCATCTTGCTGTCGCAGTAAGGGCGCGAACGTGGCAGACTTTGCAAAGTGTTGCTGTAGGTCTCGTATGACTTGCGCAGAGGATACGCTCGGTGGCTTCTTGACAGCTATTCATCATTTCAGTCAGGGATACATTTTACACTTCAACGCCAACATCTTGGAAGAGGAATCGGCCTCACCAAAGACGCCTTCGAGCACTTTGCCAGCTGACTCGGACATGGCTGCTAGTCCGAATCTGCTCATCTGGCTGATGCGACGGGCGCAAGTGTTCGTCTAGGGACGAGAGGTTGTGCTAAGTAAAGCATCTGAGAAGGACATCAATTCAAAAATACATACTCTAACGCGAGACAGGTTCTCCAAAATCGCGTCTTTGCGCCTCTGGGCGATGCGGCGCACCGTGGCACTGACTGTGACGGACTCGGACAGCAGCGATGACGAACTCTAAATGCGACCCACTTTGGCTGCGGTCTTCACTGGCAAGGTTGAAGGCCTTCCGATGACTCCAGCCTCCTCGAGCCATCCTTCCACCCACTATGCGACTACCTCATGGTATACCACACCACGGCGACGCTATATGTATGAATGCGCCCTATCCGCGTATTGCAATCACGCACGGCAAGGCACATAAGTCCTCGCTGCGTCATACCTCGACGCAACTCACGTCTCTGATCTTCTACGGTCAACTGAGCCCTCCCTGACTTCACCTACGGTCTTACTTTCATCGTCGCGCGCGATGATCAACACGACGCCCTCAACATGACATTCTGGCCCGAAGAACGCGTGCTGAAACCACTCGACCCTGTGCCAGAGGATCTGAATGACTGGCCTGACCTCGCACTTCGCGAAGTCAAGATCTTTCCCCAGGGCAAGGCGAGATACGCGGACCTTTTAGATGCATCAGAAGAGACACCGCTATGTGTCCTAGGAGAGTTGATGCCACTCGACGACGAGCTGGAACATCTCGGTACGTGATAGCACGGACAGCGGCCTCGAGTCTGCGGTCTTGCTTTGCCCCACATCTTTGTCTTGGCCAAGATCATGTGACTAATGCGGACCAGCCATAATCGACAATCCTGTCTACTCTCGCATCAAGATCGAGCAAGTCACCAATTACAGCTTTGGTCTGGACGATGGCGGCACTCCGCAGATATGGGCCGCGGGCAAGGCCGGGTGGTATGAGATCGCGCCATCTGACAAATATCTGCAGCACTATAACGATACGGTGGAAGCCATAGATCTGTTCTACTTTATGGTCGACCAACATTCTAAGCTGCCCAAGAAACGCCAACGCTTCGGTTTTGCAGTCGACCCATTTCTGACCGAGTACCAGAAACACACCGGCTACCGGATCAATGACGATGACGAAGCCATGGAAACCGTGCACAAGCACCATCGCTTTCTGCTCAAGCAGATGATCGAGGAGAGAGAGGGAATAGATTGGTCACGGACCCATCTCTGGAAGCATCTGAGTGAGACCTATGCCGACGAAATTGAGCAATTACGCGCCAAGCTTGCGCAAGAATTGGAAGCGATGGATCTGACTGCACCAGATGTGGAACCGGAGGCCGAGGAAGAGTCCAGTAGCTCGGCCTCATCTTCCGAAGGTGACGACGATACCCAGGATTCTGGTCAAGACGAAAGTGAGGAAGAAGAGGATTCTGAGACCACGCCAGGGTCAGACGCGAAGTCGAGTAGCTCCGCGGCGTCCTCAAGCGAGGATAGTGAGAGCGAGCCGGAACCAGAGAGAGACTGGACGAAAACGATATGGACTCTGCTAAATGTCCTTCGCCGATCTCCCAACTTCAATATGCGTAACTGCGGCATCGAGCAACTCGCATCAGAGCTGATTCAAGTCGAAGAATTTGAGCCCAAACAGCAAAAGAGCGCCGTCAAGGCCATCGAAGCCGCAGCCGAGGAGCTTATACGTCTGATGAATGAGGCGAAGTTGCGCAAAAAGTTCAACTGGTCTACGCGCGCAATATACGACGAATTAGAGGCCACTTTCGCTGGCGAAGTTGCCGATGAAACGATGCGCACACCTGCGGCAAAGGGCAATGACAAGCGACATCGCATGAAATCGGTGCTCCGTCCTTCAGGGGCAAGCAAAGCTCGAAAACGGACTCGTGGGCAAGTCGACAGCCAGGATGAGGACGAAATCATGCAGGACGTCCCAGTCATCTCTCCTGTCGCTACCAAGAAGAGCAACCTGTCAAGGAGGTCGGTGAATGGAGATGCCGAATCGGTAACGAGTCGGGAGGACAGCCCGAGTAGGCAGCTTAACGGCTTTCACGACCCTGACGCACTTCCCGACCTGCCACCAGGTCCAGAGGCACAGGAAATGCTGGATTTGGTTTCGCAAGAGGCGAAGCGCGTCGGAAGGCATCATCAGACTTCGCACCTGAAGGACTTCTTGGAGCACTTTAGCTGGGAGATCTAGTAGATGACGTGGAAGTCTGTCTGAGCCCTTTTTTGTGTGAGCGTTTTTCGCATGGCGCTGGTGGGGATCTTTAATACATTATGAAGCCAGGGATGATGCAGGCGGCACGTGTAGCTCAGAGCCTGATGCAAATGTCCATAGACAATTCAAATGGTACATCGGAAGATCGCTTTGGTTTCATGTGTGCCTCTTACCATCGCCCTATCAGGTCCACAATAGCTGGTGATGTCCTGTCAGCACCTGTTGCATTCCGATTGGATAAGATGCGACACATTATCATCATGTTCTATGGACAACGGCCACAGATCAGCTCGCCTCCAACGCGCCGCGCAACCAAGCCGCCATCTCGCCCCACAACCTGGCCGTGATCTCTAACCTTTCCTTCTCCTTCGCCGCATCGCGCTCCGGTGCATGCGTAAACCCATGCCTCTGATCCAGCACCATCTGCCACCTCACACCGTTTTCCTCCCAATCCCAATCCTCCCGACTCGGCTGCTCGTCATCATCACCGCCCTTTACCTCCTTCCCCGCAAGCTGCTTCGCCATACACCACGCCTCCTTGCACAACACATCAAACTCCGCCCCCACAAAGAACATTCGCTGTGGTAGCATATCCCGTATTGCATACACTGGACTCAGCAACGAATCCGTCAGATCTTGACCTGGGGTAATATAACCCCACGAGAACCATTCGCCAGATCGCGCCAGCGCGTCAGGTCGGCCATCGGCGCTCGTCCGATGCTTACCCTTGTAGCGGCCGGAGAAGTCTACGACGGGGTACACGGGGATGATTGCCTTGATCTTGGAGCCGATAGAGGGATCCTGGGCGGCGGAGAGAGCGAGGTTGCCGCCGGCGCTAAAGCCGCCGAGGGCGATGCGGTCGTGGTCGATTGGAAGGCGAGGATCCGCGAGGATTGCCGTGATGAGGGCGCGGATGTCGTGAACTGGAGTGGGAAATGGATGAATTGGGGCTAATGAGTAGGAGAGCGAGACGACGAGGAAGTTGTGTGTCCTGGACATGGCGGTGCAGAAGGAGTCGTCGACAATTGGATCGCAGAGTGCAAAGCCACCTCCATGGATGTTCAGGTAGGTGGGAAGTTTGGTGTTCTTGGTGGAGGAGGAGTTAGGCGTGTGGCCTGGTGGGAAGAACACACGGACTTCGAGGTTCGGTCGGACATCGTAGTAGGTTTGCAATGTTGGTTGGTCTTTGGATCGTAGGTAGTTGTTGAGGCGAAGACCTCGGAGGGCGTTATTGACGAAGATCTTGAATCCCCAGAGGCAGAAGAAGGCATATAGCCGGCGTGTGAGTGGCAGGCGAGGGGCTATGTTGGTTGGCGAAGAGATCAACGGATCGCGTTCACCGGGACTCGGTGCACCAGGCGGCGCGTGGGTAGTCGACATTATTTTGGTATGCCGGACGCAAGGATCGTCAATGCAACAAGGCTTTCAGGCGAAGACCCTACTGCTGCAGCGAAAAGCCGTTAGAAACAGCACAAACTTACTAGTAGTCAATGTCAGGGTGGTGAATTCGGACGCCTGGCCTTAGCCGAAAATCCCACGTGGTCCATACTGTCATGAATCATAGACCTCGGTATCGAGAGCACCTGGAGCATCATCTGCGGTGCTGTACGGTACCTACGGACGCCTCATCCGTGTAGAGCTATCACAATCAATACTAGCTGCAGTACCTTAATGTCTGCACGGTACTTGTTGTCAGATAAGCAGGTAGCACAGCCGACGAGAGGAATCCGGGGGAAGCTGAGCTTGGAGAGCTTGAGCTTCGGAAGAACAACGAAACAAGTCATCTGCCAGGCATCCAGGCATCGCGTCCTGCCCCTAAATCACGGGCCCGGAGCGCCAATCGTAGAGTTCGTCACTCTCGAAACTCGGGGATTGCCAGGCACCGAAGTGGAATTAAGCTCTAAAGCCGCCAAGATGATCGGGTTCTTCAGGAGGAAGGAACGATAGAAAGAGAAAATCTCTCAATTCTGGAGCACTGCCGGACTCCAGCTCGACCTCCCCGGCGGCAGCTATTGGTGTTCGAAGGTCTTCCATAGCCCTCCTTACCATCTCCAGGGATGCCTAGCACATGACTTCGCGTATTCCGGCCACTAACCAAAGGGTCAATTTGCTGCCGAATTCTCCAGCCTTGTCATCATGGTTATCGACGAAATTCAGGCACAGTCATTACTATCGCTCTCTGCTTAGACATCCATTCACTAGCACACCTTCTTAATACATACAAACACCACCCTTTCCTTTTCGCACCATACTCGCCTCACAAGATATCGACACCTCGCATAGACACTCCGCTCCTGGCGTGTCTCTCAATTCGAACCTCCCGACAACATTCCTTATCCGGAACCTGCGCGTTCGTTTGGCGGCAACAGTCGTCAAATGAACCTGCATTCGTCGTTGTCAATATTTAATACACCTTCGCTCTTCACCTTGAGGAGCCTTCCCTAATCCATGCCTTTCAAGCCTTTCGCGCATCTCGCCAGAGTCAGTCTCGCGAAAGGCATTGGCCACACCTACGCACCCTCCGTCGTCGCTGCGCCCACCACACTTGGCCTTGGGAACCAGCCCACGGTCGCAAAGTTCACAAAGGGAGCACATCTCCAGCAGTCCTTCGCATCTACATCCGGGTCTTCAGGCGCAGGCGCTAAGACCGGTCATGCTACCTCCAACGCCACTGGTGGTGATGGCGGTCTTGCGCAGTACTGGGCGGCCTGGCAGCATGCTCAGCAGACAGGAGATGACTCAGACTACAAGCAGCATTTAAAGGCGCGTACAGTAACATGGAAGCCGAAGGAGGACAAGGCTCCGCAACGCCTCGAATCGATCCGACCTGTCGACCTTCTTCGACCCTCTACGAGACCTGTGCCCAGCCGAGTCCAGAGTGAAAGCGCACTCTACGATGCAAAGCTGGTTGATGGCAGTGCAATCGAAGCAGCGGCGGAAAGAGCAGTAGAGATCGAAGAGCTCAAATCATCGCTACCCCTGGGCGCAGAGTTTGTCATCGATGAAGATGTTGGCACACCTCTCGTCAGCACTCGTGCTGCGAGTCCTGTCCACAACGATTCTATCGCTTCAGAGGGGTCTCAAATTCATACTCCACCCACCGATGCCACCTCGGCTGTGTCGATAGAGGTCGATTCACTTTCTGACAGAATTGTTCAGCTTGGCCAGCAGCGTCGACATGCCGAGATCCCAACTGTCTTCCAATCAATCGTCGAGCAGGGCTCGACTCCGTCCGTCGATGCCTACAACCACATCCTCATTTCGGCTATCCTCTCGGCTACGGAGTATCAGCCATGGCCGAAGGCTCTCGCCATCTGGAACGATATGAAGCTGCGATCAGTGCAACCCAACGCTGCTACATTCGGCATCCTGATCGAGTTCTTGGCTAGCACCACATTATCGGTACAGTGGACACAGAAACGCCTAGACCAACGCGCTGCCAGGTATGGCTCTACGACGCGGCCGTTCGTCTTCCAGTCTGTGGCCGACCAACAGCAGATCTTCGCCGACGACGTGTCCCTTGCATTTGCGAACACATTCTACAGCATTGCGAGGAGTACCAGCAAGAACTTCTCTCTTTCCGCCGCGGTCTACAATAGCATGGTTCAGGCGTGCGCCCAGGCAGGTCTTCTCGAGCAAGTCACAACTCTGCTTGGGGACATGAAGACCAACGAGGTCCGCATCGATCCTCGAAATTACACGACTATCATCGATGCGTATGCAAAGGGTGAAGACGCCGAGGCTGCTCAGAAGGTATATGAACAGTATCGCTCATATGCTATCAGAAGAGCGGCCAATGATCCTCAAGACATGGAAGTCTATGCATCGCTGATCAGAGCATACTACTCTGCCGGCCAAGCCGAGACAGGCCTGCAGTTCTACGGAAAAATTCTTGAGTCTTTCCGCGGCTCCGCAGATGAGCAGTTGCTCTCGCAGAGCTTAACTGCTGCATTTGTGCTCAGCGGCCTGGTCCAGCATCACATCAACTCGCGCGCTTTCGATCTGGCCGCGGCAGCCGTTGCTGATTATGCAACCGACTCCCGAGTCAGAGAACAGGCCTTCAGCAAGGTAGCGACCGCCGCAGCAGACGCGAATGCGTCGAGCGATGCGACGAAGACATACGCCCTAATCAAGACACCTGAAGCTAAATCTGAGCCGTGTATGGCGATAGCTGCGATGCATCTTCGTGGAAGCAATGTCGATGCTGCACGTGCCGTCTGGAGTGAGGCTCGTGGACTCCATGTGCGACCTACCACGGACTTCGCCACCATGTACGCCACGGCTCTCATTCGCAATGGCATGGTTGACGAAGCCATCTCTGAAGCTCGTGCTATGTTTGAAGCTATCAGACTGTCGGCAACCACAGAGGCAACTCGGCGAAGCGCTACAGCCGAAATTGACGAGGCCTTCGCACTGTTCGGAGAGGCCCTGCACAAGACCCAAGCCAACGTCTCAGCCCAGGCCAGTGTTCAATTACTGCGTGCAATGATCGAGAATGGTGGCCTGGTCTCACCTATCGCCGAACATGCTGTCGCTAGTCTGCAGCCTGACTGTGTCCACCAGCTCAGTGCTCAAGACATCGGTCTCGCACTTCATGTTCAGGCTCAGATCTTGACACTTGATCAGTCTATTGGCATGGATGCAGCTCACATCCAGCGCTTCGCTCATTTGGTCGAGACCGTCATAACTCGCAACATTCCATTGGATCCGTCGACGCCCTTGGTAGTCGGTGAAACTCTGCCACAACTCTCCTCGCTGAGGCCCGATCTTGAGTCTAGGTGGCACTTGTACCGACATCCTGCCCCTCGCTCGATAGAGACTGTCCCAACGACGCCTGTCATTCCTCATGCCGGCTTCGTACCACAATCTCCTGTTGTGGACTCATATGATCCTTACGGCCAATTGACGGATTTCCGAGCATCGAAGATCATCTCAGAGATGCTTGAAAGCAATGCTGGCAGAATCGAGTCGCACCTCAGTGACGCCCTGGCTCGCCTTCGAAACGTTCGACGAGCTGGTCGCCATCTGCACTACACTGCGTACGGGAAGCTTCTTACAGCTGCCGGTAAGGCTAGACAGGTCCATAAGATCGCCGACATCCTCGCGATGGCGCAGAACGATACTCCGTTCCTACCCGAGATTCAGGCAGTCCGGGCTGGATGGGTCGGTATCTTTGATTCTGCCATTGCTGCGTACCTGACTGCTGGAGATCGACAGACCGCTGCCAAATACCACCAGCAATTGCTTGATCTGGGCGCTGCGCCATCAGCTAACACTTTCGGGATCTACATCACGACTCTTGAAGGCACATTTGATGAGGCAACTGAGGCTGTCAAGATCTTCCAGCGTTCTGTTGCAGAAGGCGTGACTCCCAGCGTCTTCCTCTACAACGCCGTCATCGGAAAGCTTGGCAAGGCCCGCCGAATTGACGACTGTCTTCGATATTTCAGCGAGATGCAGAGCCTTGGCATGAAGCCCTCTTCTGTGACCTACGGAACACTCGTCAACGCCCTCTGCCGCACAAGTGAGGAGACGTTCGCTGTTGAGATGTTTGACGAGATGGAGGCCGCCCAGAACTACCGACCGCGCCCGGCTCCTTACAACTCTATCATCCAATACTTTCTCAACACCAAACGTGATCGCAGCAAGGTTCTCGAGTACTACGAGCGCATGAAGAGTCGCAACATCAAGCCCACTTCTCACACCTACAAGTTGCTGATCGAAGCTTACGCCTCCCTCGAGCCAGTCAACCTTGATGCTGCGGAGGCTGTTCTGATCGAAATGAAGCAGGCTAATGTGCCACCGGAAGCTGTCCACTACGGCACGCTTATCCACGCCAAGGGCTGTGTCACCCACGACATGGCAGGTGCCCGTGCTATTTTCGACTCGATTGTTTCCACGGGTGCCATCAAGCCAACGGACAACCTTTACCAGAATCTTCTAGAAGCAATGATTGCCAACCACCAAGTTGACCAGACCCCGGAAGTACTCGATGACATGGTTGCTCGTGGAGTTCGCATGACGCCTTACATTGCCAACACCCTGATACATGGCTGGGCGGGCGCCAATAACATCGAGAAGGCCAAATCCATTTTCAACGACCTTGGTGCAGATAAGCGCGAGCCTAGCACATACGAAGCCATGACACGTGCGTACCTATCGGCCGAAGACCACGAGAGCGCGAACGGTGTCGTGCAGGAGATGCTCCGCAAGGGCTACCCTGCCGCTGTCTCGGAAAAGGTGCTGGCCTTGCTGGGAAGCAGTCACGCCTCATCTTGAATTACCAAAAGGACGGCTGTCGACGAGTGTGGCGCAATAGCGCTTGCCTCGATTCCATTTGTTCATTTCATATTACGAATTGCTTACGACCTCTGCCATGATACCCGGAGCTGGAGTTGACGGACGGCTGAACGGCAGTCCCCCAGCACACATTCGATAAGGAGTTTGACCAAAGGATTTGAACCTGGTCACGGCGTTTTTGATGACACTGCAGGCTTGTTGTTGTACCAATAAAAGTGATGGATGGGACGCTAAGAACGAGCGATACGGCGTTATTTTGGATTTACAGCAAGACTCTCACCTCGATTTTCAAATGCAAGAAATGTTCATATAATAGACTCTGGTGGATGATGGAGAACATTGGGCTGGAAAAGTACATGCTGATGATGCATGGATGTTTGTGGTGTGGAGGCACGATTCTGTCTACTGTATAGAGACTTTCTTGCATCAAAACCCACCATCTTACTGATGGTGCGGCAAATCCCAACTTCTAATTGGAACTTCATATCGTTCCTCTCGATTTGGTCTAGTGACAGTGCGTGCGTGCAAAAGTTGTTTGAGTGTGCTTTTCGGACCTATAGTAAAGGAATATATTTCACACTGTACATGATCTGGATAGACTTGGGGCAAAACCAGATCGGGCGACAATATACCACAGATCACTCCGGACGACACCAGACTCTAGTTAAGACCGCATGCACTTCTCATCGATACGAACCAATTTCGCTTGACGAGTTCGTGAACACAGGCCTTCTGCCCAACACCAAAGGGTCTCGTCAACCGGTCTGACAAGAAACTGAGCAAGACAGGACGAGACGCCACGCCTCACACGCGTGACTTCCTTTGCAACCTTGTAGCACAGCAACAAAAGTCGGAGTAGGAACACACGTCGATTGCACCTTCTCGTCCAAGTATTGAATTACCTGTCCACGAGCAGCAGGCGCCTCGTCCAGCATTTTCCACGATCGCCGGTCTTGTCAACCGGACTGAGCGATATTCCACGTGAGACCGGATGACGCGATTGTTCGACGCAGGTGTTCCCTTTCTCGCAGATTTGATGCGCGTGACTACAAATTGAGCCTGACTAACGCAGGGTCTAGGCAGGGCTCTGTTGCCGACTTGCAGCAAGAACCTCTGCGGGCCGGCCCAGCCTTACTATGCTTGCAGGCTTCGGCTAAAAGTATGATGCATGAAACAGCAGGATATCGCGAATGTCGTGACATGGGACTGACAACGATGAGAACAAAACTGGACATAACGAAAAGGCGCTCAGGCGCAGGTAGTGTAACGGACGCACGACTCCCCCAGCGGCTTTCGGTGAGTGCTGTGCAGACCTAGTCAGATTATGTGCTGGTTAAAACGACCGCGCAATTGTGTCTGTGTGGACATATGAACCCCCACAAGCTACTGTTCTATACTTCAGTCATGATTCATCGCCCTCGCTGTCCGATGGATAGCTCCCGTCCACGTCGGAATGTCGTCTGCTCAGGCCGTAGAGATCGCGTAGAGATCGATAGCTGATTTCTGGTCGTGGGATGTGTGAAGGCGTGGGTGTGTTTACGGCCGCGGGTTGTTCAACGTCGCCATTGGTCCGAGTCCCTGCTGCTGCGTTTCGTGGAGTGAGGAACCATATGATGACGAGCTGATCACGGCTGAACACGCCTGTGTCTTTAGGAGGCTCGAAGCGCGCCTATGGCTTCGGTGAAAGCAGTTGCACGAACTCCTCGTCTGCGTGACAGCCCTGATCAGCACACCAGGTCCTTTCTATCCACCAGCTTAAAGCCTCTAGAACAACCAGAGAACTTACAATCAATCGTCCCATTCCTGTCCTTGTCCGCCTCGGCAATCATCTCGTCAATCTCGCGATCGGTGAGATTCTCGCCAAGCGACTTCATGACCTGACGCAGTTCATCCGCGGAAATGGAGCCCGAGCCGTCCTTGTCGAAGACGGCAAACGCGGCGCGGGTTTCGTGCTCGATGTCGGCGGACTTGACTGAGGTTGACATCATCTTGAGGAATTCTGTAGGGAAGGAGCATTTTCGGGTTAGCGATTGTCGTATCAATGAGATCTGGGGAAGGAAGGTATAATCGAGATCGAAAGTGGTTTACTCGGCAGGGATAATGACGAGTTCTTCTTGGGTTGCAGCACACAAAGGAAGGCACATACCATCAAAATCAATAGCGCCACTCTGATCCGCATCAACTTCGTTGATCATATCTTCGAGTTCAGAATCAGATGGCTTCTGGCCTAGCGAACGCATGATGTCGCCAAGCTCATTTGCAGTGATGGTGCCTGTGGAGTAGGCCATTGTCAGCGGTTATAGTGCTAATAGTGCTGCAAGGAGCGGCCCTGCCCATAGTCGAAGTCGAGGTGAGAACATACCACTGCCATCTTTGTCCTACCAAGAATGTTAGCAGCTTGGCAAATCAACCAACGGGTGAAGAACGCACAAACATAGCGAAGACATCCTTGAATGCTTGCACCTCTTCCTGCGATAGCGGCTTCTGCTTTGCGCTCTGGGGACCTCGGACCGGAGTCTGGCAGCGACAACATATTAGCCTGGGACTCATGGGAACCCGAGCAGTAGCTCAGAACGAGGCGCAAGGCTGGCATTCGTAATGTCCACGTGCCTCCGCACCAGCCTGCTGGCTTTGAAGAGCGGCTGACTTACAACATCCGTCGATACTTTAGGCCGATCGGGCATTTCGCCAGTAGTGGTGTAGTAGAATCAATGAGAGTACTGTATCGGAGAGGATTTTTGAAAGAGGGGCAGCAGGCAACCACAAACAGCGGAAATGGGATGTCAACTTGTGTGCCAGGCAGATAACAAGAAATGCTGAAACCGGTCAAAGAGGGACCAGGCTGTGGTGGGAAGCAGGGGCTAACGTAAGGTCCAACTAAGCAACATTCGGATATCGTATGGTGGGGGAACTGCTTCAAGTATTATGATGCGCGGCTTGAGGAGGGACAGCTGTACCCAGGAACTGACGTTGAGGAGGAGCGGGGTCGCGAAGGGCTCGCTTAGCTTGCTTAAGCAGGAGATGACGAGGCAACGACTCTGCCAAGACATCGAGACTGATCTATTGAAGTTAGGGTAGTGAATGTTGATGCATCTCGGAACGTCACAGCACTGTTTAGAAAGACGACTCAGCAGACTACAGGTCACTGTATACTCCAATAAGAGGCACATGAGAAACAGCATCGCTGTACAGATCGTGAAACACCTTTGCCAAGCACGGCCACGTGGGACATCGTGCCAGGGCAGACCGCGGGCACTGGTGGCAGCCCACAGGATGCTACACACACCTACACATACCAACGGCAATCCGCCAGACCAACCCTCAACTTCCCAAACCCAGAACGGTAATATCGGAACAGGCTCACAACAGCCAAAGCCCTCGTCAAAACTGATATTCGCCCCCGGCACCGACCCAAACACAACCCAGGCCGCCCAATTCAACATTGCACCCTTCACCGCAAGGACCTCTCCCCCTCCCCCTTCACCCAGTTCCACACCTGGTTCACGCATCCCGCCCTCGTCTCAACCGTCCCAGAAACATGCACCCTCTCCACTGCCTCCCTCCCCTCCGGCCGCGTGTCCGCACGCATGGTCTACCTCAAGGAACTCGATAGCAGCGGCGGCTTCGTCATCTACAGCAATTTCGGCACCTCCCGGAAAGCAAGGGACCTGGAGACGAACAAGTATGCAAGTCTGGTCTTCTGGTGGAAAGCGCTGGAGCGGCAGGTGAGGGTCGAGGGCAAGGCGGAGAGGTTGAGCGAGGTGGAGAGTCAGGTTTATTATGATACGCGGGCGAGGGGATCGAGGCTGGGGGCGTGGGCGAGTAGACAGAGTGAGGTTTTGGAGCCCACTTCTTCTGCAAATGGTAATGGTGGTGAGAGTAGTGATGATGGGCGGGCGAAGTTGGATGGCTGGGTGAAGGATGTCGAGAAGCGCTTTGACGGACAGGACAAGATCCCGGTGCCGGACTTCTGGGGTGGGTTGAGGGTCGTGCCGGAGGTGATTGAGTTCTGGCAGGGCAGGGACTCGAGGCTGCATGATCGTTTTCAGTATACCAAACAAGACGATGGGGGTTGGAAGATAGAGAGACTAAGTCCTTGATCTGGGGCAAAAATCAAAGAAGAAATCCTGTCTGTAAGCAAGGCACTCAATAGATTTGTTTGGAAGACGCTTGTGCGAGCTACATAACCGTGCGCAATGCTGTGCTATGGAGGCGGCCCCTCATGGGTGTCCTCAAGAAATGTGCAATTGTTACAAGGAGCCCGTGACTCTGCCCACAGGCCCTGTGATGCAGGCATGACATGCTCTGCAGTACGACAAGATAATTCGATATTGTTGCGGTCCTGTGCACGCGGTCGGAAGACTGTGGATCGTCCTTTTCCGTGACTTCAGGCGCTGCTCCCCGTTAAGGTGTGTCTGGGTGTATTTTCAGGCTTCGAAGGAGCTTCCCTGCGAGGTGGCTTCTCCTGCAGCGGCGGCGGCAGAGACTGGCAGGACTTGCTGGGAGAAAGCCTCTAAGTTCCAATAGCAGCCGCCTTCGCAGCGCCACGCCCTCTACCTCCACGACTGCTGTGACCACGGAATGAGTTTCCGTGCTTACCGCCTCCACCGCGGGCCTTCGGTGCCGGTGCGGACTCCAGCCCGTTCTTGCTAGGAAGATCGATCTTCATAGACTTCTGTACACCCGGAAACTGTACCAAAGCAAACTGCGCTTTTGCCGGATAGAACAGAGCCTCCGCCGAGCTGATGTCTAGCCGATTCGAGAAGACGTACTTCGGTCTCGGAGCTAAGGGCATGCTGACCAGAGGCTGCTTCTGCACGGGCAGACTAATCGTTGGTAGCGACGCCAGTTCGCGGTCCTCGAAAAGATCTTCCTCACTCTCGACTTCCTTTGTGGCATACGGTCCTTTCGTGATAACTTCAGTCGGCATTGAAATGGTAGAAACGTCTTTCAGCCGTGGAACAACATCGAGAGAGTCCCGCGACGATGACTCTATCTCGACTGGTCTCTCGTGGCGACCGAGCAATCCATTGAATCGCTCCTGCACTTGATACCTTGCGGGGCTGGCATTGAAACGGCACGTGGTTGTGGTTGCGCAGCCATAGCTGCACGAGCAGCCCATGTCATCGGCGCTTTCGGTTCCTCTGGCTCGGCTGGAGGTGTAGGAGGTCCGGCAGGTGGGAGCTTGACCACAGCCTTCTCTCGAGGAAATCGAACTGCTGGACGCTGCATTCTGCCATCGAAGGCTGGATGCTCACTTGCGTACTCTTCAGCAGGCGGTGGCGATGGTGATCGGGGCACTTCGGGGTAGCTGTACGTGACTGCCCGACGGACCTCTGTTGCTGGTGGCTGGACAGGAGATGGGAAGAAGCGCGAGTTTCGCTGGCTTGGACCAGTCGGCAACGAGCCAACGGCGCCGAACTGCGCCGGTACTGCCGACGACGACTTGCCCACATTTTGACGCTGAGTTGGTTGATCGCCAATTTGTACCTGCTTCCATGTCTCGTTGAAGGTGTATGATGGGCCTTGTCGAATGCCAGTACGTGCTTCTTCTTCTCGACGGGCTGCGAGTTCCCGCTGATGACGTTCAGCCTCGGCTCGTTCTTGCGGGATGGCCGTCTGATGGAAGTTATTCCACGCAGCAACATTATTGCTTGGACCGCCATTGACATGTGCCGCTTGATGAGGTGGTCGTCCGATGGGCGCCGGAGGTACAACTGGGAACAGCGTATCTGCTTCACTGTCCGCAGCTAGAGGTCCTTGGTCAGGGGATGCCAGTGGCAGCTTAGCTTCAGCAATGTGTGGTGATCTTCCTGCGAGAGGTGTGCGGCCATTCCAACCAGGAGCACCCGAAGACGTCCGCGATAGATCTTGTGGAGCGTAGCCGGCCAAAGACTGATCGAATGTGCCGTTTCCGAGAGCTTTGTTACTAGAAATGCCCCATAAATTGGCAGCTTGTGGTCTGTGATCTCTCAGATCGCCCCACCCGCTTCGTGCATCGGCAGTCGAAGGTTTCGGAAGCTTGGGACTTGGCTCGCTGGCGGTGGTGGGTTGATCGGCAGTCAGTGGCCGCTGGCTTTCGACGGGTTTTACACCATTGACACCTGGCACATGGCTATCCCGCGAGGGTAATGGCCGCTGCTGATCGGTACTCAATCGCTTATTGCTGTCCAAAGCATGAACCTTGATCATACCATATTGCTGAGGCTCACCAGTGGCAAGCGGTTGAGGTGGCTTTGGAGGTGATTGCGACGCCGCCTGGCTTAGTCGAGGTGTCTCCATAAGCGGCGCTTGATCGTTTACTTCTTCAGTGACTGTGGGCTCGGGCTCCTTTTTTGGAGGTGCAGCAGCCTCTAGTGCTTCAAGCTTCTTTCTGAGGCGTTCCTTCTTCTCGGCTTCGGCTTTGGCTTCCTCTTCAAGTCGTCGTTGACGAGCCCGGAGTCCACTCTCCTTCATCAGCTGCTTCTGCTTCTCCCGCTCAGCCTCTATATCGTATGCCGGACCCGCCGATGCTGACGGAGCGATTACGGTTGGAAGTGTCTGTTGTTGGGCGTCAAGCGGGTTGGGAGGTCCGTCACGAGAGCCTGGTCGCGCGCTGAGATCGGCCGACTGATTGTCAAAGACGGGTGCGTGGTGATCGCCGGACTTCATTGACAGGCGTCGTGCCAATTGTCCGCTACCGCCAGACACGATGGACGATCTGCGCCGTGTAGCATCGCTGCTCGTCCGAGTTGTCTGGAATGCAGCAGATGGCTCCGCTGGATTCTGATTATCGTTTCCAGTTGGGCGTTGCAGGACAGCAGGAGCACGGAAGCCCTGGTCGTTTCGAGACATCCTACGTCTTCCGTCCGAGACAGCTTCGTAGCGACCAGAGTTCGGCATGTACAATTCACGCGGTTGCATCTGTGAGCCATCTTTCCAGGTTCGATTGAAATCGTCAGCCGAAATCTCCTTAGCTGGTGAGGCCGCGTGCATCTGGTGTAGTGGTGGAGGCATGCCATAAGAGCTCCCAGCACGGTGCAGAGGCATCATAGGTTGCGGCTGGATGTCAATCGGTGAGGCCTTGTCAACCGGCGGAAGTACCGCCCAGGGAGACTTCGCAGGTGCGGGCGCAGGAACGACATTTGACGGTGTTGACCTTGAGTTTTCCAAAGGCTTCGTCTTCTCGGCTGCAGCTTTCTGGGCTTGCTGCTTCTCCGCGTTCGCTCCGATCTTGAGAACGGTGGCATTCGGCCCGACACTGCTGGTGAATTGAGGAGGCTTCGGTCGTTCGGCTAAGGTCTTGGGAGCCGCACCAGGAGCTGTAGAATTCGAGGTCGGCGCAGGTGTGGTGGGTGTGAGGTCCGCGGCTGTCAATGTGGTCTTGGTGCCATCGTTCCACTCGATCGTCTCGGGAGCCCAATCGTCCTCATCATCATCGATGTCAGCCCACTTAGCCTCCTTGCCGTCACCATCAGCCTCGAGACGGGAAGTTAAATGAATGCCATATTGCTGCTTGAGTTCCTCGTCCGTCAAGTGCTTCGTTGATGGCTGTGGTGTCACTGGACTGTGTTAGCTTGTGCTGTGAAAACTCGAGTATGTCTCCGTACCTCGGTTCTTGTTCCATACTTGCATCGGATCGGGAGCAGCAGGCTTGAACGCTTTCGCATTCTGCTGCAGAGAACTCGTCGTCTTGGCCACCAGTCGAGGTCTACCAACAAGCTGCGAGGTTGGCGTAGACGAAGTCGGAGTGGGAGCTGGAACGGGTTAGTCGTGTCAAATGCGCCGTGGACAAAGACGAGGCTCACCTTTGTCTGCACCTTTGGCCGCGGCATTGGCAGCAATGACTTTTGGTACCGAGTATTTGGCAAAGGTGACGGGTTTGGCTGGGGCGAATTTCTTCACAGGTTTCGACTCAGCCGGCTTGTCGCCTGCCACACTTCCTTCAGCTCGACTGCCATCCGTATCGGATTTTGCCGAAACATCCTCGAGATCTGGTACAATAGTCGGGTTGTGAACACCATTCTCCTTAGCAACGCCTTCCACTACACCGTCAACGTCCCCTGGTGGTTTTGAATCGGCAGTGGTTGTGGTCGCAGCGGCGTCGGAAGGCGAAAGGTCGCCGACCGACAGAGATTGATTCACCACATCCTGCACGATCGTATCGGCCATAACAAACCCGGAGCTGTCAGACTTGTGGTCAGTATGATCTCTTCTAGGGCGGTGACACGCCTTCAGAACGGCGACTGACTATTAATTCTTCAAGGTAGCCACGATGGTCGAGCCGTGATGTCCTCGGATGCGCCTGTCGCGTGGACGCTCTCTATTTCTTGTGATGGCACAGACTACAAGTGAGCCTGGCTACGAGCCTGTGAGAAGACTCCGAAAGATAGAATACAAGCAAGAAGGGAGATGGTGGTGGAGGAAATAGGAGGATTGCGGATGAGTCGTTGCGATGTGCTTCAGGTAAGGTGCGCACTCTGGCTATCTCGGACACTCCTGCTGGGCTGTGCCGCCTAAATCCACTTATCTCCTGCCTCCAGGGATACGATGCGCTTGCACCCCTTCACATTCAATGCTGATGTTTCTCTTCACTGTCTCGCTTTCGAAAAATGTGAATCATGGAACCCACGATCACGTATTGTCTCGTCTGCAACACTTCAATAATGTCTTCGAGACCAGCCTTGTGCTTGTCATCTATGGCTCAACCACCTCGCTCTGAGGACGGGCCCGCATCACTTGTACGCACCCCGGGTTGCCGAGTAAACCGAAGTTTACTGTATGGATGTGCCTGAAAACCAACGGCGAGAGAGGCACTGTGTCTGCAATGACTCAACAGAACATCGGGAATTCCTGTCAGTGTAGGGTGCAGTGTCCTTCATGACACCGACTCTGTCCGCTAGGCACTGAAGTTGCCCCAGGCCTGGTCACCTCGTTTGAAGCATGCAGAGATATACTGCCTCGAGGTCTCCAAGACTTTGGCAGGTGCCCGTGGAGATGCTTCGAATGCGTGTGCGTAACTGCATACAACGCATGCAGTCATTCCGCCCACGTCCCTCATCTGACCTGGCTCGAACAAGTGTCTTTCCCTATGTTCTTGCATGGTTCATCCAAACAACCAAGACCGGCCGAGAAGATCACTAGCCACGTGACCTCGGGATCCAAAATATTTCGTGCCGTCATCTCCACTCGGAAACGGCACTTGAATAAACCTCTATCTCTTCCCAGCGTTGTACTTTTCTATATCATTCCGCTCATTGATGTCTATTTCTAACAAAAAGGCTTTCCTTCCGGTAGTATAAGTCGCCCATAGCGAAGCACGCTTGTAGTTTGCCAGCACCACTCCAGCGTTGATGCGCATCTGGCTTGTCCTGTTCATGGTCGCTTTTGCACTGTTCTCGCCACTGATAAGATCAGCCTTGCGCGATTCAAAGAGATATATACCCGCATTACCACGACTGCAGGGAATCTTCCATCCTACGAGCTTCCACAAACACTCGTCTACTGCACAACTTCACAACTCGACTACACCAAAGTTACCCACAGCCATGGCGGCCACCGAATCATCCATACCATCAACGACCCCCTCAGAACCCACGCTCCCTAAACTCTCCTCCGACGATTTCCGCACCTACAACCGCCTCGCCGTCATGATGGACGCCTACCACCGCCACTTCCGCCACACCTGGACCATCCTCTACGACGCCGCCTCCAATGGCAAGAAACCTGAGGGCATCTCCATTCGCCAATACCTATCCTACGGCCTTCAACTCTGCCGGCAACTGACCGCTCACCACCAAATTGAAGAAGCATACGTCTTCCCCGAACTCGCTGAACGGATGCCAATCTTCGCCGAGGGCGACCATCTGATTCACCAGCACGAGGAGATTCACGTGGGCTTGGTGAAGTTGGAGGACTACCTGAGGGCGTGCCTGAATGGAGATCGGGAGTTAAGGTTTCCGGAGCTGAGGGAGATCATGGATGGATTTGGGACGGTGTTGTGGTCGCATCTGGACGAGGAGGTCAAGACGTTGGGGGCAGAGAATATGAGGAAGTATTGGAGCAAGCAGGAGATCATGGGGATGAATTGGTAGTGGTATCCCAGGAGAGCACCCTATTTGAGTTGGTTCGGACAGGTCCCACCATCGATAAACTTGGGTAGGCATGGCGTCAGCTCGGCAATGTCAATGTTGTGGGCTCCCACTGATTTCGCATGAAGCCCATGTCTCCCGCAGTCGCGCAAGGACCGCCAAGAGTCGGGACAGATTCAGTTAGCAAGATCCTGTCGAGAGGTAGTAGCGACTACTTCTTGTGCGCCTGCACCCGAGAACGCACTGAACCAGAGCAGAAGGTACTCTGCCACGAACGGCAGCAAGCATGAAGGGCGGAATGCAAGCCGGATGATACGAGATATGTATCCGCCACGCTAAGACTTTCTTCAGATTGCTCTTCCCATTTTCTCAGGGGCAAGTGTCTGCCGCACCATTTCCGATTATATGCCCTGCAACGAAGGAGGTCGAGCAAGTCAGGTGGCAGGCAGCCTGCGGCATGTGTATCCGTCGGCGCATCCACGTCTAGATAGTTTGCTGAACCGACTTTGCAGATGTCGAGCTAGACGTACGCATGCCACCGTAGCATGACTGCAGAACACGTTCAGCCTGATCGTCGCGCTCCAGAAATCCCGGATCCAGCTCCACCCTCCGCTCAAACTTGCGCCACCACTCCTCAAAGCTCTTCAACGGCACTACCTCCTGTCCTCCAGGACCCAACGTGCCGCTAAAGCTTGCCAGAAAGTTGAACGCGTTCTTGATGATTCTCTGTGCTAGGATCTTCGTGCTTGGCGGTTGGATGGCAGTCCCGCTGCCGCTGCCTCCAGCCGTCTTCTCACTCTCAAGAGCTGCCAGCTGATTTCGTATACTGTCCATAGGCTCGATACTGATTCCCACTTGGCAGATCCCTTGCGCCTGCTGTTGCGCCGGCAGGTTGACTTTGAAGATCGCGCTGGGCTTCTCTTCGGCGATGGCGCCGAGGAACTTGAAGCCGTCCTGGCCCGGTAGTTGGATGTGTACTCCGGCGGCTGTGTTTGGCGGGAAGGTGTTGCCTGGTAATAGGAAGACGACGAGGTGAGAGAAGTGCGGGACTGTCGGTATGCTGAATGCAAATTGTGTTCCTTCTGGGTTGATAGGTGCTGGTGGTGGGAGTAGTGCACGGCCAGGGATCAGTAGGGAGAACATTGCTGTCAAGAGTCGCGGCGCAGATCCTATCGAAGGGCACGCGACTGCTGTTTGTAGTCTTTCGAAGAGATAGGAATCCCGAAAGCTGAAGTCATGAGACAGCTAGGACGTAGCGTCAGGCTCGAGATGGCGTCCGGTACATTGATCATGAGTTGCCGCATTCCATCCTAATCCGTGGCCCCTGGAGTAGCCACGGTCTTCGATCCATCGACTGCTCGAGGCCGAGACTGCTAGACGTTTTGCGTTCATTGGAGAAGATTATAGAAACGTCGAGTCTCTAGGATGACGTCATAGGGCGGATCTGCTCGAGGCTTCAAGTCCGGTGCAAGATTGGTAGGGCCGAATTTAGTTGAGGACCGCGTCGTTGGCAGTAACGATCACTGAATTGCGGCTCGTACTGTGCTGTGCTACCACCGCCATTGTGCCTGCAGGCAGTGTGTTATCCTGCTCTTTCTTCACGAGGCCTACTGCAGAGATTGAGGACACGACTGCTGGTCACTTCATGCCTGAACATCGACATGGCTCGCAAGACGACCTTGGATCTGGTCAACGAATGCGATAACTTTCCCTACCGCTACGACGACGTCAAAACATACGACCATGCCGTATCGGCTTACTACTCCTTCAAGCTGAACGGATGTCCATCCACTCTCGGCTATGTCACACCCAACATCGCTGGTCGTCTGCCTCTCGACAAGCACTGGTCTGTGGATCATGTCAACCACACACTCATGTTTCAGCCACAAAATGCCAGTACCTTGGAACAGCGCAATGCGATACTTGCCGAGTATCTGCAGCAAGTTCGACAACAGCACGTCTTTAAAGTCCTGGACGGCTGGCGAGACGAGTTGTATCCTATCTATGGCCCTAATCGCGAGCTGATTCTGAGCATGGAGCGCTCTGCTAGCGCGCTGTTCGGCGTTGTCACGTATGGCGTCCACATGACCGCTTATGTTGCTTCTGATAGTGAAGGTGGAATGAAGATCTGGGCGCCGAGACGTGCGGAGACCAAGCAGACCTACCCCGGCATGATGGACAATACCGTTGCCGGTGGATTGAGTACTGGCGAGGAGCCTTTGGAGTGCTTGATTCGAGAGTGTGAGGAAGAGGCCTCGATACCGGAGAATATTGCTCGACAAGCAAAGGCGTGTGGGACTTTGACATACTTCCACATCCGCGACGCGCGAGCTGGCGGCGAGACGGAATTGTGCCAGCCGGAGTGTCAATACGTTTATGATCTGAAGCTGCCATCAGACTTTGTGCCAAAGCCGGGTGATGATGAAGCAATCGATTTCAGGTTGCTCTCAATCGCAGAAGTTCAGGAAGCGCTGGCTGATGGGAAGTTCAAACCGAACTGCGCTTTGTTATTGGTCGAATTTCTCATCCGGCATGGCTTTCTGACACCAGAAGGAGAGCCAGATTACATCGATATAGTGTCGAGACTGCACAGGAAAATGGAATTCCCTCTGCGGTAGGATTGGTAGACAAGAGTCCCATAGGTTTATCGAAGCCCGTGACTCATTTCTTGCAGAGCAGATAGACGTGGTCGATGCGCAGACTCTTCAGTCTCTCGAATGGTCCGGTCAGATACATCAGTAGCCCTCCAAATGAGATATAGACACGTCTGCAACATGATTAGTACCATTTGCGCATCTTCGTCACGTTGGTGCTGCTCACATCTCTGCTTCATTCCCTTCCTCGAACCGGTAGATCTTGCCGTGGCAAACGTAGTCGTAGTCATCCGCCAGCGTAGCCTCGCCTTTGTTCGCATCGCGCCAGCCCTTCCCATCGTCCTTGCTACCGTCCAGGTTCAATGAGCTCGCCAGAGTGATAGTCAACTCGTCGCCGACACTGACAGGCCATATGTCAGTGTTGACGTCGAGCTGATAGTATATGGCGCCACCTGTGATCTCTTTTCCGTCTACTCTTGCGACGCGATCGTATTTCTCATCGTTCATGTTGTCGATCGAGCCGCGAAAGTTGAGGAGTTCAATGTCGCCTGACATGTTTGTGGGTCGTAGAGGCGATTTGTGAGTGTGAGTATCAGCAAGTGTTGGTATGGCTGTCGGCAGCCAGACTGGTTTTGTGAACAGAATATCGCACTTATGGACAGAGAAAGAATATTTGGCGTGGGAGAGGGAGTGAACAACAATTTGCGGCGAAGATTAGCCGGTTGATGCCTAAAAAGGCGTTCACTGAGGCACTAACAAAAATCTGCCTTCTTCCTTCCAAGCCAGGCACCACTACCACTTCGCTGATGATCTGCAATCCTTGATGTCCTTTCGCAAGCGTAATATCGGACTCTCGAACAACACAGAGTCCACTAGCAAACCTTCACCGTCGACGCCCAAAGTCCAAGTCCCCGGCGTCAGACCGTCCGCAATAGATGGCAGGCCGGTGACATCGACTGGCACGGCATCGTTGGATGCTCTGCTTGCTGGACATGGGGGCCTGGCACTTGGTTGCTCATTCTTGATTGAAGAGAACGGAGCAACAGACTATGCAGGTGCTTTGTTGAAGTTCTATGCCGCGGAAGGTGTTCTCCAGGGTCACCATGTCCACGTCCTGGGCTTGCCTGAGTCGTGGGGACGAGATCTGCCAGGTACAGCTCGAGAATCGTCAAGGGTCAAGGACTCAGGTACGAGTGGAGAGAAGATGAAGATTGCTTGGCGATATGAGAGTCTTGGGCAATTTGGCGCCGGCTCCACTGGGTCAAGAGGTACGTTGACGAGTGTTGTCATCACGAGCACAGTGCTCTTCTTTATCGGAGCCGGTGTTGCCACGGGCCATTGGCTGACGTGTGGACAGGACCTCCTCCTAGACAGCCACCTCTGGGCTCAGAAGCAAGTCAGCCTCCGACAGAGAGGCTGTACAACCACACTTTCGACCTAACGAAACGTCTAGCCCATCCGTCAGAAACATCTCTGACGTTTCATCCGTTCTCACAAACGCCTACGCCGTCTCACTCGCCCTTTCTTGCCATCATCAACGGTCTCAAGGACTCGATAAATGCCAACAACAGCATACCACACCGTCTGATCGTTCCCTCCCTCCTTTCACCACTCCTCTACCCACCCAACGCCTCCCAGCCTCAGCACCTCCTTTCCTTTCTACACAGCCTTCGCGCCCTTCTAGCCCTCAACGCCTCAACGAAAGTCCTCACAATCATCACTAGCATTCCTCTACCACTCTCTCCACGAAATACAGGCCTCACACGCTGGATCGAGCTCCTTCACGACGGCGTGATCGAGCTCTCACCCTTCCCACACTCGACTGATACGCTCTTTGCCGCGTCATCACAGGCCAGTAAAGCGGCGGCTGCTGCAGGCGATGAGCCGCCGCAAGGACTGTTGAAGATCCACAAGTTGCCGGTGTTCACAGATCGGGCGAGCGGAGTGAGAAGCGAGGACGGAGGGGACGATTGGGCGTTCACGTTGAGCAGAAGAAAGTTTGCGATTCAGGCTTGGAGGCTGGGGCCTGTGGACGGAGACCCAGGCGAAGAGGCAGAGCCGGGAGGCACACACAGCCATGGAGACGAGCCTCGGGAAGGGAAGCGAAAGAAAGGGAAGAAAGCGGAGGGGATGGACTTCTGATAGTCGATCCAGTTGGGGGCTTGATCACAGCAAAAACGACTTCCAGGGCGGGCTTCAAGGTGAAAGTTTCGAATTCCATTCCATTTGTCGATTTCAGATCTGCGCCAGACTATTCACTCTCGAGATTCAAGCGCCAACGGTCACCCCTTCCGACCGTTGCTTCACTCTTTCTGCTTCACTTTGCCCACCATGTCCTTCACTGCCTTGCGCAGAAGGTCGCTCTGCAGCAACCTATTCTTGGCTTCTTCTACTCCCACTCCCACACCCAGACCATCCACCTCGTTCACTGCCAGGGCGATCTGCAGGAGATTGGGCGCAATGAGGCGGATCGTGTCGTTCAGGGCCTCCTGAGAGGACTTCGCTGCTGATGCTGCGGCAATTGCCACGCGAGGAGCGACGGGAATTGCTGGGACGATGGCCGTGGGAGGAGGGGGCCGGGCGGTCGCGGTGCTTGCTGCTGCTGCTGTTGTCGGTGCAGCTGGAGCACGCTGCGCGATGACCGCAGACCAAGGCGCTGGATTGGTGACGGCGCTGGTAGCAGGAGCAGCAGCAATGGTGGTCTTGGGTGCAGCAGGAGCAGAGAATGGCCACTCGACGTTCCGATTCACGTCCTCGCCGATGTCGACCCGAATGATCTTTCCGCGCCACTCGATCCCATGAAGCCGCTCGACCGCAGTCTCAGCAGAGTCTTTGTCGTTGAAGTCGATGAAGCCGTACCCGAGGCACTCGCGGTTCCTGTTCAGCGCGACGAATGCGCTTGCGATCTCGCCGCAGTCGGCGAAAAGGTCGTGTAAGTCTTTCTTGCTGACGGCTTCCGGCAGATTGCCAACGAAGACAGAATGGCTGAGCTTTGCGATGCGCGCCTTGATTTCGGCTGGTGCTGTGGGAGGGTATGCGTTTGCGAGCATACTGTCTATGCGGCGTGCCAAATTCGCGTCTGTGGTTCCCCAGGTTCGCACATTGTGGCCGATTTCGAGCGTCAGACCGCGGATCATCAATCGTGCTTTGAGAAGGTAGGTATAGGCGCGTCCAGCGTCTCTGTCGTTTGCGAAGCAGAGAAAGCCCCAACCTTTCGACCGTCCGTTGTCGTGGGTTAGCAGCTGAAAGGACCCGAGAGGCGCAAAGATGTGGGACAGATGTGAAGCACTTAGGTCCCGGTGTACGTTGCCGGCGTAGACTGCTGGGTATTCTTTTCTGAACGACATGTTTGCTGCAGTGGATGATGTGGTTCCTGTGTCTACTTGTTTGCTTATTACTTAGTGCGCTCAGGTTTGTTGCGAGATGATGAACTGGATGATAGTGGTCGAAATTGGAATGTGAAGCACCCGGACAAAATACATAAACGCTGAAGCTGCGGCGGGAGCAAAAGGTTGTGAAGAGTTGAAATACGTTGTGGTGGAGGAAGATCTGCCAAGACCTGGTTGCCAGGCGATGGTGAGGTGGTGCACTGGTTTCGTGATTCTAAGGTACAGTCATAGCAAAGTCAGGGTGCTGTTGTTGTTATGTCAGTGCAGCCTTCCTAGCAAGTGAAGATGAACTGACATGATCGTCACCATTTTTCTATTTCGATGTTGAGATGCAAGAGCACTGCATGTACCCTGCCTGAACCGTTGTTTGCTCGAGGATGATCCAGTCGAGAGTCAAATCGATGTCCGTGAAATCCAAAAGCTGTTGAGCTTGCCGGTGACGCGGCAAATCCACCCCATATGAGACGAAGGCGAGCCTCGCTGTACATGCTACCACAGCTATCTTGCGCGCAGCCTCTTCGCCCAACGCTGGACAATCGTGCTTAGCACGTCATTCAGTCCTCACCGCTCCTCAACACAGACATGTTGGTCTGCGAGCTATACGCACTGTCGACGACATCTCGTGGCTCTTGGCCCTCCTCGCTATCGTCCACCGACTCAGACCCAGACCGCGAATAGCTGCCATCGTTCGTTTCGTCCTCGCAATTCTCGAGCTTGATCTTTTTGGCCTGTGTTTCCTGTTCATTCCGCCATCGCCTTCGTTTGTTCTTGATACGGTTGTTGTCGATAGCTCGTTCCGCGACATCGACGGGGATCAGCTTCGATGCGAATTTGTCGACCACTATGGCTCGGTCCTCGGACATGTTGATATCACGGGCCAGCGCCAAAGCTTCGACCAAGACCGCTATGTCATCGACAAAATCGTTGTAGACAACTGGTCTATCAGGATGCGAAGCTCCTTCTTCTGCCACAGTTTTCTGTCCCAGGGCTGGATGCATCTCAACGAGTGCTGGATTGCAAAGGAGTCGTCGGACCACGGTCACTGGAACGTTGACAGAAGTCAGACGTCCCTGGATGACGGCACTGCGGTCTGCAATATCAATTTCGCGAGCGCTAAGTACTGCGAGGGTCAAGATCGCGAGGTCTTTTTGTATCTGGGTAGTCTGACTCTGACTAGCCGTCGGACCGTCCTTGGCTGTCCTTCCTTCACTTCCCGCCTGCGGTGGAGTGGCAAAAAGGCGCTGCCTAAGATCTCTTGGAGACCCAAAGTTGTAGGCCTGTATGCGAAGTGCAGCAGGAGTCCTTGGGGACGCTCTCTGCTGCGAACTAGGACTCTCGGGACCGACGTGCCTTGCCATCGTTGCCTGGCTGCCCACAAGCTCATCGGGATTTAGAAGCTCCTCGAACTCTGCTCCTAGCCGGCGGAAATGGGAGAATGGATTCAGTGCGCGCGCATCCTCTTCCTCTGGGTAATCGAACATGAGCATCTTGCGCAGAAGATCGGGATCCAGAGCCTTCGTTGAGCGATTTACGTCGTGTTCGTCGACGTGTAATTTCAGGCTCTCGAAATCTTTGATGTGGGGAACGAACGCTGCAGCCTTGTCTTCTATAGCGTGTTCACAAGACTGCCACGCACAATCACTGCCCTTGCCTGCACTGGGATCCAAAGCTTGCAGTGGATCTTCAAAGTAGGGCCGAAGGACTGCTCTTGCCTCCACAACATTGTCGGCGTCTTTGCGTATTACAGTCAACAGATGTCTGTATTTCTTCAACCGTGCGTTCTCCGCAGTTGATGAAATAGTCTCGCAGAAGTAAGCGACCAGCGACCAGCCATTTTTGTTGCACAGGCTGTCCAGCGCTGTGATGCAGGCAACTTTCTTGAAAGGCTCGAGCTGTGCTTTCCTTCTCTGGTCTCCTGTATACCCAATTCCGGTATGCATCACGATTGCGGGACGATCGTAGTCCCAGGTATCGCATTGCCATGATTTGCTTTGTGTCGAGCAGATCTTCTTGTTGACGTAAATGAGGAGGTCTCTGACGGCTTCTGCTCTGTTCAAATACTCAATAATAGCTGCTTCTGGACTTCCGCCGATTGACTCTGTTTCGGTGAAATGACTGTGAACATGAGCGCTAGCCAGCGGTTCTAGATCCTCTCGACGAGCCTTCCAAGCTGTTGTACTCTCTACGCACAAGTTGTGCTTTTTTTGTTGCTGGGACACTCAAGCCGATTGCGCAGGCTAAGCAACAGGTAGTGTGAGATGACGGCGACAACGTACTCATCGCCGTACTCTAGGGCTTGCTGACGCCACCAGGAATCGCATCGCAGGACCTCTTCGCGCTCAGCATCAGCCAGATCGTTGATGGCTCCTTGCAAAACCGTCCTTCGTCCTCGATGACTCAGCCCGAGGGTGTCGGTCTTCTCTTCCCACTGGCTGAGGGATACTGCAGATGCTTGGAGTCGTTGATCGATATCTGGATGAATGTGCTGGGCTATCTCATCGACGCTAGGAGGTCGGATCGGGATCCTTAGCGCTGATGATGCTCCAGTATCGTTGTTGTCGTTGCCGTCGAACAACTCTTTGACTGACCACTGGACACGGAACCCGTAGGGCCAGATTGGCTCGCCTGCGTTATCCATCCCGTCTACCGGTTAAGAGTAGCAAGCTTGGGGCCGAACCAAAATCCAGCAGTGAGGTTGGCAGTTCAAGCCATTGGAAACATAATGCCAAGAAGCTACAGCCGTCACCTGAGCGACCGTTTTGATATTGCCCTCTTGCTGGTCACAACGATCTCGACCCATCGCTAGCCTTGTCTGTGTGTCGTCAATTGTCGCCATTTTCTCTCTATCGCATGTCGACCTGACCAAGGACTCCATGTCTGATACCTTCTGCTACCATTGACCAGAAACACCCACTTCAAGGTCACTACTGGTGGCAGGCCTCCTGAATCCAGACACTCGCATGCGGTTCTTGTTGGTTCCGTCTAATGAGCTCGAACTCCCGTTCTATGGGAGGCGCAGGATTGCAGAGGAAGCGACGAAAGATCCTCGAACACGAGCCTTCCCAGCTGGACTTCCCCGCATCGGTCAGGCGGCTGAACTATATGTATCTGAACAAAAGGTAAGACGAGCGCTCCCTATTCCCTGGCGAGCAAATCTCTGACGCTCTACAATTGCGGTATTGATTGGGACGTCCCACATCATTCATACGGAATAGTCACGATGTCTGCCGATCCAAGTTCTCCAGAGATTCGATACAGCTGCATCTATTTTGGATATGGATCAAATTTATCGAGCCGGTCAATGAAACAAAGATGTCCGGACTCGTTGTTTGTGGGGTTGGCTGTGCTTCCAAAATGGAAGTGGATCATAAACGAGACCGGCTATGCCAATATCATCGCAGGCGAGGAGACCGATGTCGTGTATGGATCCTTGTGCTTCCTGAGCCAACGAGACGAGAAAGCTCTTGACGAGAGCGAAGGCGTTCCATGGCTGTACGAGAAATTGAATCTGAAGGTGCGGAGAGTTCTGACTCCAGAGGAGCTGAAAGGATACGGCGGTCAGGCTCCCGAAGTGGAAGCGGTCTGCTACGTCGACACGCAGCGTCTTGTAGAAGGGAATATCGAGAAAGAATACATCATTTGGATAGCTAAGGCAATTGAAGATGCGAAGAAGTGTGGAATGCCGGCGTCTTATTCTGACAAGTACATGTCGAAACACCTGCCAGAAGACTTCGATGCAAATCAGGAGGTTCAGATGGTCAGAACACTTCGACTAGATGGCAAGAGCGCCAATCTTGTTCCGCGAGGTTTTGCAGGTTGGGATAGAGGTTGAGACTAGATTAGCAGAGAGTCGTGGGAGACGAAGATCGAGCGTCGAACTTCGGTTGGGAAGGAGTTGAGGCACTCACGTGACATCATCTTCTTGCTTCTGCCAAGCATTTCACGTCGAATAATTCAGGAACGGCGAGGGTAAGGTACTTATGACCTGCTCTATATGCAAAATGTGACAATTTTCACACACCTGTTCCCTCCATCGACATTGACAAGCTCCTTCTTCCACGCAAGTATTCCGGATCATGCGCGTCTGATCTAAGCCCGCGCAATGGCCTTCGAGATCACCTCTTATTGTTCTAAGATCAGTCAAGCGGAGTTTGGGTGAACAGAGGCAGGAGGAACTTGTCCTCTTTGAAGGTACGTTGGCTCAACACCCATCAAATTCATTGTCTGCTGCAAGATTAGAATCTCTGTGTAAATCTGTCAATCCCCTGATAAATGCCTTCGGGTCCGTGACTGAGACAAGCAAAATCAATATCGAAATATGAGTCAGCTCATCGGCGTTGTAAAATGATCACCATGCTTCTGGGACTCTAGCTGACTATCATGTCAGGAACAACGATGGACCACACCTCTGCCGACTCACAGTCGGGTAATTCACGCAAGGTTCCTGAGCTGCCAATTGCGATCTCTATGATCGCTGGCAGGTACATGCTATTCGACATTGAGGCTGGCATCTACTTACGACGAGAGCACAACATCTGTGGCTATAATGTAGGCACGCTTGCCCAGATGCCTTCGCAGAATGGTTTCCTCGGACTGCCGATACTTTTAATGCCAGAGGAGGCTCAAGTGCTTGTCGACAAGGGCGTTGGCTGCATTGTTGATGACAAAGCCGCGCACAGATCCGCCCTCGACCATCGGGACGAAGCTCGGGTAGCTGAGTACCGCGCCGAGGTCGTTCGTCACGCGACCAAGCTCCAAGCGGTAAAAGAACAGTATCGGGCTGAGACGAAGAAGCGACATCAAGTCCAGAGAAATGCCCAGCGAAGCGGAACAGATTCAAATTTAGGGTCCGAGACTGACCTGATGTTTTTCGATGACGATGACACAGTGGCGGAAGACTCGGCAAGCAAGATGACTCAAAAGAATCCAGTTCAATTTTCGGAACAATCAGACCGCATTACGCCAACAACGTCCGGTCCTCTACTCGATCATGCGTCACACATAGCTGGCAGCTCTGGAAGGCCAATTGAAAATCTGCCACCAAATTACCCGCTCTTCCGACATCTTCACAACAAGAAGTACTTCATGACACCTGGTCTTCGATTTGGCTGCCAGTACACTACGTACCCTGGTGATCCGCTGCGGTTCCATTCGCACTTCCTCACGACGGATCTCGGGTGGGAGAAAGGCATGGATCTCATGGAGCTTGTTGGAGGAGGCAGACTCGGCACAGGGGTGAAGAAAGGCTTCCTTATTGGTTCGCATGCAACATCGCAGGACACCCATACTGAGGCATTGACCGATGAAGCCAAGATTCGGACCTTTAGCATTGAGTGGGCGGTCATGTGAGTAATATACGAAGCATCGGCTATACTCGTCCTAGCAAACGACACTCCTCAGTCATTTCTTGAGCATGAAAGCCGGACAGTGACTCGTTGCAGTCGGATTGTTCACGAACAGCATCCACCAAGATGCTTGGACTAAGTCAATGGTGCAGTGACAGTGCACATTGGTGCCGCAGCCAACGTCCACAGCTGTGAATGCTGGAAGTACGAGTGGTGCCAAGCCATTCGTTAATCGAAATCAGATCGGGAGGGCCTTGGCGATACCATATCTGTTAATGATGACCGATCATGGCGGCTTCGGTGGTTCCTTATGTAACGTCGCCTCGGCAGCACAGGCCACGAGGAATATGCTTGCCAGCTGTGACATTGGCGACTACAACTTGCAGATGCTGTGTGACGCATTTGCAAACTAAAGTGTGAAAGTAGTCGCGATGCAGTCTAGTGCACCACCGGCGTCGTCGACCATTAGACATGGCAACGAAGCCAACCATGAAATACTTCTCCGACGTCCAGATACTGCGCCTGCTTGGAGGCGCTATAAAGCCATCTCGATGGCGGGAGGAAGCTTGAAGATGGCTTCCCTCCCGAACCAAGCAGAGCAGACACGATGCTCAACTATATTGCGACCAGTCTGCTCATCGGCGCTGCATCGGCAGCTGCTGTCAAACGCCCGACGTACTCTCACGGAGACTGCCATCAATTTGCCATACCGATCAAGGCATCGAGTCCAGGCGCTGTCTACAAACTCCCTGTGGTGAACAATGACTTGACCACGACGGCGTGGGCTGTTGCTGCCGACTGTTGGAGCTCAGAGGTCCGCGAGGTCGTCGAGAACATCACGATCAGTGGGACTTACAGCATCCATGCGCAGCTCTGCGTCCCTACCGGGTCCAACGCAAAGGATGTCCTTCAAATTGCCACCCACGGCGGCCACTATGACAAGCGCTACTGGGACTCGGAGTATAGGCCCAAAGACCACTCTTGGGTATACAGCGCTCTCGAACAAGGCTATAGCATTCTGACCTACGACCGCCTTGGGAGCGGAAAGAGCGACATCCCCGACGCTACCGCGGTGTGCAAACCGGCATCGAGCTCGACATTTTGCGGCAACTGACGAAACATGCTCGCGAAGGGACACTGCTCTCCCCGAAGGACTGGCACATGGCGCCATCCAGCCCACCTGCCAAGATCGTTCATCTCGGCCACAGCTTCGGCTCTGTCATGACCACCGCATTCTTGACAAACTATCCCAACGAGACAGACGGCGGCATAATCACTGGGTTCGCGATTAATCCATATTTCGGGCTCACGGGGATGAGCTCATGGTACGCCAACTATGCAGCCACCACCCATTCGCCCGATGGACCCAAGTGGGATCGACCTTCAGGCTATGTAGTCTCCCAGAAAGAAGGCATCCAGGTGGTGTTCTTCGGTGGCGATCCATCAACTGCCTTCACAGAGGAGCAGCTCGAGTATGGTGACAAGATCAAGCAGCCACTGCCGATCGGTGAACTAGCTTCCGGCGCGCAAGTCCTTGGACGGCCCGGAGGTGGCTTCACCGGGCCCGTACAGTACGTATTGGCTGAGTTTGATATGTTCATATGCAAGGGTGACTGCAAAGGCGCGACGAACGAGACAGTGCTGAGGAATACACAGTGGCCCAATGCCGCGGATATCGAGGTTGTAGTGCAGCCAAACACTGGCCACGCCTTTCCGCTGCACAACAACGCTACGGCTGGATTTCAGTTAACTTGGGACTTTTTGGAGAGGCACGGTCTGTAGAACGGCCAATGCCTACACAGAGCTGGTGTGTCCGGACCAGGATCTTCTCTTTGGATAGGATTCGTCAAATAATTCTATGTTATAACGATTGTGATCTCCAGGCACACTATCTCGTCCTCTTTGCTGACACTGCACGTTCCTTGCTCCTACACCTCAAGAGAGGCAGACAATGCCACATCTATTCGTCCGGCAGCGAAGAAGGGTCGAAGTCAAAATCCGGTATGTCAACCACAACAGGCTGCTCATCAGCTAGAGCCGGCTCAAATGCCTCACCGGGTCCTCCCTGAATATCGAAGCCGTGAGGCCAATAGGGGTTGCTGTTGAGACCAGGTTCGCGAGCAGCGATTGTTCCTCCCCTGGTGAGTTGATTATCTGGGAAACCATTCATGCCAATGTCACGAGACTGTAGCTTGGCTTCTTTGTCGTTGACGACAACCGGAGCGGCGAGCGCCAATTGATGCAAAGCTGCAATGGTTACGAGGGTCAGAAGGATGGAGCGGGGGAAGTGCATGGTGGTGAAACCTGTTTGGTCGAGGAGGTATCCGTGAGTATTGGTCCTGAGGAAAGATAGTAGCAACACTGTATACGGAAAGGATTTAGTAACGGAATAGAACAACGGAAAAGGAGATTCGTAGATTCAAAGTGTCGTTGATGTATTGGAGGCTGATGGCTAACATCAATTGACAGAACAGCGGCAGCAGTTGCTTTTGTACCGCTAAAGTGAGAAGTGCAAAGCCCTCGGCCGAGACGTTAATATACATCGCCTTGGTCCCAAGTCGGCACCGCTTAATGGTGGTGCTCAAAATAGACCTCGCTCCTTCTCGAGCAAGTAACATATTCTGACCGCCTTGGACAGTCCGGATTCCGGCTCCTTGGTTGGCGCGCTTTTCGAAGAATCCTGAGTCAACACGAGCCTGTTGACGATATGAGTAGTTCAGTCTCGGTAATGGCGTGCCTGACCCCGGTGCTGCCGTAGTGAGCCCCAAGCCAATAGAAGTGGAGCCTCTCGGCCGGAAGCTTCATTGCACATCTCTCTGAGGGCTTTGCAGATGTGCCTGGAGGACGCTGTCGGCAGAGATCTGCACAATGCCTCCGTCTGGCGTCTGCGCTGTGACACCCGCTGGCGACCCTCGTTTGACTTGCGTTCCCTGTGGTCGACCCAACTTGCTGACGACGTTCGCTTTGTCGCCCAGATTACGAGGAGTTGTTCCTAGTGGCATTGCTGATACCCTTCACACCTCGAATGGATGCCACTTGAACTTCCTCCCAGCCCGATCCACCGGTCTGTACTCTAACGCATCGCCGTTGACCTCCATTACCACTTTCCTCACCCCACGATCCGAACCCTCTCCCACCGTGACAGCATACCTAAAGACAGCGCCCCTCTTCATCACAGTCCTCACCCGATCCCCCTCCATCACAATCACAAACGTAAACTTCGTGTCCCTCACCACCACTCCCTTGAACCCAACCTTACCCACATCCTTACACCTCACGACCTCCACCTCCGCCCCATGATAATCCGCCGACGCAAGCAAACTCCCCTGCTGCGCCGCGCTGACTTCGCGCGTCTCCCAACCGTCCACGAGTTTGCCGTCACGCGTGAAGTTGAGCACTTCGAGCATGTACCCGTTCCAGAGGTTGTTCAGACCTTTGTAGACTTCGTACTTGACATCCTCCCTGCGAAGATCATAGATACCGAGGCTGCGCTTTTCCTTTGCGCTCAGGGGCTGGGGTTTCTGTTTGGAGAGATGGTAGCGCTGTTTGTGCTGTCGGATCCGCCGGCGTAAAGCGCGTTGGTCGGTTGTGGTGCGTTGGAGGTGGAGAGGCTTATGCTGAACTTTGTCGGTGAAGACTCGCAAGGCGGTAGTTGGAGAGTGTGCACGCGTGAGCAGTGTGTGAGCGGGATGAGATGGCGTAGTGGGCACAGCAAGCGAGTTTGGAGGCGTGGCTGTCATGTTGGCGTACGACGTGGTCTTAGCGGGTGGATATGCCACGTGGGTGTTTCGAGATACATTCGGCGCGAGGACGCTTGCAGATTGAAGCGGTCGGTGTTCCCGAAAGGACTTGTAGCGATCGGCCGTACAGTATGACTACCTCACAAGGGTTCGTATGTTGTCCCAAACTAGAGATGTGATTCCAAAAGAATTAACGCTAAATGCCAAGCGAACTGAAACTAAGCTTCGGCGCCCGCCGATGGGATTTCGCCGTTCGGAGACGCCGCAAGTCTAGAACAGCCTTCACATAATCCGGGGTAAAAACATGCACACTACGCAAATGGACAAGGCTTCGAGTATTTCATATCGCGATAGAGAAGGACAAGGACCAACCTGGCAGAATATCTCGGGTCGTGCATTAGGTCTAAATCGTCTATTTAGGATAGTATGTACTTCCGGCACCCAAGCTGGGAATATCACGAGTGTACCCACTCGAACCATTTCCCTCTTTTGTCTAGACTTGCTGAACGTGCTGAGAGCCTACATCGCCGCTATACCCGTGAAACCAAACATCCGTGGGTTGTGTAGAGCTGGTGGCACGTAGCTGCCCTGGTATGGGGGATTCGACGCCGCAAAGTCGGCATTCTGGTAGAGCGGATTAACAATGCCGGATGGGAACTTGGGACGACTGTTGACCGCGGGCGGAGCTGCTTGTATTTGTTGGTAGAATGCAGATGCTGCATTGTCATCGTACTCGGTCTTCCAGCCCCATTTCTCTTTCAACTCATTGCCGATGAAGTCAACGCGCCAGCCAGTCTCCTTCTTGATCTTCTCGAAGATCTCAAGCACCTCATCCTGCTCGCGCCTGATAGTCAGGCTGTCGGCTGCAACAGCCAAGCATCGAATCGATGCTGATGCAACGCCACGGTCTTTGACGTGGGCAACAATACCACAAATTTGACGAGAGTGATACTGGCGCAGTTCGGCCATCTCTGCGGCTGTCTGTTGGTCAATATTGGTAATTGGATACACTGCGCCTAGCAGAGCCATCGCTGTGTGGTAGAACAAATTTGCGACAATCGTGGTGCGCTTGATGAACCACACCTCAGGGAATGCGCTCTTCGAGGTTCCGACGTATGCCGGTATGTTGGCCATTGCGTGCATTGTTGGAGGGACACATCTCTCCCAGCGCTCACAAAACTGTTTCAGTCCGAGCCATTCCTGATATCTCTGCTGCATGCGCAGTTGCTCGGCCTGTACTGTCTGCTCCTGGAAGCGAGGTGCCTTCGATCTGAAATTCGTGACTTTGGCCAGAATCCACAGTATCTTGTGTGTCCAGTCTTCTTCATTGCCGCCAACGGCTTGCGGGTTCATGGTCATCTCAATCCCCCAGGTGTCAGGATCCCAGGCGATGCCCCAATTGAAGTGTAAACAGCTAAAGAGCTCGAGGCCAACATTGAGCCAGAAGCATGCTGCTCCTATGCCAGTCGCATTGGCATCCCACCGACACTCCTTGATGAGCGCGCGGGCGCCAGCAATGTGATTCATTCGTTGGAGCGCCTTTTCTGACATAACTTCGTACACGTTGAGAATTGTGGCTGTCGTTGCGCATAGTATACTGTCGCGGTCAGGATTCTGCAGCGACTTCAATAGCAGTTGTGTGGCCGAATTGTAGTAGTTCAGGGCATGTTCCTCCGGGTAAGACGTCGGATTAACCAGTGTCAGATGCCGCACGCCACACGCCAGTATAGCGTACTTCAGCATCGGCTCCTGCAGCGCCTGGAACGGGATCAGTCTTGAAAAGTGCTTCTCGGCGTCCATGCTGTCCATCCAAAGCCCAACTTCTTCCACGAACACTTGCATATACAAAACTTCGGTACGATTCTGAAGCGGCGCCGGATACTCGTTGTTAGGTTGCGAGAGGCTCTGTCTTGGATACTGTTGTGGTTGCGACTGAGTCCCATAGACTGACATCTGTTGCATTGCATCTTCGAAGCCAGTTCCAGGTGCTTGGTACATATTTCCTCCGTAAGTTTGATATGAGGATTGGGGCGTAGGGATCTGTTGATGGCCCATGATAGGAGCGTTCAAGAGTCTCATATCAGTACTCTGTACGGTCCGCCTGCGTTTAGGCGTCGGCTCTAAACCTTCATATCTTTCCTCACCACCAACATACTCGGAAGCAATATCGCGCGAGTCGTCCTGAAAGACGACTTTCCAATCGTGAGTCCGAGGCAGGAGGTGCGGAGGTTCCTTCACTGTTGTGTCGTGAAAGTTGAGTCGAATGCCTCGTTTACAAGTCCGGTTGGACTTCTTACAATTCAAACATATAGGCGCCCCTTCATCACACTTCAGATGTCTCTGCCTGCATGTCAGACAGCCTGTGCGCACTCGTCGAGACTTCTGTGATGCAGCAGTAGAGGTCTCAGCCTCTGTCATCGAAACAGGACTGTTCTGCACGTTACCAGAGACAGGTGTCGTCTGCGAAGATGGTTGCTTGCTCATCGGATCAACATCTGGGCGAGGGTACGGGGGAGTTGGGAGTGAGTCGCGTCTATACCGAGAGGCAGAGGACGGAGTCCTTGTCCTCGAGTGCTGTCGCCGGTCTAGCTGGGTCGAAGGCTGAAAATGACTGTAAGCTGTTGATATGCCCTCTTCGAAAGCGAATTGCGATGGCGCTGCGGGAAAGGGGTATTGCGTTGCCTGTATGGAAGCCACTTTGAAGCTGCGCTATGTGCGCGAGCAGCACATACAATAAAGCGATGGGTTGACGTTAGATGAAGTGTTCAGCCGAGCCTCTGAGATGCCGATGGTCCAAGCCGCCGGAAGAGATCGTGAAGTTTGGTAAGTTCCGGACGACGCCAAGACCTCAGGGATGTATTCGTACGTAGTTGGGCTCTAGTGCTTGATGATTGCGATGTGTCTGGCTGTCGAAATTTTGCGTGAAAGCGGGAGTGCGCTGCGGTGCAATATTGTCGTAACAGTCGAGGTCGCGATGTTGCTATTGGCGAAAAAGAAATGTCGAGGGAGATTGGTGATTGGAATGGAAGGTCAAACAGGCATGAATTGGCGGGTGATGAATCTGTTGATGGCAGGTGCTGTCGAGTCTGTGGGGGAAAAGGATAGAGATGTGAAAGCTGAGACGAGGGCCGGATCGACGAGATGTATACTTCTGCGCGGCCGTTTCTTGCGACTCCTCTGTCTTGTCGTGGATACTGGTGAAGATGGAGACGATGTGTATAGGACTAGAGGGAAGTTTTCCAATAATTCCAGAACGCCTATCAGCTAGTCCTTGCCCGTGAAGTTGACAGGCTGCAAGTCAGATCTGCTCTGCAAGATTTGACAGGCGTATGAAATCCAGACGCTCGGAGCTGATCAACAGTATGCTGTGATTCTTTTCGAATTGGTGGACATAGTCGAGACAAAGCCAGGTACATTGGAATCTACAACAGTTGTAGGACCTGACACAATTGCGAGACCCCGGTCATGTTTGAGGTCAGCAGCGACCAGGGATTAAGCGGATGCGAGGTCGATGAACTTTGCTCGCCCAAACTCAGCAGCGATTATGAGGTTCCGGTGCAGGGGTCTGTAGCCTATAAGCATTATTTCTGGGGGCCGCAACGTCCTGCGCATTTCGTCCGCAGCGTCATGCATGCCCCACTGACCTTCGATCTTCATCTTAAAGTCTAGAACAATCAACCCTCCGTTGGTGATTTGTATTTCGTCTCTGCTCACCTGCTCAATCTCGTAGGTCAATTTGCAGCTCACTCGGAAGATGCATCCATGCGATCGCTCGGTTGCAAGGTGACTTGGCATTAAGAGACGACGCATCTGGTAGTATAGATTCTATAGCCTCAGCTTGCCGTCCCAAATTGGGGGCGCACGAGGACCTCTGAGGTCAGAGCTGACGAACCCCCGGCCCAATAAGCGTTCGGCAGCTGAAGTATGAGACATTGGTACTTGAGCATTCTGACTTGTCCAGCTCGAAGATTGCAGAGCAGCCAATGTAAATCACCATACTCTTCCCTGCTACGTGATTGTAGTAGGCACTGATTGACTCGCTCGAGGCAGCAGCTGCGGTGGACTTCGAAAGGGAGAACGCTTCAGAGAAATGAAATCAGATCCCTGTCAACCCGCTGGTTCTGGTGACCAAGAACGCGCATCATTGGAAGGGTCTCGCCTTCGGAATCCCGATCCCAAAGACTCGGACCACCCACGCCGCCACAAATGCAAAAGAGAACTGCGGAGGACACCTTATTGGGCTGTTCATGCAGCTCGCAACTTGCTGTGGCTTCGCACCGTTTGTTGCCCGCCTTGAACTGCTGCATGCAGCCCATGACCTGGCTCTCTTTGGCTTCGAGCCTCACGGCGCCCCCGTATCTCGACGGATGTGGCATCCATCCTTGACTAGAAAGGGAGCTTGGCTCGTTTTCGCTTAAAGATACTCCTCAGCAATAGATGACTATCATGCAGGTCCCCATTAGACACGATGCGTGCACTGGGTCGCAGAAGGAAAACACTGTAGCCGATCATCTAGGTGGTGGAATGCACTGGCAAGCAAAAGCTTTGGGACGGAAGAATCGGAGGGCGATTGGCGTAGAAGAGTGTATGCATCGTGACTTTGTCGCGCGACTCTCTCATCAAGGCGTGCAGTATCTCTCCATTTCATACCTTAGGTACTACTTACTATACAATACCTAGGACAGGAGCCCACCCGGCCAGCAAAATGCAAAAAGCGAGGAACGAGATTGCTCGAAAAGGAGACACCGTGGTTCGAACACGGGACCCTGCGATCTGCAATCGCATGCTCTACCACTGAGCTATATCCTGAAGCGATTGTTAGAATCAAATATTTACCCAGATTATTGTAAGTACATACTCCTTGAATCTGTGTGAGATTTTGACAGCAAAAGTTTGAGAATGTCGTATATGAATGCTTGGGATTGCAGCCAAAAGGATTGCCTCAATTGCAGGTGGCGGAAAAGGCTTGCCCCGCACACAAGCTATGACTCAGGGAGTCTGTCTGCTGAATTGTAGACCTGTGAATTGCCAATGTATACTCTGTCAACCTAGGTACACATTGATTCCAAGGTTGCATTTATTGCGCGTAGCCCTACTTGCAATGGTATCTGAGCATGACCAAAAAGCTCTACCTCTGGTTTTAGTTGCTTCTCAGGCCAGGTTGAACTCATCAGCACCACCGGCACCCAGCATCATGTTTCTCTGCTTCCTAACCACATCGCGCATTTTTCTTGCAGCCTCGTCCTGGTCACCAGTGTCTTCCACATCCACCTTGCCTGCTTCTGCAGCACCTCCAACCGGCCTCCTCCTTTTGCCAACATTTGCCTGGACGCCACCAGTATTCTTGCCTCTCATGCCCTTGACATTCATTCCACCAGGCGCATCTCTCAACCCAAAGCTCTTCGCCGTATGACCCAGATGCAGTTCTTTGATATCGAACCAAACCCTCTCCTTCGCAATATGCGTCGCATAGGCTCGTATGTGGCTCTGGAACGCGCTCTTTGCTGCCTCCAGCCTTTCCCTGTCAGCCATCACCCATCTCTCCACCTCCAGCTGCCAATCAGTCGCTTTCGTCTCCCACTCCTTCCCCGAACTATCCACATTGGGCGAGAACCCTTTCCGGAGGACCTCCTCCGTAGAGCGCGACGTTACTGAACTGCTGGCGGGATTGTCTAGGTCCGGCTTGAACGATGACCGCAAGACATAGACGTAGCCTTCCTCAGAGCCCGGGAGGAGGAAAATGATGGCACGACCGTCCCGACCAACGCGTGCAGTGCGTCCGATCCGGTGGAGATGGTCATCCGATGAAAACGCGGGGTCGTACTCAATGACGAGGTCGAGGTTAGGGAGGTCGAGGCCGCGTGAGGCCACATCGGTTGCTATGAGGAGAGACGGCGTCGTGGCTGCGTGGAACTTGCGAACTATGGCTGTGCGGGTGGGTTGCGGAAGGGAGCCGTGGAGCTTGTAGAGTGTAATGGGCGAAGTTGTAGTGAGATCTGGCGACTGCCGAACTTCGTTGGGTAGGTCTTCTGGTGGTGTGTCTGGGGTGGCAGAAGTCGCGTTGCGTGTGAGTACTGAGAAGTGAAAGTCAACGCTGTCAGCACAGGATATGAAGACGATGGCTTTGTTCACAGAGCCTTTGCGAGCGAAGATTCTTCTGCAAAGCGCAGTGAGCGTGACGAGGCGCTGTTTCGAGGGCACCACAATGTAGGACTGTTTGAGTTGTGCAGGAGCAAGAAAAGCCGTCGAGGCAGACGCTTCGCTGGAAGACGTTGTGACGGCTTCGTCGGACTTGATTAGTGCTGCATCCTTCAAAGTGATCTCGCCGAGTTTCTGAACATTCATTTTCAACGTTGCCGAACAAAGCACAGTTGTTCGCTTTTCCGGCAGTCCCATCTGGCTTCCTTTACGTCGTTTCTGGTCTAGGCTTGTGATGATCTTGCTAATGTCCTGCTCGAAGCCGAGATCCATAAGGCGATCGCCCTCGTCGAGGACGAGCCACCGAACCCATTTGACATCCAGCACCTCGGTGTTGTCAAGGTGATCGACAAGCCGACCGGGCGTGGCGACCAGGATGTTGAGTCCTTTCCGCAGCCGTGCCTTTTCCGACTTCTTGCGCTCACCACCCGTCACCGTTCCTGCCACGATATGATGCGCGCAAGCTAGAAGCCGTTCCAGGACTACAGAGATTTGCTTGCATAGTTCTCTCGTAGGAGCCATAATGATGGCGAACAATCCAGAATCACGATGTATACCTGTCTCACTTCCCTCCGGCTTCATGTTCATGATCTTCTGAACGATTGGTAGCAGATACGCCAGGGTCTTGCCTGATCCTGTCTCGGACTGAATGAATGCATCAGAGTCTTCTTTCAGCATCTGCGCCACTGCCGCCTTCTGTATGGCTGTGGGATTCTTCAACTCCATCTTCGTGAGTAGATGGGCTGCGATCGTGGGGGAGAGCCCCAGCGAGGTGAAAGTGTCGAGGCCATCTATAAGAGGTGCGTTTGATGGCTGTGCCGGTGTTGCATCTGCCTCAAGCTCTGTTTCTGCTGACTTCGAGACCGGGTTAGAGGTGAAAAGCGAGGACACGAAGCCATCTGGGTTGATACGAATCGCTGAATGTGGCTTCTTCTCGAATGCTTTTGCTGATGCTGTCGTCGTCGCATGCTGAGACTTCGAGTCGTCGTTACGTCTTCGCTTGGGAGGCCGTTCATCAGGGAAGTCTTCGGCGTTCGGACCAGTTCTGGGCGTTCCATCTGTAGGCTTCGATTGCTGCCCGTCTCTTCGCATGGCATTGAAACGTGCCGCTTTTTTGGCGCGCACCCGGTCCTTCCACGAGCCTCCTCTGAACTTCTGTGCCACAGGCCCAGCAGTCGGACCTGCCGCAAAGTTCAAGAGCATGCCATCCGCCATGACTGCGGCTTCAGACGCGAGAACTGCAAGGTGGAATCGAATGTGAACACTTCGACTTTTTTGAGAAGCGCTGGAAGGAACTACTCCGATTGGCCACAAGAACTCCATCAAAACAGGTACCTCCAACTGCACACAGTGCTCTGTGAGGATGAGAAGCTCGCATGAACTTATGGGAATGGGACTTTTCTATATGAGTCGAAACAGTACAGTGCGCAGGAAGATGCGTCAACCGTCTTCCTGCCATCCATCAGAGACGCCGCCCAGCGTCTGCCACGGACCCGAGTCGAGAGTATGGCCCTCAGAAACCAATTCATGAGAGCCTACCCACTACGCTCATACTCATCTTCCTGCCGACGTCAACGCCATGTCCCCTTCACAATCTTCCGAGACGTTGCTGGCTTGCGCGAAGTCCGTCGACCGATGTTCCAGCCACCGAATAAAGTCGGCTTCGTACCGACTATGGGCGCTCTCCACGAGGGGCATCTATCGCTCGTCCGTCATGCATTGAACGAGAACAACCACGTCTTCGTATCCATATTTGTGAACCCGACACAATTCGGCGTCAACGAAGACTTGGACTCATATCCCAAGACGTGGGCCAGTGATCTTGAGAAGCTCAAAACATTGCAGGACGAGCATTTGCAGTCCAACACTGGAGGCAGAGACAGCCGCATTCAAGGCATATTTGCTCCTTCTGTAAAGACAATGTACCCAGTGCTGCCACCGAGCTCCGAGATCGACGGCGACGGATCATTCGTGACTATTACGCCTCTGTCAAATTGGCTGGAAGGTGCTTCGAGGCCGGTCTTCTTTCGTGGAGTTGCAACTGTCTGCATGAAGCTCTTCAACATTGTTCAGCCAGATCGAGTTTATTTTGGGCAAAAAGACGTCCAGCAGTCTGTTCTAATCCGACGTATGGTCAAAGACTTCCATATTCCTACCCAAGTTCGTGTTATTGAGACGAGCAGGGAGTCTGATGGGTTGGCAATGAGCAGTCGCAACGTCTATCTTGGAGAAAGAAGACGCGCGGACGTGGCAATACTTTCGAAGGCGTTGTTTGCGGCTCGAAGTACGTATGATTCTGGTGAAACATCGGCTCAAGCGATTCGTCAAGCAGCCTGGCGAGTGTTTGACGAGCTGAGACATGCTGGTCAATGGCAAGCCAACAGTTGCAAATTGGAGGTCGACTACATCGCCCTGAGCGGACCGGACGACATGGCGACGTTTGACGACGCGGCACATGTTGACCCAAAGGAGGGTGCCATTCTGAGCGCGGCAATGAAAGTGTTCCCAGTCGATCATCCCGCCAATGATGAAGAGCGTGGCCAGATTAGTGTTCGACTGATTGACAATGTGTTGTTGTCTGCAAAATGAGCGTTAATAGATATCCCAGAGAGAAATCTTGCCATCCTTTCCTCCAGCTGTGAGCCAGTGAGTCGTCTGTGCTTTAATGCTGCGCTCGTGTCGGATCACGTCCAATGCTGTTTCATCCGCCGGTGCTTGCCGGTCAGTGAGCTGCGACTGAACGGCCAAATCTGCGAAGGCTGTGGAGAAGCAGCCAGCCGCATGCCACTTGAGCACTGCAAGTTCTTTCATCGTCTTCGTGGAATAGACTCGAAGTCGGCTGTCCCACCCTGCCGTTGCGAAGAGCTTGCCATCAGACCGAATGCTCAGGCCCTGTTGCCCAGAATGCTTGGTGTCTATGGATCGCTGACGCTTCGAGGAAATGTTGCCAGAGTCCGCATTCATGGAGAACTGGACGATTTGTGCGTCCGCGGAGGTGGTAAAGAAGCTCTTCGTATCTGGCGAGACAACCAGTGACAGGACGGGTTGACTGTGCGCTTTGATAAGGCTTAAGCGCTGGTACTGGAGCTCGGTCTCGCTGCGGCCTATCTTGTAGATACCGACTCGACCATCCTCGTAGCCCGCCAAAAGAACCAATGAACCAGTAGTCTCGCTGCCGATCAGTGCCAGTGACATTACCATTCCTGTATTGACTGTATCCTCCGAGCGTATCTGGAGGACACGTCTTTGGCACGGGAGTGAGAAGATATCGACGCCCCCATTGTCAAGACCATTCGGATTAGCGATCAACAGCTGATCCTGTGAAGAAGGGCCAGAGGCAGCAGCAAATGAGCAGAAGTTCAGAGCACTCATGTCCATCACATGCGTGATCCATGGTTGACGTTCTTCGCTACTGGCGCTTGCTGCGGGCAGTGTCTTGCTCAGTGTCGCCAGGTCTTTTGGCAGCTGCCAGACTACGAGCTTGTGATCTCTGCCATGAGTGATGAGCTGCTCTGTGGCCCACGCAAAGATTGTGCTCACTCCACCGACATGCGCCTTCCATACAGCAGCCGCTCGCTTACTTGCAAGACTCCAAAGAATGAGCCATCCATCATTGTCTCCAGAGGCCAGATACGCGTTTTCTGCCAAGAAAGTCAGGCTGTTGACGGAAGACTCGTGACCGCGAAGGACGAAAGTCGGTACGGCAGGCTCGAGTGCGGACATGTCTCATATCTTGAGGGTTGGCTTTAACGGGATTGATGCGGTCATTCGGAGCCTTCGTGACTTACAGTCAGTTGCGAAGAAGACCTTCAGATGTCGTCAATTGCACCGGGTCCACGTATTCAGGTGCCTTAGCCGTTAGCAATCACCATCCTGTGCTTTCGATATCCTTCAGGAGCTCAGCATTGCTTCTACGTCCACGACCCAGTCGTCAAAAGGCAAAAAAGCATCGAAAGTGCCCACGATCGGAATCGAACCGATGATCTTCTCATGTCATATGCGGTGTTACGAGTGAGACGCTGTACCCTGGTGTTACTGTTAGATGCAGGCCATTTTTTGGGCCGTGGGAAGACGAACACTAAGCCACGCGGGCGACCTCAAATCTGTGCGTCAGAAAAGCACGATTTAGCGCAGAATTGTCGGACTCATTATATATGAAGACTCAGAGTTTGATCGACCATCCTCGCTCCTACACATGTGCAGCTGAGGTTGTGGGGCTTGTGGGGGTCGTCATACCTCCACTACCATTGGGGCCCTGTCTCTCCCTACAAAGCTTAGGCACACTGGGTAAACAGGCACCTAAGAACGGGGTTGAGATCGAGGTCAGTTTTCGAGTGACGGAACGATAGCTCTCCTGATGTTCATGCCTGAAACCCTTCAGACCTCGTCAGGGCGATGTATCAAAGAGCGTCCCAGGATAGCGCCAGCCATCCTCCTCAGGGCGGTCAAGACCATGCGCCCGTACAGCACTTGCCACCGCGCTTAAAGCATGTCTCGTAGCAGGTCTGCGCCAACCGTGCTCAATTCCTGCAGCGCACCTTGTGGGCTGTGTTGCCTCCGACCGCAGGCAGCAGCGGGTGATCGGCTTCTCCCTTAATGAGCAGACCGGCTTGATGGGGCGCCCCGGTACGATTGCTTGATTCGATATCGTGCAAACGTACGCCACCAGCTCTCTGCAATCGGGCCACATATTGTCTTCAGAGCGCTTGGAATGGTATCTGATGTAAGGCGGGAGGTCCCAACTGTGTCAAGCGGAACGAGTTTTCTGGCGAGGTGCTCTCAGTCATCCTCCTTCCTCAAGATCTCACATGGTCACGTACGAGCACACGGTACCGTTTCTGCCCCGTCGATTGACACTACCCATGATTCGGCAGCTTATGCTACTACCTCACGATGTCGCAGCTTCCGGCAGGTCCACCCTGCCGTACCCATTGGCGGATCACCCGTGGCTAAGACCGATGGTAGCGACGGGAGCACGTCATCTGATGGTTTAGATCTTTACGGCGCCGATTGAAGTGTACGGAGATCATAAGCTTATCCAGGCGTATCTCGAGTGAGGGCTGAAGAAGTGTCATTGCCTGTGGCTCATGTTGTGCAGAGGACCGTGTTCCAATACCACTGGGAGACGCCTAGAACCGAGTCGTTGGTTCACACATAGGTCATGCCGACCCTCAAGCAGAAGCATTGGAGAGTATTTCAGTGGCCTGACATCAGTCTTGCTCAGGTCTGCGCCTCCACTACAAGTATTCCACTTGCGGTCTGTTGTAGCTAACATATGCTCGAAAGCAAGAGCGAACAGGGACAGGTGCACCGGACATGGCACGCCTGGCAGCAGGAGAATGAGATCGTTCAGTACTTTGTTATATTCATGGTCTCGGTAGTTCAGATGGCTTCCGGTCGCTTTCTGGACGAAGAGCTTGCTCCAACATTTCTGCTACTAAATTACTACCCTCACAATATACGCGTTGACATTCATGGGCAGAACGCCAAGTTCATCACCGGTGTCTTAGACTGGAACCAGGGATTGGTCTCGCAACTGGCGTTGTGCGTATGCTGCATCGATCTGGACCTGGTCGGTACACTATTTGAAGAGGGTGGGGGACTCGACTTCACCGCATGCCATTCCCATGATCGTGGCAACAAGACCTGAAGACGAGTCCTCGTGTGTGGTCACGGCGTTGTTCGATGCCATGGTAAGGATTCAAATGCTCTTGTGCCTGGCGCTGAGCATGGACACACGCGGTGGCTAAGGGCCTGCAGGTCAACGCGCAGACAGTGGATCTATGATGAGCTCGAGAACGCATGTCTCAAGCGACGTTCGTCTACAAAGGACGTTGCTGTGAACAGCACCGAGATCAATCGTTCTGGGTATGATAAGAGCACTTTGGTCAAAGAATGAGAGCAGACTCGACAGTGCTCCTCCGGTGGCACCTGCAGCACCTTGCCATCTGGGGTCCAGAGAAGCTTGACTGCGGCACTTGAAAAGCTGTAATTGCGTCCCGCCCGAGAAGACGACACCTGATCAAGAGTCCAGCTTTTCCGATACTCGGAGGACCAGTATACCCGGGTTGACCTTACTGACAACACTCTGTTCCGACACACTTGCCTCATGAGTATACAATTGGATTGGCGAAGGGTTGTTGCGATCGTGATTTGCTACGGCTCTGACCACATCGTAAGTCTTCGGTCGCATGAATCGCCATCTGGTGAGCCGTTCTTGCAGTGTCTGCTTGGAGCTCGTGGCCCTTGGCTTATCGAACATTTATGCTCGCAAGAACGGACGATGAATGAAGCTAAGGTTGCAAGCAAATGCGAATTTTCAGGCAACCAGTGGATGCCGTAAGCAACCCGAGGGGGCCCCTATATATGAATCTACATGTCCCTCCAGGCAGGAACATCTTTCTCCCCATCTTTCGATTGATATCGAGTGCTATCATCCTGTGAAGGCAGCCCTTGATACCAAGGCATCCAGTACCCTAGCAGACTTGCCTCAATTTGCCCGACCAACCCAACATTCCAGATCCCACCCCAAACAGATACTCCTCTAGCTCAAAATGGCACTCCCACGCTGGCCCTACCTCTTCTCCTACTTCATCGCAACCTGGCTCGTCGGCGTCTGGGCCGTCTGCCAAACCTCCTACGCCCGCACCCTCTGCGAACAAGTCGGCTTTCCGATTCCCGCCAACGAGCACCCGAGTCCCTACTTCTACCTCTTCGCCAACAAGGAAGGCGTCATGGGTCTGGTTTTCCTGGCGCTGCAGTTCTTTGGGGAGTGGAAGGCGGTGGGGATCATGATGGCAGTCATGTGTGTCAACGGAACGGGGGATGCGTATCTGAGCACGAGTGTGGGAACGATGGATTGGGTGGAGGCTCTTAAGGCGCACATGGGGGTGACGATTGTGGCGGGATGGGCTGCTTGGAGGATTCTGGAGGAAAATTGGTAGGGGTGTGGTGAATGCTTTGGGGGAGACTTGCAGTGGGGTTGGCTGCCAGGCATATATATGCCACACTGGAAAGGAGAGGGGTTGCTGTGGTTGGTCAAATTGGGCAGCAGAATGTGGATCACATGCGAACAGATGCAACTGGAGTCGCTTGGAAGGACTTGCTCAGTAAGTAAAGTGTACATGGCTTCAGAATTGAACGTGATTGTTTCAATGACGATCAGTCATCCGGCGTTCAGGGCGCTTTGTCATCCGGTCCGAAACCAGGCTCTTTTACCCCCGGCGTCATTTAATCCGTATTGTCCGAGTCATCCGGCGTCGTCTTTAACTTCTCGAGCCGGGCTCTTTTATCGGTCGTCGCTGTCCCATGCAAACAGCATACACCACCATCAAACTGAAGCACCCGCAGATGGTCACCTGCCGTGCTAGAGGCCTATCACAGGGTGTCGTAGTTGACACAGCACTGTTGGTAGAATAATTATATGCCACTGACGTCCGTCAACGCTACTCACCTGTCATGAAGCGCCGACTTGCCCTTTCGTTTCCTGCTTCACAAGGTATCGCCGCCACATCTAGTAACACATGGCCTTGGTGCAGCGAATCCAGGCCGACAATCTCCTACGCTAGCATAAGCAGCACCCTCTGATCATTCCCTCAAAACAACCTCGCCGCCAATACCGACGGTGCCTGGACCAAGATGTCGATCGCCTGCTTCCGCCAGTAGCCCTATCTGCGCCAAGTGGGAAGGCCGAAAGTGTGCCTGGCGGATCTGGCCCGGCCCTGGCTACTAGTGCGTGCCGAGAGCGGAACCATATCTGCCAAGTCCCGAATGCTGGCCGAGGGGCGTGCCTTTGAGTTTTTGCGTGAGAGGTGTGGCTTGGACCTGGTGGATGAGGCTCGAGGAGTGGGCGTTGTCGAGCTTCGGGAATCGGATTTGCTGAAGATCTTTGTCTTCCGTGGCATACCGAGTCGACCGAACTTGAAGTCTGGAGATGTCTGGCGCCGATCATTTGATAAGAAAGCATAAGGGGCTGTTAAGAGAGGGTTCGCTAGCTCGGACTCCAAGCTTTATGAGCTCTGAGTGCCACTGGCGACGAGACAGCTGCTTGCTGGGCGTGGGACGGGCGACTCCTGGACGACTTGTCGACTTGGTGGAATAATGTGACTGCTTGATGGCCGTGCTAATGGAGCAAGGTTCGATACGCCGAGATGCTACGACAGATGCTGAGCTCCGAGTCGTGTGCCTTAGACTGTCTGGCCGGGACGTACTTGACAAGCATCGGAGCGTAGAATCGAATGCTCCCAGAAGCAGGAGGCAGAAATGTACTCCCCAGGGACTCGCTTCTTGTTGATGCCGACCGCTCAGTGTCAGAGCTGGATCATGGCTTCTGTGGTAAATGTTTCATAGTCATTGTATTCTGTACAGACCGACTGGTGACGATGTGCCTATTGTACATGTACGTCCTTACAAGGTCTCCTGGGGTATCATCGCGTAGTACTCATCGGACTTCTCGCCCGCTCACTCTTGTCCTCCATCTCGCCCATCTCGATCACGCTGAAGTCCGAGCTGGCATACTGTCCGGGCATGGGATGTGTTGATATATCGACCGTGGTCTTCGTAGAGATCACACCCTCGGTATTGCCAGCGAAGTGGTCTTCATCTGAGTGCCGTCTCGACGATGGAGTCGTGCGGCCACGGCCGAGGAAATCGACCCGTCGTGTGCGGGCATGGGTCAGGGGTCCTTCGATGGTGGTGGTCGTGCCCCAGAACATGCCTTCACCGCCGTGCTTCCAACCCAGAGTATCGAAGCCGAAGTCGTTCTTTGGTGGAGGAGCGCGAGAGAAGATCTGGAGTAGGGCGTCAGTGTTGGAGACACACGGGAACGTTATAGACTTACCAGCACTCGGCGTGTCATTACGTAGAGCATGACGTCCAGCCAGCCGTTCGAGGTGATTGCTGCGCCAGCGACGCAGAACCACCAGTATGGAATGACCATTCCGGTCATAGCAGCCATACGACCCGCAGCGAGGGGAAGTGTACAGCAGACATAGACGACGGGAAAGATGATCATGTATTTCGATGCTCGTTTGAGAGTAGCCGGATCTGAAGTTGTTGATCGTGTTGTGATGGTGTCAAAGTTGGCTGCCCTTCGGTAGATCCAGAAGTAGCTTTCTCGGTCAATACAAGTACACGCAAATGGAAAAGGGACAAGCATACATCAAGGCATACACAACAATTGTGCCGAACATGCAGACGAAGATCCAGAAGTAATGAAGCCATAGACGTGTAGACTCATACCTTCGGTTGACCCAGCACTGTCTCGTCAGCGACGGTGAACACGACAAGTGCGGTGACTTACCCATGCCCCTGCTCGTACAAATATATCGTCGTGAAGCACGACCGTGATGATGCCAAGTAGATATACAAAAATCCATGCGCCTGTAATCCAGGCGTAGAAGATCTTGTTGCTGATACTTCGGCCTTTGACGACAGCGAACCACGTGTGTAATGCGATAGAGAGGATGAAGACACCGGAAGCCAGATCACCTGTCGAAACGAACCAGCCTGGAGATTGTCAGCTTGCTTCATGCCAGCTTACGACCAGCATACCGTTCGCCCAACATGTTGTCGTCCCGACTTCGATCTTTCCTTTCGCTACTGATACAGCGGCCAGACTGAACGCCATTGCCTGTTGGATGTCGGCAAGCAGGAGATTGTAGATGAGAAGCAGGAATTGATTGGCGCCATTGGCGAGTTGCCCTTTGTAGTACCACCGACATAGCTTATATGATAGGAAGATGAACAATCCTGTTGATGATACTAATGAGAGGATGCCGAAGAATGCGACCGCTACGAGTCCTCTCTGTAGGACTGCTGGCAAAGGATCGAGAGCATCCGGCCTGCTGACCTCCGGGAGCGCTGAGAAGTCGCTCATGGTTCGTTGAAGGGTCAACGCTCGGACAGATGGTTGAGAAGCCTCATTGCCTGAGATCGTATTGGGTTTTGAGGTAGAGTCAATGCCACGAGGGACACTTCAGCCAGGGCCAGCCCAGAAATACTTTCCGCCCCGACGAGTGGGACAGGGAAGTTGCAGATCAAAGAGTCACCTTTACCCTGCTAGCACGAAGAGTCTTCTTCTGTCCACCACGGACTGGGCGTTTCATGCGGGTCATGCTGTCAGGGGCACGCTGTGGTTAGCACGTGTGTTTTAGTTGCGTTTTTGACACGTTGTTGTACCAATCGTATACGAAGCCGATTCCTGCGCTGCGACTAGCCGCCGGAGCAAGTACTAGTTGCATTGGCTGGTCGTACCTGGCAGATTCTCCACACCGATTGAAGATGGGTTAGCGATACTCCCGTTTCCGATTAGGTGTTGGCATTGCACGATTGATGTGGACTCTGTCCCATCGACACCTCTGCAGGTGCTGACGCAACGTAATAATGCTTTGGGTTGGATTGTCTGTCAGGATGAGTCTCAGGGGACACGTGCTGTTTCCTTGTCCATGAAAAGTCGTGTAAGCGAGATATGTCCAGATCTTCTTGAGACATGACGGCAGTCCACATATTCACACGCGGGAGCACAGCAGATGTAGGGGCAGGGTTATTGCCACGTTTTGCAAAAGGAGGGAAATGGCCACACCGTCGCAACATTCGCCATTTGGCTTGTGTAATGATACAGCTCTTGGCCGCATGGAATGATCAGGCGGTGGGGTAGCCTTTTGTTCTGGACTGCATGTTCCTAGCGAATCGCCTTTGTTCGAGGCGAAAACCTGGTCGCTGGCGAGGACTCGGGGAAGCGAAGCAACGCCGGGAGATTAGGCAACTAGGCTCTTTTGAGTTTAAGGATGTTGCCGCTGTTCCATCCACGCCAAAGTCAATTCATCAATGATACGAGGTCTACCGGACACATCCATGTCGGTCGCAGTTGCGCTGCGCAAGCCTCACGACGACGGTGGATCGTCTTGCTCTTGACAGATAACGAGAATGCAGGAACATCGAAACCTGTGACTTCGGGAAGGCCGGTTAGGTGAGTATTGCTCTTCTTTGGTGAAGAGGGTCAGTACTCGACTGCGGTGCATGCCGAGATTTCGACGAGATCTGAGCGCCCGGGCCCATCATAGTTCGGCAGGTGCTGGCTGCGTTGCCATCATGTGAACGCATATTCGAAGCTACTGCCGCCACAACGACGCAATGAGATGTCTGTAAGCTTTGTTTATCAGGCTTACGATTAGCTCGCAAGCTATGGCGGCAGATTTAGTTGCAGTTGTACTCAGATCAAGTGCCGTGGTCCATGGGTCTTCGGATTGTACATTAGTGCCGACCGTAAGCATGAAACTTGTGGCCTGTCTGGGAATGCTCGCTTGTATAGTGGTTTTGTAGATACGATCAAGGTCAAGCACTGGCATAGTCTTGGTGGTGGTTCCACCGAGACCTGGTCTGAGGATGTGGCTTCCGTAAATTCCACGTGGGAAGTGGTAAGTGTCAGTGTCTTCAAGGGACAGACGGGGAAATTCGCTGGGAAGGGACGAGGCGCGACGACTCAAGCCAACCAATGAGACGCTACTAGTCAGCAGTCCTGCGCAAATGTACAAGAGCGGCATCCGAACGATGACAGCAGACCTGGCCGGTTATTGTATTTGCCTTCTCCGACTTCCTGCGACTTATGATCGAGTGCGGGAAGCGTTGTAGCATTTGAATTTGTCATCCGGCTTGACATAGACACCAGAGGCACTAGTCTGCTTTGGGACTAATCAAATCGATGCGGAGAACTTGACCAGAAAGTTGTCTGGCCGCAATTCGAGATGCGCAACCCACTGCTTCTGCCAGAGCCAAGTTTGGCCACGTCAAGTCACTTTATCATCGTCGCATTGATCCTCTAGAATGCTGCTCGAAGACCAACGTGTCCTCCACGAGGATCTCGAGCGTCTTGAGCAAGCCGTGACCGAACGAGTAGCAGAAGATCCCAGGAACATCAAAGATAGGTTAAACCGGGACCACCAAATCGATGGCTTCCTTGTTCGCATACAGGAACAGTCGAAGCGGCTACTTGACATCTATCGTGATGCGGAGGGACTGAGAGCCAAGGAGGTACAGATTCTTTCAACAGGCGACCCATTCGATGAGTTCTACAAAGAGTTTGAACAGGTCAGAGAACACCACAGACAATACCCGAACGAGCCAGTCGAGAATCTGGAGCGAGCGTACAAGCGGCGGCGGCCCGACGAAGGCGAACCGATTGTGTCCGAGATCGACAACATGTTCACTGGCGAAGAGGGAAATGGCCGTTTTCTCGACTTGACCACTCTCCACGAAGACTATCTTAATCTTCCAGGCGTCAAGCGTCTTACATACCTGCAGTACCTCGACAATTTCGACGCTTTCGAACCGCCGCGGTTGCCGATCAAGAGACAGAACAAAGTCACCGACACCTACCTGAAATACGTGACTGACCTCGATGCTTACCTCGAGACTTTCGTGCGCCGAACACGACCCCTCGATGACCTTCAGGCCCTCTTCCTCCGACTGTCGCGCGAGTTCGAAACGGCGTGGGACAAGCATGAAGTTCCCGGCTGGCCCAAGGAAGAATCAGCACAATCCACGGCCGCTAATGGGCCACAAACCGAAGGTACCGGCACTGGAATCTGGTGCACAGCCTGCGAGAAAGACTTTGCAAATCCGAATGTCTACAAAGCCCACTTGACCGGCAAAAAGCACATTCGAAACGCCGAAGCCAAACAATCCACCACATCAAACGGCGTCGATCCCGTCCTCCCCTCCACCACCAACCTCAAACAACGCATCATCGCTTCCCACGAGCACCGCATCCGCGCACTCGCTGACCTCCTCTCTACCGAGCGCAGCAATACCCGTGTCAACGTTGAGCGCAAGCAAGGCATGACGGAGCGAGAACGACAGGTCGAGCTTGACGCTCTCTTCGCTGAAGATGACGCCGCCATCTACGAATCCTACAATCGCGATCTCAACGGCGCCAATGGCGACAGAGGCTCCGACGCCGGCGATGGCAACGACTCCGATGGCGAGCGCATCTACAACCCGCTTAAGTTGCCTCTCGCATGGGACGGCAAACCTATACCTTACTGGCTGTACAAGCTGCACGGCTTAGGCGTCGAGTTCACATGCGAGATATGCGGGAATTTCGTGTATATGGGCAGGCGGGCGTTTGACAAGCATTTCTCGGAGACACGGCATACCTATAGACTGAAATGTCTGGGGATCACGAACACGAGCGGAAGTGGCGGGGTGAATCTGTTCCGGGAAATCACAATGATCGCGGATGCAGTGGCGTTGTGGGAGAAGCTGAAGCGGGAGCGTAGGGAGAAGGAGAGTCGTGAAGGTGAGGTCGTGCAGATGGAGGACGGGGAGGGCAATGTCATGCCTGAGCGGATCTATCTGGATCTGCAGAAGCAGGGCATCCTGTAGGGTGTTCTTGTGAGAGGCATTTGCGCGGTAAAGGATGCATGGCTGGCGCTCAAAAACTGAATGGACGGAAGCAAGATGTTTGTAATCAAGAGATGACCGGATGGAAGGTCCGATACCCAGAAGATGCTACATTTGCGCTAGAAGGCAACACAACAACAGAGAACACTTGCACAAGTACAACTTCGAAGACATACAATCGCTCGTCTTCTTCTTCTTCGTCATCATCATCACTCGACCCTTGACTCGGCAGACACCCGCTTGCTGCTCGACTTCTGCCGCTTCTCAGGAGCAGCAACAGCAGCGCCAGCATCACCATCCGCACCTGCCACCACAGCGGCCTCTTGCGCGGCTTCGACCTGCACCGCAGCCCTCACCTTACTCAGTAACTCTGCGCCCTTTGCATTTTCCCCGATCGCAACCTCACAAGCCTCATCAAACACCGCCTCATTCCCACTGTAGAACCCACACAGCATTAACTTCCCCAAACTTCCCGCCGCCGTGCTCTGCACCTCGCCATACTCGCTGCGTAAGCCTTTTACGAATGGTGCCAGATCCAGCGCTGCATCTTCGCTCGCACTACTGCGACCACGACTCAGCAATACATCACATAATATCTTCACACACATAACCTGCAAACCCTCGTTGCCTCTTGCGAGACAGTGCACAAATAATGGCGCGTTCTCTTCTGCCAATTTGGGTTCGAGCATGCAGCACAGACCCAAACACAGCACGCCGCGCTCGCGCACGGGGATCTCGTAGCTGCGGACAGCGGGGATGACGAGGTTGTTAAGGAGGGATTCTAGGTGGATGTTGGACTGGAGGTTGCCCGTGACGTTTTGCAGCATGGACTGCGCGATGTGGAGGCATTTCAGGTTGATGACTATCTCCTTTAGAGCTTTGGCTTCCTCTTCTTCCGTCGTGGGCTTGGGTTTGCCGGAGGAGGCTTTGCGTTGTTTGGGCACGTTTGCGGCGTTAGGATTGGTCCTTGTAGGTGTCGTGTCCGAGGCGGGCTCGGAGGAGACTTCTGAGCGGGCGCTGACGAAGGAGTCCTCTTCGTTGTCGGGCACTTCGGGCTCGGAGGGAGTGATGGTGTCGTGGACTTCGGCGATAGCTTCGAGGATGACGGCGGTGAACTCGCGCTCGCCGGCTGCGTCAGCGTTGCAGACCAAGCGGAGGGCTTCGACTGCGAGGCGGGTGGATTCTTCGGGCAGTTCGGCGACGGAGATGGCGTCACGGAGGAGGGAGAACATCTTTCGGCGGCCGATCTCGTCGGTGTAGTCGAGGTGGTGGGCGATGTGGAGTAGTTGTTCGACGATGAATTCTTGGTCGACTTGGTCATCGTCGGGTCGGGTGCCGTCGTTGATGGCACGGATTGTGTCGAGGAGGTTGTTCAGATTCTTTTGCAGGTAGAAGCCTATCCTCGTGACCTCTGGCATTTTGTCTTCGAGTTTTGCTTGGGTTGCTGGGTCTTGCTGGCAGCATTCGATGAAGGTACGCGCCATAAAGGCCGATTCCGCAGTCAAGTTATCCCAGAAGTCGTCTTCGAAATTAACGGCGTCGACATAGTCGGGTCTACTGGCCCAGAATTCCCTCATTGCGTCAAGCCCAACGCCATGTTCTGCTCCGGAATTCATGATGTCGATTCGTTCTAGCAGTTCAAGCAGCGCTGGTATGCTGGCTTCGGCTATGGGCTTCTCTGGCTGCTCTGATTGTTGTTCGCCATCAAGTTGTGTCTCATTGGCGTGATCTTTAGTATTGGCACAGTCCTCTATCCATCGTTCGCTGAATAGGCGCGCTGTGGCTTGTCTGACCTTCTCATCACGGTCTCGCAGACCCCATCGCAGTAGTTTTTCGCGCATTGAGAGGGACAGATGTCTGAAGTCGCCCAACTTTGGCAGCAGGCGCGAATACAATGCTCTTCTTGTCGGCGCATCTCGGTCGCGAGCGCGCTCGAGCAGGTAAGGCAAGGTTGTTGGCGTGATCGGCAGATTTAATAACAGCGCTCTTCGCACATCAGCATTCGAGTCGTTCTGTAGCACGTCCAGCAGCTTTTCTAGAAGGCCTGCCTCATAATCGGAATCCGAATCTGAGTCCTTCTCATCCGGATTATCGTCCATTTCACTTTCTACCAAGCGACCAAGCGCTGTGACCGCTTCCAGTCGAATCGCAGGCACCTTGTCGTGGAGTCTGCGTATGAGCTCATTTCGGATGGCGCCATAGAGCTCATCGTCGATGGCGCTGAGCACACCCAGGATCTGCGACACGATTTGGGTTGCGCGATATCGCGCGGTTTTGTCCTTGGCACTGAGGTACGGTAGCAATGCAAGCAAGATGGCGGACGTGGTGGGACTTGACGCGTCTGCGTCTTGCATGTACAGTGTCAAGAACTTGACAAGTCTGTTGCCTGCCGCCTCTGCTTTGGCGACTTCCAGCAGGCGGAATATGCATTGTTTGATATCCTCATCGAATTCGGGGATGCCTTCGAGGCGCTTGAGTCGCTTGATGAGGGATTTGTGACCGACGCTGGATCGTTGCACGTCGTCAAAGATCTGTCCGATTGACATGATGGCTGGCGTTGTAATCGCAGTTCGCTGTCGTCGTTGCGTGGGTGGACGTCATGCGACTGCGCCGGCGGTTTGTTGATGTACCTGAAATGGGCGTAAACATACGGCACACTACGTGACTCAGACGCGCATCCAGGCTAAACTGTTCTTGGTCGGAAGTGTGCCTTCCATACCATCCAGGGGCGTCGGCCAGGCGCAACCAACGTACATCAGATGATCGCTTCTCTTTTATCGACTGCTCATCAACTTCACACCAAGATGATCCTCGAACAATTCAAGGCGGGGGCCGTCACTACGCTGTCGCAACGAACAGCACTCTCGTAATAGAGATGGGCATGTGGACCCTGGCCTGAGCATACACTACCAGCTTATGCTGTGAGATGCGACTTCTGGTGTCAGAACTCAATGTTCGCCTCAAGCTTGTCCATCGGAGCACTGTTGAACGATCTTGAAGTCCGGACTTGAAAGTACGGATAAATCCTATCAATAAGAAGTTGTAAGTACAACCTGTTGGGAGCCCGCCCCTGCCCTTCACTTCACAGCCGTCCGAAAGCGAGGCAGAGAGAAGGCCATGAGAAAAGCAGTCACCTCGCCATGTTCCTTATGACCCGATCGACGACGCCGTTGCTCTCGCCCTGAACGCCATGCAATAATTCAGACTTCCACCCAACCCTACACGAACATTGTCAACCTTGAAAGCAGGCTTGCGACCTTTCAAGATCTGATCATCTGCCTGGTTGCATCTCTCTGCCGGCGATCAGCCGCGGTCCAGCACTCATTGTATACGAATCGTTTCTCGACCCGATCGGATGCCGCAGCTGGGCGAGAAGGGCAGCCTGAGTCAGTCTCGACGGAGATCTCGATGGTGGTGTAGGAGCCTGTGGCGCATTCACGATCCCACCACCTGGAATGAACATCGGATTCGGCCTCAGTTGAGCTCTTTTAAGCTGGTGCTCGCTTATCAGTCGACGAGCATACATCCATCTCATCAGAGCAAAGTCTGGACGCACGACCGCAAGCTGTTCTCCCTGTCGGTAATGCTCATAAGTCATGTGTGACAACATCTCATTCCATGCCTTTGCGCTATCGTCAGAGTCTGTTTGGACGAACTTCTCGTCGCATAAAAAGCATGATGCCGATGTCGGAAGTTTCGAGCCCCGAAAGTGTGAGAAGACGTGCTCTTTGAAAGAGACGACATCGTGGAAAGCGATCTCGCAATCGAGGATCTGGAATGGACATAACAACGTAGCGTCCGGGTGATATCGATCCGGACGTGTCAAAACTCCATCGATATCGCGGAGCAGAAATCCCTGTCCCATTATGCCACTGGCTTCGTCCGTTTCTGGGGCGCTGTCGGACGACGAGATCGTTGAGTTGCCCCGAGTCAAAGGAGGGACTCCGGCGGTAGATGCCATGGACGACTCATCTTCTGACCAGACGGAGGAAGTGGTTGATGAGTGCAAAGATACATGAGGAGAATACACGGCGAACATAATCCACTGGTGGACTGCAACGTGGATGCTGATACTGTAACAGCACCAGAACACAGCACCACAGGCGCACACCCTCCAACTACGCTTCAACAAGTCAGCATCGTTGGGCCGCAATCGAGGCAGTTCATGGACTTATCATACCACGACTCACGGGCAGACCTGTCACCAATCTCCAGTCGGAGACATCCACCAAAGGCGAATTTGACACACCCCGCACTCGCGATTTCTCAGCGTCTTGGCCAACAGATATTCCACAACGATCGGTGTGGTTATAATGACTTTGTCCGCATGCTTCACCGGCCGGACCAGACAACAACGAACAATCAATGCGCTTGCAAGTTCCATCAACTGCAGCCCAATTGTAAACGCAGGCGGACCTGCCGGCAGTCGCACAGCCAAAAGCGAAGCCTCAGTGGCACCAGACAATGGGACGATAATTGACGCGCAGAAGCGATTGCAGTCCGCCACTTCTACTGGATGCGGCTGGTCTATCCTGTGAAGTGTTGCCAACAAAGCGGTCAATTTTGGGACTGCAGAATTCTGCAATGGGCTTATTGGCCACAAAAGACTAGTTTGCATGAACTTCCTCGGCCACTGGCTCGAGAAAGCCACTTCGCCTGCACGATGGACAAACTGCAGTTCTATTCCCTATCTTCGACCCGAGGATGACTGCAGCTATAGCAGTCCGAGCTAACATTTGACAGCTGTCACCTACAACCACGATTCAATACTTACCCAGTCGTCAAGAAGTATCGCAGCACTGGCCAGGTGGCTTCGAATCACCTGGTGAGGCAAAATCTTGGGGAAACTGCGAACTCCGCCATCGTACGTTGACTACAAGCACTAGCTGATCTTGCTAGTCAGTCCTGGCTAGCCATGACGCCCTGCCTCCTGATCTCGATCGTGTGAGTTATCGAAGTCAGAGCACGGACCATTCCAACCGTTCACCACTTGAAGACAAGTGCACATGAGAAAGAACTGGAAAGGATGCCCAATCATGTCTGTCGTGACAAAGGTTGTGACAATCGCCGAGCTTAGAATGGGACTCGGAAAAAGGTCCGTATCCTCTGCAAATCCCCAGATTTCATGACCACATATCGTGGCCAAACGGTTTGGTCTCAGCATAATACTTCCAGAGGCGTCGCGATCGCCAAAGCCTCAGCCTCAGCATGAGAAGCACATGCTCACTCCCCTAGGTACTGCGCAACCAAACCATCGCCTGCTTTGTCCATCTGCTTCAGAACAGAGAGCAGTTCTTCCCACACCACGTCTCCAAGCTTTATGCTCTCGCCACTCTTGACATTCTTTACCCTCTCACCTGTCGCGATCTCGTCGACTTCCAGCTGCTCTCCCCTCCCTTCCAGCCCCAGTCCAAGACTACTGATGTAACAGTTCGCTCCAATTTCGGGCCGTCGCCTGATCCAGCCGACAAATCTCAACAGGAAAACGTAGAACAGACTGTCTCTTTCGGATCGCCTCAAAAGATCCGAAGCCGTCGGGCCTGGAGTTGCGGAACCAACTAGGATCATGGGATCTGGCGCCCCGCCGTCTCCCTGATCCTTCTCAACATCCCCGAGGAAAGCCAATCGACGCATGGCATGTTCCATCATGAGTTTGCTGCGCGAGTACTGTTCGGTAAACTTGGTCGCGAAATTGGATGGCTCCGACAACCAAGCTAGAGGTGTCGTTGTGCTGTACAAGTTGCGAAGCTCGCCGTTCATGTCCACTCTCCAGCAACTGCCTGAAGAGATGATAGTAAGATGCGGGCGCAATGCTGGATTGGTCTCTCCGGTGAGCCGACTACCCAAGAGGAGCGGTAACAACTGCACCGAGAGGAAGATCGGCGCTACAGCGTTGACATGAACGCTTTCTTCGTAGCCAGTGGATGGATTGAGTGAGTGAGTGTTTGCCAGAACAGCAGCGTTTAGAATGGCATGATCGAGGTAGCAGACGTGGGTCATGAGGTTGGTGACAAAATTCAGCATTGACTCGGCGTCATTCATCTCTAGGACCAATGCGATGATGGTGGGCCGGCGTGCAGGATGGAGGTTCGGGAGTGCGGTCTCGATATGTGCTTCGATTGCGTGCTTGGTGTCGGCGGCTTTTTGTTCTGTACGCGCTGTCACGATGAGGGCGCTCAACCCGCGTTCAGCGAGGCTCTTGGCAGCTGCCAATCCGACGCCGCCAGACGCGGCAGTGATAAGGATTGTTTGGCCATGGAAGCGTAGGTCTGTGGGTGCTGGGCGGCCGTCGAACCGGGGCAGTCTGTTGAGCGGCCAGAACATCTCTGCTTCATCACTTCTTCGTCGTTATATCTCTGAAAGTTTGTGCTGTTAGAAAGCCTTCAATTGGTTATGTAGGAGCTACAGAGTTATATCTGTGGTGTGTCAGTGGCACATTACCGCCGGAGAAGGACGAAGACTAGGGAAAGAATTCGGCTGACATTACGATCCTGCGGAATGGCTCATCCATTCGTATGGCTTCCTCGTAGCTGCCACCTCGCAAGACCGAATCAATCTGATTCAGGTCTAGGCTCTTCGGTGACGACAACCTGGCATGGTGGCCCTTGTACTTTTGCACATCCCATCTTAAAAACCCCTCCATACGGGACACCGCCTAGAAATAAGCTGAGCTTTTGGTATCATATCTGCCACGGCGGAAGTTCTCCTGAGGAGGACCTGCTGAGAAGACGAGCATTTATGGATGTGGTCCAGTGAGACTCCTCACGATGCTATAGAGCAGCAATGTGGTGAGGGCACCACCTAGTTCGAGTTATGTGACCATTGGCACTAGGTTGCTGGCCCATGACCTTGATCATCATGCAATACATTCCGGACCACGAAATTGCACCCTTCAAGCTGTGCACCGCAGAACCAGTTGCATTGCGCTGAATTCGAGCTGGCTGCCATCTCAGACAGAGTCATTCAACGCCAAGGGTTTCCATGAATGACTCGAAATGTGCATCTCTTCTCGTCCACCATCGACGCAGCTGTTAGAAGAGACACCACATACCCAGTGCTTGCTACAAAGGGGCGTCCGTGCAAACTTCTAGCACGTGAAGCTGTCAATGTGCCTCAGCTCCGTGGCAGTATTGTGCCCACAAATGCCGCCGAGGCCGCACGGGCTGTCCCTTCGTGCCTGCTAATCAAAATTCCATAGTTCTCGCAATTCGTGCTTGATTTTCCGTCACCAACGATGGCTACGTCCACGATCGCATGTCCCGGCCAAGTCCTCGCTCCGATATCAACCCATATTTCGGGCTCCGGTACACACGTCTACGAGACAAACATCATCGCCTCGCTCATCGGCACAACTGTCACTCAGCCCGCAGCTTCCAAGAACACCAAACCCACCATCTCCATCGTCCCTCAAACGACTCACTCACCCCTCCCAAACGTCTCCTCCACTGTCATAGCCCGCGTCATCCGCGTCCAAGCCCGCCAGCTGATTGCCTCGATCCTGCCCGTTCCACCAACTACATCCGCATCGACTCTCATGCCTTACCCAACCACAACCGACGACTCTGTCCAGTACCAAGCCATCCTCCGTCGCGAAGACGTTCGCGCCTTCGAGAAGGACAAGATCAACATGAACGAGTCCTATCGTGTGGGCGACATCATTCGAGCGGTGGTGATCAGTTTGGGTGACGAGAGAAACTACTATATCTCGACGGCTGGAGATGAGTTTGGCGTGGTCGTGGCACGGAGTAGCGAAGTAGGGAACGCGATGGTACCGGCGAGCTGGAGGGAGATGAGGGACGTTATTACGGGCAAGGGAGAGCCGAGAAAGGTGGCTAAGCCTTCGTGAGATCCAGCCGGTGTAATGGTGGTTCGTCATAATCGCCACAGCCTTACACACGACTGGAAGCCTCCTTTTCTCGGACAAATTCGGGGAATGAATCACTGCATGTGGGCCGTTCTCCTCGTCTGAAGCGATGCCCTCAGATCGACGGACCAGTTGACCATCAACGCGATGATTCGAGGTCTACACAATTACCCAACCTTGGGCATGATTCACAGCGGCGTCAAGGCTCTTACCCCCCCTCGATAAGCGGACTGCAAGGGCCATGATCATCTGCTCGCTGCTTGGACAGTCTCAGAACATGCGTTGAAAAGCATGCAGCAATCAGGGCCGCATGTCTCGCGCCGAATCTTCAGCTAGGCACGTCCGCCCATCCGGCAACCCCAAGTCGGTCCAGCAAGGTCGGCGAGAGCATTTCAAGTAAGGACATGCTCAAAGTGAGCACAGATCAGTCAAGTTGTCAATTTCCGGACTACCTACGTTCCCTCAACCCCTCGCTCCCTCACCTTCTGCCTCCAAGCACACACTCTCTCGCTCTTTTTCTTGTTCTCGCCCAAAGGCCCAAATCACACAAATCCACACCTCTCCAGTATCTATGGTCTGCCGACTTACACCATCAATGTCCAGCCATCTTGTCACGGGAGGAAGAATCAAACAACCAAAGACACAGTCACATGCCCCTCCTTCACTGGAGCGTTTTGGTGTGTTGGCTTCTTTTTCCTCTATTTTTCCAGGCTCAACTACTTGATTATGAAGTGGTATGTTGGGAAGATTATAGCTGGAGGATACATTTCTTCAGAATCTTCCGCTTCTATTCTGTATGATTTTTGTTCCCGTTCCCACATCGAGCCGCCTTGAATACGATCAGTTGGTCTTAATATTCTTCTGCTTCTCCGCATCCCTTCCCACACCCCTACTGCCCCGAACCAACAACCCCTTCCGTCTTCGCACCCCATCCACATACCGCTTCGCCACATTCTCCCTCTCGCCATGCACGCCCAAATCCTCGAGCTCTTCCTCAGACTTCGGCACCCACCCCGGATCAACGTCCACTCCCTCCGGCAAGCCGAAGCCTGTGAAGCGCAGCTGCGGCTGCGCGAGTCCCGACGTCCGCTTCCGGATTTCGTCGGAGAAGCCGAATGACTCGGCTACTGGGAGCGAGGCGTTGATGGTGAAGTATGGCGTTCCCTCAAGGAGCTCTTCTGACAAGATGGCGCCCCGCCGGCGCGTTAGGACGGAGTAGACTCGGCCGAGGACTTCGGGTGTGGCTTGGATTGTAAGGCTGTACATCGCCAGTAAAATGCGCGGTGACCATGCGAGAAAGGCGTTGCGTATAGACTCGCGGACAGTGGAGATGAGGCGACCGGTAAGGCGGGCCGAGCTGTCATCTGTAGAGTGCTCGGTGGTGGTGTCTTTGCTGTAGGTGATCGATTCGAGGAACACTGCGACGCCCTGCATTGGCTCACGACATAGTGGGCCTTGGCCGGTGGCGAGTTGAAATGCGTACAGGGTAGTCTCGCTGAGGTCGAGACCGGCGCCGGCTGCGCGGTCTTGTGAGTCGGTGTCGACGAGGAAGCGCTTGCAGGTTGGCTTCCCAGTGGCGTCGATGAATAAATTTGGGCCGACACGGCGAGGGCCGAAGGCGCAGACATGGGAAACGAGATTGGAGTCCTTCCACACAGGATCCGGGTCGTCCGCGGCGGCTTCGAGGATGACGGCTTGTAGCTGAGAGCGGAATTCATGGAGTGGAAGGATTGTGGTCTGTGAGTCGTGTTCAACCGCATCGCCAAGGTCGGCTGTCTGCTGATCTGACTTTTCTTCCGGTTCTGCATCTGTGCCGTCCGTGTCGACTTCATCGTCCTTGGACTTTGCTTGCTCTTCAGCCTGCTGTTCTGCATAGAAGCGACGGATGGACGCGCCATGCTTGATCAAGAAGTCTGTGACCTTAGTTGGGAGCGGACGGACGCGAAGTCGAATCTGGAGGCTGTTATCGCCGGAAGGCGTGACGATCGTGGTGCCCCGAGGTAGGTCTTTCTTGACAGGTTCCATATACTCTTCTTCTGGTGCTCGAACGATTGTCTCACGGTATGGGACGATTGGCTCGCCAGGCTGTATTTCACATTTTGCAAAACGCTCACGAAGATCTTTCAGACAGCGTTCGAGATGCAATTCGCCTGCTGTCAAGATGACATGCTCACCGCTAGGCATCTGCTCATACACTGCCGACGGATCCGATTGTTCAAGCAGCTTCAGGCCTCTGATCATCTTGTTCAGATCAAGTGGATTGACCGGCTCGAGTGCCACACGAACGATGGGTTGGGGGATGTTCGATAGGCCTGACAGGTTGATGCCTCCTTCCACCTGCGAGCAGAGCGTGCCTGTCTTGAGAATTGTGCCTTCGAGACCTTCGATGCCAAACACTACGCCAGCTGGCACTGTCTCGAGTGGCTCAAGACTTCTTCCCATCAGGAGATACAGCGCTGTTATAGGTACCTTCTTCGGTGCCGGACTGGCATGCGGAAAGGCAGGACTGAACTTCGGAGGCAGCACCCAGATCTCATGTCCGACTGAAAGGCTTCCTGAGTAAAGCCTGGCAAAACCAATCAAGTGCTCCGGGTCCTCCGGCTTCTCGGGTTCGTTGTCCTCAGGCGTTTCAGATCCGATAGCTGCACTACTCATGCCATTGGTGATGCCTTGAACGCCGTCTGCTTCAGCTTGAGCCTTTGCGATCTCCGCACGTTTCTTCCGGGCAAGCTCTCTGGCTTCGTCTGGAGTAAGTGTCGACCCGAGCTTCCTTCGTTTACTCGGGAGTTCGCTCTCAGGTATGGCTACCATTTTGCTCACATATGCGACGACCGGAGCCCCAATGTCGGTATTGAACTGTATCATTGATCGCTTGATTGACGAATCAATCTTCTCATTGCCCACAAGGCTCTCGATCATGTCTGGCAGCCGGGACGCTTGAGCAGTCGGTGGACTTGGTAGATATTCGATGACAGAGACCAAAAGTGCTGTCGATAAAGGAAGCCACGCTGCGAAGACTGCTTGCAACACTGCCTTCGAATCTCGCGATCGAGCGATGTGAGGTGGTAGCGTGATTGCCAGGCTCTTTGTAATCTTCTCCAGCAAGCTCGGATCACCTTTGCTGTCGATTCCAACAGTTGCCTCGTACAATTTCCAGATGGGCTCCAGGACGAGTTGAACAAAGATCGGCTTGAGGTTTCGCCCCTTCAAGTGCTTCGTCCCAAGAACTTTCTTCGTCTTAGGATCTAGGAAAAACTCTCCCCATAAGACTTTTTCAAGGATCGTTCTTTTGATGGACAGCTTCTTCTCATAGATACTTGCAAATTGCCGCACAGTAAAAGCCCAACCATCTATAGCGCTCGCGAAGATGACGTTGTTCTTCTCTGGTGCGAAGTAGAGATCTTCATCATCTCGCTCCTCGAAGCTAGCCTCTGTCTCGATATCAAGCCCTCCTTCCAATGCTTGCTCGGCTCGCGTCTTTCTTTGGTCTGCCCTGTTCCGCCATTGCAAGTCCTCCTCCATTCGCTCGCCTTGGAAGAAGCCGCCAATGACAGCATTGACTCCTTCTAGAATGCGTTCAAGATGGCTGTAGGCTTCTCCGGGGCTCATCTTCAGTTCTGTGACCAGCCGGTCAATCTTGTTGATCACTAGCAATGGCTTCAGCTTTTCGAGCCAGACCTGCCGCAAGACAGTCACCGTCTGACTGCAGACACCCTCCACGGCATCCACCAAGACTACTGCTGCATCGCACAATCGGCTTGCTGTGCTGACCTCGCTCGAGAAGTCGATATGACCAGGAGAGTCGATGAGATTGATCAGGTATTCTTCCGCATTCGGCTCTGCATCTGGAGACTGCCTTCTGAGCATGCTGAAGTATAGTGAGATGGCCGAAGACTCCATCGTGATGCCTCGGGTCTGTTCGTCCGGCCTCGAGTCCAAGTAGCGAACTCTGCCCGCCATCTTTGGCGAGATGATGCCATTAGTGGCAATGAGTGAGTCCGAGAGAGATGTCTTGCCATGATCTACGTGCGCCAATATACATATGTTGCGTATATGCGACGGGTTGGACTGCAGCGCGATCAATCTTGAAGGGGGTATTGAAGGCATCTTTTGGCCTACGAGCGGCAAGTCCAGAAAGTGTTTAAAGTACTTGTGCTGCAGTAGCAGCGGTCGAGCGCGCAGTGGCAAGCGCAACTTAAAAGCGGACTTGCAGAGGCTGGGCCGGGCAGTGTCGAGCCCAGTGACATTCGTGAGTGCAACCTCGAACGACTATATAATTCGTGACTACTTCACCAAAGCAAAATATATTCTTTTGGAGTCACCCCACGTCATTCGTCCGGGGGTTGCCTCTTTTTCTGCCTTATTTTTCTACCAATGCCTGAAAGCGGCTGGGATCTGTTAATTCTAGATGGCACTTGACACGACCTGTGAACTTCACCGGGGAGACCTCTTCATGATCATCAAGCACTTAGCAACGATATACAATCATCGCTGAATCTTTGTCATTGGACGGCCATTCCGTGAAGCCATCAAAGCTTTGAGCTGCAACAATCCTTTAAGTCGACTACTTCTGTTTCTGCTTGCCCTTCAGCACTTTCCTCCGCTGCTTCATCATATGCGTGTACAAGATGTAGCTGCCGGGTACATAGACAACAAGCACACCTATAAACACCCACTCAAGTCCTGGGTAACTCTTCCTTGCTGGCTCGATCGCGTTGTAGATCAGCCAGCATTCACTGCTAATGCCGATCGGATACAAGACGAAGAATGTGTTGTACCTCAGCCAAGTCAGCCAGCTTGGAATCCTCGCGCTAACGCCTTCCTTCCACACAAAGAAGCCATATCGAATGATCTCCGTGATGCCCCACGCAAGGACGCAGCCAGCCATGGCGTACGGAGTGCCTTTCGCCCCGGCAGCGTCCCTACCCCATATGTCCTTGGTGATTATGACAGACGGGAAAAGGTCCATGATGCCCCAGACCACGAGAATGCGCGAAGCAACTTGCATGACTGTAGTGAACACACTCGCTCGCACCAGGCCAAGCACTGCATGCACGACTTCGAGGAGAGCAATTGTTTGTGTCCATTTTAGCAGAGGAAATAGTGCTGGGTAAAGGCCGTGTAGTTTGTCATGCGAGACAAGGACGGGAATGAGTGACAGTGCTCGGAGTGTGACCGTTGTCCAGAGCGCGAAAGCCACGCCATTGTAGAGTAAGAGGTATCGTTGGGTAAGAGGTGATGTGGATTGTGAGTACGCCGCAGCAGGCGACTTCGCCGCAGACTTCGGAGGCATTGTTGCTGCTCGAATCTCACGAGGTCAGGTCTGCTTGAATGGCAGAAGCCCGATGGTGCGACAGCTGAATCGTGTACAGTGTCTCACCACGAACGCATCGAGAAAAGTGCGTGCCTCAACAGAGTGGAGTTGCGAAGCAGGAGCCCTCCGCTCGCCGTAGCCACGGCGCGCGCGGATTCTAGACCATTTGGCTTGTCTTCCTTCGTTTACCTCTCGTTGCTCTCGGCGAGCACAGGACGAAGACGGTCATCGCTTTCACGATACAACCTCGTCGTGACTGTTGCAGACTTCTATCCAGCTCGGTGACTTAATTAGAATTGGCTGCTAAGGAAGAAGGACTCTGGACGTGAAGAACCTCGTGCTCAAGACCACCTCGCGGAAGCTGCAACCGCAGAATAGCGCCTGCGCCGACCAAGAGGATGTAACGCCGGAGTCAGAAATATGCCCACTTACGATGTCCTCAGCTTGAAGCATTCGGCTCAGGAGAGTCCGGGGTACTTCTAGCCATCCTGCAACGATCTAGGCGACAGATAAGCGACTCCGCGAAAAGCGAGACATGCCAAGTCCTTTGTAAGTATCAGATTCAGACGTTCACGTACACCCCATGAGCTCTTCACCATGAGCGCATATGGCGAAGCCGCACTTGTTCGAATGCAAATCAGTGTTTGATGGCATCTCTGGTCAAACAAGACGTGCTCGGGGAAGGAGTCTCCTACGCAGGAGGCTTTCTCTCCCTGAGCCGAGCAGAAAGGATGTGCAGCTATAATATGCTCGACGTTGACAGCGTGCTTGACACTCGCTACTACCAATCGCCTTGCCTGTGTCTTTCTTTACTTCGATTTCCGCCCTTCGCTTCTTCTGTCGTTCCTGGTGAACTGACTTTAGCATTTCCTACCATATAATGAGATACTCGAACCTCATCACGGCCTTGGCCCTGACCGGCGCAGCTCTCGCTGCGCCTGGAAATGCTGGCTATGGGTGGAGACTGGCTGCCCGCAATGAAGTAGCAGAGGCTCCACAAGCCTCAGCAGCGGCTGCGACGGCGGCCGCGGCTCAGCCTGAGCAGGCAAGTGCCGAGACAGCGACTGCTGCCGCCGAGCAGACGCAAGCTGCTACTGTGGTCGAGACAGTGGCTGCTCAGGAAGCAAGCGCTACCCTCGAGGTTGCTACTGCCATCGCCACCGCGCAAGCAGCGACTGCAGCGGTACAGGTCCAGCAAACAGCCGCAGCAGCAGCAGCTACAGCCCAAGCTCAGGGCGCAACACAACAGCAACTCGCCGCTCAGATCAACAGTGATCCCATCGTGGTCCAGACCTTCCAGCAGGCGCAGGAGAGTGTCATTAGGGCACAACAGCAAGCTCAGGATGATGTCATTTCCTGCCAGCAGCAAGCCGCCCGACAAGTTCGTCTTACTCAACAACAGGCCGCGTCTGATGTCAGAGTCGCACAGCAACAGGCTCAGCTACGTCTGCTACAGCAGGCTCAGATCCAACAAGGTCAACAGGCAAATGTTGCGGCTCAGCAGCAACAATTGGCCCAGGCACAAGCGCAACAGCAGCAAGCCGCGCAGCAAATGGCTCAAGCAATGCAAGAGGCTGCTCAGGCCGCTCAACAGCAGGCTGATGCGGTCGCGAAACAGGCAAAGCAAGCTCAACAGGCATATCAGCAAGCACAGCAGCAACAAGCGGAAGCCACTGCAACACAAACCACGGTGGCCGTGGCTGTCGAAGCCCAAGCAACCGCAGCACAAACCGTTGAGGCTGTGGCTGCTGAAGCCCAAGTTACTGAAGCTACTGCAGCTCCCGCGAAGCGCCAACTTGACCGAATCTTGGGTGGACTTGGCGGCGGACAAGGACAAGGAGCTGCTGCTGGCCAGCTTGGCGGACTGCTCGGCGGCGCCGCTGGAGTTCGACAGGGAGGCGCTGCTGGAGGTCTTGGAGGGCTTCTCGGAGGTACAGCGGGGGGTCAGGGAGCGGCCGCAGGAGGGCTTGATCAGCTTCTCGGTGGTGCTGCTGGTGGAGGTCCAGCTGGACGACAAGGAGGGGCTGCTGGAGCAAGTCGAGCTGGACGACAGGGCGGCGCTGGCGGACTCGGAGGACTTCTCGGAGGCGCCGCCGGCGGCCAAGGAGGCGCTGGAGGCGCTGCTGGAGGACTTGGAGGGCTTCTTGGCGGTGCAGGCGGTGCGGCTGGTGGAGCGGGCGGTCCCGACCAGATCCTTGGTGGTTTGGGTGGTGGGGCAGGTGGAGCAGGCGGTCTCGACCAAATTCTCGGAGCTGCTGGTGGCGCTGGCGGTGGTCAGGGTGCGGCTGGAGGTCTTGCTGGTCTGGCCGGAGGAGATACTGCCGCCGGTGAACAGGCGCAGAACGAGGCCGAGGCCGCGACTGCCACTCGAGCTACTGCGAGCGAAACCGCTGCAGCTGAATCGGAGACAGCTACTGCCGCTGCTATCGAAGTTACTGCAGCCAACCTGACAGCCACGGCCGCAAACGTCACAACAGAAGCCTCTGCAGGCAATGTCACAGCTGAAGCTGCCCTGAACAGCACTGAGACTGTTGCAGCAGGAAATGGCACTGCATTGGCGGCAGCCGAGCAGATCGCGACTACTACTGCGGATGCTCCCGCGACGGCTACATTGACTGATCTTGCTGCTGCGGCCGGTGTTGTCGAGGCTACTGCGACAGAGGCGGCAACAGCTTCGGCGGCGGCTGTCGAAAACGCAAGAGGGAACAATACGGCTACTGCAACGGCAGAAGCTGGAGATGAGGAGGAAGACGACGACTAGATCAAGGCGGTGACCAATCTCAGACACATAGCTACATTGACATGCCGATAGGTCTAACCCAGCTGATGAAGACATGGCAATCTTGCGACGGAAGCTGTGTCGCAGGGTGATGGGGTTCACGTTATACACATCATTCGTAGTGATCGATGTGTAGGTTGTTCGTAGACGTGACAATCCTCGCATGACTGTTTGTAGCCTCTACATCATTGGTCATTATGCTGGGGATCAAACGCCTAAATATCGTCCTTCGTGCTCGACGTCGCCGTTGTCTACTGAGACATCTTCCACCTCGCTATGGCTCTCACCCACACCACTATCTTCCACATCACTGAGGTCCGCATCGCCGCCTTCGTCAGCGCTGTCTTCCACGCCGCTGTCATCCTTACTACCGTCATTCTCATCACTGGCTTCCTCGTCACCAGCGTCCTTCTCACTGAACTCCACATCCACATGGTCTTCGTGGAAGTCTTCTAAGCTCTTCTCGTCGATTGCATACCAGCGGGCAGCGCCATCGCTATATAGCTCGCACATAGACGTGTGACAATTGCAGCCATCTGCTGATCCGACCAGTGAAGCGAGCGCTAGACTTTGCCAATCTACGTGGAGTCGACAGGGATAGCAGGGATCGATGTTTTGCTTTATGTGAGCGATGCATTGCCTTGCATCTCGAACAATCTCAAGGGCCGTCGCATCATGTTCTGGCTCCGAGGAAATGGCGTCCAAGAGGTTTTTGAGTTCCTCGTCAGTGACCGTTCCCCGATAGTAGGAGTCAAGTTTCAGTAGCGGTAACGCGAAGTCTTCGAACACGGGCCTGCGGAGGACTGTTCCTCCTTCTCTCCTCCTGGAGTGCCCAAGAAGGTGTTTCCGAAGCAGCAAGTAAAGAGTCCTATGAAAGCGGTGGCGAATACATGCCTGAAGCATCCCGAGATCGACGGGAACGGGAAGGCCGCAAATTCCATTCAGAATCAGTAAGCCAGCGAGTTGACACGAAGACCATGTAGTGTCTGCAATAGTCGAGGGACATCCGTTGAATGCATCTGCACTAGCCGTGATCAGGGGTCCGAGTTGGTCAGCCAGCAGACTCCCGTCGCATGTGGGCAATTGCTTCAACGTAGATATGATTCCATCCTTTACTATCCTGTCGGGCTCGGTGCTGATGGTCCCTTTTGACGGAAGACACGCGCTTCCCAAAAATACGTGCAAGAGCATTGTTGCGTTGGGCTCACCATTTTGGCGGACAAGGCAATCCGGAATGTAGCGAACCGAAAGTGTTGGAAAGACATCGGTACGCTTGTAACTCTGAAGCACAACACAGCTGTCGTGGATTGCAATTTGGACCAAGCATCCTGCATGGCCGTAATAAGTGTCGCCACCAGGATACACTCTGCCATTCGTTGAGGCATGCAAGGTAGGACCTCCGTTAAAGGCGCCAGCAACATGGTCCGCTAAAACGTTGAAGCCTTGCTCAGTCATCTCGATATGTTGGCTGGCAAGGACATGCGAGTCCACCACATTCGCCCAGCTAATTGCATGCATCTTATGCAGATGTGCGACTGAGAGCCACCAGCTGCTTCCAACACGTTGCTGTAGCTCAAAACGTTCGTCATCCAGGAAGTCCTCAAAGCTTCTTCTAAGGAGTCGCTGTATCGCAAAGCGTTTGTCCTCCAACCAGTCGTCGAACTTTAGCCAACCTAGCCATCGCCGGTGTTGTTCAACAATGTCGGTCGATCTGGAGCCGTATGCTACAAATACTAAAGCTTTAGTATACGCCTGGAAAGTTGGGCAACGCCCTGTATGTTGCGCGGCATGTGTGGATCAGCGCAGGTTCCTGCGATAACGTGAAAATCTGTTGGAGGATCTCGTTTGGTAGATCTGCCAGTGTCTTCGTTGCCTGAGTTGGAGGCTTTGTTCGCGGCAGCTTCGATGGGCGAAACCCCTCAGCCTCGATTGGCCTTTTGCGTGACCCCGTGCTGGCCATAGGGGTAGAGGCAGAGAATCTTTCTCATGGCCTTCGGATTGAGAATGCTGAGGAAAGAACCTGAATCATGTCTATCAGAATGAGGCAACGAGACGCGTGCCGCGTAGAAATCAGGGGCCCCCCGGGCCCGTTAGCGCGACAGGGCGCGATTGGGCTTGGCATGTCCGATGCCTGGCAGATATCAAAGAACGGCTCGACGTCCAGACATTTCGCTGAGCAGGACTGTCAAATTTGGCTCGAGCTTCGACTACTTGATTGCTGAAGGAGGACGATGGAGTTCCGGGTCATGATAATACCTCTACCAAAGGGTTCTGGCAAACCATAATGGCTCGCAGCGCCAACACGATTGGGGTCATTGGGTTCGATAGATGGAGGACACCACCCATCATTCAGAAGAGAGCATTTCGAGACTTATAGAATTGGAAGGAAGTCTGCAAAGCATCTGGACAACCGGCCCTAAAAAGAGGCTGTTTATCTCTGACAGCGCCTGGCGAGACTACCCTCATTTTGCATCGAATGCGTCGGACACAATGCGTCGATGCATGTCCTCGTCGTCGAGGCCTGACGTCGTCGGTGCCTCTGTAGCGACATCGACCGATGCTGGCCGTTGTGCCGTCCCATATGGTGGCACACGAGCAATGATCGCGATCGACGCGTAGTGATGTTCGAGCTCGGATTGATTGCCGTACTGCAGCAGTAGAGGTTAGTCGACAGGACGAAATGGTCCGTCGAGTCATTGCCCAACACAGTGATTGGGTCCCATGGAAGCACTGACCTTCATGTACGCCATCGCAAGCTCGCTATCACGACCGTCTTGCTTGTTCAGCCATTTGATACCAGGTACTCTGGGCCAGTACTCGAAGAGCTGCGTTGCGTCTCTGTTAATTCCGCTGACGTGCAAACAAGAAGATCAGAGGTGAGGGAGCTGCCGGCTTGTTTCGCGTTACTTACCTCGTCCTCCTCATCGTCGCCCTCGCGCACTTCGTGACTCGGAATTTGCACGTTTCCCAAACAGCCCTGGGCAAGTCCAATTCGATCAGAGGCGCTTCCTAGAGCCTCACCAGCTTTGGCCGCATTTTCGAGGTCGAGTTCCAGAAGAGAAGATTTGAGGCCTCTTATCCGGCGAGTGTAGAGGGTGTAAGTCAATCGTTCTTCAAATGTGTTGAAACCAGTACCACGCATATTTTCCACATCTTTATAGACTATCTCAAATGTGCCAGGTGAATCTTGAACGCGGTCCAACAATTGCTCGAATTGCTCGGACCATCTAGGTTTGAGCACTTGGTCTTCGTCATCTTCCACGTCGGAGTCGCAGTAGTAGTAGTCTTGCCCTTCTCCACTCGTGAGGCGCTCGTTGACCATAGCCTGCATATCGATCTGTGACAAGACAGGCGCTATGCCGACACCGATTCCTGCTTGTCGGAAAGCCAAGAATACCTGTCGGTCCACACCCTTCAAGCATGCCAAGACGTCGAGCGATGAGCTTTTTCGGTGCCTTGCATATGCATGGTGGCAGTGGAAGCCCATGAGCCCACCATTTGGGAGCACTCTGGGATCACATAGCGCACTCTTGATCGATCGGCATACGGGAAGTGTTTCCAGGTCCAAGCTTTGATCTCTGACTTCGTTCGGCACAACATAAAGGTTGTATATGAGTGTGATACGATTGCCGCTCTGGACTTCCAACACTTCGTGCTCGCAGTCGGAGAAGAAGGCCGCCCACTGAAGTCTTCCCGGGTCTTGTCCCCAATCATAAATGACCTCCTCTCCAGCATGGCGCACAGCCAACTGTCCCCCTGTGTGTTCCACTGGCAGACAAATAACCAACGAGGCCAATTGTGACTCGGAACGGGGAGTGTCGACGTGGGCCTTGAATCTTCCAGAGGTTTCGTAAATGTTCAGCTTGTACAAAACAGCGCTGAGACTGTAAGATCCTGTGCGTAGTCTCAGCATGGTGTCAGCAATAGTCTGAAGGATGCCGTGGTCTGCCGGGTGGAAGTCGATGCAAAATCTGGAAGGCTCGAGTTTGAGCGCTTTGCGATACTCGTTGTCCAATATATCTTGACCTTGATAGCCAAAAGTGGCTGGTTCACAAGATGCGAGCAACCTGTCGAGTGCGTCTTCGTCAGACTGCATTGTTTTGCGAACGGGTAGAGTGACCCTGTCTGGTGAGCCATCCGGACGGTCGAACCTCAGCTGCAGGATGTCGCTGCGAAAGGTACCACCACATGTAAAGACCGAGTCCTTGCCGGCGCGTTCGAGGACATGCTTAAGCGCAGCCAATGGCCCGGCTTCAGGACGGGGCTCATGTGCGAGCTCCTCTCTCGATATGGTGAGCTCTTCAAGCCGTTTCAAGACGGGACACGGGAGTATGGACGCTACAAATGGGTCCATGGGCCGCCGCATCCCTGCTGTAGACCAAGGCCCCTGGCGTGCCGCCTCAAAAATGGCTGGCGCATGTACATTGAGGGATCCGGGAGTCGATGAGGGATCTGCTGCTAGAACGCCTGTCCGGGGTTCTGCGGTCGTGAGGCGGGTGTGAAATGCCCGCAGAATCGCTGCAACGTCGTCTACACTGCCCAGATTGCGTGGCTTAGGGAAGACACTGCCATCCTTGGGACAGAAGAGAGCACGAGCGTCGGCATCATAGACCAAGAAGGAGAACTGTAAGCCGAACAGAGCGAAGACGCCGCTGTCGTGGATTTCGAAAGCTGCTTGGTCGACAGCTGCTCTGATAATTGCATCCTTTGATAGTCAGCACTGTTCAAAACTGCAGACCTGTATGGTGGTCACGATACCTGGACGAATCTGGTCACCAGCCGTTCCTTGAGATCCAACGGGAGTACTTGATCTGACGAGGACGAATGCTGTTGCTCCGGCATACCTACCCCTGATGTAGGTAGTTCGTGGTGGCAGCGGCCGTCGGGCGCGCGATACTCCTACATATAACCGTGGACCCATTTCCGAATCCATGCTGTCAAACTTCGATGCCTGACTGAGGCCTGGTTCTTCAGACGCAGCAGCCATGTCACTGACCGCAATCTTACCGCAGGATAGATCACTCGAACCTGACGTTCAGGCAGCGGCACTGGCGCCTTGTGTTCCGACAGCTAGGTCCAGGTGAGGATGCCATCCCTTTCTGGAACACAACGCCTACTCAGCTGCGTCTCAGATTCAATACGTCTGTGGGGATGTCTACAGTGGCAGCCAATCTCTGGCGCAACCAAGGCGTATCTCAACGCAGAGGTCTACCATTTCGATCTCAGTGTACATGGAGAGATCGAGGGGTGATGAACACCTGGGGCAGAAGTCGTGGTGGAGCTCTTGCTCGGATTTCAACACCGGAGCTAGGCTGCCTGTGGCTAGAGCTTCAGCCGCGTTCCGCCAGTGCTACTCCGCCAACTTTTCTATTCGATAACTTTTTTCTGAACTGCAATTTCGACGTAGCCAGAACACCACTGACAGCCACTTGGTATTGACTTCTTGCGCAGAATTGTTTGACACGGTCGACATAGCAGTCTCCCATCCTCTCCTACTGCTGCCGATCGAGCGACAAGCCCAACGCGGCATCATAGCACCAGTACTCTGGTCCCCTCACACACTCCAAAATGCCAAAATCAAAACGAGCCCGCGTCCTCCCCACCTCCACCACGACCAAAACCGCAAAGACCTCGTCCGCCGGCTGCACGCCAACATACAAGAACTCGCCACCGCGCATCGCTTCATCTATGTCTTCTCCGTCAGTAACATGCGCAACTCCTTCCTCAAATCCGTCCGCAGCAGTTTCCCGGACTCCCGCATAGTCATGGGCAAGACAAAAGTCATGCTCGTTGCTCTCGGCCGCGATGTCGAGTCCGAGGTTGTGCCGGGCGTCAGTCGGCTGGGGAAATATTTGACTGGAGAGATTGGGCTGCTGTTCACGGACCGAGAGGTCGAGCAGGTAGAGGCGGAGTTCGAGGGGTTCTGGAATGCGGATTATGCGAGGAGTGGTGTTGTTGCGAGCCAAGAGGTTTGGGTCAGGCCGGGCGAGGTCAAGACTATGTATGGTGTGGAGGGCGGGGAGGAGGATCCGTTGCCGCTGGCGATTGAGCCGCACTTGAGAAAGCTGGGTGTGCCAACACGGATTAAGGGCGGGAAAGTGGTGCTGGAGGATGCGCCGGATGGGGATGAGGGGGCGATGGAAGTTGAGGAGGGCGGGTACTTGGTCTGCAAGGAAGGGGATACACTGGACTCGCGGCAGACGAGTATTCTCAAGATTTTGGGGGTGAGGATGGCAGAGTTTCGGATACAGCTGAATGCGGTCTATGATCGGACGGGCGAGGAAGTGAAGGAGCTGGGCAGCCGGGATGATGGTGCATGATCTGAACGACACGATTCACAACGGACAACCGAAATGTTGTGCTTCTACGGCGCCGTTGTACCTTGGCCGACTGGATCGCATCCCATCTATGTCTCCAGTTGATAATCGAACTGCGCTCGGGATATGTCATGAGACCGGGGATACAATCTGCAAGCAGACGTGGTGATCAGACCCAGTACCGAGCTTCGGGGCAGCATTTCTGGGCAAAGCTGTTCGCGCTGGCCGAATGTCAGTGGGCAGTCACTTGTGAGAAGCACACGGTGAAAGCCGATAAGATTGTGTGGCTTAGGAGTGGATGGAAGCCAGGATGCATATGAGCAATATGTGAGCGGCTACAGCGTCATGGCGAGATAGCACGTCAAACATTGCCTAAAGGCACCGCACGCTTGCAGACAGATCCACGGATACTACTCACTTCCGACGACCAGCTCCGTAGGTGCTGAGAGCATTTTGTACTGCATCAACATTGACTGTGGGCACATCGGCAGTAGAGCCGGCTGCTAGACGGCCGAACACTATCATTGGCAATCCTCCGGAAGCCAGAATGGCAAGCGGTCCTGCGCAGTGAGCGTCTCATAGTAGAGGATCGATCTCTGAGCCCGCTATACATAGCAATGACGTTCGCAGCAGGGACTGACGATCATGCCTGCAAAGACCAGTGACAAACCGTTGAGGGGTGTTCAAAGTCGGCCTGAATGCTGGTGGTGTTAGACCGAGAGTCAAGTCGTCGACTCCGTCTCTCCCTCATATTCGAACCCGAGTTCCACGGCAGTGGTCCTGCTGTGCAGATGTATGCGGCAATAGCTGGCTCATCCGAGACTTGGTCGCTTCTCACAATCAGCAGTACTTCGGGGTCAACTTTACTGGTCTTTCGTGATGAAGTTCGCAGGCTTCCTTCACGCAACAGGGTCGACGTCATGGCAGGATATTGAGTCGAGTCTTTACTGCGACCAAATCACGCTTACCGCAAATGTTGATCAGACAGCATGAACCATCATCAACAAGATGCGCTACTGTATTTGCGGATTCAGGCAAGTCAGTGGCTTCTTGGACCTCACCAAGCTCCTGGCATAACTTGCGCCTTCCGTGGCCGTGGTGTGCTAGAGTAAGTGACTGCTACGAGATCCGAGAAAGTAGAAGGTCTTTGCTTGATTAGCAATGACAACTGCAGCGCGAGCATGCAACGAACCTCAATTTTGATTTGCCCATTTCCATCCCGACTATGAACACGCCTGAAGCGCCTGAGGAGCGATTGCAGTCGGCCTGCGGTATTTGTGGCAGCATCGGGCTTAAGCAAGCATGATCCGATACGCCGGTAGGTGTTTGCACTGCATCTGGTCTGGTAGAATCCGAATCTGTGAACTTGGCTGGAAAAGCATTGACATTTCCTTGCGTTTGCTCTCATTTGGAGCACTGATTGCCAAAAGACTGATCAAGTTAGGAGATCGGCCACGTTCATGGGCATCTCGTCGATTTGTGTCGAGTAGTAGAGCTCGATATCGCGTAAGATACGCACATCATCGCTCGTGACAAAATTGATCGCAACGCCTTTGCGCCCGAAGCGACCACTTCTGCCGATTCGGTGGATATAGTTCTCGCGATTGCTCGGAAGGTCGTAATTGATGACGAGGGACACCTGTTGCACATCAATGCCTCGAGCCCAGACGTCGGTACTGATAAGGACCCGGCTATTGCCTTGACGGAAATCGCTCATGATGCTATCTCGCTCTTTTTGCGGCATCTCACCATGCATGCTGCTGACCGTGAAGTTGGCTTCTCTCATCTTGTCGGTGAGCCAGTCGACCTTGCGGCGCGTGTTGCAGAATATAACAGCTTGTGTAATGGTGAGCGTGTCGTACAAGTCGCAGAGGGTGTCGAACTTCCACTCCTCTTTCTCGACTGCGATGAAGTATTGCTTGAGACCTTCAAGGGTCAACTCGTCGCGTTTGACCAGGATCCTCACAGGGTCTGTCATGAACTTGGTCGTCATGTCGAGTACGTCGTACGGAAGCGTAGCGGACACAACAACGACTTGTGTTGCGGGTGGAAGATATCGGTAGACATCGTAGATCTGCTCTCGGAACCCTCTGTTTAGCAGCTCGTCGGCCTCGTCCAGAACCAGCATCTTGATGTGTCTTGTTCGCAGATTTCGCCGCCGAATCATATCTGCCACTCTGCCTGGCGTTCCTGAAACGACGTGCTGTCCATAGTCCAGCTTGCGGATGTCTTCACCTACGTTCGTGCCACCGATGCAGGCATGGCATTGGACGTTCATGTAGTCGCCGAGGGCCATGATGACGTTTTGAATCTGAGTCGCCAGTTCGCGTGTTGGTGACAGGACTAGAGCTGCGTGGGGGTCAGTGGAATTCAAACACCTCAGGCCACAACTGACATACCTTGTGTCTCTCTTGTTGCGGTCTCAAGGATCTGAAGGATACTGATCGAGAAAGTCGCGGTCTTGCCGGTGCCTGATTGTGCTTGCGCGATGGTGTCTCGGCCCTTGCAGATCTGGACAATCGCTCGCGACTGGACTGCTGAAGGCGATTCGTAGCCATAGGCATAAACTCCGCGCAACAGGTTTTCTTTCAGATGCATATCCTCGAATGTTGGCGCAACCGTGACCTCTTTCGAGGTGGAGAACTCCATTTTGTCTTCCGCATCGCGGTCGATATTGTCGCCCATCTTGACTGTGGAAGGAGTGTTCTAATGGTGTATGTTTGTGGAGAGGGAATGTTGCACAATTGCACAGGCATTTTCTGGGGAAGAAACATTTGGCCGCCTAACCTGCCTGATCGAGTGGAGGGGTCCAAGGTTAGTCTAATCAACCGGCGTGGTCAGAGCTCTGGTCAATATCTTGTTTCAAGATCACATTTCTGACCAGTCGTTGTGGATCGTCGACTGTTTGGGTACAACCTTTTTCCCTTAGGTCTCGAAGCATACAGTCTCATGCCTGCGATTAACCCTCGATCTTGAGTTTACCATATATCTACCATCACGAATTCCGACTCGCAGCCTCAGAAGAAGCGGCAATATTCCCTGGGTACCGCGCAATTGGCTCACGCTGCATCAGATCCTTGAGGAAATCCTTGATCTTCTGGTCCGACCACCGTTGAACGCCTAGCAGCTCATTGTCATCCTCACTCCACGCAGCCTTGCCTTGACCATACGAAGCATGTGCTAGAAATCCAGCCAAGGCAGGTGCAGACCTCTCGCCACAATCCCAGTTCTCCTTGGCTTGCTTTTCCAGCGCTTCAGTCTGGACGGGGATGATCTTGAACTCACGCTCCGGGTCGACTTCTTGCGCCAGGGTAAGCAGCCTGTTTTGAGTAGTATGCAAACTCTGTATCGCCACGACTTTGTTAGTCGTGGCTTCCGGGTTCTGGAGGATGCCAACTATAGCTTGTGCGATATCTCCTCGGTGAGTCGTCGACAAAGGGACGTCGCCTCCATTCATGAGCACGGTCGGACCATGGATGTTTAACAAAATACCACGCTCTAAGGCCCAGTCTAGGAACGCAGAGGTCTGAACAGCAGTCGAGGTGATCTTCCCTGCTTCGACCAGGCTGCCGACGTGGTCCAAAGTCTTCCATTTGTCGACGAGGGCTTTGTTGGTGCGCAGTTCCTCCTCCATCTTGATGCCGAATGAAGACGGGATGATCCGGGGCACGTCTGCCTCTACCGCCGCATCGGCCAGCACGATGTGCGGTTTTGAGACCATCCGACTGATTAAGCACACCACAGCATCCTGGCCCCGCAGAATCGGGACGAGATCCTCCTTGACATAGTCTACTTGCACAATCTTGGTGTGAGAAGCTTCAGGCACAACGGCTGCCGTCTTCTCGGCGTTTGTGGTCAGTATGGTGACTGTAAACTCGGCTTTGACCAAAGCTGCAACAACAAATGTACCCAGCGTTCCATTAACCTGGACTGTGTCAGTCCTCTCGTGCAAGCACTGATAACATGTGTACTTACTCCAGCTACGACTATGTTCTGATACTTCTGGATCGCCATTGCAACGTGAGGAACATGAAGAGAACTCTGGGCAGTCCAAGACGTTCATTAGGATATTCGTTCGTTATATGATTCGTGCCCGTGTGGTGCTCTCTGGGTCAGGCGGCCGGTCTAGCAGTCTAGAGCAGTAGAGACGCCTGGGGTTGGACGATCATGTGTGTGAGCGCCCCAGACTCCTTATTTGACTCGGACACCTCAACCGCGGCTCGGATCCTTCTTTGTCGCGGTGTATTGCCAGGATGTGACCTAGCTCGCATTCGAGAAACGCCGTTCCTGTGCAAATGTTCTATAATCCCAGCGCTATGCCTCGTATCGCTTTGTTCATTCTTTGCGCCACTCCATGAATTCCTCCTCGAGGTGATCCTTTAACAGCTTGAACTTGTTGCCAAAATCCCTCCCGCACCTCCAGCACACAAAATCGACTTTGTACTGGTTATTCTGGTACTCGACATCTCTGCGTATGTCGCCTTCTGGGAGTGGAAGCTGATCAAGTTGCAGAAACGCGTCACTATGAAAGACAGTGTAGTTCTTGCGATGCTTCATGGATTCGCTGAATGAATCGTTGGAGATGATATGAAGGTGAAGGTGGTTCATCGATGGGTGTGCGTGGAAGCCGACGCGGAAGTCTTTGATGAAGTCGCGGCCTGGCGGCAAATCGTCTGGAGGACTCTCAGAAGCCATTGCCTGGCGTCGTGCCTTGCAGGCGGCTGAATGTGGTGATATGATGCGCGAAAGCTCGGAAGCCGCTAGTTTGAGGCATTCCTCTGCTTCTGCTCGGAGCTTCGATAGGAAGACCGGGTCCGAGACAGCAGCATGAGGATGCTGTACGTACTTGGCAGGATCTCGGCAAAGTAGGAGTAGGTGCACCACAGACTTGGGATAAAGGTCCCGGATCAGGACCCAATCGTCGTTGTACCTGATCACTCGGTCCTGAGTCTCAGGATGCTCAATGTACGGTAGTAGATGATTACGGACATCATGCATATTGCGAGGAAACTTGGTCATGATCTGCTTGGATGGCCGAGGCTTGATACTGGAGGGTGGCGATCTTTGCATGAGTTCTGTGAAAGCGTTGCGTGGTTTCTTGGTTGGAGGCTCTGAAGAGGTGGTGTCGTTTGCAGCTTCCTCCATAACGTCCGTGATGAACGGTCTAGGTACCTGCCTTTATATCTGCCCTGAGCTCGACTCATATACTGGAGTAGGTAGTCAGTGAAGACTGCTTGCATCTAGGGAGCAGCGGCGACTGGCAATTGACTTGCCGTGAAGTTCGAGTGCAGGAGATTCCGTTAGCCTTGCTCGCTATTGCGCAGTGAGTGACTGCGGACTCTTGTGCTTTCACTCAACATTCTTTTCGAAGACTTCTACTTTCCTGCTCGAGCTCTTCGAGGACCTGGTCGAAGTTGCCACCCAGTGGATGGAATCTGAGCAGACTGCAGACCAGATACGCCGGAAGACAAGCAGGAGGTCTGGAATATATTGTGTTGATGTTGTTGACCTATCCACGGTCTACTCCCACGTCTTTGCTCCCGACTATCTCGAGAGCTTGGGTAAGAATCAATATTTCCGAGCGATCTCAGATCACTTAGGTCTTGGCAAGCATCACGTCTTGTGGACCATATACGGATGGACATGCGATGTTCATGCATCTGTCTTCAGCGGGCATTCCTGCTGAAGCGATGCATCGCCGACTCCGCAGGAACGCTGATCGCGTGGCGTGTCTCCGGATTCTTGAGTTGCCTCGCTTGCCTGCAGGTGCGAGGCATACAGTCTGCAGCCACCTGCAGCCAAAAGCTAATCGTACAGGACTATCTGAAGCTTGGAGAAGAGGAAAAGAAGTGGTTGCGGTATGGCCACAGTGTGTGTTTATGGGCGTCAGAACATTCCAGGACCACATGCCATATGAGTGAGCCAAAACGCCAGCGCTCGTCTTACAAATAGAACAGGGTCGCAGTTCTTGATCGTAGTCGCCTTGTCGCTCCAGCATCATCGTCATCATTGGGCTGCCGCTTGCTGCTATCGCGACGCGCGATCTCAGTACTGGCAGTGATACGCAACACGGCTGTTTGCTGAGCGGACGCACTTGATGCACCCATTCCACGAAGTATTTGGTGCACCATTCGGCGTCCACACTACAACATGAACAGGCATGGCTAGCGATGAAACACGACTCTCAGTGGCGCGGCACACAACAATAGAGTCTTTTGGCGGCCTCTGGCTTCAAGACTATGCTGGTGATTCTAATTTCCCTGATCTCCGCTAGTCCTCGGATCGAGTGAGGCGTTTCGACCGACTGGCGAGATTGCTATGACAGTATGATATACCAGCTTATCAGAGACAGTCGATGCTCATATGCGCACTGGACTTACTGGGTGACAGCATGCAAGCTGCAGGAGACATTGCATTATGTTAATCATGACTGAAGGTGTCAGGGAAACGAAGCCGAAAGGTTTGACAAAGTGGCTGAACAACAAAGCAGCTGTGTCGGTGTCGCCATGTTGATCTGACCGGCTAGTTGGGCGCCGACTTAGCTAAAACGAGGCCTAGTCAGGCCAATTTGGGGAGTTTGGAGCTCACATCCCGGCAGTCCCCTGCCTTCTCGATAACTTTGCTGTCACCCACCCTCCTTCTCTGTGTTGTTCGCCGCCGAAAGTCCACCAATAATCACACCAGTCGCGACTGCCGCAGCTCCCTCGTCCGGCACTGTAGCTTCACCTTTACGACATCTTCGACGGAGAATCACCTTAGACGTCGAGGGACCACACGTTGTGCATCCGACTCGTCCAAATTTCTCCGACCTCTTGTCACTCGTTTATTTTCTTTTCTGCACTCTCTCGACTTGACTACAGTGACTTAACGACCCCGAGACCGAACGCGCAGACACGGCCGGATCCAGCTCAGAACCGGTCGCTACAGATTCCCGACAGTCGATTGGTATAGAGAGAAGCTCAAAGGACCTGTACACAACCTTGGAGTAGCGCATGTCGAGAATGCAGTTGGAATAGACGACGACCGACAGGATCAAAGAGAGCCAAATGCGGTCTGCCAGGACGCTGAGGGCGTTGGCCCTCCTGCTGCCACCAGTCCTTGCCCAGAACTGTATCTCCCTGGCCGAATCGACGCAATGTTCATCATTCAATGCGAGCTCTGTATCGACAGACGGACTGGCGCGAGACTTGTTGTGGGTTGATCTACTAGGACAAACATGCATTCGCTAATAGCTCGCAGTCCGTTCCTTTCATTAGTTACTAACGTTGACGAATTCGACCGAGCTTTGTCGGACTACGTAGCTCAGGGATATGTCACGTCGAAATATGTGGACTTGTTTGGTTGCAATAACATTAATTTGAGCGACACCGACAACTACTATGCTCAGTACACAACCACATTTCTGTGTAATGCTATCATCCAGAACTCCAAGAATGGATCGTCGTGTGGTAATGCCAACGACGATGCCCGGCCGATGTGCGCATCTTCTTGCGGAGATTTCGCGCTGAGTGAGGAAGCCATCGTGGCCAGCAATGACCTCTGTCCGGGCCGCAATAGTAATTACGCTACCCAGCTGCGAGCAGACTACACGAACTGCGGCCTCCCAGAACAGTCGATTTCGGGCAGCTGTATTACTGGCGCGGACAATGAGCCAGACTTCTGTGGTTATCGCAACAACCTTATGGGGCTGTGCGATTTCTGCCGACAAAGTACAGAGAATGCGACAGATTCTTGTTGTCTTACCTCGAATGCGACCAACATATGCGAAGATGTCAAGCTCCCGGTCTTTTCCTCGATCCCAGGTCTGCTCGGTACTGCAAGCTCCACATCAGCCACTGCCTCATCGACTGCTTCGTCAGGTGCTGCCGAAGGTGGTAGTGGCGGCGGAGGTGGCGGTCTGAGTGGAGGTGCCATCGCTGGAATTGTCATCGGAGCCATCGTTGGCGCTCTGCTGCTCCTTGCGCTATTGGCTTTCTGCTGTATTCGGTACCGGCGTCGCAATCGCGACAAACAGCAGCGTAACCTGCTCAATCAGCCTTCGCCGCAAAGACGCGGTAACACCGCCTCCAGCTATCAAGCCCAAGGGTCATCAGCACAAGGATACGAGGTACTTCCGGGAGGTCGAGTCGCCCGGATGTCGGCGCTCCAAGACAACGAAGGCACACGCAACTATACGGCCAATACCGACCGTTATGGAGGCAGTCCAGACTCAAATGAGAAAGCCATGGGCATGATCGGCGCACGGAAACGCGATTCGCCGGGCTCACACCACGAGAGCTCGCCCTCGAGCAATGACTTCTCGTCACCAGAAGGTGTCGCTAGTGGCCAGTCTGAGCAGTTGCCCTTTTTCAAGGACTACTACTCGAACGATGACATTTCTCCAGGTGACAAGGTCTCTGTCCTGTGGGCGTACCAGCAAGAGCTGGCGATGAGTTCGAGCTAGAGCGTGGCGACATGCTCAAAGTCGTTGGCATCTGGGACGATGGCTGGGCCACCGGTGTCCGCGTCAACGATCGAGCAGAAGATTTCGAATCCAAGAACAAACCACAACGAGACAGCGGTGTGTCCAACGGCTCGAGGAGAGAGGACTCACCAACGCCATCTGGCGAAATCAAGGCATTCCCACTGGTCTGTGTCTGCTTACCTGAAGCCTGGAAAAAGACCGTTGAAGGCGACACATCAACGGAGAGCGGCTCTGGTGGTCCTCCTACGGTGTGAAAGCACTCTCTATCTCACGAAATATCCATATTTGCCTTTTAGCCAGGAGTTTGGCGAGAAAAGGAATAATTACCTTCTTCCCAGCGGAAGACAAAAAGGGCCGGCCATCGTCGAAAGAGACAATACAAACATCTGGTACCCCTTAATATCGATAATCACGGCATTTTCATCCGCCACCTACTCGATGTCACTACCATCATGGCACTGGTGAGCAGACATGTCTTAATCGGAACTTCACTGTTGATACCCTTATGTGCTTATTTTGCTTGGACAGTGGGTGTGCTACGACTTGTAAGAGGGTCGGGACGCGGAAGGAGCAGGTCCTTGTCGAAGGCGGATGCTGCCCAGGGAAGACGCACCTTCGATGTGGATCGCAATGTGGCGTGTACGAAGGGGTTTCGGCGCACGCAGACGCCAATGCTGGAATCAGCGCGAAGCACCCGGACAACGAGCAGCGCCACGGCAGGCCTTGAGATCAATGCCGGTGTAACAGAGCCTATGGCCGTGATACTCATAGCGAGCAGCTGCAGCAGCATAACAACAATGACGGTCAAATCTTTGAAACACTGCCCCCAGAGCATGCGTGATACTGTGACTGGTCCGATATCTCCATGCTTGAACTATCGTGATCAAGAAAATGCAAAGCTCTTGGCATAGTCTTTTTCGCTTTCCTCCTCGCGAGCTAAAGTATTTCGTCCTGGAACGATGCACGTCAATTGTTTCCGTCCGCGAATTCTACAGACCTGCAGACATTCCGAGGTCATCAGGCACCTGACCCCGAGCTAAGCGGGTCGATCAGAATGTCTGTAGCGCACACAAGAGATGATCACCTTTTCCGGGCGTGCTAGGCTGTCAGCATCGCCTGAAACCAGAGAGCTTGGGACGCTTGGCGAATGCGGAGGATTCCCTTATGCCGGCTATGCGGCTCACGGTCACTGCCAGGCATCTCCGTGTCGAGTTCGATGGGCGGGGACGGAGCCTATCGTCATGCCATACCAAGCCGCTGAGACTCCGGAGATGACTTTGATTTCAACGAGATTCGAGAGCACATGACGAAGGTGGTTGTCATATTCGTTTTGCTGGGTTGAAAGTCCACAGTCTCACGATCACGCACAGCAAAAGGAAACAGCAGCAACACTCCGGCCTCGTCAGTCGTTGCACGGGCAAGACCTCGAGGACCTGCGACTCTAATGAGCACCCCAGATCCTTCCTTTTCCCTGCGATGCGCTGGCACTCGTGATCGACAAACGCGCGCTCGGCATTGCCAAAGTAATGAAAATGCTCTGCAGCAAGCAGCGGGCGATGTCGATCATCGGCACTTGTTTCCTGCTACTCATGTCCGCCCTTTGCTCGATGCCTATCGTGGATTGCTCAACTGCGAACAGGTCCACTATGTTCGGCGGGCGGTCTCGGCTGCTGCTTGGGCTTTGAAATCATGAGCCGAGAGCCGGGCCACGGATGAAAGTGATCTTACGGTCGAAGTGCAGAGGGTAGAGGCCCATGATAAGAATTTATGCATTCGTATTCGAGCCGTGGAAAAGTCAAATGGGTCGATGTTTGAATTTGAAGTCGAAGATGCAAGCAGAGTTCGATGTATGTATACTCAGTGACTCAGCAAGGTGAAAAATGACTGATGATTGCTGCTGCGGGTCACTCTTTGTCTGGTGATCCGTAGGACTAGGAACCATCTCTTCAAGATCTTGATACAGATCGGTAGCTCCTCAACGCCTTACATGTAAACACACACGGCTCACGTGCGAGCCCCAAACAATAGGGAGTATCCAAAACGCTCAAAAATGTTGAAACATCGAATCATGCCAGTCATGGTGAGAGCGGAGAATGCCAGCCTTCACTACCGATTCCGTAGTGCAAGCAACAGAAACTTCTCCCATTTGTTCCGTGCCATCAACACAGTAGCCCTGCCGTCGTCTCGCTTCTCGGTACCATCAGGGTTGCCCATCGTTAAGGCAAAGATCCAAAACACTGCCGCAATCCAAGAGAAGAAAGCCATGCATATGCTGAGACCCGGGGCGAGAACGTGAATGAGTACCAATCGAGCTGGGCTGAACTCGAAATTATGGGCATTGTCAACAGACCCGGCGTAGATGATTTGGAGGTGTTTTCGGTAGATCGGACAGAGCGTTCGAATGAGACAGGTGCTGAACGACCATTCCTTTTGACAAAGTCGTATGGGCGAAATGACGACTAGAACGACGAGTGTGATGATAGAGAACAAGCAGCTGAAGAGAGTGTAGAAGGGGTCCATGATTGACATCCAGAACTGCCACAGCTCGTCAGTATCTTTGTAAATGGAGTATGGGTTACTTAGACTTACGAGTATCCAAATGGCATGATCAGGCTCTTCATCATCATCGTCGTCGCCTTCTATGTCTGACTGGACATACCGAATGACTGTGGATGGTGGCTGCTGTTCCATTTCTCTCGATCTTTGCCGACTCTCGACTCTATGACTGGTCGAGTGGCTTCTGTTGCCGTGACGTCGACTGCGCTCTGCAACATCGCCTCTTTCGAGGTCAGATTGGTATGGGTATGGCTGAGGTGCGTTCTGCACTCTTGAGTTTGTGGCATCTGTTGAGCCTGATGTGGCACTAGATACCGAGGCTTTGATGTGGTTGGGTACATGCGAAAACTTGTCTGGTCTGTCCGAAAGATGCGCTGGGACCGGTCGATGTAATCGAGGCGTTGATGGCACCGCAGGAGAGGAGCTGACAGGAGATGCGTAGTGTGGATAGTAGGCTGGCGAGTGGCTCATGGGCGGCGGAACGCTATCAGGTTTGCGCATCTTTGGCGGCTGTGGTAGCCCGACTGACGTGATGTCGCCAGAGATGCTGTCATATGCGAAGTAGTGGTGATATCGGAGACGGGACTGTCAATATGGGGGGAATTGATGGCAAATTTCGTCGAGTGTGACAGCGACACACTGACGCCGTGAAACGGAAGGGCAACATGCTTATATGATATGAGGAAAGCAGCAAAGGGAGGAGGTGCCATGGCAAAGGCTTGGGATGCTCAGCGCCGAGAAGGCCAAGAGGTTGGCGGAAGTGTGGAAAGCGCGATTCTTACCAAGTTTTGCACCTCCTTTCCGCTCAGCAGTGCTCAGACGCCTGGTGATCGGTTAGGCATACTCACGTGAGATGGCTCGTGCTGTTGGAAACGCGTTTATCGCGACCTCGTCGACGCTTTCTGATGAAGAAAGAGACGGCGGATGAGCCATGCAAGACGTGCCAAGTGAAGATGCTGAAGTTGCCAAGCACGAATCAGAGTGGTGGCTGAGTGGGCCGGAAAGTGCACATCCTTGTCCTAAACTGCGAGCAAGATCCGGTGTTTTTCGCTTTTCGCCTCTGCTCACCTAGCACTTTGTTCAACCACGAGAATAGTTAATGCTGGTAGATTCGATTTTATCAACTTCACGAGGACTCTTCAAAGCTCACCTTTGGTCTGATATGCTGTCGCAGACAACTTCAGGCGATGGCGAGAGCTGTACGCCCTCCCTGCATCCTTTCGTGGCACCTACACGCCGTACTAAGCCGCTGGGCCTTCTTGGTATACACTCAGCGGTCTTGTACCTCACGGATATTGCCCGAAGTCTATGTGTTGCCCGCAAACCTGCCAAACCTGCCGAGTGCGCTTTCTCCACGCAGCGATCGCCTCAAGACTGCTTAAATTCGTTGCTACTGCTATTCGCAGACGTCGAATCTTGTGGTCGAGCTACCACAGCGTGTTAGCTTTTTTCAAATCCTCATCTGCCATCTGGGCGTGCCTCAGTACCGCCAAGACTGTGCCAGCATCACCTCATCTTCCGTAGCACCCGTCTTGATAAGTCAGGACGGTTGGGCTGGTTTGTACATGTGATCATATGCTGCGATGCCGCACGAGGCAACGTGATCATTATTTTTGCGAGCAAAGTCGTAGAAGGCTTGCGTCGCTGGACCTACCGAGCACCGTGTGTCGAAGGACCGTACATTCCGTCGCCTGACATTGAACCCTGGGTTTACCTAAACGAATAATACCTGCTGGCACACGCAAAATCTTCGGAGCGTGCTCGTTTCCATGAACCGGCAGACTGATCCAGTCTCGGTGACTGTGTAGGTCTGTCTTCAGAGTTTTTGACCCGCCAGTCAATCATTCATGCATCAGCATCGCAACCAGCATACGGATCTCACGTCAAGTGCCCACCGCCGGAAGAGAAGCGTTCGCGTGTCTCCCAAACGTTCACTGCATGACTGCCACCGTCTGAATTGTTCAAGTATGCGTTTAAACATGTCTGACGTGACTGCCTTCGCGCCCAGGTCACATGTATTCACTATCACCTCTCGATTAGATTCTGGCTGAGGACGCCAATGGCGACGAGCGACCTCGCTGTATGTGGATTGAGATAGCACCGGAAGCTTCATCTGATTCAACGTCAGTATTGGGCGGCCATTGTCGATTCACCATCGCATTTGTTTCCATGGAAGGCCCGCCGTTTGTCGTCAGGTCAGAACAGAAACAAGCATCGGAACGCGGCTAGAGCACCTCACCAGCGACTTGGCTGTTCTTTTCGACTGAGACTGCAGAGCTAGGACAGTAACAAGTGCGAGTTTGAGATGTCATCAACGTCAACCGCAACGCTCATTGCGCCGATCTCATCCAGCGGTCACAGCCACCGTGGTCGATTGTCGCAACACTGTGGTACAACTCAAAATCAACAATGCGAAAATAGCCTCTGCCGGCTTGTCTTTGGCTGAGTGCTTGCCGAATCATCTACCTGTGCGTGACGCTTGAGTCAATACCCACGACAGCAGATAGCCCCCGTGTGGTTGGCTGGCCGATTCGTGGCTTCCAAATAACGTCCCAGGCGCGGGTGTTGGCATGAAAGTGACTGTCGGACTGAGCAGTCATTGTACCTTGGCACCGGGCTGTCGCACGAGGCACAGGGACCGGGCTGCAGATGTTGTCACACGGTGTGACATTATAAGATGTCGTGGTACACATGGAAACATCATCCTGATGTCGGAGATTCAGCCACGACATTCGCACGGACCTTCTGACGTTCGAAGGTTCCAGTGGCGCATTCCGACAACATGCCAGATCTGCTCAGTACCCTTGACCAACATGTGGCAAGCATTCCGTGGATCGCCATCAAACATGGGTCAATGTTTCCGCTGGGCTAGTCCGATGAGCCACAACAGTCGTATAAAGACTCCTTGGGCCCCCTTGAGACAAGCAAAATGCTGCCAACACATTTCACTTGAGCACATGACTCAGTAGGGATATGTTACGCAGATTTGATCCAAGTGCCTGCTTGATAGATCAGCAGTAGCGAGAATGCTCAGTCGAGTTGCCAACGCAAAGGCGTCTGTATGAACAGCTACTGATATTTAATGTGGCCGCAACGTTTGTGACTTGGCTATCTCTGGCTGAGAGCGGAATGATTGGACCCAACGGGTATTCCGAATATTGCACCAGAAAAGCAAGCTCATTTTAGGCTCCGAGCTGGCGCAAGGTCTTTACACAACTCTAATAGTCTCTGTGCACCGCTCATTCTGAATCGCAGGCAGCCGAAGGACCTGGGAGGCACGCGTACAGGTTGGGAAAGAGCTGATCCTCGGGAAGCGAGATAAAAAGTGTATAGGTTGGCAGGGTGGCAGCTGCCAGCTGGATCGCCCGTGCCGTGCAACTCCGGCATCTGCTGTTGTATGCCCCCCGCCCTCATGCGATTAGGCACCCCCTGACTTTTTCAGCCCCCCAACCGTCAAGGATACGTCGAGCCTGCACGCGAACTTTCCGGCTCTCGAAACGTAATGGTCAGGGTGGAGCAGCTGTCGGTACGGGTGGCGTGCGTGGCTCCTAGGCGTTTTTAGCGATCCCCCATGACCATTTGACTTGCACCAGCCGATGCTTATCTTGTAACGAATTTAGCCACCTCTGGTTCAGATCCACTGCCGTGCCTGTTGCAGGTTCGCCATTGTACAACAAGCATAGACGGTAGCTATTTCAAGCCTAGCTGACTGGAGCTCGAGCGTGAGCACTGTGCGTGGCCTGGGTCATACCCTGGCTTCTAGTCTCCACTCTGGGAGCTCGTAACCGTGGGGCTTCCGTAGCCCGTGGCTGACTTCATGACGAGCGAAGAACCGGCGCCTGAGATCTGTTTAAGCATGGGTGTATTGGGCAAGGAGAATCACAGCAATTAGGGTTGTTAACACTAGCGTACTTCCTCAATCATAGAGACTTCTGCTCCTTCCCCGTCTCCTGTCACTCGTCTCATTTCTCCGTTTTCCTGCCTTCACACACTGAGCTGAACCGAAGGTCGAATCCCAAATATCAACGTTAATATCACCCGCTCACAACGCATTCTCGGTCATACACAGCGGTCTGCCTAGCAAATATCTTCCATACCTATTCTCACTGCAGCCATTCGACATCGGTGCTTTACATATGCGCCGGCACGGTGTCCTTTAGTAACAGGCTATAGAACGTGTGCAGACAGCTTTGTCAAGTTCACCAAGACGAAGGCGACATCCAACTTTGGCTTGTACGGTGTCTCGGACCCCTAGGTCGCTACCGTTCCCGCATTTGAGCGATCGGGCTCGTGCATCTGGCGTAGTCTATCGGTGGCTGCTCGCAATATATTGCCGATCACCTCCTAGAGGGAGACCCGGGTCAGGCGATGTCCATCATTGGAGCTCCGACACCTGCACTCATGGCACTGCAAGTTCCTGGTCCTTACGGACAGGTTGGTGGTGGCGCACCAATTGACGCTCATCTTCAACGCCAAAGATTGCTGGCACAGCTCAATGAATCTACATGGCAGAGGATTGGTAAGTCGCGCAGATCCTCGCTGCAAGACCATACTGACATGCGGACTAGGCACCCTCAATGAGCTCATGAACCAGCTTGATGATGCACTTTATGCATACGAGCAGGCACTCCGCCATAACATGTACTCTACCCAGACTCTCAACGCCATCTCAACGATTCTGCGCACAAAGGAGAAATATCCTGAAGCAATGGAGTACCTGAAGAACATCATCAAGATGGAGCCTGCCAATGGCGATGCGTGGGGCAACCTTGGTCACTGCCACCTTATGATGGACAACTTGCAAGACGCCTATACTGCGTACCAGCAAGCACTGTACTATCTGCCTGATCCGAAGGTTTGTTCACATAAGTCGTGTTCCTGGCCGCCCACTGACCGCCCACGCAGGAGCCGAAGCTGTGGTACGGCATAGGTATTCTCTATGACCGATACGGCAGTCTCGAGCACGCCGAAGAAGCCTTTTCGCAGGTCATGCGTATGCAGCCGGACTTCGAGAAGGCCAACGAGATCTATTTCAGACTTGGCATCATTTACAAGCAGCAGAGCAAATTTCAGCAGAGTCTGGAGGTACGTATCGCTTTCTCGGGGTCAATTGCAAGCTGATTTGTTTGCAGTGCTTTAAGTACATTGTGTCTGATCCTCCACGTCCACTAAACGAGGAAGATATATGGTTCCAGATTGGCCATGTACATGAGCAGCAGAAAGATGTATGTATTAGTCCAATATACCCCAAGTCTCCTCTAATGTCTTGTAGTTCGAAAGCGCCAAAGCCGCCTACAAACGCGTTCTTGAGCGCGATCCTAGGCATGCTAAAGTACTTCAACAATTGGGATGGCTTCATCACCAACAGAGCAATTCGTACTCGAGTCAAGAACAGGCGATCGAGTATCTCGAGAAATCCGTCGGTTCCGGTCAGTGTGTACACCTTCTTCCGTAGCAATAGCTGACAGTGCGTACAGATAATGCCGATGCACAGTCCTGGTATCTGCTCGGCCGCTGCTACATGGCGCAACAAAAGTTTCCCAAGGCATATGAGGCCTATCAACAAGCTGTGTACCGTGACGGGCGCAATCCGACATTCTGGTGCTCTATTGGAGTGCTATACTACCAAATCAACCAGTATCGTGACGCGTTGGACGCCTACTCAAGAGCCATCCGCCTTAATCCATATATCTCAGAGGTGTGGTATGATCTCGGAACACTGGTGAGATACCCCAGCTTTTTTCATGAGATGACATCTGCTGACGAGAGCTTAGTACGAAAGTTGCAACAACCAGACCGCAGATGCTCTAGATGCATACTCCAGAGCGGCTGAGCTTGACCCCGGCAACGCGCACATCAAAGCCCGCCTGCAGCTTCTACGTAGTGGTGGCGGCGCCGGCGGTAATCAGCATAATGCCCCTGCTCCACAAGATGTGCATCCTCAAGCATATCAGAATGGTGTTGGCGTTCCACCGAACCCAGGCTGGCCAGGCTCGACTGGCCAGAATCAGCAACCACATCAGCCTCCGCTGGACGCAGCCAGAGTCAGCGAATGGACGCGCGGCATCCCTCAACTGAACCAACCTAACGGCCCTGCCAACCCGCAGAATGGCTTCGATGGTCGGGATGGCATGCGTGCTCCGCCTATGCGTGCTCCATCTCCGCGCAGTGATCAACTGCGGCCTTACGGTGAGCCATCGCGCCACACACCTGGTCCTGTCCGGAAGCATTCTCCATCTCCAAAGATGCAGCATTCGGGACCATCAGGTTTCCCGCCACCACAGACCTTGCCTCAGCTCAACCTAGGAGAGAGGCCTCCGCCATTCAATGGTGGAATGCGGCCATCACCAAACATGAATGGCGCTCCACCTCAGCCAGCTGGCGGACCCGCAAACACATTGCCTCCCTATGGTAGGCCCTTCAGTCCTCCCAGTGAAATTCGACCTCTTCGAGACGACCATGCCCACTCTCCGCCAGCTGGCAACATGCCTCCTTCGCAGTATCCTGGCAGCCAACCTTTTCCAAGCATCGCTAGCGGCGTCAGCTCTGCACCCCAGCCTTTGCCACAGGCAGCTGAGCCACCTCGAGAAGATACTAGGCCGCCCTCTGCTATGAAAAGATCGCGCGAGTGGGAAGCTGATACTGGCCCGTCAAAGAAGATTGCCAATGAGGAGTCAAGAGCCCGACTCGAGGAGCCTCCGCGCCACACTAGCCCTCCTCACCGGAACCCTACTCCGCGCGACCACTTCCGCCGCGATTCGTCCGAGGCCCGTCGGGAGAACGAGCGGCGTGCAAATGAGAACTACCATCCGTCTGAAGCTGCCCACCATCCTTACAGCTTAGCGCCACAGATGCCGCCTATCCAGGCACAGGCGCCACCGCCGCCTGAGCCCCCAAAAGAGGACCGCAAGGAGAACGTCGAGCCTGCAGCGCGGAAGATGGATGTGGATGAGGACTACGATAATAACAGTGAGGATGAGAAGAAAGGCAGCGGAACGGCTCCTGGTACTGCAACCAGGAATTCGCCGGTCCAGGCAGGGTCTGTTAACGGCGTGCCGAAGCAGGAAGTCACTGTATAAAGGTACATTTAGTTCTCCATTTGGATGAAGCTTCTTCACAACGCTCCGCTGCCTTGTTCAAGGAGTCCTTCGCGGGACTTTACTCGAGTGCTCGCATTGTCCGTGTCATAACTATACGTAGACTCAGATGCTTTCGAGCGGCTGACCCTTCGGGCCTTGCGTTGATTCTGCCGTCGAAAGCCACGTGGTTTTCCTTCCGGCTGCGGGCTCGCCAGCCTGCTTTTACCCCAGGTTGACGAGCGTGACCTTTGCTGGTCAATACATTGTAAGCAGCCATGGAGCCCTGGTTCGTTTCTAGATTTCTACCCACGTACTTGAGTAGTCGTCCGCTATGTCTACAAGGCTGTTGAAAAGCCTCGTTGTAAAGATCTCTTTTCGAGTTAGCGCAGAATCCGAATCCGCCAAGATTTTTTCTCTTGATGCCGCACCTTGCACATTTTCCGACCCGACGCTGATTGTGCGATCCTCAGACAACTTACCTGACATCAAGCCAGCAAGATGTGAGTCGACGCAGTCCGATAAGAGATCAAGGTACTGACTACCTGAACAGGTCTCACCGAAAATTCGAAGCGCCTCGTCACGTTCGTTGCCCTCCCACCGAAGATCGAATTCAAAACTAATACCGTACAGGGCTCACTCGCCTTCCTGCCCCGGAAGCGAGCAGCGAGACACCGTGGAAAGGTCAAGAGGTAGGCTTCATAAGTCATGACTCTTTCAAAGAAGTCGAAGCTGAAACATTCCACAGCTTTCCCAAGGATGACCCCAAGAAGCCAGTCCATCTCACTGCTACCATGGGCTACAAGGCCGGCATGACTACCATCGTGCGCGACCTTGATCGCCCAGGTGCAAAGATGCACAAGAAAGAAGTTGTCGAGGCTGTCACAATCATCGAAACCCCTCCTGTAAGTAATACGCTGAGGCGAGAGACTGTATGGCACTAATCCTTCCTAGCTGATCGCCATCGGTCTTGTCGGCTATATCGAGACTCCCCGCGGCCTGCGTTCGCTCACTACAGTTTGGGCTGAGCACTTGTCGGACGAGCTCAAGCGTCGATTCTACAAGAACTGGTACAAGTCAAAGAAGAAGGCTTTCACCAAATATGCCAAGAAGCACTCCGAGTCGTCAGGCTCCTCGATCACCCGCGAACTTGAGCGCATCAAGAAATACTGCACAGTCGTCCGTGTCCTCGCACACACCCAGATCCGGGAGACTCCTCTCAAGCAGAAGAAGGCTCACCTCATGGAGATCCAAATCAACGGTGGCAGCATCGCTGACAAGGTCGAGTTCGGCCATGGGCTGTTCGAGAAGCCAATTGAGATTGACACCATCTTTGAGCAAGACGAGATGATCGATGTGATTGCAGTCACCAAGGGTCACGGTTTCCAGGGTGTCACCTCCCGATGGGGCACCAAGAAGCTTCCTCGCAAGACACACAAGGGTCTACGCAAGGTCGCTTGTATCGGTGCATGGCATCCTTCGCACGTGCAATGGACTGTCGCTCGCGCTGGTCAAGACGGATATCATCATCGTACATCGGCCAACCACAAGGTCTACCGTATCGGCAAGGGCAAAGATGAGAAGAACGCTGCCACAGAGTTCGACGTTGTGCCCAAGCAGATCACTCCCATGGGTGGCTTCGTCAAGTATGGCGAGGTCAAGAACGACTACATCATGCTCAAGGGCTCTGTTCCAGGTGTGAAGAAGCGAGTCATGACGTTGAGGAAGTCATTGTGGCCTCACACCAGTCGGAAGGCTCTGGAGAAGGTTGAGCTCAAATGGATCGACACATCAAGCAAGTTCGGTCACGGTGCTTACCAGACTCCTGCGGAGAAGAGACAGTTCTTGGGTACGCTCAAGAAGGATCTCAACGCCAGCTCGTAAGTGTTGTGCCATTAGACGCAAGGCAACACACAAAAACGAGGTGAGCTACTGCACGTCATCTCCCCAACAGATGCGACCGCTCGCAGGAGCGTTCTGGACGGCGTGGTCCGGTCGAATAGCGGCACGCCATGGTTGACGTCCCATCGCTCTTCACAGCGCTAGCGCCAAGGACTCATCATACAATGCCTGGTCGTGCTCGGCTTGAGGATACCTCATGCATGAAGGCAATTGCACGCTGCAAGAGTCGTGATCAAGCAATGATACCACAATTTCAAACTTCAAGTTTCCGACTCCTACGTGCGAGGGGTTTCATGCCTCTTTTTTGGTAGTTTCGTGTTGCAACGCAAAAGCACTGCACAGATCCAAACATTCGCCAGTGTACGTGAGGCCGTGTACGAAAGGAGCCCACGGGAGGGATCCCAGTTCCTAGTCTAAGCAGGCACGACAGTCCATGTTCATAAAAAAGCTCGATAGTTGCCATGTGCGGCCCATTGAAGTTGTCGCTAAATAAGTCCCTGCGCCAGGACATCAAGACTCTACGCTCTCCGCCTTCACGCCCACGATCTTCGCTCCCTTTTCTCCCAACGTGACTACGAAATACACCGCCCTCGTACTGCTCACCTCCAGCCTATAGACCTTAACATCCCCACCATCGCCCGCACCCTCCACTGCCTTCACCACCTCATTATACTTCCCCCTCGAGTTCCAGTCCGACAAGTTAACCTCCGAAACCTCTCCTTTCCCTCCCGCCACTTTGGCAAACTCCTTTGCTGAAGGCAGCTTATCCCCGGAGTAGGCAGAGAAGAATGGCTCAAATTCCGCGTCGGTCTCCGACGTCAGCTTGGTGGCCCAGAAGATGAGGAAAGGAGTTTGGCGATTGATGGCGGGGCGGCATCGAGGGAGGAGCTGATGGTGGGATCGAATTTGCCCTTGGATGAAGAGGTAGAGACCGATTCCTTCTGTGTAGCGGACAGGGGCTCGTTGGCTTTGTTGAGGAAGGACTCGTATTGTGCATCGGAGGACATGCTGGCGGTCTGGGGTTGGGAGGTTTTGAGGTCGGTGATGGCAGTAGTACCTCTATAGAGGGGCCGAATTGTATGGACTGACCCGAGAGAGGGACAATAGGCTCGTACTGTGGTCTTTGCTAGGAGTGGGAGCTCACGCACACTTCTCATGAATGTCAAGAACAAATTCTGACCCTGTTCTGCCTCCTTCTGGTTTTCTATGCCTACCTACCTAAGAATTCATGCACGTGTGACGTCGTCACCCGGTTCGAGGTTGATGTACGGCCAGCGTTGAGAGCCTTAGACGCAGATGTGCTCCGACTCGGAGTAGGAGCGTACCTTGCATGGACCTGAACTTACGAGAAGGCGCCGTTGTCTGTGCATACGCACACTTCTCAGATGGAGGCATTGAGCAGTCGCTGGGTTGCAGCAGAGCAGCGGCGGACATGCCGTCACGTGCATCGGAGTATGGAGTCGTTTCATGACAGCGATCACAGATTGACAGACACAAGCGTGGAACATGGGACCAGGTGGATCAGATTGATCGTCGAATACACCAGAACGCGCGGCGAACGGCTGTGGTAGACAGTACGAAGCGACACGCGTTTGTCTGGGAAGCATCAGTGTCATACACTCTCCGGCCGGTCCCATCGCTATTGCGGACCTTTGAAATCAGTCTCAAAGTTCGATGGCGGCGGTCATTCTGCAAGTCAACAAGTACCCGACGCTGCTAAGGTTCACGGCGCTCTGCCTACCTAGCAACGGTCTTTTTGTGGCTTTGAGTCACGGAGGTACCAGTGTATGTCTTGGATCCTGGCGGGATACATATCAGTAATATCCTCGATAATCATCAAATGTACAGCCGATGCAACTCCTTAGGTAGTTCCAAGCTTGTGGCTGTGTCTAGGGACTCTAGGCGACTGGCAGGTACCTTCGGCCAGTGATTGGTGGTAGAGCGGCTTAATGAGCGGGAATGCAAGATGTGCTCGCTAAAGTTTAGCAGCCCTGGCCGAAGTTAGGGGCAGACGAACGGAAGCCTCTCTCCTTGATGCGCAATTGTAGCCAGCGTCAGTGCTTTAGTTCTTCACCTACCACTGGCACCCGTCGTGAGCATTGTTGCCGCATTGACATTTTTCTTCCGCATCTGACACCACCACCGAGCGAGTCATTCGTTATTCCAGCTTGATCGACTGTCGTGCAGCCGTCGGAGCGGGCAACAACAATAGCTCCACGACACTCGTTGAACAGCATCCCAACCTTCTGAAACACATCCTGTCGCTTCAGTACGATAAAAGCAGAGCTCTTAGGTATACATCTCTCGAGTCTCGCAGTCTCTAGTCCAACTCTTCAGACTATTCATCCAAAACCGATCTGACTCGGCGGGTCAAGATAATGCGAAGAGCGCTTCGCTAGGCGCATACAGACTATCCCGCAACTCGACGAGACGTAATTATGAACCCAACAATCCTTTCGCCTCACCGCCGGCGCCGCGACCGCCACCTCATCTCGTCGTAAACTCGAGCGGACAGAGCGTGCCCCAGTTCGGCAACCCAAAAAGTCTTGCCCCGCCTTCACCACAGACATACAACCACAACAGCTCCTCAGAGAATTTGCTACTGCCAGGAGGCAGGCGACCAGATGGCTCGCCTGGGCGGTCACCTTTTGGCGATGATGCCTCTTCGCGGCGGTCAAGCTGGGAATCAGAACGAACGGGGAACAGAAATCCATTCGACGACGACTCTTCGAGACCTGTATCACGAGACGGAAGTGAAGAGGACTTGAACACCCAGACTGTGTCAGAAAAGTACAACATCACACCTTCTGCTGGTCTATTACTGTTTCCGGAAGACGTTGAGAAGGACGATTATCTGCACAACCCAGATCCTGGTGGTGAGCCGAGAGACTGCGATATCTTCAGCAAGAGAGGTATAGTCAATGTTGGGGGTCTAGCATTCATTGTACTGGGGCTGTTGTGTCTGTTCATCGGATACCCCATCCTGTAAGTTCCACGCTTCGAGGCCATGGCTCGGCCGCTAACATGAGTAGCACCTTCGTGCAAGGCTACATAACACAAAAGAACCCTTGCGCAGTCAACGATGCCTGCCTGAACTCAGACCAGCCTTTATTGAAGAATCTGCGATATTCATTGATAGACCCCCAGACGCCCGAGTCCGCCAAGTCGAAGAAGGACTTCCACGGCAACACATGGAACCTCGTGTTCTCGGACGAGTTCACGGAGCCTGGCCGAACGTTCTACGACGGCGACGATCCGTACTGGCATGCGGTCGATTTGTGGTACGGGGTCACGCAAGATCTGGAATGGTACGATCCGGATGCAGTTACAACCAATAATGGCGCATTGGAGATCAGATTCGACGCATTTCAGAACCACGGCTTGAACTACCGGTCAGGCATGGTGCAGAGCTGGAATCAGATGTGCTTTAAGGGGGGACGTCTTGAGGCTAGTATACAACTACCGGCAGCTGGCGACACAGTCGGGCTATGGCCTGGTTTCTGGACGATTGGCAACCTAGGAAGAGCTGGGTATGCGGCTACTACTGAAGGTATGTGGCCTTATTCATATTCGGACGTTTGTGATGCAGGCATCACGCCAAACCAGAGCTCGCCCGATGGCATCAGCTGGCTTCCGGGCATGCGTTTACCATCGTGCACTTGCGCCGGCGAGGACCATCCAACTCCGGGAAACTCACGATCGGCACCCGAGCTTGATGTGCTGGAGGCTACTATCGGGCCCTTCGATGCGTCAGGGAACAGCATCGGTCACGTCTCACAGACCTTCCAAGTGGCGCCCTTCGACATTTTCTATCAAGTGGACACAGACTGGGTCGAGATGTACGATGACACAATTACACGAGTCAACGAGTACAAGGGAAGTCAGTACCAGCAGTCGATCTCTGGTCTGACAAATCTCAACAATGACTGGTATGAGGCCAAAGATGGTTGGCAGGTGTATGCGTTCGAGTACACTACCGAGACTAAGAACGACGATATCATCTGGTATGTTGGCGACACCACACCCACCTGGCGAGTACATCAGAACGCCTTTGGACCCAACGGTAACGTGGGTGCAAGAACGACGCCCAGAGAACCGATGTATGTCATCATGAATTGTGGCATGTCTGGGTCATTCTCGATGCTCAATCTCACCTACCTGACCGAGATGTTTCCCGCCACCATGAAATTTGACTATGTGCGGATTTATCAGGACGAATCTATGGAGTTGACTTGCGATCCGGAAGGGTTCGAGACGACTCAATATATCAAAGATCACATCGATGTGTACACCAATCCTAACATCACACGATGGTAAGTCTACAGTCCAGGGTCTACTTTCGCACACGCTAACGCGACGCAGGTCGGCGACCAACTACGATTGGCCAAAGAACTCGTTCATGAACGATTGCGAGTCGTGATCGATGTCTTGCCAGCGAGCCTTTCTGGCTTTAACAGTTTGGCTTGATTGCTTTGATTGACTGCGTCTTAGCGGCATACACTGCACGGTTTTGCAGCATTTTGCGGCGTTCTTAAGAAACGGATGGGCGATATGGACAGATCAATGTGGCTTGATCTTGCTCAGCAGGGAACTATTGATGGATACTATACCTGGTGGTTATATGCACAAAGTGATGAAATGACATCCGTGAGATGAAAAGCGGTGTTTGGATATATAGAATGGTCAGCAGCCGTAGAGCATGTGGCTCTGAGGCAGAATATGATCACCGATGAGATGACATTCAAGGACTCCCGAACTTGAATTTGGTGTAAAGCATTGACCGTTCCTCTGGACTGTCCCTTCAAATTGTGGTTGACATTGGAGACGGATCCCAAATCTTGTCATCCGGCGTCAGTTGGATCCACAAATGAAGGCATTCGGCCTGTCAACGGTGCGGGGAAATTTTTTGGACCGGTGACAAAACTGCATGCCATTTTCTCAAAAAAAAACAAGACCTCGCGATACTCAACCCTTACACGACCAGCAATTGCCGCAATGTCGTTGGAGGATCGGCTGGACAAGATAAGGTCGCCGAATCTTGAGAACCAGACACATGTGCGTATAGGACGCATTGCAAGGCTTTGCTCAAACTACTGACCTATACTGCAGACTCGGAATGCGCTCCATTCAATTGAGGAAACGCTGCGCGACCAGAAACTCGATCTGACGCCGACTGCCTACTTTGCATCATGCCTCGCCCTACTGAAGCAGGCGGCCTCGTCCCAAGGGCAGATCGGCGAGAACAGCGTTGCTGCCGCTGCCATATACCTCCTGGACATTGTCACATCACATGTGCCTGCTGGCCTACTACGGTCGCAGTTCAGCAGCATATCTAGTCTCTTATTGCCGTATGTTTCGAACGCAGAATCCAACGCTCCACTCCTACGAGCCGCTATAGGATGTCTCGAATCTCTCCTTCTCGCACAAGACTCGCAGGCTTGGGCCCTGCCGCAGTCGCAAGTTGGGCCAAGGCAAGCCATACCCGCTGTGCTCAGTCTGGCTATCGACCAAAGACCCAAGGTCCGGAAGCGAGCACAAGAAGCCTTGACACAGATTCTCAAGTCGCCTCCGCCCGGACCAGCCATCGATCACCCAGCGGCAGAGATGTGCGCTGTGGCTGCCCAGAACAACCTCAAGCATGCTGTCGACACAATACAGCAGGCTCGCAAGCACCGAGGCCGGCCTGCCGACAGTCATGAGCCAGCAGTGATTCACGCTCTGCAGCTGACCAAAACCATCGCAGTTGCGTCAGGAGGGTGGCCGAGCAAGAAAATTGAGACCTTGTGCGAGCTCCTGCTATCGCTGTCACGATCCCGAAACGATTACCTGGTGACGAGCGCGTTTGAGGTCTTCGAGGTCATATTTGAGGGAATGGAGGATGAAGTCACATCTGTAAAATTGCCCAAGCTACTTGACGCCATTGTCGAGCTCAAGCCAGCACAGAACGACTCACAGCTCCTGCCGCCATGGATCGCCATCGTGTCGAGAGGCTACGGCACGTCAGCGACTACCGAGCCAGATGATACCTTCGCAAAGCTGCCCGAACTATTCGATCTCATTGCAGTCTATCTGACCAGTACCTCACAAAATATTCGTGTCTCGGCATCGCAATGTTTGATTTCGTTCTTCGCCAACTGCATACCGGACAGTGTGATTGGTGAGCCATCGGTATACGACGAGAAAGTCCTGGAGCAGATCGCTTCGCGAAGTCTGGGATTGCTGTCAGTAAAGTATCAGTCCGCGTGGAAGGAGGTCTTCAACACTCTGGCGGCATTGTTTGACGCCTTGAGATGGCGCGGCGATCCGTTCCTGCTTGCTATTGTGAAGGCACTTGGCGAACTTCGCAGCAATAGCGGTTTTCAAGGTAAGGACGAGGCAGATGAAGTCCTTGGGCGCGCCATACGCAATCTTGGCCCAGCGGCTGTACTTTCGGTCTTGCCCCACAACTTGACAAATGCACAGAAAGGGCAGCCAGGTCGGGCGTGGTTGCTGCCACTCCTTCGAGATCATGTGTCCAACACGAACCTAGCGCACTTCAAGTCAGACCTAGTGCCTCTGAGCGAGGCTATGTTCCAGCGTGTGCTCAACCACGGCAATGCCGAAAAGACGATGGACATCAAGATCTACGAAACAGTGGTTCAGCAAGTCTGGTCGGCGTTTCCAGGCTACTGTGATCTGCCTCTTGATCTGGCTAGCGCTTTCGATCAACCATTCGCTGAGTTGATCTCGAATCTACTGTATCAGCAAGTGGATCTACGGGTCGATCTGTGCAGAGGACTACAGAACCTGGTCGAGTCCTACGACGCACTCATCGCGTCGGACCTCCCAGACGAAGTCCTTTTGATCGAGAGACGACTATCCCGCGCCGATGCCGAGGCAGGAAGCGCTCATTTGGCTGGACTGGCCAGCAACATGCTTGCAGTACTCTTCAACGTCTACAGCCAGACGTTGCCCCAATCTCGCGCCTACATTCTGCAGTGCATAACTGCGTACTTATCGATCACTTCGGAGGCCGACCTAATCGCAACATTTGAGCGAGTTGCAAAGATGCTGGAAGCTGAGCTGCCTGCACCCGATGCACGCGCGTCTGCTAAGCAGCAGCAGCAGTCACGATCCAAAACCAACATGCCACCTACATCTCACACGCTACTTGATCTTGTCATCGCCCTCTCAAGCCACCTTCCTCGATCGACCTTCAGTGCACTTTTCGCGCTCGCGTCGTCCATCTTCTCGAATCCATCAATTCTAAAGACCGATCCCCAACTGATCAAAAAGGCCTACAAGCTGATACCACAACTGGGTCTTTCCGAAGCCGGGACGGAAGCCTTACAGGCACGTAACGGCGAGCTGCGGCAACTCGTACTCAACACATCAGACACAACGCCTCTTCCAGCTCGACGAGATCGCTTCCTCGCAATCAACACCCTCATCGACCATCTTCCATCGACAGATTTACACTTCCTAACCACAATCATGTCCGAAATCGTTATCGCATGCAAAGACTCCAATGAGCGAGCGCGCATGGCGGGCTTCGACCTCCTTCTCACAGCAGCAGCCAAAATCATATCCGAGGGCAAACAAGGCGCGATGATCCGCAACTCGCTGGCACCGAACATGCCAGACGACACTCCGGACGTGCAAGCCAGCGTCGAAGAAGTCTTCAGCATGGTTTCCGCTGGCCTCGCTGGAGTCGCACCGCATATGATTGCCGCCACAATTACGGCCCTTAGCAGACTGTTATGGGAGTACCACAGTGAGCTCGATGCCGCCATCAGGGACAGTGTTATGGACACAGTCCTCATGTTCCTCGAAAGCAACAATCGCGAGATCGTCCGAGCAGTGCTTGGTTTCGTCAAGGTCGTGGTGGTAGTCATCCCCAAAACAACCCTCGAAGCAAATTCACGTATACAGAACATTCTCAAAGGCTGCATGATCTGGAGTAAAGAGAACAAGGGCCGCCTCAGACAGAAAGTCCGAGGCATACTCGAGCGCGTGCTGCGTCGCTGGGATGGGCAGCTCGTTGAACAGTGGGTCGACGATGATGAGTCGAGGAAGATGGTGAAGAACGTCCGCAAAAGGAAGGAGCGGGCGAAGCGGAAGAAGACTGGTGATTTTGTTGATGCTGATGATGACGATGCTACCGCTGGGAAGGGTGAGAGGAAGTACGATAACGAGTTCGATGAGGCTGTGTACGGAAGCGATGATTCCGGCGAAGAAGACGATGACTCCATCTTGGGAGATTCAGACCACGAAATGAACGGACACAACTCCCAGAAATCCTCAAAGCGGAACAACTTTAGCAAAAAGAACCAGCAATACATCCGCGCCGATGAAGACTCAGATGACGAGCCCCTCGACCTCCTCGACCCCAAGAGCTTGGGCAGCATCACCTCGCGCAAACTTGGCCGCTTACGCGCCGAAGCCGGTCTCGCGAATGGCTCTTCTTTGCAGGGCCGTCGTACCAAAGCGCGCACAAACGAGGACGGCAAATTGATCTTCGGTCCTAACGATGATGATGATGCACTCATGAACACCACCGACGGCAACGACGAGAACAGTGCACCCAATGGTGGCGGCGTAGACGCTTACGTCGCGGCAGTAGACGGGCCCGATGCCGTTCGAAGAGGGCAGAAGGGCAAGTTGAAGGTCAAGTCCGCCCAACGACAGCGTGGGACTGAGATGGATCTGGATGATGACGACGCAAAAGCGGTCGCCAGCCAGCTATCGAAGAAGAAGCAGCGGCCGGGCAGTTCGGGCAGCATGAGCAGTTCCGGTGGTGCTGGCCGTGGCGCTGACAAGGGACCGAAGCATGCAAGGCGAGGGCTTGGAGTCGAGAAGCAACGGTTTAGTGGTGGGGGAGGCGGTGGTGGTGCGAGGGGCGGAGGGAAACATGGAGGCAAGGGCTTTGGTGGGAGTCAGAGGAGGGTGAGCGTTGGGCACGGAAGGGGCAGGGGAGGGCACGGGAGGCGCTGAGCCTTCACGAAGATTGAGGGCCGATCGCTCCTTCCCTAAATAATGGAATGATGTCCTCACCGTTAATCGTTCCTGCTGCAAGAACTCCTTAGCGAGGCAGGTGCGATCGCCGTCAGCCTATCGCTCCTGCTGCACGAAGTTCGTCACGAAGCAGGTGCGAACGCCGTGAGCCGATCGCTCTTGCTGCAGTAAGTCTTGTGACGAAGCAAGTGCGAATGCCTTCTGCCGATCGCTCTTGCCGCAGGAAGTCTTGTAACGAAGCAAGTGCGAATGCTGTTAGCCAATCGCTCCTGCTCGTAGAGAGTGCTAGCGAGGCAGGTGCGAATCTCGTCGACCGGCCGCTCCTGCAGGAGAACTGTCCAGAGGTGGTCGCGGGCTGCCACTCACTGGTCTAGCAAAAGGTGCAATCAGCACGCTCCCCACGTAGCTAAGACCAAGTGTCAGTCATTGTTGAGACGATGAATGTGAAATGGATTTTGCTCTGTAGTCGGTGCCTACATGATCCCCGCCCTTCTTTTGTGTCGCTCCCTCGTTGCGACATTTCAACCTCGCCCTTGAAGTTCAAGAAAGTCCGCACGAGTTGGATGCCCCACGTGATATCCAACAACGCACGTTTGGCCTAGAATTTGCCCTGTGGGACCATCTATTCCAACCACTCGTCCGCGCCGCCTCCCCTCCACCCACTTCCCGCCCTCTCTGATTGATTCATCAGACTCTCCGCATCCCCGACCTGTTTCCTCTCAGTGACTTCCCTATTTCTCAGCCGATTGCGCGCTGCCGCGACGCTCAATGGTGTGCCGTGTGCCATCCCGCGGGGCCCTCCTGCCTTTCTGTCTTCAGTGGTGATACGGTTGTCTTCATCGAAGATTGGCTCCTCTGCCACTGTCCGCTGTTGTGGTCTGGAGGACGCCCGCTGGGCGGCGGTGAATTGTCATTGGAGGGGTTCGGACGAGGAAGAGAGGCGGTTGAGGTGGAGGTAGACGTCTGTGCCGTAGCTATCGCACGAAAATTGTCAGCGGCTTTGCTTCCAGAGTGGAAATTGGATGTTAGAGAGGCAACTCTTACCCTTCCATACTGATCAACTTAAGATCTCCTCCGAAGTAGCGGGCGTACAGGCGTGAAATGGGCAACCCGTAGCCGAAACCGGCCATGGGCGCCTTGAAGTCAGAAGCGTCGAAACCAGGGTCAAGTTCGGGCGTTGCGTCGACAGTCGTGTACATATAGGTCCACACCAAAGGTATAGCAGATCTTGGTATTCCGCCTCCTTCATCGGAGATTTTTATAGTGATATCTTCCTTGCCCTCTGCCACAATGACCTTGGTAACAGGGAAGTCCTCCTTCTCCGCGCCATGTGTCTCCACGACGGCTCGGAGAGAATTCTTCAGAGTTTCGAACAGCATGTGTGATAGATGACCGGGCACATACATGAAATTGAGGTTGTCCGGGCAGAAGAGCTGTACTTTGGGCGCGTCGAACAGGCCGTAGTGGTCTTCGCATACAAACCTGGCGTTCTCGATCGCCTCTTCTGCGAGCTCCTTCACGTTGGTTTTCGTGCATATGATGCCGACGTAGTTCTGGTGCCGGTGATTCGTTTGATCCGTGAGAGCGATATGCTGCCCAATAAGCATTCGTATGCCTATTCGAGACATGTAGAACCGGTCCAGGAAAGACTGTATAGATGAGTCGATCTGCATCCTTTGTTTCTTCCTCTTATACTCGTTTATGCCCTGCGCAACCGTGGTCACAACGGGGTCGTGACGGCGTTTGATCTGTTCCAAACATCTCGAGAACTTCTTGTTGTAGTCTGCAAGCTCGGGCGGCCAGCTCTGTCCGTCGTCTATAGCGGCAAAGTAGCGCCTCGAGTTGCCATTACCCGAATTGGACTCGCTGCCTCGAAGAGACGGATTTCTAGTTGTCTGTGACAGGCGGTTCGAGGATGTTTTCGGTGGATTGAGGAGGCGATCCTTGGTGGACTTGTCCAGATTCGGTCGTGGGAGCTCTGTGATCTCTTCGAACGATTGCATGTACCAGTCCTTAACCCTCTGTATAGGTCGCATCTCGTTCAGCCCATCTGGTAATGTGCTCAGCTCTTCTACTCGGTGCGCCAATCGCACCGGGAGCTCCTCGGAGAGGAATTGTGATGCTCTGAAAAGGGTGCCGACGGATGGCTTCTCGCCGAACTGCACCATCTGGCGCAATGACACGCCGGTCGGCGGGAATGATGCATAGTGGTGTATAGTGTCAAGCAGTTTACTGGAAGCCTTCCATGACATGACGAGTGTCAGTCAGGCCTTGCGGCCTGGCAACAAGGGAGCAGCAACTTGGCAGCTCGTCTGCGAACGTTGTAGGACTGGACTGCGAGGGCGATAATGCTGCTCTGCGAGGGTGTACTCTTTCTGGTAATGAGGGTTCCGTGGATGGGGCGCCGCTCACGTGGACGGCACGGAGATGGAGGCGTCCACGAATGTTGCGTACCGAAATCCAGAGAGCCGAGTGACTCTTGTGAACTTAAGTACTAACGCTGTGTGAAGCTGCAGGAAATGGTCGCGCGAGCAGAAGCAAGAGAACTGGATCTGCAATTGTTGTGCGGACAACGGGGACAGTTCCTCGACAGCCACTGCTCCCCCGCGGCTTTCCCCGATCTCGAACCTGCGCTCAGCCGAGTGAGGTACCGGCGCGATCGATCTAGCGATTGACGTCAACAGTGTGGCGGTATGAAATACTGTAGGTAGCTTGAAGGCAGTTGGGATTGCGTAGAAGCTGGTAATGTACGGTTCCAACGTCAGCAGTATCCGAACCGCGTTTCTGACGCATAAAGATAGCTATAGCGGGAACGAAATGTATGTGCTGTGAAGTCGCCCTTGTCCTGGGCGGTGGGAGAGGGCCAGATGGAGCTTCAGCCGGACCTGGAGGGATGTGGGGAGGCTTGGCAGATCAGCCGACAGAGCTTGTTCCGAGCTCCTGCCATGTGAAAGTGTTGTTCTTCTCTACCAAAACCCATCGCTGGTCCTTCCACTTGCATCAAGTCTGATTCTTGCTCGGGAAGACTTGATGTGGCATCGTCCAGAGTGGCTCACAGGTCACTAAAGGGCAGCGCCGGGAATGAAAGGACTTCTGTCGTTCTAGGTAACTTAGGTCTTGTGAAGACGATACAATCTGCTGCTGGAAGAAACGATTTGCACGCACACAGGTATGATTGTCTGTCGAGAGGGGGATGTGCAGGCCCGGGAGCCCACTCGGAAACGCATCTCATGCCGCAAGTGATGCTGATCGACGGGGTTGTACTTCGAAGAGCTGGCACGCAACGGAGGCAACTCTGCACACAGGAGTAGCACGCAAGGCAAGTAGAGGAATTGATGGCGATACTGGTCTGAGACTGGAGACAAGTCGGTCGTGTCATGACAGCAACATGAGGTAGATCCGAGGACATGGTAACAACAGAGTGATGTAGGCAGGCAGGCTCCCTTCACTACGCGCTCCTTCTTTCCCCAGCAACGACTTCACTCGTGATAATAAATTTCGGGCGGCAGACTTCTGGTCAGACGGATAGCGCTACTCTCTACCCAAACCATCGCCTCCATCGTGCCTTCCATTCCTTCCTTCGCCAATTTGTACCTTGAAAATGGAGTCGGCCCACGAGAAGGAGCATCTAACCAATGGTCACGATCATGGTGTGCTTGATGGCGACGCTGCAGGCTTGAAGCGCGTGCTGTATAAGCGCAAGATTCCGCTCCGAACTCGAATCGTCTGGCGAATCGAAGATTTTGTCGACGACATCGACTGGATGCACATTCTGTGCAAGACCATTCTGTTCAGCTACTTCTTCTTCGTCTGCTACATTGCCTGGCAAGTGCTACCTGTCCGTGGTCATTGGACTCGACCTGGTCAGTTCGACAAAATCCCGATCGTCTATCAGACCTTCGGAAAGTGAGTAGCACTTCAATCAATGCGAGACAATGAATCTAACGTCTGCAGCTACTTCAGCAAGTACGAAGGATTCGCGCAATGCGACATCAAAGCAACGGATCTCTACCACCCTCCCACTTTCGATCTTGAGGGGAGCTACTCACATGGCGGCTACTGCTCAAGACGTGCTGACCTGCTGGAGTCCATGTCGAACGGTGGTCGTATAGGGTTCGACGCACCGTACACTGCTGCTGGTATGTCCCTATAGTTCTGGAAGAGATTCGAGGCTGATCCATGCAGACTGCCACTACCGCTGGTACACCATCGATGAGATCTGCATGATCCTCGAGCGCTTCGATGCTGTAGTCTTTGTCGGCGACTCCTCGCTCCAGAATATCTACAATGGCTTCAACATTCTACTCCGTCAAGACCTAGCCACCGGCGCACTCAAGTCATGGGAGATGGATGGCAACTTGCTCGATTCCTGCTACTGCGATGCTCAGTTCAATACGCCTGCCTGCGCCGAGCACTTTGTGACATCCAGTCATGAAGTCAACGAGAATACACCTTCAATTGGATCGCCATACACCTGCTCTCGGTTTCCACATGCCATGCTGCGCATTGAAGGTTCTCCAGCATCAGGCAAGATATACGAGCAGTTCAAGAAGTTGGTCCTACGAGTACCGCGCTCGAACTATAAGCCGGTGCCAGTCGTTCATTCCTTGGCTCCTGGTGCATTCTCGCTCGATCAAGCCTCGAAGTCGCTACACGAATTCCTCGATTTGGCGGACGCTTCGAAACGCAAGACTCCAATGCTGTGGGTTGGACCTACTGCTGCAGGACATATCGAGATCAAGAATCGGAAGGGTAATCAGGAGATTTGGGACTACGACAGAGGTATGGCTGAAGATGCGCGGAAGAACGACATCGAGGTGCTGAAGATGTGGAACATGACTGTGCAGGCCTCGAGCTTTGACGGTATTGGCTTCGGCGAGAAGGTTGCCATCACTCAGGCTGTGATGGTCATCAACTGGCTCAGCCGACTCGAGAGTAGCTGAGTCTGGCCAACCTTCATACTGGGTATCACGCTCTAGCACTGGTATCGCATAGCAGTCGTCAAAGCCTGGGGACCAAGCCTTAGCGTCGGCTCCTTTGTCACCTGCCTCAAGGATGGTATTTGAGCATGGATGAGACACATAGGGACTCGATGCGCTGTTTCGTACTTTGTCCAAATCAACAAAGGCTACCTTCTCCTTGCTTTGGCTCATGCCGTGACAAGGCAACACAACACGAGCAGAAAGAAGACAATGAAACACGAGAATTTTGACAGCTTCTTTTGTCCGCTGTGTAACGAGTATATCAGACTGCATGCCTTCCGCACAGACCACTCGATTCCATACCGAATCTCGTCAAAAAGACCAGACCCCCCACAAAAACAAAACCCGAAATATCAGACTTTCACCAAACAATCACAAGTAAGTAACGATGCAATTCCTCATCCCCCTTACAACGCTCCTCGCCCTAGGCTCCGCCCTTATCATTCCGGAGTTCGAGACTACTCCAGCCAACTCCACCGTCAACCTCGAGCGCCGTATGAAGTCGATGAACGGCAAATGCGTTCGAGGCGATGCCACCCAGGAGGCCGCCTGCAAGGTCCCCAAGGGGCAACACTCGGCCTATGCCTGCCGCAATAGCAACTGCAAGGGTAAGATGGGCGCCAAGTGCGTAATTGCACCTGCTGAGCATGGAGAATGGGTCGCTAAATGTCCAGTCAACCTCCTTCCCTACGAGTGGGACTGGCCGTGGCACCCATGAATGAGGGTGTAGAGGTGGTAAGTAAGGTAAGTACCGGAAGCCCAAGGGGCCGATCTCGTGGGAAAGGTAAGTCATGGTACAGCTGAATGTCTATTTCGGAGACAGCGAAGTAGAAGCAGGTGCCCTTTATCTGTCCGTACAGGTAAGTGAATGGAAACCAGGTAACAATTCATATCTTCTCCTCTGCGTATGTTCCATAGCTTGAGTCCAGCAAATTCCGTAGGCCTCCGACTTGGGACAACGGCTCCGGTCTAGCGCCGACCTGTATCTTAGCATGACTGGAGCTCACCGTCGTGATGACCCCCGCTACCTGCTGCGAGATGATCCTGCCACGGTTGTAAGGGTCGCAAGAAAGTGAGTACCGAAGTTTGTATAGGTAGGGTGGACCATCAGACGGGGCGATATCTGAAGCCGGCTGACGAGAATAGCTCCTACCAGAGGACAAGGCAGGGATATAGCGGCGTAGGGCAAACCGGATGACACGAAGAGCAAAGAGGGCTTCAAGTTACCTTGATGCGAATGACGTTGATGGCTCCTGCATCTAAAGTTGCACTTTGACTGTCACCATGGGAAGTGACGATCGTGTCCAACGACTGGCGAGGGCGCAAAGAAGACCGGTTGACAAGAACTTGACGTTCGCTGAAGAACAGCCGCGTCTCGCTCAACTCCTGGGATTCCTGATTCCTGGACGGGGTCTCGAAGATCAGTGATCTTCAGGTGGCTGTAGCCAATGCAGCGACCGCTTTTCCTATACACTAAATGACGGAGCGCAAGGTGATTCTGGCAATAGCTGACGAGATCCATGCTGGTCGCTGCGGTTGACAAATCGGACGAGAGATATATAACGTGGACAAGGACGGCTCTTCCTAGCTGGTCCAACCACGCTGAATTCGTCCACTATGGCTGCTGACCATATTTTGTGAGCGACATGATCGGCCTGTAGGCACTGGGCCGCTCATACGCACGTATAGAACCCAACTTTCTTTAGCTCTTGGTCTGCAGAACAACGACTCATTTTGTGTTCTGCTAGAGAAGATCCATCTCTTCTCCCATATGCTCGCTGTCCTACGAGACCATGATCCTCAGCAAACGTGCGCCGAGATCAAATCTTGCCGCGGTTCCTCCCTTGGCTGGGTAACAGTGCATTTCAACAATATTCTGCAACTGAGCCCACCAGTCCAATCGGACTTTACACACCCGGTACCCGAATTTGGCGCTGTCCTTATGTCGACCACGACAGTGGAGGCCCTCTTCCAGACGCCTCTTCTGGTGATTGCGACCTGAGACCGTGAATCGCTCTTCATTTCGAAGTTTTGTTATCCTAGAACAAGACCTCGCCACTGCCTTCCAGCTCGCCACCCCACACTGCAGCGGCCTTTCTCGTCCTCGACTTATCTTTCGCCTTCCTCGCCACCTCAACCTCTTTCTGCCACTTGAATACCTCCGCCGGCTCTCCTTCCTCGTACCCTGGAGGCGGATCATCGTCCCGATCCAGGTCCACCTCGCCAATCAGTAGCACATTCTCTCCTCGTACTAGATATGTGCCACGTGGGACGTCGCAGTATAATCTTCTAGGTTGAGTCGTAGGATCTGCAACGCAGAAGTAGCGCTCTTTGGTATCGGTGAGAACGAGGTTTGCGAATTGGTCCCAGGAGCGTAGTACACCGAGCAGTTTGCGGCCGTCGCGGAGAGAGAGGAGAAGCTTTTCTGTTGGGGCGGAGGTTGTATGTTTAGCACATATGGTCATCGATGGCACGGTGATGTAATGCCAGGTGAGCCTTACTGTCTGTCAGGTCCAGTAGCTGCGCAGCGGTCGTGAACATCTGAGGCGGCAATTGCGGAGCACCCTGGGGTGGTGCCGGACCAGCGAACACAGGCGGTGGCCCTGCATCCTGTGGTTGCTGTGGTGCGGGAGGATGCCCTGGGGCATGATTGAGATTCATGATGAGGCACGTCGAGTCCTGGCCTTTACGAGCGCGTAGACTATCTCTGAGGGATTGCAAGCGTCAATGAACTCATGGTGCATCCGAGTAACGGATATGCGTACTTGCAGTTTGATTCTGACAGCACTGTGGGCATTAAATGAGGTCAACTTCAATCGCATAGCATTTTCGAAACTTAGGGTTAGGGCCTGGACAATGAGGCTGATGACGATCAGGGGAAAGTCTTGTCATCCGGCTTGACTTGACGACGCGTATTTTTTTGGAAGGTGAACTAGGTGAACCTTGCTGACCAAAGCACACCTACGAGTCTTCTGGATGATGGCTGTGATGGAGTCCTTTCGGCCTTGACACGTGCGGCTGCCGTCAGCCGGTAACTAGTGCTGAAGCTTTGCTAAGCACTGCGATCTCAACGCTTTGCCTTGCTTGTTTGCTGGACGTGGAGACAATCTTGCACGTTTACGGTAGCGAGCTTCAAAGCAATGATTTGATGGCAGAACGATCCACCGGCCGAAAGTCAATCGAACAGCAGACAGGGTGCTCTGTCCAGGTGTCGCTACGTACTGTACTCGATGTCAATTAGAGGTTCAACATAATGCAGTGTCTCGTTCTATATTTGCGATCTTTGTATGGATTCCCATCGAGAGGAAGGTCCGATTAGAACAGACTCCTACAGTATGCATATCAAAAATGAAGCCAGAACGCCGTATAAATGTCGCTGATTCTTGCCCAATATGGCATCTTTCTCCTCGCCAGTGGTCTTCTCGCTGCCAGGACCACGCAAAACAGTGCTGAACAGTACAGGGTCGAGAACGAACCGCGACTCTGTCCACCCTCATTTCCCGCGTCGATTAACGCTCTGCTGTCTTGAACTATGCTTGGACTCGGCCAATGTGGCATGTGTTATGGAGGCCAGGGCCGCCAATCCTAGTAGGAAGTTTCTAGCGAGACCTGATGAAGTTGGAGCTCGTCTTCGGCCGCCAACCAGTGATATGTATGGGCCCAGACGATACTGGAACTGTTGTGCGCGAAGCTGTAGCATGAGATGTTGCGATCGGCTTGGCAACCTCTTGTGGGACGCTGTATGTCGAGGCCAGCCCATCATAGCTGGCGCTACCATAACTGCTTCCCTCGGTCGACAGATTCGCTGGTGAGACTTTGGCTGGGGCGAAGTATTGGTTCTGGTAGGCTTGGCTTAGGTCCGCCATTGTCTCGCTGTAGGTGACCGGCATGAGGTCCCAAAAGTGCGCAGCTTCCAAGCTAAACATGTAGTCGCCACTTTCCGCGAGCATATCATCGTTGTAGCTGACAGAGGGATTGGATGGCAATGCTGGGTAATTGAATTGCTGGTGTGGAAATGCGTACTCGTGCCCGATGCCGTTGTTCGTGGAAAGGTTCTGTGGGTATCTTCCAGCGGACACTGAAGCTGAGGTTTCGCGGCTCATGGATGTCGGACCTTGATGGTCGTTGTTGGGTGAGACCGGATAGTCCAAATCGTACCTCTTCCTCTTCACTGGAGGCAGCCGACATCGTTTCGACTCTCTCCGACATCTTCTGCATGGCTGATCGTAATCCCCATCTCTAGCGCATTTGAGCTTGCGCTCGCGGCATTGTAAACACGCATGCGCCATTGCCGTCCGTTAAATGTTTGGATGGACACTTGACGGAAGATCCAGATGCAAGCTTTGCCTAGAAGTCTTTGCACGGTAACAGTCAAACACTCGAGGTATTCCGATATATTTGCGACGCCGACATCCATCCAGGGGTGTAGGCTGTTTATACATGTCCATTGATGTTTGCACGCTGATGTCTGTATCAAAGCTATCCATGCTGTGTCCAGGGCTGAGAGCGACTAGTACTAGAGAGGAGAATTCGAGTTTAGCTCGTATTCACATACGTGTCCCAGGGGTTTGAGATCGATGGAGCCTGGTAGTGTACGATAATAACCCTAGATTGTGCTCTTTGTCAGCGTTAAAGGCCACGGCATATGCCATCGGCGTTTGAACTTGGCAAAATTGGAAAGCGTTACAATTCAGCAGCGGAATGTGCCTCCGGCCGCGACGTGCTTTGAGACCGTCCTTTGGCCCGTGAGACGTCTGGCAATGTCATCATTGGAAATGCGGTGAGTTCTATGTTCCATGATAGAGGTGGACGATGGCTTACGACCATAGAAAATCAATGCACGATGACTCAGGCTTGATATTGGACCGGAGTAGAGGTGTGTACCCGTGTCAGAAACCACTGACTTGGTAATCGGAAAAGAGCGGAGCCTTGTGTCTCAGCCTTACATTTGACGACGCGAAAATCGTTAGCTGAGGCGCGTGTGAAAACAATGAGGCGAGGGCACCACCGATCAAATCACGTTGTACTGAGTCTTCAGATAGCTTGACTATCACTTCGTCGCGATGGATGACGACACACTCCAAGCGGAACCTGGCTCATCGATTCTGCATCTGGCTGGCGACGGACTGGCTGGAGTGACACCGCTCGAGCAAGAAGTCCTCGATGAGTATGAGAGGCTGCTTAGAAACATGAACCAGGCAAGTTCCGCGATATGGTTTGCATCGGGTCACAGCATGGTTGTGCTTCTGGTCGACACAAGCTGACTTTGGCCCGTAGCTATCAAGTACTTTAGCAACACTGTCGAGTGGCCCCATCACCATCGAAGTGGCTGAGGGGCTCCGATTATTGGAGCGCAAAGTTGCTAGCGTCTACACGCTACTCAAGGCAAGCGTTTACAGCATTGTTCTCCAGCAGGGTCAGATCGACGGAGATGGCGAAACTATATCGGCAGCTGGAAGCAGGAGTGAGGACGGTTGAGCAACCGCCACTTCACCCAGTTCGTGGACGCTTGTGACGAAACGAGGTTGTGCAACGAAGCGATGCTGTTGATAGCTTCTGCTTTCGACATGCCGCCGCTATCGGCAGATCGACGTCCGGCCGTCTGGTATATGATTACATTCGACACTGGCATAACGCCTGGCGCCTCTCACGTTTCACGAGGCAGGGTCTACTGCTGGAGACCCCCAGCGTAGTAGACTCTCCGCACATCGACCAGCTTCTTGCCCCTGCCACGGGCTATATCTTCCGGGTCCTTTTGGGACAAGAGCGCTTTATAGGCGGCCTTCACAGTGTTCATGGGGTTACGAGCTCGTGTAACACGAGCAGCGAGATCAAAGATGCCGGCGCAATTGGCCATCTCCCAGATCAAGTGCTGACACCGGAGACCAAAGCCTGGAAATTTAGTCAGCTCTTAGAAACCCTACTGACAAGGGAGTACTTACCAGGAGGTCGATCATACAGCTCCAGCTCGGTAGCGGAGACCTTCGCATTGACGGTGCCGAATATTGTGCGTTTCTCGTATCGCTTGATGGGTTGCATGCTCCGAATGGCTCGATATTGGCTTTGAAGTCTCGCATTGCTAGGCTCGTCTGACTTGCCTTCCCCAATTCCCAGAAGGCCGTCACCATTCCCAGCGATGCTGATGAACTTCATTTTGTGGATTTTGCCCAAGCGAGTTTGATTGCTGACACGGTCTGAGACGATTGTCTTTACCCTTAGCTTGCCCAACGCTTCCGCATTGAGTCCTGTCATTTGCATCAAGCGCACCATCTCTGGCGTAAAAGATCTCGCGAAACCCTTCGGCTGTCTCTCTGATTCTCCGTCTGCTTTGGCTGAGGGCTGGTTTTTTGGTGTTACAACCTTCCTTGGAGCTGGAGCTGTGGGCATCATGGCTGATGGAGGGTCTAATTCATTCTCGAGGCGTCCCGTCAGAAGTCTCATTTCGTCAAACTTCTTGAGGACCTTCATGCCGTTGGAGTCCTCGCCAGGTTTTGTCTTCTCTGGCAGGCTCTGCTCGAATTCCAAGAATTCGGACATTGCCTCTTCCGTCGTCCTTAACCGAGCATCATCGTCGAGGTTCTTCCACGGTGCACGAACTGGGATATCGGCAAACGGATCGATTTTCTCAAAGTCATCGTAGTAGTCCAAAGACCATGGATCTGTTCGTCCCACGTTCTTGCCCTCTTCGAATTTGTCTCCTATAATTTCTTGCGCAGCTTTGATGGCTTCTTGTTGACGCGGATTATATTGCTGGCTCCATTCTTTCAGTTTCGTTTTCTGCGATCTTATGCCCTGCTCAGTGATCGTGACCTCGGGGACCTTCTGTCCATCGCCATCGCCTGACTTGTCGTTTCGTCGAGTCCGGGTCGTAGTGAAGGACCGATGTGTTCGTGGAGTCGCTAATCGTTGTGATCGTCTGAAGATGCACAAGAGGCACTGTGAAGGTCGACTGACGCTCATGCCTGCAGTCGCTGCCCGTGCCTCCCTTAGGACTCAGTGTCGTGCATCAGAGAAAGAGCGAAGTCCGCAGCTCCCAAAAAGATGTCGATCGACTCCAAACTCCACTCCAGTCCTCTACGATGTGATTGGTCATGCCGCGCCGAAACGGAACCGCGTCGTTGGCACCACTGACGACTAGCAAGGCCCTCACACAATTAATTAATTTGAGCAGCTTGCTATTACGCTGGATGCAAGCATATTCTTATGTTTGATTTGAAAGCCCAACGTATGCTCATATAGCACGACGATTAGATAGCGCTGCCATGTTTCGAAATTACCAGCAACCGAAGATTCAGATTCGGCAATGTGCCTTCTTACCATTAGGGCAACTTCGCCCTTGCATCTAGGCATATTGTGCCGGCTACAGCGGACTCCTCGAGGACCTCAGTTGACACGGATCTGAAGTTCTCGAGGTCGATTCTCAGCAATAGGTATTGGGGCTTATGTTCCCAAACTATGGACGACACCCAGACCACGTTCTTCATTGGGCACCATGAGCCAAAGAGATTGCTCCCAGTCACGTCCAACAATCTGCACGATGCGCACGCTCTCAATGTGGGTACAATGCTGCCGAGTGTTTCCGCAACGGTTACTTACAACTTCCAGTATGATATGCTCACGTGCCCAATCACAACACCATACTTCCACACTCGCGTGCTCTCGAAACTGAGCACTCATCTGCCGAACGTATCCAGCACATCTTCGATAGATCTAGGATCTTCCACAAATGCTTCGCCAATAGTCATCGAGCCTCTGACTCCTCTCGATAGCCCTTTGTCCCCAGACGAGGTGACCAGTCAGCTGATTGGGGTCATCAGTCCATGGATCGACCTGGCATCGCCAGATCCAGTTATAGCGGACATTTCCATCCAAGTCTTGAAGCTCGAGTTGGCGTACGCTGCGTTCTGTGGCATCACTTATGTCCTGGTACCTGGTCCGCGAATGCGCACCTCCGCAGATGACGGGTCTGGTCTGGTACAGTTCGGGCGAGCAATTTTGGATGGCTTGACTCTAGGACCTTGGATGAGCCTGTACATATGGATGCCCCTGATTGATCACTCTGACGACGACACCGAAGATATCGGAGACTTGTCGCCTTTCGCTCGGCAGCAGTTCACAGGGCAAGCGGATAACTCTACACGGCGTCTGGATTTGTTTGGAACCTGGGAAGCTTGGAGCACAATTCGTTCAATCTGCAAGTATTCCTCCAGGCTTTCGGTTGGTGAGTACGGTCCCATCGCGTGAGGCGAAAGAGACTGAATCCCAGCAGCTGTTGCGTTACCAAAGTTGCTGCCACCTGTGCCAATACAATCGAGATGGTACAGTGAACCTGTCCGCATACTTACACTTGACAGCAGCATATTCTCAAAGAATGGCAAGGGCTACCCAGTCCTCACCAAGGCTCATCAAGCGCTCATAAGTCGCTTCATGCGTCACAAGAATCCGCCGTGGCTTCTTCTCAGCAATGTCGGCTCGATTCCCTCCACAACGAATGGAGTCTCACCACTTGCCGACTCGACCGCATATCCGACCCTGGCTGAGGCTTCAGGTTACAAGGACCCGGTGCCGCATCTCTCCTATCTCAGAAATTTGCAAAACAGGCAACCACCACCAAGTCTTATTGAGAAATTTGGAGCTGGTTATCAAGACTACCTTCAGGCGCCACTGCAACCTTTGACAGTCAACCTAGAATCGATTACCTACGAGGTTTTCGAAAAGGATCCGGTCAAATATGATTGGTACGAAAGAGCAATCGCTCGAGCCTTGACTGATTGGGGCACTCAGAGGAAGCCGGCCTCTGGTATTGACGGCCGCATTGTGGTAGCTGTTGTCGGCGCAGGTCGTGGACCCCTGGTTACGAGAGCGTTGAAAGCAGCCGAATCGGTCGGCATCGACGTCGATTTGTGGGCGTTGGAAAAGAATCCTAATGCATACGTCCTCCTGCAGCGACATAATGACACGATCTGGAATCGCAGAGTCAGTCTCGTCAAGAGCGATATGCGTACCTGGCGAGGTCCAGTCCGATATGATGACACGAAACGGTTGTCACAGATGCTGACGAACGCTGAGCCAAGCAACACCAACCCAACATATACTGGATCTGTCGACACCGATTCGACGTATCTACTTGCCACGGCAGCGCGCAAAGCGACACACTACAAGATCGACATCATCATCTCGGAGCTGCTCGGCTCATTCGGAGACAATGAATTATCCCCAGAGTGCCTGGATGGCGTCCAGCATCTGCTGAACCCTATCCACGGCATCTCGATTCCTACCAGCTACACGGCTTACATCAGTCCTATCGCCGCACCAAAACTATATGCTGATATAAACAACAGCATGGTACAGACGACACCACGTGCGGCTGAGATACCGTACGTAGTAATGCTCAACGCCATTGATCATCTATCGACCTCGGCAGCTTCTCGTGTGCCTCCAACGCCAGACAACGTATCGAGCACGACACCCCATCCTACGAGTAGTACACCAGATCCGCCTCAATCGCCTCTTTCAGCACACCCTCCCAACCCCGCACTCCCTCAGCCGTATTCCAAGGCACACATCACCGGGAAACGCCGGGCAGAAAGTAGCACAGAGTCGGCGTTAAAGCGTGCTTCATCAATTTCGGCACCACCAGCGCCTGTTCCAACCATCCTTCCAACCTGGACATTCCAGCATCCCAACAGCTCTTTGTCACCTTCGCCTCCAGCCGCGAACACCCACAACACCAGACATTCTGTTTTGCACTTCCCAATCCCCAACCGAGGACTTTGCCACGGTCTGGCGGGCTATTTCGAGTGCGTCTTGTATCACTCTACGGCAAGCATGCCCACTACTAAGAAGAACGCCGCTGAGCCATACCTGGCAAGCCCAAGCGTGGTGTTGAGCACAAATCCCAATACAATGCCAGCTCTGTCTCCGGACATGATGTCTTGGTTTCCGCTCTTCTTTCCACTGAAGCAGGCTGTCTGGTTTCCGGATGACAGTGAGGCCGTTGTCACTATGTGGCGAAAGGAAGACGCTAGGAAGGTGTGGTACGAGTGGAAGATTGATGCCTTCATGAAGATTGGGAAGAAGGGGCGTGTCAGGCTTGGTGGGAGTGAGATTCACTCGAGTGAAGAGGAAGGTTGCTTGATGTGAATGGGTTGACCGTGGATGGTACAATCCACTTGATGGTGTCATAAGGGCTGTTGAATCAACGAGCAGTACCAGCTCTTACTACCAAGAAAATATATTCGGGGTCTTGGTTGACGACTATTCGTTGGCGAATCAGACCGCACGATGCATTACCCACAACCGTGCCTGTCCCTCCTACCGAGTAGGCGACGGCTGTAGGAACACATGGGACCGCTCCTTCCGGGACTTCACCTCCGGACGGCAATTGCGTGGTTGCTGCCTTTACGCATCAGTCGGGTTAGGAGGGGCTCTATGTGAGAGCGGATGACAAGCACTGTCTAGTCAACCGGTCGTGGTACAGCAAACAAGTCGAGGCTGCAAGACTGCGCAAGGTGCACGGTCGGCACGGACAAGCTCTGAATCGTTGAGCAAATCGAGTTTCGTACGACGGGACGGAATGGATCTGAAGCACGATAGCGAGACGAGTTATTATCAGACGATAGATTTACGAGTTCGCAGCATGCGTGCAGTCTTGGTACATTGTCTTATAGACGATGGGACGTATTCGGCATGCATATTTTGTTGCCGCACAACGTAATGTGCCAATTCCTTTGACGACAATGCTTTTGTGGTTCCATTTCGGGTAGACACTACTATTGCATTTGATCAATACGTAATCTCGTTGCCAACGCCGTCATAAGGATATGTGGCCACCGCAAGACTTGCTATCCCAGGCATGCGACAGACCTGCAACATCGATAGCTGCGTGTTCATTCCATCCACATTCGTTCGCAGACACAGAAGTCTCGTCGACTACCACCTCGAGCCGCCAGACCCTCCCCACGAGCTGCCACCATGCTTCTTCTTCTTGGCAAAGTCCTCTGTGATCGAACCCATAATGGCGCCACCAATCGTGCCCAAAAAGCCATGGCCAGCCTTATGACCCAAGAACCCACCACCTGCACCACCAGCAAGCGCACCCAGTAGACCACGATCCGACTCAGTCATCGGAGGAGCCGAGGGATCATAGTTGGGCGCATTCGGATCCGAGCTCTGGCGTGCAGTCTGCGGGTAAGCCTGCGTACCCTGCTGGCCCTGCTGTTGAGAGCCCTGGTTGTTCATCCATGCCTGGTTCTGAGCGTACGCATCGTTCTGACCACCGCCCTGCTGCTGTTGGCCCTGATAGCCGCCATAGTAGTCGCTGTGACCTTGCGGGTTTGACTGGTTGTATCCACCAAATTGCTGGCCTTGTTGACCGTGTTGGAAGCCGCCGGCCTGGGGAGGGCCAAAGCTATCTTGTCTTCTGGGTGGGCCGAAGTTCTGGTTCTGGTCGTATCCGCCGTAGCCTTGCTGTTGCTGGCCTTGGTAGCTGCCTTGCTGGCCGCCGTAGCCGCCCTGGTCGTAGCCACCTTGCTGGCCGTAGCCGCCTTGGTTATAACCTTGCTGGGGTGGGTAGCCACCGCCGCTGCCGCCGTAGCCACCGCCGTAGTTATTGTATCTGTGTCTTGTTAGTGAATGCGTGACACTGAGCCGAGGGTGGACGCTGGTGGTACTTACGGGTCGGACATCGTAGTGGGGTCGGCCCTGTTAAAAGTAAGAGCTTTAGTAGTCGAGGTGAGAATCAAATCGCAGCGTCTGGGTGGACGGAGATTCAACGACAGAGGAGTGATTAAATAGTACCAGAGGACGGGAATGGGACAAGGAAGATGGAGGGAGCTCAATGAGAATTTAGGGCGCTTCTAGAAATATATCGAAATGCAGAGTGCGGCACTGCAGGTCAGGTGAATGACTCCAGGCAATGACTGCCTTTATTAGACCGCAATGAACATTGAATGCCTCGAGTGCTCTCAAAGGCTTGCAGAAGGTTCCCAATGACGGCCGCAATGACCTGATCTCTCCGCACAGTCAGACGTTTGCAGTAGTGACATGCCGCCTCGATTCTGCCCCGCGGTGAGGCTCAGCGCCCGGAAAAGACGGCGCTGGCCGCGTCATTGCCTAGAGCGAGGCTTGTGAACACGCAGATACACGAAAAGTACCGAAATCGACAGCTCGGAGGCTCCCCAGAGCGCGTGAATTACAATGGTGATTCAGGAAGGCAATCCCGGATTTGCAGGCAGTTCAGTCACTCGCCGAGACCGATGCTCGTCCGAGGCGGTGCAAAAGAAATGGTGGCGCAGCACCAAAAGTCCCTTCGATATCTCCCGGCTTGCCTGAGCTTGCCTGGCGGATCATGTTCGCGGCGTCCGAGCATCTTGAGAAAGCACAGTGCGAACTAACTCCGCCGATCTGGCCGTGTGCCAATGATCCATAATCATGTTGAACGTTCATAGAGAAGCTGTGAAGTGAGCAAATATCGTGAAGCATATTCGAATTCATCCCCATCTAACGAGGACCGTAGAGTCTTCATTGTCTAACAGAAGCCCTCGAAGTTCATCGCGCTCTACAAGATTATCATACTTGTCAAGCAACCGTGCTAGAGCCACGGTCGTGGCAGCTCTTCGGTGTCAGGTTGCAGTAACATGGTGTTCAACCCTAGGAGCCTTGAGCAGCTGTCGCAGTGAGTGAGGTTGGGATGAGTGGTGGCTATTTTGTGTACATCTCTGGCACTGAATCTAAATAGCCCTCCCGATGCCTGACCTCCCGGGTGCCATATCACTCGAGCCCCATGAAGGCCGTTCTTCAGGATAGCTCGTGACCTATGTCATTGCAATAAATGTACAAATTTTTCTTGCTCTTTCGCCGCAGATTATAGCACCAAAGAATACCAAGCAAGCAATCTTCAACCACCGAACTCCATGCAACAGAACACAAGGAGTGAAATATACAGTCTTCCAAGTGGGGAGTGTGGTGGCCATCCCAGGCGTATAGCAAACAGAATGAGAAACGAGTCATCGTAAGTTTCGGACGAAGCGAGTCGTCTTCGGGGTATCAGTCGAAGTTATATGTACCGGTCTCGAATATGTACGCATTTGTAGGTTCGTACCTAACAAAATGATCATTCAAGTGGAAGCCGACGTGGCAGATTGTGTATTAGGCGTGGTGAATGGCGTGGGTCTCGTGAAGAAAGGCTTCGAGAAGAGGGACCGTGACTTGTTGAGGTTGGCAACATTCAACACGTCGCCCGGGATCCTCGTCGATGGTGAAACGAGATTCGCCTCGAATCAACAATTCTCCGGGAATGGATGTCGTGTCGTATGGTCCGAGGCCATGAAATTCACGGGCGGCATGATCGTCAAGCCAGTATCCGAAGACAGTGATGTTATACTATGACACGGTTCGTCCGTAAAGCCTCTGCAATGTCCTGGGCTTGTGCGCCTGATATCGTAGCAAAGACATCGCCCTCTCTGTAAGCCAGCACCGCGGGTATCTGGACAGTCTCCATCTCTGCAATTTCGTGGTGTAACTTGATGAAGCGTATCTTCGAGTGCCTGTACGCCAACATGTTGAGCTCGTCCTCCACTGACAATGATCGCTCCGATGTGGGATCAAAGATCATGACGACAACGATGTCTTCAGACGACACTTTCTCGATAGCGTCCAAGTAGCCGTTGGCATCAACTTCGGTCAACGATCCCCATGTCCGCCTCGAGGGCGAGACGCGTCGACCTTGTGAATTGTAGCCAGATCCTTGGACCGTGAGTTCCTGCATGCGTTGCGCCCGCCAATTGGCCATGAAGTCTGTATCAGAGTCCTCCTCAGACACATTGCCAGAGTGATCTGATGAATTTCCATCTTTCTTGCTCTCGCTGTTACCACCGAAAACGTTGCCGGATGGAGGCTTGAATGAGGCGAAGTTGCCAGCAAATGTTGAGAGCCTGTTCCGGAAGGATGACTTTTTTGCGCGATGGAAGTTCTGTGCATCGGCGATGACACCCTTGGGACCAGTATTGGCGAAATGTGTGGTATTGGGCAGGGTATAGTTGCCCTGCGTGCGGGCGGTGGTCATGGTCGCCATCTTGATCGAGTCTTCGTCGTCGAGAAGATCGTCGTCAGAATCTGTACGTGGGCGAGATTCCCGAATGTTCCTTTGGCGAGGCTTCTCTTCTTGTAGTCTGTCTGAGACGTCGTCACGATCTTCAGGATGGGTTACGGTAACGTCTCGGGCGGAGAGGTAGCGGTCAGCTTCCTCTTGAGCAGGGTTGGCCATGTTAGAGAAGTGACGCGGTTGGCGCGATTGGATCTTAGGCCAAACAACAATTACTTGGGGTCCGGCGGGTAGGGAAGGAATGAGGGAGAGGCTCCGGCGACAGGATGAATGTTACAAGGTTGTTTCTTAGACTGAGACTCCGGTGAGAAGATCTTGGATAGCGCTCCGTAACCAGGAGGTACCGCTCAAGCGGGGTCGCTGAATTGAGGCTCGTGATGAGAAACTTCGACTGCTGATTTGGTGGAAATCAGGCACCGCGGTGGTGATCCCGTGGATCATCAATTGGGGCGCTGTCCACCGACGAACAACAACTTGGCCAGTCTGGGCAGAGCAGCTGATCAATGCGTTTCAGCAGACGCAGCTCTCCACAGACGAGGAAAGAGGTATTGCCCACAACATCTAGTTATCGCGTTGACGCCAGTATAAGACCGCTGGCACAAATATGCCAGTCCGGCGAGGAACGGCGCGAAATGCTCAGAATTGAAGCAGTGAATCACGCGTCGCGAGCAAGGAACACCTCACAGAGTTCGGATAGGAGATTGGTGCTTGCTGATCTCGTGCGGCACTCAAAGACAAGGTTCAGCTCTCCAGATCGAAGTCACAGCAAGGATGCAGGAACGTGGAGACCAAGAAGCGAGACAAGATGAAACCTCTATTTCTACGCTAGAAGCTCACATCACTGCTTTTCGCCCTGTCTCACGCTTCCATCTATCGATGCTCGGTGTGTTTCAGCATGATTTCAGATCAGCTTACATGCATCATGAGAGGACGCAGGGAGGATCCCTGCCTCGGCAGTTCAAGTTTGACTATCAGGCACAATTGACAGTTTGTTGTTGTGCCTGCCACAAAGAGCCTTGCCAAGTTGCCATCATGTCCGCTGTCGGGGGATCATGGACTATTGGGGTTGAGTCACAAGGTCTCGACAACTTCCTTGGACGAATTCCTTCTGTGATGGAGCGATTGCCATCAGTCTTCGACCTTAGCTGTTCGCGTGACGACCCGTCCGCCGACAAGCTCCAGTCAGGCCAGCAGAATTAGAATCATAACAACACAGCAGTGACGTGGCTGTATCTGACATGCATTGACAGAAACAAAGGTGCAACATGTCAAATCGTGGGTGGCTTACAAGCGGCATATACACCATCACAGAGCGGACCGAAGACTCTTGGGTTGTCTCTCGCTGGCACCTTCGGGATCGATTCTATGGAACACGCCAAGCACCGCTAGAGCGAGCGGAAGTCGTCCAGTTCAAGTATGTTGAGCAAGGCCATCCATCCTTGGGCATTCCTCTAGTGGAGTAAACCGTCTGAAAGGCTTGTCTGCTATCTATTTCTTGAAGCGTGATTGACGACAGCCTCAACAGGATATGTGCTCTGTGCCTTCACACATTTTCAGCAGCGTCCTGGCGAGGCGCCGCGCGGTACAGGCCCGGCGATTACTTGACAAACGCCGAAGCAAGCGCACCTGTTGGGCGATTGTGGAGGAGATCGCCAGTCGAGAATGGCAGCTGGAAACCACAGCAGAGATGCTCGACCACTTCCCAATCACCTGTCGCCAGACCTTCTCGCACATGCCGGACCACATCGCACATCTTGTCATTGCCAGCACGGCGAATGTTCACCCACAGTGCCAGGAGGACTTTGATGCAACTCAGTTCGCGCTCCCTGATCGCCCAACTCACAGCCTGGCCGAAGGCTTCGTTCCGTCCCGGCGGCAAAATGGCTTTCGACTTGGAGTGCCAGTGTAAAGTCGTCAAGAAGCTGATCACGCGGAGCTGATCTCTGCTTACTGGTGTCGCGAACAGACCATCTGGTAAGTCGTACAGATGTGGTGTGCCCCAGAAGGAGAACTCGTGATGTCGGTCTCCTCCCTCAACCACGGATATGGAGTCGAATGTGAGCAATAAGTCGCCTCTCCATTGGTGGCGGGACTTGCTGTTGTTGGGCAAATATTGCTTTCTACCCTCAGTGGAGTTCGTCTTCCTCTTGAAAATAACATCAGGGACGAAGTTCTCCCCCATGATGTCTTGAATGTCTCTGCACTCTACCACGTGCTGCCACATCCTTCTCAAAACCAGTCCAGCATTCCTCTGCTCTGTAAGATTCGTGTTGGTCAAGGCCAGCACTTCCTCAAACACACATCGCCACAGAAGCAAGACGACGCCTTCGAACTGCAGCGCGCCAAACCAGCTCGATGCCCAGACGTCCCTCCTGATCTGCCATCTTTGCGCCACAGTCAACGGTCGAATGTAGCTATTTGCATTAAGCTTCACCATCACGCGCTCGTACACACCGCGCAGCAGATTGCCGCGCCCCTCAGGCTCCTCAGGACACGTAGCCATGGCTGCGAGAGCCTGCGTGTATTGGACATACGGCGGGAGGTGGGCGTGGAGGTTCCGACTGACGTGGATCAGAGATGGGTTGAGGCTGTGGCTTAGGATCGAAAGCAGGATCTCGGACGGAAGGCTGTTGAGCGAGCATCGTGTGGGCAGCGACTGGGAGTGGTCCATTATTCGAGTCTGCGGATTGGCTGGCTTGCGAGTTAACGCATTCGTGTATTGTTGGCCGGCTTTGTGCCTTTCCTCTCCTCCTCCGTAGACCAGTCCCAACCACAAATTTCTTCGTCGAAACCCGTCCAGCCAAACCCCATGCGCAGCCGTTCACAGTACCCCGGGCTATTCTACTGTGACCTGGTTGTTGTCAACGTTCGTATAGCCGTCAAGGTCACAAAGTGGGACCGCGAGTATCACGCCGGCCGTATACACGCTCCGAGTCGCTGAGTACGGCGTAACTGACAGCGGGAAAGATTCAAGTTAAGCATGAGGCTTGAATCCTGGTACACTGAAGGCGTGCATCGACTGTATGAACATTTAGACAAAGCGGACCGTGGTGCAAGAGTGGGACATACATATATCGCTGCACAAGAGAGGGTCGTACTCAATGTCGTCTGAGGAATGTTCGGCGTCCTTTGCGCCGCTGTTATCACATGACACGACCTAGCCAACACTAGCAAGCAAGGAGCACGTCCTTTTGATGCTGCTAACCCTAGGCAGTACAACGCGATATGTGCACGGTGCCTCCAACATCCCATATACACAGGGGATTTGGCACGCTTCAAAAGCAAGGACCAAGTATCTTGTGTAACGCGAGCAAGAGCGGTCACATTGCCTCATCACTTCATTGTACTCAAACAGCTTGCTGCATACATTCCGCATCATCCGTCAGAACTCCTTGAGCCCACATTTGGGACTGGGCTTCTTCCTTGTTCTCCTTCCCGCTCCCCAGCCTGCTTCTGTCAGGACGTCGTCGTCCTGAATGCGCTTCGCAGGGGTGGCCCGAGTCTTGTTCGGTGGGGGCGAGCTCTCCTTGTCAGTCAATCGTGAGCGTTGCCTCCGCTTGGCAGCCAGTTTCTGCCGTGAATGCCGGACCTCTTCGGGATCTTCATAGACCAACTGCGTCAAGGCTGGCTCCTCTGCTTCGACGTAGTGTGCATGTTCGTCACCAGCGCAACGGATGCCTCCAGCATGCTCATCGAGGGGTTTCTTCCATCGCAGAGCTTTGACAAGGCTCGACCTGTGAAGCTATGATTCACTTTCGGATGGTCATCTGTCTTCGTCCCGAGCTCATTGGACGCGATAGGCGCAGATGGCACTATCTCGTGGCCAACACCATCAGTGTTGATGCTGTCCACTGATCCCGCTCGTGTCTGTCGTACATGCGAGGCCGACGAGGTATTCGAGAGATTGCTAAGCGCCCGTCCCATCAGCTGCTTCTTAGGCTTGCTGCTGGTACCCATGGTCTCAGATTTTCTCTCTTTCAACTTCGACTTCAGATCAAGTAGTTCGCGAATCTCCCCATTCAGCGTTTCTGCATCAATGTCGAGAGCTTTAGGGCCGGTTTCCGTCGGTTTGAGTGCCGTTTCCTGGCCCCTGTTCTCCGTGTCGCTATCAGCTCCATCAAAACCCCGCTGGAACAGGCGCTTCTTAGGCTTTGGAATGTTGGGTGAGATGGCACGCAGAACTTTCCCCTGCTCGTTGGCTGCCTTAGGCCTTGTATGCGCCGCTGCTCGCTTACGTTCGTGGCATTCTGAGGTAATGTCGAAGTCCGCGTTCTGTCTATCACCTTTAGGCACGCCTCCGGGACCATCGACGTCGACATCTGCCGTGACTGAGTCGTCTTCGAGAAGGATCATTCCTTCATCGTCTGCGCCAAGGTGTAATACGCTCTCCTCAACGGTTTTTGATGCAGCTACAGGACCTGATTTCTTCTCACATGGGGCAGATCTGTCAAGCTCTGGGGTTGTGTCCGGCTTCGTGGCGACCTTAGTACGCAGCTCATCTTTTCCACTCGCTGACTTCGGGTCTGGCATCCGGCGTATGCGAGACCCCGGCAGTGCATATTTTTCGAAAGACGCTTGACGATTCTCCTTGATGCAAGCCCACAGCCACGATTCCGTGACTACAGGTATTCGCCACGTTCGAGCGAGCTCGACTTTCTCCCGGCTACGCCCTTGACTGCTGCAGACCAAGACGTTGACGTCTGCCTTGAAAGTCTGGTCATACTTTGCTCCTAGCCGAGAGACAATTTTGGCAATGTGATTAGGCGTGATGCCAGAGAAACCGGTGGACGTGACGACTAAATTCGAAAACCCCGGGGGTCTGACGCGAGGCAGAAACTGTCCAAGAGGGTAGGCTGAGGGCGGGTAGAATCTTTTGCTGAACATGCAATGCTCCACCCATAATTCTGACGCGACCTCAATGGCATCGAGGAGTGGCGGAAGTTGTTCGAGCGCTGTCTGATGTGGTAACAACACTATCCTACCTTGAGATTCCATTGCTTGGGCAGCTGCCAGGTTTGCAAGTGTTGTCACGACGGTACCGCCATGGCTCTGTACAACATTCTGCAATATGGGCTCTTGATGGGCTGAGAAACCCTGAAGCACGAAACATCTGTCAGAGAAGATGCCGCGCTGGCGATTGGCTCCGCGATGCTCATCTCCAGCCTCTGACTTCTGCTGCTGGAGGTTGGGCACTGATCTCGAGACTTGCAGACGCTTGCCGTTGATCTTCTCGTCATCGTCCCCGTCCTTACTGACGAGATCGGACCACATCGTATCATTCTGGCTGTTGAAACGTGCGCTAGCGGTGCGGCGAAGCTTCCTGGGCTGTTCTTGAGCCTGGCTGTCGTCGCGTTGACGCCTTTTACCAGGCGAGACTGATCTGGAAGCCGATCTGTTCCACGCTCCTATTCCCTGCTCATCATCCGGAATGGAGGGGTGGTAGGTAGATTCTTCCAGCTGCATGCCCCTTTCGAGAGTGTCTTTGTACCAGCGAAGGCTAACGACCTTCTTCTGCCATTGCATTCCATACTCGAATTTCTTTCCTGAAGGACGAGCCGCTATGAGATGGGTCACGTCCTTGGTGAGATCGCCCGTGTATTGTCCACCGTTCTCAACGACGTTTTTTTGTAGCTGAGCGCGGAAGGTAAGGTCATCGAAACCAGTAATACAGATCTTGAGACCGGCTAGTGTTGGGACGCGGTGTTGTACATCGAGCTCGTTGAGGTTGATCGACTCATCGCGCATCCAGCGCTGACGGACAGCCTCGACCCATTCCGGTCGGAGGACTTTGACATCCCCGCGCTCCTTCGCAACATATTTGTACTTAGCGTGTCGGTGTCGCCTACGAGTAGGTGAGTAACATCAGATGTGAGGTCGAGCTTGTGCTCCGCGCCCATCTGCACAACATATTCGGCATATCGACTTCGAAGTTCCGGAGAGATGGAGGTGCAGCACACGACAGCACCTTGCAGAGGCTTCTCTTGCCAGCCATCCGCACGCATGCTGGTGTATATTCTTGCAGCCACCCGCAACGCCCCTTCCTCCTGTCGGGCGGTCGTTTGAGTCGGTCTTGAGGAAAGACCAACACAAGAGTCGATCGACTTTCAAGATTGGAGTAGAAATCGCGATCGCCCCGCAGAACACGCGACCAGGCTGGCAGCCTCGTCACGAGAGTGCCTCCACTCACAGTATTTCCCGTCGCATCAGACATTATGCGTGCTCGAGGCATGATAACCGCAATGCTCTGAATCGAACATCTGCTGCAGCATGCGTTCTTGCCGACGTGAAGTTGAAATCAGATTACTCGTGGCGCCAGTGGAGGCGGGCCGCAACTCTCCATTCCTGCATAACCTCTAGACGGAAGCGCGAGAGCTTTTGTCAGCGACCGCACAGATCCTTGTGCCTTCCTGATCAGAGTTAACTGCTACTTACCTTCGCTGCCATACTAGTAGGCGAGCTTCCAACTTGTCTGCAGGAACCAAGCACATTAACCACCTCCGAGTTGACCCTTCGATCATTCTACTTCTGGGTCACTACTGCATGTCTTGAAGACACTCGCGCATTCGCCGCCAATCAGTCGCTCAATTGCGATCGATCTCAGGCAAGCACGTGCTCATCTAGAACAGCAGCCTGTCACAAGCACTGCGAGCAAAGTCCCATACCGCAATTTTGTGAGGCCAACCGCCCACTTGCCAATCAGAACTGATGGAAAAGGTGGTTTCTGGTATTAGTAGACACTTCCACGTCTGAGTAATACATGGTCATCTCGACCAGCAGGTTTCGGCGGCGTCGCGACACTGAGTCCTAGAGACTCTCAACCTCGGTACGGCCTGCTACTTTGACTTCTAAGCAGACGATGAGCAGCGCCTTCCTGTTGTCGTCTATCGCGATAGGGTAATCCACACTGCTCCGGGGAAGCGGCCAACTAAAAAAAGTCAAGACCTACCAGCACCAAAGCCTCTACTAGCCACCAGGGGAGAAGCACGATGCCGGGCGCGAAGCCTGCTGACCTACAAAGATCGACAGGCAACATTTATCGCCGAGAAAAAGCTGCGATGCGAAGTCCCCCGCTCTGTTGAGCCCCGCGGTCGACGCTTCCGCCCTCATTCGGGCCTTGTAGCCCGTATAAACGGCAGATTCCACGCTGATCAGGACAAGTCGGGAGATGCACAATGATCAGGCGAACCATGATGACCCAAATGATATGACATTCGCACGCTTCTTGGCTAGTCATCGTTCGCCTTACTCAGATTGATAGAACAACTGCGCCATTTGTACTTCATCATGGGCTGCACGATCGTCTGACACAGAACCACCAAGGTCCACTCTCAGCGGAAAGCGCGCTCAATTGCATTGCGAGCATTCTGCTGGGCTTCGTGCTACCGTCTACGTCGAAAAAGCGTGAGCGGCGATTGGAATTATATCATCTTGCAATCCGTGACATCCGCGAGACCCTGCGGTGTGGCCTCCACCTGAGCATCTTATCCGGGCTGCAAGCCCTCCAACTTCTAGAAGTCCTTGCATCTCTAGGACTCGTCCAGGTGGTTGACTTTTCCAAAGCAGGTCCAATACACCGAGAAACTCTCCAGCTTGCCACCCTTTGCTTCTAAGCCTCTGACGTACCCTGCTTGTATACTCGTTATGTCACTGATGACCCAGCTTTGCGAATTCCACGCCTGAACTCAGGTTTTGGTGCTGGGACGCAGAGGAAGCACGACAGAACTTCTGCATGTGCACGAGGTCTGGAGGCTGTGCGCACGACGGGACTTACTAGCATCATCACTCAAGCATTGGCACAACCTTGACTATATCGGCAGCGCGGCGTGGGGTAGCGGTCCGGCGTGCACCACGTAACCTGTGGCCCCGACTTCCTTGACCGGTGCCAAAACAAGGACGTTAGCGTTGTGGCAGGCTTCTTGTGGACGTCTCCTACGACTCACCCTCTATATCAGCGGTGCTTGCGAAACGAAATTTCGGTGTCGACGTCGTTGCCACGAATCCACGTTTCCACGTCACTCACTTACAGTTCCCTCGCTCACCCGGAAGTAAGTCTGCTGCAGATCGAATCCACAAATCTAGTCCGAGCATCCGGTCCTGTCCAACCGCTATCTCGAGTATCATTATTTCCAGTGTTCTGGAACACACTTCATTTTGTAGCAACAAACCAATCGTTCGCAACGCTGGCGTTCTCACGCGAACAAGCAAAAAGGCTCCTGCGTTTGAGTCTGCCACCACCTGCGCCCATACAACCCTCACTGCCCCAACCAGCACCGCACGAGCATACGAGCCGACGAAACAGTGCTGTAGGAGAAGAAATGGTGTTCGCCGATGTAGGGCGGCGTTCGCCAGAGCGAAGAAGTCGTGCTTCAACCGTGGTTGGGCCTGGACTACGACCGCAAATAGACACAACACACAATCGACGGGCTTCTGTGGTGTCCAATAACGGGGATTTGCCAATAAACTCGGCAAACTTCAACGATGAGAAACCCATCGCTGCTGGCAATGGTGTCTCTGTAATAGTATCGATGGCTGAGCCCGTGCTGTTCCTGCAAGGTTACGATGCGAACGATCCGTCGACACACAGCACTACTATGCTACGAGGAAGCTTACTGCTTCGGGTCACAAAACAAGCGAAGCTGAAGTCGATATCTCTCAACTTCAAGGGCCGTTCAGAAACAGACTGGCCCGAGGGTATCCCACCACGGCGAGTAGAATTTCGAGACACGACGGTCATTATGAATCACACATGGTCTTTCTTCAATGCCCAGATGCCGATTGCCGAGCACAGCTATGGGGCGGATATTGTACAGCTACAGAAAGGACCAGCCGTAGAGACCAAGGACTTAGGAGTCTCGGGTGGCTCGTCGTTTGACCTGTTCCAAAGAAGTGCATCGCCTGCGAAAGGTCAATCTACCCGTGACCTCAAGAGGCTGTCGCTGCAGAACAATTCGTCGAGGAGCTTCGGCAAGGGTGAATCGATGAATGGAGGGCCAAGCGTTGCTCAACGAGGATTCAAAGTGTTCCACCCTGGTGATTATATCTACAATTTCGAGCTTCCACTGGACTCTCGCCTACCCGAATCGATACATGTCGATCTCGGAAGCGTCAAATACGAGCTCGAGGCTCTTGTTGAGCGATCGGGCGCTTTTCGAGCGAATCTGGTAGGTACGAAGGAATTGACACTTATTCGAGCACCTTCCGAAGGGTCCTTGGAACAGGTCGAGCCCATTGCAATCTCGAGAAACTGGGAAGATCAATTACATTATGACATTGTTATCTCTGGCAAGTCATTTCCCTTAGGGTCTACGGTTCCCATTGCATTCAAACTTACGCCTCTGGCCAAAGTGCAATGTCACCGCATAAAAGTCTTCGTCACGGAGAACATACAGTATTTTACCAACAACAAGAAGGTTCACCGCTTAGAGCCTACGAGGAAAGTACAATTATTCGAAAAGAGGGCAGAGAGCCACAGTGTCAGCTCGTACCCTGGTAGCTCAATGCGTATTATCTCTGGTGGAGGGGTTCCGTACGACTACCGGCAAGCAGCAGCTGCCGGAGACGAGGACGTGCCCCATGACAACACGAATCTACTAGGGAATCTGGACGCGGATTCTGTCAGCATTGGACCAACTGAGATGGAGTTCAATGTCCAATTGCCTAGCTGCTTCCAAATGAAGGAAAAGCTCCGGAGCGAACGTCTTCACTTTGATACCACGTATTCTAACATACAGGTCAATCACTGGATCAAGGTATGTCATAACACGTTCTAGCGATTTCAAAGACTGACGGCTTCGTAGATTGTTATGAGACTTTCCAGGCCAGATGAGAACGACTCTGCCAAGCGACGACACTTTGAAATCTCGATCGACTCCCCATTCAACATTCTCTCATGCCGTGCAACACAGGCCAACATATCACTGCCCGCTTATTCGGCTGGCGGTCTAAGTGCCCCCTCTGCCGACGAGTATGACTGTGGCTGTCCGGGAGCTGCACTACTGCATAGGCGCAACACACCACCAAATCCGGCGACTCTGGCTGGGGCCGGTGCTAATGGTGGCGCAAGCTCGTCGAGCGTGAACCTTCCAGGTCAGGGAGTCTCTCGAAGCTGGACGAACGATGACGGAGGTCTCGCGATGCCTTCTCAAGCTCACATGGCAAACGATCCGAATTCAGGAAACCCTCGACCAATTCATCTGCTGCGAGTTCCGTCGTTCAATCCGCCTGGTTTCGACGAGGAAGAACCACCACCACCTCTTGTCACACCGCCGCCACATTATAACAACGTGGTGGACGATCCACGTGATGCACTTGCCGACTATTTCTCTCGTCTGGCTGATGAAGAGGAGGAACGAAGCGATCGATCTCGGATTGATGTTCCTTTGACACCGGGAGGTCGAGTGAACAGGAGCATGGACATCAGCCGGACTTGGGTGCCGCTAGGAGATGGGGCCAGGCATACGCCTCAGAGCTCTTTGGCACATTGAGCTTGTTGAGCTTGCATAGTATCTTGGGCGCCGCCTTTCACGCATATACGACTAAACGAGAATCTGAAAAGCATGTTGGTTGGTCCCTCTACTGGACGGATGGATCATGGGGGAGTTGAATGGGCACAAGTTGCGACCAAGGACATAGCCTTTAGCTGTCAATCTAGTGTATCTACCATCTGATTTCATCTGACGATGATCTGCCAATCAAGCTATCCACGTCGTAGCGGACGTATAGTACATATATTAACAGTCGTCTGGAACAAAACTGCCAAGGAATTGGATATTGGAGAAGACTCGAGCCTGAGCTCCGCAGAGGTCGTCGACGCAGTCTACTCTTCTACTCTACACTTTTTTGTTCACCATTGAACGCACATCGGGGGCCCTTCCCAGAGCCATCACGATTCCCTCCCGTGGACATCATAGCATGTCTCCCCGCTACGCTTGCTGATATCCATCCTCTTCCTTCCGCCACCGATGGCTTCTGCAATGGGCCATGGCAGACCTTCCCTGCCAACCTCCGTACACTTGCCTCCTACAACACACGTTCCCCGTATACGGCCGCCACGCTTCTTGAAAGGGCAACCACGAGACAATGACAACCCTCAGCCAGATGAGCCGTCGTGGGGAATCAGGTCTGGGCGCAGGGAAGATGGCGGGAGCCAAACTCGCGAGCATTGCGCGACAGAAGCAAAGTACTCGGGCGCCAGGTTCAGAAAGCAGTTGCGCAGAAGACTATTGGGTGCAACATTTACGCATATTACCATCAAATCACTAGACAGGTCGTGTACAGCACAACCCGCATCATGCAGGTATGACGATTCCTTCAAGGCCACAAAGCAGCCTTAGCAGCATCTGCATATACTGACTGCTCCCTTAAGGAGGGCAAGATAATGCCACAACTCGTCTTCCACGGCAAGAAGACTGTTCCAAGCGGTATCAAGCGCGACAGTTGGCGTCCCTACTTCTCAGTCCACTTTCCGCAAACCGATAACGGCAAGCGGCTGGGTCTGTCCACGTACAGACGCCTGCGCGAGTTCTCTATGCGGCGCCAACTAGACCCAGACTCGGGCTACCTGACTGTCAAACAAGAAGATCTCGACGCGGAGGTGGGCCGCAAAGGGGACCCGCTGTCACTAAAACAAAAACACGAAGAAAACATCCTCTGGATTCGTGGCGTTGGCGAGCGCATGAACTTATGGCAGCGACAGCGCAAGCTCATGAACCAGAAAGCCACAGCCGTTGCAGACGTAGCCTTTGCATTGGAGCTCGTGATGGACAAGCTAAAGTCCGGCGCCGATCTTGACGCCGGCGAAAGTCTTGTGACAAAGACCGCCGGTCAGCTCGCCAACCGCGGAAGACGTGCTCAACGCACTTTGAAACACAAGCGGAGCTTAGAGGCGCAGAAGGCAGCAGAGCTCGAACAGCGAAGCGATCTCGTCGACGGGGAGAGCTACCGCGAAGGTAACCTGCGTATGGATAAATTCACCGCAGCGATGGTTGCCCTCGAGCACGATGGGGCCGTCGTTGCACGGGAGGATAGAAAAGTCGTCGACATGCTTGAGATACCAGACCGGCAGCTGTCAGACACCTATCAGACCGGCACAGGGGTGCAGATCCTCTGGGCGGATCTACGCGACGGCACGTTTGCGCCGAAGTGGCCGGAGGACGTGTTTCACGGAGAGCTGCAACCGATGGCACTTCATAAGAAACTGGTGACGCGAAATATTGTGAGTGAATTCGAGGACGACGATGAGGTGGGCCGGCAGCAGCAGGAGGCGTTTGTGATTTCGGGCCGGAACATCCACGTGCATGGCAGGCAATTGTTTCGCACAAACGATAACCCGAGTGGTATGCCGAAAGGCCCGTTCGACGAGGAGCGCAGTCTCGGCTGGAATGAAAGAGAAGTGCAAAGGAAGGAGATGCAGCATTTCAGAAAACTGGTCAAAGAGATCGAGGCGCTGACCCGACCCACGCCTCTGAGGTTTTCCGAGCCAGGCTCGGCGACTGCGCAGAACCCACAGGAAGCGGCTATCAGCTCCAATGCCTCAAGCCTTCTCATGGCCGACAAAACAGCCGACGAAGCAGCCGAGGAACCGACGTCGAGCAACGAGACCAGCCTGAAGGCCATTGAAGCTGCAGACCCTGACGGCTACACTGTGGCATCCGAGTTCGTCGCTCAACACAGGCAGAAAAATGCGGAGGTCGCGGCGATCAGGGCGGCAAAAGTCGAGGCTGCTGCTGCACGTCGAGAGCGAGCCAAGCTACAGCGCCTTGGTGCGGAGAACAGCGATGGTACCATGGAAAGCCGCAAAGAGGATGGAAGTGGAACCATCGTTCAAGTAGACAGCGAGGAAGGAAAGCAGGGAGAATACGAAGTCGAGACCGTGCAGAAGAAGCGCCGTTGGGAGACCGAGTCCGAGGCTGTGCAGCGATTGATGCAGCTCAGAGAGAGACGGCGCCGAGGCGGAGCGCTTGTTTATGAAGGGGAGCCGTATGACTCGGATCTGTCATCGGAAGCATCACCATCTATTGATTCAAGTGGCGTGGTTGTGCCGCAGTCCAGAGGATTCATGGCGACCGTGAAGGGCTGGCTGGGCCGATCTTAAGCTGACGCACGAAAGGATTGGCGCAGTAAGATCCGCTCTCAGTGGAAGGCGTCCTACTCAGACAGTAGCATCTCGCCGGGCTGCAGCTATGTACGAGTACAGCAGGAGTAAAGCAGCGGCGTGGTCACCAGAGAATGAGGTGTCTGTACACTATATCGAGGCACGTACTGCAGGAAGACAGGGTGATAGCATCAGCCGGATCTAGACAATGGCATTTGCACTGCAAAAGCATGCCGATAGCGATGGCCATGTACCATACACTGCCGTATACAAGTTTGGCACCTTCCAAGACAAGCTGAAATTCAGAAAACTTGGAGAGACCGGTTGACCGACACATTTGCTGTTTCACCACCACAGAATCATATTCGTTTCGCGTTGCACAAGGCTCAAGGATAATGCCATCCTGAAGTCATTGCGCCGAGTCTCTGTTTCCTGCCCGTCGTCCACTTCGCCTTGCCAACTTCCTTCATCCGATCGCGACCATTTCCAAGGCACACCTGCCTCGCCAACATCTTTGCCTGGCAATGCAGCACTGAGCGCCACACACTCAACAGAATCTTTGCCTCCCTCGAGCCCCGTGGACTTTGCTTCTCTGCTACCTCTCCATCTTGCTCCGCTTCGACAGTGCTCTGCTATCCAAGCCTTGGCCATCGTGCTGCGCATATCTGTACAATTCTGCCCCCTTTCGAGCAACCGTCCTTTTCCTCTCCAGCGCTACCAAAAGACTAAGTTCCTCATCTTTGCCGCCCCAATGCAGACCCGTCCGGATTCACATTCTATACGCCTCAGAACCGTCTAGATCCCTTCGACGTCTTCGGGGAGGCCGGCGCCCCATGGGGCCGGCAAGATGCTGAAATCTGTTCCCTCACAAAGCTGGAGGACCGTCTGGTGTTTTGGCCAAATCGATCCAGGTTTTGGGCTTAATCGAGAGTCACGCTCTTGAAATGGGTGCTATGCTAGGGGAAGCTCTCGAGAGTTCAGATTGAGCCAGGTGGAAGGTCAGGTAGGTCAAGGTAGATGTCTTGGCATTACGATATCAGCGCATGACTGCCTTTGGACTGAGTCGCTAGGCCGGGAGAGCAGGCCCTTGCCTGCAAGGCTTGGTCTGCTCGCGTCTGCTCCTGCTGTTGCTAACAACGAGAATACTGGGGTTGAGGAAGGCGTAACCAGGGCTGAGAATGATGTAGCACAAGGAGACAGGGCTGTACAAATAGTATCGTGACTAGCTAGTGGAAGCATTTCCAGGCTCAAGATGAGTGTAGTCAGCTGGTGAGCCACCCGCTCATGCGGTCTGGTCAGCTTTGCGGACGCCATACATACCTTCAAGATATTGTATCGTCGACCTCCCTGCCAAGCGACTCTGTTGGTCTGTGCTAGACATCGATAGTTGTAGTCCCTCCTTTGTAGTCGCGACCTGGTCTTGATGTACCCCCTTCTCACACGTCCAGGACTTGGGCCTGTAGAGAAGTCTGGCTTTGAAATTGCATGCATGATATTTGATTCTGACTACTGTCAATGGTACGGGTCTATCTTGTGAAAGATACTCCGCCGTATGGGCCGTGTCCCAGTCCCGGGGTATAATGTCGTGTCGGTAATGCAGTCGTCGATCCCATAAAAGTCTGTGTTCAACCAACGCCTGTTCTGACCGTCATCCGTACCCTGGCATCCATCCATCAATCGCCGTTCCCGTTACCCAAACGCCATTCCGAATCACGCCCACGGTTCAAAGCAGCCAAGTCGAGGGGCCTCGCACAAAGTCTCATCGTCTCTGACATTTGCCCTTGCACGGCTTCCCGCGCTTCTCACACTTCCGTGACCGGCAACCGGCCCTCTTTTCTACATGCTCTGCTCGCTTCTCGTTTCGCTTTCGCTGCCATTCCGAGACCAGGTGTTGAACGCGGCCCTGAGCCGTGGCCAGAGTGTCCGATCGCTTTTGCTTCTTCAACCATTTGGAGACGTCGCGCATAGCAAGCTCCCTCTGCACTCGACTTGCTCTCCTCAACTGCTTGGCCTTTTGCTTCAAGAACATAGTATTCTTCTGCAGATTCCGCAGCGCCTTGCCTGTGAGTTGATTGACGTTCTGCTCCTGTTCGACAACCCACTGAGATAGCTGAGCGGCAAGCTCGCCTCCCATAACGTCTATTCGCTCGTTAAGCGCGATTCTTTCTTGATCCAAATTTCGTAGCGGCTGTCTGACTCGTTCATCGAAACCAGTAGCCTGTTCGACTTCGCGTACCGTGTCTGCAACGGCCTGCAAAGTTTGGTCGACGAATTTGCGAGTCGCTCCTGACTGGACCAAGTCAAGGAGGGCACTGTGAGCAACCTCCAGCTTCTTCTCTACAGTTTTCTCGACGTCACCTACCATTCGACCAACCCAGTGATTGAAAGACTCAGGGCCGAGGTCGAGTGTGATAGTGTCGGTCAGACGAGGATTGGGCATCTCGAGATACACAGCGACCTTGCCATACATTTGCTCCTGAGCAATGTGTATACTGTACACACATGGGAACAATGATTTCACCTCCGTCTCGATGAGCTCACCTTCTCGCGAGACGACGACTTTGAACGGAGCTTTGCCCTTCGCCTTGTGGGGAGTCCGTACAACAAAGTGAGAAGATCCAACCACTTCCAGCTCGAATCTGCCGGTCGTCGATCTAGCTGGATCGATGGTGTACACCCGCTCTGAAGGAGCGGCCGAAGTTGTGGCGACAGCGACTGGAACGCTACTTGTCTTACTGCTGACACTCGTGCTAACGCTGACTGCACTTTCCAGGATACCACCTGCGATGTCGGTCGCAGAGAGTGGTAAGGTGGCGTTCAGTGCCGAAGGTGCGAGATCTCCATGAGGATACGTCGGCAGCATCACCTGAACTGCCAGCATGAATGCGAAAAGAGTGGTAAGGCCCGCCATGGCTCGCAAGACATGTGTCCGAGCCCATCTGATTCTCTGCTCCCACGCATGGGCCCATGCAGTCTTGGCCTTCTCGCTTTCCGTAGCAGTGTCCAACTTTGCGGTCCCGACGAGCCAGGACAGGTGGCGGCTCAATTGTCCCGAATTAAGGTTCAAGAATGTGTCCAGGTCGAGCGGCAGACAGGCCAGTACATCACCTTGCCAGACCGGACGAGTTGTGATGACTCTGTGAACCGTCCCTGAGTTTGGTGCAAACCCCTCAAGGTTCTTCCAGCCATCGTCTACGGTAACGACCAGAGATGGGATGCTGTGGCGTGCAGCAAGACGCGAGAACAGCTGCAGAGACATATCGGCCTTGCTTGTCTCAGACGTATCTGTAATGATCACTGCCAAATCGTATGGTAGTGAAGTTGGTGTAGGCCTCGAGACCAGGGTGTGGTCGGGACTCTCTTCGAAGAGGACGAAACCACCGGTCGAAGACATCTCGATAGAATGATAGCTCTGAACGTCAAGGTGCTGCTCTAGTGGAATGAGATCAGCTGTGGATGGCACGGATCCAGGACCAAAGGAACCAGGAATGACGTGGAATCGGGAGAGCGAAGATTGCTGACTGCTGCTGAGAGCACGACCCGAGGCGACAAGAGCATCAGCGACCTTGCTTTGGATCGAATCTCGAATCCCTGGTAAATACTCCTGACCCAGTAGCAAGAGCCGAAATGACTGGCGGCCGTTGTCCTTCAGATAATGTCTATCCAGGGTGAGATCGATGGCGCCGACGAGATCGGTCTTCTCAATCAACGTTGGCATGTTGATGATCTCGTTAGAGTCAAACAGCCTCAGTGTATGTCTGACGTGGACGTTCTCAGACCCCTCTGTAGCCCGCGGTTCATCCAGAGTGATGTGGCCAGGCATGAGATCTGCTTCATCGGCTTCCTTCTCGGTTGTCTGGGGCTCTTCCTCCTTGAGAGGAGAACCTGTCATCTCAGCGAATATGACTTCATCCTGTTCATCTCCATCGGATGAGCTATCATCAGCCTCATCTTGAGCAGAGGAAGCCTCATCGTGAATACTCAGAACATCTTCTGCACGCCTCACATCGACGAGGGACTCGATATCGGTCTGCTCTGACAACAGCTCGTCGTTCTGTGACGACTCAGCATCGGACATAGAAGCCCAGCTCTCGCTCAAAGCCGGCCGTCGAGCGGATCGCGTGGTTCTGGTCATGGCGGACGTTGGACTTGGTAGAATCGACTCCTGCCCAGATGGGTACGAATTTCTCAGGAGGGAGTCGAATGAGGCTTCGAGAGGGATTTGCGGATATTCCAAGGTGTCTGAAAAGTCGTGGTCATCTGCTGTGCTCTTATCGATCGCCTGTGCCGAAGGCCTTCCGACCTGGTCAGCCATACCGGCGATGGAAGGCAATGGAGTGGGTGCGGATGTTGATATACTCTTGACAGGAGAGTTGTGCTTACCAGGGAAGTTTGTTCGAGACAGAAAGGACAGTGTGTCTTTATGGAAGTTGCCTCAGTAGCCTTGCCTAAGTTTAATCAACTCAGCTGTGGTTCATGTTCAGGCGCAAGCGGGTCGCAGCCTGGCGAGACAACAGGCAATAAATGTGCCCCGCAGTTCGAGACAGCGGGTAGTCTTGTTTCGCGGGGCAGAGGGACCAGACGTCTACCTGCTTGAGGCAGAATGATGAAGTCGACACGTCTATCGCGTGGAAGAAGTGTGTGAAGTGCCTTCCTGGGCAAGATATGATTGTAGTAGATGCAGTCGGACGTTCTGGCCGGGACGTTTTGTACACGAAGTAGGCAACCACGGAACCCCGCATATCAAGCACGTCGATCACTATCACTCTATCGCGCTATCGCCCCCACTGTGAAACTCCGAAAATAGCCCTTGAGGTACTAGTGACAGTGCTTTCCAAAGTTCAACATCATCTACAACGCACGTTGGATGCACGGATGCATATGGCAACTTTATGGCTTGAGCATGCTCACTGACTTGTGGGATACTACGGTGCAGTGGAAATGTTGAAACATATTCTCGTATGTCCATTGTAACATGTGCAATGCCCGCGCGATCAACTCCGCTCGTCCAGTCCATACGGCATCCTGTGCCTAGCAGCGCCGTACGCTGCTTTGTTCAGACGCCCTTTGAGGGCTGGGGACCATAGCATTGGCAGTGATACCCAAATACGTATCTGATGTGCCCTCGTTGTCGCTTGCTGGTCAGAAATGTCGCCCGACTCCGTTGTATTCGACTTCTTGTAAGGCTGAGGCAGCTGCCAGAAGCGGCGACACTGCGGATTCTGCCAATATAACACTCGTGGATTCCAGTCGGAGGTATAGTGGTGCGAGTGATGAGCTAATGAGACCGTCTCAGTCCAATAGCCCGTGCTTTGTTTTGGGCTTCCTGTCGTCAGGACTCAACAGCGTTCAGGGGCTCGCCCATCCTCCAGCAACTTCGACCCATTCGTTCATGCAGCTGCCTTCCTTGCCCTCCACGTCGCGGATGTCTGTATCACATCTGCACCGGCAGCCAACGCCGTTCTCTTTCGGAGTATCGGGTGTTGCCCAGTACTCATCTTCCTCTGCACGCTCCTTTGGATCATCGGTGGTCTTTTCGAGATATGGTATTCTTGGCAATTGTCGGGTGGGTGCATTTGCTGGACAATGCTGAATTGTCGTATGCCGATATCCAAAATCACGGAAGTAATGAACGTCCTTGACACCCAACAGTGCGCCGGCAGCGAGTGAATGGATGGGTGCGTCACCCCACTGGAAAGATCAGTACTTGTGTGTTCCCGAAAGCAACTGGAAACTTACCCTTTCCATCCAGAAACCACCACTTCGGTCCATCATCTCAAAGAACTCATTGTACTCCTTACTCCGGAACCAGTCCAGTCTGGCAATCTCAAAATTACTCCAGAAGTGGCACATGTTGTACTTTTCGCCCTCCATGGCTTCCGGGTCAATCTCCTCTATATTCTGATGGCCTCGCTCCGTCTCTAGGATCTCGTTCGGCAGTGTCTTCTTCCTGTCGTCGCTTTCTTTCTTCTCTTTCCCTTCCGGTTGTGGCTCTAAGAACATCTCCCAGAGGCCCTTTGATTTCAGATTGTTCTTTCTCTTGTATGCAGAAGCATATCGGAAGATGTTTGGGACGGTTTCTTTGAGCTCCTTCACCGCAATCGTGAATCCGTATGTCTTGTTCGCGCGTTCCATTTCGATGAACGGATCGTAAGTCATGTCGCAGAAATAGGAGATCTCGGGCTCCACGCGCCAGTACCACTTGTACTTGTCCAGCAAAGGATGCTTGTAGAAGAATCCCGAGTAGAAGCGACACATGTGATGATAGCTTTCCATTCCACCGTACATGATGGCAGCATCTCCTTGCTTTCGGATACCTTCGCGCGCAACTTCGTGATCTACCAATCGGGGTATCCCCACATGGTCGCATTGATCTTCCCAAACTCGACTGGCGAACTCGTGTAGTTGGTGACCGTGTCTTTGAACTCTTGCTCGAAGTCTCCATCGTTAAGGAACACGTATGGATAATTGAACCAGCGGTTAAAATGGCGCTCTACGCTCTTGATCGACTGAATGACACCATCCAATTCCTTGTTGCGAGCTAGCACAACGAAAGCTGCGTTGGCACGAGGCCCTTTATTCTGCACTTCTGGATCGAGACATCCGGTTGCAAAGACGCGGTCATGCTTTTCGCTTATCCGTCTGCGGTGAAATGTTAGAGCTGTGATACACTTAGATATGGTCGATGGTAAGGTACGCACCTAATGGAGGGGGGCGTGCCCGCGGGCACGAGTATACGTCCGGACGACGATGGATGTCGAATTATGAGAATGATGATTAATATTACAACAATGCTTGGAAACAAAAGTACAAATCCCAGTGGCACGGAAATTGATGAATTGCCTTTTAATCGTATTCGTCGACGGAAGAACGATAACCTGGAGGAGGGCTTCGAACTTCGTTTTTCATCGTAGTTCGGAGCAGGTGATGTATAGGGTAAGCTCTTGAGGACTTGTTGGACAAGGCCAGGCCCTTTTGCTGGCTTCCAACTCATGGTCGGGTGCTCTGCTGTGAGAGGTGCTCCAGTAGCCTGGCAAGGGGACTAGCGACTCGTCATGGGACTCGGTGCCGGCTGCGTCAAAGATGATGACCGTCGCTGATGGCCGAAGATGTATGCGCACTAGTCAAAGTCGCAAAATCTGCTTGTTGAGAAGCTGGCTTGTGAAGTTTCGAAAGTACAAACGCCCAACGATATCAGGGGGCATTCGAGTTCCGGTGTAGGACAGTCGGGGTCAGGACAGCGAAATGGAAGCGCGTTCTGTGGGAGGGATCGATGGCGGAGGAGCAGTGCTTGCGATCATACGAGATTGGTCGTAGACAGGCCGTTTGGTGTTGATAGTACACGTCTACAGGCAACCGGATCTGAAGGGAAGAGGTTTATCGAGCGCAGTCTGCCAGAAGTCGGAAACCTCCACTGCTCGTTGCACGTTGTGGAGCCTCCCATGAGGTGCTGTCTTACCTGTAAATTACATCAGGGCGCCCACACTCCTCGAAAATTTGAGTGCCTTCAGGGGACGTGCCCAGGAATAGGCATTCGCCTAGATGTGCGAGCAAGAGCAAGCCCTAGAGCCTCAGGTGCTGTAGGTACCACGATGGCTACCTGGTACCTAGTTATTCCCGCGCAGAGCCTGCACGATCTCACGATCCTTTCAGGTTACCTACGTCGTTACCTAGGTGTGCTCTACAGTACCACTACCCCTAAAGTCTGCCCGCAGTACCTGTACCTGTGATCAGATGTGTGACTTCATTTGTTCGCACTGCCTCGGCGATCTTGCATATCACTCAACATATCCAAAGGCGTCAATTGCTTAGGCTGGTGAGTGCGAATGTTGGGGAGTCCGCGTCAGTGGCGATAGCAGACGTCCTTCAGGTCTATGCCGACGTCTAAGACACTGAGCTGCTAATGCTGCATGCCTGCCGCCGTGGCGATTGACCCTGGTCCGTAGCTGCAGGTCACTAGCATGATCGTCATGCCAGCCCCATGTTCTGAAGCCGCAGAAACTTGTTGCAAAGATGCGCACTTGCGACATGTTGCTTCCCTTCCCCCTCTACATCAGTAGGTGCTCGCAAAGGCAGCGAGACGCCAGGACTTCTATTTCCTCCTGAACCCATCAAGACTGCGCCATGCCGGTCTCGAGATGCTAGCTCTTCTCCGAACTTGATTGGGCTGTGTCATTTCGCTTCCCCAGACTCCCAGATGAGATCACCCCCTCCGAGTCGTTTCGTAAACACTCACCGTTCCTTGCACGAGACCTACAAACGCCTCAGAAACGCGGCCGCCTCGCTCCTATGTGACCTTCCTACATCTATATCAAGGTCAACGGACATTCTCCTGCCAACGAAGCTTAATGCGCCTGAATACATCCCTAGTTTAACGTCGTTCCCTCAACGAGAGCAATATGGCGCAAGTCGCCCGAAGTACCACCCCTCCCAAACGTCTAGGCATAGCACCTGTCCTGTCACCGAGCCGCATACCTCCTCCAGACATTTTGGGTCTCTCGACATCGCTACAAGGACATGTTGGTCTCGACGTCTTCTCTCCGGTTGATCAGAATGGCAGCTTCTGCTTTGATCGCGTCATTAAGAGCAGCAAGGTCAACCGTCGAGTGAAGAAGAAGGGTGCCTTCCGCGCCAGTTGGAAACCTACATATCTTGTGCTACGGCCAAATCTTCTCTCCATCTATGGAAACGCGGACGAAACAGACCTGCGAGACTCCGTTGGCTTGTCAGATATCACCGCAATCGCGCGCGTGCGTAAGTCGCGCCATGACAATGTCTTCGGAGTGTTCAGTCCATCCAAGAATTACCACTTCCAGGCCGCCTCTGAAAGGGATGCCATTGACTGGGTCAGCCAGATACGTCTCGAGGCACGTATCGACGGCGGCGAATCGCAAGATCCAACACTCGAGCCCCCAGCGCCGCAATTCTCGCGAACTGCCGCAAACGATTCCTCTCAATCCTACGGCTACGACACGACTGATGTGTCTGCTGATGAGTCACCTGACGCTTCGGCTTCTCCAGAGCAGCGACGGAAAACCACCTCCAGCCGTCCACGTACGCACTCAAACATAGAGCCTTACACGTCGGGACCAGACTTCAACACATCGCACAGTGACTTCAGCGACTTCCAGCCAGGCACGTCGCTGCCAAAGAATCTGCCCAGTGCCAGTCGCCCGCTGTCGCCGATCCCGTCGGCCAATGCTCTTCGCCCTGCGATGACTGAGCGAAATCCATCGCAATTTTCAATTACACATGATACACAGCACTCTCGACGGCCGCCGCAATCTTCGGGCGGAATACCCGCCACGCCAGCCACAGCTTACGACCAGCGGGACCCCTTGCGACCCATCCGCCAGGGTTTCCTGACTGTCCTGTCGTCCAAACCGGCAGGTATCAAATCTTGGAAGAGCCTGTTCGCTGTCCTGCGGCCCAAGAATCTCTCGTTCTACAAGAACGAGAACGAGTACTCGGTGTTGAGAATGATCTCTGCGTCCAGCATCATCGAAGCGGTGGAGATCGACCCTGTGAGTCGTAGTCGCGTGTATTGTTTCGAAGTCATCGCCGAGGAAAAGGTTGTTCGGTGCTGTGTGAAAAGCGAAGCCGAGCTTGAGGGCTGGCTAGGTGCGTTTAAAAGCGTCATCATGGGCGTCAAGCGCGAAAGAGAAAGGGAGCTGGAATTATGGACGGAGAAGGAGCGCTTCAAAGACAAGGAGAAAATGAAAGAAGTGAGCGCGGGAAGTGGCTCGTCACCAATGGTGGTGGAAGGTATGAACAGGCTGAGCGTGCATTAGTAATGCTTCTGCTCAAGCGATGATACACGTCTGGCACCCGGGCTCGCTGAACTGGTGTCCCTCATGATTGGAATGGCTTATGACGACGATTGATGAAGCGTGTACAGTGGGTACTTCTTGGATACCCAGGGAGCGAAATGCTATAGAGGTTCAGATCCGACTAAACAAAGCATTGGACGGTACGACGAAGACCTGCAGCTTTAGGACCAAGACCTGGTCGAGGCGACTTCCTGCAGTGTCCGCGTTTGTTACGAAAACGCGAGCTGATGTTGCCGTATTATGAGAGAAACACTCGTGTACGTCAACCGGTCTGCACTTCTTCGAAGAGACATCACATTATGGGCATTTCGTATCATGCAAGCAGATAGTGCTTCCCATGCGGATCTCCTGCAAAACCCTCACCAGTCATCCAGCTCTATGCCAGGGCTTCTGTCGACCGGTCGGCTACAGAGGCATAGAATATAGATCATGCACTCGCCCACAATCACCGTCGGCCCTGCACAGTCCGGATCGAGTGAACGCAGTTTGCAGACATATACTGGCCGACTACGCGATTCTGCTGCCAAAATTCGCGAGACTTGTCAGGATGCGAGCAAGAAGACGTGCTGGAGGTGCGCAGAGCGTGAACGAAGATCTTACGTGTAGTGTAGTCAAGTTTGCTGTAGCAACCAGATTTAAGCTAGACCCGATGCAGTGAATGGACTTGGCAGAAAGAGGCTTTGCCATGAAGTGAGACAGTGCTCTCCAAGGGGGCGTCGACTAATAATAAGCACTTCAATCGATATGCGCACGCTCTGGCCGGCCAACAACCGACTGTTCGCGCCTTGTTTCATCCTAGCCATTGATTGAAGTTGTACTTCACGTTCGTTTCGACACCCATCGCTCGCTAAGATACCGAACAAACACGCTCTACACAGTTTCTATCGTCCCAGAAGTGGTTGCTCTATTCCCAAACGACTTCGCCTCAACAAAGGGCCGATACTAGGGAAACAGGAGAAGGCGGATCTTGGTACATAGCGACGAAGCACTGAAGAGCAGACTCTCGTCGAGGGACTGACCGTCCCAAGCAGCCCACCATGGGCTTCGGCTCTTTCGAAGACATCTGCGCGCAGTCGCCTCTGCCGTTGTGTTTTATCCTCGGACCACCATCCACCCTCACATCCTCCCACGCACCACTACTATTGCCAACATGCGCCGCACGATCGATCGAGTTGGCCAACACCATAATCTTCCAGGCCGCCACCGACTTTGCACATATCGCCGCTCTGGCAATGACGGCAATCATGATATTTCATGTCAGATCTAAGTTCACTGCGGTGGGAAGAAAAGAGATCTTGACCTTCTTCTACCTGTACCTACTCCTCACGATTGTCAGCCTGGTCCTTGACGCCGGCGTGCTACCCGCCACGAAGAACGGGGCATTTGTTTATTTCGTGTCCGCGCAGAATGGGTTCGCATCAGCCATGTGCGCTGCACTGGTCATCAACGGCTTTGTGGGCTTCCAGTTGTACGAAGATGGCACGTTCCTCTCAGTCTGGCTACTTCGACTCAGCAGCGTCGCGGTCTTTGCCCTGACATTCATCATCTCTCTCCTTACGTTTCAAGGCTGGGCCGGTCTGTCGCCCACCAACACTACCGGTCTCTTCATCGTTCTGTACATCATCAACGCTATCTGTCTTTTCGTCTACCTCGTCATGCAGGTCATCCTGGTAGTCAACACATTGCAGGATCGCTGGCCACTATGGGATCTTGCAGCAGCGGTGTTCTTCTTCGTCATTGGGCAGGTAATCTTGTACACATTCGGCGCCAGAATCTGTGAAGCTGTCAATCATTACCTGGACGGTCTCTTCTTCGCAACGGTCTGCAATTTGCTTGCTGTGATGATGATTTACAAGGTATGTTGCTCCGCAATCCCATCATCTGCCCTCCCGTGCGGACACAAGCTAACTCTCCTTCCTAGTACTGGGACTCTATCACCAAAGAAGACCTCGAATTCTCCGTCGGCGCACGACAGAACAACTGGGACGTTGGAGCCGCCATGCAGAAAGATCCGCTACTCTCGCAATCTGAGGTGGATATGGTCCACAACGATCACCGCAACTCATACTATCCTTCAGATTTCAACCCAAATTCGAATTACACCGTCAATCGAACCTCCACCTATGCAGACTCAACATACGAAGGCTACCGACCACCAACTTCTGGTGCGGGAAGTCTGTATCAGCAAGGCCGAAATCAGAGTGTCGGTCATTTGGGCCCGGTTGAGACCCGTCAGCCGAAGCGCTTGAGTGATTATGGAGGGGAGGGCTATCGAGATGTGCAAGGGTTTGGAAGTGAGACGCCACGGGGAGCAGGCAATGAACGGCCGATAAAACGGAAGAGTTTGGGTGGAGGCGCTGGGGCAGTACAGGTCTACGAGGATACGGCGGTCATTGATGATGCTGCTTACGGCTATAATTCGTCACCAGTAAGGGAACAGCGACAGCATGGTGAGCGGAGAAAGTCGAGATCGAGGGGAAGGAGGACAAGTAGTGCGGGCGGCGGATTGGGCTACTAGAAGGAGTCCAGTCGGAGGGATGATCCTTGGGTTGGATTTCTTTGATGCGGTTTGTCGAAGTCAGCTGCGACCTCCTCTCCGCGTCGGTGCTGAGTGCCCGCCGGAAAGAGGTCTTCAAGCATTAGCAGCACCGCCGACGGACGGCACAAGCTGGGACATTCCGGAGCCGGCGTCGACCACAGAGCAAAGCAGGCGGTAACATGTTTTTATGTATATCAAACACAAGTAGCATAGCATAGCACGGATGGTCGGTAATTGGGGTCGAGGACTGGAATTTCGACCTCTGGGCGCAGCGCAGAGCAGGGTTGAGTAAACGTATGCCTCGTAGTATCTGATAGATAAATTGTCGATGCGTTATGTCAACGGAACCTCGTGACCACCCTAGCATCTGGTCGTTCCTCTCCGAATGCTACATGCGATGGTCGTTTTGCCGTTGGTCGGCAATGAACAAGTCACTGGCAGGCCGCTGTAGATAGGACATGCAGGCACTTCGTCGGTAGAAGCAGGGGAACGGACATGTGGCGCCTTCTTTGATCACAGGTCTTCGTTGCTCTACATGAACACTCCTCAGATGAGCAGCAACGACATCCTACATGGCCGTGCATTGATCTGTTCTGCTCTTCAGTCATAAATGAGCTCAAGCTGCTGATCCCTGCGTTGTCAGGATACAGTCTTTCGTTGCCTCTAAATGGTGGACTCTTCGATGGAGCGGGACCGACTTCCTACCTGGCACTCGAGAAAGGTTGATCGTCACCGAATTGTGAAGGTCTTTGACGAAAAGGAACGTCGATTCTGCGCCTGACTCTCCATGATCTGTTGTGCATTTCAGCAGGCAAAAGCAGGCAAAAGGCTTTAAGTCGGGCGTCACTGGATCATGACGGCGCTCATCTTGACGGCTTTTCCTGTCCTACCTTTCTTATTTCGTAGGTCTCATCCGAGTCGTCAAGGTGGTTGTTAGGGAGGATTGTTGATTTCCTGCTTGGCAAGGTTCTCTGACGAGGGTCCCTATTAAGTGTTGATCCACATGAGTCAGGAACGCAGACTTGGGGGCGCTCACTAACGTGAGTAGGATTTTCTATTAAGACCAGTCTCGCATATGACCGGTCTCTCAGGTTCCCTTGCTCGACAACAGCGATTTGTTGAAGGCTAGCCTGACGGGTTGCAATACCGACGACGACCGCGTCTCTTGAGCGGCTGAGTAACTCGTAGTGCATTACTGGGCAACCTCGACAACAATTTCGACACAAGCTTGACTCTGGTTATCAGGCAGCCATCATATCATCAAACACAGCAGGAATGCCAGACTCGAGTAACGTGACTCGCACCACCCAACATGATATCACAGTAAACCTAGACTTCCAGTACTGCATCACCACTACCTGTCAGCTCTCAACAGGACCATTGACTCACAAGAAAACGCGCAATGGGCAGCGCCAGTAGCAACACGCACAGGTCTAACCGCTGCTGCTCGTCTCGTTGCCTGTCACATCAAGAGGCGGTCGTGGTGAGTTGGCCAAGGCGCCGTAACGTTTAATCGTGATGCAGTGGTCCAGCATCGGCTTGATCGGTTACATTGTAAGGACCAGCGTGCAGCCAGGCTGGTTGATTTGCAAGCATGCCAGGTGTTTTCACCCTCATCATCTGCACACACCGGCACGGCGAGGGTGCCGGCGAGAAGCGTGAGCTTTCGAGCAATGCTTGGTTGCCCTGCATACAGGACTGGCCCTGCTGCATGAGCAGAGAGCACCGATCGAAAAAACTGGTACCCTGAGCACGCTTGAATACGACAATTTTAGCGAGGATGAGGTGCAGTCAGGGACCGCCGCTGAGAAGATGCCTGATCTAGGTGAAAGGTCTTCGCGGCGGATAACCTTGTGAGAGTGCGCCCAGTCTAGTGAATCAGCCGTGCTGAGACTGGTGGATTCGTTGCTGCCATCCAGAGATCGTCCGTCTCGATTGTGCGTTTCGGCAGCCAAGCACATGTCGCCTTTCTCCGGTAGGTCGAAGCAACAGCACCCGCTTACAGTCAGTACCCTTGGCCTGTCAAGCTTGTGTGATGTTTAGTCCAGCGGATGATAGAGAGACGGCCACCGGTAGGCGACCACTGAAAGCTGCTGAGTGAAGTACAGCAGATCCAAGGATCTGTGCATGCTTGGACCAGTTTTTCAAAAATGGTTGCGATCGTAGCTCCGCATACAGCATGCAGAGGCTTTCTCTGGCTTCTACAACGGGTCTAGCAGTTTATCGACCCAAGCTGCTGGGGCTGTTGTAGTGGATTACTCTCAAGACTCGGTCCCGGCAGCAACTGGTCCTTGGCCTCAAGCTCGAGGAAAGGCATCGGTATTGTTCGTGAACCAAACCTTCATAGGAGGTCTGTTTTGAGACTAAGGGGCAGGGGGAACGAGCAGACGCCGGTCGCTGGTGCCGCTTCTGCACAGCCTCTGTCAGTAAGTTGATGGAACATCAAGAACTTGTTGTACTGTGACAATGCGACCAAATTCAACGGGTGGATTGTCTGTTCGATCGATGCCATTTCGGACGGCAGAGTCCTCCCTCGGGCAAACGTGGCCAGTCACAGAGTTCGAGATATCAGAAGTGACCGGGAGCCATGGAAAATAATGACCCCACCCGTGGAACGTTCAAGTTTGGAGAGAAAAAGAGATGGCAGTCAGAAGATCGGCATCACTCACATGTTTCTGTAGCATTTGTCAAAGCGATATGCAGTCGATCAGTGCGGCTTGCCTGCCAACGTTAACTTACCCATGACACGGTCATCGGTGGTGCTTGCATGTGTCTCTCACTATTCGTAGAGAGTTTTGTACGAAGTATTGCCCAGGTGAATTTTGCTTTCGTCCTGGAACGCGAAACGCCAGCAGCTCAGAACACGGCATGTTGCTCACAGGCGCAGAATTCAATTGGCCTGAGGGTAGCCTTATTGATCTGGCCCGCATCCACTCCTGACAGGCATACACAGCAAGGTAGGCAAGGTATCAGTCACAAAACAGGTTGTCGTCATTCTCGCGGCGACGCCCGATAGATACCAATGATGTGCAACGTGATAATGGCGCCACAAGCATGCCGTCTTACGTTGGCTCGGATTGAAGCACACCGCATTCATGAAGAGATGATGATCTCGGGGAAATGGACTGATCATCTGACGGGCAGTCACGACGCCTCGATGGTCACAAGTCTTTCGCTGGGCTTCGTTGTCTTCATCGTCACTCTATGCAGCTTCTGCGGGCCGGTTTCTGCGCAGCTCGAGTTTTGGGCAGTCGGGCGGTGAGGAGGCAAGCCATCAACAAGCATTTCTTAGTCATGAGGGCCGACGAACGAGTAGATTATTAGGTTGGCTTCTTCCCTAGACACAGTCAGGTAGTAAGGTAAGACCGACAATTCCAAGAGGCGTCATTTGAATTTCTTAGATGCCTAGGCTCTGGACTGCTCGGCGCTGGATCGGCCATGTGTCGACGCCAAACCCAATCATGCATGCTGGCGGATTCAAAAAGCGAGGTTGCGTGTGACTTTCTTTGTCGACATCGGAATCCAGCATCTGAGCATGCGTAATTACAGCGGTCTTTCGGACCGCGCAGGCTTGAGCAACTGATGCATCAAGGATCACAAGTGAGCATTCAAATTTCACGGACACAAGCTCCAGGGGTCGTTATCAGCAGCAATATGCTCAGGTGGGAAGTGGAAGGGTTCGGTAACAGGCTAGAGCTCAGCCATTATTCGCCCATGGATTGGCAAACAGTGTCCAGAACTTGCCGTGTCGGTATGTTTTTTCGATGCCTTTGCTCACGCGCGTCAGTGCGCCATCTGATGACCTCAAAAAATAAACGAAGATTCTATCCCACGTTGCCACCCACTGGAGCCTCGCGCTATGAACTGTGTGATGCCAAGTCAGGAATGGTAGCCTGCACCAAAAGCCTCTTTTTCTGGTCTCAGGCGCCGGGCGGGCTTTGTACGCCTGTGCCTCCGCACCAAGCCTGCTGTGCTCAGCGACTCGCCGATGTCTCCGGCTTGACATGTAATATCGCATTTCAGGTCCAGACACTGCGCCCCAATCATGACACAAACACGAGAATGCGTGATGCAACCTGAACACTAGAACACAGTCGGAGAATGCATTCGAATGGAGTAACGAAGAACGCCGAAGACACTTCTGTTCACACTCCAGAGAAGCCAGGCTAGGCGAAGCGCTCAGGTCATGAGGACTTGCTGCCTCGGCTAAGGGACCTCAAAGCACCAGTACGAAGTAGGCGTCCAGCTGGAGATCTTGATAAAAATCGTTCCGCTTTACCATTGACCGATTTGCCTTGGTGGGTTCGGCAGCAAGAACCAGGATTAGTACGACAACCCGGCAAAGCAGGAAGCTGAGACCGCAAAATACGATCAAGACACTTGATGACGACGATGAGACGGTGATGCGAGCACGCGAATACCTGCAACCTTCAAATTTCCACGTCGACTAGCACTTCCTACACTGCCGCTGCGACGGCGACAGCCTATCATTGCCTGACTTGTCCAAAACGCCCGGCGTCGTCCCATCTGTCCAGGAAAGCCATCATCTTATTACTCCTCATGCTTGCGAAAGTCCTAGACTCCATTTGTTTTCTCCCGTCAATCAACAGCTACCATGCTTCTTGATCGATCAGACGCATCCGCCATTCCGTTCGGAGTCAGCGGTCGCTTTTGGGTTTTTGGGCCAACCATAGTGACCTTGGAGCCGATGGCTATCATCGAAGGTGCAAGCTACGGGCACCACTAATTCTTGGAAATAATCCTGTTGCAGCACCGTAGTAATAATAAGCCTGACAGGTATCAGCAAATTGCATGCAACCAACCATCTGTGAGGAGTCGGCTAGGATTTCACGGCAAAATGCTCGTGTATGACTCCTGCTCCCGGCCCCTTGCCGCAGTCAGACATGGCCAATTCTTTTCACTTCACAACCTGCACCTTTCCACTTCTGACTCGCTATGTACTCGAATGCTGTCCGCTTAACCTTGTACGCTCAGCTGTCCACACTTGATGTTTGATGAGTCGATGACCTCCTGTAACCATCGGTCCGTGGGCGGCATATTATTATTGTTTTTTTGCTTGGACTTTACGTCTGCGTAAGCTGGAAGGTTCCCGGCCCTACTTGTGCCGATTTTTGAGCGCCAACTGCATCTGCCTTTAGCCACGACACACTCGCTTGGCCGTTTGCGCCCTCAACACAACGCTAGTCCTTCCGATTTCAGTCTTTGACCTTGCCAGCTGTCGGTCGGGCTTGGTCGTTGCCTGACTGTACGTATGGAGCTACATTCCAGCAAAACTCAGCCTGCGTGCACTGCCGTGTGGCCCCTCTCCATCAATAATCATCTGAACGATGCAGGAAGGCAAGTCCGCGGACTCCATCTGTGTCCTGACTATCGCCATCAAGATTGTTCGTGTAGGGCGACCGGTGCGAGCAAGGGACCAGGTATGGTCGTAACACGTTGCGCGCCCGGTTGTAGGCGTCAAACATAGACGATCACTTTCCCCTGCTCGACAGGTAGCCAATGCTTCATCAGCGCTTCTGATCCCAGGTAGGCAGACGTCTGTACCGGGTTGGGTACGGCCTTGAAGTCTCGTCTACTCGCGGTGACTACTGCTGCATTCGTCCGTGAATCCTGAATGGTCGCAGCCGCATTCCCGTCAACAGCTATAGATGACCAAACCCCTGTAAGATCTCAGCACCAAGACTCAGTTTTTAACCCCCTTCCACTTTCGCCCTTCGCGTTAAACTCCTGGACCGCGTCCGATCCCTGGTCGCTTTTTGGGTCAGGTCAGAGCCCAGTAGTTGTGACGAGGCCAGCTCTACTCGGCGACTCCACTCCACTCATTTTGACCTCCCACCGTGACACCGTCCTTGTCGTTGCCTTTCAGGCATTTGGTGTCGTCGACCAAAGTGTGGATCCCGGAGTAGCTTCTCTCCCTGCAGTACCTCCAGGCTCTTCGCCTGGCCTGCGGAGTCGTGCACACGCACAAAAATGTGAGAGATATGTGAGACTTGTGCCCCCAAAGATCCGAGCTAGATGCGGTCATTGCATATCGTTTCGTTTCCGTACGTCTTTCACTTTGCTTTTCCACATCCACACTACGCCGTCTCTTATCCTGGCAGCCTTTTCAAAACATCACAAACCATCGTCCCATCCGCGTCTTAGTTTCGTCCTGCGCCCATCCTGTCTATGGATCCCCTTTGCCTTCGCTTTTTGCCATCCTCCTTCTCATTTTGCATCCCTGCTCATTGGCTGTCTGCAGTCCGGACCCGTCAGTCTACTTCGTACACTCCATATTCGCTAGCAGACTAGTAGCATTGCCCCAAACCCGGCCCAGTCTTGCTTCACCACTTTCTGTCTTTCCCGCTACCGCCCATGCATTTGCGAGACTGACATCGAAGCCGAGCCATGGATCCTGTCGTATGCTTTCCTTGCGCTACTGGCACGACTCCTGTCCCGACAAGACGCGCCTGATGATCACAGGTAAGATGGTTGCAGAGCTGATCTGCCACGCCAGCTCAACATCCACACCGTTGACCTTGACCTCGTTTCTTCAGCACTCGCCCGCCACACAAACCTTCGCATCTCCTTTCCATCAGCAATACATCGTCACCATTAGACCAGTCTTTGTTGTCATAATCCTGTCTGTTTGGGCTTCGTGTTTTCCACATTGACTCGGCTGTCAAACGTTCCTTGTCTGTGTGCGGTGGTCCTTCCGTTGTCCAGCACTCCAATTGTCCCCACCCTTCATATCAACTATCATTCCTCACTCAGATTCGACCCTCTCATAAACACTATTCGGCCTCTTCACTGTATCGTTTACGAATCAGTGACCACACGGCCCCATCGAATCGGCAGCAGTAACAGTATAACAAACAGACACCTCCCTTGTCCTCGAGCATAGCTCGCCTCAGCGTCGGAGAGCTTCCTCAATGTGCGGATCGTTCTCCACGAACGGCCATACCTCGAATACGTCCTCTCTGTACCGATAACGACCGACAAACTTCTCTCACTCCATGTCGTCCGCATTAGTTGATCACCGGTTCAATCCTGCAGGGTCGTGGCTAGGTTCAGCATACCGCAACCAGTACGAACAAAGACGTTCGTCGTTAGGGCACGAGCAGGACTCCATTGGTCGGTACTGCCTGACGGGAGGTCTGCCCACACCGCCAGCTACAAAGAGAATGAATGTTGTTTCGTCGGCCTCAGACACATCACGAAGGCCACTCTCGGGATGCTCAGGCGATGTTGCGCACCTCCAGCCTTTTCACACCCAGCACACGCAGTATGCCACCCAACCTCAAGCTCAATCGCTCGAACCCCCTACCATGACCGATTTTGCGGGGATCAGCATGCCAATCGACGACAGGTCTCAGCAGGATGAAATTGCCAGTCACCTCCAAATACCAGAGTCTGTGAACAAAAGCAAGGGTAGTCTGTCCGAGTTCGCCGCTGAGATTGCTAGCCTATTCTGGTTCGAGAGCGCGGAGACTTTGGAGTACGCCGAAGAGCTTCCAATGGACGCACCGACCGATCGAGCGTCGTAGCTGATGCAATACCTCCACCCGGTTTCCGGAAATGGGTCACGACTATCCTGAGCACTACCCAGGTTGGGAAGAATGTGATTCTGCTGGGTCTGCTCTTTATCTACCGGCTCAAGCAATTCAATCCAGGAGTCAGTGGTAAGCGTGGAAGCGAGTTTCGGCTTCTGACGATAGCTTTGATGCTCGGAAACAAGTTTCTGGATGACAACACCTACACAAATAAAACCTGGGCTGAAGTTTCTGGGATCACCGTGGGAGAAATTCACATCATGGAGGTTGAGTTCTTGAGCAACATGAGATATGACTTGTATGTCTCAGCCGAGGAATGGTCGAGTGGAAGGGGAAACTTGGACGTTTGGGTGCTTTCTACGAGAAAGCAACCAGGATGAATCTCAGACTGACACCAGTCCCGATTACACCGACTGTGCCAACATCGCCTCATACCCTTCCATCGCCCCGATCGAGCCATTCCACCAGCACAGCCAGCAAAGCCTACGCCGGTCTACCGAACCCCATGTTGAATGCTCCCCAGCTGCAAATTTCACCAAGTCGTGGCCCTCGATATGGCAGCGCAGACATCCTCGACAGCCGGAAGCGAAGTCTCGATCTAACTGGCGACGAGCCATCAGCCAAAAGACTTCACTACTCGTCAAGATTGAAGCACGAAAACGGCTCGCCACACTATCTTCCACCTAGGCCAAATCAACCAGCCGCATCGTCAATGGCCGCGTCCTCGCGAAATGTGCAATCTTCTATGAATGGTACTCTGCCAAGACTTCCCATGCCTCGGTTGCCTTTGTCGGTCAGCACGAGTACTGCAGCAGATAATCATCTTGCACCTTTACAGCTTCCAGGACCGCGAGCGATGATGAATACTTACCCGCCGGCTACTATGGCATCGTGGTCTAATCCAGTCACTCCCAGTGTCCAGGCAGACTCGTTCCATCAGTCGATCCCGAGTCTAGGTGACTTATCACGCACACAACATGTCATCAATTCCGCAAGAACCTCTCCGAATGGGTACACAGCTGTTACACCAGTTCATCAAGGTTCATCGCCATCATATTTCTTGACCAACCGACAATCGCCCTATCGTCCAGTCCGCCATGTCAACACGTTGTTGCACCCACCCCCGAACGCGGCTATGCAACCCCAAGCTCGGGTCGTCAGCCATGATCAGATATACTATCAGCCACTCAGCAAAGTCGACTTCGAGCGACGCACAGGTCCCGTGCCATACCACCAATCCGAGGGGTACTACCAGAGTCAAGCAAATACGCCTCTTACGCAAAAGTACCCCTACCATTACTAGATTCAGAGGACCGATAAAATTTCCAGCATAGCGCGGGTACATTCTCAGCAGGTTTAGAGAAGAAATCGTTAATTAGCAAGCGAGCATTGTGGGAGTTCTTTGATTTACAACGAGCAGGATGGACTGCACCCAACATGCGAGGTTCCAGTGGTCTTACATAGCCACATAGAAACATACCAGCCCAGCGGCTGGAAGCATCTTCGCAATGAAGATTGTGACAAGAATCACATAGAAATGTGCTACACTTGCCCTGCCTTGTATCCCTCCTGGTCAGCTGAACCAATACGACTGAGTGGTTTTCTTCCTCAGACCCCGCAGGCCGGCACACCTTCCTATCCTGGATACGTGAATCCCAACTTGAATCAAGGTGGGACAAGTGAGCTTTCCTGCATCCTCTTGTGATGAACAGATAAATATGTTCTGCTTGCAGTGACAGTGACACTACTCAGGGGCTGCACACTATTGGTGCATGTCCGACCATGCAAGAGCAGCGCTCTATAGTAGAGAGCAAAGATGCACAAGACACTGCTTCTTGTCTTCATCCACGGCTTCAAGGTTGGTGTCCACGTAGACCCGCCCACTTCCACAGACTTACTGGACTTTATGCGGACGCTCAGTTTGGACAGAATACTGACAGACAGCGCGATATCTCTAGGGCAACGATGACACCTTCGCCACGTTCCCGAAACACCTGCAGGCGCTCGTCAGTAACGCGCTGCCCAACATCAGCGTCACACCTCTAGTCTATCCGAAGTTCGAGACCAGTGGCGACCTGCGCAAAACAGTCGAGCGGTTTCGAGAATGGCTTCAAGACCGAGTCATTGATATCGAGGTGGCGCAGAACACACCTTCGCCAACCATTGACCCTTCCGTCCATGTCATCCTGGTAGGCCATTCGATGGGTGGCATCGTCGCAGCAGAAACATACCTCCTTCTCGCCTCGGAGCAGCCTGTACCTGCGGCATCCTCGTCGATGAACGTAGAGACACCCAACTTTCCGTCGAACACGACTTTGACGTCCACGACGGGTTCATCTCATCCCAATCCACAGCAAGCCGTGGACACCTCCGTCGTCCTCATGTTTCCGCATGTCCAAGGCGTTCTCGCCTTCGACACGCCTTTCCTTGGCCTCGCGCCCAGCATGTTCGCTAGCAAGGTCGAGGACGCACACGGATATGCCTCCACTGCGTACAAGACTTACACCGAGGCCGGAAAGATCTTTGGTTGGGGTGGCAACAACGTAGCCGCAGCGCCATCGACAGCCAAAGCCCTCCCGGCACCCTCAGCAGCAAGACTTTGATGCTGCCGCAGCGCCAAGATGGCAGTCCTGGGGCAAAGTCGCAATGTTTGCCGGTGCGGCGGGAGCGGTCGCCGCTGGCGGCGCGGCGGCGCTTTACTCTCAACGAGACAAGATCAGCGCTGGGTGGACGTGGGCAAGCGATCATCTCCTGTTTATTGGCGACTTGGCTCGAGCGGAGAATCTGCGGCGACGAGTTGAAATGCTGGAGAAAGCGACCGGGGAGAGGGGCGCTAAATGCATGAACTTGTACACCAATCTGGGCAAGGGAAGGAAAGAGGGCACAGTGACTGGTCATGCCGGGAGGCGGACGTTTGTCAATCTTCCTGCAAAGGTCGGCACTAGCTCCAGCAGCACAGTCAGCAGCGCAAAAGGCAAGAGCGGCGAAGCAACAAAAGCTGGAGGGATGGCATGGCACGAAGCGGTCAATGACAAAGCCGCAGACGAAATCGCAGCTCATTGCAGCATGTTTACGCCGAAGGACAACCCCAACTTTTACGCGCTCGGAGAAAGGGCGAAGGCCTGCATCGTGGACAGCGTAGATCAAGCTTGGTATGCTGGAAGCGAGAAAAAAAAGTGCAACGACCACGAAATGGACCTTGAAGGTAGCGCGGCACTGGGTGATGGCGAGGCGTGGGAAAAAGCTGATGGAGCGAAGTTGCCTGCCGATGAACTGGTGGATGAACCAACGGAGGATGACGAAGTCAAGATGACGAACAGCTACGAGGGGAGCAAGAAGGATCGACTAAGCCTGAATCGCAATGGCGATGGAGGGGGAGTCGATGATAACGACGAGGAGCTTGAAGACAGCATTATTGTCGAGAAGGCAGCACACAAAGAGGCTGTTGGAGATCGTGTTCAGTATCCGGCTACGATACCGTTGCCAGACGAGAACCCGTGGTCCAGATAGCGATACATTTTGGCGTTATTGTTTCGGTAGAAAGGTGACACGATCAAAGAGCGTGCACATGGTTTGTTCTAGTAATGTACCTAGGTTCGTGTATTGTGACAATGATAACGACGGCGAACGGAGGCAATGAGACCATGAACGTCGCGCTAAGGACTCTCAAATCAGGCCGTCGTCCAGAAGGACCTGGGCAGCAGGGTCCCAAGTCAAGGTCCTTAAGAGTTCTTGCCTCGTGTCGAACATGCTTGGGCTGTGCGTTCCCCCTGTCACGTAGATATTGTTTGTCACCCGGCTTGACTTAGCGCCACCACCAGCTTGCGCTGATGACCGGAAGCGAATTAGCACAAAAGCCTGGGCCATCTACGCTTAGGACGACTACAACATCCGTGGGTATGCGTGTATACACAGGCATGAAATGCTAGCAGACATTTTCCGGTGTAAGAGAGTTCGTGGACTGCATATCTCTGGGAGCCCCTATCGGCTTCTGCTTCCAACACTCACGTCCTTCAGAGCAGTTCCGTGGTCGTTACGTCGAAGACAGCATCCTTCCATGCCTCTGTGCGTCGTATATATGCTGCCATGCAGTAGTAAGCATGACCGCGGTGGTATATCTTGATATCGTGTTCTTACAGCGCCAGTCAATGACAGGCTCATTATGTACCTTCTCCACTCGCCGACCTGATTCTTGGCCTCTCTGCGACTACCGCAGCAGCAGGAGCATGGTCGCAAAAGCCAGAACCAGACTCATTGATGCGCCTTCCGATGGTTGTACAGCAGCAGCAGCGCCATCGAAGTCTCCTGGGCCACCATCAAAGGGACTGCCACCACCTGCACCGTTGAAGTTCGTCGTTGTGCCATCTTCACCGCGGTCCGGAGCGTTGCCACTAGCAGCCTGACTTGCCGTCGCGCTCGCACTTTGCGTGGGCGACGTCTGGCTAGCCTGCGTCTCTGTAGCAGAACTCGACACGCTCTGCGATGCACTGCTCGTGCTGCTCGCAGTCTCTGTCACGGTCTGCGTTGCCGAGGTCGTATCGGAACTCACAGGCGCAGCAGTACTCATCGTCGTAGTCGGGGTTGCAATACTGCTTGGTGCTGCACTTGGTGGACTACTGGACTGACTGCCAGCCGCCGGCGGGTTGGCACCTATGTCACCACATAGGAACTGTACCACACTCCCCAAAAACATCTGCCTATGACCGTCTGCCGCGACGCCCGCTCGCCCTGGCATGCAGCTTGTACATCGCTCTGAGCTCCAGTCAGGTCAGAAACGCAAGAGACGGAGCAGCCGCCGTTCTTGCCACCGACGGAGGACAGAAGGTCGTCGAAGGAGCAGTCCGGGAGGACTTGTGAGTAGGCGTTGAAGCAAGTGCGCGAGAAACCGGAGATGGGTTGGACAGAGGTGAGTTGGAGGTTTGTGGCATATGAGAGATCGAAGGTGAAGAGAAGGGCGAGTTGAAAGGCCGGCGAGAGCGTCCGGCGACGCACTTTTGATGAGGGCATGCTTCGGCTGTGAGAGCAGTAATCTTCGAAGCTGGGACCTATGCCCGCCCCGACGAGAGCCCGTCGATGCCGCTGACGTCGAACGAGTCGCCGGCGATGCGTCCGCTTGACGTCCAGTAGGTAACAAGGCTGATCCTGGCACAGCGCAGACACCGATCGGCCTCGGTCTTCCTTAGTCCCGGGTGTTTCGAATTGGTCCAGCAAGTACGACGCCTCGGCTGTTCAATCAGCAGAAGTCCACAAAAGCCTGCTGATGTCTAGTGCTCAAGCAAAGCCCTCCGAGGCTTGAGACGTTATATGTTGCCTCAATCCAACTGCTTCGTTATGTCGTTGTCGAGGCTGTTGTTTTGTGGGGCGTGTTTGCTCGCACGGTTGGGGCTGTCACATATGCCGTTTCCCGTAGGCGGGATGTGGTCTGGACCTGAAATAGCAATCTGTATCCCGAGGCACTCTGTCTCTTTTGGTCTTCCTAAATCGTTGTAGGATGACGTCCAGTGAATGGCGCCTTCGAAATCTGTAGCGGAGTGCTCCGCAGACTTATCTTCAAGGTCGCGATATTTGCGCATGGACAATCGACTGGCTCGATAGGTGGTCGTGGTCTAGGATTGGGCCCTGGAGATATGGCTACTGCGCAGCGCCCGGGCCGTGGCGGCTCAAGGAATCGAGACTTGATTTAACAAAAAGATATGTTGTAGGCGCAGCCTGAGTAAAGGGCTGTCAAAGCCAAACGAAAGCAAAGTCTCAGATTAGTAGCGACAGCGGATATATTGGCGTAGGAGCGTGCAAGGGGAGGAAGAGAAAGGGCAGCGACACACAGCAATCAAGAGTATCACTCGGATGTAAGCAGGGCGCGAGACATGGGCGCGCAATTGTGAGCATCATGAAGCAGCGCTAGACAGACCTCACCATTTCTTCTTCCATGGCCGCGATGAGCACGGCCAGCAGGCGACTCCAATTGGCAGAGTGTGGCGGTAGCCAGTCGGAGGCGGCGACACGCGAGGTCTGTTCATCTCTGGAACGATGCTTGCTCATGGCAGAAGTCTCCTGTGATGGAAGGCTGGGGACCAAGGAAGCAATGAGAATGCAGAGATGTACGGAAGGTGAAGCAGGACGTGTTTGATGTTGAATAAGGAGCTTTTCGATGCCAGGAAATGGTTGGTCGAATACGACCGGGGGCCTTCTGCAGGGGTCTTCCCGGTCTCAAATTCTATGCTGTGGCGCGGAGGATGACTTGGCATTCAGGATGGTCTTTTGTCAACACAGTATTTGTTGAGCTACGTACAACCCATGTATTCACGCGATCGCCGTGATTCTATGGGATCAACACGCCACGGAAGCGGACTTTGCCTGAGACCATGTGGTCGAGTGCCTCGTTCGCCTTCTCGAATTCAAACTTCTCGATCATGCATTCGATGCCTTGGTCCTCGGCAAACTTGATGGCTTCCTCCGTGTCCTGAGCGTGACCTGAGGGCCATGCTGTGATGCTGTTGCCGTAATGAATCATCATCGCAGGGTGCAGCTCAACCGGTGTGGGCGGCGCAGCAAGAATGATGAGCTTGCCAAGTGGGCCAAGACCTTGCAGCAGCGAGGGGATGAGGTCGGCAGCAGGTGCAGTGAGAATAATAGCTGAAGCACCGCCAAGTTTCTAAGAAGGACGTTGTCAGACAGGGTTGCGTGCAATCGGTGCCATGACTTACCTTTAGCTGCTGGCCAACATCTCCTTTCGAGCCATCAACGTAGTCGTGCGCACCGAGCTTGGAAGCGAACTCCTTCTTGGAGGCAGACGAAGAGATAGCCACCGTGCGGAAGCCCATCTTGCGAGCATACTGCAGAGCCAGATGACCGAGCCCGCCAAGTCCCTGAACCGCGACGATATCACCAGAAGTGATATTTTGTTGTCGTAGACCGTTGAAGACCGTCACACCTGCGCATAGCAAAGGTGCGTACTTGGCAGGATCGACGCCATGTGGGACGGAGACGGCAGCTTCGCTTCGAATGTAAACATACTCGCCGAAACCTCCATCGCGCATCACACCGTTGATGGTCTCGGTGTCGCACATCTGGAACAAACCTCGACGGCAGGCCTTGCAGTTTCCTAATCAGTTGGTGAGCGTCCAGGGCGGGCTTCGTTAGTGTACGACTTACCACAGTGACCGCCGTGCCAGGCAGCGCCAACCCAGTCGCCGACTTTCCAACGTTTCTCAGAAGACGGCACTGCGACGACCTCCCCAATAGCCTCATGACCAGGGACGATGGGAAACGAGTTGCCGAACGCAGCATGCTGTACAGCGGAATCGGAATGGCAAACGCCGCAAGCGAGGACTTTCGCAAGGATCTAGTAGCATTTATTAGCAGCACGTTGAGGAGGACTCTGGAATGCGTATCGCACCTGTCCCTCTGGCGGCTGCTCGAGCTTTCGCTGCTCGAAGACGAGCTTGGCACCTTTCTCCTTGAAGACGGCGACCTTGAATTCGTTGGGCAGTGATGGAGCCATTGTGAGGTAAGATGGAAGATTTCGAGCGGCTGGTGATTCTGTGATGTAGCTCAGGAGGGCTCTGCAGCGATCTTGAATAAATGTACAGTGGAAGCTTATGAACTTGCGCTTGAGATAGCGGTATGCACGAAGACGTCACGTTTTCTGGAAAAGTGAAGAGGCACTGACATGGTCGTTACGTGGAAGTGACATCTACTTTATACCTTCTCATGCACCCACCACCCGTGGCCGTACGTGGAAGCAGCCCTCAAGCATTTTTCGATTAACGATTTGCCTAGCTAAGCATCAAGGCCTATCGCCGGTAATCATCGCTGCGAACTATGGTGATGGACTGGGTAGTAACGACTTACACAAGGTAAAACGCCAAGCTGAACTTCCTCTCGTTTTCCGGTCCGGACTGTATCTCCGGGAACGTTACTGACAAACTCTTTAATCTGCGGCGAATCACTTGGGCTAGTAGATCGGCAAACTTGAAGTCGTCGCAGTCTGTAATGGAAATAATGCCTTGTGCAGAGGCATGTGGCCCTGCGGGTATGTTTTACAGGTAGCATGAGCGCGCTCAATCGGAGTCGTGATTCTCATTCGGGCAAGGTTCAGATTCCCACTTGAGGAAAGTCCATCTCCGGTGTAAATCGGAGTCTAACCTGATTGCAGTATAAGCCAGGGTAGCAAATCCGAGTGGAAGTGCTTTGGTAAGCAATACAGGGGTCCAGTCCTACAGCGAAACATCGCAATGATAACGCTATTTGCTAAGTCATGACAGGATTATAGAAGCATTGCTCAAACGTACAATCGTACGACAGCCTCCGTGCCTAAGTACTGACTGGCTTTTGAGGTTCTCGTACCATGCAGAAGAGATCACATCTCGCCTCATCTCCTTCCTCGCTCACACAGACCATCTTCTTCCGCAGATCGAAACCGAGCTTTTGGTAGATCGCGATGTTGGGTGTATCGCGACTGCTCTCCAGGTAGCATTTTCTGCCGTCCTTGTCGGCCTGATCTGAGACGACCTTGAACAGCATCTTTCCAATGCCTTTGCCCTGGATTCCTGGCCGCACAACGACAATATTGCAGAAGTAATATCCTTCTGGGTCTGTCCAGAGTTCAGCTTGCGCCTTCGCCTGCTCCCGCTTCCAGACGTGGTATCGATCAGTCCTCAGACCGCCCCTTCCTTGGTACCAGATGAGGTTCAGACCTTGCTTGAACCACAGGACGTAGTCGTCGAACCATTCCTCCCAGGTAACAGGTTCAGACGTTTTCCTTGGCTTCATCCACATTGAGACACCGATGACCTCGTCTGGTTTCGATGAACTTGTGTCTTTTGCAACAAAGAACAGCGCGTGCTTCATTCCCCATTCACATTTGGCCTTCAGACTGTGGAAGTTTCGATCTTTGTTGAACTTGCCGGGTCGCTTATCAAATGCCCAATTGGCATAGGGATCATCTTCGAATGCTTTCTGGATGCAGTCGACGGCTGATGCAATGTCGAGAGGCTGTATGGGCGTTATCTCGATCGGCATGATTGGAGCTTTGCGGTAGCACGCGCAATTCTGAGCCGATGTCCTACTTCGATAATGTTGATGCTCTGCGACAGTCAGTAATCCAGCAGAGACAACGTCTGGAAGAAAAGTAGATGCACGGCGAAGTCCGGGCACTCTGATAGTCGACGAAATCCCAACCCTTGAGGCTTGTGTCGCGTGGGATTGCCTGTCTCGGCATAAGAGGCATCCCTGGGCTCAATCTGCCTTGTCACGGGCAGCAATCATACTCTGCTGTGGCAGCGGATGCCCATGTCCAGCCTGTGGACAATCATCGTAATGATGGTCGTACGGGGTCCTCACAACTCAATCAATTGAGCTCGACGTTGTTGAGAAAGGTAAGAACATGACTCGCTTACCCACTGAATTCATCCAATGACATCATATTGACGTTACGAAAGAACTGTCGATCATAGTAATCTCACTGGGAACACAATCTCATCCTCCTGGAGGAAACATTCATTGCCTAGCACAGCAGTCTCACGCCGCAAATATGTCCGCAAACACCAACGACAATCCATCGCTCATTGCCGGCCACGCCAAGTACGTTCAAGGGGCCGTGTCCTCCGCACTAGGATACGAAACCGGCGAAGCGACAAAATCCGCCGCCGTCGACGAGATGAAGCGGGCTTCAGAGCAGAACAGCAGCCAGCAACCAGCACAGAACAACGTCCTCGGAACAATCGAGAAGAAAGCGGGAGAGCTGGTCGGCTGTGAAGGCATGGCTGAGGAGGGCACGCAGCGACTGCCGAGTGGACAATCGAGTTGAGGGACACGTCTGACACACTCTCCAGCTGCCCAACATACATACCTGAGGGTACTGGTGCAATATCGACGTATTACTGCTTGAAACTGCGTACCCATCAGTTCTATAAACGTTGCCGAAGAGAGCAAGAAACGTCAATTCATTCTGCATCCATGGTCACTTCGAACGATCCCATTAGCCGTGCAACAAGTCCCTGCCAAAGCTGACAATGACAACTCCCGAGCCGTGAATGGAACTCTTCCTCTTCCTGTGGCATCGGGCTCTGTCACCACTAGAAGTATTGCTGACATGCTGCAAGAAGGATACTTAGCATTTTGGAGAACAATCATCCTACGCGACTCTTTTCCGGCTGTCTAGCAATCCAGTCCACCCCGCACTCCGGACCGCAAAAGGGAATACTCCCAAGCAAAAGGCAACAATGAACCGAGTCCACCTCGGCATTGATGGTCTTGACTCTTTCGACACGCTGAGCATATCAATGCGCGACTTCTCGATTATGACATGGATCTGTGATATCGTCGCTGGTTTTGACCTAACATTTATGACCACTGACTGACAAAAGCATCTGGACGACCAATACATTTTACTCTACGCCAACAAGGCAGGCGCAACCGGCGAAACACCATCAAGACCAACCACGCAAGCGTCACAATGACGATAACGACAGAAGCAACCACTCTCCTCGGGACCAAAAACCCAATCCTTCTCGCCGGCATGGGTCGTGTAGCCGGCCCACCTCTCGCCGCCGCCGTCTCAAATGCTGGCGGCCTTGGTGTCATCGGTGGTGTTGGCTATACACCAAAACAACTCCGGTCACTATGCCAGGAGCTAAAGTCCCTTCTCAGCTCACCGGAGCTGCCCTTCGGCGTCGACTTGCTCATCCCCCAAGTAGGCGGCAACGCCCGCAAGACCAACTACGACTACACCAAGGGCGGATTGGATGAGATGGTGGACATCATCATCGAGGAAGGCGCGAAGGTGTTCGTGTCGGCGGTAGGCGTACCGCCCAAGGCCGTCGTGGACAAGCTGCATCGCCACGGAGTGCTGTACGGGAATATGATCGGGCATCCGAAGCATATCAAGAAGTGCGGCGACCTTGGCGTCGACATCATCATCGCCCAAGGTGGCGAGGGTGGCGGCCACACCGGCGAGATCCCAACGTCTGTCCTGATCCCCGCCTGCGTCTCAGCCGCCAAGCACTACAAATCACCCATCACCGGCAATCCACCCCTCGTCGTCGCAGCTGGCGGCATCGCCACCGGCGCCGGCGTCGCTGCAGCACTCATGCTCGGCGCATCAGCTGTGTGGATCGGCACGCGCTTCGTCACCGCCACGGAAGCAGGCGCCACGAAACGAGACAAGGAGCTGATGGTAGCAGCGGGGTTCGACGCGACGCTGAAGTCGACGATCTGGACAGGTCGGCCCTTGAGGCACCTGAAGACGACTTATACGGAGGAGTGGGAGACGAAGCGAAGGGCGGAGTTGGAGGAGATCCAGGGACGGGGAAAGTTGGCCATAGACGTGGAAATGGATCGGTTGGCAAAGGAGGGCAAGTTGACCGAGGAGATTGAGGATTTGAGTCATTGCCGGCCTGCGGGGGTGGTGGCGGCGCTGTGTGATAAGGCTGGGCAGAGTGCTGGGGAGATTGTGAGGGAGATGGTAGGCGAGGCGGAGGTGAGTCTGAGGTCAGCGAGTAGGTTTCTGGGAGGTCGCAGGGAGGCGAGGTTGTGACTGTTGCTCATGGTTTTTGGTCGACGACGGGACTCAGAGGGATGAGCTTAAGAGGTAACCATGTCGGTCCAGGTCAGGACGCAAGTGGACTCGCTGTCTGTAGATGAATACGTAGTCACTGATAGCGGGCAGCCTTGTCAAGGTGCGTGAAGGCCACACGCGAGCTGAGTCGGGAGTCAGTGTGAGTTGTTGCTGGACAGCAAGGAGACAGCAAGACCGATGAGAAAATGCGAAGCAACAAAAGTCCACTCGAAAGGCTGAGCTCTTGGATTCATGCATTCCACCACATCCACGCTACTTGCATCTGGAGCAAAACAAATGTGCTCCTGAGATGCCACTGACATACCTGGACTACCAGCCTATGAGACCAAATGCTGACAGCCAATGCAACCAACGCCAGTCTCGTAACGTATGATATCGAAAAGTAGAACACCACGCCCGTGCCAGTTGATGCGTCTGTATAATCCATATCTGTGCTTTCTTCTTCGAAAATGCACGTATTGAGTGCAACACCTGTCGTATATGTGCTCATCCAGTAATCAGCGGCTGCCATAGCCAGGTATCCATCATCAATAAACAAAGTAAAAGTATCGTATGAAAGGTGGCGCATTGATGCCTCGTATATCGACGCCGCTGGGCGCGTACAAGTACAAAGGTCGAGGTTCGATCTCGTCCATTTGAGTGTGAGAAAGAAAGTTGGTGGTTTCGAGCACGCTCGCCACGTCACCGCGACAGCAACCCCGTGTTTCTGCGAGACATCCAGCCCATGAGCATTGAATCGAGCTGAGTCTGCATTTCTGCAAGCTTGCTGCGTTCGCTCGAGAACAAATTGGTCATCAAAGGATGATCTGGTCCGACCGGCGTCACGTTTGACTTGTCGTGTACAATAATCAGCAGATCCTTGATATCTTGATCGTTCTCCAGATAGGTCCGAAGAGATGCGTCCGACCAGGATGGCTCTGATCGTGATGTCGAAGGTGTATGCGTTGTAGCGGTCGAAGGCGATGCCTTTGAAGTACTTGCAGTCGCGTCCGCCTCAATAGGAGTAATTTCTTGCTCCGGATATGCTGACTCATCTGCTTCTTGAGCTCCTTTCAAAGCTTGTGGGTATGACCCAAAGCCTTGTGGCGCTTCAATGGGTGAGATTTGCATGCCAGAATCGTTGCGTTGATGATGAGACTGAGAGGCGTTGAGTGGCGACACACTGTCACGCTCCGGCTGCTGCTGGGTTGGTGTTTGATCATCGTCTGAATCGCTAGTGTCCAGAGCGAATCTCTGCTTGGCTTGTTGTGTGTATATTGGCTTCACGACAGGTTCGGGTGCCTGTCGTTGCTCAGGTTCTAGCTGGCGCTTCTCCTGTAGCGATGGGAAGCGATTCGGCAGGTGCGCATTTGGCTGAAGTCTTGCAGCAGACTCCTGTGGTGGCTGAAGGCTTTCCTGTGAGCTTTCATTCTGTACTTGCCGAACAGTCGGTGGCGGTGGTGCTGGCCCAGTTGGTGCGGGTGGACTCGTAGCAGTCTGCGGCTGCACCGGCTCTTCTCGAGAAGGCTGTAGCGCGGCCGGTATTTGGGAGTAGCGTCCTTCGGTAGGAGATGCCTTGGGTGAACTTATGACGGGTGGCTGCTTCTGCAATTTGCTCGGTCGCCGCTCAACAACAGGGTCGACTTTGTGGACCGAATCAAGTGACTCCTTCGAGTTGACCGACGGCCTTAGCGACTCCTCCGACAGCTTGTTGTCGGAGCGATCATCGACCTTCTGACCTTTGGGAGCCTTGTCTTTTCTCTTGAAGAGTCCGCTGAGCATGCCCTTCTTCTCTTTCTTCTTTTCGTCTTTGCCTGGCTTCTCCTCGACGCCGACCATTTTGTCGAAAGTCTCCAGACTTGGACGTTGCCTGTTGTCTTGTTCTGCAGGTGCCGCCGCGTCTGAGTCGCCTCTAAGCAGCCGTGGCGTCAAGGATATCTTTTTGGTCTCTGCTGTGTCGTCTTTGAAGAAAGAATCTGTGTTTCGGACAACACCTTTGCGCGATCTTGATACAGGATCTTGGGCAGACAGCATGGCCGATGAGTCAGGCGCTTGTGCCTTGTCTGGACTTTGTGGCTCTTCCGTCAAAGACTCATGGCTCGTGGACCGCTGTAGACCGTTGCTCGCTCCCTGAGTCTGAGCCGATATGGGTTCTGCGGGATCTCTGGACGCCTCGGTGTCCTCGTTAGCTGGCTCTTGATCGACTTCCATCTGGCTTTCGTCGCCTTCCTCCTCGTCGGATGAATAATTTGCTTCCGAAGGCTCGTAGTAGGTTGGTGCAGTGAATTGGACAGTCTTCGCATTCCGGCGACGCATTGCTTTCTTCAGCGGATTCTTCGACTTTTCCGTATTGTCTCCCAGCATTGAAGCCGAAAGATCAATGTTCCTGTGTTTGTTCAAACGAGCTAGCCGCTCTGTTGGTGTCTCAATGTGCTCTGCCGGGAGGTAACCTGCTTCTGTCAATTTAAATGGTTCGTTTGTGTTCGAACAACATACCAATGCTGCCATCTTTTACTACTCTGACAAGCCACCAGTAGCTATTGCTGTCGTCTAACAGCACCATCGTATCTCCTTTGGTGGCATTGGCCTGGCCTTCGACGGTAGCGACGAAAGTATGCAAAGCATACACAAACTCGAAATCGATGTCTTCTATTTCTCGTAAGCACTCGCCTCCCCAACCAGAATCAATGAAGCGAGCATCAGCAGAAAAAGTGAACTCCTCGGTGTCTTCATCATCGCTAGACTGATAGTCTGGCAGGTTGATGTCCTCGTCGACCCAATCATCCTCGTTCTCTTCCTCGTAAGAGCGTTGGTCGTAGCCCTCATCTTCACTGAAGTCGTCCAAGGCCGGATCATGAACCGGAAGAAGATACTTGGACACTTCACGGACCTCGTCCTCGGTCATGAAGTCTGGAAAGCGAGGTTCGGCCGGCGACAGATCGAAGTAACTGTTGTAGTTTGGGACGGGAGCGCTGTTCTCATCGAGTTCGTGTTCATCTTCGCGCCAGACATCAAGTTCGCTCCGATGAAGATCTCCCGTGTCATAGTCCACATCTTGGGTACGTGGTAAAGGGAAGTGAATTGGAGGAGAGATGAAAGGAGAGGAAGACTGGGGAGAATTGCCTCGAGTCGGCGTGGGCACTGGAGCAGGGGAAGCTCTGTGGTCCATGGAGCTCGACCGGGGAGGCCAGCAAGAAAAGGGATATTTACCATCTTCGATCGAGGGGGAGCTCGAAATTTTGTCCATCATATCGTCGTCCATGTCTTCGTCGTGCGAGTCGCTAGCATCGCCGTCGTCGTAGTCGCGATCTTGTTCTGAGGTACCATTCGGGCCATGGAGGTGGTTCATGTGAGCATCGTCGACTTCGTCATCTTCGTCGTAATAGCGCTGGTTGTCGGAGAAGGGCCCGCCTTGGTCTTCAGACACTCGTGGACTTAGCTGCTGCTGCTTGTGTGTCTCCTGCTCGGCACGCTTCAACGTCTGTGCTTGGTGAGGAGCGGCGGGCCCATAACCGTAGGGCGAAGGATGTTGCGGCTGCCGGGAGTGATCTTTTGCGGAGGGCGCATCGTGATCTTGTAAGTCGATAGTGTCTGAGACAGGCGAGTTAGATGGCGAACCAGACTGGATCAGTGGCTGCTTGGGAGACTTACCAGCGCGCAACAGTTGTGGCTTGAGTGTGGTCATGATGCCCTATTCAGGCTGGGGTATATGCACTGGATGGGTGATGGTGAATGCGCCAGAAGAAGGAAGCAGCTTTCCAGCATCGATAGTTTCATGTGTCGCAAGCGAGCGCAGAGAGACGGGATCGTGGCAGGGAGCGATGAGGCGGATCTCGTCGAGAGATGCACGCGCGGAGTGACGAGTGGCAGTTGCGGTGGTTGGCGCGAGACTTGAGCGATCGGCTCAAGATGACGATGTTGCGAAATGGCGGCAACTGGCGATGCGAACAAAGAGCGACGGCGGAAGCTGAAGACTGTCGCAATGCTCTACTCCTTCCAGAAATTCCGGAAAGTTGTCGACGAGGGGACGATCGGAGATGGAGTTGATGCTACGGTACTTGCTTTGCTGCGTGCTGCCCCTGGATCCTCCTGCATTCGAAAAAAAGGCTTTGCGGCAGGAGCCAGCCTGGTCCAGCCAATTAGAGCCGATGCTGGGGAAAGCGCGTTAGCGATGAGTCGCGATGAAATGCGCCGCTCTTCATTTCACATGCATGAATACAATCTATGATACTGTGTTCCTGTACCGCCAACAAACACGTTCGACCGCGTTGCAAAGCACCGCAATATCAAGTCGTCGTGGACCAAAACGCGGCAGATGATATTTCAACACGAACGGTGGCAATTGTTTCCCGGGATTCTGCCCAGCACAACCTGCTTGGAGAGAGAAAGATGCAAGAAAGATCTGGTGATCGTGCAAAACCCCCAACCTGGAGCCCACCCTGAAATCACAGGTACTTCAAGCGCCTGGCCCCCAGCCGAGTCCGATGCGCCGACAAAGAAAAGTGATAGGCGCATTAGGTAAGGGACCCTCGCAAAGAGCATGGCAGTCTGGGCGCTCACTGGCCCATTTCGCCGCTGCGAAGAGCTGCGGTACTTGTCCCCCGCATCTGAGCCCAGCTTGCGTTCTCCATCTGCATCTGCAGGGCACGTGAAAGAGTAATTCTTCCTGCGGCGCTCGCTCAGCAAGACCAATTCTTTGCAATGTTTGCTTGTATATCTGACATCCGTCATATAGCGCACTAAGCCCTGAGGTGCTGTACAGTATACAAGAAGCTCTCCTGTACCAATCGATGCGTACTATCGTCTCGACAGACACCACAGCTGTCAACATCGCCAGACAACGACTCACAGCATTACCGGATCGCGTCGTACACCCGCTCAGGCGCATCGCTCACTGCTGGAACTATACCTCACTCACTGCTCTCGTCGTCATCGCTGCTGCCGGATGGCGCAGCGGGAGAATCTGCCATGGACACAACAATTGCACCTCGAGACACAAGCAGACAAAGGCAACGTCGACGATGAGGTCGCCGTCCTCAGTCCTCCGGCTGAAAAGCGGCCGTCGTTCAGCACTGCGGGGACGAGTCAAGACACAATTCGGGCAACGCCGCCCATAGCAATACCTTCAGCATCCGACGAGCAACTAAGCAATGGCGTCGAGGAAGATGGTACCTACATGGAGCGCTTTATGCGCACCCGGAAGCCCTCTATCAGCTTCAATAGTGAACTCAAGCTTGACTGTGGCCAAACGCAAAGCATCGACCAGCCGCTTAAAAAGCCGCCCACAAACCAACAACGGGGGCGCTCTATGCTGCAGGTCCTCAATGCTGAAGCCCGGAAATCTCGCGCTCACAGCGACAGCGATCGTGAGAGGTACGATCCCATCACTGGGAGGCATCTGCCCAAGTATTCCACTTCACCAACACGCGAACAACCAAGGATCGGCGAAGCTAGGTTCCCTGTCCTGCAAACGACAGTGGACGAAATGGCTCGCGAATCGCAGACACACGTACCTACGATGTCCTCCCTGACATCGGAATCGACCGCTTCACCCACAGAGGAGGTTCATACACCTACGGAAACCGACAACATCTCGCCCATCATCAACCGTGCTGCCTTCTCGTTTGAGGAGAAGCCTTTCAAGCGGACGGCTTCCCAGCGCTGGCGTGAAGCTCAAAGTAACGGTACCTCTCAAGAGAACTTCTTCACCAGAGCTGGTAGTCTCAAACATGTTGGAAGCATTGGTCGCGCTTTCAGTAGTCCACGCCTTGCGAGGAGAGAGACTGCCACGGGGGCTAGATCACCCCGTTCGGCAGCATCATCATACCTCCGGGCATTCTCCATGAGCAGCAGCACCGATGGCGATGGCAGCGAAGGTGCTCCTCCTGCTGTCGACGCCGAGGGCCAGACCATCGGTGAGGATTACGTCATCGGCAAGCAGATCGGCTGGGGAGGGTTCTCCGTCATCAAGGAAGTCACTCAGATCAAGGAGAGCACACAGCGAAAGCTGGCCGTCAAGATCGTGCGTCGACATGTGGAGGGCAAGTCCGACAATGACAACGAACAAGTTCAGGCCGAGTTCGAGCACGAGGTCGAGTTGTGGCGCTTCCTCGATCATCCTCACGTTCTGCCATTAGAGGCTGTCTATAAGCTCGACGAAGCCACTTTTTGCTTCATCCCACTCAGCACAGGAGGGACGCTTTTCGACTTAGTGCGTAGTAACCGACAAGGCATCGCTCCAGATGTTGCCGGAGACTACACTCATCAAATCGCCTCTGCACTCCGCTATCTACACCAGGATGCGCGAGTCGTTCATCGAGACGTCAAACTTGAAAACTGTCTATTGGATCGGCATCCTTCACATCCTAACGGGCTAATTCGCCTCTGCGATTTTGGCATGGCAGAGTGGATATCGAGAGATGAGGGCGAAGGCAGCTCCTCAGGACCGCCATCTCCCTTGGCCAACAACGTGGACCGACCACCTCAAAGGCATATTGGTCCAGCTGGCAGTTCAACATCTGCCTTTACCGGCGGAAGTCTCGAGTATGCCGCGCCCGAGATTCTTCGTCTATCTCGAGCACTTGCCCATCCTGACAATCAGGCCGCAGGCCGTGAGCACGATGCCGAAAGGTCTATAGTCTCGCCATCAGTCGACATTTGGGCTCTCGGCGTTTGTATATACTCGCTCATCGTCGGATCACGCCCATTCCACAACACATTCCAGCCTCGAGTGGTCATGTCCATCTTGGCTGGCGACTGGGACGTTGAACGTCTCGCCTCGAAGGGCGGCGACGACGTTGTGGAGTGCGTCAAAGGCTGCCTCGAAATGGAGTCCTCCGATCGATGGGATGTCCTGCAAGTCCTCGAGTCCACTTGGCTAAGTCATCTTGGTTTCGCCGGCGAAGAGGACAGTCCGTGGAAGCTTTGAGGATCTCGCTCTGTACGAGACACACGTTTACGACCTTCACGAAGTCTATCGTTTTTGTTATACTGTTGGCATCGCTATTCTTGAAAAGCGCGAATGGTTCAATGTCTGTCGGTGTCCATGGGTCGGAAAGACTCTTTTACCGTTGTACACTAGATTACGTTTCAGATATCTTCATTCACTATCAATGATACCCCGATACGAATATATAAACAACTCATACTATGCTCGTTTCCCATGAACCTCGTCAAGAGCAATTGTTGGCCGTCCAGCTGAATTCCTGGAGCTTCCTACATTGGTGGTGCAAATCAAGACGCATTTTGGTACGTTCGTTCCAACCTAGGCTTGACCTCAGATGGCCTCAGCTTGGCTGGGATCAAAAGTGAGAAGCATGCATGGGAGCGCTTCTGCGTTGGATGAGTGCTTAGATTGAGTACCTGTTTCGAGGTAAGGTCTCTACACCATCTACTTCTGGACGCAGAGTCCTCTCGGCAGGACATTCTGCATTCTTCTGAATTCGTAAAGCACCGTTTCCTCTGTGACCGTCAATCCATAATCTCCGTGAATAGCTCGTGTCTAGCCTAGTGAGCAAGTAGCAACCCATTTTCCATTCCTTCTGCAAAAGCGCCATGCTGGATCTTTTCCTCTGGTCCCCTCGTCCTTTCCGTACCGTGCTTTTGGTGGGTATTCCGCTTCCTTCGCAACTCTCTGCAGTGACCGGAACCGTATCATCGCCTTAAAGTCAATGTATTCGAGTGGAAGTCGTAGCGCGATTTCGGTCGTGCCGTGACATCAGCCGTCGCGTTCTCCAGCTCAGCCAGCCGCATGAGATTCCACTGCCGCCGCGAGTCCCAGACAGCCTCCCTTGCCTGCACCTGAGCCCTATCGGACATCTCCTACGATGCCGCATCAGCAGACAGCACGCCCTTGTCCTTGGTGAAAGCCCACAGCATGTTGATCAGGTTCTCCGGGAGAGTATACAGATCAACATGAAATTCGCCCTGCTCGACATCATTCCGCAGCCAGCTCTCCTCGCTCTTGTTGTCGTGGACCATTTGCACCACCTGAAGCAAATCATCCTCACCCAGCTTCTGCAGACCCTCAGCCAGGGAGTCCATGTTCACAGACTTGTTGTCGCCGCCCTTCTTTTTCTTCTTCTCTGCACCCGTGCCAACCTCAGAAGCGCGCTTCTTGCTGTTGGCAGCGCCATCGGTGGCGTCGCCCGGGGCAGAGCCTGACAACCGCAGCTTCTCGGCCATGAGCGTGCCGGGCTTGACGTTCTTGAAGGCGATGACGTGCTTTACTTCGTACTTAGCTTGTTGGAAGTTGAGGTCGTGGACGACTTGGTGGGTCTTGCCGGAGCGTCGGTCATGTGAATGGCCATTTCGAACTCACCCCAGCCGTCTTCGGCGACGCGGAAGGGAGGCTTCTTGATCGCTGAGAGGTAGTGTTAGATAAGGCTGGGCGGGTACGGGCTGTGTTGCGACTTACATTGCTTCGCCTTGTCGCCGAAGGACTCGTGGAGGTGGTAGGTGACATCGGTGAACACGTCGGCGTCGACATCTTGCTTGGTTTCTGAGTGGGTGAGGCGGATGGAGATGCTCCAATGTCGTAGAGGAAAGCCCGGTACACCACTGTCTTGACCTGGACTGAGGGCAGTGTCAGTATGCGATGAGAGGGGTTGAGCAGGTGTGTGTGCTGTCTTCTTACATGATCTTCTGTTCAGTGATGATCTTGACTGTTCGCCTAACCTGTGGGAGTGATCAGTTTGCTGTGTGACCTGGTCAGGAGTTGCGCGTTACTTACGTCCGGCATTGTGCCTGGTGTGAGGGGGGCTATGAGGTTGAGAAGGTTGAAAGACCAGGATGCACAGGTGTGACGCGCTCTTTATTCTCGAAGAAGTTCAGAAGGGTGAGATGCCGGATGAAGATCTGTAGATTGATCTGAACGTCGAAGTTCAGGCTTTTATAAAAGTTGGGTCGGTCGATGCTGACTGCAGTGAATACGTTCAGAGGTTGCTAAACCTGGAATTGTTGCAGTGAATGGTGGGTGGCGTCTAATTGTATTGTCCTTCTCTTGTCTTCACTGCGTCGGTGACTTGGAACATATGCTATTTTACAGTTACAAGAGGTTGTGGATGAATAGTAAATCGCAATTGAGAAGTTCAGGTCAGCCACTTGTCGCGAGCAGTTGAGTGGGAGTATGGTCTAGGTGCTGCTCTTACTACGGTGGTCCAGAGGGACGTGTACAACCTCGGAATCAGGAGGTTCCTCATGTTGGGGGACTCGATTTGGATTCTCTATTTAAGCAATAATGCGTCGCTGAAGCGCTGATGGGCAGGGGATGGAAGTGTGCCTGTCGTTTTGGGAGCAGGCGGTGATGGATGTGTTATCGACTCGTATGCGGACGCTTCAGTCCACGGACATGATGCATAACGCACCACAAAAGCATGCCCAGGGACCGGGTCCTGAATGTGCTGGTACGGACGACCTGTCTGTCTTCAGAGTCGAGAGGAGATCTTCGATAGACGTCAGTGGCGCTTTGTTTTCTGTATGTGTCTTCGGGTCTCGCTTCTAGGAACCGAAAAGCTTCTCGTTCTCCTGTTGAGCCTTGATGAAAGCTTCCTTGAACAAGTTGGCATCTGTTATTATTAGCTGGCGTTACTTGACCACGAGTGACGCTCGACTTACTCTCAGAGTTGGCGAACCGGATGGCGAGAGTTGATGCTTCAGGCTCGCCCTCACTGACATCCGCCGCGACGTTCCATACCCAGCTGCGGTCGCTTCCAACATTGGGAGACAGTTTCATATCTGGGGTGACTGTCGAGGGATTAGAGATCGCCGTCATATTCTGATACTTGAGAACATACCATAGTGATTGGCGCACACCTTCAGAGTCTTGTCTCTGCGCATTACGAGCCTAGTTTTGCCGTTCTCCTTGTGCTTGAGTAAACGGACGTCGCCAGTACCTCGTTCCTTCCATTCACGCTGTCGCGGTCGAACTTGAAGAGTTTGGCTCGCATCTTGAACTCAACCGACTCGGCCTCTTCGTGTGTCTTTGTGTCGACCTTCTCGGTAAGCTTTACGACGGGCTCAAAGTGGACATCGGCTTCTTCCTCCTCGGCTTTGTCGTCCTGTGCAGTTCGTGTCAGCATCTGCGACCACTGTTGTGACTGGGTTTGGACTCACATCATCGTCCTCAGCATCCTTCTTGGCTTTCGAACTTCCGCTGGGCTCGTTCTTTGCATCCTCATCTTCAACCTCTTCCTTCTTCTCCTTCTTGGCGCCACCACCAAACATCGAGAAGACAGAGTCCTTCACGCCAGCAGCAGCTGCTGTCGCCGTGCTGGCCACATTGGAGGCGGCCGCGGTCGCAGTCTCGGTGACGGTAGATGCTTGAGTGGTGGAGGTCTTCTGCTCAGTAGTGGCTGGAGAAGAGTTCTGCTCAGCGGCGGGTGTGGCCTTCGATTCAGTGTCGGCCATGTTTGCGGATCGTGGAGGGGTAGCGGTCTAAGAATGTGCGGCTGCAAATGACGGTTGGATGTTGATGGGTGGGTAAGAGATTGTGGTTTGCGAATGAGCGCGACACAAGACAAGTAAGTAGTCTGCGAGTTGCCTGGTCTGATGTGCCTGTGGATGAAAGTTCACGGCAAGGCAGGGGAATTATATTCCTGCATCCTTTCTCTCGGTGCAACGCCCGCCAATGGGCTACCGCCAAGCCCGATCCACTAAAGTGACGTAGGGCCGCTCGAGCACAACTTGAAGTTCACTTCGAACATCTTACAAAGTGCAAGTCGATACTTACCATACATTCTACAGCCTCAGGACCACACTCACGTGGTCATGAGGTACACCCATTAAGCCCGAGTCAATGGCTCAAATTACGACTCGAATGCTCGATCCAAACACACAGCTGACATGCCGTTCATGCTTACCGCAAAGGCGCTACGTATTTGAATGTGACAACCACGCCGCGAGGTCTTTACTTCGTCTTCGGCGCGTTCGTTTCGATCCCACCATACCCTCTACTCCCCTGCATCATCTTCCACGGCGCAAACACATTCTCACTTTCCTTCAACACCTCCTTCAACCCCGGAAAATGACGTCCAAGCACATCTTTCATCCCTGTGTTCTGCACCCAATCCAAACCCTCTTTGCTATAGGTCTCTGCGTTCCACTCTCCAGCGATGAAGCGATCACTCTTCAACCTCCTGCTCGCCATGAGGATGAAGATGCGGAAGGCAGTATCGCTGAAGCCAAAGCCCTTCGGCAATGGCTCTGAGTGAGACCCGACGAGTGCGTCGACAAGCTCGATGTTGTTGTCATATGCATCCGCTAACTCGTCTGCGAGTTTCTGGTTGCCGCCGGTAAGTTCGAGGAATGTCTTTGGCACAGTCATGCGGAGGAGGCGACGAAAATTGCAGTACCTGGGCACGCCACGTTCGCGGTCGCGCAGAAGGTCGACCGTGCCCATGTCGCGGTGTGTGCCGTCGGGGAGAGTAAGATCGCGGAGAAAGGCTGGGTAGTTGTTGTTGGTGATGGCGCCGGGATAGTTGATGCCGAAACTGTAGAATGTGTCTGCGAAGGACAGGCCGGAGTCGAGAGGGTGTTGGGCGTTGGTAAAGAGGGTTTCGGATGTGGGGATAGTGGACTTGTGCTCGCCCGAGGATGACTCGAAGAAGGCAATGCTGTCAGGGATGAGGGAATGCATCCTATACACTGAGACGAATTCTTCGGTCATGCTGTAGGGGACGCCGAACTGATTGACGCCGGAGCCTGGTATACCGGAGATGGCTCCGAGGTCTTCGAGATGCGACCGAGGTGCTTGGTCAGGGATTCGCCAACAAGGCCCCACCAGTTGGCATTCATACCGAGCTTGAGGGTGGGATGAGCGAGGATGGCTGGTGTCCATTCGACAGTGTGGATCTTGGCCATGAGTGCACAGTTCACGAGGCGAGCAGTGTCGAAGACCTTGTCGCCAGGCCAATCTGGATGATTACTGCGGAGCATGTCGCAGATGGTGTTGTGTTCCATGGCGAAGAGAGTGTGAAGCATTTCCATTCCGATCCACCAGTTATTCGAAAAGCCTGTCAGTACGTTGCCTTCAGCGTCACGAGGTAGGAAGCTCTCTCTGCCGTCTTTCTGGAGCAATAGCTTCCCGTCTGAATGAAGGTTGCGGAGAGTATGGGTGACAGACTCGCTGCCCCCGTAAATCTGGGAGCTGTCCCACCAAGCCGTGTTGGTATTCTTGTAGCCTGGGCATCTGTGTCGAGCGGGCTGAGAACCTCGTCAGGCTTTGTCTTGGGGAACTCCATCTTGCCATGTGGCCACGAGTCACTCTCAGAAAGAGGAACGTCGATGTTCTCGTCACTCTGGCACAAGGTCAGCCACGTTCAATGTCCCCGGCGACGCAGTACTCACACTTTCATGGAAGAACCAGTCATGGGTTTGGAACTGGATCCAGGCGGCCGCCAGTAGGTTCAGAGTCGTCGCTGGCTTGAATTCATGCCGCTTCATGAATCTTTCGCTCAGCATCCTCGGATCTGGATTCCGAAGCGACTCTTCGCTTGGCGCCGGTGTCAGTTCGCGAGGAAAGTTTCTGCCAAAGCGAATGCCGGAACATCCCATCTGTGGGTGTGCTGTGTCATTATACTTGCCCTCAGAATTGCGAGCGGTCTCGAATCGTCTTGGTGTCGGGTCCGACTTGCTAGAGCCTTGTGACTCGCCGGCAGCGTAGCCATCGTACAGGTTGTACTGTCGCAACTCGACGCGCAGGGCATCAAGATTGAGAGCACCGAGAATGCTTGGCAGCTTGTGCCATGGAATGAACTTGTTGATGAGGTGATAGCTTCCGACCAGCAGTTTCTCAGGAAATGTAGGCTGGAAGGTCGCCTTGACGTTGGGATCTTGGGCGGGCATCTTAACGCTCGTGTGGTGAAGCTGTCAACGACAAGGCGCGATGGGATGTGGCCGTGCTTGTATCCAAAGGGAGAATGGACCCCCATTTTGATTTCGACTGCCTCGTGTTGAAGACATGCTCTTCTCAGCTACTCGCTGATCTAAAGCCGTGACACGAACCCTGATTCTCCGTACAGGTCTAAATCCTGCGCAAGCCTCATACCGACCGGTGAGCCTTACCGATCGACCTTGGTCTGTGCAGGTACTTCTGCGGTGGGACGGAAGTGGAAGGGGCTTAGCTTCGTAACACGATCCTTCAGGCGCACCAAGGATCGGATCTCTTGGCCCGCGATTGCCCTTCAGCTGGAGTCGCTTCGGATGCAAGGCCTGCCTTTTCAGGCCAAAATATCGTATTTGACGCCCGTTCGGCGGTTCTCACGCCAGCCGCGTTCCCATGGTCAGAGCATGACCCTAGGATGTCAGCTTAATTTCCAACACATGCATGGCTATTCGTGAGTCTGTGACTCTGTGACATGAGCTTGCGATAGACATGGTTTGCTGCCTGGCTGTGCAGGGATGACCATAAGATGAGACTGACACGAGGACCAGCCGTCTCCCTCGCTCGTGCGCCTGTTCTGCTTGACCAGCGGCCGCCTGAGGCAAGTTCTTGATATTGCTTGCTTGGTGTTGAAGAAACAATTCTTCTCCCTCCCGAAAAAACCCTGTAAAAATTTGACGATGCACTTCACTGTCACTGGAACGGCGCGAGGACTCCTCGAAGGCAGCAATACGGCCAACGCAGCAGCAAAGAACGCTGAAGACCACACGTGGATCAAAGGTGATCCGGACACACGAGGTCCATGCCCTGGTCTGAACGCTCTTGCCAACCAAGGATACCTGTAGGTCACACCATCCATCGAAGACCATGCAGAATGGTCCTGACTCGAAGACAGACCGCGAGATGGAAAGAATTTAACGTTGCCAATGATCAAACAGTCGCTGCAGGACGCACTGCACATGTCACCCTTGTTGGCTTCATCACTCACTAATGCTCTTCGTCCACTTCGCCGGCCTGATGGTACACTCGACCTGAAGGATACCCGACGGTACAATGTCATTGAGCATGATGCCTCAATCACCCGGCTAGACTTCCACCAAGGAGACAACTACACCATTCAGCCTGAGCTTGTTCAGGCCATCTTTGATGATGCTCACGGTGGACCACTTAGCGTCAAGACGTTGGCTGTCAGCTTCAAACGGAGGAGCAAGGAGAGTAGAGCAGCAGGTGCGCCACGATTGGGTATTAAGATGTGGTTCGTGAAGCTCCTAAATCTGGCTGGTGCGGTCAATACCACCGTCGTCAACGGCGAGATCCCGAAGGAGGTGGCTGAGGCATTGTTTGTCGAGGAGAGATGGCATCCTGTGTCCTAGAGAACAAGAAGAGGAGATCGGTGCTGACGCTGCTGGGCAACGCCGTGAAATTGGCAGGACATATGATCTTTGGCTGATCTTGAACTTCGTCAGCCTGAGGACATGCGCTTCTCTGCGTCACAAGACGACGCAAGGCAGGTCGGAACCAATACTCTCGGTATGATGAGGTCTGTCGTATTCAGCAGATACAGGCGATATCAAACATGAATGGATGTTGGATGACTTGATGATGTGTTGGCATACTTTCACGCCAAGCAGTGAAAACGATCGACTCCAGGGCTGGAGTGGAGCTCGTTCCGCCCGGCATCGCCCGGAGGAGGCTCCAAGAGTTCAGGCCACGCAGCCCCTGGAAATCCTTGTTGGAGAGCGCAGTCGTCAGACTTGAGGTTATGGATTGCGTACTCACGCAAACAGTCATTTCACTCTAATTACCCTCCAGTCACTCCTTGAGCGTCGTTCGACTATCTCTACAGCGTATCTGCATCTGCTTCACGTGTAGAAGCACCCTTTGTCCCTACACAGTGCCGCGACCTTGATTGTCCGTGTTACACCACTGCCCGCGCGACCATGTCCGCATGACTCGATCTGAACTCTCCTGTTATCAGATGTCGACGATTTACCTGTGAATATGTCGCAATGGCTGTCCTCTACTTCTTCCAATTTCTTCGGTAGACCTAAGGCGGACGCACTGCCTGGAAATGAAAACTTCGAGATGGACAATTCCCATCCTACAACTTCCGGCGCGGGCGTCGATACACCACAAGACCACAAGGCAGAGCGAATACCAGGCGCCATGAGAGGGCTAGGCGTCGCGCGACATACACTTGGCTTACTGCTACTCTTGCTGGTCGTTTGTCTGTGGACGACATGCAACTTTCTGGCGAGTTCGATCTTCGCAGACGACACCTACGCCCAGCCTTTCTTTCTCACGTACCTGAATACATCGATGTTCATCCTGGCCATGGTGCCTTCGATGGTGCGGATGTTCTGGGATCTACGGCGGCGAGGCTTATGGCAAGAGCGGGTTGAAGAGATAAAACACAACTACCGCTCAGGCGGATGGAGGGCTGTAACTAAGGATCCAGCTGCGGTAGGCGAGAACGACGACTCGGCAGATCTGATTAAAGATCTGGTAGAGGACGAAGAAGCCGATGGAGAGGGCGAAGGTCTAATCAGCCACAACATCTCAAGATCGAATGAACCACGACGGACGCATCTCGCTCTTTTGCCTACAGCCAAACTCGCGCTCGGCTTCTGTTTCCTTTGGTTCGGCGCCAACTACTTTGCGCTTGCATGCCTCGAATTCACCACTGTGGCATCGACGACTATCCTTACGAGCACATCCAGCATATGGACCCTGATAATCGGCGCCGTCACGCGCACCGAGCGCTTTACATGGCGAAAATTGCTCGGCGTGCTGGCTTCGCTCTTCGGCATTGTTCTCATCAGCACGATCGACTCAGGCACACCTACCGCGACTCCAGGCGACGATGGAAATTCCACGACGAATTCCGCTCTTCTAGTACTACGCGCCGTTAAAGAATTTCCACAGAAGTCCTCCTCCGAGCTACTCCTAGGCGACGCTCTGGCTCTACTATCCGCCCTCATCTACGGCTTCTACACCGTCCTCCTCGCTCGCACCACCAAATCCGCCGCGCCCTTAGAACTCAACATGCCCCTTTTCTTCGGCCTAGTCGGCACCTGGAACTTTGTGCTCCTTCTCCCGCTCTTCCCGATTCTGCACTGGACCGGTATCGAGCCGTTCGAGATGCCGCCCACGGGTCGCGTTTGGCTGATCATGTTGACCAATAGCGTCGCAGCACTGGCAAGCGATATCTGCTGGGCATACGCGATGGTGTTGACGAGTCCGTTGGTGGTGACGGTGGGTTTGAGCTTGACGATTCCGTTGAGTCTGATAGGGGAGATGTTGATTCAGGGGAGGTATGAGGGGGTGTGGTACTGGGTTGGGGCTGCGGTCGTGGTAGGGAGCTTTGTGTTCGTGGACGGTGAAGAGCGGAGGGATGTAGGGGCGGCTGCGGTGACAGGAGGAGAGCCCAGGGCATTGGACACTTCGGCGGCGGTGCGGAGGGACGATGACAGCGATGATGACGGATTGGAAATCCCTAGATAACGCCCCGGGCGCGCATGTATATGTGTAAATGGATGAGCTGCTACCATTTCGCAAAGGTCGCTGAGTCAACGTGCCAAAGCTTCGATTGTACAGATAATGCTGATGCTAACTAGTGAGTAGTCCTTATGAGACACAATCTCTGCGATGCAGTTGCGGGTGAAGACTGGGCGGTTTCGCCATGTACGACCTTCCATTCTCGAGCCACAGCTGCTGCCTGTCACGGAATTTCCGGCCCAGGAGGGCACTGAAGGCCTGGCGCCAGTTTTCTGGTCGAGGTTGTGGGCTTGAGATGAGCCTCACTCGAGCGTCAGTGCGAAAGATGATACCCTTTGGACTTTCTGGGGAGGGAGGGCGCTGAAGAAAAGCCGCTCCGCAATCTCAATCACAGCCTGCTCCCATGTGCCCTCTTATCGCTGTTCCTGCTCCAAGGTCACGCCCAGTTCTTCCAGGGAAGGTCGTCCATTTCTCCAGCTACGCATCTCTCCAACACCTGGCATGACATGGCCGTCCGGCAGCTCTACCTTTGGGAAGCCCTCTAGCTTCCAAATGTACTCCTCGTCGTCATTTTTCGACTCGAATGCTCCCGGTACGATTGGCGCGCTGTGCTCGTCCTCTTCTGGCTGAACGATCCACTTTTGCCTCACTTCCTGCACCTTATCCTCGTCGACCAGCACCAATGCGCCACTGTGCCAGCCTGCTGCTGCGACAGTGATGGCGAAGTATGGTTCCAGATTCTCGTAGTCCGTGTTCAGACTGGCCTCCGCTGGCAGAGCTGTGGACTGAGATGTCAGAGTGGGTGAGCCTGAGCCTTGTGGGCCGTCTGTCCAATGACTGCCTTCTTGGTCAATCCATTCGCTGAACATGTCGGCTCTTTGCAGATCACTCCATTGACGATACGCTGGCTCGTCGTTGATCTTAAAGTCTTTGTGTTTCATGGTCTCTTCCTACAGCACGGCTCGTTAGCAGAGGTTGATTGTAGGAAAGGGATGGAGAAAGCAGCGAAGGTAGACCGACGACGGTACCGCAAAGCGCTAGTTGAATATCCGGAGCAGCTTACCAGCCAGTGCAACCAATCTTTCTTCTCCGGCTCGAACCAGACCTTGCGTCCCCGCCTCTCCGCGATTGGCAGCAGGAAGCCGTCGCGACTCGCCTGCATCGCATTCCGATGTAAACCTCGAAATCGAGCACCTGAGATGGGATCGCCAAGGCCCATCTGACCGCAGGAGCCGGAGTCGCGACCGAGTGAGGAGATCTTCCCATCTGCGTGCAGCGCCATGTAGTGATGATCACCATATGCAAGTGCGATGACGCCGGTATGCTGGAGACTGGGCACGTCTCGCGGGCGTGAGGACAGCACGTCCTGGTGTTCTGACCAGTCTCCACTCTCTCGCAATGCTGTGTCTCTCTGAATAGCTGAGGCGCACAGCCGAAGATAGTCAATGCTGCCAGCCAGGACTTCGCCAGCTGCTGTGAAGACACCGAAATTTGCGAATTGTCCTTGTATATCTCTGAGCTCTCTGCCCTCAGCGGAGAAGCCTGGTACCTCAAACGATGCTCCACCTGGTTGAGTCTGGTCTGGTGCTTCCCCTCCGATGCCGCACGCATGGATCTTCGAATCTGACGTGATCCAGACGATGAACTCGGCGAGCACGATGTGTCTAGAGACTTCGACAGCGCCTGTCCCAACAGTACGGATAGCAGTGTCTGGGATGATCTTCTCTTTGATGTGAATGCCGTCCAGCATAGGGTCGGCCTGATCGTTCTTCAGTGGCGTCCAGTACACAATGCCAACCTCTGGCACATAGGCCGAACTGATGTCCCATCCAGCGCACACACGCGTTGGCTTCCCGCCGAAGTCGCGTCCGGTTCTGGAGAAAGGCTTCAGTCCTTTGGCGTTGATGCGGTCCCATGACAGAATATCGCCATCGTCTGTTAGTGCAAGGACGTGGCGCCGACCTGAGGAGAACTGGCGTATAGAACTTGTGCTCTGTGTGATGTACTCAAGCTGCTTGTACTGATCTGTAGTTTCTCCGATTGTGATACCATCTAGAGAATCGAGAGAGCCAGTCGTGTAGAGTCTGCCGCTTGCTGACAGAATGGTGGTAGACCACCCGCCACACTGCAAGTCAGCAATTATACCAACCTCGTCAGGCACATGACTTTCCGTTGGCCAGGTAGAATTGACGCGCTGAAAGATCAGACGCGGGACCGGCCGAGTCGGAATCACACGCCCTCGAGGGTTGCGAACGATTGATGCCCTACCCTGGCCGAGACTGCCTTTCCGACCTTGACCCCAGGTGTACAACCGAGTCTGTGTCTTCAACTTCTTGTACAGAGAATACCAACGGGGCCCATCGGCTGCAAGGAGAGGCTGATAGGAATTCTAAATGTCGAAGATGCTTTAGTTCGCCAGTAAGAGGGATCTGTTCGGTATTGCTCAACTCCCCGGCAAGTACTGCAGAAGTTGAGGTAGTCGCAAGGTGCGAGATGTAGGAGAATTAGAAGGAGGGCGTCCTGCGGCAGATCCAGAATTGCCATCGTGGCCTAGATAGAATTTGGTGATATAGGTAGAAGGTTGATCGTGCTAGCGAAGCACCTAGGGGGTAGTTAGTGAGCGAGGAGGACTACAAGGCAGCCTCGAATGGTCGTTGCCTTGTTTGGCTTGTGCGACTGCAACTCTACGTCATTTGAGCGGACTCGTGTGTCGAATTTGATTGGCTACGCATCGAACATGGGAACTTGAAAGGAGAAGGCATTGCGTGGGCGCGAACGGGGACAAGTTCGAGACTGCCGCATGAGTGCATTCTCAAAGACTTTTCGATGTGCAGTGCACACACTCATTCCAGCTAATCAGAGTGGAATACCTGGTAAGATAAGCGATCGCTGCATGTCCAAGGCTGAACTTGCAGACATGTTCGCGCCATCTGATATTTTATGCTCTGTTCTCGTACGATGTTGGAATAAAGCAGGCGATAAGTCGACTCGCCAACAAGATACCTACGGACTTTTCCAGGTAGTCTTGGTCAAAAGATGTGCCAGGCACGCCTACCAAAAGGCTCTAATATTTTCTGCGCCACGTCAAAGTCTTCGGCTGCCTTGTTGTCCTTGCCAGCTACTTTGCTAGCATCACGGATGGCAGTCCACATGCTGTGTATTTGGTCCACATTCTTGCCGATGTTCTTGCTCTTGCCGTTCGAGATCCAGTTGTGATCAGGGTGATTGGTTCTGAGTTTCTCCTTCACATCCTCCTTATCTTTGGCCTGGAAGACCCGCTCGAGATACGTCTCTGCCACGATCCCAAGGGCACAGCCTTGATCATTCCTCAAAGGCAGTCTTAAAATCAATTAGTCCCGGTCAGTGGTCATTGGCACGCTGCTCATACCTTTCAGAAATGAGAGGCCAATCGTCTCGATCACGTCTTGCGTCACCTGCAAGAAACATTGCGACCAATGTTGCCTCCATTAGAAACCGCAGATGCGATCTGATGGCCGCAACCATCCAGGAGTATGACAGGAGTCGCTGGTTGAGTGGACCTTTCCATCCCGCGGGCTTATTCGGAAACTTCTCCAGGGAAGCAATCTTGGCGACCAAGTTGATGCTGGACTGGACGTCTTGCGGCATGTCTATTGTCTGTCAGCGAACATCTGAAGCTTCAAGGGTTCGTCCTTACCTGTAGACTTGGCTGGACTTCCATCACCTTCGTTGCCGTTCAGGAGCCCGAAGCGTATCAACTCAACCGCGAGCAAGGCAATGTCGTCGGCCCTCTTAGTCTCACCAAGCTTCGACAACGTCGCCTGCAACACCTCGCCCCAGTTCGTAAGCTGAAATTGGTCGGTGATATAGCCTCTTATGCTGAGGAAGCGGTAAAACATATTGATTACGACCTCATTCGTAGAGGTCAGAGCAGGATAGGCGTATGTGGTCTTGGCTGAAATCGTAATCTGCTCATTAAACTTCTGGCTCTTCAAAGCTTCCAGGCACGTAAGCAATGAGAAGTGCGACGAAACACCCTGCATTGCTGTATCCTTGACCTTCCATCTTGACACTTTGTCCTTCAGCGGAGACTGCTCTCTCAGATTAATCGTCAGGTCGGGTCGATCCCGATCTTCCCAAGTTCTGAGATCGACCTTGCGATTGCGGTAGTAATTAGGCATGAATTCACTCATGACCATCAGCGTCTGTGCTCTGATGGGATTTAGTTGCTCGAAGACCAGGTTTCGGTGCTGCGTTGAGTCGATGACGCCTGGAGGCAGCGACACAACAATGTGTTGATTCGTCAACCAGTTCAGAGGCTCGGGGCCGATGATACCACGTGAAAGGTAGAAGAACATCTCTGGTGGCAGATTCTGGCCAACAAAATCATGGACATCGCTGGGAGCGTATTCTGCGTTCATGGGCTCGATCAAACCGTTATATTGAATAGCGATATGGTGCCGGAGAGACATAATGGCCTTCTTGTAGACATCTTCGTAGTCAGTGCCGGCTGTACTGGGGTCTTCGCGATACGCATGACAAAGTTGTAAGACACTCCGACCATGAGCATTGAGCATGGTAACTGCTTCACTGACACCAGCGCCCTTAGCTGTGGTAGCTTGCCGAGCTAGTGGTGGAAATGCGGGAGTAAATGTGGTGCCAAGGAGCAGCTGTATGTCGCGAAGAAAATCTGGCGTCGCTTTGAGACGCTCCTCACATGCAGCCTTGCTCACCCAGGTGAACGTCGGCGTCCGGGCGTCTGGCTCGAACGTGACGTCTGTGATAACCTTGTCGATGTTGAATAAGAAGTAGTCGGTTGAGCCCCAGATACAGTCAATGATCTGCTCCGACAAACGCTCCATGTACGACAGTTGCGCCACCGACGAATATGGGGCCACAAGATACTCGACCTTCAGCTTGGTGAGCAGGCTTTGAAACCACCGTACCAAATCTTGTGTGGGATATTTGACTTTCGTGAATTCATGTACCGCTGCATCAGGCTTTTTGCGGACGTTGTGCATCCGCCATGCTTCTTCGGCCGCTTTAGTGCTCTCTGAACTCAGGTGTCCCGGGGTAGGCTTGTTCACATGGTCCAAACCGTTGAAGATGAAGACTGCTTTGGCACCCGCATCCTTGAGGTATTCGATCTCATCGGCGATCTGCTGCTTCAGACCGTACGGGATGCCGCCATGAGCGCGTACGAGAGGTTCTTGGAGGCGTTCGAGACAAAGGTCTAGGTAGAAGGCGGCATCGATGCAACCACAGCGTCTGCTAATGTCGACAACGGGAATGTCTGTGCAACAGATTTGGTCGCCCAACTGTGGAAGCTTTGCACTGAATGTGGGACGTTAATAGATGGAACGTCAACACATGCAACCTCAATACATGGAGCCTTAATACATGGGATGTTAAGGCATCCTTTTTCAACAAATGACCTTTTCGAGGAGAGAAGGTAGGATGTGTTGAGACCTGGGGGAAGCGCAGGGGCATCCATCATGCAGCAAAACAGCAATGAGACTAAAATGTGGACATACAGGGCATGTTGGGCAGATCTGGAGTTATTCTCGTGGGAGAGCCATCCAGCTATTCAGTCCTCCGGGGATCGCGGGTCGTGACTGCTTTATCGAGGTCGCTCTTACGATGTTGCAAGTTCAGCATTGGAAAGAGAATAACGGAGGGAAAGCGCAGATGGTTTATTAAACCAAGGTTCCTGGGAGCGCAGCCTTGCACGAAAGCCCTGATCGACACGGGCAGGTCCGTTTCCAGGGTTTGTGGGGAAGCGACCACCCCCAGTCCGAGTTCCTGCTGATTCGCGGACAAGTTGAACATCAAATGTAGCCCTGGAGGCATCTGCTAATATACACAGCTATCCCACTTGACAACAGCTACCCACCTGTCGAATTTGAGCGATACTCTCAACTTGCATAATCTCTTGCTCTTGACATCATCCGGAAATCCAGACTAAGTCGAGTGATTTTATTGCTACCAATCCCTTTCCGAGCCCACAATCGATCACTCTTTCCTGCTCCCATATGTGGCCTCTAGCCGCCGCATCAAATGCTCTTTCGCAGTCATTGCTCGCCCTTCTGTACCACCACCATAGCCGACCACGTCGTCACCATTTGTAGTGGCACTCTCCTGCACCACCTTGCTCGGCACTGGCACCAGGCCTACGCTGTCTGAGGGGTGGCAGAAGTAGACGATCGAGTACCTGTTCTCCTTTGCTCCAGCTGGCATCACAACCCGGTGTACCGTGCTTTTCAGAAGCCCGTTTGTCCAGTACTGTAGGAGATCACCCACATTAACCACTATCGGCGGCATGCCACTATTTGCCTCCAGGTCGTAGCCCTTCGGCACAACATCGACTCCTTGCCAACCACCATCGTCATCCCTGATCTCCAAGCCTCTCCCGCCTGCTTGCTGGAAAAGCAGGGTCACACTCCCATAGTCACTGTGCGCTCCGGCTCCAATGTCACCCGCCTCCACTCCCTCTTTCGTCGGCGGATACTTCAATAGGCGTACAATACTCCCACTTGGAATACCATGCCTCTGCGTGAACCAAGCCTTCCCGTCCTGACCCTCCTCCGAGATCTCCAAGCCCAGAGCCAATCCTTCGAACAATTTCCTGCAACACTCCCGACACGCTTTCTCAAATTCCCTCAATACGTCTTCTCCCACCTCACCACTGGTCTTGTCGTCAATCCGCTCCGGTAGTCCCTGCTGCAACTTCCCTTCCGCGTTGAACTCACCGAAATTCCACGCCTCCTTCTGATCACCTGCCTTCTGGTTCGCCGGATCGAGCCTCTCGTTCCCAATGCCGGTGTATCCGCGATTGTTGGTGTCGATCCAGAATGAAGTCTTCTCGTCCGCGGAGAGAGAGAAGAGTGAGGAGGAGAGGCCGAAGATCTGGGAGAGTAGCGATGGGGTGAAAGGAGTAGAAGCTGTGGAGAGGTAGAGGAAACCGTGTGTCGTCTGGTATTGGTCTCTGGTTAGTATTTGTTGGATCATTCACAGTTCTCGAGTCTGTAAGGCGCTTGGCGATCGCCGTATCCTTGAGGGACGCAGTCGGCTACGGCGTAGAGAGGTCAAGGCTTGGTAGGCAGCCACTCACTCCGACTGATCAGATCGGGGACGTGACTTACGAACGCATCAAGGATCTTCTTGCCCGTTTTCTGGTCCAGCTTCGAGATATCAATGATCGGCAGGTCAACCACACCGTGGTTCCCGTTCGCCATTTTGGGAGGACCCTTTGCCATCACAGTTGAACCTATCTTGGTAACAGATGCTTTAGGGAAATGGCCGTAGTCGTCGTAGCTCCGGATGAGACGCTGTGCGTCCCGCCACGACCTGCAACAACGTTGCTGTGCGTGCGAATATGATTGAGAGAATGGTTGATCTGGGAAGCCAAGAACGAAGCATCGGGTGCTGGAAAAGCACTGTTCGCTTATCTTTCAAGAGGGCAAACACTTCTGATTGGCTACACAGATACGAAGAGATGCTGGTTCGGCGTGCTCCGAAGCACCACCTGTAGCACAGACTACTCAGATTACCAGAAAGTATGTACGCAAAGGGCGAGACGCGAGATATTGAGGGTCAACGACACACGGGAGACGTCCCCGCGCTCATACTGCAGAATGCAGTCGGCGAATTTGCGGGTGAGTCAAATATGGTAGTTTTCTCAACTATACACGTCCTCGGATATGTGCAACTAAGCATAGTTGCCTGATCGTTAGATACAAGTGGCAGCACAATCATTCCCATCATCGATGATGGGTACACCAAGCCACAAAAAATAGCTGTCATCACAAGCGCTCGCTCGTCCACACAATGCTCGTATCGGCGAACAGGTCCTAAACTACACCACGGTTCCACCCCAACAACCCGTCCCCCCGCCTCTTCTAGATCTTTGAGGAATGTCTTCCTAAGTGGGAATCCCCTGCTCTTTAACCGTTGCATTTGCTGAGTCGGAGTCAATGGCCGCCACTGATCTTTTTCGAATCAGACCAAACATCGATCCTTCGTTCACCACACAGAAGGATAGCCCCGCGACAGACCGAGGCGTCAACAACTCCCGCATGTATGCAAATCGTCGTTGAATCCAAGTCTGAATCTGTTGCGAGCTCGTGATTTAAGGCGACGTTTGACACCAGTGCCTATGCATACTCCAGGACTCACGCTGGCATTCCTGAAAATGGTTAGTTGACGATATTCGAGGACAAAGAGATCAAATACCTTGCTGCAATATTTGGTCCGCCGACACCGACGACATTTGGCGAACTGCCGAGGATATTCCTCCCACTTGCCGCATTGATAATTTGCACATTGTCTGATCCCTCCGCGTGCGTCGTCTTTCCGGCACAGATTGCGCATAACAACGCAAGCCCAATATTGCATGTCCTTGGAATGACAGCGCACGGTGAATTTCTCGACGAGCGGGAAAATATTATAGTCGTCGTCTTGCAGATATTCCTCCAGATCGTCCTCGTCAGGCTCAGAGATAGGCGAATCGCTCTCGTTTGAGCCGTAAGACCTTTCTACCTCGCGGTCTATCCGCAATCGAGGCACGAGATGGGTTTGCTGAAAGTAGTGTCGCAGGTAGCAGTACTTCGAGATGTATGCGAGTAACTGCAGGCCCATAAGAACATCCTCATCTCGCGGCATCAACGCGATGGGGCCGGAACGGCTGGTTGCGTTGTGCATAAACATGTTCGGGTACGCAGCAAGCGGCACAGCAGGAGAGGCAGTGTTCGCAACAGCGTTTGGCAATGGCGAAGTGCCATTGGACTCTTGGTCGGGTCCGCCGATGGCATTCAAGACATTGGCGACTGTTGGTGTTTGTTGGGCGATGTCAACGTTGTCAACTTCATCCGCTGCAGGGATTTCAAGTCGAAGCGTTGTCTCCACCTCGTCATCAACATTGTCACCGTTTGGGCTAGCATCCCGGCTGCCATTGCGGCTGTGCGCACTTGGCTCCCTTATGTCGCCCAGATTCTGAACCTCTGTATTCGTCTCCACGTCTTCCATTATTGTGTCTTCAGTATCTGCCGAGGTCGAAGTCTGATGCCGTATCGACGGACGCCGAGGCCTCCTGTGGTCGAGTGCGCGAGCCGGTGGTAACGGCGTTGTAGGCGACTCTGGGTTGGACACGATGCCGCTCTGGAGGGCCGGGATCATAGAGGGTAAGCGATGAACCTCCCGAACAGGACGGATATTGAACGGTTCTGAATTGTCTGTAGGTGGCACAGCCGTGGCCAATGCATTGAGACCGACTGATCTATGACTGTGAGGGCGGCCATCGAAGCTGCGGTTGTGTGGAGGTGGACCTGGTCGTGTAAAAGAAGTTCGTTCTGGCGGAGAAGTGAAGGCAGACGGTCCGGTGCTGGCTCCAACAGTCGTAGCATCAGTGCTGCCAAGGTTGAGTGAAGGAGGCGGCGCTTGTCGTCTGGGTTGCCGTGTCTCTGCGGTTGCGTTCAGGTGCTCTAGGAATGATGATCTTGAGGGCGGATCCGAGAGCATGTCCTGCGAGAGTTTGCTGTGTCTCGAACTCGAGCAGTGTTTTGAAGTCCTTGCCGTCTCCGCCTCGGCCTTCTCTTTCTCTTTCTCAATGACTAGTATATAGTCATGTAGTATGGTAGCGATCACTGGGACCATATCTGCCTCGACCACCCGAGTTCGTACATTTTCTGAGCCTCGAACGCCAATATTGACTATGCACTGAAAAGCCAGGTTCCATTTCCACATATGCATCTCATCCTTGCTCCTGCCCTCTTTCAGTATACAGACAAGCCTTTCGACACCGCCATCGACTGTGAGAATGTCTCGTATGCGAGCGGACGAGGTCGTGAGATAGGCAAGATGGTTGAGCGAATTGATGAGGGGCAGTGTCGAGGTGCAGTCGAGCGCTCGACGGTCATATAATGTCGTGGTTATATGAACCGATGCCTTGTTTACATTAGGTATTGAGAAGTTGACTTCCCGCATGCTGAGAATCTGATGTGCCCAGTCAAATATTCACAAAGCCACAGCAAAACGCGACGAGGACAGGGCGTCCGGCCCGCAGTGCCCAGCAACAACACCAACGCTTGGGTTTTTATGAATGCTTGAGAAATCACAACCGCATATAGAATGCTTCAGTGCAATCACTTCCACAATCGCGCGCTGTGTGCTTTGTGGTTGTGGTCGATATCCTGACTGTGAAGTGTCGTAGCTCTGAGCAAAGAAGGTCGTCTTCAGAAACACCAGCTGAAGTGCTTTGTTCGTTTATGGCCAGTGGCTTAGTATTTGTGATGCAGAGAATGTCGAAAATCGTGGCTGTTGAGGAAGACGATTTGTAAAGGATTGGCCACGAGCCGGGGCTGGTGCTGAGAAATTGGACTCGAGGACAGGTTGACTCGGCGTCAGGGGGCGATGCTCGAGTACAAGAACAGCAAATGCTTGCTGGAATGCAGTGACGATGGCGATGCTGGCGTTAAAAGTTCGACGAAACGTGCGTGAGATGATCTGGGATGCTAGGTGAGGTGAATGATGGAAGACGGGGCTGCTAGAGATGAGGAGATGAGATGAGTTGTCTGCTCAGACACAAGCGCAGATCCGACTCGAGGCGTTGATTGGCAGGTGGACTCCGGGCAATTCGAGGGTGCTACCTTCGTAGTATATCTATCATTCTACGGGACATTCATCTACATTCATTATTGCTTCCTGAGCATGCTTGGTTTCATAGGTTTGAGGTGCTCTTGTATCCATCACGCATGCCTCGTCCCCAACCCGTGTGGATCATTGTGCCAGGTTGCCACGATTGTCTGAGCGTAATTTTTGAGTCCCATCATGGTCGTCCCCAGAGTTAAGTCAATTTTGATACAGTGAACCACGTTTAGCAGAACCCAATCGTAACATTGGCCTGGTTCCAATGTGATGGCTGATATCGTCACGCACCTGTCGAATGCCCAGATATAACTATACATCGATGCTCTTCCGCAGAACACACAATCCCGAGGTCGAAGCTGCATGGCCGCTTGACGCGCCAATCTTTGCAGGGAATTCACTCGCCACAAACGTTTCAGACGGCGAGACAACAGACACGAACGCGACCTGAATTCCAGCGGTAGAATTGTCACGCAGGGCGGTATAGCTTCTAACGCGTGAAAGACACATCAATCTGTCGACTTGCTTCGCGTTTCACCATATATCATAGCATAGGTTGCTGGCTGATTAATGCAGTAGATCGTGCTGGGGAAATACACACGACGTTGGATCCATCGATCTAGAAACCAAACTCAGGTTGGAAGCGCCGGGACGAGGATCGACCTCTTGGCTGGGCCTCGAATGATCATTGTGGCATGCTTGGGTAGAGTTTTCATGGGTTATGCTTACTTCAAATGGACGGTGGTGGGCAAAAGTGAGGGGTGCGCCCAACGTGAGGTAAGGTATCATTCTGCAGCGGCAGCTCGAGATTCACTCCAAGACATTGAAAATCCAATATCACAGCTCAGAGCATACCTATCCAGCTGTCTGGTCTGCCGTACGGTGTAAGACGATGTCGAGGCTGTACTTGTGCCATGGAGGGAACGAAGCAGCACAGTCGGCGCTTCCCATCAGGCGGCTATTGCCCTATCAAACTACGTGCCGCAACATCTTGCAGATTGATCAGCCGTACTCCGATCGCGGTCAAATTGCCATACTACCACAGCATTCGAAGCGGCTGAGTGGATAATGCTCGACATGCACACTCTATCGTAGGGACTCAGTAACGAAGTTCAGCTCTGAGGACAATGGCCCGTGTTGGACACCCATCGGGACTGCGACGCACACGGCTGAGGCGTGAGCAATGAGCAGATCATCAGGGGCCGACCGCGCTGTGGGCCTCTTGGATACTTTATCCGACAATATTCCTTCGTTCATTCCCAGTACTAACCCGGGCCGTTGGAGGGGAGAAGGTTTTGTGACTATCAGATCAGTAGATCAAGCCCTGGAATGTTCAAGTCCTTTTGAAAGCATTCGGATGTCATCCGAATAGTGAAGGCGCAAACATACCGAGAACAACAGCAACAATCGTGAACTTGACACTGCTCATGCAATGCAATGCGGCCTCTGAAGAGCTAACCTGAACCGGATCATGGCGAAGCCAAGGCTGCTAGCCACAGACTCGGACCTGCTTCTCTTCTGGAAATCCGCTCGCTAAGCATGCTGAGAGAGCTCCTTGACGATGACTTTGTCGTCGTGCCGCAAAGCTGCGTAAGTATCTTGGTTACGTACAGAGCTGGCGACTTCTATCAATACATGTAGTAGCAGGAGGACGCTGTGCAGCAGCCTGCCCCACGCAAGCCCAGCCGGACAGCTTAGGTCGTCAGACGGTCTCGGCTAGGGAAAGGAAAGGAGGAGACGAGAGTGCACAGAGCAGGATCCACGCCCCTAAGTGAAGGTTTCATCTGTGCCTTTTGACATCGATCAGTGTCATGCGGTTGTTGCGTCTGTAGGGCGGTTCGAAACATACGTAGTTGCTCCCACCAAGGTCAGAGAACCGTGCGCGTCGGGCATACATCGTAGAAGAGCGTCTCGGTAGGGTCTTGAGCCTGAAGATGCTCCGGTGATCCTTCCCATCGGCGCAGTTGACGAAGCTCCACAGGGTTGGTGCCGAAGCTATCTGCGCCCCAATTTCTCCTAAAGCGAAGAGCCTGAGAGCAAAGCAGGAGACTTGGAGCCCCAGCGAGAGTGCTTGGTCTTTTGTGGTCAATAATCACCTGCATCGATTGCAACCTCCCTGTTCTCCGGTTCCCTGCTCGACAATCCCAAACATTTCTTTCTTTCGAGAAGAACATCACTGGCAAAGCTCCCAGCAGACATAAGCTGATATATTCACTTCTGTGATAAGGCTGGTGACTGTTCCGGGCGACTCCTCCCTAAACACCAATCCAGTACCTTCTCTCCTTGCGGGCCGGCGAAAAGGTATCTTACGCTCAGCGCAGTCACTTCTTGCGACCACAGCCATCCAACACCAAATTTCTTGCCTTGTGCAGACCTAGAGGCTTTGCTTCCACGCGCAATTGGCACTGCAGCCTTCACAGATAAAGCTGCCGAAGCTCCTCACTGGACTAGACGACAATCCCAGCGCAAGCGCAACTGCCCGTCCCCTGGGACTTCTGTTGTTACCATGTCGGCAGACATGACCTCGGAGCAGATGCAGGCCAAGATTACTGCGGCGCGAAGAGAAGCGGAAGGTCTCAAGGATAGAATCAAGAGGAAGAAGGATGATCTCGCCGATACAAGCTGTACGTGCTGCAGTCTCAGGTAGTCTGTTGTTTTCGTGATGCTGACTTTGGATCTACAGTACGGCAAGTTGCGCAGAACAACACAGAACCTCTTCCACGCATAGGAATGAAGCCTCGAAGGAACCTCAAAGGTCATCTGGCCAAGATCTACGCTATGCATTGGTCCACGGACCGACGCCATCTGGTTTCCGCGTCGCAAGATGGCAAGCTTATCATTTGGGATGCGTACACCACCAACAAAGTCCACGCCATCCCCCTGCGATCATCGTGGGTCATGACCTGCGCCTATGCGCCGAGCGGCAACTTTGTCGCTTGCGGAGGTCTTGATAACATCTGCTCCATCTACAATCTCTCGACACGCGACGGGCCTACTCGTGTCGCAAGGGAACTCTCGGGGCATTCTGGATACTTGTCATGCTGTCGGTTTGTAAATGACCGCAAGATCATTACATCGTCCGGAGACATGACCTGCATGATGTGGGACATTGAAACAGGCTCAAAAGTCACAGAGTTTGCAGATCATCTCGGTGATGTGATGAGCATCAGCATCAATCCGACGAATGCTAACGTCTTCGTGTCGGGTGCTTGTGATGCGTTCGCGAAACTATGGGATGTCCGCACTGGCAAAGCCGTTCAGACGTTTGCAGGACACGAGTCTGATATCAACGCCATTCAGTTCTTCCCTGACGGCAATGCTTTCGGCACCGGATCCGATGATGCTTCGTGTCGACTGTTTGATATCCGTGCCGATCGCGAGCTCATGTCCTATCAGGTAGGCAACTCCGTAACGTCGGTCGTACAATGTACTGATTCGCGAATCGCAGAACGAGCAAGTGCTTTGCGGCATCACCTCAGTCGCTTTCTCAGTGTCTGGACGTCTACTCTTCGCCGGCTACGATGACTTCGAATGCAAAGTGAGTTGAGCCCTGTACTCTTCTGGATCATGCTAATGTATTTTAGGTGTGGGACACTCTTCGCGGCGACAAGGTCGGCTCACTGAGTGGCCATGAGAACCGTGTCAGCTGCCTAGGCGTTAGTAACGATGGCATAAGTCTGTGCACAGGTTCCTGGGACTCTCTGGTCAGTATTGCTGTTCTCATCCACTAAGGCGATTTACTGACATACCTTGCGTACAGCTCAAGATTTGGGCGTGGTAATGAAGTAGCAAACAGCGCCTCGTAATAGTCGTCTTCGATCTGGCACTCAGCGCCATTGTTTCACCATCAGAACTTATTAGTCCGAGCGTTCCAAGCTATCACACCCGCAAAACGACCAACGCCGCCGACTCGTGACGAAAGCTCGAATCGCTAGCCTGGTGGCTTCCATCAACCCAACCGTTTCCTTTATGAGTATTACGAAGAACTCTTCAACAAAATCAAGCTGGATATCTGAAAATAAGCTGCTGAGGTACTCTGTCAGAGCGAACCCCAGTGCTATAACGTGTCCATCACCACAGCCGGACACCAGACAGTCGGAGACTGCGAGAAGAACTAAAGCATTCCGGGCAAAGTCATCCGAGATCGCACCGTACAGACTACAGCAGCGAGCGACGAAAAGCCTCGAAAGGAATTCACGAAAAGGAGTGGAATGAAGATGAAGATGCTTGGCTCTCTGCCAACTTTGTGTTTGTATGTTGAATTGTTTTTCTTCGGCTCGGAGGGAGGGCCTGCATGGAAAATGGCGTAGAACAGCAAGCAGGCGTTTTCTTCCCTCGGGCAGTGTGGCTGTCGCTCTTCCGGCACTTTTCCTGATAGTCGAGCAGGAAGCCTGGCAGACCTTTGGTGGTATAGCAAATGGCATAAAATTGCGAGCGAAGCTTCAAAGCATGCGGGCTCCATGAGTGCTACAGTCAATCAGGTCTTTGCAGAAACTCGGAAAAGAGTATGGAAGCAGATAGGTGCTGCACTTCTGACAATACCGGGGGATTCTTGTCGGTCTTGGTGCCGATATCTCTGCCAAACTACGGTACCCTGACCGTCTCAAGCAGCCGTCGGCCATTTCAGACGGTGGCTTGACCCGCTAAATCTGCTGCACCACACGTCTTCGGCCCAAACCAACGCCGTGTAAAGTACTGGAAAACAAATGCTGCGCCAGAAAAAACGCCTGCTGGAACTGTGACTTCCGGGTAGCCACCTGACACGAGGCCGCAAGCACTCCGTCCATCTCTGCAACAGAGCTGCTCACTGACGTACCATGTGCTACTGTTCACTTTCGCCTAGCTCCTCGTTATGCTCAGCACGCGCAGCCATCCCTCTCACTTTCCAAGTTGATGTTGATCGGGTCCGAAAAGTCACCTCCATACTCCTCGCTTTCTTCCTGCGCAAGCGCATTTCTGGCAATGACCTCAAACGCCTGCTCAACGTTGACGCTCTCCTTGGCGCTCGTCTCGAAGTAGGGCATCTGCCTGCTCTGACAATAGGCATGCGCCCTCTTCTGCGTTATCATGCGCCTGTCCTCACCCACATCGATCTTGTTACCAAGCACCACGAACGGGAACGCATCGGGGTCGCGAGGCGAGGCCTGGATGAGGAATTCGTCGCGCCACGAGTCTAGAGTCTCGAAGGACTTGGAGCTGTTGACGTCGTAGACAAGCACGCAGCAGTCAGCGCCGCGGTAGAAGGCGACGCCGAGTGACTGGAAGCGCTCTTGGCCGGCTGTGTCCCAGAGTTGGAGCGTTACGATGCGGTCGTCCACGGTCACTTCTTTGGTGAGGAAGTCGGCGCCGATGGTCGCTTTGTAGGAGGTTGAGAACTTCTTGTTTACCTACCTGGCATGTCAGAAAGCTGTGTGGGCCAATATAAGGGGAGTACAGTACATATTGATTCATCAGACTTGTCTTGCCCACGCCCGAGTCGCCGAGGATGATAACCTATTCGGAAGTCAGTCTGCGTTGCCGTGTCGATGCGCAGCTCGTCTCACCTTCAACAGGACCTTCTTGCGTGACGCCATGCTGCTCGAAATGTGCGAGGAGCTATTGCCTGCCCGGCTTCAACAGTAGTCGTGGTGTGGCCGCGACTCAAGCAGTGAATAGAAGAGTCTCGGTGATTGCGCCTGGCCCTTCGTACTCTTGAAAAACAATCGCTTCAGGCGACAGAGTGCAGCGCTAGAGCGTTCAGATTATGATATACTCGGGCAGATATGTTTGAGAGGAAACCTCGAACGGTCAAAAGTACGCCTGCTTGTTTGTGGGAGTAGTTGAAGGAGAAAGAGATACGGAAAGCCACTGCCATGGTACTGTCACTGCATCATGCATCCCGTGCTCCGCTTGCCTCGATTGGCAGTCATAGCTCCAGTTGCGCGGAAGAACGATGTCACCAGCCACAGCCAAGCTTGAATTATTAGGCTGCTTTAGTTTCGACACGCGGATCACAAGGCAACCACGTCTTAGAGTGAAAGCGGTGTTCATCTTGTTATGATAGGGAGTATACTGCACATTAATAAAGGCCGCCAATGCGGTGCAGTCCTGACATGGTCGCAGTCTTCCAATGATTCAACTGTCGAAGCTGCGACCAGAGTCTGAGCCAGCGGACGATATGGGAGGTTGATGTGATCAAGGGCGGAGCAAGATGGCAGCGGACTGGCGAGAACAGTACCTGGCAGCGCTGCAGGCTCGAGACGCTGTGGAGAAGAGGGACCTCGAGCTTTACAACTATTGCTCCAGACTGGCAGACCAAAGAGCGGAACTTCAGAAAGCCAACAACAAGAAAGCACCCGCGGAGTCCTCTGAGAAACCATTGGCAACAATACCACCACCTTCATTGGGATATCTCAGACGAGTGTCTTCTCCACCACCTCAAGACTCTGCCTCTGTCGCGCTGATTCGTCAAGACCTCGTAAAAGCCCAGCAGGAGCGAGCAGATCTCCAGGCTCGTCTCGAAAAAGCAAGCCAGGATCTAGACTCTCTTAAAACAAAAGCTCGACAGGATACCAAGAGACTTGCCCAAGCTACTGCCAACGTGAATCAATTGACTCTGAAGCTCCGAGACAGAGATGAGGAGCTCAAGGGGAAGACGAAGTTGGTAGAGAATGTGCAGGACGAGAACGTCACTCTGACCTTGCAGCTCAACCTTGCGGAACAACAGCAAGAAAAGCTAAAGAAGGAGAATAAGGAACTCGTCGACCGATGGATGGCGAAAAAGGGCAAAGAAGCCGATCGGATGAATGACGAAAGCAAATTCCGGTGATGCATTCTCGATAAGACAGATCAATGCAGCGACATCAACATACAGGCGCGCCATACTCGGTAGCAACCACAGGTCACTCATACCACCTCGTAAGACCATTGATAGAATGGTTAGGGGGCATGCAGCCGGCATTTCCTAGTTGCTCCTGCACCAGAATGCAGAAAACGAGACGACCTCGTTGTCCAGGAAGCGCCTTCCAAAGTTCCGTTGGTGCATCGCGACTCCTCATAACTATCATCATCATCAGTTGTGCCTTCCGCATGAACGGCTCAATCTCATGTTCATTCGTCTCCCTGCTTCATCAAAATTATTCGATATCACTCTGAGCTGCACATCCAGCACTCTTGGAACGGCAATTTTGCGCAGCGGCTTCGCGTTGGTCCTCTCGTCTTGGCTACAGAGAGAGGTGGTTTCATATTCGAAGTAATCCTCAACATCAAGTATGCTCGCCATGGAGCAACAGACTTGTCTGCTGGCGCCACAGCGTTACACTGTATCGCAGCTTTTGCAGATCTCCCGTGACGCAAAGTATCCTTTCGACCTGTCGAAATTCACCTATGATGCCGCCAGAGGTATGTCAGCATGTCCTTCCTGAAACTTCCGCTTCTGACACTTCGTAGCAGGTGTCGTACCTCCGCTTGGAGACATTGCAGTCTCTTCGCGTCGTTCCTCCTCTCAGCGGGTTCGCTCGCAGGGCTGGTCTTCGGAGAGCGTTGAAGCTACGTCTGAGATTGTCAGCCTGAGCGGCAACGCAAGTCTGCCTGCAACTGCGGTGAATCCTCTGAGACAGCCGTCCAATCCTCCAACTGGACCAAAGCCTCAGAAAGACGCTGGGTTTGCCAAATTTCTCAAGAAGCACTCGTCTCCCACCCACAACCGTGTCACTACTGGTGGACGGATTGTTCCCATGGAAAAGCGGGATTCTCCTCCCAAGTTCGACCTCGAGCAATCATACGCTGCACGGGAAGCCTTTCAGAGTGGCTTGAAAGACGTCTACACTCCTTCAGCACAGCTACTTGGTTCACCACCACAACATGGTGTACAGCACGCCGACCAATGTCCGTCGTCCGCCCCGCTATCGCCCGCAAGCGAGCATGGCCATGGAGTTACACCAGGCATCCCAAACACTGCTACTGTCCCTCAAGCCGGCGTGCCTGTGCTGGGCTATCCCATGCCTGCCTATGGCGTCCCAATCATGCCTCCTTACCCCATTCCAGCCCCGTACTACTACATGCCAGGCTCCGGCTTTCCCGCTAATCCGGCGTATGTCCCTCAGAGAGGTTGGCAGCCACCGGCTCAGGCTGCTATGTCAGTCGGTGGCCGCGACAAGTTCGAAGGGGTCGAGCCCACCACTCAGCTACTTGTCACTGCTCAGTCGTGCCTGTTTCAAGCGCAGTCTCAGTATGATCTACTTGATCGTCAGCTCAAGTCAATGGATCGTCATCGGGCTGTCAGCACTCACGATCCGACTCTGGCTGCTCAAAGAATGGCTGTCGTCCAACAACGCGCCGAACTCAAAGCCATGATCAATCGCTTGCTGGTGCAGGTTGAGACGCTTCAGAACACTAAGCCACTGCTGGTAGGATCACCGTCGAAGTTTGCACCCTCGGCTCGACCCTTTGTGCCGCAAGCGAACACGCAGCAGTCTCCAGCTCCGATTCGGCCGCAGTCACACAGCGGGTCTCCAGAGCTCACGGCCCATACTGACCGCGGCTTCGTCGAGAGAAGTCCAGTACCGCCGGCAAGGAACCGCAAGATCATCCCCATCGTACCACCTCCAGCCAACGGTGCTGCAACTGGCCAGCAGATGCAGCGTTCTGCTGAATCAGAGCCTATGTGGGAAGTAGACAAGTGGGGAGTACGTTACCGTGCCGTTTCCGACAGATCCGGGTGCAGCACTCAGCAGTCACTTGAGCCTACCAAGACCAGCGTGGTTGTGATGAACAAATCCCAAGCTCGACAAGCTTCGGTCGCTAGAAAGTTCTCTGCGGGGTCTGCTGCCGCAGCTGAAATCATCGGTTGGCAAGGGGAAAGACCTGGCTCTCTGCCTGAAGAGCTCGTTGGTCTGACAGAGTCCTACTACGATGCGCTGCGTCTGCCGGTTGGCGTCATCACCAAGTTCACGCTTCCAAACGAAGACACCTTCGAGGTCTGCGGGGCTGCCCTTCAACCAGGTGATGGCATGAGCGAGGTCGAGCAGTCATATTGGTCGAGGAAACCAGAATTCAACAAGGCCATCCTCGATGGCCTTCGCCGCAAGGCTCAAATCATGGACGCTGACCAATACGACGATGAATACCTCCTGGGCGCACATGTCAACCCAGTCGTCGGCGTCCGCGATGTCCAGGATCTGCTTCAGGAGGCCATGAACATTGAAGCTGATCGACGACGACAAGCTGCAAGTGCTCCGATCAGTATGCCGCTGAGGGGAATCGAAGAAGAGGACTTCGATGTCCCAGAGGATATGAGCAACAAGGGATTCACTTCGACATCTTTGCAAAGTGTGCATGCCACTGTCCGGCTTCCGCCCAGCTTCGATGGTGCCACTGACAACTCCCGCCGCGACGCGAAGACGGTCTTGACAGCTACCAGCAAGAGTCATAACCCACGTGTCCTCCACCGCTCAGCACCCGGTGGAGGTGCATAGTACGGACCTCACTGTCGGCAGGTGGTCATGCCGTCTGTCACTGACCCAATCCGTTAGGACAGCCGGAGTGCCTTGTGGCACTCTTGGCTCCTGTCTCTTAAAATCGCATATTTGTGGTAGCAACGATAGACAGACTTCGACCTTCAGAAGAATCAGGATGCAACACGGACAGAAGACACAGATCATTTCTGTGGCGATATGTTAGTTCAGGGTATGTGTTTTCTCACTGATGTACAAAACCGGGCGACTTAGGTATCTGGAACAGCCACATGTTGAACAAGGCATGGTTACCTTAGAGATCATGTATGAATACAAGTAGCTAGAATTCGAATGATTGCACAGCCCCTACCCGAATATCTGTGTCAGACGTGTCGCACGCGTGGACGTCGAGATCCAGATTCCTGGGCGAAAGGTGTATGCCAGATAGAGTGCGGTAGATGTATCATGATTCTAGGCGGGGGTCAGCCCCGGGCACGCCCGGGCGAAGCGATTGCCACATATCGGACAACGCACAATGGTCATGATCGGCAGGCCGCGATGGATGACAATTGGGTCAAGCGATGGACATCTTAATGACTACAGCGGCAGTAATCAATCACTAGATGTGCAGAGCTCAGTAGGACTCACTGGATGAGTAGCGAAAGTGACGCTGAGGAGGCAAAAGAACGGTGGTCTGTGCCCTGTGTAGTGGAGAGAAGAGCCCTTGTTCCTGGGTTCCCCCAACTCCAACTTTGGAACTCTCCTCGACCATTTCAAAGCAGGTCCGAGTCAAGTACAAGACCCGCACTTGAATCCGCATTTTCGACCACCTTGTACCGGCAACAACAGTCTACATTCCAAGGTTCCTCTTGTCCGTACAGAGACAACGAGCTCTTTTCAATACCTTCCGCTCTCGTTTTCCGAAGAGGAGACTACGTTCTCAGCACAGCGTTGTCCGCACTGATCTGCGTCGCTGTTAAACCCCACGAGCCATCGACCTCGCTTGCGACGCTGAACATTCCCTACTCCACGACCTGCCTTTTCCTCTTCACGCTATTGCAACCTACCACATCGAGACTTTGGCAAGACGATCGAATCTACCGGTGGCAGCTCAGACCTGCCTTCATTGGCCTGTTGGACCAATATCTGAAATGGCGGAAGCAAGATAGCGGTTCCCTCTGCTGCTCTACCGCTAGCGGACCTCGAAATCGCCGGAGATTTACCAGCCCTCAACGTTCCCTAAGGCTTGCTTTTGTACTGCGCGCACTCACAGGGAGGCTCGAAGTGAAAGATGGCTACCGAGCGGAGGAACTTCTCCTCCCTCTCATTCACAAAGAAGCACAGTGGCGATACGTCCGGCACACACACGCCAACATCGACGAAGTTGAAGAACTTCTTCCGCATCAACAGCGGCGGAAGTCAAACATCGATCAATGCTGACGGTCTGCCGACGCCGAAGACAGAGACCAAGCCGAAACAGTCCAGATTTCTACCTGGGTTGAGCAGGAACCGCTCAACAACAGTCGCCAGCGAAGGTACTGCACTTGACGACACGGTATCGCCAACGGCTCATGCCAACCCGTACTTTGCTCACCAGGGTCCGCCAGCCCTCCGCCATCACAATGAGGGTAGTGTCCCACCATCACCACCAGATACGCCCAAAATCCATGTCAATGGCACAAGTCCAACCAGTGAAAGGGCGATCACAGCGGGCAAGGAGGAACTGGCCAGAAAGTTGCGCAGAGTTGCATCCGCACCAAACGCACAAGGGATGTTTGCAAATTCACAATCGAAAGCAACAGATGATCGGCCAGGGAGTGCACAGCTTGGCAAAGAGCCAGTCATTGTCGAAAATGGAGTACAGCCTAAGCTCAGTATGGTGGGTCCCGATCCGATAAGTACGGCGAAGGATGCTGGGCTAGCAAAAATCCCGACTCCAGGCAGATCAGACAGTCTGTTGCCTTCCGGCGGACGTATAGCTCGAACAGCATCAAAGTACGGAACGTGGAAGTTGGGCCTGGCAGCTTCGATAAAATCAAGCTGATCGGGAAGGGAGACGTGGGCAAGGTCTACCTCGTCCGCGAGAAGAAGTCGAACAGGCTTTATGCGATGAAAGGCACGTATATTCTGATATCACCACGAGCAACACTGACGTTTCATAGTCCTAAGCAAGAAGGAAATGATCAAAAGGAACAAGATCAAGCGAGCCTTGGCCGAGCAAGAGATCTTGGCAACCAGCAATCATCCTTTTATCGTTACTTTGTACCATTCGTTCCAGTCAGATGACCACCTGTATCTGTGCATGGAGTATTGCAGCGGAGGCGAGTTCTTCCGCGCACTCCAGACGCGACCGAATAAGTGTGTGGGCGAGGAGGATGCTCGCTTTTATGCAGCTGAAGTGACTGCTGCGCTGGAGTATCTACATCTCATGGGCTTCATCTACCGGGATTTGAAGCCTGAGAGTGAGTTCCATATTTGCGATCAGGTCTGGCTGGCACTGACACGTTACAGATATCCTGTTGCATCAGTCAGGCCATATAATGTTATCTGACTTCGATCTGTCGAAACAGTCTGATATCGGTGGTGCACCTACCATGATTCTCGGTACTCGTAACGGCTCGAACGGGACCGGATACCCTTTGGTCGACACGAAATCATGCATTGCAGACTTCCGAACCAATTCTTTCGTTGGCACCGAGGAGTACATCGCTCCTGAGGTCATCAAAGGTGATGGGCACACGAGCGCGGTCGACTGGTGGACGCTCGGTATTCTTATCTACGAAATGCTATTTGGCACGACACCATTCAAGGGCAAGAACCGGAACGCAACGTTCGCCAACATTCTAAGAGATGATGTACCGTTTCCTGATCACGCCGGGGCACCACAAGTCACAAAGTAAGTGTGGGCCGTACTACTGCATCTAATGGTCCTATTGACAATTCATTAGTTTATGTAAAGGTGTTATAAGAAAACTGCTCGTCAAAGACGAAGCGCGACGTTTGGGCTCAAGAGCAGGAGCGTCTGACGTCAAGAACCACGCCTTCTTCAAGCCGATCACCTGGGCTTTGTTGAGACACATGAAGCCACCGATGGTACCACATCAAGGCCGTGCGCTTGATACAGTCAATTTCCGAACGGTGAAGGACAGCGGCAGCGTCGATATTGGAGGGACCGCACCCGTGAGCAAGTTGAAAGGAGTGCCGCTAGACTCCGGAATGCAAACACCTGGTGGTGAGATTGCTGATCCATTCCTCGAGTTCAACAGTGTTACGCTACATCACGACGACGATGACCATCACAACCATCATGGACGATAAGACGGCTGGGCTGGCGTTCAGCATTCACAGAAAAAGCGGCGTCCTGGATTGGTATAAACTTTGAGAGCGGTCGATGCCACTTGCATCGCATCTACTAGCATGGAGCAAGACGTGTATGGCATGTATCTTGTCCTTCAACGCTTTGGCCAAAGATGAAATAGCGCCATAGCGGATGGGATGCCCGCCTTGGAGCTGTATCCGGTCGCATGGGAGCAAATGTATAGCGCTATCATGTTACACAGGCCTCGTCAACCCCCGATCTGGGTCAAATGCTAGAGAATAAAACAGAGCAGCTGACCAGCAATTGACGCACCCCTTGTACCTCACTTCACCCAAGGCGTGGTCAGTGCTCGATGCCCGAAGCATTCTGACTGCAGTATGTGCTGCAGTAGCGCCTACCGTACCATGTAGTACCCCATAACGGCCAAGAACTGGGGAATATTGGAGGAATCTGAACCTATCGAAGACTATCGATGCGGTCATCAGCATGATGAGAAGCAACATAGGGTCCTGCGAGCGAGCATTCGTACCGGCTGTGGCTTCTCCCTGCGAGTAAAGTCACTGCTGTTGTGCAGGGACGCGGAACGCTGGTTTGACATGATGTGGTTTTGTGTCCAATCGTAGGGCGGTACTTGTGCACGACCAGTCGGATATCAATAGAGTGGAGTCAGCTTCCTGCAGTTATCAAACTTCACCGCAGTTTCCTTCCCGTGGTGACTGCGACTACTCGACCCAGCACACATTCCCGCAACGAAGCAGGTGAGAACGAGAGGCTACTGCCAAGTAACAACACTTCTGCTCCCTGAGAGCGCCCCCGGTCTATCCGACACGTGAAGTTTTCGAGCGGCAAAAAAGTTCTTTATCATCTCGCTCTGTCCCCAGTCGGTGCTCCTCGAGCACAATTTTCTTTGCATTGTTCGACCGAACAATGCCCACCCAGACCTCTTTCGCCAACTACATGCCCAAGGGCCATGTCAGAGGATTGTCATAGCTAGAAGAACCAGTCTCTTCACGGTCGATCCGTCTTTTGATGTTTTTATCAGTCATGGAGACGTTGTAGCCGCAGTCTACTGTCTGGCCCGCAGGGGTACCGGTCGCTGATGAGATTGTCTTTTCCTACACATCTACAATGAAGTTCGGAAGAAATCTCCCACGGAACCAGGTTCCAGAATGGGCTTCCAACTACATCAACTACAAGAAGCTCAAGAAGTTGATTAAGAGTGCTTCTGAGAACAGCCGGCAGCAAGATGGCTCGAATCCGGATCTAGCAGGTAGGAGATGGATATAGAGTACCCTCCCCCTTTGACAATGCTTATGATATGCAGGCTTCTTGCACGCTCTCGACCGGAACCTCGAAGATGTCGACTATTTCTACAACAAAAAGTTTCAAGATTTCTCGCGCAGATTGAAGTTGCTTGAAGATAGATATGGATTCACCCTCCAGAACACCCAGGACATCGACTCTGATGAGTCCCAAGACCTGCTAGCTGCCTTGCTCGAGCTCAGAGCAGAGGGCAGGAAGCTCACATGGTATGGCGAAGTCAACAGGAGAGGCTTCATCAAGATTACGAAGAAGTTAGATAAGAAGATTCCCAGTGCCCAAGCACAGCAGCGATATTTGGAGCTCAAGGTCGAGCCAGCACCATTCGCAACCAATTCACAGCTCGTACCTCTGCTCACGAAAGTCAACGATTGGATTTCGATCCTTACAGAAGCAGCAGTATCAGCAAGACCCGACGATACTGTCTCGATCGGTTCGGGCTCCCTCAAACGCACCACCTCTAGGCCTAGTCTCGAGTTCTCGGCAGAGCGTCTCGGTGCTCTTGAGAATCACCTGAGAACGGATGATGCTCTACAGCTTGAGAAATTCATTATCGACGCGAAGAAAGGACTCCCAAAAGGTTCCGAGCCATCGTTTCAATCGTTTCTGAAGACTCTACTGCACAAAGCCATCGCCCTTCGTGGGAAGAAGTCTATCACAACACTTCTGCAGTACATAGTCTTTCTTGACGAGCAAGACGATCTGAACCGTCGGAATTGTATCCATCGCCTTGTCATAGCCATCGGTCGGACCCATACAGTGACAGATGACGAAGAAGGAAATTCAGACACGCTTGATGTACGAGACGATGACATTGGCTTCATCACACCAGCTGCATCGCCATCTAAACCTTTCAAGCGCACGCTACCTCACGAGCCCAAGCACAGCCGGCCACTTACCTCAGACGGAGACGCGGCTCAATTCCTCGTTTCCTTCCTCGATAAACTGAACTCGGTGCAGCGATCTGCTTTGTCAGCCAGGGACAGTTATGGGCGATCGCCTCTACATTTCGCAGCTGAGTACGGCGTTCGTGCTCTTTGTGAAATAATTGTGGAGCGACTTCAAGCATGGAAGATGTTCGATGTATCTCAGGGCATCGATGGTCCGAACTGGCAGGACGATGAGGGTTGGGCACCACTGCATCTAGCAGTCATCGGTGGCCATCCCAAGACCACCCAATACCTGCTCGACTCTGAGAGATCGATGAAAGACGTCTCTGCGCCTGTAGCGATTCGCCGCAACTCTCCCCAGTCCTCAGCTGTCTTGGCATTGGCAGTCAAGTCTGATTTTATCGAGGTGGTACGCATCCTGGTTGCAGCGGGTGTTGACATCAACTTCCAGGACGAATCTGGCGAGACGGCTCTCCATGTTGCTGCGAGATATGGCCATACAGATTGTGCTCGACTTCTGGTCGCCGGCTCCCAAGCGCAAATTGCCGACCTAGAGCTGCGCGAGAACACATACTCCTGGACTCCACTCTTCATCGCTTGTATTGACGGCCATTTGCCTGTGGTCGAGCTTCTGATCGATGCGAACGCAGATCTTGATACAATAGACTCGTCGGGCTGGACTGCCCAGGAGCATGCATCCCTGAGAGGACATATTGAAATCGCTGCCCGGCTCGACGAGCTCACGCGCTCTCCTGATCACACATCAAACACGTCTGCGTCCACGTCGCCTCCGATAGCATCTTCACTGAATGACAGATACAGCAATGGCTTCGGTACGCAGCAGCCGCCAGGCAAATTGATGGAGCCAGTCAAGACATTCGGCCATAGGTATCTGACGGACAAGAGTATGATACTGGTATCGCTTGGCTCAATGGACACGCGGAAAAATGTACGATCGGTGAACCTTGATCGGATACCTTTGGCAAATGCTCACTCTACGCAACTTGACACTGCCCTGTCCATCGTTGTCTCAGCTAAGGGAGCTGATGGCGAGCCCGAGGTCTTCGATCTACCAGTTCAAGACAACATCTGCACGGAGCCGATTGTGTTTCTGGCTGCTGATCCGGACAAGGCTAAGATCTACTTTGATCTCATTCCGACCTACTCTGGAGCTCGCGATAGAGTCGTGGGCCGTGGCGTGGCCCTCATATCGAGTCTGACCACAAACCTAGGTGGCAAGAAAATGCCACTGAAAGGCGACTTGACAGTGCCTATTGTTGCATCCGGCGATATGGAGGCGATTGGATCAGTCACCTTCAACTACCTAATCATCAAGCCTTTCCATCACCCCAACATGTCGCTTAGCGAAAACAAGACCTACTGGAAGAGTATGACAAGCACTATGCTCATTGGTCATCGTGGACTGGGCAAGAACTTTGGCCCTGGGCGCAGATCTCTTCAATTGGGTGAGAACACCATACAGTCCTTCATTGCGGCTGCCAATTTAGGCGCAAGCTACGTCGAGTTTGATGTTCAGCTCACAAAAGACCATGTCCCGGTCATCTATCACGACTTCACAGTCAGCGAGACAGGCATTGATGCGCCCGTACATACACTGACATTGGAGCAATTTCTTTCGATCAACGACATGCGTACACCGCGTCAATCCAGACCCGCATCGCCCACAATAGGTCCTCCTCGATCAAAAGCGATGCCGACGGATCCTCGTGATAGGGCACGAATGCGATCCATGTCAGTCGGTGGGGACCACGAGGCAGCAGATCTTCAAGATCGGGCACGACATACTCGCCCGTACAAGCTAAAAGGATTTGTGCCAAACACGCGAGGTACCACAATCCAAGCGCCATTCACAACACTCGAGGAGATGTTCCGCACACTGCCGTCCCACATGAGCTTCAACATTGAGATGAAGTACCCAATGCTCTTCGAGAGCGAAGACGACGACATGGACACATACGCCATCGAGCTGAATGTTTTCGTTGACACCGTCCTGAAAATGGTCTACGACCTCGGCAAGGGGCGCAACATCATCTTCTCGAGTTTTCATCCAGACTTGTGTCTGCTACTCAGCTTCAAGCAGCCCAACATTCCCGTGTTGTTCTTGACGGATGCTGGCACTTCAGAAGTGGGCGATATCCGAGCCAGCAGTCTACAGGAAGCCATTCGCTTTGCCAGTCGTTGGAATCTACTGGGCATTGTCTCTGCCTCTGAAGTCTTCGTCTACGCTCCACGGCTGGTTCGAGTTGTCAAAGAAACCGGCCTGGTCTGCGTCAGCTACGGTGTCATGAACAACGATCCGGCAAGCGTTGCCTTGCAGACGAAGCAAGGCATTGATGCAGTGATAGTCGACAGTGTGCTAGCTATCCAGCGGAGTCTGCTCACCAGTGATTCAGCTGTTCGAGCAAATGGTGTCAGTGGGCCGATGGTCGGCAGTCTAGCCAGTGTGCTGAAGTTGGGATCAGATAGCACGGAGAGTCTCGAGATCCCCAAAGTGTCTCTGGACGAGGGAACACCGCTAAAGAGTGTCTCGTCTGTGGCGGTGGACACTCCCGTGGCGGCCACTACTAATGGCGTACAGGCGTTGAAGGTTTGATCTTTGACAGCCGAGCAGATAGCTGGCCGAAGGTCGTGGGGTGCAGACACGCTATCGTATTGATCGCGGTGAAAGTTCTGATGTCTTTGGTGGGCAACAAAGCTCTGAGGCAATGAGCTAGTGCAGCTGTGAAAGTGCCTGCAGACTTTGGGAGTTTCGGGTCCTTATTTTTTGGTATGGGTGGTCCAAGATTCGTTCTCATCCGAAAGTAAAATTACATTCATAGAATGTCATGCATCAATAAGAAAGACGCTACTCGGCTCGACTAGTCCTTTCAATTGGGATTGTCCAGACTGACAGGTTTCGTACTTCCTGATCGCGATGCCGCTGCCAGTCATCCGTTCTGGACATAGAAGGGAGATTGCTTGGGTTGTCGTATCGCAAATATATCTTGTGACTGCGCCAGTCGTGCTTTTGTCAGCCGGCGATGATTCGCTTTCGTCAACCGGTCTCGTGATGAGGCGAGCTTTCGCGAGACCGGATGACCCAAAGCCATTACCCGTCTCACGGCCTCTTCTCTATTGTTCTAGGTGTCATATAAGCTGCTCTCGCCTAAGCGAGTCTAATTCTCCAGGGCTCTCCGACTCCCGGGCCGTCCTTACTCTCCACCGGGCTCTTCTGGTCTGCGAGCTGGCTTGGGGTCCCATGACCGGGGCCAGCCACTGCTTCCCCGCATAGTCATCCCAAAAAATTCCGCCGCCTTCCAATGTTCCCCCTCACCATGAATCTTACAGTCCGGTGCGTGCTCTCCACCCTCGTAGAAGTTGTCCTCGCTCCAGCTCCAGGTCTCAAACTCGGGGTTTAGACTTGCTGAGCATTTCATTGCTGGCTTTCATGTCTTCTACTATTCGTCGATAGCACGAATATGCCCGGCAATGGCCCACCATCGGAAAGCAACGCGCCGAGCATGCTGACGTCCACCGAGGCATCAGCTGCAAACGGCTCGGTCCCAAGTCCGCCAGAACCCTCGGAGGCTTCGAAGGCGGTCAGACCTGTCGATCTTGTGGCAGATGCCATACCTGAGTCGGCACAGGGCCAGCTCAGTGGGGAAGAAGGAGAAGATGTCCTGCCCGTGGCGCCCAACCCAGTGCCACTGAGCGAGGTGTGTGCAGATGTGTACGGGAGGGTCGAGAAACTGCTGGATGCGAGGGAAGTGGACGAGGTCACGAGACGGACACAGCAGCAGGTCAGGGAAAGCATGGACATTATGTCGAAGGCGTTAGACGAGTATGGGTAGGTAACCATTCCTGGATCTTGCCGAGGCAGTTGCGGCGCATGGTGCAGCCCGAGCTGGGATGAGTTGGAAAGTTCAGATGGACGCAGATGCTGACAATGCGCGCCAAATCCAACAGCTTCGAGCACCTCTCCCTCTCATACAACGGCGGCAAGGACTGCCTGGTCCTCCTCCTAATCTACCTCGCCGTCCTACATACACACTTCACACGACCCTCCTCCCGGCGGAAAACAGAAGCACAAGACTTCCCAACCTCGATCCCCTCGATCTATGCCACGCCTCCTGATCCCTTTCCCGCCGTCACAACCTTCGTCAGCGCTTCTTCCTCCGCCTACCACCTCTCACTCATCCACATCCGCACAAATCCTCCGCCACCGGATCCACAACACACGCACGCGAACCCCAACTCCGCACCACCCCATCCCCACCTCCCAGGTGTGCCCGTCCGAACCTTCCGCGACGCCTTCGCCCTCTACCTGTCCCACAACCCCACCATCAACGCCATCTTCGTCGGCACCCGCCGCACCGATCCGCACGGGGAGCACCTGACGCCCTTCCAGCGCACCGACGGCAACTGGCCCGATTTCATGCGCGTGCATCCCGTGCTGGACTGGAAATTGAGCGAGATATGGGCATTTCTGAGGTTTCCGGGGATGGTCGGTAGTACGGGGTATTGTGGGATGTATGATGAGGGGTATACTAGTCTTGGTGGGAGGGGTGATACCGTGCGCAATCCGTTGTTGAAGGTGCAGGAGGGGGAGGATGCGCTTGACGGAGGAGGAGGGTATAGACCGGCGTGGACGATGGTTGAGGATCGGGAGGAGAGGGCTGGGCGGGAGTAGGCTGAGCGGAGTGCACAGGGACGTGCCTCGGTGGAGAGGCAGCATGACATGGGGAAATGGACAAAGAGAACATTATTGGTCGGTGTCGGAGTGCATTTGTTCAAGCGGTGTACATGCACTCCTCTTTGCACTTGTTGCCTGCTGGAGCAGGAGCTGGAATAGAAGTACCAATCAAGCATTCTGGTTTTGGTCATCTGTAAATCCACAGATGTTGAGCGTCGCACGCGAGACAAAGAAGAGAGCTGAGGGTAGCTCGATCCATCAAGAGAATGCAACGGTCAGGTCGTCGTCGACGACAGTAAGGGAAAATAGATCGGCTCAGCACGCGAATTGAGAGCAATGACCTGGCTGAACGTGAAGAGGAGCACAAGGATCATATAAGCTTAGTGACGACTCATGATCGATAGCCGCGGATGATTTGGTTCTCGATCTAGGCTATTGCAAATTGCATACTCATGTAACGTCTGATGTTTTGTAAACACATGCTGTTCACCTGAGCCCAACTGTCTAAACTCCATTCGCCATGGCGAGCTCATATTTGATATCGTGTCTAAGGTATATGTCCTGCGATGTTGAGAGCTGTCGATGATTGTGGAGAGTGCCGGTGAGAAGAATGACGCAGAAATTCGCGGCAAGGTGGTCTCTGCTATCGATGGTGACGATGCAGTTCAACAATGACTGAATGCGGAAAGAACTTTTGTTGACCCTGGACGCCAATTGACTTGAGCATCGAAATACCAAAACGAACGATAGCGTCTGACCTGGTAAGCATGAAGATGCATCAGATGTGACTGGAGATGTTCTCCTTGCGGGTGACGGATTCACTGCGGCTTTCGACCTTCTCCGGGCTGGACTTTTCGGCCTTGACCTTTGGCTCGTTGACCTCGGGAACGGCATCGGCCGAGGTATGCTTGGTGGTGTCGACATAGCCGCGACCGCTTATCTGTTGGGCACGAACAGAGGCAGAATTGGTGATGGACTGAAGACCTCCCTGCATGGGCCAAGCATTTGCAGCAACTTTCGGCATGATCTTGGTGCCAGCAGTCTCACTGGGTAGTAGTCAGCACCAGAAGACGAAGCAATGCGACCATGAGAGGGGTTTTGATGAGCAGGCATCACTTACGGAGGTGAGACGGACGTAGCAGGAGTGAAATTGTGACTGGCTGCAGCTGGAGATTGATAGCTGCCGTTAGGACTGGGATGATGAGCAGCTCCCTGCAGTCTCATGACAGTAGGCGACGGAGTGTGTTCGACTGAGTAGCTGTACTCGCGACTTCGCCAGTTGCGGCGTTCTTGACTCTGTTGCTTGAGCTGCTTCTGTGCTTTGGTGTCGGCAAACCGCAGACATAGCTTGACACCATCGTGGTCGACGTGATACGAGTGATATTCTCGAATGACACGCTCTGCAATCTCACGAGATTCAAATCTTGAAAGGTTAGCACATGTAGAGACAGGACAATGGTGGACCAACCTCGCAAAGCCGACCTCTTTGCTCACACCTGAGGGAACATCGCGACAGATCTTTGTGGAGATGGCGTTGTACGGACGGAAGTGGTTAGCTAGGTCCTGACGAAGGTCAGCTGATAGCGAGGGTGATAGATGTGGGACGTACGGATTCGTTCCATTCGATCGGAACACCAGTGCAGTAGATGTTTGTCGATGCCTTGTCTTCGAGGTCCTTCAGGCGGGAGTTGCGAGACTTCTGAGCGTAGCTGGCCTGGAAGCGAGATGGAAAAATCCTCGGATACAATTCTCAGCGGCAGCAGGTGAGTAGTACATGACGAAGCCAAAACCTTTGCACTTGCCGGTGTCTTGCTCAATGATGGCTTTGCACGACTCGATCTCACCGAAGCGAGACGCCCAGTGGTCAAGGTCAGTGTCAGTAGTGTCTGGCATGAAACCTCGGATGTAGACATTGGTGATGCCTTCGGGATTCTGGAGACACTTGGCCAAGCTGAGTTCTTCCTGATTTGTCCACAGAGCTGGAACCGCACGCGGTATGGGAGGATCTCGAGCAACAAGCTCATCAAGGTTGACCATCTCGTATGACTTGTTGTCTGCACACTTCATGGGCTGGATGGGGCCTGCAATGTAGTGCTGACTCTGAACAGCCGACACGGGATAGAAGGGCATGTGTGGGTAGTACTCCTGAGCACCAGCCTGGTTGAGGGCATTGTTGTCTTCGGAGGACCAAGACGGTCGACGTGGAACGTCCACAGGAGTTGTAGCAGGAACGTAGGGCCAGGCATAGCTGTTACCGAGGGTGTTTGAGCCGTAGTAGGTGGGAAACATGTTTGCTTGCACGTATGCCAGTTGAGCAGCATCGGCGGGTCCAGTCTGCTGAGGGTAGTATCCAGACATGGGAGGATTGTTGTAGACGACGAGGCTGAGTTGGTGTAGCTTGCACGAGGCTCACCAACGTCGAGAGCTGCTTGAGTTGGGAGGCTGGCCTTGAGATCTGACATGTTCAACGATGACTGGCTTGTGCCTTGAGTAGCTGATTATGATCAGCATAAGTGTGTGTCTGATCTGCTCTTGATCTTACCTCCGGCAGTGTGCTGCTGATAGGACTGATGGCCTTTGGGCTGAAACGGAGAGCGTTGAGGTATCTCAGGCTGGTATGCAGCAGTGTTTTGAAGGCCGGACTGAGCATACATGGTTGGTCAAGATCGCTGTATGGACCTTTGGTTAGCTTCTTGTGGGAGATAGGGAAGAGATTGGTGTAGGACCGGATTCGTTGATGGCTTTTGCTCGAAGTTGCACCCACGAAGGAGGAATGTGTGAGGTGAATGTGAAGTGGTGAATGGGTCGATGGCAATGACGAAAGTGTCCAGTGTGGTAGCAAGAAGGAGCTGGATCGACTTGATGCATCAATGGAGGAATGACTGTGCTGTGCTTCTGATGGACTGATCTGACTTGACTCACCCTGTGGCTGATGATGATTCTGATGGATAGCAGTCCAAGATGCTACAAGGACAGATGAGATAACGCCAACGGGCTAACAGCGATGATGAAAAGGCAAAGCTGATAGCTGTGATGATCGATGAAGAAGGGAACAAGGTAGGATGAGATGCAAAGTGGAAGAAGTGAGTGGACATTGGCTGGCGTGCCTGCCATATGGAACGGGGAAAGCACCACTGCTGCCTTTCCCCATCATGGTCCAGTGCTAAACTTGACAGGCAAGAACTGACAGAAGAGACGCACTTGGTAGTACCTGCCTACCTCGAAATAAAACTATGGCCAGGGGATCGATTAAGCGCCCGCCAACGACTGTTTTTCTTCATCAAATTCAGGACCTGCAAGACTTTCTCGGCTCGTACGATAGCAGCTCAGCCATAGCTCACCACACGGAGTCGCACCACTTAAGCTAGCATCGATTTGAGCCCTGCATCAGGCGACTCGCCGACTCACTACAGTACTATGCGGGAACCAGGAGGGGCGGTGACCCAACGAGATATGCTTGCCCTTCTGACTGTCCAGGCGCCTGGTAGAGTCGATGAGCTACGGCTCTGTGATTGTGCAAGTTGCTCGGCCTTGCCACTCAGACATCAGCCGGTCCACGGTCCAGTCCCTGGAAAGACAGCCTGATCCTCATCTCACTTACGGAGCTCGATTCTAGCCGGTCTAACGTGCTGTGCGGTCCAAAGCATTAATCTTCCACCGCAACTTGCCTAAGAGGTGTTCGTCCCGAGCGCGGCGCGATCATAGCTGGGCCCCTTCCTGGACATCGATCGATGCCAACTTGTTGCCGTCGAGCTTCCGATGCCTGAGCCAGTGCGATAATATGTTGCCAGCCAGTCGTTGTGCCGCAAGGGTCAATGGCGTCGGGTTGGCAGCGCAGTCCGTATGAGCAGCCCTGAGATCAACAGCAGGATCGATGGCTCGTCCATGGTGTCGGAGAAGGCACATTTTTTCGACAGCCATAGTCGAGGGGAGGAAAAAAGTAGAGGTGAGGTGAGGTTAGTGGGCATGTAAGCTGTGCTGGATGACTTTATTGGCTAACGCAATCTGGCTAAGCGTTCTGTCTCCAACTCCAATGGCATTTCTACTGCCTTGCATTGAGAGTGTTGGAGTTCACTTGAAGAAGTTCATGTGACAATGACATCCCTTTGTCGAAATGCCCGTGGTGCTTTAGGCTGTTGCCCACTGCCTCCCAGGTATTGTGACTTTCATAGTGCAAGTGCTACCATGTCTGCAATCTGATCTATACTCTCGCAATAGTTGACAGCAACTGGCCAACGAGACTTGTCGACGGCAATGGATACTATGCATGCAGCCGTGCAAGATGCAGACACCCGGCAAACCCCTCGACCAGGCTTGTTCGATCGCCACAATCAGATGCTAGAAGAACACCGCAGGTTCCTTGAGCAATTCAGGCAAGAGCGCAAGAGTGCCACAGGAGTTGAAGAAGGGATCTCACTGGCCATACAACAGACAGAGTGGATGTTCAAATGCTTTGCCGACTGCAAGTCCGCCTACGAAAGCATCAACAATGCTGCTACGGGATCTTCACCTATTCGCACCCAAATCCCCCTCAGTGCCGGCAGCCCGACGTTGCCCGCGACTTATGGCAGCCCACCAGAGACAGGACCCGAACTTGCGACGTTGCACAGGGAGCCATACCAGAAGATGGACGATTCGGGCCTTTTCATGTTTGATACCATACCGACTGACCCCAACGGGTATCTGAATGAAACTCGTTCCGAGATGCCGCAAAGCAGGCAGAAGCGAAGGTGGTCCAACGATATGGCTATCGACGACGGTGGTCATCCTCGGCAGAAGAAGGCACGAAACAATGGCCACAACGTCCACCCCGGAGGTACAACCTATGCGAGTCGGTCCCACTTTTCCGTGCCATACTCAGCCCGAGGTGCCGCGCCCGAGCCGCAGGACAGTGGTGAAGAAGACTCGTTCGTCAGAGAAGTGAAAGAGCTGCAGAAGGAGAAGGAGGCGAAGTGGCGGAAGCGGGAAGAGAAGAAACGCAAGCGCGAAAGTAATGGCTCCGACAGAAACGCACCTCCGTCCGGACAAATGGAAGGAATGTCGATCCGCCATGGGCATGAACCCGCGAGAAAGCGACGACGGACTAGTCAGAACAATACTTCTGTGCAGCCCAACCCACAAGCACATGGCACGCCAAAGAACAAGCGATTACGTTCTACGTCGAGGAGAGGAGACAAGAAAGCGAAACGCCAGCGTCGTTGAAAACGGGAGTAGAGCGCGTGGGATTGAGCTGACGAAGATCGAGTAAGCCAGACCATTGCAGATCGGGAGCGGTGTTGACTGCGAGGACCGGAATGTCTGTCAGATGCTCGTTGGAAATATCTCTTGAGCAATTTCTCCAAGAGAGCGTGCAGGGCACATGCATAGGTAGATCCGGAACAAGCAGTAGGATAGACGAACTTTCGATATGCAAGCACGGATTCTTGTAAGCTCTGTTCCATCATTTCCGGGTGGAATGGACCAAGGTATCGCATGTTGTCAACTGCCTGAGTCCTCCTTCGAATACCTACTCTCTTTGACGACTCTGCCTGCTACACGAGCACGACTCGCATCCACATTGGGGTGGAAGCTGTTTCAAAAGCAGCTTCACATCGGATGTTGGGATTTCTGGCTGGTGCCAAGATGGGCCAGCCGCTCCGAATTTGTTGCACCCTGACTTTGATCTCCCGGCTCCGCACTCGTCTCTCGCTCTCTTTTCTCATCCCCTGCTCTCCCTGTTCCCTTCCCCTGCGCAAAAACGCAAAAAGCAAGTCGACAGCTACAGGATTTGAACCCTACTGTAAGTTAGCGAGAATTTCAGGCGGTGGAGGGTGGGGAGACGTGCTGTGCGGGCGAACCCAACAGATAACTAGTAGTGAGAAGCACCCCTGGAGGTGACCACATTCGAGTCTGTCGCCTTAACCACTCGGCCAAACTGTCCCTCAGGTTTGTGTGCTTCTGGAGCACATTTCGACGGAGAATTTTGATCTCACCATTTTATATAGCTTCAATTTATTGGGGCTCAGCTTGGGCTGAATCTGACGGACAGACAGGCTTTGGGGGCGGCAGGAGCGGGGTTAAGGAACAAGGGGCAAGAGCCTGATGGGCGTACAGTACAGTACTAGCTACATAGTACGTGCAAGCTACTGATAAAAGCCCTCGATGGGCATGTGAATTTCTGGTCTAAAGGCTGCCTGTACTCTTTGACCCTCGTCAATGTAGGTCGTGCTTATGACATCTATTGCGATCCCGTCATCAATGCTCAGTTGCACTGCAGGTAAGAGTACGCAGAGTCAGAGACCAGCCGTGCCCCTTACGACAGTGCGAATCTAGAATGGCGTGAATGGAAGCCTGTGGAGAGAAGTCAGACACGGATAGAATAGAGACACGTTGACCATACCATTTGCCGCGCAACTTGATGTTGACCCACGTCACGCCATCCTTGTCGACCTCCTTCTCCACGTGTGTTGAGAAAGCAATCGCACTCATGATGCCATCGCCAAACTTCTCGTTCATCACTGCTTTATAGGCATATCCGTAGTTCTGGATAACCTCAAATAGCCGGTAGATCAGTGGCTCCTTTGGTGGCATCTCAATGCTCTTGCCTCGGTCGGGAAACCCCGAAAGCTGGCTTGAGAGCGTGCCATGGTCGATTCCAAAGTATTCGGAGAGCTTCTTGATGTCCTGCTCGGATGCCTTTGTCTGGCCGTAGAACAGTGCCGCAACGGCAACTTCATCCCGGCCCAGCTCTTTCGCAATGGCTTCGAAAGATACCTGCTTCTTTGCCTTCGCCTCAAAGAGAGTGACGGAAGACGTGGGCAGCTTAGAGTGTTGCGAAGTCTGCGTGGGTTAGCGCTGGCACGAAGGTTCCTGAAAGCGCATGCATACATCAAGCGTGGCGAGCGACATGGTGGAAGCTGGTCTGAATTTCTGGTGGAATGGTGTCAAAGTATATGCACGGCGAGCAAAGGTCTGTGACTTGGTAGTAAGCAGAGCTTGGGTCAGTAGTCGCGAGGGAGCCATGTTCGGTATGTAGGACAATATTGTATTTATGTGCCCGAATAGAGTACCAATGCCTATAGACTTTCGCATAAACTCACGGCGAACAGTCCACTGCTCGTCCTGTAGATACCGCGATGGGCTATGACAAAATGTCAACATCCCCGCATCTTCACTTATCTCTGTGATATTTCGTCATGGGCGTGCGTCTCCGTGGAAGCGAGTGCGTTATCGTGTATTAGTTCCTGGGCAGAGTCATACATAGCGCGTCGAAGGGAAGGCCATCTCGTGTTCTTCATTTCTGCAGACCGCTCAAACATGTACGTGCAGAGGGAGTGTAGATGCACACAATGAATAAAGCTGTGTTTCAATACGAGGTGGTGAACTTGAAGCTTCCCCGGACCTGCACGTGACGAGAGTCTGCATGAGTCCAATTCTGCCCCCATCTTCATATCGCTGGCACTGCCCAGCTTTACTGATCTGAAACACTCTGAGGTGAGCACCCCTCCGCCGTAGTTCTCTTTTTTGTAATATCCTTATCAACGTTTTGGTACCAAGCATATCCAAGACATAGGTATGTCGTGGCAACAGGGCCAAGGTCAAGATGACCCACTGGCTTACGGGAATGACTTTTCAAATTCTCGAGGCAGCGGGCAGGGCGGAAAGGACCGCTCATTTCTAGGCGATACATTGAACAAGTTTAAGACGAGATATGGTCAATCGGGAACGCAGAATGACTTTGGATATACTTCCGGACCTCCTTCCCAGCCATCGTCATCGCAACATGGTCGCCCTACCAGTAGTGGCGGATACTATGGCTACGGGCAGCCAACTCAAGGTCAGGGCTCACAGCCGGCGTATCCAGGCGGGCCTCCACCGGCTGCACCTGGCCAGAAGCAGGACTTTGGCGACAAGCTGTTTGGCGCCTTGCACGGCACTATTCACAGCATCGGTTCAGACATCGCCGGATTAATGGGCGACAGACCTGCTGAACAACCCAGCCAAGGTCAGTACCAGAGCCAGAACCAGTGGCAGCAGAGTCAGAGTTGGCAGGCCGGCTCTGTTCAAGGCCCTCAGAAGAATCGCTACGATAGCTTCGCTTCAGAGAGAAGCGGCAACGATGTGAAGTGGTACGTAGACGGTGCCGGTTACTTTTACGCCGTCAGCCTGGCTTTGGAATCTGCAAGGGAGTCTATTTGGATCCTTGACTGGTGGCTAACCCCAGAGCTGTACCTGAGACGACCGCCGTCGAAGAACGAGCAGTGGCGTATCGACCGGACACTCCAGAGAGCGGCTCAACGAGGCGTCAAGGTCAGTATCATTGTCTACAAAGAAGTGACTCAGGCCCTGACGCTTTCGTCTGCTCATACTAAGCATGCTCTGGAAGCTCTGCATCCAAACATTGCTGTCTTCCGTCATCCAGACCACCTCCCTGATGCTCAAACAGCGCAGTCGTCTCTAGTGTCGGCCTTCCAAGGCCTCAAACTGGATGCTGCAGGCCTGGCTAAGGTGGGAGCTGACACATTGAAAGGTGCCTATGGTCTGACTGATGACGTGATACTTTATTGGGCGCACCATGAGAAGCTCCTGATTGTCGATGGAAGACTCGCTTTCATGGGCGGGTTGGACCTCTGCTTTGGAAGATGGGACACGAATCAGCACTCTATCAGCGATGTTCATCCAAGCGACGTGAACCTGACCTTATTCCCTGGCCAGGACTACAATAATGCACGAGTCATGGACTTCAGCGACGTTGCACAGCCATTCCAGAACAAGCTCGACCGAACGAAGAGCTCTCGCATGGGGTGGTCCGACCTGTCTATCTCGCTACATGGGCAATGTGTCCAAGATCTTCGTCACCACTTCATTGACAGATGGAACTTCATCTACGACGAGAAATATAATGTTCGAAGAGACGCAAGATACTCGCGCATAGGTAATGCTTTCCCACATACATCGACGCAGCCTTTACCGCAGTCCGCTCAGCAGCAACACCAGCAAGGTCAGCCAGGCCAGACGTCGCAGCTGGTAGGCCAGCAGTATAACACCCTCGCCTGGTCGGCGCCTATGACTACACAGGATTCAGCGACCGTGTCACAAACATCCGGCAGTAATTTCCCACCACCGCCGGGAAGTCAACCATACACGGCGCCAGCGTGGTCAAGTACCTCTCAGCCAAGTACTTCCGGCGTCCAGAGCTCCTCGCAGTGGCAGGAACAGGGTAGTGCCCAACCATATGGCCAGTCAATCAGCACTAGCAGACCTCACACGCCAAATGCCCAATCCTGGCAGCATCCACAAAGCGATCCTCAAGCTGTTTACGAAGCGGCTGGCCAAGCAATTCCACCACCTCCACCAGGGCCACCTCCTCCAGGTCCAAATTGGGAGACCAAGCCGTCCTATCAGCCGCCGCAGCACGCGGATACATGGCAATCGGTCGGACCGCAACCTCCACTTTCACAAACGCAGACTTGGCAATCGACGCAGAGTCAGCCAACGGCCCCACAGCAGTATTCCGCGTACCACGACTCGACGCAGTCCGGCTACACGCCGACTGGACAAAGTCAGGACCCGTACCAGCACTCGAGTTATCAAGCCCCGGCAGGGTCACATACTCGTGGCTTTGATGAGAGCCAGCCATACGCGGGTGGCGAGCGTGGTTTAGGTTATGATCAGCAGTACAGTACGGAACGAGGCGACTCTCAAGGCAGAGAGCGCGGTATGAAGGGTCGCTTCAACGAGTACCGACAGCAAGGCAAGCTTCTGGGACAGGAGCTTACCTCCCTAGGAAACTATGTTCAGGGTGGCCTCAACACGAAGATGCAACACTACGAGAACAGAATCTTCGCCTCCCGTGGGCCTATGAATTGCCAGCTCCTACGAAGCTGCACAAAGTGGAGCAACGGCACGGCCACAGAACATTCGATTCAGAATGCTTATATCTCCTTGATCGAGCAGAGCGAGCATTTCGTCTACATTGAGAATCAGTTCTTCATCACAGCGACTGGTGATAAGCAAAAGTCGGTGAAGAACTTGATTGGTAAAGCGTTGGTCGATCGCATTCTCCGAGCCGCACGAAATGGGCAGAAGTATAAGGTGGTTGTGCTCATGCCAGCTGTGCCAGCGTTTGCGGGCGATTTGCGCGATGATGACTCGCTCGGGACACGAGCAATCATGGAATTTCAGTACAATTCTATCAACCGTGGTGGCGAGTCGATCTTGGAGCTGATCGCGAAGGCTGGCTACAACCCGATGGAGTATATCCGCTTCTACAATCTACGAAATTACGATCGAATCAATGTTAGCAATTCCATGGCTCGAGTAGAGCAACAAAGCGGCGTGAGCTATGAAGACGCTCGCAAACAGCACGATGATATGGTCGGCTCTGGGTGGTATCCGTCTGGAGAGGGCACTAGCGCCCGCCCTGGCGTTCCTGGTTACCAGTACCAGCAATTTCAACAAGCAGCGCCCGGGTCCAAGCTCGGGGATCGCTGGGATTCTGTAGCAGAATGCTACATGCTTGGAGGTGAGGACATTCGACGGGTGCCCTGGAACGGTCCACCAGAAGCCGAACTGGACGCTTTCGTCAGCGAAGAGCTTTACATCCACACTAAGTGCATGATTGTTGACGATCGATACGTGATAGTTGGTTCTGCCAACCTGAACGACCGAAGCCAGCTGGGCACACACGACTCTGAGATCGCTCTTATGGTTCACGATCCTACGCCTGTACAGTCCTCAATGAACGGCCGGTCTTGGATGGCAAGTCGATTTGCAGCCTCGCTCCGACGCCAGCTCTTCAGGAAGCATCTCGGCTTAATCCGTCCGCAGGACTATGAGCGCCAGTCCCACAATCTTGAGCCGGTCGGCACGCCGAATGACTATGACTGGGGTACGCCGGAGGATAATCTCGTCGCAGACCCGCTATCAGACACTTTCCTGGCCATGTGGAACTCGCGGGCAAGGACGAATACGGAGGTGTTCCGGAAGGCTTTCAGAGCGCTTCCAGACGACAATGTCCATACGTGGAGCGACTACAAGGAGTTCTACGAGTACTACTTCCACGGAGCGGAACAGAAAGCTGACGGCAAAGCCACATATAGAGCGCCGCCCAAGGTCGCGTACGGTCATGTAGTTAGAGAAGACTTTCCCGGAGGCGTTGGCGAACTGAAAGAGCTCTTGAGCAGAGTGAGAGGCACGTTGGTGGAGATGCCGCTAACGTTCCTACAAGGTGAGTCCAAGTTTACTCAGCGGTTCTGTCGTCATTCACTGACAATCTGCAGGGGAAGACATCGCGAAGGAGGGTTTGACATTGAATGCTCTGACTGAAGAGGTATATACCTGAGCTGCGGATACCGACGTTGGGATCATCATGTGGATAAGCTTGATCTACTCGTGCATACATTGGCTATTGCTGCCGACTGGCTACACTCTAGAGTACTCATATGAAGCAGCGACAGAGGAGGCAAGTAAGATGGCTTTACAGCGTTTGCTGCAATTCCCAAAGCTGCCGTTGCGGGGTTGTTTAAGCTCGATCGTGCCTTCCGCGTCGTGGTTGCCCTGTTAGGCAACACTCCGTTGTCCTTTCGACGCCCAAAAGCTGCTCATCCGATGTGACATTTTGCCAATTCGCTCAGTGTCTTCTGATGAGGCTCCTAGAGCGGCTCGTCTGAGCCAAGATAGAGGGCAGGGTAACCTCATCGAGCGCGTCTTCATCTCCGGTGGGTGGCTTCTCCCCATTCACTTCATATGTTTGACTTCACTGTTGAGTAGCTTCTCTTCGAACTACAAATACCCCGACCCTTCTCTTCCAATGTTCCATCTTCTCCTGACTTCTTCGACACGGCTCTACGCGACTGGCCTCACCTATTGACTTCTGCCCACAGTAACCGCTCTCTCAAACTTGCTTAACGGACGTCACCTCTCTACTCACTCACCATGCCGGTGCCAACGCAAAATTGGGACTTTCAAGCTCTCGATGAGCCAGACGTATTCAAATGCACCTTTGAGAACTGCGATAAAGTCTTTGAGAATGCAAAAGACCTGAGACGCCATAAGGTCAACGACATCAACCACCACTATTGCAAGAAATGCGACCTCGACTTTGCTAGCGATACCCAGCACATCATTCACAGAATCGCCACTCCTTCCAAGCACAGTGAGTCCTTACTATCAATTTGTGCTCATCGACTGACACCTTACGAAAGTAACGTGTCCCCTGTGTGCCACAGACGTAAGTACAATATCCGCGGCAGCATTCAATCGACTAATGAGTGTCAGTTCAAAGTGCGAGCCGGCCTCGACCGACATTGTGAAGTGATGCATCCCACCCAGCAGCAGATCAACTGCATAGCCTGTAAGGGTGTCTTTGGTAGTATGGCATCGATGATGGATCACATTCAGAAAGGTCAATGCAAGATCTCGTCCGAAGAGTGGCATCTGGAGCGCGCAGAACGAACTCTGCAGAAGGAGGCATTCCTCGAGCGACGCGACCAGAACATCGGCTCGCATCTCTCTAGCCGCTCCAGCGACCTCGATGTCCAAGATGGAGGCGTATCGCTCCTAGAGCACAGCAACGTCACCAAGCTCAACGACGATGCTGCTCTGGCGGAGATTGACAACCTCGCATCTAGGATATCGAACTTGACGACCGCCAATGGCACAGAAGAGCCCCTCGGTGGCAAAGACAGTGTTGTAGGCAATGCTAGTAGCGTCGCTGCTAACGATGCTTCGATGCTCTCGTACAACAGCACCATCGATACAAGCCTTTCAGCCCATCGTAAGACCACATTCAAGCTCATCGACTTCTACGACAAAGTCAGCGATTCATACACTTGTCCGGTTCCCCGCTGCAAGCGCGTCTTCAAGGATCCTAGAGACTTCCACAAACACTTACTTGGTCCTGCTCACACTGGTGGACGCGTTCAATGTCCTTCCTGTCTGAAAGACTTCAGCAACCTCACCGCTTTATGCTCCCACATGGAATCGTTCAATCGTCGCTGCAAGATTAAGCACAGTGTCAATTACAACCAGGTCCTTCGAGAGCTCACAGCTGGGGTTGTAGGCACAGGAGGCTTTCACGATGATGGTAGTGTGAAGTACATCATGCCTACTGACGAGGGTTGGGATGCTTAGAAGCCACCCCAACAATCAACGCAGACCCCAGGAGAAAAACCAACAGTGTCGACTCCAGCAGTGCTTCAGAAGCGAACTCAGGACGTGGCTCAGAAGCCGAAACAGACGGCGAAGATGCCACTGAGCACCGAGAAGTGGCATTTGCTGTGGCAAGAATGGAGGGCGAAGAATGAAGAACAGCACCACAAGGAGAACACGCGACCAGAAGGAAGCATCAAAGGTCCGCTGTTGCAGTAACCTACAGGTCACGATGCAGCATGATAAGCTCGCGAGCTCCGACATCGCTTTAGCGAGAAGCGTTGGTGTTGATACACGAAGATTGAATCCGGAGGCAGGTCCAATCGCAGTTGCAGACAGGCATGACTTTCGGTTCACTGATACCCAGCACAAATCGTGCATAGATTTAGCACAAACGAGAAGTGGTGAAATCAACTGGCGTGCTCCACAGGCTATGCAAGTGTGTTCGCGAAAAGCCAAAGCTTGCGCTGCTCCAGGCGCCTACATATTTGCAAAAGTTCAAGCTTCGCAACAATCAAGTCCTTCGCGCTCAAAGCTCGAGAGCTATTCACAGCTTGCTGGGAAATCCATCCCTATTCATCCTGACCAAGTACTCCTTCCCAATATTCTGTACCTTCGTCACCCCGGCCAGCGCCATGCACAGTCGGAACTCCGCACTCAGCAGCTGCAGTGCCAGCCTCACGCCTTGCTCGCCCTTGTACGCCAGTCCCCACAACACCGGACGGCCGATCCAAACGAAGTCCGCACCAAGTGCCAGCGCCTTGAAGACGTCCGTCCCGTGCCTGATGCCGCCGTCCACGTGAATTGGGACTTTACCCTTCACCGCCTCGACCACCTCAGGCAACGCATCCAATGTAGCGAGCGCACCGTTCAGCTGCCGTCCGCCGTGATTCGAAACAACAATGCCGTCTACGCCATGATGGACCGCCAGCAGAGCGTCTTCCGCAGTCGCAATGCCCTTGACCCAGACCTGCATATCCGAGTCCTTGACCTCGTTGCGGATCCAAGGGATGGACTCCTCCCAGTTGAGTGTCGGATTCGCGGCGTGTGTGTGGAATGTCACGGGGCCAGTTGGCAGGACACGCTGCGTGCCGTCGTGATAGCCAGCCTTGGAAGGTGACTTGTTCTGTGGGTAGGGCTTGGATGTTTCGGCCCAGTGCTTCGGATCTGAGGAAGGAGTGGACTCGGATGGGTGCATGTGGTCCTCCGCCGAGCCAGATTCTTCTTGGGCGAGGAAGTTGGCGATCTTGAGGTGGTTAGGCAACTTGAATTGGTTGCGGATCTCGAGATTGCGGCGGCCCAGGACCGGTGTGTCGACTGTCAGCATGAGGCTTTGTAGCCTGCTGCTTTGGCGCGGGCGATTAGCTTGCGGGAGTGCTCGCGTTCTTCGAAGAGGTAGAGTTGAAGGACGCGGGCGTTTGGGCCGTTCGCCTCGGCTACTTCCTCGAGGGTAGAGGTGGAGAAGGAGGACAAGCCCATGATGACATTCATCGACTTGCACGCTCGTGCAGTGGCGACCTCGCCATCCGTGTGCGCGAGCCGCTGCATGGCGGTGGGAGCGACGCCGATGGGCACACTGTTCTTCTGGCCAAAGATGTTGACGGATGTGTCGATGACCGAGATGTCGCGGAGCACGCGAGGCCGGATCCGGTATTTGTTATAGGCTGTCTGGTTTTCGTTGAGCGTGGTACCGTCGTCGGCGCCTTCGTTGTAGTAGTCCCGAGTCTGCTTGTCCATGCGGTCGCGTGAGAGGAGTTCCAGCTCGCGGATGGTCAGGCAGTGTAAGTCGGGTTCCTCTTTGCCCGAGGGTGTGATGTTTGGTGGAGGCATGGCTGCTGTGCTATTTGAGCTACGACACTTTTGTTGGAGTTTCTGCCCTTGATGCTGTCAATCTTATTGAAGTAAGCCAGAACTTGAAGTAACAGCAAATGGGATATCCAAATACGTTTGTCGCATTCGCTTTGGAATTTATGATGATGATATGTATTCGAGAGGAGAACAACTTCAGACTAGGTTTCAAGATGATCGGCACTTGATCACCACGGACTTCTCTGCCTACTGCAGACCTTGGCCAGATTTGCATTTGTCGAGCTCGGTCGGGAGGAATCGATCTGACTCCCGCTATCGCTGTTCTGCAAACATGATGACGTTGATGGTCGAGAATCAAGCCTAAGATCGATGAGGAAACGTGGTTTGCGGGGCAGCCGAATGCTTAAATTGTAAGCCGGGGCCTTGCGTACTGTGTGTGTCTGATCTCCTTTTCCTGTGTTCTCACCAAGTTACACAGTTCCGTCTCTCTGAGGTGGCCTTCATCTATTGCATCGCTCTCGCTGTATTGCCAACGACTAGTGCTAGGACTTCAAGCTGGCGCCCTTCACAACGGCATAGTCCGACTCAAGAACACCATCGTCCCACCGTTTGTTGTAATACTCATCGATGCGACTGATCTTCCCAGCCTCATCGATCTCGATCACCATGCACACATGGCACTTGAACTCCTTTCCACTGGCCTTGAACGCAAGCTCTCCATCTGGCCTGACGATGTCGTTTTTGCACGTCCCGACCCAGACTTGTTCGAGAACGGCGCCCTTCGCTGTTGGAGTTATGGCCTGGGCTGGTCAGTCGCGCGGAACGTCTTACAAACAGCAGAGCTTACCTTGAACTCCACATCGAAAGGTTGGTTGCAATGTCTGAAAGCCACTTGGAGGCCCATGACTGCCCCGTGACCCTGTCTGCAGATGAGGAAGGCATGATCGTACCAGTGGACATCTGGGCTGAATACAGCGGCAAAGTCGTCCTTAGACCATGAATTATCGTCTGATGTTGCCCCGAGTGGCTTCACGAACCGTGCGACAAAGTCGCGGCATGTTCTATCGACCTGGGCTGCACGCTGTGCCGAGATTCCAATTGCCGCCATGACTTCTACAAGAGATACTGAGAGAGAATGGAGTCTGCAACATTGTCGCCCAGTTGTGAGTACCTCATCTCTTTATACTTCTATTGCTGCTATTGATACCTTCATTGTGTGAGACCTCACGACCAAAGTTCGTCGGTGCCTCGGCTGGCGCTGTGGTTCTCTGCAAACTAATCAGGCTTTTGGGATGCCTTACTTTAAGCCAAGGCCGAAGCAACGGACATGCCGAAGACTCGCAATGGGCCCGAATACTGCTAAAGAGACCCAGCAAGCCATGACTGATGGTCTGACAAAGATCACAGTACTAAGACCTGACACGTTGACGCGTAGAAGAAAAGGCAGAGTACACCAATTAACATGCATGTAAATATATACAACAGATTCCCAACAAAAGAAGTAAGATCCTGCTCCTGGCCCTTCCCTATGGGCCTCCACTGCGGTGAGGGTATACGTCGAATGTGCCTTCCCACCGAGATGTCGTCCCTTGCCAGTCGATATAAGTCAACTCATTATATTCATCCTTCCAAGTCTCTTCTGACACCCGCTCCCCTCGCCATCTCATTCCCGAAGACCACGAATCCAGCATTTGCTCTCGTCAAGGAGCTGCTCGTACTTCGCCTACCAGAACTGTCTCGACTGCCTTGGCTGCTACCACTGCTCGAGGCGTGCTGACGTCCTCTTGCTACAGATGAACGACTCGTACTGTCATTCGACTGTGTTGACTTCGCCAATGGTGGTGTGCGCCTTCTGCTCGTTGCTAGGCTGGCAGGGGCCGGGCTTGCACGAATCTTCCCAGGCCTCTGCCAGGGCGGTCTTTGATTTATAGGCACCGGTTTCTCGTTGAATAGGAGCTTGCGCTGACTGACGCTGTCGCCCTGATTGAGACCGTCACTGGCACGACTTCCAGCACTAGATGAGCTTTGTGGGCTAGATGGAGAACTTCCACCGCTGCCTACGGTGCTAGCTGAGACCCGTGACTTGGGAGACTGATTACTAGAAGCGCCTCCGAATGCAGCTTTCGCACGTGCAAAAGCGATCTGTGTGCTGGGCGAGCTGCTTGCCGGCTGCTTGTGGGTTGGTGTTGTGTTCTCAAATCGAGAGGCCAGGGACGACACAGATCCACCGCTTCCTCGTGCAGCCGCGGACATACCACTATGTCTTGGCTGTGTGGATCTTGTGTCGAGAGACCCGAGTGACTCCTTGAGCATGGAACTGTTGCTTGGTTGCGGCTTCGAGTGTGGCGGTCGGAGAGGCGCCGGACTGAGCCTATATGAACTGACGGACGTTGTTACCTGTGAGTCCGCTGTTGTCCTCGTCCTTTTGGCCTCCGCTGTGGGTTCCTTATCTGGAACTTCTGCTGTTGGTAGCACTGCAGAAGATGCTGGGAGCGAAGTGTCAAGGGCTGGCCCTGGTTGTGTCAAACTCAAAGCGTCGGGTGCATCAAGCCCTGGAGCTGGGGGAACCGTGGCTTTCCACACCATACCAACAAGTGGTGCGGACTCATGAGGGCTCATGGAATCGGTCATTTTCGCTGACGGATTACTGGTGGTATCAGCGTCCCCGTATGCGTCGTTTTCACCGGACTCGATTGCCTCGACCGACTTGTTGCTATCCCTTGATAGCCCAGATGCCGATGACTGGTCGGCATCTGACACTTCTGCTGGCTCCGACGCTGCCACTGAGAACGTTCTGCGCAGCGGACTAGACTTAGTTGGCGAAGTTGTAGTCGTCACAGGCGGCAGGCTTGTTTGACTCGAGGCAGGCACAGGTGTGCGGTTATTTCGATGGTCCCCTTCATCCAAAGATATCGGCGACGCCGTAAACGTGACAGGAAAGTCATCGTCGGCCGTAATGGCCTCTCGCAACGGACTACGAACGATAGGCTCACTGCTCTCATGCGATAGAGATCCTGGTATCGTCAATGGCGCCAGTGGCGATATTTCTGTGGAGAGACGACGAATTCTGCTGGTAATGGTGCTATTCGATTCTGCGAAAGGGTTAGAGTGTATATGTTCGCTGAGCTTCGACAGGGAGGGAGTGTCCGAAAGCACAGTGCTGGTCTCGTCCAGGGATGATCGGCGTGTAGAATAGTCCGACGCCGAGTCACTCGAGTCGGGCTTGTCAGAGCTCTCAATCTGTAGTGACGAGGATTTGAGATGCTTGGGAGTGCTGTGGATCGACCTCTTTCTCGTGTGAGTAGACACTGAAGACCACACTGAAGACGGAGAGCTTGGAGGGCTTGCAACAGGAAACGAATGTCGCCTCGGGGACGGGTCTTCGCAGTTTTTGAAGTGCGATGGACTCTGTGGCAACTGTCCCTGCCATCTCTTGAGAGCCTCGAACTCGTTATCTCTTGAGATCGAGCGACCAGTTTCTGACCTGGCAGTCTGTCTTCGCTCTGTCTGCGCATGCAGTCCTGCCCTCTGCCGAGCTTCGAATTCAGAAATACCAGTAAAGGCAGAGGTGGATGTAGACATGCGATAAGGGTTCCAACTGGCAGAGAAGCTGTTCGGGATACTGTCCCCGGCATGAGAAAGCGACCTTGTGCGTCGCAGACTGTTGCGCCTGATCGAGGTTTGATCTGATGGCATAGGCACCTTTGTGTCGGCGATCAGTTTCTCATACAAAGTGTCGGCAGTATTGGCAATCGATACCCTGTAGTCCGATAGCATGGGTTGTTTTGTTGCAGCGTCCAGTCTTTGCCACAAAGTATCAATCGTACCGGCATCCGATGTCTTGTGGCTGTTGGGCGGTGGCTCATGTTGCGCAGATGACGCGCGACGTCTCTTGTGAGGCGACGTGGGGGCTGGGACGACATGCAAACGATTCAACTCATTCTCGAGATTCCGGCACGCTTGCCACAGCTGGCTTGAGCCATCATAGTCATTGCACAAGCTCACTGCCTCTCTCAAATGTTTGAGCGCCAGGTTGTTGCGTCCAGCTTCCCAGCTTGCCCGCGCGCGGCGCACTTCCTCGAGCACACCGACGTAGAGCATATCATCCTTCGTAACTTTTGAAACTTGTGGAATAGAAACTCTGTCTCGCTCTGTGCCTCCTCGTGAGCTTTGCGGAGTAGTGTGTTGCCGGACTTCGTGTATTGGCTCCATGCCTCGATATTGTATAACCCTAACGACTCCCAGAAACAAAACCTGGAAGTATAGCAGCAATGATCATTTCATGAAAATAGCAGCAGATCAGAACATAGGAAACGCAGACACGATTAAGAATCTGCGCGCCAACGTGCGTCCCATTATGCTGGACCTACCTTTTGGTCTTTGTCCTGTCCGCCGGAAAGGGCGAAACAATGCCGCATGTCCGTTGCGCACGCAGTCCACGACCCATCGTGAGTGCAACCTCTGCCGTTCCAATGGCTCGTGGCCGGCCGGCCGTTGGGACTGACAGTGTACGCTGACCAGCGAAGAATATCATAGTCAACGAGGACACGGAAGCAACAACGCGTCAAGAGCCAGTCAATGGCTCAAAAGCTTGGCAAATCCGAATGCTCCGACCACCGGAGGGCTGCGCTTTCCCCTCCGTCATCCTTCCGTAGTTCTTATGACGCTGAACGCTCACCTACGGCTCTAGTCCGTGAGCAATTGACAGCAGTCTCTCTTCAGGTGTAGGTCTACCGTGCGTTGCCAGGATGTCTGACTCCTACGGTAAGTGGCAGCGGCCAGAAGAACGCTGCAGATGGTCCGTGCTTTCCGAGGCGCGTTCTGATTATGCTCATAGTCTGCCACGATCATATCGTGCTTCTACTCAGCAATGACGAGCTAGACAATCTTCCCTCCTTCATCAGCTCCAATTTTAAAACCATCGAAGGAGGGACACACGCCGGCGGATCATCGAGAAATCGCCTGATCATTTTCAGCGATGGCACCTACATTGAGCTCTTCACGTGGATCAACAAGGATCGACCGATGCACAATTCATGGCTCGACAAACCGTCCGGCCTGATTGACTTCGCCTTAACGACGCTGAGGCCTTTCAACTCATCAGAGAACCATCGTCACCTGGACATGAGACTGCGCGAGGAGGCCGGTGATAGTAAGCTGGGTGTTAAATACACCAAGCCTCAGGCAGGAGGTCGTAAGCGTAAGGATGGGCTCGATGTGAAGTGGGAAATCACCAGGCCTGAGTATAGCAATGCTGCTGAGACTCCTGGTGACGCAGCCTATCCAACTACACGCATCGATGCACCTTTCTTTTGTCACGACGTGACAGCTCGTATTGTTAGGGTACCTTTCGACGACGACACACTCACAAAGCATCCCTGCAAAGCTACAGGGATTGCTGCAGTCGATGTTCTGGTGCCGCCAGAGAAGTTGTCCGCATATGCGGCGCTGTACAGCAGCATAACTGGTGCAAGTCCTGATCAGATCACAGACGGAGGTAATAAGGGAGTGACGTTCAAATTGACTACTCCAACCAGCCAGGGTGCGGGTCCGCTCATTCGTGTGCGGGTACCATCATCAGATCACGACCATGACTGGCTTCGAACGCGCGGGATAGGCATTAGATCGATCGACATCTCGGTTGACGGGCGCAAAGGCCATGGCCGTAAGACACTGGCCGCTGATGGTATCGGCTCCACGATTGCGATAGTATGGTGAGGTTCACGCTGTGAGTGGCACGGGGACCCGCGTATCGGCCAGCCTCACAAATGCGCCTGCGTAGGCCATAAACCCATACAGTACGGCATGTTGTATCCGGAGCGAGAGGTGCAGAAGTGGAGCCTCAACAGCCCACAGAGGCGACTCAAACACACAAGGATCTGGTAAGCGAATTGCATTCAGTTGACTGAAGGAGGACTTCATGCAGCACAGTCCTGTTGAAGTACGGACGTCTGATGCCATCGCAACATACGACTGGTACCTCTTGGTAATTCATCAGCAGCAGTGTACATCACTGTCCTTACTGCTACGTGGTGGTGCTGTGAGCGATCAACAACAAAAGACCAGGGTCCCCTGATCTTATGCTCGATGCCTGCATGACTAGCGCGCTGGTAAATCAGGTTCAGCCTATCACCGCAAACCCTGTGTTGGAAGCTTGGCACCATTAGAAATATATACGCGCGTGGCGCCGTGGGCCGATCACTGGCTCGCCATGACCTCGTACGTGGGACCCCTTCTGCGCTGAGAAATGGGAGGGTATTGCTATTTATTAAACGACTGATTGTCTCGAAGCTCCTGAAATATTACACACACCACAATGTCGACCCCCTCAGTAACATATCACTCTCTCGCAGGCAAAGTTGTAGTCGTGACAGGCGGAGCAGGTGGTATAGGCGCGGCCACTGTCGAACACTTTGCGCTACAAGGCTGCACTGTCGTGTTCTTGGACATTGACGTTACTGCCGCCCAGAAGACGATTGAAAGAGTTGTTGCACTTTTCGAGAAAGTTCCCGAAAGCAGGCGCAGTTGTTTGACTGCGCCAAAGTTCTACGAGTGTGATGTCACCGATCTGCCAGGCATACAGCGAATTGTCGACCATATACTACAGCAATGGCCCGTTGTGCACATTCTCGTTAATAACGCAGCAGCACCTGGCAAGGTCGCCCGAATCGAGACAGCGAAAGTAACCCCAGAGGACTGGGAATACAACATCAATGCCAATCTCAGACATATATTCTTCTTCACGAAAGCGTTCCTGCCGTCGATGAAGGCAGCAGGTGGCGGCAGCATCGTCAATCTCGGATCGATCACGTGGCGGATATCAGCTGCCGACACACCTGTGTACGGCGCTTGCAAGGCTGCGATCATGGGCCTAACGCGTACTCATAGCAAAGAATTCGGGCCGTACAACATTCGTGTCAACAGCGTGATGCCCGGCGCCATCGCGACCGAGCGACAACGCGCTGAGGTTCTGACGTCGGAATATCGTGCGTATGTCATGCGGAACCAGAGCCTGCAGCGAGATCTGGAGCCGTCGGAGGTTGCAAACATCATTGTATTCCTGGCAAGCGATCAGGCGAGTGGTGTTACTGGGAGTTCGTATGTTGTGGATGGAGGCTGGACTAGCGATCCCTGATCTATTGCTGGGAGATGAGATGCTAGATAACACCCGATGCCAACAACATGCGAGCGGTATGGACTCATTGCCCGCTCCTTGCAAAGGTCAGCCTCGATGCAGGACCTGACCGCCCTGGTCGTCAATGACCGAGTAGCTGCGGAAGTTGATGCCAGCATGAAGCTTGAAAATGAGCAGTCAATCATTTCGAAGAGCGGTCCCTATCGAGTTATATCGTGTGAACAAAGTCCGATCCGTTGCGGTCTACTTGTGGTTGTGAAGCCCGTTGCACCTGTGCCGACAAGGTCACTTGAAAGTGCCCGGTTGCCATCCAGCGACATCCACCACCTGAATCCAAGGCAGCCACAAGTGCCTACCGCCTCAGAGCATAACGCGCAGATGCAACCAAAATACACCTCCACAGCATTGCACATTCTCGAAGGCGCATGGCCGTATTTTCCCCAAATATTGCCAACGGTTCATCGCACGATCATGACCACACCGTCAGGTCACCTTGCAGCAATGCATTCATCCGATATTGGCACATCGACAGAGTCTGGCAAGACAATCCATGACCTGCCGCAAGAGGTCCTCGATCAGATCTTCGAATCGCTCGACAGCCGGAGCGTGAAGTCAGCACGAATTGCCCACCGAATCTTCTATATCGCTGGCTCCTCGATCCTGTTCCAGAGGCTTACTTTGACATCGTTGAATGCATGCGAGATACGCGATGTCTTCCTCAATAATCCAAACGGCCAAGCCCTAGCGTCCTGTGTCAAGACTCTTGAGTTCTATCTGGACGGGCCAACGGTAGCCTGCTCTTCAGTACGGTGCTACTGCCTAGTGACGAACGACGATGGATACTCGGTCACTTCTCCTCCGCCCCCAGCAAGCCTGCAGATAACATACGGCGGTCCCGAGTTTGCACAGCTCTGCGCCTGGCTGCACAATGTTCGAACCGTCAACGTTGTCAAGAAGGCTGATGTAACTCGTCGTCGACCTTCTCCCTGCCGTGCGTTTATACCAGACAACCTGCTGGCCGTCGAGGCTCTGGCGTTGGCAACTCTGCTGCAAGGACCACCTCAGGTGGTTCAGCTGCTATCAATGATGCGACTCCCTGACGATGGTGTCGAAGAGAATATGGCCAGAGCTGACGCACTCAAGAGTCTGGCACGGGTGGGACTGCACAAGACAACATTTGGGTTCCACTTGAAGTCGATTTTGTCATTAGGAACGAGGCCCGGCTTCACGGGACTCCGAAGTCTTCAGCTCAGTCTATTTAGCTCTTATAATAGCCAAAGAGATCGAGTCGCAGTCACCAAACTCGTGCCGAGCCTCCTGAGAGTCATCAGTCCCTCCATCGAACACTTGCACCTCGCATTCTGCATACCATCTCCGGCCGGAGCTGTCAACGAGTGTATCTGGTGCCAGCATATCTTTCCTGACAGGCCTACATTCAGCAGCATTCTGGGCAAGTGCGTCTTCGCAAAGCTGCGGAAGCTGATTTTGCAGAATGTCGACGCAAAGACTCTAGAATTAGGCAGATTTCTGAAAGCCCATCAGAGCTTCCTAAAACACATAAGTTTGATTCACCACAGTTGCAAGCGGGACATCATAACCATGCCTCTGATTAGAGAGCTTGCGCATGCATGTGGACCACTACTAGACCGCATTGTTCTGGATCATCGATCAGTGGCGGTCACAAGTCCCGGTGTCGAAGAGGACGAGCTCAGTCACATGTTTCTTGAGTCTACGAGGGCCTGGACGTTGAACGCAGCGGCAATAGCACAAGCATACGACCAGAATATGACCAAGAACGCCATCCTGCACGCTGTTGCATACACGCAAGATGTGGCGCCCGAGACCGGGATCTTGTCGTTCGTATCGGAGGACGACAGGTTCGTTCGTGAGAAGAGCCCCGTTGATTGGCGGCGAGGAAAGATCAGGGCCAGCATCCTGGAGCAATACTGTGGTTTGTACGGTGCTTGCGGCCACGAAGTACCCTTCAATGACGGCATGCCGTGTGCGGGCTTTGAACAAGCCACCTTCGAGCACCAGTCCCTGCTTTACGTCTTTGTTGTTAACGGGCGACCTGGAGTGTACCGACGGTGTGCGGCTACAGAGCAGATGACATTCGAGGAATTTGATTTCCAACATTACCTGCCAGGAGTCCCGCCGGATAATGCAGCTTTCTGGATCTACACTCAGAGCAGCAAATTCCTCAGCAAGTCATTGGCAAGGTGGACAAGTGGCGGAAGGATTCGTGGTCCGAACTACCGCAGGGAAAACAGATGTCATGTTCAATTGCGAATCGACGACGGTTTCGTCAACATATTCGAATTCCAGACCGCTGATTCCAAGCAGCAGACATGGTGGACTTGGGAGGATGACATAGGATTAGAGGCTCTCATGGCTGACTGAGTACGAATGCGATATGGATGGATCTGTCACGATAAGCATGGCTATGGCGACGACCGAGAGACACCTCGAAGGGGCACGACAGCTCATGGCAATGGGCTTGGAACATGCTGAAAAAGTACCTGGGTACGTATTTGGAACGGCAGCAGGCTTCGGTACCATAACATACTCATCAGAGACGAGTCTTGGTGCAGCTCTTGAAAAAGTTGCCACACTTCTGATTGAAGTCGGATGCTTGGGTTCCGGACACTTCCACTACAGCGGATGAAGTCGGCGAATAGTACAGCCGTTCTCACGTGATCTCGTGATCAAAGTTCTTCAGATACGAAACCTAGGCGCGTCATCCCTGCGAACTTGAAAGCTCACAAAAGTGGAAGTGACCCCTTTTCATTCAGGAACTCGAAATTTCTCTGAAGGCAGGCGGACGAGGTCGGTATGGTATACCGCCGCGTTCAACGGCTTTTCTGCCACAGCTCTTCTCTTATACGATTCACACACAGTGTTCGCCACAAGCAGGGTACAGAGAATCCTACGAAAGCGGCATCCTCAACGTTCTGGGAAACCAGTAACGAGTGAGCTGAGACGTGAGAGCGAAATATTCCGAAGCCACTGCTCGTGTCATACTTTTGATCGTTGACACGAGGATGCAGCATTGCACAGATCGAGATCTCTTGTCACCGGTGCTGCTGTCGAATTCTTCGACAGGATTCATGCCCTTACGTGAACTTCCCGCATACGAGGTCAAGAGACGGTGACCCTCGCAAAGCGGGCAGGAGCACCGGTGTAGCTGCAGCTGTGGCTTAGCTTCACAGCTTCCTGTGGCAAATAGAAGTGCTCGAGAAGCCTTTCGCCGTCAGACAGACTGCCGCTTCAGATAGCCAATGGCGCGTCTTGTTCGTGGCAATGACATCGCAAGCTGACGATCAGACGCTTCAACTCAAAGGTGCGAACACCGCGCAGCCATACAGAGTGCTCCATCGACGTTGCTTTTCGACTCGATTGTGATCAGGCGCTCGTTCTCGAACGCGTATGAAGCGACACGGAGTTCGCATGGCATAGCACGAGCTGGTGGAGCAGAGCAGGACGAAAGCCTTGGCTCGATCATAGATACCATGCAGCGCTGCCATTCGCTGTGCACAAAGGCGCAACCCTGACCCCTGGAGTTACAGGGGAGGTTTTAGATGCGATGTCGTGCAACAGGCTTTCGGCCTTTTTGCTGCATGTCAGCGGATGCGTGTCTCAGTTGCTCAACAGCGTTGTTCAAAGGGGCTGGCTAACACCGACCAGGAGAATTTTTGCTGCAGTGCACTCGTGCTATGTCAGCAGTGAGATAGCTGCGCAACGAACGGGAGGATTCTCGTCCATGAAACCCGTCACAGTGTGACACAGTGCTTGAGCACGGCTGGGCAATCATTGTATCATAGAGGGGCATTACTTCTTGCGCAATCGGTGCCGCGCTTAGATAGGTACCAGAAAAGAGCGCGGGCTGAAATCTGTGAAAGAAAGGGGCCGTCGCAGGTGGGACGGCTGCGATCGCGATGGACGAGTATAGCGCCGTTGAGTTGCACACCTAACGGCATCTTTGGTTTAAGGTTGGTATGATGAACGAGCCGGACAAAGGAATTCGTTTCTTTCGTGCTTCTTTGTTCTAGGCCTCTCGCACCTCGCAGTCCGTGCTGAGAATATCGTCAAGCAGGTCATTGAACAGCAGTTACAGCAGCATTGAATCGCGCTTTCTCATCTGTTCTACTTGGAGCAGCAGGAGCGGCAGCATTGCAGCATTGGAGGAAGCTTCGAGCATGGCGCGCTAGACCAGGCCCATCGCGTTTGAGATCCCCGCCGAGCTTGCTGCGTGCAACTTTGATTGGCGTGTACCTGCATGAGCCTGCCGCCAAGGAGAGTCCAAGTGGGGGGCACTTGACCTATTTCCGACCGCTCCTTCTTTCAGGCTCTTCACCTTGTTCTCTCGCCCTCTCCCCTTTCGCCTTTTGCTGCTGCTTTGCAGGCGTGGTTGCCGCATCCTCCGGGCTTGACACTCTGTGGCTCTGGTTCGGGCGAAGTCTGGCTCCTTGTCCTGCCTGCCTGCGGCTCCCCTCTCCCGCGCAGCTCAGATCTTTGAAGTCAGCCGGCTCCCTTCCCTTTTTCCCTCCTTTCTCATACCTCATCGTCGCTGTGTCCTCATCACCTCACTTATTCTTTCCTTAAACGTTACCTGCTTTTCTCAATCTATTCATTCGTGTACGCCTTTCACTCTTTCAAGGCTCACGAACCACACTCCTTATCCAAGTCTGAAGCTTGCCATCTCAAACCGATCACGGTCTTTCCACGCCTTCGCGAACATCAACTGTCTAGCCACTACGAAACCATCGAGACTCAAGCAAGACGATACCATTATAGCATAGCTGGCCTGTGAATTTCGACAACCATCACACTTGACGTAGTCGTTTCCGACATAGCCCTTTACGGCACTTACATTCGTTCAAATCGCACGCCGACAGCTCGGGCACCGGCATTGACACCACAACTGAGCCCCTCATCGCGCGTGATAAGTACAGCATCATCTCAATAATGTCCTCCGAATCACCTGCTGCCTTCAAGGCAGAGTCTTCGACCCCATCTCCAGGTGCCGAGTCGGCCACCACTCCGAACACATCTGCTTCCATCGCCTCGAATCCGCCAGGATCAGCGCCCACTTCAGCGAATGGTGCTCGCCGACCTCCACGAAAGAGTACCCTGACCCAACAACAAAAGAATCAGAAAAGACAGAGGGCTACCCAGGACCAACTGGTCACTCTTGAAACCGAGTTCAACAAAAATCCTACTCCAAATGCTGCCACCCGTGAAAGGATAGCATCGGAGATCCAGATGACAGAGCGCTCTGTCCAGATTTGGTTCCAGAACAGGTAGGTCATTCGTCAAGGTTGTTCACACGATCGACACTGACAACGTGTTAGCCGACGCCGAGCCAAGATCAAGATGCTTGCTAAGAAAGGCATCGACATTGGTGACGATGTCGATGGACTGCCAGAGTCTATGAGACAGCTGATTGCTATGCAGGCTATGGAAGGTGGCCGGCCGTTCCCTCGATCTTTGATGGGTCGGCCAGGCGGGCCCATACCATATGGCAATGGCATGCTCATAGGTGGTGATCCAAATGCTGCTGGTAAAGTTGGTATGTGCAAATCATCTCTCTGGAACGGTACCGTGTCTAATGCTCGCAGTCATTCACCACTTCACTTGCCGATCGTTGAGCATCGGGACTTGGCGCCGTGTCGGACAGAACGCGATGGATCTGGTTATCTTCTATTCGCCCGACAAAGCCTGCATAACCTATTACATCAACAATGACTCGGCAGGGTACAAGATCGAATTCCCCTTTGCCTTCATCAAGAGCATTCAACTTGAGGCTGGCGAGACTGGACCGGGCGTCAATGGCTCCCCACCCCGTCCTGGCGGTCTGGTCATTGAGCTCACACGCCCACCTCAATTCTTCATGGATTCATCAGGCTCCGGTGGTTTCTTCCAATGCGGCGACTTCACAGAAGACCAGCAAGCATCACAAATCCTGACGCATCATCTTGGTGGTCATCCTAAGGTTTTGAGCGGTCAACTCGCCAAGTTGGTCTCCCTCGAGTCGTTCCAGAATCGTATGAATCCCTTCGACCCTCACGCAATGCCTGCGTCAGCTCCAACATCACCAAACATGGGCATCGTTCGACCCTCGTCGCAGCCGCACTTCGCTCGCCCACATCCGCCGCATGTGGGCATGTACCAGGAGAATCATTTTGGCATCAGCCACATCTGCATCCCGGTCGTATGCACGGAGGTCACAAGAGACAGCGAAGTCGGTCCGTCCCCATTGCAATCGATTTCTCGATGCTCCACGGAGGAGTCCCTACCTTCAACTTCCAGCAACCGTCGCCTCAGCTACCGCCTGACGGACATCAGCAGTTTCACCATCCGATGCCTCAGCACCCAATGCACGCTCCCCTAGGGCCTAACCTCCAGATTGACACCTCTGCTGGGTACGGCATGGATTTCCGACATATGCCTCCTCATTCGGCCACAGCGACTTCGCCGTCGGAGTTTGCTTCTCCTGGCTTCTTCCCCTCCAATCCTGGCAATGTCCCACCAACAGACTTTGGCACTCCTCAATATAACATGCCGTTCCTGTCGCCATCACCTATGGTCGAGCAGGGCAACATGCAAATGGCCAATGCAGTCTCGCCCACCCCCCAGATGGCGCATCACGACCCCGTCATCGCCAGCAACTCGCCTCCACTGCACAACATTCCTCGTAGTGCCTCAGCTGATATGTTTAGCATGGGCCACCACGGCCCCTCTATGCATGATGAGACACTGATGCTGGGTGAGATGTACTCGAAGCAGAACCTCAACTTGCCCATGCCTAGTCCTGCCTTTGACGATAATGGCATGATGCTGCACGACATGTCAGAATATCACACACCTCGGGACGACGTCCAGATGCCATTGACGCCTTTTGGAACCATCGACCCCAATCACTTGCAGGGTGGCCTCCACCACTGAAACCTTCCACACGACTTGATGCCTCTCCATTTGTCAAATCAAGCACTGTCAGGACGGCGCCCTTCAGTTCAATGTGATATATCTTATTAGTGCAATACTTTGCCACACAGGCAAAATCTGTTCGAGGTCCAAAAGTGGCGTTGACTGCTACTGCGGTCCATCTCGGTTGTCTTACCTAGGAAAAATTTGTCCAGTGTCATGTGTTGATGACTTTGCGCTATGGATTGTGGTCCATTTTTGGGACGCTGGGACCTACTATGATCGACCGGTCCCCAAGATCGAGCGTCAGTCCAGGAACTTAGACACTGCTCCATTGAATCTCTCTCCTTGTTATAACGAGTCGATGGCATTTGCTTTGGGTCTTGGTTAGTGGTTGGGCCGGATCCGTTGGTTATTGTATGGCCGCGCCAGGATGTCGGTGGAATGTAATATATACTGCGCATTTCTCACTCGCAAGCGCTGTGAATGAGCGAGGAGTGAAATGTGTTGTGAGATCATGGATGGGTGCATCTTTGAGGGGAAATCTCGTGCTGTAGAAGCAGTAAACAAATCTTGTTCGAGGATCGTTCGTGGCTTATTGCAACGGCGCTCGTGGGTTTGAGTGCTACCAGCTCAAGATGCAAGCAACAACGCGAACAGCGGCCACGTATATGTACTTGATCCTGAGTTCGAATCTGGCAGATTTGTTTGTTATTTACGGAGCAAGCAACATCAACAAGATGGGAATTATTGGATTTTGACGAGATGAAACAAATCTCCCACTGTGATTATTTTGGAGTTCTTGCGACATGCTCCGAGGCTGAGCAATGCCTTGTGGGGAAGGCTCTGACGGACGTTTCATTGCCACGAGATTTGATTCATTTGCGCTATGAAATTGGGTTGTCTGCTTGTGTATGCTCTTACATTTTTTTCCTGAGATTGTTTGCGTGGCAATAACGACGGAGCTCGAGAAATTTGTATGGTGCTGCTGATGAAATTGGCCACCTGCATTGATTGCAATGCACTTCTATGCTTCGCTGGTCACGGCGAGATGATGCTGTGCTGAGTTGTGTGGGTACCTGGCTCAGCAGGTAAGAACAACATCAACATGCCACTCACAACACCATTGCAATACATCTGGACATCGGGTGCGCTGACGCCGCTGCGGTCCGACACGTCACTAGCAGTGCACGGGCGATGCTACCCTTCACACTTACCTCACGATAGCAATAGCTATTGACCGCCTTATACTCGCTAGATTCTGATCAAGTAGGTCGACTCTGCTGATGTTTTCGGAGCAATGTTCCTGGTACTGCTCCGGAAGACTGTGTCGAGAACGGGCTCGAGTGCCGACGCCTGCGTCTCAGAGGCGTGAGAGACGGCGGTTGCTAGCGGCGCTCTACTACAGCACGCATGGACGGGGTGCTGATAGTCTGAAAAGTCTCCCGCACTTCGAGAACAGGGTCCGAGGACAAGAACGGATGCTGTACCACAAGGAATAGCAGTCCGCTGTCTGAACTGCCGCTTCCAGCATTGTGTTGTATTCGTTGTGGAGGAACTGCAAAGAGCAGGTAAGTATCTGTTCTTGGACGGGCTCATAAATCGAGTATGGAGAGGCAATTAGCTACGTCGACACAAAGAACGATCCAGGACTCCAATTCGTCCTAGAAACCATCAGTATTTCAATTGAGCACACTGTCTGAGTGCTACCGTGTAGACAGCGCATTCCGAACTGTCTGTGTATCCCATCGTATGTTCGCTGCGAGAGAGTGAAGTGATCGAGACTGGGCTGCTTCTCGACGAGGGGTGGGCTTGGCACTTTACGCGGTCCGTCGCGCTTCCAAAGTTCCTCGGCTCTGGACGCGTTTTCGACTAAATCATTTCTTGCAATCTGCAGCGAATACTACAAATTGCTACAGTCTTCGTCCGACATTACTCTCAACATCGCGACGACGCCTAGTAACCATTGCAGATCAATATGGCACTACTAGTCGACAAACTACGGCCACGGTCGCTGGACGCACTCACATACCATTCAGATCTCTCAGACAGATTATCATCGCTTGTATGCTTTCCACCTGTACAGGAAAGTCCACAATCACTAATCAAACCCTCACTAGGCCTCATCACCCGACTTCCCACACTTGCTCTTCTACGGCCCATCCGGCGCCGGCAAGAAGACCCGCATCCTCGCCACCCTCCGTGCCCTCTACGGACCCGGCGTTGAGAAGATCAAGATCGACGCCCGCATCTTCCAGACATCATCTTCCCGTAAACTCGAATTCAACATCGTCTCCTCCGTCTACCACCTCGAAATCACTCCCAGCGATGTCGGCAACTACGACCGCGTCGTGATCCAAGAGCTCCTCAAAGAAGTCGCGCAAACTCAACAAGTCGACCTCAATGCACGCCAACGCTTCAAAGTAGTCGTCATCAACGAAGCCGACAGCCTGACTCGAGATGCCCAAGCCGCCCTCCGTCGGACAATGGAGAAATACAGCAACAACGTGCGGCTGATTCTGGTCTCGAATTCTACGGCGGGCATCATCGCGCCCATCCGCTCACGTACCCTGCTCGTCCGGGTCGCCGCGCCCACCGAGGCCGAGATCGTCACCGCCCTAGCCAAAGCAGTTTCCTCCCAGAAGTCATGGAAAGCTGTCCCCGCCCTCAACGCCCGCATCGCACACGAGTCCGGCCGCAACCTACGCAAAGCCCTGCTCATGCTCGAAGCCGTTTACGCCTCTACCCCCGAACCCAGCGAGAAGACACCCATCCAACCACCCGACTGGGAATTTCTCATCACAGAGATCGCAAATGACATGATCCGAGAGCGCTCGCCAGCACAGATCCTCAACGTGCGCGCGAAGCTGTATGATTTGCTGACACATTGTATACCCGCCACGACGGTGCTGAAGACGCTGACGTGGAAGTTGTGTGAGCATAAGGCGGTGGATAATGAGATCAAGCCGAAGATTGTGGAGTGGGCGGGGGAGATGGAGCATCGGATTCGGTTGGGGAGTAAGGTTATCTTCCATTTGGAGGCGTTTGTGGCGCGGTTTATGAGGGGGTATGAGAGTTGGCTGGTTAAAGGGGATCTGTGAAGGAACGAAACGCAAAGCAAGCATGTATGAAGTCAAATACGACAAAGCGGACATTCTCTGCCTAACAAACCCAGCTGGCGGGTCTTTTGACGACTGCGAATGCGTGTTGTTCGTTCGAGACGAGACCCGGGGTGGCAAGCTGTCCTCGCTTGTCATGAGGAGGCGGCTCGCTGCAAGTGCCGAGCATATGAGTCTATGAGCATTTTATACAGGAAAGGGGACACACAATTGACAGCATGGCGTTAGGTAGGAGGAGTCCGAGCCAACACGCCGCCGACAGGTGTACAGATGAACGAAAGATCAACTACATGAATCATGTCGATCATACTGCGCAGCTCCTCATCCCACCCAGCAGCAGGTGCTACCAAGGCATGACAGGCAGGCGGGTCAGTCGTGACTGCTCTGACAGTGATGAAGAGGAGAAGAGGGCGCAGTTTAGGTCGAAACAGCTGTTTATACCTGCTGAACGAACTTGAAATCCGACATGAACCGGACCGATCGCTTCACTAACTTGGCAGAAGCATCCACCGCGCGGAAGTGATTTAGTAACAAGCACCAGTATGCCGAAAGTCACCTTCTCAAAACCGGCATCACTTTAACTCTGTGCTTGGATTTGTTCTCTACTTCGTGAAAATGCCAGCCTGCGGCCTCGCCAGACGGTGACAACCTGCCTCCAATGCGGTCAAAGCTGCGACCTATGCGAAGAACCGCCAGCCATCCAGTCTCCTTCACTGCTAGCAGCCGGCAATGCGGTACGCACAATCCGCCTAACTGTTCAAGTACCGCGCGACAGCTCCTCTCAACTTCCTCCCACCCTCACCCGCAACATTAATCAGATTCTCCAGATCGTCACCCGCAGTCAATCCCATCCTCCTCACAAAGTCCTTCGCGGCCGTCTCAATATCGCCATAGTCACCGCCTTCCAGACCAGTCATGTCGTCCTCAGGACGGCCGAAGTAAGCGTTTGAGGAGATGCTGGAGGCACCCTCGAAACCTTGGAGGCGCTGCTTAGCTTCGGACTGGGCTTGCGGGTCGAAGTTGTTGCGGCCGAAGAATTCATCTGAAGAGATGCCCTTTTGCGTGCCGAATTTGGCGCGGGCGTAGTCGTCAGAGTCGTCTATCAGAGTCGTCAGTGGATTAAAGGACATAAGTGATCATGATGAACGTACCTTTAGGTGCTGCCTTGGCAGTGCCAACCGAGCCAAAGCCAAGCTTCTTGGGAGCAGGAGCAGAAGATGTGCTGCCCGCAGGCCTGTTGATCTGCCCGAAACCTAAACGACCCATGCCCATACCTAGCCTCTCGACCTCGCTCGGACTTCGCTGGTGCTCCGGTCTGTTGGAAGCTTGAGCAGGGTTTATAGGTGTGGGTGCCACTATAGGTGTGTCTTTGGTCGATACGCTGATCGTGCTCTTCTTCTTCTCCGTAGCTTCGTCTTCTGGGTCGTAGCCGAGCTTTTCTATCCTTTCCGCTTCGGCCTTGGCTGCCTTCTCTGCTGCCTCGAAGTCGATGTCGTCTCCGCCAGTACCGACTTTCTTGGCTCCTAATTTTGTGGTCTTCTTTGCGCCTAGGACGCTTTTCTTCGCTCCTACGGGACCTTTCCGGACAGCAGATGCGGAGGATGTGCGGATAGCTGTTGGTGCTGGCAGGGCTTTCTCGGCTTCTTCGGCGGCGTTTGCGAGGGGAGAGGGGGACTTCGGTCTGGTTGCGGCGCCATTTGTGCCAGCGGATAGGAAGGGTGAGGCTGTCCGGGACACGCCAAGGGGAGTGCCAGTCCGTGAGGGAGGATTGCTAGGCCTCTTTATCGTTGGCTTGTCCCACGATGAGAAGAAGTCGTCGCCTGGCTCGCCGGCTGGAGTAGATGTGCCGTCGCCAGGTGTGCCGACTACCTCGTCGGTAATGACGACCTCGTTTGGGTAACTAGAACAGATCAGCTGCGAGATCAAGGGTGTTCGGCGGAGCCTACTCTTGAGCATCTCTGGCAGCCCTCCGCTTCAGTTCCTCCTTGTATTTTGTTGCAGCACTGCTTTGGTACTTGACCTTTGCGTCCTTGCTGGCAAGTGCAGCGGTACCACCATTCGACTGAAAGAATTTTGTCGCAGATTCATTGCCGCCCACCTTGAAGAGGCGTAACTGATCCCACTGCCAGACTGATGCGGTCAGTAAATGCCATCTGCTGAGAAGGAAGTAACATACTGTCTAGATTCGTAGATCGGACAAAGGAAATGTGTACACCAAGATTGCGATGGTTTGATGAGCAGTCGAGACACAGGTAGACACCGAATGGTACTGATGACCAAGTCGGGTTCTTCTGGCCACAGTCGAAACAGACCTATGTCGTCGTTAGTCCCACGCGCACATGCGCAGGGGAAGGGCATCCCACCTTGTTGGCTGGCTTTGTCTTCAGCTTTTCGAATATCTTCTGCGATTGAGTCTTGGTGGCGCTCATAGTGATGCAGGCGCTCGCCGAAGGAGGTCAGGAAAGGAAGCCGGTGCAACAGAGTCGGACAACGCAATAGAAACAAGATACCACGCCAGGGCAGGAGTGAGGGAGACAGATGTCCAAAGGCCCCACCCAGATGCCCTTCGTCGCCGGCTGAAGGAATGCCAAGAACTCTTGTCTTCTTCGAGACTAGCTTACTATCAACGTCACGTCTCATCTCACTTCGCAGTTCATCTAGCCATGCTTGAGGCATCATTAGTGAAGGCAGTATGTATGCGAAGACAATAGCGATTCAGCCGTCGCTTCAGACAGAGGACCTTCGATGGCCTTGTGAAACCCTAGCGGCCAAGCCGTGGTCTGATATTTAACAGAGGAAGGATCTCCGGTTCTTCTAGACTGATAGCGCAGACACCTGTTAGCAGTCAAAGATGCGTGAAGAAGTTATTATAGGAATGAGCAGTAAGAGCGATGTAGTGCTACGGTCCCGGTCTACGCCATTGTCGGCAGATGATTCATTGACCGACCCTTACCAGTATTCTGCAGCCTGAATGATCACGACGAGAGCAAAGGGCGAACCACTCGAGCAACAGCTTGCCTCGTCCGTGAGGCAACTCATCGGCGTGGCACGCCGAGACCGGTCGAGAAAGCGTAACCTTCAGTCGACTTCTCTGTGGCTCAGGTGGGAAGGCAGGTGTGAGCATGTACGGGACACGACGCAGTTGATTCGGAAGGATTTGTCAATGCTAAGTCCTCAGTATTACCTCGCTGTCTCAGCAGAATTGGAAGATGTCGAAATGAAGCCCTGCAAGATCGCGAAAAGTCGAATTCATTCGAAGTGAGCCGTCAGTTCGACTTCAAGGTCCACGACCTTGCCCTTTCCACGGATGTACCTGAGGATCGTGACTGCTGAACTTGCAACGAATATCTCAGGAGCTGCTAACATGGGTATGCGTTGGATGGGTCCTAAACGAATGTCCTTGTGTGTGATGAACCTGTGCCCCCTACTTCGCCAAAAAAATCAAAAAGAGAATGGTCTCTGATCCGCAGCGTTCAGGGAACAAGTTAACCCAACGGTTCGAACGATTCCCGACAATGAATCGAACCTAAGCCCCGACCTACCAAACCTCTTGCTGAGGGCATTTGACTTCCGGCCCAATGACCCCCCTACCTAGGTAGGAGGACACCCTCGGGCAACACAGTCGGGATGCGCAGATGATACCCGTTCACGAAAGGTCGGTTCCGAAGAACGTCACCAATCGCTAAGGGGTGGCATCTGCTGTGTGATTGTGAACCAAATTTCCGACCAAAAATATATATACCTTCATGTGCTGCTCCAAAATGTATACCTTACCAAACGGTTGCCAGGTGACGAGGACTGGTCGCCTTCACTCTGTCTCCAAGCTCCACAGTCAACTCTTCCTTCACCTTCTTCGATCAGGCCACTATTTGGAACTTCGGTCCCTCATTATTTGGATTCTCTCGGTTGGATCTTTCCTCCGCCGTTGATGTTCTCTTTACTCTCGCTCGTCTATCTACCCCCTCTTTTCTCGGATAGGTCTCCAATGAATACTGACATGCAGCTCACACTTTCCTCGGCCAAAACACCAGATCGCAATTGACCTAGTCACGATATGCCTTCACTCCGCAAGATCAACTGCAACGTGCTTTGGCCGCAGGGCACACCATTCAAGGAATATGCCACCACATATGGCGACGGCATCGTGGAGACGTTCATAGCAGTGCCTGGCGACAAGCCTCAAAAGTTCTCTATTCGCGTCACGTCCAAGGGCTACATCTATGAAGGGCTTGCGGCTGTTGTCTTCGTCGATGGCGTCTATCAGTGCAACCGCAATCGAGTCAACCTGGTTCGGCCAAAGAAGAATCTGCCGCTGGAGAGAACCGAGATCGACTTCTATCTGAGACAAGAAGAGCGCAAGTTGACAGAAGATGGCCACTTCCTCGGGAGTGACTGGCGATTCGATGACTTCAATCCATGTGAGTATCTAGCAGTCTGAATCTTTGATCGCTCAACTTACACGAATCTAGTCGACGAGGCAACAAGCGATGAGGAGAAGAGCGCGACCGAGCACCTTCAAAATCTGGGCACGATTGATGTCATCATACTTCGTTGCTGCGCTCGCAAGGACGATGACACTGCAGAAGATGATTGTGATTCTGCTGCTGAGAGTGATGTGCTTGGCAACAGACTGACCGTAGAAGACGACGAAGCTGCTTACGAGAAGAAGGCGAAGAACAAAGGTGGCAAAGGCAACAATGATGCGCTTAATCAGAACAAGTCAAGTAAGAAGAAGGGCGGCAAAAAGGACGACGATACTGCAAGCATCATCCAACTCGACGGCCCTGCAGACAGCTACTACCATCGACCGAACCCGCCATATGATACGCCTGGTTGGGCTGGTCCACCAACAGGTCGGTTCCAGCACCGGCCTCCTCTACCTCCTCGGGCTGATCGGCATGTACATTTCGACATACAACGAGACCACTCGCAACCTCCCGCAGACCGATACACAGATCGAGCTCAAACACCCTATGCCCATGCTGCCCATGTACCGGGACTGTCGCAGTATCAAAGCCACGCTGCATATCCAAACTACGGAGCACCGCACTACCCAACGCCACCACATACTGCTGGTCATCCCTACTATGCTGGTCACAATCAATACCCGCCGTACGCCCAGAATTGGTCATCGCACTATCCAGCGCAACACTCGCAGACTGTACAGCCCACCCAGACCATGCCAGGTGCTTGGCCTCAACCCAATAATGGTGCCGGACAGCAGCCCAACCTGAGATGGGTGCAGCCAAAAGCTCCAGAGACCAGGGATGGCAACAATAACAATACTGCACACAAGCAGGCGACCAATGGAAACACCCAACCGGCGACGATTGATCCGTATAGCGGATGGTATTGGGACGGCACTCAATGGCAATACGGCATTGTCGGTGTGAGCAAGCAAGCGATGGATGCCAACAACACGAACGGCCAGAGCAACGGCTCTGGAGACAGTAGCAACGATACCAGCAACAACGGCTGGGACAATAACAACGACACTTCGGGCACAAACAACAACGATAGCACGAATGATTGGGACAATTCTAATGACACCACAGGCACGAACAACAACGACACTTCTTGGGACAACGCCAATGACAACAAGGATACAAACAATAACGACACCTCCTGGGATAACGATGATAAGAAAAGCACGTCGGGCAACGGTGGAACAGACTGGAACAATACCAACAACAACGCGGACACCTCTGGCGCAGCTTCTACTGGAAACAACGACTGGGGAACCCCTGCTCCAGCAGACAACACCGTCCACACACTGAATCCCTCGGACAGCTCTCACGACAACTCCAACAACAACAACAACAACAACAACGTTTCAGCCTCCACGCCCGCCGGCAACTACAAAGGCCCACCCCTCCATGGCCCTCACGGCGCCTACCATGGTCCTAAACTTGCTGTTGCCGCCCCCTCAATTTGGGTCATTGACGAGCCGGCCCCATACGACGTCCCTGCCTACTTCGCCGCATCTCGTTCGCTGTCAAAGCAAATCCAGCGCGGGCGCGCCTACAATTACTTCAAACGCCATCGCAAGCCTATCTACATTGACTCCATCGCCGAGCCTTACGCTCGATTCGTGTTCAAGTACCGCACAAAGGAGAACTTGCCGAAGGGGTTGAAAGTGGAGGCTGCGGAGGAGCCGAATCCGGATCAAGGGTTGCAGGATCTGCAGGATAAAGGGAGAGAGGAATTGATTGAAGAACTGAGACGGTTCAGAAAGGTTTACGGGGAGCAGGCGCCCGATATCACTGATGTAGGGAAGCATGAGGGCGACGCAGAAGATGAGAATGATGCGATGGAGTGGAAAGCGACCCCACCGGAGAAGAGCTTCTTGGATTACAAGCTGCCAGTGTACTACGGGAATGGTGAGGGTGGAGATGCTAATGGGAATGTGAATAGCAATGGCAGCGTGCTCGGCAACGGGAAAGGCAAGACGAATGGAAATGGCGCTGGCAAGAAAGCTGATGATGGATGGGCTACTGACACGCCTGCGAACACGAATGCTGGTGGCAATAGCTGGGATACCGGAGGTGGCGGCGGCGGTAACTCTGGCACTACATGGTGAGTGTGGGAGCTGAACAGCTGCCAAAGTTGTCACAATTTTCGTCGAACGGAAAGGTGGTCAGAGTCGGCGGGCTTTGTCGTGGATGCAGTCCCGATGTAACCTGGTGTTGCGTTTTCGACACAGGGTGAAAGATAACAGGTCTGGACCAGATCTTGGAAAGGGCGCGAATATCGTCAAGACATGGACGGATGTTCTGCTGGAATTGCTGTGAGATGGATCGACGCATTCACGCTGGAAGCATACCAAGGATTCCACTCCGTCACCTCGAAATCCTGCTTCTCTCCCAACATTACCTCTCATCTTGACTTTTGTTCACCTCGTCTGTGTAGACATTGCTCGCCGTGATCTCGTAGTTCCTGCTCATCGCTTCTGTAGCTGACACCTACTTCCCATCCTCATCACCAACGACAAATCCCCCACCCAGCAATATTGCCGGCTCCTCAATCCTATGATGCTCGTAACTCAGCGTCCCCACACCACCCGCATCCATGATGAATGCCGTCTCCGTCAACGGCTTCCCAATCCACCTAATCGCAAACGCCCTCAAAATATGCCCGTGCCCAACAACCATCACATCTCCCTTTCCCTGCGTCTCACTAATTGGCCTCCCAATCACAGGCTTATGATACTTCTCCCTGATCTCCGCAATCAACCCATCCACTCGCTCGATGATCTGCTCCGGTGACTCACCGTCGGGACAGCCGTCGCGCCAGATGTCCCAGTCGGTGGGCTTGCCGGCGTCGGCGAGGCGGGTGCGGATCTCGGCGGAGGTTATGCCTTCGTAGGCGCCGTAGTCCCATTCGGCGATGGCGGGGGTGATTGTCACGCGGGCATCGGTTCGGGCGGGTTGTTGAGGTGCGGAAGAGGATGATTGCCAGGGGAAGGGGTCGTGGCAGCCGATGTCGAGGAGCTCAAGGGTGCGTTGGGCCCGTTGGCGGGGAGAGACGTAGCTGGGACGGTTTGTCAGTGTCGAGCCTCGGTGGGGAAATCATTGGACGAGGACGGCCAGGGAGCAGCATACATGTGCACAAGGTGTTTCGGTGCGATTAGTCTGTCATCGCCCACAAGTGCTCGGCCGGTAGCTCGCACACGCTTTTCGCCGTTCTTGGTCAGTGGCAAGTCTGTTGTGCCTGTGTGCTTCCCAGATATCGACCATTCTGTCTCGCCATGCCGCACGATGAAGCAGCGAGGCGTCGTCTTCGCCATGAGACTAGACTTAGGGCTGTTGCGGGGCTCTGGAGATTACACTAGAGCAGGAGTAAGGTCGACCGCAGGGTAAGTCAACAGCACGAATGCGCAGCAGATCAGACAGAGCAATGATGTTCAAGGACGCATGGTTCAAAGATCTAACTTAGCTTTTTGACTTCATTGAGAACGGAAATACCATTTCTACCTTTTATTCTCAGGAACGTGCCTGACACATAGATGGATATGACGATGCAGGAACGGAAAGCATGGGAAGGCGGGGCATTGGATCGACGTTGGAGCAGAGTTGGCGGTCGGTTCTTAATAAGCCTGATTAGGCATCCGATATGGGGCTTGGTAACATGTGACCCTTCGTAGCGACGACGTGTTCTCTATCTCTACCTACTGCATGACCATCCACTGCAGACTGCCGACCGCAGTCAGACGAGGCGGCAATGTCGCGAGTAGCATCCCGGCCCGGAATCATCAATGCATGGTTATTCTGCTGAAGAGAAGACACGAACTCGAAGATCCCCCTTCTCGATCGCGGCAACGCCTAGGACGTGAAGGAATCGACGTAGGTGACGGGCGCGACGGCAGTCATGGTCTAGCACGGCAGCAGCCACATCCGGACGCTTCTTCTGAGACCTCAAGAAGGCCCTGACATTTTCTTTTGACAGTCGATTTCCTGGCTTGCGATCGAGTCATGTTTTGCAGCACCAGAAATTTGCCCGGCAATCACCGGCAGTTCATCAGCAGTACACTTTGATAGCATGGTGCAGTGGTAGCACATCACAGCATCCCGCCTGTCCATGGAGTTGAACTTCATGTATAATACGGCTTGCACAATAGAACGACCTAGTTCGATTCTAGTGCTGTCATTCTTTTTGCTTCTCGATGGACTACCTTCTGTGGGACGAGCAGATACAATGCATGTAAACTAACAGTGATACTGCTGGCAAGACCACAGATAGCCTCATCGCAATCCGCTGTGTTCATGTGTCGGAACCGGGCTAGCAGGTCAAATTGACATGAGCCCTCGTTCAGATGATGGGACCACGGCCCATATCGAAAGGCTCAGGAATATCAGTCGAGGAGGATCCTGGTAATACCCTGAAGTCTCTACGTGAAATGAGTGGTTCACGTAGTCCAGGCCCGATTCCAGGGACAGTCAGACTCGCACCAGACTGCCCGGAAAGACTAACGATATATTAACAGCAGGAGATAGAACTATGGTGGATGCAGGCATCCTTTGCGGTCCAGGAATTTGCGTACCACGATGTGCCCAAGTTGTGGAAAGATGAACAAGTGTGAATGACATCTATCCGAGTCCTATACGAGATAGAACAACACAGCCCAAGGCTCGACTTTTGTTATCCGCGAACGCCTCGCTCCGATGCACATGGATTCCATGAAATGCTCTTCGCCATATCCGCGAAAAATAACCTGCAATGCAACACTCCGAGTCAACTCCACGAGTTCCGATACCGATGTCGATCCTGACATAAGTGTAAGAAACAAGCTCAACGCCGCGGCCAACAATGCATGCCGACGAGCCTATTTCCTAAGCTCAAAACACCGTATCAAAGCTTGCCTTTCTTCCCAACTGCAGAGCTTGACGACTCGTCTCCCTCGTGAGTCTCAACTCAGACGTCCGCCGACTCCGCCTGCCTGTGTCAACGTGACTTGTTCTTGTTGCCTGGCGACTCATTCCCACGAAGTCCTCCGGAGCCTGATGACGCCCCTTTCTTCATCTGCATCAGGTTTGCTATCGTTCAGAGCACCGCTGCAGGAGAAATCGTCCTCGTCGCTCACATCTGTGATGGATCCGACTTCTGATTCTGTATCGGAGTCGTCCTCACCCCTCAGACGAGGCAGTCTCAGAGGCCAGCTCAGGCAGATGACCAAGACTGCGAAGATCAGCCACTGGCGAAGGTGATGCGCATCGCTTTTGCATACGCAGTAATGACTTGTCCCTTGTGGATAGGGTCCAGGTCTCTGATCGCTTCAACACTGCCTCTGACTGCTTGAACTATCTTCTCTTTGATAGCTGGATCGGCGTCCTTGACCATACGCTCCAGATAGAATGGCAGTGAGTTCTGAAGGATCCAGCTGCTGACTGCGACACCGAGAATCGAGCCGATGCAGCGAAACAGCCCGAGTGTGCTGACAACGACTGCCTGGTCTTCAAGCGTGTTGAGAGACAGCGTTGCGATCGTGGTCGTGGGAAAGTAGAAACCCTGGCCAATGTTGACCCATGGCACAACGAGAAGCATGGCCCAGGTAGGCATGTGTTGGTTCAAGAAGATCGTGCCAATGACGCCTATCACCAGTAACGCTTGTCCAACGTATAGCTGTGGTTGCATGTGGCGCGTGATGGCGATGAAGTAGCCGGTGAAGATGCTTGTGAGGCCCACGCCGACGAGTGGAACGACTAAGTACATGCCAGAGACTGTTGGACTTGTCTGACGTACGGCCTGAAGGAACAATGGTACGTTGAAGAGCACAATGTTGAGACATATGCAGAAGAAGAGACTGGCCCACATCAGGTTGCTGTTAGGTGACTTGGCGAGGAGATGGAGCGGAAGGACTGGGCGCTTAGCGCGTCGTGAAACGGGAGCGATCGAGAAGCCCCCGACGATGGTCAAGATAAGGCAAGAGATGACGAACGGGTGTGTCCAGCTGAGCACGTTGCCGCCGAGGTTGATACCGAGAATCAAGCTGGTGACTGTGATGGTCACGACAGCGGACCCCTGAAAGTCGAATGTCTCGAAGGCTTGCCACACAGTTTTTCCTTGTGCTTTCGCGAGATTGGGCCCGAGATCGTCGGGTGTGACAATGCAGGTTGCAACCAGGAATATCATGATCCAGGGAATCTGGATAAAGAATGCCATTCGCCAGCCGAGTGTGTCGCAGAGCATGCCACCAAAGGCAGCACCGAGACCATTGCCAAGTGCGTAAGCCATGTTGTAGTAACTTTCTATGATACGTCAGTCAATGCCTTCCACCTTTGTGCGAGTACTACTCACGATAGATCCCACGGTACTCAATCTTGACAACATCGGAGGTTATCATACTGGATACTGATGTAACTCCTCCAGCTCCCATCCCGCACAAAGCCCTGGCCGCGATGAAATGACCCATGGTAGGTGCCACGCCACACCACACCGTCGCTACCAGGAACAAGATCTCAGCGAAGATGTAGACTTTCCTGCGGCCGATGATGTCGGATACTCGTCCGTAAAGTGGCTGTGTTACTGTCAATGTCAGGAAGAAGACCGTGGACAACCATGATGCGGAATTCGAGGCATGAAAATATGATGTGATGACTGGATGCGCGGATGCCCTGTCTATTCGTCAGCACCTTTGCAGAGAACCTTCCTTGCGTATTGCTCCAGGCACCTCGGCCACGACTGAGTGTGCAGGGGCTGTGATGATGAAGATAGCGTACATTAGTGTTCCGTCAAAGAAGGCTATGATGTTGCCCTAAGCACTCCATTAGCAATGTACTTAGGCGGGCGTCATATGTGAGTGACAATATGATTCTGTGGCAAGCGGCTGTTACTTCACCGGATCTGATACTTGTGGTAGCCTCTGTATGCAGACTCCGCTGTTTTAGCTGTGCAAAAGGGAAGAACTTACAAAGATAATGGTAGAGAACAGGATCCAGAAGCCTCGTCCATCAATATTCCGAAAGTGTGCATCCTTCTTGTGTCCTTCACTGTGCTGCTCCTTCTTGGTCAATAGAGCGGTCCTTTCAGTAACCTCAGCTACTTCGCCAGCGGTCGGCTGAGCGAAGGTGCCTACAGAAGCCGGCGTGTCCAGTAGGGGTCGGTTCTCTCTCATCTCGGGAGGGGACATCTTGCACACTTGCGAAAAGCAGAAGCACAGAGAGAGTCTAAGAGGGAATGAAACCACGCTTCGAGATTCGTGAACGGCTGTCTTATTTCAGGCCTATGTGACGAGCAGACGTGAATCTGTTCTTGAATTGGCAATCGTACGTCAAGGTCGCTCGTTGCGATTCCTGAGATCGAAAATAATGATGGACAGATTCAGGGTCAAAGGTGGTCCGTATATGAAATAAGGCTGTATGAGTCAGAACGGTGTTCTGTGGGTTGAGCGATTTATGAACGATATCTCCTGGGGAAGGAAGGACCCTGCCAGCGTCAGTGGAGGGAGGGGTTGTGCGTGATCAAGAGGAGCAGGAACGCTTCCGTCGACGAGTATTAGTAGTCGCTTATGGTCGCAGTGATAGCGGAGAATGTGCTGTAAGAGTTTGAGCAGATCAATCACAAGGACGACCACTACTGGTATGAATGGTTGCCGAAGTGCTGCAGGCGGCGAGGGTTTGGAGATCAAGATCGGAGACCAACGCCGAAAGACATCGCAAAAGTCTGCGGATTGGCTGATGAGATACGCACTTGCCCACGTCGTGTAACCGTGGGAATTTCGTGCAGCAGCTTCGAGGGTCGAATACGAAGCATGCCCACCGATTGAGGCAATGTGTGGGATGTTCTCGCGTATGGACTTGCTGCTGAACGAGATCTTCATCCCTCACGTTGTTGCAAAGAATTTCAAATGCGCCAGCGTAAGTGCGACCAGCATGTTCACGCTCCTCGTGTACTGCACGTATCATGGTTCTGGAGACCTTGCCTGACTTTCTCATCAAACATCGACACGCTTCGGCAGCGTCGAATGATTGAAGATGAACAATGTGAGGCAATTCGTCGATCAACTTGCACTTTTGCACCATTGCACCGCGGGCGTCGTCGCTCATCTCCGGCCCCAGCACTTCGCTTCTGGCTTACAGAACAAGCCCTTGACATGTTGTCAACGGTCCAACAACTTGGACTAATAACAAGACGGCGTGCAACAGATTGAAGCACAGAGCAGATCTGCGTGAGCGGCCCATCTGCTCGCTGGGGCGAAGGACAATATCTGTTGTCTTGCTCGCAATAGCCGCAACTTCGTCGCCAGTGGCAGCGTCTACAACGACAAATCGCCGTCGAAAGTTCAAATGACGGCCACCTCATACCTCTTATCTTGACATTTGACCACGCCCTTTTGCATCTTCCAAGTAGATCAGTACAGTGGCAGCCACATGTTCTCGCAACAGCAACACTTGAACGTTAGCTGCCTAAGGGCAGTGACCCACAACACATCTGGTCCACTAAGCCTGTGACCTTGTCGAAGTTCCTGCACTCTTGACTGCATTCGAGTTCTCCATCCCTTCCGCTTTCGGCCTGGCCAGCGACGACGACTTCGGATAAGGCACCATTGTCCAGTAGAAGTCATACGACGGCACAAAAAGCCCTCAGCACGACGCTTCATACAAGTCACCATGCCCAAACCACCTCTGCGAATAGCAATTCTCGAGTGTGACACTCCTCTCCCCAAAACCAAGGAGATCTACGGCGGCTATGGCGGAGTATTCGAAAATCTTCTGAAAAGAGGCGCCCAGGCTCTGGACGACCCATCATTAAATCCCGAGGCCGGCTTTCAAGTCACAAAGTACCAAGTCGTCGACGATCCTTCCAACTATCCCAGTCTAGATGACATCGATGCTATCTTGATAACAGGCTCAAGTATGCTTCAGCATTGGCACTTTCTTGGCACTGAAACGCTGATCACGAATGGTAGAACACGACTCCTTCGCGGACAATCCTTGGACGAACACGCTGGTGGCGTTCGTAGAAAAGGTGCTCGCAGACGGACGCGTACGTACGATCGGTGTCTGCTACGGGCACCAGATCGTTGCGCGGGCGCTGGGCATGAAGGTCGGGCGGAATGACGATGGGTGGGAGGCGGCGGTCACAAATGTTGAGCTCTCGGCCAAGGGGAAGGAGTTGTTCGGGAAGGATACTCTGGTACAGTTGCCCCCCAAAATCTTTACCTTTCAGCTCTAACAAGGTTGTTCATCCAGGCAATACATCAAATGCACCGAGACATAGCATACACATATCCAAAAAGCGTCCAGCTGCTCGGCTCTTCACCGGTCTGTAGCGTGCAGGGCATGTACGAGCCTCGACGCCTGATCACAGTGCAGGGTCATCCGGAGTTCAACCACGAGATCATGACTGAGATCCTGGATACGAGGCATTCGACAGGAATCTTCAACGACGAGGCGTATGACAAATATATCAAGAGTGCGGGTTTGCCGCATGATGGAGTCGCCGTTGCGGCTGCTTTCTTGAGATTTCTTCTGGAGGACTGAGGCTTCGTTGGCCTTGGTGGCCTCGCGAGTACAGCTGAAAGAGCGAACAGTCGGATAGGGAGGTAGGACCGCGTAATTCACACGAGCAGATAGAAGAGGGAAGGTGCGAAATGATGTAAGAGGCATGCAATGCGGCTGTGAAGGGCATATTTGAACGTGCTATAGAGACGACAATAGAACAACCTTGGCGCGACGGGCTTGATCAATTTGATTTGAGAATCTGAGAATCGTCCAACTCCTCTAAAAGGCGGCTTCGCACGTTTGCGGCAGTCTAGCCGCTCTTCGCACGCTCGACACGCGCTCGGCGTAAGACCTACCTTCAGTTTCCCGACATCAGCAAGGACTTCTGGAAGCTGAAAGGGTCAGTCGCTTATCCTCGCTTATATCTGCATGTCACGGTGACCATTCCCCAGCATTTTTGGGAAAGCCGGGGAGCCTGATCTGCGAGACCGCAACAGCTGGATTTAGTCGAGAACGTGGTCTTTGCCCCGGAAGTCGCGTACAGTCTGACTTTCTGCAGGCACTGACGCAGGGTCCGTCGCAAGAAGCCTTATGCTTATGAGCAGCTTTGAGCGAACAACGTATTTTCAGCATCACACCACCTGAGCACGCCCTGCTACGAGACCATGCGGTCAGCGTCGGCTGCGCCTTGCGGTATCCTCCCCTCTGCGAGATCTTTCTCGATTCTGGAGATCTCCGCCAGGCTTCTCGCATTTTGGATCATTTCCTGCACTCGTTTCTTCTCACTGGCGGTCAGCTGCGTTCGCATGGCTTTATTTGCGCTAGCGCCTTTGGTGGAGGTCGTCGATGAGTCAAGGGCCTTGCTCTTGTTGCCGCGAAGCTTCGAGGCCAGCTCCGTGGGTTCTACCTGCGTGCCGAAGAGATCTTTGGCTTCTTCTCTTTCGACAGTGCGTATTCGCTGGTAGTCGAGGAAGCGCAGAGAGGGGATCAGGAAAATGATGTATGAGCGGTAGTTCTGCTCTAAAGTTAGCTATAGTGGATCAGTGTGGCGATCTGAGGCGAAGGCGTACCTCTTTCTTGGTGACTGGGTTCTCTTGAAGGCTCAGATGCGTCAAACTGTAGCATTTACTGAGGCCGTCAAGGTCGCCCAACTCTTTGACCAGGTTCGACGTGAGCACTAGCGTCGTGAGGTTCGGCAATTGTTCGCCCAGTCGTCGATCAATATTCTGTATGCGATTCCGCGCGCAAAGTAGTGTGTTCAACCTGGGCGACAGCGGAAAGTTCGCCAGCGTCGTGATGTCGTTGTCTGTAAAGTCGATCGCATCTTGCGCGCCAGCGACACCAAGGTTCTCGATCGTCGGGATCTTATGACCTGTTGCGACGAACGACAAGTAGTGGTCAACTAAGCTCTTTCAAAGTGTAGCATCTGCTCTTTTCAGGGACGTACCTCGGAGGTCCAGTTCCCGCTCCTTGAGTGGATTGAGGTAGGACAGGGAATTGTTGATCACTTCTGCCGACAACCTCATCTTGTCAAGGCGTCAAGACAGGAGCCTCTCGTTGCCGTGAGGGAGGCGCGTCGAGCGCAACTTGAGACTGAGGGTCTTCACGGAAGAAACGTGGTATTTTTGGCCGCTGTGCCGAATCGAGTTACCTCTTGATCGTGGCCCTGCGTCGACTCTCGTATACCAGCCCAACACCGTACACTTCAACTGATACGGGATGCGCTGTGCCACGACTCGACGGTTCCGGCTGATTGGGTTACTGGTTATCGAACAATAATTCGGATCACTGATGAAAACCCCATCACATCTTTGCCAAGCACCCACGTCTTGGCGGAGCCCGGGTGGGGTGGAGTTCTCGGGTTCGAATCTTCGCTTCCGTGATCTTTAAAAGTCGGAGTCGGCTTCAAGTTGTCCACCACTCTCACCTCAGCGTTCGCAAGAACAGAGGTATACGACCTTCCTGCTCAGGTCATTTGTTGCGTCTCACGCTAGAATGTCCGACGTTCTACAGTGTTTAGTCTCGTTGACATCGTTTCCTCCTTCGGTTCTTGAAGCACTGTCCGCTGGTTTGGAATGCTTTAATGCCCTTATCTCGCCGAGAAAGTGCCAACACCAGCGCGAAGAGTATGGCTAAGACAAAGGCTCCACCCCTTATCAGGCGGGAAAGTCCTGTCCCTTTCGCCTCTTCTCATCTGTGACTGGCTCGTGAACCAAAACGTAAGGGGACCGTATAACTAGTATCCAAAATTAAGCGACCTCCATCGCGTAGGAAGTTCGAGAATACTACACCACGCCGAGAACGCCGGGTACCTAGCACGAGTTTATTTGTCGCGAAGTGGTGTCAAATGCTCGCAATGGGAGATGGGCCACCAGAGGCGGCTGAAGAATGGAGTGTGCTCCTCTTGTGTATATAGTAGTGACCCCTGCACGAACGCGAACGCCTTTCGCTTCCACTTTGGAACTTCACCTCCATTCGCAGCGCATCTGTTCGAGTCCTGCAGCCGACAGTCGTCAAGATGTCCGACGTGAGTGCGAGAAGGTGAAGAGACCATTGTATGATACTGACACCATGTACAGGCCGAGCCTCTCACTCCCAACCCTAGGGAGATGGACGTGAACGAGAACTTCATCGGCGGAGAGTACAATGCCGTGTACATCGGGATCTGCGCATACCTGGTCTTCATGATCATTCCGGGCCTGGCGCTCCTTTATGGTGGTCTGGCGCGCAGACGCTCTGCCCTGTCTATGCTCTTCCTTGGACTGGCAGTCACAGCAACAACGTACGAGCATCCAGCTGGCGAAGAGTGTACTTGCTGACAAGTGCGCAGGACATTTCAATGGACATTCTGGGGATACTCTCTGGCCTACTCCACCACTGCCGGGCCATTCATTGGCGACATGAAGAACTTCGGTCTGCGAGGTGTCATGTCGGCCCCATCCGGAGCCCTGCCTGAAATCACCTTCTGCCTCTATCAGCTGATGTTCTGCATCTGTACCGTCATGATCCTCGTCGGTGGCACTTTCGAGCGTGGTCGCATCATTCCCACTCTGGTCTTTGGTTGGTGCTGGGCCACAGTCGTGTACTGTCCGGTAAGTCAAGCTCTTCTCTGAGGCTCGCAAACATTTACTAATGCTTCGCAGATCGCGTGCTGGACCTGGTGAGTCTTACCTTGGCAGCATCGAGGATCGCCTGCGAGCAGAGCTGCTGCACTTGGCCGTGAGGCATGTGACTGACAACAGAGACAGGAACGCAAACGGATGGCTGTACAACCTTCCATCCCTCGATTATGCCGGCGGTGGCCCTGTGCACATTGCTTCCGGTTGTGGCGCACTGGCTTATGCTATCGCCCTTGGGCCTCGCAAATCTTATACCAGTGGCCAGGCCCATCTCAGCAAACCCCACAATATCTCACTCGTATTCATCGGCACTATCCTCATGTAAGTTAAACAAGCCCTGCTTTGGACAATCAATTAATACCGAGTAGCTGGTTCGGATGGTTCGGCTTCAACGGCGGCTCGACCTTGAACTCGACTGTCAGAAGCTACCTCGCTGCGTACAACACCAACATCGCTGCTTCCTGTGGTGTGATTGGATGGGTCATTGTTGATATGATCCATACTAAGGGCAAATTCTCCGCCGCTGGCGCATGTGAGGGTGCTATCGCAGGTCTTGTCGGCATCACCCCCGCCGCCGGGTACGTTCAAATCTGGTTGGCTGCTGTCATCGGTCTCCTCACTGGTGCTGCATGCTCAAGTCTGCACAACCTCAACAAGTGGATCCGTGTCGACGAGGGCCTGGATGTCTTCAGTAAGTACTCCAGTCAATTCCATTCTTTAGATTATGCTGACACTGGCTAGAACTTCACGGTGTTGGAGGCATGATCGGATCATTCCTGACAGGTATCTTCGCAACTCAGCAGATTTCCCTGCTGGATGGTGCAACCGAAGCACCAGGCGCCATCGACGGGGCAGGCATGCAAGTCGCACGCCAGCTTGCAGACCTGTCCAGCGTTGCCGCCTACTCCTTCGTTGTATCACTCATCCTGGCTTTCGCCTTAAGTTCGTGGGCAAGTTCATTCCAATGATGGACATTCGCATCCACGAGAACGGTGAGATGGAAGGTCTTGATCTCCACGAATTCTTCGAGGAGGAAGTTGGCGACTGGTCTATCATGGCTCACTCCCAGCATCCTCCCATGCTGGACGGCAGCAAGATGGACGGCTCAAAGATCTCAGCACCTAGCACACCGCCTTCCGAGAGGAATGAGACCAAGACAGAGACTACCGGCCGCACTGTCTAGATGACAAAGCGCGACGGGATGGACGCCGTCTGTCACAGTTGACACTGGTCGTCGCGTTGACTTTTGTCTGAGCTTAGACGACCAGTTTCGCGGTTTGGGACATGTGCGATATCCGGCGTAGGACTACTATACCCATGACCTTACCTTTACTAGTTTCCAATTGCGATAACATGATATCCTGTAGATATCGTGTACCTCAGTCTGTTTTGGCGGTGTACTGGCTTCTATCTTCACCAGATTGGACGTATAGCACATCGCTCAATGAATGCATCTTCGGCTTGGATCGCATCAGGCAGTGTCAGACTCCGTATCACTGTAGTCAGTGCAGCTTTCCTCAGCCCAGGAGAACGAAGTCGAATGTACACGGTGCCCAGCAATCACGTGGATCCCGGGCTTGGGGTTGGCTGGGCATCGAACAAACCTGGTTGATCCCAAATCTTGTTAACCACAAGCCTCGTTCAAGCACCGCCAAGGGCATGCAAGCACTCTTGAGCACGGAGCTTGCTTGTCCGCGGCGCAACGGCTTAGCAGAGACGCCTACTTCAAAATCATCAACGTTTAGTAACACCTTTGCACTCGTACATACACATCGCAGGATGGCCGTCACCGATTGAGCCCTCTGGAACACCTCAGCTATGATGTTGCAAATCGTGCTAAGCCACAGGACTAGACAACAAGGTTAGGCCATGACCAGGCCATGCAGACCATGACATCAATCAGGAACACTACATTAGCCTATTGCCAATCGGATGCCCCCAGCAACATCGCGAAGGATATCCATCCGTGCGAGAACGTGGCGCCAACTATGCCAGACTGTCAATTGCCAATCTCCTCGATCGTTGACGCTGGCAGCGATGCAGGACGCTCACTCGGTGTTTTCGCTTCGCACGCTGTAGCAATAATGACACCTTCCTTGATTTTGAAGGCCCAAAGATCGCCCTTCCATTTCCTTGCAGATCTGTGAAAGAAGGAGCGCTCTCTCAGGCAGTCGCATCCCCGTCGCGTTCAAATTTGTTTTTCCCCTCTGTTTTGGGAGCAATTCGTTTGCAGCGCCACCTGGTGTTTTCACTTACTCAAGGTCACAACGACTTTGAAGTATTTTTAAACAACTCATCGAGGGAACGCATTCTTTCCTGGTCGAGTACACATACCCGGAGCGTGCACCGTGCGCATAGGTGAATAGGACTTCGAGCCGCAACCTTCGAGCGCTTCTCTGTTGTCGCACACCTCGATAACCACCTTCGTGACTGCGACGCAAGCATTTGCGGCGTCGAAATGCGTAGGGCTTCTGATCCATGTTGTTTAACAGAGTATTGACCTGAACTAGATACTATTAAGCACAAGGCCAAACAAACAGGATACTACGATCAGTTCAAATACAGCCCTTTCAACAAGTACAGATCACAGAGTGGCAGCTCTAAGGGTCCCGTGCCACAGGATGAAGAGAGAGGACTGCGAGTCCGGTCGAATGTGGACGACCAGCATGCCAGTCGGCGGACAGATGATCTAGTTGGGGGCGGTCTTCAGAACAAGTCCGCAACCGTGCCCGACATTACGACTCCCACAGACACTAAACCACATGAGGCTGCCAACTTCGATGCGCCGCGCTCGATCAGCCCCGTCAACGAGTATGAGCAACCCAATGGTGAAGAGAAGGGCCTTGGTCACCACAGCGATGATACCGCTGTAAATGGCAACGAAGTTGACACTGATTCGATGCGGCAACGCGATGGTCACAAGAAGCGATCTCTCAAAGGTCTCCTGGGCGGCAAGAGCACCGATCGCAAGGAAGAAGCAGAAGACAATAACGGCAAGGACAAACCACACAAAAAGTTCACGGTTGGGGGCCAGATACGTGCAACGCTTTTCAATTCCTGGATCAATGTCTTGCTCATCGCCTCGCCCATCGGCATCATACTACATTTCGTCCTCAAAGGTCAGCCAATTGCTATATTCGTGGTCAACTTCATCGCAATCATTCCTCTGGCTGCGCTATTATCCTACGCAACGGAGGAAATTGCCTTGAGGACAGGCGAGGTCATTGGTGGACTGCTCAATGCTTCCTTCGGCAATGCCGTTGAACTGATTGTCTCGATTATCGCTTTGGTCAAAGATCAAACCCTGATCGTTCAAACATCGTTGATCGGAAGTATGCTCAGCAACTTGCTTCTAGTCTTGGGTATGTGCTTCTTCTTTGGAGGCGTCAACCGTTTCGAGCAAAACTTCAACATGACAGTCGCGCAGACCGCTGCGTCGCTATTGTTCCTCTCGGTCGCGTCACTTCTAATCCCGACGGCTTTCGATGAATTTGCTCGAATTGGCGACCAATCCCAATCTGCTGATCCAGCCAACCCGAAGCCACATGTCGCGGACTTGTCCCGAGGAACATCAATCATGCTTCTGCTGGTGTATGCCTGCTACCTCTTCTTCCAGCTCAAATCACACAACAAAATGTTCAGCGAGGTCAGCGAGAAATCCGATTCGCGACACGTCGGTACGAAATTCAAGGACCGCTACGTTCCCCAGCGCTTCCGCAATAGCATTGATGGAGGGCTCCCAGGCTCGGATAATCCAGAAGGTTCAGACAGAGTTGAGCCCGGCAACGAGAAGGACAACGGAAACGACAACGAAGAAGAGCCAGAGGAGCCGCAACTGTCCGTTTGGGTCGCCGTGGGCCTCCTCGCAGCTTCTACAGTGCTGGTTGCGCTGAACGCCGAATTCTTGGTCGATTCCATCAACGACGTCACTTGTGGTGGTGGGATCAGCAAGAATTTTGTTGGTCTCATCCTGCTCCCAATTGTCGGCAACGCCGCCGAGCACGCCACAGCAGTGACTGTTGCTATCAAAGACAAAATGGACCTGGCTATCGGCGTGGCTGTTGGCTCGTCGATGCAAATTGCGCTTCTCGTCCTACCATTCACGGTTGTGCTTGGCTGGATCCTCGGCAAAGACGACATGACACTATTCTTCGATGGCTTCCAGATCACTGTGCTGTTCGTCACTGTGCTACTAGTCAACTACTTGATTCAAGACGGCAAGAGTCACTGGTTGGAGGGCGTCTTATTAATGACGCTATATATCATCATTGCTATAGCGGCATGGTTCTGTAAGTTGATCATTCATCTCCATTACGCGATCGCCGGTGCGACTGTTTCTTGCGTGGAACATATGCTGATACGTCTCATCTAGATCCCACTTCGCCAGAGCTTTCGGATTGTCCGGCCTGATAGTAAGTGCCTGTCAGGATCTAAAATCCTGGACCGACTTGTGTTGGTGGAACGTGCAACGTAGTATCGGACGAGGGAGGCACTTCACAGCCTTCTTGGAATAGGCGTGCATTAGGGCTTCAACGGTACAAGGCACAACGTTGCAAGATAGTTTGGCGTTGTCGGTGTTTATCTTTGGCTAGCAATACGGAAGCCGTTGCAAATGATGCCAAAACATCAAATGCCTGGGAGAGGGCTTGTGGCTGCATTTAGCAGTAACAATTGACGGCCAACATTGAACTCGCATCATGGACATGCTCCAGGTGCAAGACTTTGGTCGATCCGCGAAGCTACTGTGCATGCCTGACTTTGCGTGCTACCTTGGTCTGTACGAAAGGTTGGGTCCAGTACCTTCCCTGTCATATCTGCCCATCTAGCTCGGCGCCGTATTGCGACGCAGCACCTGTGAGTGAGCTCTCAAGGATACCTCCCTTCTGTCGTTCAACATTGCCAGACCCGGGCGGCCTTTGCCAGCAGAACTAGAAGGGAGAGGTCATCTTTGAGAACAGTGAGTTTGTCTTAGCGGTCGTCAGTGGAGCCAGGTTCGCCTCGTCCCGGATCTCCACGAGGCGACGAGGGCATGCCGATGAGAAGAGCCATTTGCAGTCTGCCGTAGCTTCCTAGACACACTTCCACTCGGGTGCTTTTCTGCCACGATTCTTCTGCTTGTCACCTGGAGCGAGTCTTGAAGCGAGGACGCGCATAACGTAGCAATGACATCATTTCTTCGTTCGCCCCACGCCGTCCTCTGCCTTCCAGTAAGCACACCCTTCTGCGCTCAAGAAATGTCCGATGAGCACATACCCTCTCTAGGCGTAGAAAGCAGGTTTCGGAAACGTTTGAGCTGCTGATGCTCATCTCATTCGCCAATGTCCATCCTCTCAAGCATCTGGGCAATGCTGAGGCGACATGGGTCAGCAGACCACCCCCTATGATGCCATAGTTCTCTTTTCCATGGTGTTCAAGGTCAGGGTATTGTGAGGTGAGCAGGGGTTACTCTTGCCTTATCCTGCACATATATATTTCCTTGAGACCTACTGATCTGCCCACTGATCTGTTACAACAAGCCACATAACATAAATCACGACCTAAGTCCAAGCAAACCATCCCAACCTACAATTACTTAAGACTATTATTCACACAACCCAACACACATCATAATGAATACTCTACGCAACGGGAAGAACTGGGTGTCCTCCAAGACCCAAGGCCACTCTGCCCAGGTGCAGAAGGAGACCAACAAGCAGTAAGTGCCGTCACCACGCCTCCTGCATAACACCCTCGCTCCCCGCCTTTTACGAGCCCATCCCCCGAGCACATTTCTGACGAGTCCTGCCCAACAGAGTCGCCAAAGACTCCCATGCCCCAATCGGCACGCGCATCCGCGCCGCCGGCGACGCAGTGAAGCACTCGATCGACGAGCACAGCCACAAGCGCAATGCGGATGTCAGCAAGCATGCTGCGAAGCATAACGTTTAGGGAATGAAGAAGCTGAAACGGGGCTGGAAGTGGAAATAAAGGGCTGGGGTTCGGGGGTGGTTGAGCAGAGTGTGTCGCGGGAAGTGTGATATCCTTGTATTAGTATTGTTAGCAATTAGTGAGCTCGATATGATTGAATGACGGTAATGGATTGATGTTGAACTTGCTTTGTTCGTTGTATCGTTATTCTCTGCTGCCCAGCTTCTGCACAAATACTGCGGAATACTCCAGACCGAGGCGTCTCCATGGGATGCTTTCGCAATCCTTCGTCGCCGATGCTGATTGACGCTCCGCCTACTTCGTCTTGATATGCTTCAACGGGCCGGGCTCATGAACAAAGTTGTTCGCGTACGCCTTCGGCACGACCCTCCGCTCCTGTGGCTCCTGGACGTAATATTCATAGCCCTGCTTCTCCGCGAATCTCACAGCATCCTCCTTGGACTTGAACTTGATGTTTGTGCCCTGCATAAAGTCACCCGACGACTGCCAGCCCATCAATGGATTCTCCCATCGGTGTCCCTTTGGCAGCGGATCCCAGTCCATTCGCCATGCCATCGAGCCCCATGTGCCGGACTGTGTTGCTGGTTTGGCTGGTTTATGGATTCTGTATTCGGTTCATCAGCTCCTCACGCTTCGTACTTCAGCTCCGCTCGCCATTACTCACCTCACAACTCTCGCCTGCAAATCAACTGGCGCCCCAGACAGCACAGCGGCGGGTGTGATATCGCCGGGCTCGCTACCATTCATGACTCTTTTCGGTACAGGAGAGAACGTAGATGTGCCGTGGTCGATTGTTGCTGCGTAGTCTGGTGCATGCCGGTCCTGGTACTCCTCAACTGCCTTTTCGGGCTTTGTCTCTGCTACGACCATCGAGCTTGGTCTATCGTCGCCTGCATTGCCTCGACATCGGGGATATCGCGTGGGTTGGGCTCGCCTAGCGACCGTTGTGGTGTGGAGGAGAGGCATCTGACGGTTTGTGAGGGTCGAATGAGAGTGCTTGAAAGGGCGAAGACCCTCTGTGTGCGTAGTAGTGACATATTGGAGGGTGCGTAGTCTTCGCAGAAGGTTGATGATGCTTGGGAGAGCTCAAGTTGTCGGCTGCAGGTTGAGGCCAGCGGCTCATGATTGGTCGAATCGACCCATTTTGTCGGATGCCAAGCCTGCGCCGAAGTTCAGAGCTCCCGACTCGGACCTCAACTTTGCTCGCCGGTCGCAACGACAGCCCTCGCTCTCGACTGACGACGCTCCTTCTTGGTAAGTCGTTACCTGTCAAACTGTTGCGAGCTTCTAGGAGCCTCTGGCTGACACGAATCCCAGCTCTCACCATGTCGTTCGTCATCCGCCGAAGCGTCTCAACTCTCGTCCCTCCCAAGGTAAGCTACCTGGTCCTACACCTTCCCTTCCTGCGCGAGCGGCGTCACTGACAATGAGAAACGCAGGTCGCAAGTCCAGCAGTGAGTCTTTGATTCCCCCGAATCCCCCGACAAACGCCAGCCCACAGGAACGAGACGGCAATCACCACTTCCAAGGGTCCCCCATACCCTGCGCAAACCTCCCACCCCCACCGAAACCCGACATGTTGAGTCAGTGCTAATTCACACAAATGACACAGGGACTCAGCGCCGCCAAAGATGCCGTGCGCATGGCACGGATAGCAAAATTCTACGAACAGCTCCCCAAAGGTCCCGCTCCGGAAATAAAGCCATCGGGTCTGATCCAGCGGTACCAGGCCAGGTACATGGGGCCGAAGAACAACAGTGCTGCTCGTATGTGTTTCTTTTCCTTCTTGGTTGTAGTGCGGCATAGTTTCTGGGACATGAGACAGCGAGAACGGGAGCAAGAAAGTCTTGATGCAGCGTTTTGAACGGAATGGAAACATGCATGGTTACGCGGAGGGTTTTTCGTTTCAAGGAGAACATATGCTGACGGTGACGACCACTACAGCGATCTGGCACGCGATATTGGGCATCATGACGTTGGGATACAGCATGGAGTACTACTTCCATCTGAGTACGTTTGCCCCTGTTCCTCTACAAACTACGAGGCCGGTCCGGCATAACTGACAAGCTCGAACTGCGAACAGGACACCACAAGAACAACGCGCACTAGAGTCTTTTTCGTTCGCCCAACCGCCGAAGACAATACAGCAACTTCGGTAGGAGAGAGGTCACGATCGCCGGAATATGTCGAGGATTTGACAAGCGAGACGACCAAGGGCAATCGTGAGTGGGTGTACGCTGCGACTCGCGATACAACGTTTCCGTCGGCTCGAGGGCTGTGTATAGATACGGCGTGCTCTAGCTCCAGCAAGTACCGAGAAATCAAAAAGACACTTTTGATACACAGCATCCGAGTTCAAACCACAGTCTGATTATTGGCTAGGGAGAATTCACAGTGTCGTTGTCTGTTCCCAGCCTCGATCTTCTCCAGCAAGAACCCACACTATGTCTATCAACTGACATCGAATCCCCCAGCCCTCACCTCTAATAACTACTAGGCAAAACCCCCAACCTGCCCCCATCACTAACAACCACACACCCATTCACATACGCGCCCGCCCTGCCACACAACCACAGCACCAATCCCCCCATGTCCAACTCATCCCCCGTCCGCGTCGCGGGAACCGTACTCTTCGGCCAGTTCCCCTCCACCGCGTGATTCTCTGCACTCTTGCCCTGCGCGGCATACATCCCGCCCGTCATCTCCGAGAGGTACAAGCCTGGGGCGATGACGTTGCATCTGATATCGTAGGGCACGAGGACGGTGGAGAGCTGTTTCGACATGTGGATCAGTGCGGCTTTGGAGGGGCCGTAGGAGAGGTTGCCCAGTGGGCGGCGGTTGTATGCGCCGATTGACGCCGTGGTGATGATTTGCGGGCGCGGGCGGAAGTTTGTTGTGTTAGGAGGGGGGCGGTGGTTGTTGGCTTCGATGAGCAGGGGGAGGAAGGCGGCGACGGTGAAGTGCACGCCTGTCACGTTGACCGCGTACGTGGAAGTGACCGCGTCGGCGTCGGCAGACCACATGTTCTGCACGAGTTCTTCCGCTGGGAGGGGCGAGCCGTCGGGCTGGAAGGTCTTTACTTGTGGGCCGGAGATGCCGGAGTTGGCGACCAGGACATCGATAGCGGATGTGGAATGTGTCGACTTGATGGCTTCCACGGCGGCAGAGAGGGAATCTTTGGAGGAGACGTCGCATTGGATTGGGATGATGGTTTTGGTGGGGACGGTGGAGGCGACGGACTCGAGTGAGGGGAGGCGGCGGCCTAGGATGAAGACTTTGGAGGCCCCGTTCACCGCGAGGGCGCGCGCCATATAGGAACCAGGCCTGGGAGTGGGCGGGTTAGTACATGGTCGTTCGGCCATGAGGGCAATGGTGGTGAGATGGAGACCAAAAACATCCGCTAGGGTCGTAAAGGGAAGACAGTAAAATCGCCGTTAGGACGGCAGCTTGCCCTTCAAAGGGCGCCAGGCGAAGGGTCACCTACCACTACCGCCTCCTGTAATCACCGCAACGAGTCCATCGACACCGAACAAGTTCGCTGCCGAGAGTTTCTCGTTGGCTTCGCTGTTGCTGGTTGAGCCCATCGCGGCAGAGTTGTGTTGAGATGGCTGCTCTGGCTGGATGCTGATCGCAGGAGGGATGCACTGCCGTACTCGTCCTTCAAGATGCAATTCAAGAAGGCCGACGATATGTTGGTGTCCGGATCGACTACAACGACTGGTTGTGCTGTATTTATATTCGGCTTTCCTTGCGAAAGACGTAGGAGTCTCGTCTTCCTGCTTATGTCGGTGTGGTCACTAGTGGTTTGAAAGACCGACTACTGTCTATGGCGACATCTGCTTGCTTACCAAGAGAAAAAGGCAGCTGTTTAGTATTATCGGATGTCCAGATAGTACTGCCGCGTAGAGCGGACATCCCGAGGTGGCATGGAGATCAGTTGCGAGGACTGCATGACGTGCGTGCGTGGGGACACCCCGTAAACACCTACCTATCTGGAGCACCAATAATGATCATGATCCATTGCCTTCACCCAGTAAGACGTTATCAGGCAATAGGTCGCCGACGCGGTATGTTGAGAGCACAGCGCCAGTTGGGAATTGTGAACGTCTTCAATATGATGACTAACTGTACATCTGACCGGCCTCGTACCTTCAGTGGGTGGCCTTCACGATCACTGAGCCTGCGGTCTATTCGCCTTGTCTCGCCGACACCAAACCTGACGCCTTACAATGCAACGAAAATGATGTTGACCTGGCAATACGAGTAGGTTATGCCTTAATCTCGTATTGTCGACGGAACATGCCATCAACCTCGGTCAGGTAGTAGGTGCCAGGTCGGATGTCTTCGAGCCCTCCTGCGGGCTTGAAATCCTTCTGCAAATGAGCTTTTTCGCGGAGTAGGCACATCTGTCACTGTCAGCAGGCATATTTCTGTCGTGTCGGAGCGGCAAAGGGAGCATACCTCATCGTAGACCTCCGGCGCAACCACCTTGCGCCCATCCAAGCGCTTCTGAAGGTCCAACTTCTCGGCCATTTCACTAGTGTCGCCAACAATCTTGAGACTGAAGAGAGCACTGGCCAGACCGCTGCCATAGCTGAAGACTCCGACTCTCTTGCCCTCGAATTGCTTGGGTGCGATGTTGCTGATCAGACTGACAAGACCGCCGTAGACGCTGCCGCAATACATGTTACCGCATTGTGTGGCAACCTGGATAGAGGGCTGGACGCGCGCTTGGAAGCGCTTCTTGGTCAGGGCCATGAAAGTCTTTTCAACGTTCTTGTCGGTCAACGAGGCCTTGTAGTCGATATCACGGAGCGCCTGAGCAACCTCGGCAAACGCAGGGTCGGAAGGATTGCTGAGGAAGTCGTTGTAGAGCATACGGGCGTACGATTTCGATACCAGTTTGCAGGTAGGTGCGTGAAATGCGAGATAATCGAATCGATCAATGGGCGTGTCCTGGGATTCTTCCTTGTGGCCATTGCCATTTGCGTGGCCATTCAATCGAGCCTTCAAGGTCTGTTCGCGGGCGTTGTAGGCCGCATAGCACTTGTCCACGGCCTTGGTGTAGCATTGCAATGAAAATTGGCCGTCGACATAAGGGTACTCGCTCGTCAGATCAGGCTTGTAAAAGTCGTAAGCGTGCTCGATGTGAGTTCCACGTAGTCCCGGCTCGAATGCAATCGGCGCATCCGGACCGATCAGCATAGCGACACAGCCAGCACCACCTGTCGGGCGAGCATTGCCTTTCTTGTAGAGCGCAATGTCTCCAGCCACGACGATAGCCTCCCGGCCATCCCAGGCAGAAGACTCAACCCAGTTCACCGCATTGAAGACAGCGTTGGTGCCGCCGAAGCACGCATTGACCGTGTCGATACCCTCGACGTTGTGGTTGCCGCTCTCTTCGAACAGCTGCATGAGCACTGACTTCACGCTCTTGCTCTTGTCCAGCATAGTCTCTGTGCCAACCTCGAGGCGACCGATGTTCTTGAGGTCGATGTTGTATTTCTTGATCAAGGATGAGAGCGTCGTCAGGGCGAGTGAGTAGATGTCTTCCCGGTCGTCGCAGAAGGACATCTTGGTCTGACCGAGGCCGATGGTGTATTTTCCTGAGGCAACGCCATCGAACTTCTCGAGTTCAGCTTGATCGACGCACTGCGGTCAAGTCAGTGTGAGCACATGATCTGTAGCGAGGAGCGTACCTGGGAGGGGAAGTAGATCTCGATGGCCTTGATGCCGATGTTCTGTGGTCGAGTTGCCATGATGGAGGTATACGAAGTCTTTCGTACAAGGGGTCAACGACAGACAGTAGTTTTATTGCAGATTAGCAGAGGCGGTGAGATGGTCTGGTGAGAGTGTGGGGTGGTGATCAGCAGGGTAGATCAGTCTTTGAGCACTCGGAAGTGTAGCGGGCAGCGGTGAGGTGTCTGAGATAGAGAAGGTAGTGACAGTGGAATTGATTTATCTAACGATCCTGCTTCAAAAGGTTCTTCCCAGTAGTTTGTATACTGTACTGTCGCCTCCCGCTCAAACGGTAGCTACGCTCTGCCCACTGGAATCGTCACAAGCCGGAACAAGGAAAATATTATTTTGTTGAAGCCGGGGCTTTCTCTTTAGCGGCGTTCGAGCCAATCATCACTGCTCTGTCCCTGAAAAGTAGTGGGCCTGGCACCCCTGCCTGCATGGCTCGTGCAGTCGCGCCACTCTTTCGACGTTTCTTCCGTCCCTCGCAGATTGCTAGATCGCGGCTCAAATGCCTACGTATTTGCGCTCGGGAGCATCAGGGTCATGAAGCATGCAATTCCGCATGAGAAACTGTGTATGGGACGACCTCTCCATTCATCGAGCCTGTCCCATACGTACATGCGCTCGCGCTCACCGTTAACGTGGAAGCGTGTTGGACTTACCGATAACGTGGAAGCGTGTTGAATAACGACAGCAAGCACAACGGGAGAATACAAAGACTGAAGCGTCCCAAGTCGGCCACCAGCTCTTCGTCACTCAGCGCTCCTGAGTCACTCACAGTATTCGGAGTGATGCTTTCTGCAGTGTCGTGGAAGACTGTGGTCCCAGTTCCGGGCAACCTGAAGCTAGTCCACAGGGACCATACCACTTGTAGCCACTTCTCAGAGTGCAGATGTATTCGTGGTCGACAGAGCGGCATTTCGTCTGCAGGTGTGAAAAGCCGTCGCCGAAGCAACATTAGGTTGACTCAAGCATTGCCGACAGCTGCTACTTACCTAGCTCCTCAAGACTGTGGTGTCGAAGTCGGTCAATGACTCCTTGGAAGGGCTCCTCAACGGAAGACGAACAATGTTCAGTAGCAAACAAGTCACATACCCGTCAGCTAAACGCTGCACGGTACTCACAGAATCGTGGCACTTGAGTCAGCCGTGATGATCGACGTCGAGGCAACTCCAGCAGACGGCGCACTTCACCCATGCCCTTGCGTGTGGACGCCACCAGTCCGATTCGTTAATCATGCTGGTGCCGCATGCCAAAAGCCTATAACAGAATGGTCTGCGCAAGTGCAGCTCGGAAGTCGTCGCGTAGGTAAAATTTGTCTGTCCAGAGAGGCTGTAGCTTCATGGCCGTCAGTGATAACACTTTGTACTCATACGGAACTCTTGCGCGGATACATGAATCGATCAGACTGTTGAGCTTGAATTTTTGATCGCCACATCTGCGTTTGACGGCATTCGTTGTTGATCTGAGATGTATAGCATCTTTGAGAAACAGGGCATTGGAAACGCTCAATGAGTACTTACGCAGATCTAGTAAGGAGTCTTCAATATCCAATCGTGCACGGACTCCAAAAGTGCTGTTTCAATGGGCCTGGCGAGTGCAGGCTCACAACACCAGATGTGGGTCACGCGGCAATACGATAGCATTGGGCCTGAGGGACCTTGGAAGAGGACATTTGCAGAAGCCGTAGAACATTTTTGAGCGGCACTCTCTCGAAGGCTCTGTCTTGGCTCTTGCAAGGCTGAAACATGGATGCGGTGACCGCTTTGCGCCCCGCCAAATTGGTAAACAGCAAACTTGACTTCTTTTTCACATCGAACAAGACAGCGTGCGGTCTGGCATTCGCGGTCCAATATCCTCTGCTGTGATTGAATCGTTCGCAGTTGGCCTTCTCTGTCGTGCGATCGGTACCATCCCACGAAACAGCTACATCCTCGCCCACCATGGCCGGTACGAACGAGCCTCATCTCAAGCCCACCATATGGATCTTCTACTGACTAGATGACTGCAGACTTCAACGGGATCGCCGGTAATAGCGCAACAGACTCTCTACGAGCATCTTCTGACCACGGCTAGATCAATTCGTTGAATTCTACTACAAGACCTTCGATTCGGACCGAAGCCAGCTTGCTGCGCTCTACGTAAGAGACTCAACAGAGAAATTGCGGTGCACGGGAGGAGACTGATAGACACACACAGCGTCCTGCATCTATGCTTACCTTCGAGTCGAGCCAAACCCAAGGGGCCAGCAACATCATCGAGAAGCTCTCAGTAGGTGACTTCCGGCTGGTATTCCAGGCCAGTAGCTAAGTGTGACAGTCACTCCCATTCCAGAAGGTTCAACATCGGGTAGACACAAAGGACGCGCAGCCATCGAACGAGGGGGGAGGTATCCTTGTCATGGTCACCGGAAGCCTCATTGTCGACGATCAGCCACAGCCTATGAGCTATGTCCAGACTTTCCAACTCGCGCAAGACGGTGGCAACTACTACGTCCAGAACGACATATTTAAGCTGGTGTATCCCGCCGGTGCTTAGACTGCGTGGTCTGAACTGGCTTCGTGCCGAGCGACACGGTCCGCCTGGTGCAGCAATCCTGGTGAGAGTAGCAGCTGGGCAATACAGGGCCATCAGCATGCGAGCGGTGCCCTCAGGACGCGAATGACGGAGAGGTGGAGGCATGTGAGACGAGGGAAAGATGGAATATCGCGAACAAACACCATTGAGCTCTTGATCCCAACGTCATAGCGAGAGCGAAGGCTCGCGAAGGCTTTGACTGGTGTTCTGGAATGAGATAAATTGTGCGAGCGCATAAGTAGCACTGATCCAGTCCAGATGTGATAAGCGCTCAAGATTGCTGCCTGGGTTGTACTTGAATATTCGCCTGAGCTCACACACGGTCAACCTCTCGCCAGCCCAACACAGGCAGAACTGTTATTCGCACTGGTCCTTTACGTCATGGCTGCGTGTCGGAGGGCGACTTTTGCCATAGCAGTAGTCGAACTTAGCTTGAATATAAAAGCTCATCGTTGAATTCACCAAAGATCAACGCCGGGCAAGGAATTTACTAATCAGGACTAGCGTCAGGGCCGAAGTGTTGCGCAACAACGGCTGGCAGTGCAAGGGAATTCTGGAGTCCGGGTCGCCTGTTGTCTGCTGTTTCATACTCGGTGATCAGCAGACTTATTATAACAGGAACCATCCATTGCGACTCACAACTCGCGCGGTACGATTGAGCATCTTGCTAGCACTCACAACACTTCGCTCTCGCCATTCGAGCATTCTCCGGCGCCGAATCTGGACACCTCGACCGTCAGCGCTGCGACAATCTATCAATTTGTACCTGTTCAAACAGAATAGTCACAACAGGCCTGCGACGCGATGACGCTCGCCGATGAATTCAGGTCGCGGAACTTCTCGATCTATGGACAGTGGTGCGTTCATAACTCTTCCCATCAGCACGGGCGCAGGGAGTCCCTGCGCCGCAACGACAACGAATACTAATTATCGACCAGGCTCGGCGTTCTATGCATCATCTTGGGCTTCGCTCTCGGAATCGCCAATATATTTCACTTCAACCTCCTCATACTCTTTAGCATCATTCTGCTGTACGACGGTCCATGCCTATGCACTGCCGGAGGTCTGACTGACATGTGCTAGGGTGTGCTCATTCATCCTCATCTTCATAGAGATCCCACTACTCCTACGGATCTGTCCGACGTCTGCCAAATTCGATGTCTTTATCAGGCGATTCACGACCAATTACATGAGTATGTTTCAAATCCAATCGCGAGAAGGACAAAGCATAACAAGTGGACTTAGGAGCCGCAATCTACGGTCTCATGAGTCTTGTGCAATGGCTGAGCATAATTGTCGATGCAAGCAGCCTCATCGTCGCCGCCGTTTTCCTGATGCTCGCAGGCGTCTGCTACGCGCTTGCCGGTCTCAAGCACCAAGATTTTGTTGGAAGTAAGACCCTTGGAGGACAAGGCGTCGCGCAAATGATTGTATAAGAGAAAGCTCGCATTTCGTGGCAGCAAATTGGGTTGCTTCACGTCTTGTTCCTGTGCGAGATGGGTTAGAAAAACTTCTTACAGGTCTGTATAACAAATGACGCTGCTGCGTGGCCCAGAAAAGTTGGGCGTTACGGATCAAGCATTCGAGCACTGATGGTGCCGGCACTTGATGGATGGTGCAGACAGGTGCCTGTGATTTTCGGCACGGCACATCATCGACGACCGGATACGAGGGTTCATCTTTTGGAAAGGTTAAATGCCACACCAATATGTGTTCAGAGCCATTGCGACTGCTTCCGCAGCCGCATTCATCGGCAACCTTGGAACAAGGTCCTCTACCAAGGTGGAATACGTGAGTCAACACGACGTTCTTCGAAAAGGACTTTGTATAGAATATAATTCGGCTTCTTATCGACGAGCACAACGTCAGAAGATCGCTGCCGGTAATCTGAAGAACTCCCTGTGCAGGTGGCTCATCCCAATTTCTCCACGTGGCTGCGCCAAACAAGAGATGTGCCTGAAATAGCTCCTAAGCCCCAGATCCTGAATGCCCAGAACACAGCATGGGTGGCGCTGCCCTATGGCCGCCTTAAACCACTATGGCAATGGTTCCCGCCCCCATACGAGAAGGAGCTGCAGCATTGACGCTTCATTGAATTGTCGTTTTCAAGATCTTTTCGATGTTCGACGTTACCGACCTCTATAGATTCTGGTCGTTGTATACAATATGATTATCTCGTAACAAAGTTTTTAAGCCATAGAATTATGGATGATGAGCCCGGCTATCTCCAGATCCCCATTACCGAACATGAACATGAACGCGTCCGAGCGCGACAGAGATCCAGATCTGATGCCAGCTCCCGACTACTTCATCCAGACTCCGAGTCTGTCTACTCTCAGGGTTTTGACGACACTCACTCGGGCAATTCCTCGCAAACGCCCAGCCGCTTTCCGTCAGTAAGAGGAGAGTCAGCAGGGCCCGCCGAACAATTGTCAGCACCCCGCCGTTTCCACTCATATCAGGGCGGCGCCCAATATGCCGCCATCTCGCCCATCGACGAGGAGGACAGCAATGTCGCCGATGCCGCCAGCGAGGCGCCCTCTGGCAGGCCACGCACCATCCCACAGTCCGAGCTGTCATACTCGCCTCTCGTTCCTCTTCCGGAACTCTGGACGCCAATATGGCTTCGGCGCTCGACCCTGGCGGCATTCATAGTATTCTTCATCCTTTCTATCATCATTCTCGTTGTCCTCTGGGTACTCTCGAGGACGCGCTCCGGCTTCGAGATCCACTTCACGGGACCGCATCACGCCTACTGGGTGTATTTTCCTACCATTCTCGTCATCTTCCTTGTCGGTCTTTGGCGGCAGGTCGACTTCCATACCAAGTCCCTCACACCATGGGACGAACTTCAGAAGGGTCCCGTTCAGCCCACCAAAAGTCTCTTGCTCGATTATGTGAGCTCACTACAGATTGTAGCGTTATTTCAAGCGTTTATTCACAACCATATACCCATTGTTGCGACGGTGTCGGCGTTTATGTTTTTCAAGATCATCACTGTATTTTCGACTGGTTTGTTCATTTTACTGCCCCAGGATGTGGAGCAGGGCGGCTTTCCTTTGCTGGGAACATCAACGTTTGCATCGAATGTGGTGAATCTGGACAGTATCACAGCAGCGCCAGTGAGCGCATTTCAGGGGACGGCATATCAAGGCATACCTCAGGCGCCTGGTGTATGGACGGACTTGGCATATACGACCTTTCGCTACGATCAGAGCAGGAACGAGAAGCTGGCGGACAATGCGACTTTTACGGCGGACAGAGATGCGTTTGTGCCTTCTATCACATGTCGGATTGTGGAGATAAGGCTGGACGGCAACAAGACGACGGAACAGTCGCCTGGTGGAGATGTGTATGGCAATGGCGTTCGCTTCGCGATCGACAACGACGACATCTGCAGCAAGTGGCCTGCAGTGCTTGTACAGACTTTGAATCCTCAAAAGCAAATTGCGCCTACGAGTCAGATCTTTGGTTCAATACAAGCCTTGACTTGTGACTCGAACGAACCAGCAGCACTGCTGTTCTCGCTTCTCGACGTTGCCTTCGAACAGAGTCTGCGCGATGGATCCATACAGCTAGCCATAGCTGGAGACGATGTCGCGACTAGCTCTTCTCGCACAGTCAACAACATGGCAAACGTCCTCTGCCAAGCCTCTCATACCATAGCGACCGTTACGGTCAGCAACGATACTCTTACACAGGACTCGCCCACACAGGGTGTTAGTCTTGAACTGGCGGGAGAAGCACGGAACAGGACGCTTGAGGATTTGTCGGATGGTGCGCTCATGTCTGCCTTCGGAGGAATCGCGAATGTTTCTGGCAACATGTTTGGGCAGACTCCTGGATCAGATAGTACTAGTGGTCTATTCACACTACTGGCCATGCATTTCGGGCGCCGAGACACGAGTCGCTTACTGAACGCAGACGACCTCATGCGGGCTATCGATCCGACTTTTAAGGGCATCATGGCGCAATATGCCATCAGAGCCTGTCACAGTCAGCTAACAACGAAGTCAATGGTCGAGCAGTCAGGCGAGAGACCAGATACTGGGTCAACGAGGCATCAGCCGCTGTAATGATCGGCGCTCTACTCGTCGGTGTTGCCGCAGCAGGTACATTACTCTTTCGGGCACCTCGAGGCGTAGTTCCTCGCAATCCCGGACCAATAGGGGCTAATGCCGCAGTCTTGACGAACTCGATCGAGCTCAACCGCCTGCTGCGTCGTGGAGGCATCCCGAGCAAGACTAACTCGGAGGTGGCTGTCGACGGGTATGAATTCGGAACTGCGATCGCAACGACAGAGCATGGACAGGCGTCGTTCAAGATTGTCACATCCGAAGGTGTGCATGACTACAACACGCCAGCTCCGGACAAGACCTTGAGATGGTGGCACCCAATCACGTCCAGCATCTTCTTCGTGATTCCGACCGTCGCGCTACCAATTCTTTGCATCGGCTTGCTCGAGTTCATACAGAGCAAAAATGACGATGGAATCGTCGGCGTTCCAGACAATGTTGCGACTGACATTTACACACATTATATACCCGCCTTGGTCATGGTGATTATCGCATCGATGGTAAACTTGATTGATTTCAACATCGCTGTATTCACACCATGGTCGGCTCTTTCCAAGGGCGCTGCGACTCACAAGAAGAGCATTTTGGCGTACTATCTTGGCATTACACCTCTCGAGGCTGCCTTCCGTGGCTTTCGGGTCCGGCAGTTCAACATTGTCATCTCGACACTCGCCACAGTGGTGGCAAGCATCCTCACCATCGTGGCTGCCGGCTTGTACAATGGCGACAGGTTCAGAACAGAAGGAACGACCATCAATCTTGTCCAGTCGGATTCGTTCAACCTCCGGTGGACTAATAGTAGCTTCTCGGACAATGGTGCTGCAGGAGTGCTGAACTCTGTAATCCACGACAATTTGACTTACCCGGAGTTCACGTATCGAAACGTGGTTCTGCCGTCTTTCTCTCTCGAGGATGGCGATCTGTCCACCACGAACGGCACGACCCGGGATACCGCTAAGAACCTAACGGAAGTCACAGTTGACGCGCTCTTGCCAGACCTGCGCTGCTATCTAGTGGATCGCAACTTCATCACTGTGACGTCTGCCGACTCTAACGTTGATGTGAACGTACAAGCCACATTACCAGACGAGTGTCAAATTGCGGGTGTTGGCGGTGATGCGAGCTTTGTTTCATTCGATACGACCTTTGAGGTGCCCTCTAATGGGACTTTGATTGGTGGCCGACAATTCGATCTGCTATTTGGCGACGGTGGCTCGCTCGTTAATAATGTCCTTCAGAGTGACCAGCTGAATCTGTCCTCGTTGATCAGCGACAATCCAGCGATTGGCTGTCCGAGTCTGGCTTTCGTCTACGGCTCCTTCTCCGCCTCAGCCGAAGATGCCACCGACATCACCGCGATGCTCTGCTGGCAGCAGGTGATGTCCGTCCGCAGCACTTTCAATCTGGTCTCCAACACCACTCTTATCGATGCGAAGAGGGGCGTGACGGTCGATCAGTCTGACGCCAAGTTCTTCGTCAATCCCGTCACAGATGCCACGGGCTCTACTCGCGATGACGAGAAAGATCCTGATACCATTTTCAATTTTCGCATCCAGGGCAATCTTGCACGATCTTTCCGCCCGTTCAGAGACACGCCGAACGATGATACACGGGATTTGGACCCCTTCTTCCAAGGCGTCCTCCACGCCGATCCATCCACCACAATTCAAGCCTCCACATTGATTGGCGAAGACAATCAAAGCGACCTCTTGACTGCCATCTTGAACTTCTACCGACTTTACATGGCACAAGCCATCTCACTGAACATGCGATCTGCTCTCTCAGCTTCCTCCCTCAGCGCCCGACAGGACGCTGCACCCCTCGCAACAATTCCCACAACCCTGACAAGCATCCGTCTCGTCCAAGACAAGACCACAAAACTCATCCTCCAAATCCTCCTCGCTCTTACCTCAACTCTTACCCTGGCGGCCTGGCTTCTCACACGCTTCCGTCGTGTCCTGCCACTCAACCCTCTTTCCACCGCAAACCACATGTCCCTCCTAGCAGGTTCCGACCTCGCGCACACCGAAGAGGCGGACGACGACCAAGGTCTGTGTGAGTGCTGCGGCAAACCACGCTCCAAGCCCCACAGCGACGCCGTCTCCATGGTCGAAGACGCTGCGAGCAGTCGTGGCCGACCCACAAGCTCGCGCTCCGATGCAGCACGCTTAAGCGTGCCACCAGGCCTCGAGTTCGATCAGCGGACCTCCTCCCCACGCGGATCCCGTGACGGCGTCGTGCCAGTTGGGGCGGAATGGTGGGGCGCGGAAGCTGGCTCAGGCACCCGCATCCCTGTGCTCGGTCGCGGCAAAGCTGCCTTGACGAAAGAAGGCAAGGGGAAATGGGAGGTCGTCTTCGCTGGCAGGCGGTATTCGATGGGCTGGTGGAAAGATAACCCTGCCCGAGGGCGCATGCGCCGACGCTTCGGCGTCGATGTCGGCGAACGAGCAGATGGCGATGAGGACGACTGGATGCTCGGCCGACGACGGCTGCGGAATAGCACAGAGGGCAGCGTTGGGATGCGATTTGATGGCAGCACTAGCCCCAACCGTGGCGGGCTCAGCAACACCACGACCCAGTCCCGCAGTCTCGGAGAAGAAGCAGCACCCTATGAAGGTCGTGGCTACGGCCCCGGCCTCCAACCGCCACAAGACCCAACGCATCGGTACTATGACCCGCACCAAAACTCCTCTATCCGCCCACGCCCCAGCAGTGACCTAGGGTATTCGACTCAGCGCCAAAACATCACGTCCCTTACCTCCTCAATAGACAACAACAATCAGTACACCTACACTGGACCCTCCGCCACCCCGTCCCAGCCCACAGGCGGCACAGCGGCCGGCGTCCCCTGGTCGCTAGGCGCAAGAAGATTGCGGACAGCAGGGGAGAACGTAACGCCGAGTATGCGGTTCGAGGCACCAACGCCGACGGACTATATACCAATGTCGAGGGGTGGGAGGGCGTTAGATGCGCCGCCTGAGTTGTCGCCGGCACTGATGGCAGGTGGCTATGGAGAAGGTGGATTGCGGAACGAGGGTATAGCGAGCAGTGATCGAGGCGATGGGAGTGAGCAAGAGGAGAGCGAGGATGAGTGGGGTGGCTCGGATGAAGGGGATGGGGATCTGGGTGACATGGGAAGAGGGAGTGGAAGGGGTACTGGTGGGGCAGGAGGTGGTGTGAACTTCTCGAGGCCGGGCGGGGGATATCAGCGGGTTGGTGGCGGCGGAGGAGAGGCTTAGGTCTCGATTTTAGATCAATGCCTTCGGGTATATTTGGTTTTGCATACTTGTATATATGGTCCGGGCGGTCTTTGTCAGATGATACATGTACAGATGATCAGCGGAATGAAGCGAAGCATATTTTGTTCATGTGCGATCTTTGATTTGTGTTTATGGAGTGCTTTCATATCGAAAGGCAGCTATCTATGCATTTCGTGATAAGGATATTTGGTATCCGTGGACGTTCTGAGCAACGGTTTGGGTGGTGGACCGGTAAAGATGTACCTCGAGGGTGCGTGCTTTGGCGTGTTCGCTTTGCTCTGATGATGTTTGGTCGCTTTCGGTGGCGTTTATGCGACGTCATGTTGGGTGAGGGCCACCTGGTCGGACGTTCGTCACCAGGCACGCCAGGTCCGATTTGCATACGAGCGCCCGCGCTCCAATTCCAAGGCTTTCCGGTCCCAGGCTGCTACCTCTTCATCTGACGGAAGACGGCACCCTTTGCACTGACATCGATTATTTTGCGGATCATGCTCGGGTGGTGTAGGGCATTCATGGATGAGATGTCCTGAGCCGCCACACCGACCGCACGGAACTCCCCACAACTTCTCGTCTGTGACACCAGGGCAGCTGGGGCTGGGGCTGCCAGCTGCATTGGTATGTCCTCGGCCGCCACAAGCACCGCAGGACATGTATTTCTTAGGTCTTCCTGTGAACAAACGATCCCAATCGGACTCATCGTCAGTGGCAGCGCTGGGAGGAAGCTATGGTCTGCGTTAGACTATGTTTCCGGCCATCGTAGGGTTTACATACATTATCGTCGCCACCAAACGGTATGTTGTCCTGCTGCTCCCATGTATTATGGGGACTAGAAGCACGTTAGCATGTCGCGAGCCCTGGGCACTGCTAATTATCTGTACTCACTCGTTGTTGTCAGTCGACCACGATATGACTTCTCCCTTGTTGGCAGGAGCAGCAACCGGCAAGTGACCATAGTCAGGGACTCCAGACACGAGTCCGTTGACCTTCTCCGACAACGTTGACGCTCCGTTCTGGATCTTGCCAACAGCATCTTTGAGAGCCCGAGATTGCTTGCTCTTCTCAACATCGATTAAGTACATTGGTGGGTACACAGCATTGCCACGCCATTGCTTCAAACCCTCTCGGACGAGGCTGATATTCTCTTCGACTTCCGTCAGAACATCCTCGACCTCATCTGCAAACCTCAGGCGCTGAATACGGCGAGCACGGTCTTGGAGGACTTTTTCGTATCCGGTCTCTGGTAGCACGCCTGCGATGTGGTCGATGAACTCGCGCATGGCGGCCAGCTCATGGGGACCCGGCATGGCGGACGTCAAGGTCTGAGGTGGTGAATTTGAGCGGGAGGTGACCGAGTCGGAGTTGGAAGGGGTGTATTGAGCCATCGTTGGGGGGATGCGATCGAGGACGATGGGATATGAGAAGAAGTTGGTTGAAGTGTTTGGTCAATGGAGATGAGGGAGAAGCGGAGATTTTCTAGGTAGAATCTTCCTGGTCGCGCTGCGGTGGTCGCACGAATTCACTATCATCGGCAGGGAATTTCACTATAGCAACGGTATTGCATGTGGAGCTCGGGTTCGTCGATTTGACGTAGAGACGTCGTTCTTCAGGTTTATGTCACAGTAGTAACTCACCGGTCTAGCCTGAACACTCTCACAGCATTCTCCCCAAGAATCATCTTCTTCCTCTTCTCGTCATTCTTGCAGACTCCTTCGATCGCGCTCAAGTTACTCTCCACACTCAACCACTTCTCCTCTCCACCCTCGGTCTGCAGGGGCGGGAAGAAGGGGTGATCAGTTCCGAACATCAGCCTTTCCCATCCACTTCCGTCGCCATCTGCACCACCAGCTGCTTGCAAGGCCGCTTTCATGCCTGGCTCACCATAGACTACAGCGTCAAGGTAGATATTAGTCTTCAGGACTTCCCAAAGTGACCGCACTGGACCAGGTCTCTCGCCACCATTCACTGTAAATTCTCGTTCGTGTGCCACACAGCTTTCAATACGACCTGCCAGGAAGGGTAGCGTGCCGCCTGAATGTGCTAGGAGGAAAGTCAAGTCTGGATGTCGGTCGAAGACGCCACTCAGGTAGACACGTGTGATGGCGATAGTCGTCTCAAGAGGGAAGCCAGGGCAAGTGGCAGTACATGGCCATAGTTGGCGGCTGTAGGGCCGAACGAGCTTGCTGGTAGGCCATAATGAGGATGTAGAAAGATTGGTGTCTTCGTTGATGCCAGAGCAGACCAGATAGGGTCCAGGGCCGGATCGTCGAGTCCAGCACCGAGGCCAGATGTGCCATGATGACGCCTTTGGTGTATTTCAGGTTCGAAAGTGACTTGATGCTAGAGACAATCTGGTCCATGGGCGCTGACAACGGCAACGACGCAAGAGCGTACAGCTTCAACTGCGAATCTGTACGGGCATTCTGCTCGGCACATGCCTTGTCAAAGTCTACATTGATCTGAGCGGCTGTCTCTGCTGCACTTGAAGGGTCCAGAAAGTCGAGCCAGGGATTTGCTAGGCTGACTATACTGTGCGTGATGCCATGTTTCTGCATGAAAGAGAGCTTGGCATCAAAGGAGGAGTAGCTCACATCAACAGGTCGGCCTCGTTGAGCTGGCGGTTTGTTGGGATCATCGTCTGAAGGCAATATGATGAGTCGTGGGTCGCCTTGATCTGGGATGTGGATGTATGGGACTGATGTGCGAGTCGAGAGGAGTTTGATGTATGACGGTGGGTACATATGGGTGTGCACATCGACGAGAAGGGGAGCTGATGGGGCCATGGCGTCTTTTCACCACGAGATCCTACGCCTGGCTGGCCACCACATTCGTGTGCTGTCTGTGCAACCCTGTCGACGTTGTCAAAAACTTTTGGAAAGGTCTCCCAGCCCGATAAACCTCTATTGCCGTGAACGTAGCAATCCTCCGTCCGTAGATTAGCGATGCCGGACTTGTACAAGGACTTCTATCCAGTTCGGTCGTCAGCAACTGGTCTTGCTGGAAAAGTGAGCATGAGTGCCATGAAGTTGGCAGAAGAGAAAAGATGTTGAGGAAAGAAGCAGTTAGTAAAGCGAAACATCAATGTAAATGGAGTACGGAGACGGCCGCCTCGTTATCTCTATAAACCTAATTGGATCCTCTTCGACCTCCTCCTTGCTCAGCGTGCCTAGCTGAGCCGTGCTCAACCCACTGCCGAATACTGGATCCTCATGTTCCATGGGATCATATGAGAGGTAGGTCTGCTGCATTAAAAGGGCAAATCTCGGAGGTCGCTCTATCGCGCTCTGAGCACAATCTGTCACGCGGCTTTGTTACCTTCTGGGCGGCCTTCCCCAAGGCAGGGCGAGGTCTTGATCTACTTAAAAAAGCCCGTACATACCATCTACAGTGCCGAAGAAGCTACGAGGATGGGTTCAGCCGTCGTCGAGCCCAATGGCGCTCCCAAGGCAGTGGAAGCCGATGGTCTGGTCATGCCAGTACGCCTTAGTACCTCATCCCCGCGCGCCTCCCATCCTAATGCCTGCGCCAGATTATCAACTTCTCACAATTCACGAAGGGCGATATCGCCACCAGGAAGGCTGTTGCAGACTCCATACTCCATGGCTTTCAGACTTCCGGCTTCATATACCTCACTCACCATCCTATCTCCCTCGACACCATCGCCAAATCCTTTGAACACTCTGCATCATTTTTCGCCCGGCCACAGCCCGAGAAGGACTCCCTCTGCTGGACCACACCACAGTCCAACCGCGGCTATGTTGCATCAGGCCGCGAGAAAGTTACACTCGCCGACCTGAACGACCGCGAGGAGATCGCGAAACTCCGCGCCTCAAACCCTGACCTCAAGGAATCAATGGAGATCGGCCGAGAAGGCGTCGAGGGCCTCCCGAATCGCTGGCCTGAGAAGCTTGACGCCCAAGGCGAAGCCTTTACTGCACACATGAAGTCGTTCTTCCTCGAATGCAAAGACTTACACATGCAAGTAATGCGCGCCATCGCACTCGGGATGGGCCTTGACTCCTCGGAGTCCAACACGCGCGACTCATTCTTTGACTCGTTCACTTCCGCGGGCGATAACAATTTGCGCCTGCTACACTATCCTGCAGTTCTGAAATCAGTCTTCAAGGACAACCCCGACCAAGTCCGCGCAGGCGCCCACTCGGACTACGGCTCCATCACTCTCCTCTTCCAGGACTCCGTCGGCGGGCTTGAAGTCCAGTCACCGCAAGGCACCTGGGTCCGGGCAACACCAGTACCGGGCTCGATCGTCGTGAATGCAGGCGACTTACTGAACAGGTGGAGCAACGGGACAATCAAGAGCACGAAACATAGGGTCGTGCAACCGCCTGCGAAAGCAGGGGACGAGAGCGAGATGTACCCAAAGAGGTACAGTATCGCGTACTTCTGCAATCCGAATTTTGATAGGGTCATTGAGGCGCTACCGGGAACGTTTGGGGAGAAGGCACGGGAGAAGGAAAAAATCTGGGAGCCGATCAAGAGTGGGGATTATTTGGTGATGCGGTTGGCGGCGACTTATTGATTCACGTTCACGAAGCGGTTGACCTTTGGTCAGCGGATGTCAGTGCAACGAGTACTGCAGTCACGAGAAGCTGGAACAAAATAAGCTAGTGGAATTCATGTTATCATTAATTTATCTCATCCTCATCTTGCTTTCAATTTGTACTTGTACCGATAGCTTGGCACGAAATAGCATAAAATCACCATACAAACTTGACCCATGGCTTACAACCCTCCCCCCTGCTCCCCCGAGCTTCCCTAGTATCTTGTTCTTTGGAGGCTCTGAATGAGCGGATAGAAGTTGGAGGTTGCCAAATGGGAAAGGCGAGTTTCTGGAACGGAAATACATCTATTTTCTAGATTTTCTGATTTTCTGATAATCATAGCGGGATTGTTGCCGATGATCGCAACGCATATAGGAAAGAAAGACTGGATCAATCGAGACGTGTCTGCTGAAGTCGAAATGGATTGAGCGTTTGGCATTGAGGCACCCTCTCTGTGAGCGGAATTGGCGTCCAGCATCAGACAGTATGTATGGAGTAGGGAAAGACATGAGGTGCCCTTTTCGTGAGCACTCTCGTCTGTCTGACAGACGAATCGCTGGCGCGATGCTGTATGATTGTCTCTCTACCGCTTGCCCTTGCCCTTGGGTCTGCCCCTGCCCTTCTTCTCACCTCCGCCTTGCTGTTGCTGTTGTGTCGCCTGGCTGCTGGGCTTGCCCACCACAACACTATCGCCATCCTTTGGCACTACCTGTGGTCCAGAGTCGACGTCCATCTTGTCTTGATCTCCTCCATCTGCGCCACCAGCAGCAGGTGCCGCCTTAGGCTTGTCGAACTTTTCTCCTCTGGCCAGCCTGCCGAGTGATGTGATCAACCGCCCAACTTCCTGCGACTTGTCTGTCGAGTACTTGAGGCAGATGCCGGATTGTGCGTGGTAGACCTTGACGGTGAGGGTTGCGGAGGGCTCTTTGCGCTCACGCTGTTGCTTCTTTGTCTCTTCTGCTACTGCGGTTGTGGTGGCATTGTTGCTTGTGGTAGCGGTGGTGGATGTCTGTGCTGCAGATGCGGTTGCGGCCTTCTGTTGCTGTGCCTGTGAGCGAGGATTGGGCAGGCGTGGCAGAGAATATTTAGTGCTGATGCGACTTGTGGGATAGGCCTCGAGGAGGAGTGAGGCGTTGTAGAGGAAGGCATTGAGGGAGAGAGCAGCCGGCATGCTGGGCAGGTGTCGCAGAGCGACGACACACCGCTGAGTCTGGACGCCGGTACCGTGGTTGGGTAGGATAGCGCGGCGCAGGCGGACGACTTCTTCCAGGATCCTTGCTCCGGTGCTGTCGGTGGAGTAGGTCTTGCCTCCTTGGAGCCTGAGGACTTGTTGCAAGTCTTGTGCTCTGATAGGACAGTGAACCGGTGGCAGACGAGTGTATGGCGGGGGAGGTGGGCTTGTGGGAGCGCTCAGGATGGCACCAGGTCGAAGCCTCTGCGCCAGTCTTCGGTTGCGTCTGGCTAAGGGTATGGCAGCCCTGTTATGCAATAGTGTTGGCGGCGGTGACCTTATGTTCTGTGTATTGGTCAGTGGTGGGTGTCCGTTGTTAGCAGCGACAATGTTGAACATTATTTCGAGGTCCGAAATTGAAACCATGTTGGCCTTAGTAGGTACTACTAGTAGTGACTACTCTAAAACTATCTAAGAATATAGTGATGTAATATGAGATACTTGTAGAGAGTCATTGTTAGCGTTGTAGATATAATAGAAAGAAGAAAAAAGTAGAAGAAGACAAGGGATAGAGGGACTTATTTATAATAATAAGAAGTGGAGTAGATATTTAAATGCAACATAAATAGCGAATGATAATTTGTTAAACTCATAAACTTATACTAGGCTAATTGATAGCGAATGATAATTTATTAATTTAAAAAAATCATGTACTAGGCTAATAGATAGCGAATAGTAATTTATTAAAATAACTATTCAGGCTATTGTCTAGCGAATAGATTCAATCGCTACTTTCTTGTTTAAAAAACTTGCTTAACTTATAAAGATAACTTATAAAGATAACTTATAAAGATAACTTATAAAGATAACTTATAAAGATAACTTATAAAGATAACTTATGAAGATAACTTATAAAGATAACTTATGAAGATATTGAACTCATTAGCTAGATTTATTTAAATAATTACAATGATTTTAATTGAATAATTATAACTTAAGTAGCTACTAGATTTATTTAAATAACTATAATTACTAATTAGTTTAATTAAATAATATAAGTAGCTAGATATTTTTATAGTAATAAGTTATAACTAGCTAGATGTCACGGGGTGACGGTGGGAGGGCGGCAGGGAGGGCGATAGCAGTGTCAGTGC